GCTGCCTTTAACTTTATCTTAGAGTACTAGCCAGGGTATAGTAATTTTACTAATAGGCTATTAAGGAGGCCAGACTTTATAGCAGATATAGATAAAGATACTTTATTACTTATATTTTATAATAAGCTATAGAATATAGAATAGAGAACCCTATAGATAGTAGTAATAGAATACTATACTATTCCTATAATATTATAATATAAGGCCCAGGAGAGAGGAGATAAGCATTCCTTAATTAGTAAAATATTAAGGAATTCCGAAAAGAAAGTCTATTTTAGTAATAGAGTAATACCGGAAATATTACTACTTGAGCCTATTACTAGTATAGCTAGTTACAAATAGTATATATTATGAATTCTAGCTATATGAGTAGCTAGGTCCGAAATAGTATATAAGAAAAGCAGAGAGATATTATTTGAACTACTATTATAGTACTAAAGGCTTAATCTATTAGTATAATACCGGTAGTATAAATAGTTCTTAAAGGAGATCTTTACTAGAGCTATTAAGACTTGGGAACTTAATATATCTGGGTTATTAAGATATCGGGATATTATCTATATACTAAATAAGCCGGCTCTTAAAAAAGAATTACTATAAGCTAACTATAATAATCCTATAGGTGGGTATTTTGGTACTAGCAAGATACTAGAGATCCTTTAAAGAAAGTACTTCTAGTAAAGTATAAGAAAGGATATAAAAGACTATATTAGAACTTGTCTTATATATTAATAGACTAAGGTAAAGAGATATCTGCTATATAGTATATTTAGTTCGTTTCTTTTTTTTTTTAAGCTATAGTAAGAAATTACTATAAACTTTATTATAGGACTATTTCCTTCTAGGTTTTATAGTAAAGTATATAATTCTATACTTATTATTATTAATAGGTATATAAAAATAGTATAATATATTCCGATTACTAAGGAGGTCTTGGCTCCTGAGCTAGCAGAGCTATTTATATACTATATTATTAAAGACTTTAATATGCCTGCGGGTATAACCTCTAATAGAGGATCTGTTTTTATAAGCAAGTTCTGGTCAAGTCTATACTTTTACTTAAAGGTTTAATAATAACTGAGTATAGTATTCTACCCGTAAACTAATAAATAAATAGAGAATCTGAATTAAACTCTAGAATAATACTTGAGGTACTATACTAGCTATTAGTAGGATAATTAGGTAATAAAGCTTGCTCTTACAGAATTTATATATAATAACTTTATATATTTAATAATAGGAATATCCCTATTTTATATCTTATATAAATTCTATTCTAGTATTAAACTATATATTAAGAATAATATTTTAAAAGGAAGGGTACTAGTAATATAGGAAAGAGTATAAAGGATTTAAGTAAAATAGGAGATACTAGAAAAATAATAGCAAGAAGTAATAGATATATAGAAAAAGTACTATAATAAGAAATATATTAATAAGGAGTTTAAGATATATAATAAAGTCATATTTTATATAAAGAATATTTAATAGCTATAACCTAGTATAAAGCTAGTAGATAAATATCTTGGCCCCTTTAAAGTTCTAGAAGTTATAAGAATATATAAATAGATATACTACTTGGAATTACTACTATTATATTAGATCTATAATATTTTCTATATTTCTTTCTTGGAACTATAGTATCTATAAGCTAGTATTATAGTAAAACCAGAGCCGGTCGAGATTGAGGGCAAAGAGGAATTCGAGATAGAATTTATTATAGCCTATAAGAAGGGCAGAAAAGAAAGGGAATATCTCGTTTATTAGAAAGGCTATTTACTAGTAGATAATATATAGGAACTACTAAGTAATCTAGAGAATATAGCTTAAGAATTATAAGAATACTTGAAAAAGAGTAATATTATAATACTATAAGCTAAATAGAGGCATAAAAGATAAATGCTTTTATTAGGAAACTATTAAAAAACTATATATTTATTCTTGGAAAAATTATATAAAAATTATTAAAAATTCTAATTTCTATATCTTATAAATATCCTACTCTTATAACTATTCTCTACTATTCTTATTATTATCCTTATTAGGATTCTCTTAAGAAACAGGTAGTAAATTGGCCTATAAAGCTATTAGCTATTAGTAAGAAATAAGGAAGAAGTAAGCTTACTTAATACTAAAAAATATTAATTATACTATTAAAAGTACTTTATACTTATACTAAGCTAGTAAGAATTACTTAACCTATTTCTTGGATTATTAGGGGAATCCGTTAGCCTCGAATAATAGCTTTAATATAAGAAGTATATATAGTTTAGTATAGAAGAAGAATAGTAATAGCCTTTTCCCTTTCGGATAAAGAATAGGGAAGATGCTTATATATATTAATAGCTTAAAGAAGGCAATTTAACCGTATTATATATACTTAAGGAACCTTAGATAGTATTAGAATAAGGAATAAAAGAAGGAATTTATAACTTATAGGATTATATTTCTTATTCTTAGAGTAGTAGTAATTATATACCGAGTAATTATTACTCTTAATATAAGTAAGGTCGGGAAACTTAGTAATATTCTTGGAATATCAAAGATAGTAAGGGCAAATTAAGGATATGGGAGCATTAGCCGAACGGGTAGTAATAGGCTAATAAGTACTAAAAAGAGTATTTATCTTAATAGATAAAGAAGTGGAAGAGGGAATTAGAAGGGGACTTAAATAAAGCTTAAATAAGGCTTGAAGGAGCTTAAAGGAGCTTAAAGAAGGCTTGAAGAAGGAAGGCAAGGGACGAGGAGGAGCTAGGTACGGTATTATAATTGAAAAAAAGGAAGGTTAGTTAGTAGGAAAAGGGAGGCCTTTTTATAATATCCTCTTCCCGAATAGTAATCGCGAATTCGGAACCGGCTCTATACCAGGAATACCCAGAAAATTCCAAAGAAGGGATTTATAAATAAACCAGAAGATCGGATTAACTTTTCCAAGCTCTTGGGCCTATAGAGTAATGATTTATTTGCAAATAGAGGCTAAGTTGGGATTTACGAACTAATCAGGAGATCGGATAAGCTTTATATCCGATAGTATATACTATATTCGTACTACCTTTGCGAGGGGGAATCGCCAGAGGCGATTTGCGAACTAGCTAGGAAGGGTTAGTGAACTATATCCTCAACTCCATTACCTGGTGTAACGATGGGGCAATTATGGGGAGTCTTTGGGGAAAGCCAGCGGCCAGGAAAGTTTCAGGGGGACATTTGTAAAGCTATTTGCAGTTTTCCCAGGCCTCTTGGGGACAAGGGCCCAGAGGGGGGGTTAATGTAATAGGCACACGTAATGGCGCATGGACAGGTATCAGATATCGTGGATCTAGTTTCCTATTTTGGGTACAGCTTGCGATCGGAATCGTATGGATCGCATGGGATTTCCTAATTAAGTAAAGGGCTTCGCATGCCTGGCTAAGCACTAGGGAATATATAGGGAGACGCTCCTAGCTTTGGAAGGGGTATTGATTAGTCTCTTGTTGGAATCAATTCTTGGAATCAGTTACACTTGCAAGCGTCACTCCGCAGCTTACTTACCTTGACTACTTGTGCATCACCCTGCTATTACGTGCCTTACAATACCTCTATATCGGCATAGCAAATGCTAGCGTATTAGCGAAGCGGAAGGCTTGTGCCTCTAACTGGGTGAGCTGCAAAAACTACTCGGACGGTGAATGTCCCTTGTTACCGAGCTGTCATGCCCATCTCTTCTGGTCGACTTGTTATTGTTATTATGCCGATACATATGTGGTGTGTGGTCCATGTTAGGGGGGGTTATGCTTAGCATCTTTGAAGCATAAGCTCTCTGAGCGAGGTGGGAGGAGAGTCAGGGGATGCACTTAAATGAATAAAATTCTTATAAATTGTGTCTTGGCGTTTTATTTCGGAATTAGTAGGCCACAATTTCACAGAACTTTTAGTAGGCTATAAAGTAAAGTTCCCGTGCCACCCGGGAAATGTTAAGCTGCAGAGAATATGCAAAGCAAAAAGTGCCTCTGTCCTGCTTCCGTCTTGTTAAGGGTGTTACCCGCATGTAAATCTCAGTCGTATCATTCCTGCGGAGAGCTAATTAGAGGTCCTCCTTGTACCTTTCGGAGGCACATGGTCCAGCGTGCATGTTCACAACCGAAATCCGCAGGCTAAGTGTGGACAGAATCCGGATCGCGCGTTGCCCCTCGCTACCCCTTAACCTCGTTCCCTTCGCCTTCGCGAACGGAAGGGTTGGCTTCCCAAGCGATCTCGTGAAACCAACGCGACTTTGGGCGTCAACGTGAATAAAAGCAGTCCAGACGACCAGAACAAGTCCGTATCGAAAATGCCGCATTCGGAGCTCGATGCAAGCGCGTTTTTACGCGTTTATTTCGCGGTTCCCAGGGCCCCTGGGGAAGCGATAGGCCAGCAGATACTGCTGTGCAGCAATCGCCCAACTCCAAGTCGGCTGCAACTGGCACGTTTCACCTTGTCAATTGGCCCAGCCATCGCCGGCCCCAAACGTGCATGCCCCGCCCCTGCACGCTGCTGCATTCAGGCACTGCGCCACGCTGGAGAGAGCCCAGTAGACGCGGGAGAAACGACTTCTTCCGACTGTCACGATCGTGGCATTTTCGTGTTTGTCCACACTTCTCTGCATCGAGATGCATATCGTCCAGCTTCAACAACTGATCGGTGACTCACAACTCCCAATCACGTGCGCTGTACTTGAGGCATTATGTGAATTATGGGGAGCAGAGGGTGGGTATATGATGGGAGCTATGCTTGTTTTTGTGCTTAGCCACCCTTTCTTCATTTGGTGCGCTGTGTGTTGCTCTTTCTTTCAATGTACCTGCGTTTTCTTAAGCTGCAAAGCGCAAGCCTCAAGCCTAAGACCTCACCCATCTTCAACGAGATCAGCGAAGCAATTCAAAGATAGGCTGTCTGTCTGTTCAAGTTCAATAGCCGTTCCCTTATTGCTTTGGTTGTCAGGACCCCCCTAATAGCCCAATCCTCTCCTCCACCGATATGCGCAAGTTATGGCCTCAGCCAGCCCAGTTTTCATCCGCCTCTGGCGGGTCGAAGGCGTGCGCTCGACTCTCCTCTCTCACCTGGACACCGAGTCCATCTGTGCCTTGCGCCTCACATCATCAGAGTGCCGTGAGCTCACGATTCCAAGTCTTTTCACCCGAACCTGCTTGACCTTCACACCAAGCGCTCTCACACGAACTTCTCGACTCGAGGCACTGTCTCGGATAGGACACCACATCGAGCACCTCACCTTCTCCATGCCCCATAATCCGGCAACGTTCCTACCTCCCTTGTTGAACCCATCGACTGGTCGAGAGGTCAACTTCCTATACACCCCTCACACATCGTGTGCATCGGTCACCCAGCGACCAAAATATGGATCGCCGGAATTGGGTGATCTCCTCACACAACAATACCCTCCCATATTTCATGCTGCAACCAACGTTCCAGCATTTATCAAAGCCTTTTCCCGAATGCCCAACCTTCGCCATCTCACGATCTCCTGCCCTGGTCAAGATCCAGCCCAGAGATACCGTCGAGATGCGGTCGATTATGCGCTCATAAGCTTGCGCATAGCTATCGAACGAGCACCGCTTCTCAAGCTTGAGAAGCTCTCACTCAGTCACATCCATCCATCTGGGCTTCACTACCTTCGTCACCTGCCTGGCTTTGGGACTACGCCCTCTGCTGGTCGACGATGGAAACAAATCAAGAAGCTCCACATTACCATGGACTCCTGGGACTTCCTTGGCCTCCGCCCGGGACGGGACCATCTCAAGATCCTCGATGATTATATCCGCAGCTTCTCATCAAATCTGGAAAAAGTGAGTTTCGGATGGTACGGGAGGAAAGGACCATGCCCCTTTACGTTGTTTAGCGACCCCCTCTTTGCGCCACCCAGGAGGACGGCTAAACTATTCGCCGAGGTGACTTCGCCGATGTCACCCTTGCCAGATGCACCTCCTCGGCCGGCAATGAGGTTCCCCAAACTCCGATACATGCAGGTCCGTAACTCGACCATGTCCGTAGAGCAAGTCTCTGATTTCATCTTGGGTCATCGCCACACCGTTCGCGAGTTCGACTTCGAGAACGTAGGCTTGATCAATGGGGGAACTTGGGAGGATGCATTGGCACCTCTCACAAGATTCAGTGGCAGCGATGAGTGGTTGTCTTCGCAGAGTGGCTCGGAGGCAGAGAGTAGTACGGGTTTCCAAGGCCACTCTGACCTGGACTTTCTTGATGATATCGCAGAAGAGTTTGAGGAGGTTGTTGACACAAGCGCTACAATGCCTGACGATGCAGATATCCCAAGAACATCAGTTCAGGTCAAGAAGAGGGTTCGCAAGCGAAGGCGTAAGCATAAAAGAACGAAAGGAGGGCTCAAGATTTCCAGTCCCATACCCATCTCCGGTCCGATCGAGGAAGTCTTACAGCCTACTACTTTCAATCCAAATGTGCAAGGCGTTCAGCGAAACGTTCGGATGGACGCCGCCCAGCAAGCGCTCGCTGATGATCCTGAGAAGAGGGTGTCCGCTTTGAAGAAGGCCAAGGAGACTATTTTGAAACGCCTCGGCAAAGAGTTTTACAAAAACCAGGACAAGAAAGATAGTGTAAGAGGATTCTTCAACAACACTTGTGCTTCTGGTTGGAAGAGTAGGGCCATGATGGTGCACGAAAGTAGTTCAGCGCTCGTTCCGTTGATGTTTAGTCGCTGCTAGTCGATGTTGTAGCTTTATGTATTCTGATCGTGTGGACCTTTGCTTTTGACCGTAACGAATAAATGAAATCGCTTTCTTCCAAAGACATCCAGGGCCGCTTCTGTGCAATTTGCTCTTTTGATGCTGCTCCCAATATCCCACGTTTACACCCGGCGATAAAGGTGCATCTGATAACGCATGTTCTCCAATGGGATCGGATACCGAATACTTTCTGGAATTCGAAACCATTTCGAGTCCTCAGAAACCAGTTTCACCCACTCTGGAACGCTTTCGCTACCCCTTGACTTTTGCGTCTCGAGTAAGGTGTGATCAAGCAGCCAGTACATGGGATACCTTTTGGCTTCAGTCCCGACGGTAGTCTCTGAGTAGCTGCCAGGGCTATCGACGACAAGTAACAATGAGCCGGATGTGACAGCCGCAGTCAAATTCAACAGGAAAGCCGTCGTCTTCCCAATCGACGAGGTATACAATTCATTCAGTGTAAAAAGTAAGGTCACAAGCATTGGTCGTCCACCAGCGACATCAACAAGTTCGCTTCCGCTCATTCCCAGTACGTTGTCTTGTCGGAAAGTAACTTTGAAATTGGTGTTTGCCGTAAGTGCTTCGTTTGCTTCTTTCGCTGAGGAGCTGGCGTATTTTGATAAAGGAGGTGGCGTGGTGAAGCTATCATGAAGTTTGCGGACAACTCCCTGCCATTGAGCGGTATCGACCAGACACAGATCAATCCCAGGCGATCTGTCAGGATTTGAAAGGCCATGCTCCGGCGATGACTGCTGATTCAAGTCATTTTGTTGTCCCTTTCCCTGAAGAGAGAGCTTGTCAAGTCCTTCCGAGGCTGCGAGCACGTCTTCTCCAGTACTCCGAAGCATGGTATCCTGCAAATAGCGGAGAAAGCCACCGAAAGCAACGACTTCTGCAGCACCTCCACCGAAACAAGTAACACCCATGGGGGACGCATCGTCTCCAGCCGACCCATCTTCCAACTCTGGTGGGGTTATTCTGCAGACTGGGGAGATCTCTGTAAGGTGCTCGAGGAGATCTACCAAGATGGACTGATAACAGAGGGTTCTGCTGGGACTCCATCGAATTGAGTACGCTTCAAGAAATTCCTCCTTGCCGAAAGCTTTGGTGAAGTCTCTTTCGTACAATGCCTTTTTTACTTCCTGTAACAAGGCTTGCAGGGTGTCAGATGCAAGAACTCCAGGAAAAGTATCTCTGTAAATGTTAAGAAGGAGCTGTTGCAGTTCGACCGGTAGGGCGGCTTCCGAAATGGCACTTGAGTTCGTTTCCTCATCCTGGATGGCTCGCTTTGATTTGGCTGGCTCTGCTTTCTTGGAGAAGCCGGGGCCTTTCCATCTAAGAGGCGATTTTGTGTCCTTTCCAACGATGGCTCCATAGCCCTTGCCAAATCTACCATTTTTCCCCATCTTGAAGCGTGGTTGTAAAATTTTGCAATGTTGTGTCGAGGTGAGGGCTGAGTTTCGATGTGAGATCTCTTCTCGCTTGCCTTTTTGCGCTAGTCTAGACACAAAAGCGGCACTAACTGTTAGTGTCCTACCCCTTTAAGTTGGCTATATATCTAGCCCAGAAGGAGAAGGATTTGATATTCCAGAATTTTGGCGACACTGTTATGGAACAATATTGAATGTACAGTAATTTGAGGAAAGTTTACGAAGATGCTGCATTTAAAATGCTCTCTTACCTTCAGGACAATGGAGATGAGTGAGGCTTTTCCATGTGCCATGAGATTTCTATCAAGCACATCACTATCGAGTGTCAGCATTGAAGGTGGGCCTGTCTTGACTTCTGCATCTTTTGCTTCTAAGCAGTTGACAAGTTCCTTGCCAGAATCTCTGCGGATGATGCCACTTCTGAAGTAAGTGTTATTGAAGCTTTGAGGACGGTTTCTGGCTGACGCGTTTTCAATGCAGCATTCCAAGCAAAGACATTATCCCATGTCCCATGCCTTCAGAATAAGAGGTTTGGCTCAAGCTTCAACCTGTTCCAATCTCGGTCCATTTATCAATAATTCTTATTCGTGCTGGCTCTGAATTTCCCACGAGCGTGAAGAGGACCATCTCAACACGCATCAACCAAATACAGATCCTCGGCTTACAGAATGACCTTCTTGGTATGCAAAAATATCACCAAGAATGCATTCCGCTCAACTCCATCGATTTGTTGTTGGGAAGCGGAATTTCAGTCCAGAGGTACCTTACTGGGTGAGGCCCAAACAACAATTTTTGCAGGTGGCTTTGTGTTTCCGACCCTTTAGGATAGCATAATTTCGACTGAGCCCCAAATATTGTATGCCAAAATTATTGCATTGCTCTGAAATACAGTGACAGAATGGAGTCTTCGTCGGGTATAAACTAGCATAAGTTGTTTTCCGGGTTGACTGAGATGCATGCCGAACCAAGGTCCATCGGGTTGTGATTCTGGCTGTTGGGGTGCATTTCAGACCTGATCTAGTATTGTCAGCAGTTTCTGGGTAGTGCAAAAGTAGTTGCTGGACTTGTTTGAGCTTGCGGTTTAAGTCTCAAGAATGAGCCACATCTGAGCATTCCTTCCAGCCTGAACGGAGGATTTGTGTAGTTTCGGAATTTATTTTGCCTGGCCGCTTGGATATCTACAAGCATGCAATGCCACAGTCCCGCCCAGACTCCGCGTGCCTTCATCTGCAGTAGGTCTATGTGCGTCCAACGCTTTAGATCATGAGTCTCTCCACCTTGTCTTTCAGACTCCGGATCTGGTTCATGAGATCGCTGGCTTCATTCGTGGTGATGCTCGCTGCAATCACGGCTCTGCTGACACCGCAAGCACGGCCCAAAGCTGTCTTGCTAGGAACGTATACATATGGAACGTTCTGTGGCATAAATTAGTCCTCAATCTGGAGCGTGTAGATATTCAGAGAAAACCTGACCTTGTCTTCGCAGAGAAGCGGGAGATGCAAGAGAATGGCGAGAGGGGCGGTATCAGCTGCTAAATCACAGAATCTCGGGTTAGTACTGCAAGGCAAATTCTCGAGTCAAGACTGTCATATCTCCGGAAGGAAGAGGTCGCATAACATGCGAGGAAGGGAATGGGTGCTCTAGGGAATTGGGCTTACCAAGAATGATAATTTCAGAGATACCTCTATTTAAAGTCTTGGTCGCTTCATTGGCCCCCTTCTTCAACTGTCTGTAGTGAGATGCTTGTTGGACGATATCCAGGATCTCTTGCGTGAGCCCAGAATCCGCTACAGGCCATGCTAGAAGCTATCAGCAATGATCCCAACATAACAGCTGTTGTAAAAGAATCGAAATATAATGTAGATCTTACCAGCAGAGCCGTTTTGTTCCTCTGCCATCGTGGAGTGAAGTTCGAGGAAGGACGTCTAGAAGAATGTTAGAGCAAGCTCGAGCTTTGCGCCGCGCACGCCTCAGAAGGTCACAAATACCTTTGATTAGAAGAGAGTATTCCGAGAAAGGTGAACTAAAGCTGGCAGGGTTCCTTGCGTTGGCTCGCCCTGTTGCTGTTGTTTGGTGGGGGGTTTCTTGAATCCTGGATGTCTTCAGAAAATGTTCAGCCAGAAATATTTCGCGGAGGCGCTAAACCCAAAATAGATACTAGTGCCGAGCTAACAGACCTTGAACCTCATCATCGCCTTCCACGACAACATCTCTCCAAGCTCAACGCCATCACCCAAGCCTTCAATCGTCCTTTGATCAACCCAACGAGCTTCAAGAGCATCTGCACTTCTTCCACTCCAGCTTCACACACCAATTACGATGTCAGACATGGGAGATTCCTTGATCTATTGGTGAGTGCTCCTGAGGTCCCCTTTACCTTAGTCAAGATATGCTTCACTTTGCACACAATGCAAGCTCGTAGTAGCCCGACACATTATGATACAACTTTATTCATATGCTAACCATATTCCTGTAGCCCGGTGTACGCGGTTCGTATCCCCTCGCTCGTAGAGCTCCTTCCGCTGCAGCATCTTGCAGGGTCAAAACATGGGAGCTCAATTCATTGTCGTCGAAACATCGTACTGATCGTAATATAGCCATTCTTTGGCGCTATGGGCTGCACTTCCGCCATTGTATTCACATGCTTTGGTGCTGCATATGGAACCGCAAAATCTGGTGTCGGTATTTGCGCTATGGGTGTTCTCCGACCCGATTTGATCGTCAAGAGTAGGCTGAGAAGCTCTGTATCAAAGCACCATGATGCTGATTAGGCAACAGATATCGTCCCGGTCATCATGGCTGGTATCATCGGTATCTACGGTCTCGTCGTGTCTGTCTTGATCTCCGATGGGCTTCATCAACAGTTGCCTCTGTACACTGGTTTCATTCAACTCGGTGCAGGATTGAGTGTCGGATTGGCCGGTTTGGCTGCAGGATTCGCCATTGGTATCGTTGGTGATGCTGGTGTGAGGGGTACCGCACAGCAACCTCGCCTTTTCGTTGGCATGATTCTCATTCTTATTTTCGCTGAAGTCTTGGGTTAGTGAATTGCTTGGATGGGTTCGCCGATGGTGCTAACGCTCCCAGGTCTTTACGGGCTGATCGTTGCCCTTCTCATGAACTCGAAGGCGAGCTTGGATGTCTCGTGTTAAACGTGGACACCACGTGGGAAAGGGGAAAGGGAGCCAATGACAATTGAGAATATTCTTCTCCCCTAGAACTACATGTGGCTATGGAGATCGGGGGTTACGGGGGATCTGGGGGGTCTCGAGGGAAGCTTTCGCGGCCAAGCCATGGCTGAATTATGTGTACTGTGCTTGTTCAACATATGGGGCGTTCTTGATGCATAGAGAGTAGAGTTGGCAGCAAGTGGTCAACGTCCCGTGTATGGTAGTATTTCTATTGTTGGCATCCATGCTAGTCCTTGGCCTTTCCCAGTTTAATGTGGTCTCATGCGAGAAAGATTTGAATGCAGATTCTCATCCCGCGTCCTCGAACAGCACTAACTGCCACATGGCATATGCGATTACATACGGCAGGAGATCATATCTCCTTCCCACGGAAGCAATCTCAATCCAATTGGAGGGAGATGGAAGCTTTCTCTGAGCTTCTTTGCATGCGGAGCACCGGGCCATTGGGAAACGATTATACTGATTTATCAAACGGCCCGCTGAGTCAGGCGACCCCACCTTCAGAGGATCACTCCCTCGATACCCCGCAGCTCAGCTCAGCTCAAATCACCACCAAGAACTCACCACATATCAAAGACCACATGCTGCAGACGCGGCACTGTCTCCAAACAGCAAAAAGTGCCCGTCTCATCCACACTCATCTTAGCCGCAGCCATGCGTCTGCCATACATCGACGCCGCCGATCCAAAAGCCTTCACCACTCCCGAGGACCACGCAATCATAGCCCGGGTCCGCGCCCGGCGAGCGCCTCGTCCTCTCCAACCGCTCGACCTCACTCTCCTTCACTCTCCTGCTGTGGCCGACGGCTGGAACAGCTTCCTGGGCGCGATACGGACAAAGACCAGCCTACCAGATGACGTGAGAGAGGTTGCTATCTGCAGAGTGGCGGTCATCAACCAAGCATGGTACGAATGGGCACATCACGCTCCTCTGGCCAAAGCTGGTGGTGTAAGTGAAGAAGGCATGGAACTCCTAGAACAACCCGATCTCGACGGGAAGAACGGGAGCGAAGTGTTGAGCAAGAAGCTCTGGGCAGTGGTGGACTATACAGATGCTATGACCAGGGATGTTGCAGTTAAGGATGGTGTTTTTGAGCAGTTGCGGGAACACTTTTCTGAGCAGGAGGTTGTCGAAGTCACGGCCACGGTTAGTGTTATCTGGGCGCAACGTTTGACGCGAGGCAGATTGCGGGGAAGTGCATGCTGATTCACATGTTGCAGGTTGCCGCATATAACTGTGTTAGCCGATTCCTCGTGGCTTTGGATGGTAGGTTCCTATGTCATTCTCGTATGACAACAAAGTGCTGACTGGAATACAGTGGGGGAGAAGAATGCATGGAGATCCCCGGGTGTTTCAAACTCTAAGTGAACGTGTTTGTGGTGATTCGGTAGTTGGGGGAAACCAGAGAACCTGTTTGCTCTTACTGTACATGGTGCCTCATGTCCCACATCTCTACGAGGCAGCCGTATGCGAAGCATGCGCAGCATGCGCAAGTTTCTAGAGGTTATCGAAGCTATATTCCTCGAAATATATGTACCCAAAAAAAAATGCTTGTCGCCTTCTTGAACCTCTTTGCCAATCCCTCGAATACAGACGGAGAGACGGCATTTGTGGCAATCGCGGGGTTCTTATTGGCAGTGTTTTACGGTACAGTATTTGAGATCTGTGAGAGGGGCCCAAGATCGATCTTCACGTCTATCATATGACAATCCCACAGCACTGGGCTTGCAGGCAGGGCCTCTCTGGATGAGAAACTCGCCACTCGACATCCAGCTGTCGGTAGAAGCCGATTTGGTGCTCAGAAGAGTGCCGAGAGTGTGGCAACCACCACCATGGCATACCCCAGTCAGGCTCCTCGAATCAGACTTTATCGGATGAAGAGGCGTTGATGACTACCCTTGAAGGTGGGTTTTGGCGGGAAGAAAATACTGCAGAACAGAAAATAGTGATTCGTGGAAGATTGAAACACAAATGCAGACAATAGGCATGGGCACCCAATCAATACAGTATCGACTCTGGCAGACTAAGAAAGCTCGAAAAGTTGGTACAGGCCCGCCAATGATCCAATGCCAGTGCAACATCCAGCGTCAAAGTGCAGGCTCGGCAGCAGATTCCCCATCAGTAAATTAAGGTGTGAAAAGGTCACACATCCAGCACGGTTGATACGGAGAGCATTTCGAGTGGCTCGAAGTACGGACGGACTCCGATGGGTTTCTGGGTCAGGTCTGTCACTGATGTACAATTCATCTCAGGAGGTACTGCGATGGTATCCAGGTCGGGTCTGTCACTGATGAACAATTAATTCATTTCAGGTGATACTCCGAAACAAGCCGTGCCGTACGGAGGGACGCTACCTCTGCACCTCGTAAATTTACTTCTGGAGGCAAACAAGCTCACGGCGTAGGTTCTGATGCATACATGGTAGGGAACGCGACAAGAGCGTTTTGGGGGAGTGGGAAAGCAATGCACGGCTGCTACTGCAATGTGCTGCACAGTCTGCACTGCAGCGATCGCATTGGCTTGCTAGTGCTTGTGCTTGTGCTTGGCTTGTGCTTGATCGAAGCCTTGCTTATCACGACATGACCGACATATGGGCTTGGCGCTTGGCGCTTGGCAGTTGGCAGTTGGCAGTTGGCAGTTGGCAGCCCGCAGCACTGGCTGCGAAGGCGGCGCGGGGCGGCGATGCGCTTTACCCGAAACTACATTTCTCGGATACGCCTCCGATGTTGGTGGTTTCCAGTCTTCCAGAACGACGCGCGAGCGTGAGCACGAGCACGAGCACGAGCCTGCACCGCTTCGTGGCATCACATCGCACCGCGTCGCATCTCACTGGCTGGCTGGCCCCTGGCTCGGAGGCTGGCTGGTTCTTTGGCGCTGAGTGTTGGGCACTGGTCACTGGTAAATTACTGGTCTCTGGTCACTGGTCTCCTCTCCAGGAGTCCAGGATACGTTGTTATTCTCCGTAAGGATTGCTCAATTGCTCGAGCCGGCTTGGCGTGAGCAACCGAATCTCAGGGTCCTGGACGTTCCCAACAGGGGGAGGGGAGGGGAGAACCGGGGCAGAACCGGGGCAGCCCCAACCCCCCCCCCCCCCCCCCCCCCCCCCCCCTCCCCTCCAGCCTGACACCGCAGCGTCGTCACAATCGTACGATCTTTTCTAAAACGGTCCCAAGCATCGACAGCCTGGGGCAAGGGGGGTATATTATTGCCCAAGAGGGGATATGATCATTGTTGGTCTCGGTTCTGCTGGCCGTACATTGTACAGTAGCATCATACACCGATAGCCCGGGAGCAGTTAAAGCTTAACCTGCTTAGGGCAGTCTGCATGGTATGCGTGGTATGTATGCTATGTGTGGTATGTATGGTGCCATGCCGTTGAGCCGTTGACGCTTCAAGACTCAAGGACACCACCGGGTCTTCGAGGATCAAGAATGGTGACTCAATGCTACTGTATCCCGAGCCTCCCAGCGGCCAGGCTCGGCGAACGGTTATCGCAAGAGACTTGCCTTGCGATGTGCCATGCCGATATGCGATATGCTTCAGATCTCGCTGAGTCGCTGAAGTGTTGCCCGACGTGCGCGTACTTTCTTGGCCGAGGAACCTTGGTCCTGGCGCCGAGGAGGGCGGATTCCTCAACTTTTATATTCGTTTAGTTACTGTAGATGACTATTCATGGGCTTCGGGCGTAGCGGGAATAGGAGACGTCCTCCTTGATGAGACGGCTGCTGGGGCTGAGGGAACCCAGACAGGCGTCAAGTGTCCAGGATCGAAGTGTCCGAGCTTTGGGACCCACCGCTGATCCAACCTTGCTTGAACTTCATCTCAAGGCGCGGCCGACACGGAGAACACGACCAGGAGTCCAGGACACGAATCCACGACTCTACTGTAGTATCCACGACTCTCGAGTTTCTCGACGATGGCCCCGACGAGCCGGTAATTGAAGGAGGCCAACAGAGGCCGACGGAAGCACTGCTGCTCCTTTTCTACTGGCTGATCCGGGGCACGGGCACGAAGCATACAGCACAGGAGAAACTCCACACGAGGGAAGGGCGTGCGGGCTTGCTCGAGGCGCGAGGCGCAAGGCGTGAGACTTGAGAGGAGAGGCTCCAGAGTCCAAACGTCCAAAGCCCCCAAGAGAAGAGCTCAAGCCCGATGGCGTGCAAAAGGCCGAGAATGCGTCCGGGAAAATGCACCAGTGAGGCCACCTGTGAGTGCACCACAGTCACCGCCCGAGACGTGCGGCTGCGCGGCGCTCGAAAGCCAATTCAGCACGCCGAGCCGGCGTGAAGACTGCAGTGCTGCACCTGCTGCCGCAGCCGCTGCACTTGTCGTCGAGTCGTCGTCGAGTCGTCGTCCGCAACTCCGCATGCAGAGCACCGTAAGTCCGCCCAAGCCGGGGGCTTGTCACTTGTCAGCCTGCATAACCCCCTGCGGCGTGTCCGGCGTTCCACAGGGACATTGCGATCATGTCAGGAAGGGGGGCCGAAAGCCACCTTACCCACCGTGCCCGTCAGCAGGCTTGGCGTCCCGGGGGCGAGGGGGGGCGAGGGGAGGGCTGCTCCGCTCTTGCAAAGTAAGCAACTTTGAGTTTGCGTGTCTCCGTTTACATAAGGTGCGTGCTGCGTCGTCGGCCTACTGTGACTGGCCGGGCCCGCGCCTCCTGGCCCCCTCCCACAGTTCACTTCCCCCCCCCACCACGCAGCTCGGGCAGGCACCTGCCACATGGCTCTCGTTGCCCAACCCTACCAGAATCGCGCACCAAATGTATGCCACGCCGTGGCTGGTTCCCTTGAGAAGGAGTGGAATGTTGGGACCCGCTCGTTCTCCAAACGCATAATCAGATTGGGGCAGTCTGTGATCCTGGCCTCCCCCCTCCCCCTCCCCTTCTGCTCCCGCCCTGGCCCTGGCCCCGGTCATCGCACACGAGCCTTACCGCTCTCCTCGCCCGCGAAACTGGCGGTCGTGATTGGCGCGAACATTGTCCCAGAGAGGCATCGACCATGGCCAAGGCGGGCTCCCTCCTCTTAACTTCTGTCAACAGTCAAACGCTGTGCTTTGGGGTCCCAATGCACTTGACTCTTAAAATGCGTGTCCACCGTCGAGGGTCATCTCGTCCCGAATAGAATCCATCAACCGAGCTGAAGCGAAGCCCTCCATCCAACTTTTAAACTTGGGCTGTCCCCTCACTCAGCCTTCCAATTGCTTTCGAATCTCATATTCAGTACCCACAGCCTTGCCAGAGACAAACTACCCCGTTGGGCAATACCGGTCAATAATCTTCTTGAGAAGCCACCTGAACTGAGCAGCAAGCAATCCGAGACTCAACCACTGCCAGCTATCCTCCTCTCCTTCTGTATCTTCGCGATGGCCGCTGGACAGTACGACAGTTCCGACAACCAGGCGTATATGATGACTCCAGAGCTCAGCGCCGCGATGTATGATGGAACGTCAAGCGAGTCCTCCGCGAGCTCGCCCCTCAACTGTAATGTAAGCCAAGCGCTGCTCCGTTACGTGGAGCTGTCCAATATGCTGACGATTCCTCACAGGGATTTGACAATTTGTACGGCGCGAACGGCTTCATGAATTACCCCGCATTCCCCATGCAGTATCCTATGAGCGGTGACGGTATGGCGCCTTTGGGGCTGATTCCAGTTGAGTTGGATATCGAGGGTCTTTATGAGGACCACGATCGGCGGAGGAGGAAGGGGGGCAGTGATAAAGTTGTGTCCTCTCACGTGCATTCCGTATGTCGCCCAATCAATGCATTTGTGCAGCACATGACTGATAGGTCCGTAGCGTCGCCGAGCCCAAAACCGCGCATCACAACGGGCTTTTCGGGATAGGAAAGAGAAACACATGAAAGAGCTTGAGCAACGGCTTGCTGAGCTAGAAGGTCGGCATACTGATCTTTCGAGGTCATATGAGTCGCTGCAACTTGAATATACAAGCGTCAAGCAAGAGCTTGAGAAGTTGCGCAAGGACAGCTCGAGAACGGATGGAGGGTCTTCCAGTTCATCATCATCATCGAGGCATTACCACTCGAGAGGGTGGGAAGATTCAAAAGGAGAAATCCTTGACCCACTCTTGTTTGATGTTTCTGCATTTTGCTTTGATCAGGATGAAGGACACGAGCGAAAAGACTGAGAGGGAGGCTATTTGTTTTGGTGTTTGGAGTTGGTCGGTGCTATAGGTTTTTCGGTCTGGATGGCCTGGGATGCATGGACAGAGGCGGAGCTTTGAATTCTGAACCATGATAATGACATTCTTGTGGATATTGTTCGATATATTTAATTGAATGTTGAATTGAGATCATCCCATCATGTCCAGGTTCCAACTTCATCTTGAATCTTCATGATGCGCGAGAAAGGTGGAGAGATGCGGGCGGGGTCGTTGGCGGGGTTAAATTGTTCCTGGTGCACAGCACAGTAAAGTCCGCATTGGCGAGCTCAAGACAAGATGTCCGTCCCATGGGCTCGTTGTGGCGTTTGAGAATGCACAACGAGTAGACTTGTGCCTTCTGTTGTATCCTGGGTTGTATACTTGGGGAGGAGAAGTTCAACATGGAAGCTCTCTGCGTCCAACCTGCTCGGTGTGTGCTTCCCCGAGTGACCCCACTGAGGATGCAGAGTTGGAATGCTTTTTCGAAGGTCCGTGTTCATCTTTTTCCCACACCAAACTGAAGGAGGAATTCCGAGGATAAATGCATTCCAAGCCAATTTCCCACGCGTGGGAGAGTCAAGCAAACCATGACTAGACCTGAAGACAAGTGGTATGGCAGAGCTACTCCGTACTGTTCGAGTCAACCCACCGGGACTCGAGAAGGGTTCCTTCTTTCAGCCATCCGATGCCCGGAGAGCCGAGCCTTGTCAAAAAGTGTGAACTGCGTTGGAGAAAGCATGTCGGAAAAACTCAACCTGAATTCAATGACAATGAGAGTATTTACGGCGGATTTGCAGTCCTGTGCCTCTCCCGGGAGGGCGGAGGAGGAGGAGGAGGACGACGAGGAGGGAGGAATTCCACGGATGTCGCGGAGAAGGAGAGGTGCAGAGAATGAATGGGCAAAAAGTTCGAACATTGGGTGGATCACAGAAGGGTCGGAGGAGTGGCTGACAAAGCCGGTGGATGGTGGGGTTCCTCAACATGTCCCACGTCAGGAATTCGAAACTTGTCCCTCCTCTCCTCTGCTCTCGCAACCTCTTAAAAAACACCTCAATTGGCCATCGGAACTCCACTCTCAGTCGCAATCATGGGCTACACCGACGTTGATAAACTGGCTGTTAACACCATTCGACTTCTTTCTGTAAGCTCACGTCCCAGAAATCAGTTCCGCCCCCCCACACCCGCGCAGAGGCTGTTGAGGCATCTCCAAGCATCATAATTATACTACAAAGTACTAATCAAGCTTCAACAGGCCGATGCCGTATTCCATGCCAATGCAGGCCATCCTGGGGCCCCTATGTGAGTGCGCATTCATAGCTCACGGATCCGTATTGACCATGCCCAGGGGAATGGCCCCAGTTGCCCACGTCCTGTTCAACAAGACAATGAACTACAACCCAAAGAACCCAAAATGGCTCAACAGAGACAGATTCGTCTTATCGTGAGTGCCACAATCCGTTTCTCTACCACGCAATCGACATTTTTCTCGCGCGGGCCACTGTGCTCCGAAAGCCTACCCGAAGGAATATGGCAGTTGAGGCCCAGAAATCGACACAGTTTTACTTCGCATGAACCGCTACTTTTTTGACAAGATTTGCTGGAAACTCTATTGTTGAGAATCTACACTTCTTCCCGCTCTTTATTTGACTTTGCCACAAGCTATACTGACAGACCCTAGAAATGGCCATGCTTGCGCGCTTCAATATTCCCTCCTCCATCTTGCTGGGTACAAACTCTCTATCGATGATCTCAAAGCATTCCGCGTAAGTCAGAATCCTGTGCTTTAATTCTCAACAATCTGCAAGACTCTAACGCAGAAGTGCCAGTCATTAGATAGCATTACGCCTGGCCATCCCGAAGCTCACGATACTGAGGGCATTGAGGTGACTACTGGTCCTTTGGGTCAAGGTTTCTGCAACGGCGTTGGGCTTGCCATCGCCCAGCACCACTCATCTGCCAAATTCAACAAGCCTGGCTTTGACTTGATCAACAACTACACATATGTGTTCTTGGGGGACGGATGCATGATGGAAGGTGTTGCCAGTGAGGCAGCCTCCCTGGCCGGACACTTGCAATTGGGCAACCTTATCGCGATCTATGATGATAACCACATCTCCATCGATGGCGACACTAACTGTGCTTTCACCGAAGACGTTGTTCTGCGATTTAAGGCTTATGGCTGGCACACCGAAATTGTTGATGATGGTGACCACGATTTAGAGGGCATTGAGGCTGCTATCAAGAAGTGCCAAGCTGTGACTGACAAACCATCCTTGATCAAGCTCCGAACCACGATTGGTTATGGGTCTCAGTTGCAAGGCACTGGTGGCGTTCACGGAGCCCCTCTTAAAGAGGCGGATATGAAGCAGGTCAAGACCAAGTGGGGCTTTGATCCCGAAAAGTTGTTCGTCGTTCCCCAGGAGGTGTACGACTTATATCACAAGCACGGAGCTGAAGGTGCTGCAAAGGAACAAGAGTGGGAGCAGCTCCTGGAGAAGTATGGTCAATCATACAAGACCGAAGCTACAGATCTCAAGCGCCGCTTGGCTGGGGATCTTCCAGAGGGCTGGGAGAAGACCTTGCCAGTTTACTCTCCATCGGATTCTGCAGTGGCTTCCCGAAAGCTCTCTGAGATTCTCCTCAATAAGGTCCACGAAGCAATTCCTGAATTGGTCGGAGGCTCTGCAGATTTGACTGGCTCGAACTTGACCAGATGGAAGGATGCCGTTGACTTCCAACCCCCTTCCCTCGGAATTGGCGATTGGAGTGGACGTTATATCCGTTATGGTGTTCGCGAGCACGCTATGGGTGCTATCATGAACGGTCTTGCAGCATATGGCACCATCCTCCCATACGCCGGTACTTTCCTCAACTTCGTCTCCTATGCTGCTGGAGCAGTACGTCTCTCTTCCTTGTCCCAAGTTCGGGTTATCTGGGTTGCCACGCACGACTCCATTGGCTTGGGTGAGGATGGACCGACTCACCAACCTATCGAGACACTTGCACACTTCCGTGCTCTTCCCAACTGCATGGTCTGGCGTCCAGCTGATGGAAACGAGACTAGCGCCGCGTACTATGTTGCCTTAACTTCGAAACACACTCCCAGCATCATCGCTCTCTCCCGCCAAAACCTTCCTCAGCTTGAGAATTCTACCATCGCTCACGCCATCAAGGGTGGTTATGCCGTTCACGAAGCCGAGAAAGCAGATATTACTCTTGTCTCTACCGGTTCGGAGGTCGGCATCTGTGTTGACGCAGTCAAGTATCTCAAGGAGCATCATAACCTGACTGCACGTGTCGTATCTATTCCTTGCTTCGAGGTTTTCGATGCTCAGCCCAAGGAGTACAGACTCAGCATTCTGCCAGATGGTATTCCGTCTCTTTCTGTCGAGGCCATGTCAACCATGGGCTGGGAGCGTTACACACACGAGCAATTTGGTCTCAATAGATTCGGTGCCAGTGGTGCTTACAAGGACGTCTACAAGGCAGGCAACTTTGTTAACCATGTATTGATACTCGCTAACCCTTTTTACAGAAGTTTGAATTCACACCAGAGGGTATCAGCAAGCGTGCGGTCGCCACTGTTGACTTCTGGAAGAGCGTCCCCAATATCCGCTCTCCTATCAATCGCGCTTTCCAGCAGTTAATTTAAGCTGCACTTGATGGTCAATTGGATGAGTATATGAGAGTTTTGGGAGGAGAAGAATATGAGTATATAGCTTGCAAATAGACCAGAGAAGTAAACAATTTCCGGACACTTGATCCTTTCTAGATACTATTCCCACAATCATACAAGGTAGAATGGTTCGTGAATTTCTCTACCACTGAACATGCGGATACAGACGTCTAATCCTACAGATCCTATCCTAAACCTCAAATATCTCCCCGACCCCTTCTCCGCCGCCCCTTCTATTCTCTACCAAATCCAATCTCCATCCCTCCCAATTCTTCAATGCCCTCTTGACCTCCTTGACCCTCTCTATCCTCTTCTTTGCCTCTTCTTCTTGCGCCAACCGGAACGCATCCTCATCAAAGTCCAAGTCCTCATCATCCTCTAATAATGCACCTTCAGCAGCAGCAGAATGCACGTTCGCTCCCGTGATAGCATTGAAGCCACTCTGAATGAAATCCCCTAATCCCTTGCCTCCATGAGCAAGGCTTCTCCGCCGACTAGGGGACATCCCTCCAAGGTCGACATCTGTGAATCTCGCACCAGGGCTTGTAACACCAGACGATTCCTCGCCTTCCAGCTCCTTTCTACGTTCACGCCAGACGCCCCGTCGAAGCTCATGCACTTCTCCTTCCAAGTCCCGGACTTTCTTTTCCAGGCGTTGCCGCTCTTCGTTCTCGAGTTCGTCAACACCTTCGTCGTCGATTCCTTGTGCGTCTCGTTTACGCAACCTCTCTCTTTCTTCACGCAATCGTAGGTTCTCGTTCTCAATTCCAGCTAATTTGGCCCGAAGATCCGATGCCTCTTTCTCTGCCTTCTCCCGTTCTCGTTTTTGAGCTTGAGATCGCGCATCATGTTCCTTATGTAGGGTGGCCAATGTTGCTACCTTCTTTTCTAAAGCGTCGACCTTCTTTTGCAGTTCTTCGCTGTGCACTTTCGCTTCTTCGGTTTCTCGTTCTAAGGTTCGGAGTTTAGTTTCGGCTGATATGCGTTCACTGCCTTCTTTGACGGCTTTCTCGGTCGTGCGTTCCAGGTTCTTCTTTAAGTCCCCGAGTTCCCGTTGTGCGGTTGCAGCAGAGCGTTCACTGCGAGCGAGCTTCTCTTCCAACGCGGCAACTTGCTCTTTTTCTGAAGAACCGGCCACTAGACGGTCGAGGTGGGCGCGGAGAGTGGAGAGTTCGATTTCCATGGATTCAATGGTGGATAATTTGGAGGCGAGAGCGGCTTCGTAGTCTGCAGGTGCAGTGGTGGAGACGGAGGGTGAGGAGCCATGTCGAGAGGCTCGTGAGGTTTGGGCTTGGAGTTGTGCGTTTTGACGATGGAGAGCCGCGACTTCTCCTCTCTGAATGGTATAATTAGCAATCGTAGTAGCGGACTGCACACGAGTTCCCGTACCAGCTTTTCCAATTCCTCAGACGATCCGGAGCCTATGTCCTTTTTTGATGTGGTGTCATCCTCTGCCTCTCTCAATTCCTCCAGCTCCTCCTCAGCCTTCTTCCAACGTCTCTCCCCATCAATTGTCTCCTTAGCAAGCCGTTTGTTCTCCTTTTCCAATTCCTCAATCTTCAAGGCCTGTTTTCGGTAGATATCTGGAGCTGTGTCTCCATCTGGGGAGAATGGTGGGTAGTTGGGAGATAATGGTCCGCCTGATGAAGCTCGAAACGAGGACGACCGCATTTTGGATTGGAGAGACAACGACGGCTGTCGTTGATGTAATGTAGCACCGAGGTTTGAAACTCTCTCCTCTGAGGCCTTGCCATCATCTCCCTCTTCCACCTTGGTCCCGTCCACTTCCTGAATGGGGGGTTCGGCCTGGACAGGGCTTTCTTCACTTTTCGAAGATTCCGGGGCTGGCTCTTTCTCTTCCTTCTTTGCACCTATTTTCTTTTGTTTCTGCTTCTTCATCTGCTCGAACTACAAACGAGACGAGTCAGTACATCCACCTTGAAGTAAAAGCTTCGCTGAGTTTGGAGAGAAAGAATGCTAAGGACACGTACACGCTTCTTCGCAGCTGCCAGCTTTTCAGCCTTATCTTTTTCTTCTGCATCTGCCATGATTGCTGGTTTAAATCTGGGTCAATCTGCTAGTAATGGATGAGAAGTTGAGGTTGGCGAGGAAGTGGTCTTGGAGACAGCTTTCACATGGCCTTACTCAAGGTTAGCTCCCTTTACAGTGGTATGCAAAAACTCCCTGTTTTAGCGCGTTTTTGACGAAAAGTGGTACCTTGAAAAAATGGTACTGAATTATATTCAACCACCAATTGCTCCACCAAACCACGCCCGAATTAGGTAAGAAGTAGATTAATTTACTCCCCTGAAGTAGCTCTTGCTAATGATATAATCAGATTACGATCCACCCCCTCCTTCCCTCACCCGAATTTGTAGCTATTGAGCCTGCACATCGAGCCGAATTCTTAGCAAACCCAACTTCTCCCCTGTCTACGAACCAATTCGCCCTTTTTTTATTAATATCGATGGGCAGATATTAGTAATTTGATATCTATGATATTAGAGGAGAAGGCTGAGCTAAAATAGCTAAAGGCGATGGAAAAATCGGGTACTAGTATGGGGATTTCTCCTTATTATGAAGGCTAAAGTCTCCCTTTGGTATACTATATGGAATTCAGAAGCTAATTAGTGTTTTATATTGAATATAGGTACTTAGTAGCACCGATTGCTAATATGGTAGCCCCATTCGAAAGCCCCATTCGACAGCCCCATTCCAAAGCACTATTCCGGACATCCAAGCAGAAGACTCGATTCGACCAGATATTGCCTTTAGTACGTACCCTGAAGACGAAATTAGCTTCTACCAGGGTATAGGCAACTTACAAAAGCAGGATTATTAAGAGTTTATAAGTTCTGGGCTATTGGATGACGATTACAAGGCGATTGGGGGGTAGGGAGAATGATATTTAGAATCGAGGTTGACGAGCTGCCCCCTTGATTTCCACGTATCACTGGTTTAGGGAGGCGAGGAATGGACCAATCAGATTACAGGATTTTAGGCTCTTTTGAAGAGAGTTATTACTGGTGTTGTGGTCATTGTTTTTAGTCGAGTTTGTCTACATTTGGAGTTTTTCCCTTATACTAAATATTTTTGCAACCACGCCGTAGGATTTTTTTATATTAGAATAATTAAAAGAGCTATTTCCCACGATTCTAAATCAGCTTTCGTTTTTTTAATAGCAGTTGTGGTTATTAAGAACCGTAGTATTTTTTAATTAGTATCAATGTCGGCTCTCTAGTAAAGTAACAAGTGATTTTGGAACCACCTTTTGTAATATTAAAATCACCAGAACTTTAAGTAATATTAAGTATGGCGATTTCATTGATTTCATACTAATTCTACAGGGAAATTCCGATATCCTGAATTATAGAAATGCCCTCCAGCCTTTCTAGCCCCCGTCTAAACCTCCAAACCTCCAAATGGTATTAATTAGGTAATTTCCAAAGTTTGGATACTTCCCATAGACTTTCCTGCAATTCCCTCGCATATTAGACTTAATATTGCGAAAGCCCCCCCTAATTGGGTTCAAAATTGGGCAATAGGGAAGCAACTAATATATCCAGATTCCCCCCCTCCCCACCCCCCTCCCACTTCTGGCACATATCAAGCACCCTCTGACTCCAGTGTATACCACAGTTATCCATTATAATAATCGAAGTCTTCCCCAGCCATAAAAACACTACGGGAGTACCCTGTTTCCCATCCAAAATCGAAATTATCGTACCACTGCTCAAGGAGCTCCCGGTTCTGCACGGGTTGTGCGAGAAGATCGTAGATGGCCGCGATGCGCGCGGGCTTAGGTAAGGAGCTATAATCTGCTCTTATCATTAGCAAGAGATACTTCAGGGGAGTAAATTGATCTACTTCTCATCTAATTTGGACGTGGTTTGGTGGAGCAATTGGTGGTTGAAAATGATTTAGGTAACTTTTGGTGCACCCATTTTTAAGTGTACCGCTTTTCGTCAAAAACGCGCTAAAACAGGGAGTTTTTGCATACTACTGTAGCTAGTGCAGGGGTCCCAAGCTAAAAATACGTACGTGGTTATCAAACCACATTCAACATCTAAGCTCACCCCAACAAAAAGACCTCAGAAGCAAGTCTCACATCATTCCTGTCTCCTTGCTCGAGGATGGCAAACCCCGCTTCGAGCCAGCTGGTTCAACACCTGGCGGACCGAGCCCTCACTCCCATCGTCTCCTCTTCTCGGGCCCCCTCTGCCAACAACCACAATCCGCAGTCGCAAGCTCAAGCGCAAGCACTGGCGTCTCTCACAACAACTGCAATTACAGCCTACGATACAGCTTCCAGATTAGGTCTTGGTCTACCGCAGCGAATCATGATTGAGACGCAATCCTCGGGTCCAATCATACTCCATTCGTATCTCAATCCACCATCGGTGCAGCGAGCACCAACAGTATACGTAGATCATCACGAGGATGTACGAGGCATTGTGGAACAGGCACGGGAAGATCTGAGGCCCTTATCTGGGACTACAGACACTGAAGGCATGGGCGAACACGGAGACAACAGCGAAGTACTGGTCAATGGGGACCCTGGTGGTGCCGAGGACGCGGAGGAAAGCTCTGTCCAGCCACTGCCGATGTTGATTGCTTCAGTTGTAGCGCCCACTGCTGCAGATGCAGTATATGCAAGAAGAGCGGCCGCGAGATTAGAGCAGACTGGGAGAATTGTCCAGAGGGAATGGATAAGGGAACATGAGGGGTCACATGCGGCGGTTGCAGATGGCGAAGATGGTTGAGAAATCTTACCATGCCACCATGAAGCTTGTAAGATCGATCCTTTTGGGGGCAAAAGTCCTGAGCAGATGCTAGAGATGGTAAGGAGTGATGAAAGAGGTTTATCCTGCAGCCTCCAGATTGGCTCCAGAGACATCTGGTGATGGCTACTTCGTCAATGAACGAAGGGGAGGACGGCGCAGTGTGGAGTATTATACTCCCAGGGCTAGAGCTGGGGATACATCTGGGTAGGTATCACAAGTAGAGGGCCGGAGAAGTCACCCAATATACCGCATGCAAATGAATTGCCTCGTATGCTGCGGCCTATCAAACACAGCCGGCTGACTGCTATGTCATCTTCTTATCATGATTGTTAAGACAAACAAACCCGGCACCGAGCGGTTGGGTGCTGCACTCCGCCCCTTTACGGAGTCCGGTACACCTCACCGTCCCCAGTCCTCAGCAGGTGTAATGAAGCTATCTCGATCATCGCTTCACCGGTGCCTGCCGGCGGCCTGAGGATGGCAGTGGGGCAGGAGAGCGCGGCCTGGCCAATGTTCTTGCCTGGCCAAGGCACTTGTCGCGCGAAACACAACTGGAACCCGTTTCCTCCTCCACGGCGCGACGGTGAAGTCACGGTCGATACCGAAGGGGCTGTGCTGCAAAGCCACGATCGCTGCCGATTCGTCTCCCTTTCCCGCTCCCGCATGGCGACGAGGCCTGGACAGGGCGACATGCAACGCTTCCCGCGAGCTGCAGCCCTAAGAGACTTCTCACACCGATTCTCACAAGCTCTGATGCCCGCAGCCGCTCCCTCCTGTTCGCTGGCCCAGCCTTCGCCTGCGCTTTTGGCCCCCACATCGACCCCGCAATGAACCCCACCTGTCGGTGAAGACTGAAGATCTCCAACGAGGCGGAGCTCTGTGGCATGGCCACCAGGCGTCATGGCTGATGGCTCGACTCACGATCGGAGACCTTGCGAGGTGAACTGCTCCTTGTGCATGCGGAGTTGGAACTTCAATCTCGAGTTGATTAATATATATTCGGACCCGTGCTCAGTTGTCACGATGCTCATTTATTTTCCTGGCTGGTTGCGTTGGCGAAGGATTGTTGCTGTATCGTGCGTTCAGGAACGTCTCGTTATTGCATTTTCCGCATTTGTGTATTGTTGGAGCAAGCGCATTGCATGACCTGTTGCTATCTTTTGCAAGGCCCTTGTAAGAGGCTTGATATCGTTCCACAAGTATAGTCTTGCAATTCGTTCACCACAGTTCCGCGGTGCTGGGCAAGGAAGACTTATTGAACGAGTAAGCTGCCCATATTTTTTGTATCGTAGCCGAGCTTCCCCCTTCCTTATCTTGGATAAAAATGCCTCTTTCTTTGGGACCTGCAAATGAGATTAGCACTTCCTTGTAAAGAGTTCATTCTCAGCGTTTGTCCGTGGTTCCTTTTGGTTATTGAGACTAACTTGGGAAGAAAAACTCTACTATTGGTGAAAGCGCGACAGAATCTCAAAGGAGAAGAAGTCATCCAGAGCAAGACAAACCAGCAGGAGAGCAACTCTACTGATCTGTTACCGCCAGATCAACAACGTCCAGGACCATATCCTCGATCTTGAAAACCAAAAGAATTCCTCCGTCGTACTGTGGGCAGGCATTTTCGATGGTTGAGAATCAATGATCCAGGACAACGATTTCGCGAAGACTTCAGGCAGCTTCAATCGCTTTGGAAGGCTGATACTCGATCGCCCTCGTCTCTTGGATTCGACCTGGCCTTGGGTCAACCTTCAGGCTTCGGTTTCAGTGTTGAAGGGGGGTTCCTGCGAAATGGCCCCAGATCAGGTGTCCCGACTGCAATATCACCCACATCGACGTTATGATGCACCGAATGCCAACTACACTTACTTTGAGCCCCAAGAGTCTCGTAAGTGCACTCCATCTTTTCCTATTGGCCACGTCACTGCTGCCTAGAAACCTCATCCCCTTCCCAAGCTGGCAACAACGGTCAACGTCGTGCTTGCGGTTTCTAGTGTTCCTAGTTAGGAGGGATCGGGATGCCTTCCTGCCTTCCTGCCTTTCAAAAACTGTGCTGCTGCTCATCAAGATTGGGAGCTGGGCCGGGACAACCTCCGGGCCATCCTGGCAAGTTCAGACATTGGGCATGCACCAGCCCCTTCTTCATTGTACTAGGAGTGTGCAGACATTCACGCATCTTGGCCAGCCTTAGCTTGTCCAGGACTGACGGGTACCATAGAAATCGACGGGCCAGTCATCAAGAAAGAGTACCACGGTCAGTACTTCACGCCTACGCCGCCGCCGCCCTCAACGTGTGAGTACTCGGAGAAGGCAACGTACGCCAACGAGGCGCACCTCTTCCACGGCGTAAGGCCACCGCCGCGGCCAATGGAGGGCCGGCCTCAACAGGCAGACATGGGCCCAACACATCGCAGCCCCTCAGGTGACTCATCACCCCCCCTCCTCATTTTGGCACGTGCCAGCTCACCCCAGAGACATGTGACTGATTCCGCCTCATATTTAACAGTCATGGCTTCCCGGCCGGCGACTCAAGGCTTCCACCTGCGGGCCTCGAATCACCCAAGTACAAATGGACGACGACGTCCGAGTGCGGATGCAGCTGAGAATTGCGACCAGCTTGAACGAGGATCCAATCAGCAGATCCGCTTACTAAACTATGCTGGAAACGCCACTCGGCACAGCCACAGCCACAACCAAACCTGTCAACCTGAGATTTATTCGATCGTAAGGCACCAACAACGCGAACAAGCACTCCGTCACGACCAGACATCCGCGACGTACGAGGCCCTTCGCCACAGCAGCACAGGCCCATATCAATCTTCTATTGCTGCCTTCTCTCCTAATCACCAGGATCCTTACTTCTATCCCTATACCGCCGCGATGTCGCTGTCATACGAGACTCGAACCTTCCCCGACTACCCGCAATCCGCTATGATGCACGACCCCCACCAAGAACAAGACGACAATAGCATTCAGCATCACCGGTACCCGAGTCCCCCTCCCCCGCTGAGCGAAAACCCATACAACCCGCAAACCATGGATGCGGCGACGGCGCTGGCGATGGATGAGATGCCGGAGTTGCCACCGAAGGACGAGTCTGACGCGCCGAGTCCTGGCCGATCGAAACCTATACCAAAGCCTGATCGTGAGGTTACCAAGGGCGAGGATGGGCGCTTTGTCTGCAACTGGGCTGGGTGCACGGAGGAGATCCGTTCCTTCAACCGAAAGTGCGAGTGGTCAAAGGTAGGCACATTCCTCGAGTTAATCTATACTTATGTGAGCTAACACTTCTTCTAGCATATGGACAAGCACGATCGTCCGTATAAATGCCCGGCAGAAGGGTGTGAGAAATTGCCGGGGTTCACATACTCGGGAGGACTATTAAGACATCAACGAGAGGTACACAACCTTCATGGCGGCCCTCGAAAGCAACTCAACTGTCCGCATCCAAATTGCAAGAGATTCTCCGGCAAGGGCTTCTCTCGACAAGAAAATCTGAACGAGCACCTCCGCCGTGTGCACACCGATGCTGGAGAGATGCAGAACGAAGAAGAGACCGAGGAAGATGGAAGCGAGAGAGCGGGCATGAAGAGAAAGAGGGGTATTGTACGAGATGACGGCGGGGATCTTCGTCAGGAAATGGCAAGACTTCGAAATGAGAACGAGGAATTGAAACGCCAGAGCGAGATGCAAACTGCTCAGACGGCTTCCCTCATGCGCCAACTTCAAGAACTCCAAACTCTGGTTGGTGCGAGGCTTCAGCAAAACCAGACTCACCAATCTCACGCAGCTCCTCAAGCCCACATGATGTGAAGCCCTGGCTGGCGATACTTTTTTCCTTTTCAGTTTTGGCGCGAGCAGCATTGGTGGAGTTCGGGACTCATTGGGAGGCGTTTCATGGCATGATATCACATTTTGCTGGGCAGGTTGCTGATAATGGACTCTTCTCTATGATGGCAAAGCAACCCCGTTCTCGCTATTCTATCCTGTACTGTAGTAGACAAATAATTGTACCCCTATCTAAAACTGACGTTGAGCGCAAGCCTGAGGCAAGGTGATGTGAACCTGATTGTCCAGACATCCATCCGCCCCTGAACCTGGAAATTTCACTTCAGCCACAACCCTGTGGCAATGAAAACTTCCTCCATACTTCCTCCATACTTCCTCCATACTTCCTCCATAAGCTCTCCTTATTCTCTGCTGGTAAGCTCTACCGACCTCACCACCTTCTGGGAGAGTGTCCATCATGAGCTCAGCCTGCTTGTGCCTGGATTGCCTCAAAGGTAGCCGCAACGCGCAAGGCCAACGACAAAACCAGCCTCACGTCAAGGAGGCTTCTTCTGACTGAGAACGAATCCTTTCAGTCACGGAGGTGAGCCTATCGGTTTTACCTTCCCGGAGCTCTGCAAATCTCGACAATCTGGTCAGCCGATACCTGGACTTGAGAACTTGCTAACAATTTGGTCCACAACTAATGCAAACTTGCGTTGATCGCCTCCTTAACCTGCCTTCTTTTAAGTCTACAATGACTTGTTGGTGTTTCCCTACCGGTAACAACAAGATCTTTAATTTCTTATTCAATTATGGGTGAGAAGGGAGGCATGGCCTCAAAAACAGGCCATAATGGGCGTTCATGCGTCATTGGACGGCTATCGGCACAGAGACATGAAGTCGGATGTGTTACGGTAAAGAAAACGGCATACATCCCCACCATTTCGCTGAGAAGTCTCGCTGTGACCTTTAAAATTCCCGTCTCGTTAGAATCATCTAACGTTACCTTGACGGTAGCATCTGTCCATTCTCAAATTCACAGATCTTCATTAACTTTAGCATCATCATGGCAGAGACTGACATCCATCCTCTTCAAACGTCAGTTGCCAATGACACGAAGGTCTCATCGTATAATAAACATATAGGCTCGAAACTTGGAGACCCGGCCAGACGTCTCCTCGAAACTTACAGCAAGATTTCCTCAGACGAAATAGAAAAGCATGTCTACGCAATCGTATGCCCCCTTCCCCCCTTTTCATCGGCACGCTCACGGAAATGTACAGCGAGATGAGGCATGGAAAGTCTGGCTATATCCGTGTATTGGCCAGTTCCGCTTCCTCGACCTTTCCATCAGCCAGTCTCCCCACTATCCAGCCATCCTTTGAGCGCCTTAAGAAGGGCGATCAAAACTTCCTCGATCTAGGGTGCTGCTTCGGACAAGATCTCTGCTGATGGAGCCCCATCTGAGCATCTCTACGGAAGTGATCTCCGCCCAGAGTTCTTCGAGCTGGGATACAAATTATTCAGAGATGAGGACACGCTTCAGAGCAACTTTATTGTCGGAGATGTATTTGATCCTTCGCCGCCATTGTCCGCGCTGGATGGGAAGATTGATATCATATACGCTGCGTCCTTCCTCCGCTTGTTTGGATATGAAGACCAGATCAGGGTTTGCAAGCGAATTGTCAATCTGCTGAAGGAGAAGAAGGATTCGGTGGTACTGGGAAGGCAGGTTGGAAATGCCAATGCGGGGGAACGGCCTCGGAGGAACGGCCCGACTAAGGCGAGACGGAGACATAATGAAGAGAGCTTTAAGAAGATGTGGGAGGAGGTTGGGAATTTGACTGAGAGCAGGTGGAGGGTAGAGGTTTCCTCAGAACCCTGGGCTGGAGAGAGTGAAGATGGGTCACGGAGCTGGAATGATCCGACCATGCTTCGATTGAGGTTTGCGATTTTCAGGGAAGCATGAAATTTCCAGCTTCCTTCGTGCAATTGTTCCCGGAAGTTTTAGGTACAAGTCACAGTGTTTGTAAACATTTCTATTATTGTGAGACACAGAACGAACAGAATATCTAGAACACAAGACTTCGAAGTCGCCAGCATTCTGTTTCACACATCTTCACCTCTCATTCGAGCTTCATTTTTCGTCTCATTTTGACCTCGTCTCGTCCCACCTTCTCCTTTCATCTCACCTTATCATCTCCTGTCATCTCGCCTCATCTACTCACATCGCCTTCTCATCTCGTCGCTTCTTCCACTTTCATCCCATCTTCACCTCTCATTTCTTCCGAGATACTCTCAATCATAACCCTCACATTCTCAACCACCATCTCCACCACACCCCTCTCCACAACCCCCTCCTGCCAACAAAACCCAAGCGTCAAGCACCCATCCGCTCCTGTCACAATCCCAGCAGCAATAGCACTACCGCTCACAAATGCACTCCTACTAAACACTACTTTGCCCATCTTCCAAGTCTCTTTCTCCTCTGGTTCAATCTTCATAATGCCTAGATTACTCACATCAAACGAAGTCCCTCTCTCCTTCCCCACTCTCCCCAAGAAAAAAGCCCGCATATCCCTAATCTGCTTGAATTTCGCAACGTTTATCTTTTCTCCGTTGGTTTTGAGATAATCGTTTATTAATCCTCGAGAGCGCTGGGCTTCGAGCCAAGGGAAATGTGCCTCCGGGGTGCGGTCGTAGTAGGCCGAGAAGGCATCGAGATAGACTCCTATTACGCTCTCGTTGACGGGTTCGGGGAGAAAGCGGCGGAGGGACACGGGGATCGTGCATTCCAGTGAGTTGAACGTGTCGGGCAAGATAGAGAAGAGGGCAGAGGCGATGAGCACAGGGAGGGTGGAGGTCAAGGTTGTGCCGTGCAGTTTGCAAGCTTGCAGCAGGTGGTTTGTATTTTTGGCAGAGAAGGTCAGGGAGTGGAAGTTGCTTCGGGTTGGTGGGATGATGTTGGAGCCTGACCAGAGATTGGTTGGATTGGGCGACGTAGAAACAGGCGGTGTTGCGAAAGGAAGGAGAGCCTCGAGGTTGGGAAGCAGGGGTGTGTTGGCTGGGAGGACGATGGCGCTTGTCAGGGGAGGAGGATTTGAGGAGAGGGCTGCGACAAAATCACGGTGGAATACCATCCCCGACGCCCCGTCACCAAGTGAGTGATGGAAGATGAATGATGCTACGAATTCTTTCTCTGTTTCTGGGGACGTCACGATAAGCAGTCGCCAGTACGGGAGAGTTCCGTGGCCCTCCTTGAACGGCGTATTGTGCTGGGTCTCCAGAATATTGTCAAGCTCAACATCTCTACCGCTTGCGGCCACCGGCTCTTGCCTAGTCACGAAAGTCACAGCATCCTCGAGGTTGATTTCAGGGAGTCTAGCAAAGTATGGTTCATTCGAGTCTTCATCCAAAACAATGGCTGAAAGGGCTGGATGGCGATGAATGACTATTGCCAACGCACAGAAAATTGTTGCCTTGAGATCTGCTAATCTCAAGGTTGGGCATACATAGGCAGCTGAAAGGCCAACATTGTTGTAGAAGCCTAGGTGGTGGCGTGCCGAGGAGAACTGTTCCAAGGCTCCTTTAAAGGAGTTAGCCGAAGTGGTCTCAGGGTGAGGCATGCGGTAAGGACATTGAGGGGGGTGGTGACTACTCACCGAGAGGCCGAAGTTTCTGGAGCTGCATGATGTTTGTGGATGGCATGGACATTTTGGAGATGGTGGATTCAGCACAGTTGTGAATGATGTTCAAGTAGGAGGTGGTTTGAAGACACGTCAAGCAGAAGGAGTCCTCAAGATCCAAATAGCACTTGAATTTTAAGAGCTCTAAAGGTCTCAATGTCTAATGTGAATTTCAAAAATTCGTAACGTGAGCGAGAAGAATGGAAAAGAACGAAAGATATTTGATCCCTTCTCGTCTACTCGATATATATTGCAGGCTGCAGAGGGAGGGGGGTAGGGGGATACAAGAAAACTCGATTTGAACCTGAGGACTTTGGATGAGGACAGAAGCAAGTCAAGTGAACGAGATTCCGTGCCCGACCTAAGGCAACCTATATATTGACTTGGTTTGACTTTTCGTTGTGCATTCGGGTGCTTGCATACTGCATAGCCTACTGCATGCAGCGTGAGTCATGGCGACCCCCACCCCTGAGAGCTTGCCGAGGAAAATGCTGAGTAGGGCTCGGCTAGAGCACTTGATGACTGGGGAGATATAATAGTACCATGCTGCCGTGAAACATCGTTGGTGCATGGTACCATTCTGTGCAGGAGTGTCCTTACCCTTCCCCTCCCCCCCTCGATGCAGATCAGGGCCATTCCAAACTGGAATTCAGAACTAACCACATCCGAGAGAATCTGGGTGGGGTAGCAGAGTGTGATATCGCGTTTCAACCACAAACGACTCAAACACAGGTTCAGGCGAATTATTTTGCGGGGTGACACGGCTCCAAATCCAGGAGCAACCCCGATTAGACATGCTATTAATAGGAAAGTTGGAGCATTACCCAAAATCAGAAGAGAGGCAGAAACCATTCAGGATAGCGCTGGAAGGGAAGACGTTACTTGCTGGCACTCTCAGATAAATTCGACTCGCTCCTTGCTGTCTTCACTCACGCCCATCCACTGGGCTTCATCATATCTTCCCCAATGGCCTCGATTCTCTCGTAACCCGTAAGTCTGCTGAGACACTATAAAATAAAATTAATTCTATGCATCGGGAGTGCCTGATGTGGCCGGAGCTACGTGCACCATCCTGCATGCAAGTCTTCGCCCAGGATGAGGATTGCGTCACCAGGAACAGACATGTATCTGTGGGGTTCAAATTGGCGAATCTATTTCGATTCTCCAACGTTTAAGGTTACTCTTCAGACGGTAGATTGTCTGCTCACTAATCGACCTGGCCGTACGCGGCTGATCTTCTTTCGATGAAGCATTTGGGACTGGTGGTTGAGATACCGTAGCAGGATTGCGAACAGCCTTGGCAGCCAGGGTTTCACAGATTGGCAACGATGAAGGACGCGCGTTGACTCGTCCAATTTTGGAAATGTGAAGTTGATGATGAGGCTGCTGAAGAAGCTCCCGCCCCAGATACCTCGGCTCGAGCCGAGACTCTGTTCCGTGCCCTATCCCCTCCTACAGAGTACGAGAGACTCGGGTTGAGCGAGACACTATGCCGTGCCCCTATTCCCCTCCTCCGGCGCTTCCGTCCCGTTGTAAGGGTATCTGCTGTCTTGAACAGTGACCGCAGGTTCAAGCCGCACACCACAGTTGAGCTTGGAACGAGCAACAAACCGTTTCTTTCCCAGCGCTTTCTCCCTCCCTCTGTCTCTCCTCTGTTCGCCAACCAATCGATGATGCCGAATGGCGAGTATCTCCGCCGTTTTGCCTGCAACTGCCGCGTACAGTACTACTGACGGCTGCCGGCTCGCGGCTGTTGTTCTAACTTCTCACGCTGATGCTGATGCTTGTGCAGGGCGGCCGGCGACTCTGCAAGGAATCGAGGGAAGTGAGTTCTTCCGATCCCGGACAGCCACGCCAACACCCACGCCGATGCCCACGCCGACGCTCACGCCCTCGCCTCACTCTCATGCTCACGGTCTCGTGTGAGGCAACCCCTGCTGCAAGAGCTGTCAGTGGTCTCCGTGCCATGGGTCCCTTGCCCCTGCAACGAGGAGAACAAGGAGAACTCCGATCCGCAAGCCTTTCAACCCACTACCCACACGCGTCTTGCACCCTCATCTTTAAATCAACGTGGGACTTGACCGGCACTCCAAGTGCACCAGCAATTGCCATCCCATATTGTGCGGCTCTCCCATCAGTGTGTCCAGCACCCGAGCCCATAAGCCCCCGCGAGACCTGATGGATCTCTAAACTGTCCCCGCTTGCCGCGTTACAAAATGGCAGCTCCCACGCCCACAGAGAAGGAGGAAACCCAATCCCCATACCCAGTCGCAGAACCCGAGCCTGGAAAGAGTAATCCTTTTGCTTGCAATGTTTGCAAACGGAACTACAGTCGAGTCGATCACTTAGCCAGGTACGCTGCTGCCAAGGATTCCTCCGTAGCGCTTTACGTTGACTGCTCTAGGCATTACCGATCTCGTCCGTTTCACAACTTGCTCTTTTTTACAATCTCACTGACTATTTTAATGACAGATACACGTGAGAAACCATTCATTTGCCAGACTTGCAGCAAGGCTTTCGCTCGAGCGTAAGTCTTCATACTTTTGGTCATAGCAAGTACTTATTAATAGCTCACAAACTCAACCAGAGATCTCCTGAAACGACACTCTGCAAGTCACAGTGACAAAAGGGATGCAAAAAGACCTCAGAACTCCTCGCCACAGTTAGCAAGAGTTGCCCAGGCTTGCGTAGCATGTGCAAGTTCAAAGCTCAAATGCGGCAATGAGAGACCCTGCCACCGGTGTCAAGTGAAGGGAACAGAGTGCATCTTCCCATCAATGGCGGAAAAGCCTAGAGGTTTCTTACAAAAGTCAAGCACTATGAAGAGTAAGTATTCGAATTGGTAGCAGGAACTTCTTTGAACTAATTCGGGGTTCAAAATAGCAGAGCAAATTGTTGACATTGACACTCTTGAGGGGGCAGCGACTTTGTCTTCAATGGATGGCCACCGCCGAATCATCCAATTTCAAGATGTTCCTTATCAGAGCATACTACAACCCACTCCTTCGGGGAGCGAATTCTCACAGGACTCGAAAGGTAAAGCCATAGAGTCGAATCCCGTGGATTCCATGAACCATGCAATGTTAGACATTGATGATTCGTCTCTCGCGGATTTTCTTAGCAATGTCATGATGCCTACTTCGCCCAACTCCTTGGCAGCGGCTGCCCCTCACTCTCTGGACCTCATACATCAGAGCTACTACACTGGACGGGACGTTTTCAACTTTGGAATGGACTCAAGTCTGGATTTCAATGAGATCGATTTCGGATGGATCACCTCAAACGCAAGGCAGCCGGTATGGAACTACGGCGCTGCCCCTGAACCCGAACGAGCACTCCCTTTGCGTGAAGCTCGGGCGCCGGATGTGAGTAGTGGCATAAGCGCTGGAGCGGAAGCCTTTCAAAAGTCGATCTGGCGATGGCAACCTGCCCAACAAGACCATGCTCATGCCGAGCAAGTCAATCTTTCATTGCCGTGCAAAGACATGCAAACCCTAGAACCCCGGCATGGCCCTGACGTACTTGATCAAACCTTGGAACAAACTTCTCGAGACAAAATCTTAGCGATGCTCCTGAGCGGCTGCAAACCATCGAATATATCACGTGTCGTTGCATCATTTCCGTCTGCAGAACTATTGGACTCGCTCATGCACTCCTTCTTCCGATCCGAAGTCCATAGGACCGATTCCTGGATCCACTTGCCTACTTTTAGTGTTCAGAGTCAAAGACCCGAACTTAATGGCATTGTTGTGGCAGCAGGCGCAGTTCTCTCAGGTGTTCCCGCATTAAGGAAATTGGGCTTTGCCATACAGGAAGCTGTACGGTCGGCGATCCCAAAAATTGTAAGTACCTATTACCTCTTCCCAAGCTTGCGATTAACAAGTCTTGCCTTTAGTGCGAAATGGACAATAGCACTACCAGGGAGTTGCAAATTAACCAAGCCTTCGCTTTGGAATTGAATATTGGACTGTGGAGTGGCAATAAGCGGAAGCTGGAAATCACTGAAAGCAACTCGCAACCTTTGGTAACCATGCTCAGACGTGCAGGCCACTACCGACGGAAAGCACCCACGGAACCTCCTTTACTTGAGGACGGGCCAGAGGATCTCGAAAGAAAGTGGCGAGATTGGGTTGAGGCTGAGTCCTTTAAGAGGCTGGCCTTCCATACGTTAATTCACGACGCACAGGCATCAATCTGCCTACTAACTCGCCCTCTGGTATCTTACGCCGAGATGTCACTAGAACTACCCTATTCTTTAGCACTTTGGCGTGCCAAGACTGCAGTGGAATGGCGGGACGTATACTTGAGGAAACTGCCAAACATTTCAAATAGGCTTCCATCCCTTATGCATTGCATCCACGACATTGAGCCCGTGAGCATGGTCCAGGATTGCATTGACCTACAGTTCTCTATCCTGGTTATCCTTCACGGGATATGGAGTCTTGTTTCCGAATATCGTCAACTAGAATTTGTTCTAAAGATCCAACCACCACAAGTGGGACAGGGGAGCGGAAACTCGATCACCAAAACCTGGCACTGGGAGCTTTGTCAAATACTAAATCGCTTTAGCATGACGGTTTCTGGATTTGACAGTGGCATACCCCAAGAAGCTCGCATTCTCCACGAGCTATTCATGATGAATCTCCATGTCAGTTTCGAGGAATTGCAGCTCTTCGCAGGCAAGGAAGGATCGGAAGAGGCACACCGAGTCTACCCGCTTCTCCAGAAATGGTTTGACAGTGGGCTATCTCGAAAGGCCATCTTCTACGCTGGACAGATTCTGCGGGCTGCAGATTTGTTCCCGTCAAGCCAATTGCGAGATTTCTATGCTGTGGCTCTCTACCACTCGGCTCTGTGCTTCTGGGTCTATGGAATATGCTCGATGGGTTCTAGTCCCTCGGATCAGATGCAGGACCATCATATGGGCGGCGAGATCGAGGAACCGGTCTGGCTTGACGGGGAAGAGACAGCTAATACTAGACGTTTTTTTGCTACGTCCCGTGGGATTCCGATGATCAGGGCATCGTCGAGACTTGGTGAGGAAAGTGGTGCGTGTCGAGTTGATGATCCGAAGGCGGTCATGGAGACTATCACTTATATTATGGGTAGGAATTGCAGTTCTGGGAGTAGCGTGTTGCCTCCTTTGGTTGAGAATTTGGGCCAACTTATGACAGATCTGGGAAATGCGGCGTGGATTGTTAGTAATCAATCATCCAGGGGGGTGCTAGGTTCTGATTGATACCCAACGATATTGTTGAATTAAACCATACAAAGTGGTCGGATATTTCGATTATTGTCCGCGATAGGTGTGGTACACTCAAGATTCGAGATTCCGGAATGTTCTCCTATATCTTGAAATATTCAACTTCCCCCACCCACCTTCCAAATGTGCCGCAAGCTGTGGTATATTTGATTTTCTAAATCATTCTTACTCGAGCATTCTCAAATACCAAGGAGGTGAATGTACGCAAATCCGGTGGAAGCCAATGTGGGCATGGTTGCTGGTGAGCTGCACTTGTCTACGATTGTAGAAGTTGAAGATTTTTCAAGATCAACTGTCTTGAGAGCATATTGAGAAACTCTGCGTGAGTGAATGCCATCTTCTATCGTGAATAATCTCGAAGCAAATTCATAAGGAAATTTTCTCATTCATTCAAGCTCCAAAAGAATAAAGTTTATAAGCTAGCCGTATGGCAATATTATATTGACAAACCTGCATCAAGTACCGAGTTTGTCCCAGTCGTTGAGGAGCTGTTGGCAAGACAAAGAATCTGCTGGGCCACATCCTGAAAGGATAAATCTTAGCTCCTGTTACGGGAAGATTAATGGAACATAGACCTACCTCAACAGTAGCAATCCTTTTCAAGGGGCTCCTTGCTGTCACACTGTCGATTTTTGATTGCGGGAACTGCTTGCCCCAATCCTGTTATGGGAGTTAATAAATAGAACATGATCTCGAGGCAACGATCCTTACAGTCATGAGAACTCCCGGTGACACGGAATTGACACGAATCGGGCCAGAGATCAGAGCGAGTGATTTGACGAGGTGGATTTGCGCAGCTTTTGTCACAGAGTACGCCTGGTCAAAGTCAACTCACACAATTCGAAAGCAGCAATGAAAGAGGCAGGGGGCTCCTCGTACCACGGAACTTCCGCTCGGTTTGACGCCGGCCAAAGACGCAACTGTAATAAAAGAGCCACCCGACTTCTCCAAGTGCTTCCTCGCTGCATGAAACAGGAACAGATGACTTTTGACATTCATATTGAAACATCGATCCCAATCGCTCTCGTCAACATTCTCGTCCAAATTAGAGAAGTTTCTTATCCTCGTCCAGCCATGATTCGAGACGACGAGGTCAAGTCGTCCCATGGCAGCAACGCTCTCATCAACTAGTCGGATGAGCTCTGATTTTTGAGAGACATCCGCTTTGATGGTAATGAAACGTGGGAGTTGGGCTTTCTCTTCCGTAGACTTCTTGGAGTCGAGTTGCTCTAACTCTTTGACAAGACTGTCTGCCCTTTCTGGACTGGAGAAATAGTTGACGACAACACGGACGCCACTGGATGCCAGAGCTTTAGCCGTTGCCGCTCCAAGTCCAGCTGAGGAAGCTGTGACGAGAGCTACGGAGTGGTGAGATAAGCAAGGAGACATATTGAGGAATCCAGAAGGGGCAGTGGATGCTGAACAAGAGACGAAATTAGGTGGCTTTTAATTGATTTATCGCCGTGAAGACTGGATGAGAAGGAGAACATGATCACTGTGCATTCCCGAAGAGCCGTTGTGGAGCCGAAAGTGGGGGCGGGGTATGGGTAGCTGCTGCCCCTATTCTTCCCAAGTAACAAAAAGGAAGTGAATTTTCAGGGGCGGCCATCGTTTTCTCCACGACTCAATATCCCGCCGCAAGTCTATGCGTTGTTTTCCTGGATACGAGAATGTATCAACAAAGCCTTGAATAATCTCCCCATTTGACTTGTCCATGAAAAGCAAACAACTTTTATATTGAGACCAAATGTCAGGGAGCAGTAACACCCGCATGAAAATGTAGTTGAAAGAAATCGCTAAGGTGAGTCCTTCATTTTCATCCGACACCCTCCGTTTTCATAATATGTTTCCCGTTCTTATCTCATGTTTCCAGTTCTCGTCTCAAACCTCATCGTTTGACTCGTCTCTCTGGTTCTGCTTTATAACACCTAACCTCCTTAGCGTGCCAATGAAAATTGTCCTATTAATGACACTTCTTTGACTATTAATCCATCCGTTGAGCTTCTATTCCCTAGTGCGGCAGGGAAAGGTATGTTGCTGAGGTCCTTCCAAACCTCCACCTTGGATCCCTCTCTAGTAAAGTGCGGGCTGATGTGATCAGCCCGCTCTTTCCAAACTCTTCAGTATACCTCGACAGAATCCACACCACCACTTCGTCTTCCTCAGAGACTCGCTACTCCAACAGTCTGGAAAGATTTTGAAATCCAACTCACGCCACTCTCTAAGATGTTCCTGCAAACGGTAGCTTTCTCAGCCTGGTATCACTCAATTCTAATAGCCGGCTTGTTAAATCACGAGAATGAGTTGTGCAATTGGGCAAGATGGTCGACATTTAAGGTCGAAACGCAGAGCTGAACGGGACATGGATCCGAGGAGAGCGTGTCTGAGACGTGAAGGAGATACGTATGGATGATGGGAGACTTGTGGATTTTTTCTTCGTGTTGAATCCGGTCTAAATTTCTCCTGGAACTCTTCTCTTTATACCCGCAGGTACAAAAGTGGAGGTTGCTAAGTATGTTGACCCGATAGATCTCCGTCTCCTCGCCCGTTGGAGGCCACAGCGATGATGCACTGGAGGGGGTCCCCTTACTGGAGGAGTAGATGGACGATCGAAGTGTTCGGATCGACAAAGCCTGTCTTGACAATGGCAATATTGGATCATTGTCAGTTCTTTGAGTGGACAAAGAGTTGTTCCTCGATGTGGAGATCAAGGATGGCGATCTGAGAAATGGCTGGTTGGATGAGGGTTGTTGCAGCGAAGGTAGATATGCGAAAGATGGATGGAGGGCTAAGATGTGTTCCTGAGTTTTTCTGGTGGCTAGGGTGCTGATCCTCGACGCTGAAGACCGCCTTTGCAGAGACCTTCCGCCATGCCTTTGGGCGATTAATTTAGATTTGGAGGTAATACCTCGGTATTTAGATGCATGGAGGCGATACACACTTTCATCTAGGAACTTTCATCACTTGCTACAGCATCATCGGGGATTTTCGATAGATTAAGGAACTGCTTACAATACGGTATTCGAGGACCCTCATGCGTCTTCAGATATGAAGTAATCTGCTTCATGTCATCTACACTCACCGAGCGTGATAAATGGTTGACCTCTCTCATAAGTACTTTCCGACCACGTTGAACTCTTGGTCTCGTGCTTTGATTACGAGAAACTGAATTGAGCCAATCGTCCTTTTCACCACCTTGAGTATCAGTCAATTCAACCGGCGATTGGGGAATGTCCTCTTCAGCTCCAAGGATGCGGCTTCCATCAGACAACGAGTCAAATTGCTCCTCACCTGTCTCTTTGGTGATCTTGATGACGTCGGATTGTATGGCTGTTTGATGTTTTCCAATGTCATGGGATGAAGACAAAATCTTGGGTCGTCCACGAGGAGTTTCACTTCGTAGAGGTCCACCTGGAAGGTAGGTGGTGATCAATTGCTGGGGTACCCATCGTGTGAGATCAAACTTTCAATTTTCTAAGCTAATTTTAAGATTCGGTAGATAGCGTATTGGGGTTTCAACCCCGATTTTTTTGGTAGGCCACCGACCGAGTTCGAAGCATCAAGGTCATTTGGAGAGCGTTGAATACTAGTTGCCCTATTCAGAACAAAAAAGGGGTGAGGCGGGCCAGTCCATCATCTTCAAAGGATTTATAACTCAAGTATGAAGTTGACGGAGAAATAGGGGTTGTTGGCAGAGCATTGAAGAAGAAGAGTTTTCCGTGCCAGGATCTTCCTGTTTTCCTCGGTGTCAGGAAGACAATGGCATATCGCGTGAGACACTGCACCGGCTGTAGATCTGTTCCTGGGGCAAAATAACAGTGGGTCATGAGAATAGTTGGTGCAGATGCTAGGACAAGGCTCTTTTCGATAGCCATACTGGCATGTGCGGTGACAACCCGTGAATATGGAGACTCCATTTGATGCCCCATGGCGAGGGGTCGACTACATCACAAATTGGTAATCTGGGGTAATCAGGGACCGTAAGTGACACGGGGCCATGGACGATACTCTATAGATGGTAGCAGAGCCATGATCCCGTAAGTGAAATTTCCCATCCGAAGTCATGCACTGAAGACTAAATGGAAGGAAATGCGGCACAAGGAGTCCCAAAAAATAAATTGACAGGAGATTAGATGAACCTATACGGAGTGTATCAGTCGGCCGACAGCAATCTCGACTGTCTCATCTGAGACTAAACTTGCTTCAATATTTTGGTTGGTGAATTTGCAAGGCTTGCCGATGGCGTTAATATGCCCGATTCGCTGGCTGTTTCTTGCAAGCAAAAGGTCCGCATGAAGGTAATCAGCGAAATCCTTCAAGTATATAACCTGTCCACTGTCGTCTGTAGATCACTAAATAAAAGTTGTGGCCGAGTTACTACGTGGGGTGGAAGGTGATGCTATTGTTGGCGAGGTTTGGCCTTGCAGTAAGGTAGCAATCGTCTCAAATGAAGGGAACTTGGCGGGTGGATTCAGGGGCTCGCTAGTGAAGCGACCGAGCCGACTTGGCACCGTACCCCTGAAGTATTTTGTCCCAATTGAAAGGCACGAAACAATGAATCTTATCACCTACCGCTCAGAAGAGCTCCCGGGCGCCTCGGGAATGAACCATCGCCCCCGGTCTTTCAAATAGAGACTCGTACCCACTGTGCAGCGCCACGAACACGTCTGGCATCCCGAATCGCTAGACTCTCTGACTTGACTAATTTTCGTCTTAGAATTGAGATCTCATCTCCAACCATATGAAAATCAGTCTTTCTTTGCAATAATGTAAAGCCTCACCTGTGCATACGCAACCGCACAACAATAATCAGATGATATTCTGACTTATTTCAATCCCCTGAATACCGGCTTGGCGCCGAAGGATTATTCGTCTCCCTCGGCCCGATGCAGCACCCGAAACCCGCGTCGCTTTCGAAAAGATCGATTTTACCCTGGCGACGAGTTTCTCCACTGCATCAATATCAGTGTCTGTGGCATTGGCAAAAGGCGAGGAAAATTATTCACTCAATGTCGAACATAAGTTGATATTGACTTTTCCTCAAGATCTCGGACGAAAGACGACTTGAGACAAAAGTAGAGGCAGAGTATTCACACTCGAAGCCAAGGACAATCTGAATGGCCCAAAAAGACTTCAAACATTGAGTCGATGTGCAACAATCGATAAATAGATTCATTTCACAGCTCAACTAGAAGGCCATCGATGTACCTAAAACTTTTGGGACATTGCGTGTTAACATCCAATCCGGCTGGAGCTGAGCCAACTTGGCCCTGCCTGCCTACTCAAGAAGAAAGAATCACGGGTTGCGGTCCGGTCATAGAAATGAATGCACTTAGATTTTATGTCTGACTTCTATATATCACCAGCGCCAAGATGCCTACCACGAGATCTATCTATACAACAAGGCCTTGCGAAGCCCCTTCGCCTCGATCGGAATTCCCTCCTAGAGCACCATAGACCCTGAGAGGGACAGATACCTCGAAACTTTCGCAGTCCAGGGCTTCTGCTGATGCGAGAACCACACCTCGATCGTCCCTTGAGACTTCTTCTAAAAGGTCTGCATACCCTAAGGCTGACTCACTTTCTCCAAGCAGACGTGGAGTAACAAATTCTATCCGCACGCGCCAATCTAGACTGACGCCGCTTGTTATAAACTCCGGAGTGGCTGAGACTGGTATCGTGGGGGAGAAAACAACTCGTCTTGCGAAAAGAGTTGATTCTGAAAGGGAGACATGGACCTTACGCGTGACCCGAAGAATGCTGGCCTCAGATCGCAGCGCAATTGTGTGGTCCACCTTCTCCGATGTTTCAAGGGCTGCGTGTATTGCATAGCAGGGAATTTCAGCGTCTGTGAAGTCGATGGCTGCAGTGACGGTCTCGCCCAGCCTATACGCTGGTCTGGCAAGCATGACCACAGCTACTCTCTTCCCACTGCGAGCGATTTCAAATCTATTTGCGCTTTGCTGAGCTTCTGTTGTGACGTTGCTCCTCAGAATTGCCATATCGATGGCTTCTTTTGCTGTTACGGGCTCTTCGATCGATGAATGCCGCCGAAGTGACCTCGGGGCATCCGTGGGAGAAAGTAACCCCAGACTAGAATTTTGTCGTGGTTTTGTAAGTAATTCATCAACGTATGACAGAAAGTCCTCCAATGTCGATTCATTTGACTTAGGAGTAGTCTTAACCTCCAGCTCTTTAGATGCTCCCAGATTCTCGATGCTTTCCACGGCTTTCACACGAGCCTGATCGCGAAGGATGACGTACGGAGCCATCAGATCATGTCCAAGAAGCTCACCATGAGTGTTGACGCTCCCTAAAACTCGGAAGGGTACTTCCACCGACTTCACTTGCTGCTCTTTAGCACCTCCCGGTCTCTGTGTCCCAATCACTAACTTGTATGAGATTTTGATGGCCTTGCCACGATGAGTTGGAGGCAAACCCCGCGGCAACTTGAAGGAGTATCTGTAGATCCTGCTTTCCCCGGGAGCAAGCCGAAGATCGACAAACAAGATGGATTGCGGGGTTGACAGAAGCGGGATCGACCTCGAGCCAGCAATTCCTCGCATCTCTTTTATGCTGCTGAGCTCGCCGCCGCCGAGGAAACCACCAAGGGAGTCTCCAAGATTCCCCCATCCAAAACCCCGCAGGAGTCCACTATCTCGTTTACTCGTTTCCACTCCGATCACTCCACCACCTTGGCCTCCAACAGCACCCTTCCGCTTCACCTCCTCGAATGGTGCTTGGCTGATTAACGAGCCATCTAGAGTGAAAGATCCATGTATTTGTGCGTATCCCATCATCAAGGTCTCCGGTTGTCGGTGATTCATTGGAGCAAAATTCGAACCTCGTCTCGAGTGGCCCGCATATGAAGGCATTCGACCAGATGCCTGGGGTAAATACTCCGAGGCTAGGGTCTCCGTGGAGTTGTTGCTAAGTGAGTAAAACTCTCCACTGCTTCTAGGTGTTCCTACTACACTGGACGGTGAAAGTACTCTTGCCGCGGGAGCAGAAGGGTGTTCCGTTATGGCAGGAATTGGTTCCTTCGACCGTGGTGAAAGTAACCGAACGTTATCTTCGACATTGTGCGATCCTCCTGCACCATTGAATTGATCCACAGGTCTTGCATCTGCAGGAGGAGAAACCGCTGGGAATTTGAAGTGCTGTGGAAGGGCTGATGTTGATCCTTTCCGTCTCGTGAAAGGGCCTCCTGAGATATCTGGGGTCGACGCGGCGGTCCCGGCTTTACGCCTCGGGTGCTGCTCTGGTGCAGTTGAATCAGCATCTTGAGGAGAGAACGAGGAAACCAACGGCGAAGGCTGAGTAGTAGATCGCTGATTTATCGGCGCTGCAAAAGTCTATTAGCAGCAGCTCTGCCACCAAAGTAGGGTCTCATCTACCAGACGTAGGTCCTCCATTGACGCCATATCTTCGAGGAACTATCTGCAGACTTGCAGAACGGCCGTGTCCCCTAGATAGTCGACGGGGTCTCTCTGGCAAGCTTCCATGGCTCTTCTGATCGTCGAACCCTCCTTCACTGGCTCCGATAGATATAATGGATACGGATCGTTTATGCGTGCCACCATCTTTGGACGCTTTCGGGGGCTCTCCGTTCCAAGATCCCGGCGCAGACTGCACTGGCGCAGTGCCCACTGGCGCAGATAACGAAAGGGCTGTTCGATGGCCCCTATTCGGCGGGGAAGGTCGAGGACTCAGGGTAGAGTTCATCTTGATTTGTGCAGTTGGGGCCTTCCTCTGCCTTTCCCCCCCCGATGCGAACCCATTGGCTGCTGATGGATGTAGCGATGCCTTCGATGGTGCAGGAACAGTGGCAACATTCTTAAACGTGATCTGGCACTCGACTTCCTCGCCGGCAAAGACCGTCTGCTCTGTCCATTGCACGAAGACTCTTATATTGGTCAATGGTGTCGACATGTCGGTGATATGGCGACTGAAGCTCCTTCTGCTCGAAGGAGAGATGTGCTGCTGGTCATGGATGCAGCATCAATAAAGCCAGATAGCGTCTGTCTGCCGGCATAATGAACTCTGTCGTCGTGAGCTCCAGGTGCGTTATTCGGTTCCTGTACTTTCAAAACTCCTGGCCCAAGTGAGATCCAGTCGGGTGGGGCCTTAGGCTCCTGGATTTACTCGTCAAGGTTAAAGTTCGCTAGCCAACGGCAGGTGCGAAAGTAAACAAGCGCTCGCCTTCAAGCATCGCCACGACTTCAACTCTTGCTTGATCTTCGACCCGTCCACACCCAAACTCTGAACGAAGCCAACTCTTTCCCTGTGTTGAAGGCAATCGAAGTCTTGCAAGCCCAATTGGGGTCCTAGTCGTACGCGAATCCCCCTGAGGATTATTATTGCCCTGCTAACGCGTGGAATGTAGAAAAGCCTAAACAAATTGCTTGTTTTCTATTTCCAAAGCCACGATGACTTCCTTCATCACAACTGTGTTAGTCTTTAAATTTTTCCCCAATGGCTTTTACTATTCTGCACTTCTTGAGTCCTCGTGCTCCCAAAGCCCTGCCTCCCGTTTGCACCCTCGCTCAATCCGTTTCGTCCGTGACGGTTTCGGTGAGGGCCGAAAAGGGTCCTTTTATTCAGGTCCCTGAAGCAACATATGTATCACCTTACTCACAGAAGTCTATGGATAGTAACCAGCGGACGAAGAATCAGTTCAGACCGCGAAACGCCACGAAGGGCACCACGAGCTACCAACTGCGACAATATGCCGAGGCTACACTGGGCGGGGGTAGTCTGCGAAAGATTGTAAAGCTTCCAGAGGGCGAAGACGAGAATGAATGGCTGGCGGTCAATAGTAAGAAGTTTGATTGTCGTGGGGAATGCACAAGCTTACCTCGATTCAGTGGTGGACTTCTACAATCATATCAACCTTCTTTACGGATCGATCACCGAATTCTGCTCCCCACAATCATGTCCCGAGATGAAGGCCACAGACGAGTATGCAAAACTCTCTTTGTGCACGCAAACTTGATCTAATTTTCCCCACAGATTCGAGTACCTTTGGCAGGATTCAGAAAACTACAAAAGACCTACCAAAATGCCCGCACCGACATACATCGAACATTTGATGGGATGGGTCCAAAACAATATTGACAATGAGGCTGTGTTCCCCAGCAGAATTGGTGCGTGGAAAGGAGGCTCGAACTAAGAATTTCTTCTAACATTCTCAGGTGTTCCCTTCCCCAAGTCGTTTCCCAGCATGATTCGACAAGTGTTCAAGCGCATGTATCGTGTATACGCCCATATTTATTGCCATCACTACCCGGTCATTCGAGAACTTGGCCTCGAGGCTCACCTTAATACCAGCTTTAAGCACTACGTTCTGTTCATCGATGAGCACAACCTTGCTAGTGGAAAGGACTTCTGGGGACCATTGGGAGACCTTGTCGACAGTATGCTCAGAAGTGACTGATTATTGAATTGATGAAGGGACGAGGCAGATATGAGCATGATCACAGCGTTGGCGTCACAATCGGATGCTTTTGGGAATGGGTCTTTCACGGGATGTGCTGCTACAAGGCGGCCGGAGAATGGTTATGACGTTAAAGTGCACCTATATTGAAGCCAAGCTTCAGCAGCTGAACATGAATTCTTTAAGAAATTCCTTTCTGTCCCAGCGTTTCCTAGTGAAGCATTACAGTAACATCTGCAAGGCGAAGTGTGGACAGGTCATGGTGATTTCTCAGATTGGAAGCCATAATACTTTGCGAAAACATGACTACATGGGCCAATGAAGGAGGGCGAGGGGAATAAAAAAAGGCTTGCGTTTAAATCTCAATCGGTACATTGGTGTTTAAGTCTACTTTGCATCCGTCTTGCAAGGATGCAAAATCACGTGATCATGACACAGCTTGATTTTCCTCCATTGCCGAGCAACCTCAACTTCGGACGTCCACGAAGCTCTCATCTCCCCTCCGCAACCCCAATTGATCATCTCATCATGCTTTCGAGTCGAGCAGTCCTCCGCGCTACCCGAGCGGCAGCTCCTCAACGGATTGCCGTCCCAAGAGCAATCGCAAGAACGCAAACCCGATCCTACGCAACGCCTGCGGCTGCCGATTCGAAACCGCCTAAGGCTCTCTACGGCCTTGATGGCACTTATGCTACTGCTCTGGTACGTTATTTGCGCATTAAATGTTGTCAATTGCGATGAATGATGTCGATTCTGTGTCGGTGGGGGGTGAGGATGAATCAGGCAAAAGGCTAACAAAACCCGCAACAGTACACAGCAGCAGTGAAGTCCTCTACCCTCGACAACACCGCCAGAGCCATTGAAGCATTAAACCAAGTATACCACAAAGATGCCAAACTTGCAAAGATTATGGAGGCCCCAACCTTGTCTGCAGCAGACAAGGCCGCGATCGTTTCCGAGCTCCATAAGCACACCGGAGGTGCGGATAAAGGCGATACCGTGAAGAACTTCCTCGAAACATTGGCTTTCTACAACCGGTTGGGTCTGTTGAAAGGAGTCTGTGAGAAGTTTGGCGAGCTGATGAGCGCGGCGAAGGGGGAGGTTGAGTTGACTGTGACGAGTGCTTCGGTGGGTTGACAGACGAGAGCCAAGGCCTTTGTTGCGGTATTTGCTGACTTTCGGTACAGCAATTGGATAGCAAGACATTGTCCCGACTCGAGACTGCCGTCTCAAAGTCTCAATATGTTGGACAAGGAAAGAAACTCAAGGTCACGAATAAGGTATGTTTTTCCCCCAAAAGGGCATTCAATGGTCCAATCGACTCACCGAATTTCAGGTCAACTCCGATATCCTCGGTGGACTGATTGTTGAGATCGGTGACCGGACAATTGATCTCAGTGTTTCATCACGAATTGCCAAGATGAACAAACTCCTCACTGATACCTTGTAAAAAATCCCACATCGGGAAATTCCTTTGTTTGGTCGGGGGGGGAGGTGAAGGCTGGTGGTTGTTGAGACGGAAGCCACAGCATATTTGTACATGATCAAGTTAGAGCTTTCCAACCAAGAAATTTGAATTGATATGCAGGAGTAAATGGTAATGCCCCAGGGGAATGCTTGAGACGCTAAACATGGTTCACTGATTGACGACGGATCTACTGTTCTAGCTCTATATAGTGTTGCGTGCTCTCTTCAGCCCTTTCTTTCCTCCTGCAATTCAACGCCGGAAGTTGAACAGAGCACAGCCGGAACAACGAATGCTTAGAAGTCATTTACTATTATACTTTATCATTCACTGACCATCAAGCTGAGCCTCAAACTCGTCACCTGTCTCAAAGTCGGCAGACGAGTTACTGCGAACTCTTTCGAGCTGCTCCGAGACATAGTTCGCTGTATGAAGATCCGCTTCTTGGCGCTCTCGCTCCCTCTCCGCGTTTTCGGTCCCAACCGAAGGTCCGACTGATATTGGAGCATCCCCATTCACAGAGGCATCAAAGTCACTTCGCGCACCGATGGAGCGGGCTGTTGAAGAGCGACGCATAGTCTGATGTGGAGACTTGTCGGCCCTCCCTTGGGCAACATGACGGGTGAAAGTATCATCGAAGTAGTGTGCCATTCCTGTGGATGGTGTCTTCGGCGTCTGGGGTAGACGGCAGCTCAATCTTCACCCATATTAGCTTCTAACATATCAAATAAAGGAAAAGGGCTGGCTTACCCAGTGTCATGGATCATTCTTGCGATCAATCCTGTCCATCCACACTGATGCGTAGCACCAAGTCCTCGACCACTATCACCATCAAAGAATTCATAGAACCATAAATTATCCTTCCAATAAGGGTCGAAATCCAATAACTCATTTCCATCATTGATTGCTCTTCGTCCATCATCTCCGCGTGCCATGAGATGTTGCAAGCGATGCTGGATTTCCTCGGAGACACGGCCGAGATGCATCATCTCTCCTGAGCCAGTGGGACACTCAACTTCGAAAGTAGGACCATAAAACATATAGAATCGCTGCAAAGATTCGACAAGCAGAAAATTGACGCAGATCCAGATCGGACCTCTCCAGTTACTGTTGCCTCCAAACAGACCACTGTCAGAATCTCCGGGAACGTAGCTAACCTTGAACTCCTGCCCATTCACATCCATCGAATAAGGGTGTTTCTCGTGGAATTTTGACAGTGATCGGATGCCATGGTCGCTGAAGAATTCATCTTCGTCCAACATCCGTTTCAGGATCTTCTCGAGGCGATCCTTGCTCACCAAGGACAACAAAATTCTATTGTCCTTGCCCCTCTTTCTGATGCTAGCCATGTTGCGTTCAGCCACATCGTGCCTATTTGCAATAAACCAGTCAACGCGCTTCTTGAAAGATGGCAGCTTGTTGATGAGTTCGGGTTCCAAGGTGAGAGTTGCATATAATGGGATGAGGCCAACAAGCGACCTGATCGGCAGTTGCTGCGTCCATGGTCCACCCCAAGAGATTGCATCATAGTAGAAGCCATCTTCCTCGTTCCACAGGGACTTCTCTTCTTTGGAACCAGATTTGTAGGTCATGGCGTCACTGATAAGGATGAAGTGCTCAAAGAACTTCGAGGCGATATCTTCGTAAATTCGACGGTGTTTTGCCAACTCCAAAGCTATATTCAGCATGCAGAGGCAGTAGAAAGCCATCCATCCGGTACTGTCAGCTTGCTCCAGGACACCTCCTGTTGGTAAAGGCTCAGACCGATTGAATAGACCAATGTTGTCAAGGCCCAGGAACCCTCCCTCGAACACATTCTTTCCATCGAAGTCTTTACGATTGACCCACCAAGTAAAGTTGAGCAACAGCTTTTGGAAGACCCGCTCGAGGAAGTCGAGATCTTGGCGTCCGTAAAGCTTTCTCTCGATCTTGAAGGTCCGGAATGTGGCCCATGCATGAACAGGAGGGTTGACATCTCCAAAATTCCACTCGTAAGCAGGTAGTTGCCCATTCGGATGCATGTACCATTCCCTAGTGAAGAGATCAAGTTGTTTCTTGGCGAAGTCCGGATCAATCATGGCCAAGGGTATGCAATGAAACGCCGAGTCCCACGCTGCGAAGAAAGGATACTCCCACGAATCAGGCATAGAAAGAATATCATCAAGATGCATATGCTTCCAATTCGTGTTTCTGATGGCTTTGCGCTCTGGTGGAGGCGGAGGTTGACTTGGATCTCCATTTGCCCACTGGTCCCATATGAAATGATAGTACTGTTTTGTCCACATCATTCCTGCGAAGGCTTGACGCTGAATATTGCGAAGATCCTCAGACATTGGAAGAGGGCTGATGCGATAGTAGAAGTCGTCGGCTTCCTCTCTCCTCTTGTCGATTATGTCGTCGAAAAGCTCTTCATCCATATAGTCTTCGTATTTTTTGGACAATCGGAATCTTACTACAGCACATTCGCCTGGAGCTACTCCACCGCCTTCATTGAAGGCAAACCAAGCAGCAGATTTAGTGCCGGCTCGTTTCGGGTTGATGGCGTTCTTCTCCTTGTCTACAATGTACCGGTGAAATGCATCCTTGACGTATGGCTGTTCATTCTTTCCCTTGTACAGCTTTTCGTAATTCGTATCATTTTCCGTGAAGATAAGCTCTGGTAGCACATCTTGCCCACTTGGTCCAACTCCGGGTGAGGGGGAGAGTTGGAAATAGCGTTCTCCCAACTTGTGATGCTTGCTTGCCGCAACTGTCTCACTCACTTGGTGGATGCCGGGCTTCTTGTCCGGAGTCTCATGTCCCCAAGCCCACGTATTCCTAAACCACACATGCGGTATAATGTGTAATGGGGCAGGTTCCGGTCCTCTGTTCCATGCAGTTACTCGGAAGAGCAACTCTTCATCGGTTTCCTTGGCTACCTCAATGTTTATGTCCCAGTACCTATCGTCGTCAAATATGCCAGTGTCAACAATTTGGTATTCTCGATCCTGTTTTCCGCGTCTCGCGTTCTCCTTGATGAGATCCTCGTATGGGAATTTTCGTTGGGGATATTTATACAAAAGTTTCATATAGGAATGCTAGTTCAGTGAGTAGCTGAAGTTCGGTACGTGCGGGTGATCATCAACGAACTGTTGGGGTATTATCTAGATGAAAATGCGCCTCCTTAATACTCTCGCCGTGATTGCCTTGTGGGTTCGATAAACCGAAAAGCCGTTCTTTGAGGAAGTTGCTGCCCAATGTTTAGCAAGCTATCATGGGATTAAAAGCTTCAAATCACTGACTCTTCTTCGTTCCAGAAAGCAAATGCGATATTCTGAAAACCGTGTGTATCCGAAACTCCTGCAATGCCATCTTCTCCCCACCTAAAAGCTCGGGATCGCGCATGTTCGTGGGGGAAATCTGGAGGATCGTTAGTGGCCATTATAATGGATGTTAACGCATTTTAGACAACTTACGACTCCATGCATCACCATCAGGACTGTAGTCCTCACGCACTTGAGGTTTCAGTCAGTAATTCAATCCTTTGGAAAGGATCAAGGGAAATTACCAGTGGCCCATTGTCTCTCAGCAACGTAGGGACCCCATTTCTTCCAGTATGCCTCCCGTTCTCTATCCTCCTTCAAGCGCTTCTCTTCCTCGGTGAGATACTCATGGTGATCTATTTTGACCATGATGGCGACTTGTCTCTGTCAATTGATGCAGAGTTTTTCGTTGGGAACGTCCTCGTTGAAGCTGGAGAATCAACGACAGCCAGCAGCAGAGGGTCCCAGAGACCGCTTTGTGTTGGGCTGAGCTTCAATCAACTCGAGAAGCTCGCAGTAAGAAAATTTTTAACCGGTTATTGAGACACCGCGTTTGGAGAACGAGTCAACGGTGGGAGCTCTGGTGATGGTCGGTGAACTAGGGCAGGGACAGAAAATGTTCAGAAGCCGATGGCGCTGGAGCATCGGCGATAGCTACCTTAAGTTGTTCCCGAATCTCGATGCTTTGCGTGAGTGGGACCGGAAGGACGGCGAACCTTGGACGAACCGCAGCAATTCTTGATATCTGGCCTTGCGGGACGTAACCTTGCTGCTCTGATGCGGCTCGAGAGCTTGATGTTGCGCATTTGCCAGCGGGCTGGGCTCTGATGTCATGTCGATTTTGGCTTTGGCGAGATTCACGGGCCAGGGGTAGGGGAAGGGTTGGGGAAGGGGAAGGCGAGGGACGGCAATGCTCGCGGGATTCCTCGCTTCATTCTCCTCTAAAGAATCTAAAGAATCAACTCCACAGCTTTTCTCTGTCGACATCAGATACATCACCAGCGTTTACACGCGGTGGGCTGATAGCTCTGTCACCTTTCCACACCCAGTGAAGATCTTCCTCACCCAGGCTTCCTCCCGCCCGATTGTTGGTACTCTGCTGGCCCCCATTGGCTATTTCCTACCAGTTCGACCGTTGCTGGCTTCGGCACAGCAAAAGCAGGTCAGGTCATCATCCAGGCACAAGCCAAAAGCCGTTGGTTTCTCCATTACCCCTCATCGCACGTGTTGCTCAGGGCGGGGTTCTAGGGGTCTCAAACTCAAAGTGAAACCCTCAGCTGCGCTGTTCTCGCAGACTCGCAGACCCTCGCTCACCATCTCCGACCACCAGCCGGAAGACTGGTTCCTGGCAAAATTATTCTTCCACCCCAAACGGTCGGTTATGTCTTGGCATTTCCCGGGGATGACTTACAGGCGGTAAGTCGCTTTGGCGCTTTGATAGGTCGTGCGAGAAGGAAGAGTGCTTCCTAGAAGCACTTGGTTACCACCTCGGCGGACTCGCGCCGCCGGCGAAATAGAGTACTTGTATCCTCTTGGTGAAAAAGGGTGCATATAGCAGTAAGGGCACAACTGGCCTTCTCCTCTCCTCTTCTCTCCTCCTCTCTCCCTTTTTCTGTACTACCTATTCGCATTTTCGTCATGTCTACTTCCACAAAATATGAGCCGAACGAGCAGGAGAATTCAAGGCTTCGGATTGGAAGCCGTGATAAAAACGTTGGATGGTTCACTTCAGATCTCGAGACCCTCACTCCTGCCCAGCGAGGCCTCTTCGAGAATTACAGCCGCATCCATCCAGATCGCGTCATCCCACACATCCTTGAAGTTGTAAGAGCATCCTTTTCCGTTGCTATAACCTATTTTAACCCCAAATTGATAGCGAGAGAAAGCCTGGGAATTTCATCCCTTACCTTGCATTGGGCAACTACGATTTATCGACTTTGCTCTTTCGCAGTCTCCTCTGTACCCAGAAATCTTATCACGTATCAAATCGGGGGCGAATTTGTTAGACCTAGGGTGCTGCTTCGCTCAAGACTTACGAAAGCTTGCCTATGATGGAGCTCCCGATTCTTCACTTTATGGCGCCGAGTTGGAAAGCCAATACCTTGAGCTTGGTTACGAGTTATTCTTGGACAGAGATACCTTTCGGGCAAAGCTCATCGTGGCAGATATCTTCGATGAACAAGGACCACTTCAAGAAATAGACGGAAAGATGGATATTGTCCACATTGGGCTATTCCTTCATTTATTTGACTTGGACGGGCAGCGAGAGATATGTGAACGGATTGTGAGATTGCTTAAGAATGAGAAAGGAGTACTAGTGCTTGGGACACAAGTCGGGAGCACTAAACCCAAGGATGTACCGTTTGGCGCGGCCAAGAACGTATTTAGGCACGACGAGACGACCTTTGAGAAGTTGTGGAAGGAGGTTGGGGAGAAGACAGGGAGTGCGTGGAAGGTTAAAGCATGGATGGATGGAGGGCTAGGTGCTGGGTCGAAAAAGCGTCCATGGGACGACGAAGATACCCGGCGATTGATCTTCGAGGTGGAAAGGACAAAATGATAGCATGCGCAGGAGAGCTTGGCTATAGAAGTTAGACTGATTTCCTCTGGCGGAGCACTGTGTTCATACCCCTTCTTGTAGTTTCATGAATTCATGACTTTCTTCCTCATTCACGGATATTTATCGCCGCATTCCACCCCTGATTCAGACGACATCACATTTTCAAAAAGGGATTGTTGCGTGGAGTCCGAAGAAGTAGTTCGGGGTGGTCTCCTATTGCCGCATAAATATACCACTCTAGACTGTCTGCTTACGGTTACCAATGGTATTAATCCAAACTCCCTGATCCGTGGCTTTGAAGCCTCTCAGTAATCTAAACACTCTTTTCCACAGCTTCTAAGTCATCCATAGCTTCTTTCCAATTATCCCATTCCTTGTCCCCGCCCGGAATCCCTCCAGTGAGCGGCAACCTCGTCCCTTCTCTATCTCCCATTCCCAATACTCGACTTACTGCCTCCTTGATTCCCACTGTGCCAAACTTGACCACAAGTTCCTCAACCACGCTAAGTTTATATTGTAACAGTCTCCTCTCCTTAACCTCCTCCTCGGTGGGTGCATTCTTAACAGAAAGATTATACAAATGCACTACAGATTTTGGGAAGAAGCCCGCAGTTCCATCAATAGCTCCGGCACATCCCAAAGCAAGAACTGGCAAAAGTTGCTGTCCCAATCCTGTAAAGGTATGGAATTTCGTATTATCAATATTGGGATTCGCTCCAATCTGAGCATGATACGAGACATCTCCATGGGACAGCTTGCAGCCAACGATATTCGGGTGTTTTGAGAGTATGGCGTAGGTAGACGGAACAACTTTGACGTTGTTCGAAACTCCAGGGTAATGGTAACTAAAACATTGTAAGCGAACCACCAGATTAAATTGAAAAGGGGGGAGAACTCGCATCATGACAGGAATCGGACTCTGGTCCGCAACAGCAGTAAACCATTGAATGATTCCTTGCTGGGTGCTCGCACCCGCAAAGTATCCCGGGACAAGACAAAGGCCCCACTGACACCCCGCTTCCTTCGCACTTTTCAGCTGCTCCACCACCACCTCGATATTCTGGGCCGCTGTCCCGGCAATGAGGGGATACTCCTTGAAGCCTCCCCCATCGAACGCCTTTCTTACGGCACTGAGAACTTCGAATCTTTCTTTATCACTCAAATGGACCGCTTCTCCCGTGCTGCCAAGTAGGACCAAGCCTGTAATCCCCGATTTGGCGAGGTGGAGTGAGTGTCTGGCTTGTGTCTCCAGATCCAGTGGTGCGGCAACGGCATTATAATTCTGAGCTGTACGTGAGACGAAGAAGGTCGGGACAGGCACGTAGACGCCTGCGGGAGGAGGACTGGCAATCATCGTTTCGTTCTCGTGCTCGCCGTTACGCTTGAGTTGGACTTGTGTTACCCGGAAGATGGGGGTTTGGGAATGACAAGAGAGCACAAGGTGCCACTGGGCGGTATATAAAGTTCCAACATTTTAGTTTCTCGAGGCCCAGCCAACGGAAGGTGCAATCGTGGTGGTACACAGTAGCCATTTTTTTTCGGGGCAATGTCCAGCGAACTGAGCGAGGCCCCAACGTGTGGATTAGTAACGGGCCCGAGGGGTGAGGGGTAAGCACGAAATGAAGTAAGTGGACCGTGGGATAAGGAAGGACTTGATTATTGGCGGCGATATTGTGTATCGCGTTGGCTGAGAAAGATTAGGTGATGGATGGCGTACGAGTTCTTTGGAGGTGTTTAAAATCCTTGATGATACTAGTCAGGTGCATGGTTTTCAAATGCACCGATTGGAGCAAGGTGACGGGTTATGGGTGGTTGATTGGTTGGAGACCCTTTCTGCATATGGGAGCCAATCATCCTCATCTCACGGGTCAGGTTGCAGATGGAAGTGTTGAGACTGCAAGAGGGGTATTTTCGATGGATACATCTGGAAGCAACAGACTACAATGACTTTTTGGTATCTCGCTGAACTCTCACATCAACTCCTTAATTCCGTACGCCTTGATAGCAGTTCCGCTCCAAATCATAATCTGCTCCGCCTGACTCAAGCTAGCCAAATCACAGAACCTAGCCACTACTTGCCTCCATTTCTTCCAGGCATCGTCAACTCCGATAGTACACACTGGCCAGTCCGAGCCGAACATGATTCTGAAGGGCCCAAATGTAGCCAGAATGACCACAAGATATGGCTGAAGAGCCAGGAATATATCGTCTGCTGATGAAGCTTTGAGTTTATCTGGCATCTCAGAGAAACATCCACTCAGTTTCATATAGGTCTTGCTGCATTTGCTGAGTCTGAACATTGCTGTTCTCCACGCAACAAATTTTGGATCTGTCTGATTGTATACCGAAAGGTCCGGCTTGCAAAGATGGTCTGCAGGAATATCAGTAGTCGGAAATGAGATTCAAGGCAGAACGAATACTCACTGATTATGAATGTCACCTTGTCCTCCTCATCCACACCCTCATGAGCCTTCTCAATCATCTCCACCGCTTCCTCCAACTGCCACTTCCCACCTCTATGCTGATCCACCCCAAGATCAAATACGAACCCCTTCTTTCCTAACCACTTCAATCCCTCAATAAACCCATCCTGCAGCATCGCCCCCTTCGGTTTATCTTGCACCAGGTACCTAAATCCCCTAATCTTCCCAAAGCTATCCTTAGCATGCTTCTCCACCCCCTTAACATAGCGCTCCAATACCTCCGCACCGCTTGGCACAGGAGCCCAAGGAACAATCGCCAAGCACTGTTTCTTCTGTTCTGAGGTATGTCCTTCCCCGTCTTTCGGCGTACCAAGGGCAATTCTCTTCAGCCAGTCAACTTCCATCAAGGGAAATTCCCAGCCGGACCCATCCTCGAGCCCTGTAACGAGATCATGCTTGCGGTCTGTCTCGAGGAATATAAAGCCTTCGAGGGAGGGAGGAGAGCCAGTGGCTGCGGCATATTCTTCGAGTGAGTGTTGGCTGTGCAAAGGATTGGAGGGTTTGCACCACGCGAGGGTTTCGATTTCCGATGCGGGGTAGAGATGGATGTGGGAGTCGATGATGGGGTAGTCTGCTGATTCTTCTGCCATGCTGCTGAGTGATGAAGTTCGGTGCTCCTTTGGCCTTATACTCTCATATGTATATTACTTGACAGTGAAAGTCTCGAGGATGAAGGTTGTTGATGGATGGTGTGAAGATCGCAAAGGTCCGGGGAAAGTCTTCGCCGACTTCTATCCTGAAACTCCAATCAACCCCACCTTCCGCATTGGGACTCGAGACATTCACCTCCTCGAGACGTCACAAAATATGTCTCTTCAGGAACTCGGATTTCTCTCTTCATTTCATTCATTAATCTCAATTACATCCAGAATCCGTCAAAATACCAGATCCTTATGACTCAACGGGCATCGAATATTACAACATTCCCCCTTCACGTTCATAAGTGGGGTTAAGAAGCCGATCAAAGTCGTTTACTGTTCATCTAACCCTTCCAGCAAAAAAAGGCAGCTTTGATTCTAACATGCTACGCTGGACACATTAACGAGACTCTAAGCTTTGCTTCTGGGGCTCTGAAAGACTACCGTGTAATTGCTGTAGCCATGCACGGGAATGGGGAGGCTTCAGCACCTTCCATTGATCCCGATTTCCCGTCAGATTACTCCTTGATGATCAGACTGTCTAAATTCTCAGTATCAGTTGATCACGGAGCAGTTGGGGTATCAAAAGTTTGGATGCTGTTATTGGATATAGTATGGGTGGTTTTGGTGTTTTTGATAGGCTTATTATTGGGCTGTGATGCAAGGTTCTGGGTCTGAGCCATCTGTGAAAAATGTCGTTCCCATCTGTGGAAGTGCCAAGACATCTGGGCATAACAAGCCAATATGAATTTGCAACAGATAAAGGGGGCCTTCATGGGATTTGATAGCTTCGTGCTGATAATCGTTTAGATTACGCATTTCTTGGAGGACCAATAGCTGCCCGACAACGAGCTCTGATAACCATGGTGGGAAGGGCAAAGAACACGGAGTGGCGGCCACACAAGGCATGCGTGCTTTTGGACGAACTTATTGTGCATGGCTTACATCTGGATGTTTTTGAGGCGAAACTTCATTTCTATATTTTTGACTGTCTCATGCTTGCCCCTGGGGACAATGTGTCCCGCTCTCCCAGAACAGTCTCCATCGAGCAATCGCTGACCCCTTGAAAAAGCCCGAATGGTTTAGGCAATATATACGGAAGAAGATAGGCGCCAAGACTCTTATAATTGGATACACCCTCCGACAGGGGAGTCGGAATTCGAACTTTTGGACGCAGGACATCCATGCGATGGGCAGAATGTGGCAAGCCAGTGATGTTGGAGTACTTGCTGCAAACGGTTATTACAAAACGGCGTTAGAATGGGTCACCGCGAGGGTTATGGTGATGCCCAACCAAACGGATCAGTATTTCGTAGTGTATGACGGAGAACCCGAAGCGAAGAATCTGAAAAATGGGAAGTTCAACCCAACTCCGACTATCAGGGGGCACATTGGAGGAGGAGGGGCCAATAAAGTCGATACTAAGTAGGTGGACGGAGAAACATCTAAGTTCTTAAGTGAAGGAGTTTTGGGAGAGGTTGGAAGGCTTCAGATAGATGAATGACGGACGATGGATGAAGAGGTATCTCAATCCTTGGCGGGTGTGTCTTATTATGGATAGTTTCCTATCTTTAACCTCAAAGCAATTGAAAAGAAATTGAACTGCTTTCAAGTTGAGCGCAGGAATATCTCAGGTGCTCCGGTACATTCAAATGTCGGCAGTAGAATCTCGCCCAACTTTTAGTACATTCCGATTTCCCAGCCAATGAAGTAAGTGTAAAGCGGATTCAAGACCGGAAATTTGGGACAGTGGTGGCCAACAAGATCATCGATTTGTGATTTTGAAAACTTTTCGGAAGTCGGATGAAGTCGGATAGTGTCCCACTCTTCCACTGTTGGAGATACCTGAGGATTCCTGAGTCATGAAATCGGGTTGGATTCCATTCGCTTGAACGGACACTTTCGCAGAATCTTTCTCTGAGCCGACGCATGATTACGTCATATTGCCTTGGAGATGTGACTCCAGCAGCGACTAATACGCGCCAGGCAAGGACGGACTTTGAAGCTTACCTTAAAATCATTTTTAACATGTGAAGTAGCACAAGCACTGGTACGAAAGTTAAAATCCTATAGCTCATGTGTCAAAGATATTAAAGTTCTGAAAGAAAAACGCGGCCGAGCTGTAAAATGTGCAAAGCAGATAGAAATAGACTGAATCCATATGATTCAAGCTACTGTGCACACGCTTGACGAAGCTGCATCCGTTGCTGATGGCTAAGAGTTCGAAAGATGGCCGACGTGACTATGATCCAGGGTAACACGCCGAGATGGACGTCTGCGGTCATATTTAATCCCTCACATCGATATTTTTGACAGCGAGACCCTCTCACCGTGTGTACTGTAATGACGATTGTCAATGTGCTTGCCCCTGGCACATGCAAGTAAATTGATATCCTTTCCCCTGGGGTTGGCCATCCTCGTGCAACTGATCGGCACTGCCCCAGATCGCTAAGTCTGACTATCGGTGAGCCCTGAGTTCTGCTTCTCGGCCAATGCTTCTTCCTAAAGCAGGTATTTTCACTGCGAGGCGGGACAGGAACATGACCAGGTCGTTGAGTCAGGCGGCTGAGGGCAGGAGGCGACGGTTGTTATCCATTGGCTAGAAAATGCCGGCTAAGCGAGGCCAAAAAATGGAAACCAGCGCCGGTCCCAGCCCCAATCCAACCTCTAACCTCGTTTTGCTCAACGGTGGATGCCATGACTCTCATCCTTTAACCCAGCTCCAATTGAAGGCCACCGTTGCTTCATACTGTAGTACTGTACACGCCGGCGGGTCCTCGTACAACTCGTACCATCTCCCACTCTACCCATCCCCTATTCGAGAAAAGATGCGGCGGCTTAGCTAACCACCTCGTCAACATGAAGCACGCCTCTCCCGGTTGCCCCTGTCGGACGAGCCCCGGATGTCCTGCAGCACTGCGTCATATCCCGAGACAAAATGGTTGCAAGCCTTCTCCCGGAATGATTCCTTGAAGCAGATCTATCCATTTGCATTGCTGACAACAGGTTGTTGACTTATCATTTGCCCATGTGCAAAAGCCCTTTCCATAGGATCCCGAGCATTGTTCCGCAGCTAGAAAACTTCATGAAATATTGAAGTTGGCCTGCACAATCCCACCTCGATCTTCAAAATGTGGGCCTTGTTCCGTCGATTTTCTCACCACCAAGATGCACCCGCTCCGTCTAGTTGTTCCTGGAGAAGAGTGGAATTATGGGTCCTGTTCACACCTCTCTTCGAGCAAGTGCGAACAACAGCTGAGGTGACCGATTCAACAAACTAGAGCGAGGTAGGAACGCTTTGCCATCACATCTTCTCCAGATCCATATATGGCTCCACTGGTACCCGTGATCCTTTCCTTCTAAGTTTGCTGCGCAATTCCGCTTGGTACCGATCTTACTCCAGGCCCAATCCCTCTTGTTTGACTGCAGCTTTCCTTCCCAAGCAATTTCTGGGTCAGACAGCGCTGTTTCAGACGAACGAAGTTAACGACGGAAGACCCACTGTCTCCAGAGGCTCCACGTTTGTAACCCGACTCACGGCGAGTAGACGTATATCTTCCCACGATGGCGCCGTCGAATCTGTTACATCCGCCTCGGGGCAAGAGACCTGGATTTCGACGTCTCTCATCCATGACTGCCACAGAGAGAGATATCAAAGAAGGAGGCCCTGTTGTTATTACACCCGAAAGAATGATGGCTCAAAGATCACAATCTCAGCATGGCGGCTTTGCTGCCTCGCTGGAGACTGCTAGAAATGAGTTGGCGCAAATCGACCTTGAAGAGGAGGCTATGATCTCTCCGACGTCAAGCTCTCCCGAGACACCAGGCACACCTGCCTCTCCTCTCACTCCGGCAGACCCCCCAACAGCTGATTCCTTTGCCTTTGCCTTCGATATCGATGGAGTTTTGATTCGAGGAGGAAGACCCATTCCCGAAGCCATCGAGGCGATGAAAGTGCTGAATGGTGGAAATGAATATGGGATGAAGGTGTCAGTCCACCGAGACACCACTTTCGAAGGATCTTGCTCACACAAATAGTCCTTATATCTTCCTCACCAACGGGGGAGGTAAGACAGAAGCAGAACGCTGCATCGATCTCTCGCGTCAACTCGACATCGAGGTCTCTCCCGCTCAATTCATCTGCGGTCACACTCCCATGCGAGAGATGGTTGCGAAATACGAAACCGTGCTAGTCGTTGGCGGAGAAGGAGAGAAGTGTAGACAAGTCGCTGAGGGCTATGGCTTCCGAGATGTTGTCACTCCGGGTGATATCATCAAGGATAATGAGGCTACTACGCCATTCCGCAAGTTGACGGACGAGGAGCGAGCCAACTCGAGAAAGAGAAACCATGGCGAAACCAAGATCGGAGCAATCTTGTAAGTATTGCCAAGACTAAACCCCCCACCTGACCCCCACTCCCCCTTTTGCCCCTTCCTGCCGACCCCGCCTTTCGGTAACCACAGCACTGACTTCCGTCCAGTGTTTTCGCTGATAGCCGTGACTGGGCTGGTGATATTCAAATTATTCTCGACCTTGCCATGTCAAAGGGAGGTTACATTGGTACATTGTCCGAGACTTTCGACGAAGGTCCACCCATTTACTTTTCACACAACGACATCGTTTGGTCCGCAGCTCATGACAACGTGCGTCTCGGCATGGGCGCTCTGCGGAAGATGGTCGAGATGCTTTTCAAAGATCTCACCAAAGGCAAGGAGCTCGAGACTATTGCCTTCGGAAAGCCACAAATTGGCACATTTGAATTCGCCACGAGATTATTACAGCAGTGGCGAAAGGATGAATACCGTATCAACAGACCCCCTGAGACTGTCTACTTCGTTGGTGACACTCCTGAGAGTGATATCCGAGGTACCAACCAGTTCAATGATAAATCAAAGAACGAGTGGTACTCTATCCTCGTCAAGACGGGTGTCTACCAAGATGGCACCGAGCCCGCGTATCCGCCCAAGATTACCGTTGACACTGTCCTTGATGCAGTGCAACACGGTATGAAGCGCGAATTCAGCAAGAAGATGCAAAAGGCCACCGGTGGCATGCCAGACGGCCTGGGGCTCAAGCACTTGCCACTCAACGGAGAAACCAAGGTTGGGACGAAGACTCCCATCTTGGAAATCAGCGAGCCCTCGTCCGAAGTTGGCACGCCAGGCTTATGATCAAACGCAGTCGGGAGGAGCACATGCAGGGTTGAGCAGAACAAGAAACAGATTGATTTTTCCTTGCGTTACGAGGTTATCGCAACCACGAAGAATACCTCGGAACACATTTCGGACCGCGAGGGTGAGCTTAGACTATGGATCAACAGGGCGATCATAGGTTCTAGATATGGCGTTTTTTATTTCCATACATGGTATTTCGGACGGAAAAGTTGCTAGAATATGGAATCTTATCAATGGTTCCATCACTTCTCTGTGTCGTGGCCGGTTGTCACGTGGGCTGAATCCGGCTTCCGTGCTGCCTGTCTTGTTCTGGTTCATATGAAGTCGTTCCTTCCCCCATCCACCTATAGAGGAGACCGGTTTGTCATCGCCTACCTCCTACGCCATTTTGCATCGGTATCCTTCATCGGATTATGGTTATCTCCTGCACCTCTTCTCTCAAGGGTCCCAGCCTCTACTCCTACAGTATTTCCTTGTTACCGTTCCTCCCAATTTTTAACTTTAGTCTCGGTGAAATTCTATGACATGCTGCAACTTTCTTGTCTTATTTATAAGGCGAACTTTCGATCATGTTAAAGAGATTATTTTTACCCGACTATCCTCTGGTCACCAAGCTTCAATGTACTGAAAGCTTTGGACAAATGAGGTGATCTTCGAATGTAGAAAGCGACCACCAGAGTCAGGATGACATTCTATGTGGGATGAAACCTCTACCTTGACCTGTCAATCCTCAACGTGTCGAATCGACTCTGGGAGCCTTCGCTGATGTTAGTACTCATCGAATATCGGCACTCGAAATATGGTTTGAAGTCCGGAAGCTCGATGGAGATTCTGCTCCGCTAAAGGTTCTTGGCTTAACGCGAATTCCTGTCCTCCAGGATCTGACAACGTCCCTCGCGGTCAAAGCATCTCATCCTGACACCTTTCGAAGCTATTATGCGCTCAAGTTCCTGTTTCTCTTCACACCATCGGACTGGAAGTTCCTCAATTACACCATCTAAACTTCCCGTTTGTCGTCTCGGCCCGCAGGTAGCTCTAGACCCTGCAAGCCGCCATGCACCAATTTGGGCGGTTAAGGTTAATGCACCTGCACAACGGTATCACAAAATCCTTTCGCGATCCACATGGAAAAGATGCCAACACAAGACACACTTCGAAGATATCTTGCCCTCTCACATTCCACAGCATTCACTCCACTGCTCTGACCATGGCCCGTCGCTCCTGACAAATCCGTCACAAGGCCGCCGCAACCGCTGTGCAACGATGCAGCTCCAGGTAGCTGCAGCTCCGTATCTGCAGTAGTATGGCAACCTTCACAAGTGTACATTTCAGCAATATAATGGACCCGAGAGGGTGCTGACTGCTTGGCCCGGGGGAACTTGCTTCTGCAGCCGCACCAAGAGTGTGCTGACAGGTCTTCAAGGCCCCCAATTCGACCCAACTTTCAACTGTACTTAACTATCGATTCTGGCTCAATGCTTGAGTGTCCATGGTGGATCAAGCCATCTCGCCAGGTACGCCCTGGACTTCGTCCCTCGAGACCGGATGCGCGTCCACCAGCAAGCAAGCTTTTGGCATGTCTTCCGGTGGTCGACCAGTCGCTGTGTCTGCCGCTCAATATGCACATCATCACGACTGACATCTGTCACCGTGCCCCATGGCGACACGGTTCGAAGATTTCAGTGGCGGCCGCATCCGCTTCCGGGAATGGCAGATTGTCAGGTTGAGCAACTCTCGGACTCGGGCTTTCTTCTTCGTCGGGAATCGTGATGGGGTCGTGAAGGGGGTTCTCTCGGGGGAGTTCAATGTCACAATCGATCTCCAGATCAGCCACCAGGATGCCGGGCAAGAACACGGCTCTGATTGGGCGGATATTTGCTGGCGGTGCATCTTGGCGAGGGGGGCGCTCCTAGCGAGAGGGAGCTGGGAGGGGAAGGGGGCGCGCTGAGTGGCGGGGCCGCGCAGGGGAGCAGGAGAGAGCAGGAGAGCAGGGTTCGAAGCGCTGAGGGACCAAAGCACTCTAGCGTCCGCTCACCTGCGTACCTGTAGGCGCCGGGACTTGCAGGTCTCCAGTGCGAGGACTCGCAGCAAGCCAGCTGCATCCGCCAATCATCCAATGACTATCCGCAAAGAGCCCGTCCTGCCTTGTCACCGAGTGTGCTTGCTTGTGTGCTGCCCCTCACCACCACTCGCGGCGTAGTGCAGAGCTGGCAACCGCCGCTGGTGGGCCGCCCACGCTGGCCCCCCATAAAGGGAATCTGGATCCCCAGTTGGCATTCCTTTCTCTCCTCTCCAGCAAGCAGTCAATCCATCCAAGAGCTAGTTCCCTATCCTCCCGTCGTCCCTCTTCGTCGTCTTCGTCTTTTTGTTTTTGTTTACTCCGTCCCTGAGCAGTGCTCATAATATCATACTTCGTATATTCTATCTAATCCACCGTCAAGTTGCTGGCCAACTTCACCGTCATTAATTTAATCCCCCATCAAACGTCAGAAATCCATCCGGCAGAACCGAATACTCCCAAGAACTAGCTCTTCTTGCTCATCAAATTGATTTCGTTAAAAAACATCCCCTCCGACAAGTGCATTCATTAACTGCCCCGAACAATGGCCTCCGTTCAACTCTCCTTCGCTTTGCGCACCTCCTCCGGCGTCAAGACCGTCCATCTCCTCGGGTCTTGGGATAACTACGCCGGACAGCTTCCTCTTTCAAAGGACAAATCTTCGTCCAAGTCTGGTTCGTGGAAAGGGACATTCCGATTCCAAGGATCGACCCTCGAGCCGGGCCAACGATACTGGTATTACTACATCATTGACGGCTACCATGTATCGCATGACCCGGGCCAGTCTTCCACCACCGAACCGACCACTGGACGCATCTTGAACATTCTTGATGTCCCAGCCGAGAAGACCTACAAATCCTCTTCCAGCCATTCCAAATCTAGCTCATCCAGAGACAAGCACTCGTCCAAGTCATCTCACTCATCCAAGCACTCATCGTCCAGCTCGAGGCGAGCCTCCCGCCGCGACAGCAATCTGACCGTCGATATCCCGAAAGGCCGTCCACTATCTATGTCCGAGATCAAGTCGCCCAAGCCAATCACACCCCATGCGACCAAGTACATTCTCACGACAGATTACAGCGCCCCGACGGTCGAGGAACTCACCTCACGCTTCAGCACCACCACCATTGACGAGAACTACGTCTACGACAGTTCCATGTCGCCACCGTCATCCGTCGGCTCCAGTCTCTCGAGCCGCTCGGACAGCGACTCACCCAGCTCCGCAAGTTCTCTCAGCGACTACAGCACGCCTGGCTCCGGCAGCGAATGTAGATGTGAGCGCTACGGCATCACACGCGGAGGGGATCGGGTGAAGCTCGACTGCGGCGGTTCTCGATGCGGCTACAGCGACGACGACAGTTCCTCTTGCTCGTCCGAGGACGAGTACGAGTATCATAGTTCACGACGCAATGGCCTGGTAGTGAGACGATGATAGATTTTACTTATTTTTTGGAAGGGAGAGAGGAAGGAAGAAGCGAAGCACATAACGCCGTCCATTCATTACGGCCAGTTCCCTGTTTGCAACCAACCCCACACGCGCGTCCAGTTAGCTGGTCTCTCTGCACCGTGTGACACACCAAAGCCGAATCCGCGGCCCGCGGTCACGTTTGTTGTGACTACGCGATTTCGTTGTATTTTTTCAACACCATGTACGGGATCCCGAGCAATGGGACTCCGTCCAGCATGACGGGGAAGGGACGAAGACTGCAATGGCAGTTTTGAGGTCAATGGAGACACGTGCAGGGAGGCACGCAGTGTCTACCGTGAAGTGTGGTCTCGGGTGAAAATCCGAGCTAGCCATGCAAAAGTTCTAGCGCAGATGGTCAACTTTCATGCGCTCTAGACATCAAGATAGATAGATGACAATTGAATCTACTCTATGCAGACATAGCTCTTTCAAATTGTGACAAATGCACTTGATAATACTTTCGGCCCAATGTCGCTTCCCCTTTTCTCCTCGCTTATGCCCGAAGTCCACATTCACTTCTTGAAAATGCCTCGAACTCCTTCACTTTACACTTCGAATGAAGTGCACCACTGTGAAACACAAAGAGACTTGGTACAATTAAGAAGGTATGGTGCAATGAAGGTGAGCTGGTATAATGAACAGGGCCAAGCACTTCATTTGGTACAGCTGGTACTATCAGGGAAACTTTGGTATATTCAACAAAATCTAGTACAATCAAGAGGGCCTAGTTCTCCGACGCAGCTAGGAAGTTATCTTGCTTAAATGTCAAAAACTCTCCTCGTGATTCACGAGCCATGAACGAGCTCAGAGCCAGAGAAATCTACGAAGACGGGTTTGGAGCACAGACCGCAAATGACAAGTATTTAAAGCACGAAAGATTCTCAGCACTGCATTTCCCCCCTTAAAATCAACACAGCTGAACTGAACCGAACAACACCGCGATATAGGTAATAAGATCATATAGTACTCCAAGCTTGTCAAAGAAACTTTTCTACCAGCTACATTTCTCAACAAAAAACAACAAAATGGTCTTGGTCTGCCGAAACGGGGTCATCAATTGTGTATTATGTGCCGAAGGAAGTGGCTGCCCGGAATATCGCTGGCGCGCAAAGCCCGCTTAACCAGAACAAAACGGAGAGGAAGCCTCTACAGCAAAAATTAAGATGGTCTGCATCTGCCGGACCAGTCGCGTGAACTGCGTTCCATGTATGGAAGGGGGCAGCTGCCCAGATACTGCCGGCGCGTGAAGCCCGTACCAGAGCAAAGCAGAGAGGTGGCCTCTGCACATGGCAAGAAAGAGAATAAACCGGAACGAACTGAGCTTGTAGCACTTCTCGAATCTCTCAGAAAGGCTACAGAAGCTATTCAGAAGCTCTTGAAAGTCGTCGACAAGCAGGTGGAGGATGAGAAGTTGTCGCCTGCGGTTTTACCGACTGAGACCACTACCACTGGTGGCCCAGATTTGGAAGCTATCTTGGGAAAGGAGTCGAAAACCGAGGACGAGGGCACACAAGAAATTGAGGACCAGAGCACAGAAGATGAGCTTAACTAGCTCTAAGGGGAAAGTAGAAAGATGATAGGAGGCCTGCATATTTTCTGCGGCTCGCGAGACATACTATAATCGAAGAGCCATTTGATTTAGCCTCTCCATTGAAGAATATGCTCAATTGTGACTTTTCAAATTCCAATCCCACCCAGAACGCCATTGACAATCCACGAGCAAGAGTCATGCTCTCGCGTATGATACAACACCAGAGCCCAAACGCAAGGCTTTCCCATTCAGGAGTATGTCATCCCAAGCCTTCGTTATATCCGAACGTTCCTCGACTCCTTCTCCACAACCTTGACCAGATCTTTATAGACCTCTGCGAACTCCTCATCACCCTCAATTTTCTCTGCCTTCTTGGCGCCAACTCTCGACTCCGAAACCATGACCACGCTCGTCGGTCTTTTTGTGTTTCCTGCTGCTCCTAATTCCGCCCGACTAGTGACGAAGATGTAGGGTACGTTGTGATCTTCGCAAAGGACAGGGATGTGTGAAATGACATCCATGGGCGAGATATCTGCTGCGAGAATAACGATGCCCGGGAAAGCGGTGTTGGCTGCGCCTTGAGGTGATTTTCGCAGTGCCTTGACGACTTCCTTGACTCCACGCTTGAGAGTTTTGTTTTTGGCAGCTGCAGAACATTCGAAATTAGTTTTGCTTCCAGGAATTATAAGTATATGGGCAACAGAGAGCAGCAAATCGCACCTTTCTTAACACTCTTCAGCACCTTCTTCGTAACCTTCTCATCCGCCAAAGGATTCGCAAACGGCACCAACGCACCCACAGGTTTCAAAACAACCTCCCCACTGCCCTCCTTAACCACCAGGTCCTTCGCCTCCACATCAGCTTCGACCTTAGTCACTTCCTCGAACGCAGCAGCAACATTATCGCCATTAAGCTTCGACTTCTTTTCCTTCTTGGACTTTTTGACGCCGTCGGCATCGCTGCGCTTCTCCTTCTTCTCCTTCTTGTCACGCTTCTCGGATTTCTCTTTCGCCATTTTGGGGAAGGTGGTGGGGTGGACAATTGGGTTTTGGGCAGCTTCGACCCACGATGAAAAAAAGTTTGGCGATACAGTATCGAGAAAAAGCTGGGGCTATTGCGCTAGTCCGAAAGGGTCCTTATCGAGCTTTGTCTTCAGTGCCAGCCTTGCTTTCGAAGGTTCTCAGTTCCGTTCTCAATCGCTATTTGATCTTTAAAAGAGGCTAATTCGATACCAGTCCATTTCAATTCTAATTTATTACTTGTCAACAAAAACTTCACAAAGTGCCATTTCACATCCACAAAAGCGCTCAATTTCTCACTTGTCACGCAGCTCACCTACCAATCAGTTCGTGCCTGAGTGATGAGAGTCATGGGCCTGGTGGCCTGAATTAGTTCAGGGCGGGAGACACATATCTCAGTTTTCAAGGGTTTGAACAGCTTCGGATTCAAACTTGCTACATGCAAACGGCTTCTCTGCCGGGAAACCAAGAGAGTAAAGGAGTCAACAAATTAGCAAACGATGATACCAGCCAACCGTCCCGAGCTTCTTCTGCAGCATGAGGGGAAAGATACCACCAAGACGATCCTGCATATTTCGAGCGCCATGTCAATCCAATAGCACCATCTACTTTCAGGTTCTTCTGCCCCAAGTCCCGCCCTGAGAACAATCCGGAAATGCTCTCTCTACAGAGGTCGTTCCATGACTGTCCCGGTTGAGCCTCAAAACATTCCTGGATGGTTCCCACAGCTACCGCCTAACGTTGAAGTGTATATCTATGCGGCTTGGCGAAATGACATTGCCAATCCCGGACCGAAGGCGTCAAACCAGCACCGAAGTTGATCCTTTCGTCACCACCAAGCTGTCCCTCTTTCCCCAAAATCAAGAACTTCCAGAAAGCATTCCATGTGGCATTTTGTACAGCTCACAAGTCGAAGTCGAGGCCGTCCAGTTGAGCTTGGAGTGTAGAGTTTCCGCATTGATTGAAGAAGGGTCGAATGGAATGTTTGGAGCCATGCTGGGTGTTTAGAAGATGTACGGATTTCTGGATTTTCGTAGAGAATTGACGTTGAAGTCGGAACTGAGATATGACGCGGGAACCTGTGCTTGGCAAGGTTGGATATAGTAAGCTTGGTCACTTGGCCACAAGCTCCAATCCTGATCAATCATAATAAACACTGCAAAGAGAATAAAGGGGACTTTCAAGAACCATCAATTGAAGCGCAGTCTACTACTATACACCCAAATCCAGCTTTCTACCACAGGTTGCTAGCCACCAAACACCTTTTAGTTTGGATCATTCGCTGTCGGCTAAAGCGCAACACAGCACTGCTTAGCATTGGATCCATACTAGACCTCTCTCTATTCTTCCTCACCAAATTCCAGACGGCCCTCTTTAGAGTTCAGGTACTCGTTTCTATAGGCAACTATCAGCGCCGTCCCAATTCAAAGGATAATCCGCAGGCAAACCTCTCGATAGCCCAGTTCATAGCAACGTAGCCAAGAATGAGCGGCGGGGCGAAGTAAAGAACTTGGTGGCTAAATCGTCTCCATGTGTTGAAAATGGCTGCGTTGAGTGTACCGGCGAGAGGACGTTGTGCGTTGGCGCTGAGGCCGTAGTGGATAATGCCTCTCTGTGTTTGCGAGCCTATGCAGATCCAGTATCAGCTTATCTTCCTTCTCTTCACCCAAACAGCGATTCCAACTCCATCCCTCCTGGCAATCTCCTTCTCTGTCTCGTCCAAACGAGCTCTCCCATGCTTCTGCATCGCCATCGTCGTGTATCTGGATCCAGGAATTGGGACCAAAGAGCTTGAGAACTCACCCAGGTTGCCCCATCCTCCAAGATACCTGTAAATAGCCACAATCAGTCTCTGCCACAAGCGTCTCCAGATATCCCACGATCCAATGCTTACAGGAAGCTTGATGGCGACCTGCACGGCGGAATCGGAAGAGCTTTGCATGCTTGCAATCAGAGGGCAAACTCACTTTCCATACTTCCCAATAGGGGAATCACCACCAGAGCGCATAATCTGAGAAGGTCTCATCGTGAATAGCTCGTAAGGGGTCGACTCGAGGTTCAATTGCGGGTGAGGATGAAATCTGCCGTCGTCGTTGGAAGTCGGTTCATGCTCGCCAAGGCTTCCGACCCCAGGCGCGCTAGCGCGGAATCCGAAAATGTAAAGAGCATCGAAGAAACAACAGTAACTGCTCCAGCTCCAGCTCGCAAACCTCACAATCAAGCTTGTATCCAGAATCCAACCTGTAAACATGGCTCAAGCACTACAGTCACTGTACAAATACGCCATCCCGCTTGCCGTCGGCGCCTCCTTCGTCCAGGCCTCGATTTACGATGTGAAGGGTGGCACTCGAGCTGTGATCTTCGATCGATTGTCTGGAGTGAAGGACACAGTTGTGAATGAGGGCACGCATTTCCTGATCCCATGGCTGCAAAAGAGTATCATCTACGATGTCCGAACGAAGCCAAGAAATATCTCAACGACGACCGGAAGCAAGGACTTGCAGATGGTGAGCTTGACTCTCCGAGTTTTGCATAGACCAGAGGTTCAGCAGTTGCCCAAGATTTACCAAGTATGTTCTCACGGAGTTTGAGAGTATTTGGGATGGTAACTGATGAAGCTAGAACCTCGGTCAAGATTACGACGAAAGAGTCCTACCTTCCATCGGAAACGAAGTCCTCAAGTCCATCGTCGCCCAGTTCGATGCTGCAGAACTGATCACCCAGCGTGAAGCAGTCAGCAACCGCATCCGATCCGACCTCCTCAAGCGTGCCCAAGAATTTAATATTGCGCTGGAAGACGTCTCAATTACGCATATGACATTCGGCAAGGAGTTCACTCGTGCAGTAGAGCAGAAGCAGATTGCTCAGCAGGATGCTGAGAGAGCTAGATTCATCGTAGAGAAGGCTGAGCAAGAGAGACAAGCAAACGTTATTAGAGCTGAGGGAGAAGCCGAGTCTGCGGATACGATTAGCAAGGCCGTGGCGAAGGCTGGTGATGGCTTGATTATGATCAGAAGAATTGAGGCCAGTAGGGAGATTGCACAGACATTGGCGGGCAACCCTAATGTCACATATCTTCCGGGAGGCGGTGAGGCTGGAAAGGAGGGAGGTGGGAAGTTTTTGTTGGGGTTGAGATGATTAATGAAGGCGGAATTGTAACAATAGCATGGCAAAATGTAATCATCCCCACTGGTCAGGTCAAAAGCACCCACTTCTTCTACAATGCATATTGTGTGACTGGTGTATTGAAATCGTGAAATGGAGGTTCAATTTCCTCCGCAAGGAAGAGGAAATAGTAAATGGCAGGATGAGGAGGACTCTGGTAGAACCACCGGTTCAATGAGAAAGACTTCATATAATGAAGAGAGTTTGGCACAACAAAGAGGATTTGGTGCAATGAAGAGGAAGCGGTGTTATTACTTTGAAACCTCAAGCTCACACTCAAGCAGCGAGTGAATCTCGACTGTACCATTCGATTGGGCTATATTACATGTTGGACCAGCTTCCTCAAAAGCTGCAAGAAGTAAAAGCAGCACCTCCATGCACGCCAATCGCTAGAAATAAGAAAATCCAATCTAATAGACCCGCTCCAAATGCAGCAATAACTCGCGGTCCAGGCATCGTTAATCATTCCCATCATGCTTCATTCCCCACCACACCCTCTCACAGGAGGAACTCCTCGTCCAGCCAATGGCGGAGAACTACTCTGCCTTCATCAAAGCTCGGCTTGTCGACTCGCACAACGATGGCAGCGTGACTGTGTCTCACCTTGTGAATGTAAACCGGATACTTTCGGAAGCCAACGTTGTCCAAGGCTTGAACCATTTGAAATTGATATGGAGCTAAAGCGAGGGTTGGCGCCTCATGTCGAGGCCCAGGCTTCTCTGGATGATCGTCGTCAGCAGAGCTGTTTGACTTTAATTGTCCCCGGGATGACTGGGGTCGGTCCGCTGGCTCCTCTTGAGCTGCCTCTTCTTCAGTACCAACGACCAGGTACTCGTTGTCTTGGGCGCTGTTTAGATTCTCGTAGACATCCTCGACCGCTTCTCGCATTCCTGTAATGAGGAGAGGGACTCGGTAGTTGCTAGGCTGGATTCCAGCGAGACCTCGTTCATGGAGTCGAATTCTTCGGTTGCTTCTGAGAGATTGAACCCCAGAATTGATCAGAAAGGCTACAACTCCGACGGGAATGAAAAATATCATAGCCAGGAAGAGCGGAAGGCGGCCAATGGTAGTTTGAGAGCTTCGAATGATGTTTCCGTAGCCAGTGGAGTCTGTTTCCTCTGGTTCGATTGGTTCGACTGGAGCTTGGGGATCCAGAACAACGTCTTCATAACCTTTCAAATAGTTGATCTTGACTTTGTCCAGGTTGGTGAAGGGGTCGCTCTTTGAGATTCCCGTTGTGTAATACACTGCACTCCTATCGTTGACGACGTTCGTATACAGTGTCCTCCGCTCAAACAATGCTAACCCCTTAATGAATATAGACTCGGGGTCCGCGAGAACCTCGAGCAATGGTTTGCCTGTCTCGCGGAAGTTGTCGATGGTAAACAGCTGCCTTCCTGAAGCAGAGAGAGTTCGCGCACCCAGAACGTTCCAAATATGATTATGCCATCCACGGAGAGGGGTCCGCACACCGAGATGAGGTGTTGCAAAGGTTGCGAAATTCTGCAGGAGTTAGCAACAATCTGCGAGCTGGCTAGACGTCGGCGCATACCACTGGCGTGATCTTTTCGAAGAATCCTTTGCTGTATAGTAAACCAACACAAAAACGGGCAACAAGACCACCGAGGGAATACCCAATGAGAGAGATCCTCTTGATCTCTTGGCTGGCTTTTGCCAACTTCTCAATCTCCTCCTCTATTTCCTGGCAGACCCGCTCGCCACCCAACTCGATTCCGTCGTAAGTGAAGCTTCCACTATTGCGTTTAGCAACGAGAATGTGTAAGTTTTCTTCTGGATGCTTTTCTCTCAGAGATTTAGCCATGACCTCGAGGTGGTTAGGATTCCCCCATAACCTAGAGAGGAAGTAAGTCAGCGCCTTGTCAACCCGTAAGTGTCAGGAATTCTGAAGCAGCGTACCCATGCACAAGCACGCAGAGATGCTGCGCCTCGCGACTGGAACCGGTGTAGTCCATCTGTTTGTTATTGAAGAAGGCCCGGTCCAGGGAAGAGAATGAGAAGGGGAGCAATGCGAGATCTAATAGTCGTCGTAGTCGGATCTGCCTCGCGAAGTCGAGACAGGTCTGACCACTTAAGCGTCTGACTACGGCGCGAGCGGGTTAGCTGCTTCTGGAGGGAACAACGCGAGCTGGGATCTGTCTGCAGGTCAGGTATGTAAGACAATGACGCAGTCCTTCTAGTGCCGCTGCACCTGTCAGTCGGGCCTCAGTTTGGAGAGATTAACTCGCGAACTCGAAGACGTGTTTTTTTGTGCGAGAGAAGTGCTGCGCTGCGAATTGAAGGGGAATTGAGGGTTTCCAACCTAGCACGCATTCAGTCAGTGGCCGCTGATAAGGAGACCGCAGAGATAACCAAGGTCAGAATAATACCGCTTGGCGTTGCAAATTTGCAATGAATTTGGCTGGATACGAAATACGGTGCATGTTCGGAGAATGAGTGGCCACCGACTCATATAAGAGCATCATCCAGATCCAAAGACTTTCGGGGTTCGCGTCACTCTTGGAACATCGAACAATGGCACCTTGGTGATTGTTCCGGATTCAACGTGTACAGTACATTCAGTGAGTCTTGGGTTTTGGGTCCCAGATTACTTTTGTGCATTCAGAGCCTTGCCTACATTGAAGAAAACAAGCTTTACTGGAGAAAGAGTTAATGGAAATGTCCTCATGACGATAGCATGAAGGGGAGCACCCAGCCTCATCGTGATGTTCCAAAATGGAGCAGGCGAGGCTCAGAGTGCCCGAAGAAAGCGCCAAGGAACCAGCACCATACTTTAGTCCATCAAAAGACCTCATCCTTCTTTAATGATCTGTGAAGGCAAGCCGAGACTATTCGAAGGTAACGAGACACGTTTAATCCACAGCGTTGCGAGTGAAATAAAAACATGTAAACACAACCACCATATTTAATTGAGGTCCTGGACCCCTGAATTTGATTGGCGTTTTCAGAAGACGGAGGCGACAACCCCTGGTCCCAGGGCTGAGTCGCTTAAATTTACTGGACAGCAAACTGCTTGAGCACATCAACCATGGCAACGGACTACAACTCAAACCCGAGCAACAGCAACACCTAAGATATTCATGCAATCCACCTACCTTGCATCTCAAAATGGTGCACTTTTGAAGGCTAATCTACTCCATTGGCTCTCATTCATCTTTGTCGCCACTTGTCGAACTCCATCAAGGTCACCCTTTCAAGTCACGAGCCACCACGAGCCTTGTCCCATTCAACGTTCTCATCACGAAAGACCAGTCCCGTGGTCCTCATCCATTTGATGAATTCGCTTCCCTTCATAGCATTCTGTTGCTCTTGGTTCAGGCCCTCGTGCTAAGTCTATTGGCTTCTTCCATTTTCTCGTCACTCGTCCCCCACCCACCTCCCAAGAAGTGGTCCCAACGCCGTTTCTCACACCCTCGACCACCTGATGCAACACAAACAACAAACACCGCAACCCATCACGTGGTCATAGGCCTCACTTAAGGGCCGGCCTCGTTCGTTCGCCGCATCATGTTCGCCTCTAAGGGGTTGTTCTCCCAACTTGCCTGCCCGTATCAAGGGACCTGTGCTCTACCTAGCTGTATCTTCAGGCATTCTGACGGCAAAGCGAACGCAGGTGCAACCGTCTTCCAAGGGGAGCAAAGCGCCGTGGATGATCAGCAGGGTCAGCGAAAGAGGCAGAAGGTGACCTATGATAAGTTCGAAGAGACTGCAGGTGAGATTGGATTGGGCGGTACAGCTGCCAGTAGAGCGACTGCCGGGCCCTCAAGTCTGAAATCAACGCCAGAATCAAAGGCTCCAAAGAGACGCTCAGCTGCTACCAAAGAAATATCTCCCCCTCCCTTGAGACGGCAGTCTGCAAATGGAACGCGAGTCCCTCTTAACATAGCCCCGGCTCAGAACGGACGCAGCTCAAGCGGCGCTGCCACGCCAAGCATACCTCAGGCTGCTGTTCAAATCCCAGTCAAAGCTCCGTTAAAGGTAGAATCCTTAAACCCTCGTGTTCTCAAGAGAGGTGCCCCAGCTTCTCACGATATGAGGTATAAACTGCTCAAAGCATTGCACGAGCAACTTACTCGACTCAACTCTGAGCTGGTGAAGGATGCAAGCCATTCCGAGGAAGAGCTTATTCTTTCCGAACAAGCGCTCATTACCATGTGCTTGGATATTGAAGAGGAGGCAACAGCTTCACCTTCCATCTATTCCAATCTTGTGAAAAACAAGATTTTGGCTTACAAGCGGATGACTGTTAAGCAATGGATTGAGGAGAGAGGAAAGGAAGTTGCCAAGGTAAAAGCTTTGGAAGCGACTTCGATGTCGGACACGCCAACGACCAAGCCGCCAGAAGCTCCAAAGCCAATCGAAACAGGACTGAACATCCATGAGGAGCTCACTCTGCTTCATCGACTCTGCACTCCCATCACAGGGCTATCAAAGCACGGCTATGTAACCGAAATCCCAACCGAAAAGGAAATCGAGTCGGCGAAACAAGGGATCGAGATGGCTAAGGGATGGGAGGTCTGTGATCGTTGCAAGACTCGTTTCCAAGTCTTTCCTGGACGCAGGGAGGAAGATGGTGCCTTAACCTCTGGCGGAAAATGCACATACCACTTCGGCAAGCCATATTTCCAGGAGCGCTCCCCTAATGAACCCAAGGCAAAACGTGTCAAGAAATATCGATGCTGTGGAGAATCAATGGGCGATTCGACAGGCTGCACGCAAGCCGAGAACCATGTCTTCAAGATATCCGAGGTGAAGAGATTGGCAGCAATCTTGAACTTTGAAAAGACTCCCGAGAATCTCGCGAGCGTGTCAGATAGACCAGTCTGCATTGATGGGGAGATGGGATACACTGTCTATGGGCTGGAACTTATCCGTCTCACAGCAACCTCGTGGCCAGACGGAGAGCCACTATTTGATGTACTCGTTCGCCCCATGGGCCCAATTCTTGATCTCAATTCTCGCTATTCCGGTGTCTGGCCTAAACACATGGCGGAAGCCCTTCCTTGGTCTGTATCTGCTCCTGACGACAAGAATGGCAAACTCCGCATCGTCGAGTCTCCTGCAGCTGCACGTACGCTTCTCCTCTCGTATCTCTCTCCTGCAACACCGCTCATCGGCCATGGTCTCGAAAATGACCTGAATGCCACTCGGATGATCCACCCCATCATTATCGACACCGCACTCCTCTTCCCCCATAAAGCCGGCCTCCCTTACCGCAATGGCTTGAAAATGCTCATGCTGACACACCTGAACCGGCATATTCAAGTGGTCATTGATGGCAAGATGGACGGCCACGACAGCAAGGAAGACGCAAATGCTGCTGGAGACCTGGTGAGATTTGCATTGGCCAAAGAATGGTCGAAAATGCAAATGAGCGGTTGGGTAGTGAAGGATGGGGAGTTCAAGCCACCGCTGCCGAAGGAGCCGCGTCCTGGAGCACTGGCGGGACCAAAAACGACGGTTGATTCGCCTATCAAGATCTTGTCGGATACGACGATTGGGAGGAAGAGATCGAGGGAGGAGATGGAGGCAGATGTAGAGGATGGCGAGGTGGTGACGGGGCTTGATGAGGACTGAACAGTTATCTACTTCTGAGGGCTGTGGCTATCGGATTTCCTGGACAGTGAGAGTCCCGGGATCCGCCAGTATGACGCGCATGACATACGACAGCTATCAAGAATAGTAAATAATACTCCTGGAGAAGCCTCAACAAACGTGCACGTACAATGAATCCGAGTATGTGGCCGATATGGCTGGGGTCCTTCACACCGTCCACACTTCGGCATGAAGACATAAAATAGATCTCAAGACATTTATTTATTCATGACCATTTCTCACAGATATTGACCCCATTTCCTCCAAACTCCGTAAATGCAAGTAAATTGACCGGCTCCTGCCCTTAAAAGTCCATATTCATTAGATGCTCCTCTACAATCCTCATAAACTTCGCCACAAAAGCCTCCAGATGGAAAATAACTTTCGAGCCCATCCGAATTCTATGCTCATAAAACGCTGACCATTTGATGACTTCCGCCTTCAAAGCATCATCGACTTGAGGTATAAGCTTGAAAGTTAATGTCTTGAGAATGGTCGTAGGAGGAATGCAATGCGTGAGGAGGTCATAGAGTTTGGCTCGCACTTGGAGGATTCGTGCTGGGGAGCGCTCTTCTATCATCTCCTTGGCGACTTGACCGATCAGGGCTTCCCAGTCAGGGGGGGGTATTGGTGTTTTGTCTGATACTTTCTCGCTGTGAAGTAGCCCCGTTAGTTCCTGTCTGAAGGTATGGGTAAAGGAGGTGGAAATGAACATACTTCTGCGCATGCACCGCCTCAAACATCAACAGCGCCCTTCTCAAATTCCTTTCACTCTCCCGCGCAATCCTAGCATTCAACTCCTTGGCCACCGCCCATCCCTCCTTCCCCGCACTCCTCTCCAAAGCCTCACAAATCTCCCCCTCCGTCGGCGCCGCCACCCTCACCAATAGAGTCCTACTTCGAATCGGCGCAATGATGTTCGCCGTGCTGTTCGCCAGTAATATCAGTCGCAAATTCGGACTATACTTCTCCATCGTCCTCCTCAAAGCCGCCTGCGCATCGCGCGTCAAGTGATCCGCCTCGTTAATAACCACGACCTTGAACCGCTGCTTCGCGCTCTGGTCAACTTGCTGCGTCTGTGCTACCTCCTTCAGCAAATCTTGCACAACAACACGATCGTAGTTCCCAACGTCAGACGGAGTGATCTCGAGATGGTAGACTGAAGCCACGATGTTGAATTCTAGTTTTCGGTTGGAGGTCGTTTGGAAGACGCGCGAGTCGATCTTTATTTTCTCGACGCCGGGACCGTAGAGCTCCTTCAGGGTTGCTACAATTCGGGTTTTCTTCCCTGCGCCAGAGGGGCCGTAGACGAGGAGATGAGGGAAGTCGCCGCTTTGGGCCTGGAGTTGGTGAGCTTTGGAGGCAGAAGGAAGGAGGGGACGGGACGTACAAGAGATCGCAGACGCTCAGAGAGATCTTTGTGGTAGGTCAATTGGTCGAGAGACCGTGGTCGGTGCTTGTCTACGAGAAGCGCCATCTTGTGTTGTGGTGGTGGAAGGGAGGAGACTTGTTGAAGATTGAAGTTGACGACGCGCTTTTCTGACAAGAGACGCGAGACCGCGTAGAGTGTTTAGATGCACGTGACCACAGATTCCCCTATTCTTTACCTCATGCCATCGCGAAGGCATGCTGATCAATCAGGAGTTGGAAGCACTATTATAAATCTTTGCAGCACTTAGCCATGTCAATCGATTTTTAGCATCAATTTTGTCAGAATTAGGTAGGTGCTGTCATCACTTCGTAATTGTAGTTCACATCAAACCATGTACTGATGGTGTCTGTTCAAAAGCTTCGTTATACAATCGAATGTACTGGTTGTACAATTAGGTATGTCTCTAAATCTATACCGTGTTCCACGCTATGTAACCAAGAGTTTCAGATTCCAGAACTCCACGCTAGTCAGATATTTGTCCCACCAGTCCGGTCTCATCACTTCATATCCAGTTCAAACTCTAACTCAACTCCATTTTTATTCGACTTAGACCGATGGGCTGAACTTGCTCATCTTTCTGATCTTGGCTCCATAAATATAGAACAAGACTGGCGCCGGAATCATGGCAATGCAGAGGAAACCAAGCAAGGACGTAGCCCAGTTGACGCCGAGGTTGAGATACATGGCTCTAGCAAACAGGGGGAAACCGGCGCCAGCAAGGGACCGTAGAAGAGTATTAGCGGCAATGGCACTATTTGCATGCCACATGTAGACGTCGATAATGTAGTTCAAGCCCTGCAAGAAGATCATCAGGATTCCCCACCCAATAGGAATACCAGCGATCACTTGAGGGACCCATGTGATGTGAGGGCTACTGGTCCAGGCGAACCAGAAGAGTCCGATTGGCAAAATGATTGAGCCGAGTATCATAGGTGGAAGACGTTCTTCGGGAATGACTCTACCATGCTTTTTCATCTTGCGAGCAAATCGGGTCTTGGTGACGATACTGGGTTCGGTTAGAAAGCTGAAGAAGGGACGGAAGATTTGTGACTTACGTGATAGTCACACTGCCACAGAGAACTCCAATCAGAATTCCCAGGAATGGGAGGGCACCGACACCTTGGTTCCATCCTCGCTCCTCTTGAAAGCAGATAGGGTACGCTTCGAAGAAGAGATACAGCGTTCCGTATATAAGTGCCATGTAGACAGTGACAAGGAGTAGAATTGGTTCTCGAAAGAGCATCTCAAATGGTCGTAATAGATAAGTGTTAACTAGCGACTTGGGATTAATATTGATGGTGTCTCTTTGGCTGTGAATTGCCCAGTTCTTGGTCTCGAATCGAATCTTCTTTGCTCGTGATTGAAGGATCTTTGAATGAGAGGTCTCTGGGACAATTAAAAATCCGATGGTTCCGAAGAAGGAAGCCATGATGAGGGTGATCCAGGCAGTCCATCTCCAGCCAAGGTGCGACTGCGTGATGAAGCCACTATTTGGCGGTCAGCAAGTTTCAAGAGATATCGAAGAGCTGGTAACTTACCCCATGATAGGTCCCGCAATAGGGCCAATAAAGGTCGCCGCAGCAAAAACACAGACAGCAATGCCTCTGTCCACAGGTCCAAAGAAGTCTGCGAGGGCTCCTCCCACAATTGCAAGAGGAGCCGACGCGAAGGCCCCTCCGAAGAATCGACACAGCATAATAGTGTATAAATTTTGTGCCACTGCAACCGGTATTTGGAAAATGGCAAAGCAAAAGTAGCCAAAGAATAGAGGCATCTTTCGCCCGAAGACCTCAGAGCCAGGACCCCAAACCTGTGTCGTTAGCAAGTTAAATCCAAACAACCAAAGACCGGAGACTTACCAGAGGCCCAGCTCCAAAGCCGAGGACGAAGAGCGAAGTGCCAAGAGTAGTGACCTCGGTCGAGACCCCGAACAGCTCAGCAACCGGGACTGTTGCATTACTGAAAACACTCGAGGCGAACGTTACGCAGAAAGTCATCATGCCCAAGGCAATGGTAACTATCCACTTCTTGTTTGTTGGCCAGTTCATTGGGTTCTCCGGGTCATCCGGGCCGTCCCATTCGATCAAGTTTGGGTCCTTCTGTTTGGACTCTTTCCTCCTCAGTTGTTCGGCCCTCCCGTTATCGCTGTGTTGGTTTCCCTTTTCCACATCAGAATCTTCACCACTTCCTTCTAATACTTCGTTGCCGTCGAATGTATCGTCATATTGTTGACGGCTTGGGCGTTGTCCCAGCTGGGAGTCATTAAGTGGTTCCGTCATGTTTGTTGTCTTCTCTGTCAGGGCGTCGAGATGTTCTGTGCTGTCGGCTCGAGTAGGGACCTGTGTTCTTTCTGTATCCGATGATGACCGCATTATAAACTGAGGTTTGTAGCGGGAGAGTAAAGGATTATATCAAGGGTACTTCCAAAGCGGGGCGTCCTAGTCGGGACACGATGCCAATGCTAGATGGGGGCGTTGTGGATCTTCCGTAGAGTGATGGGTAGGAAAGTGAATGGTATCATGCAGGTTGAAACGTGCGATGTGAAGACCGGAGATGGAAGGGTTAGATATACTTGGAGATACGAGACTTATGATAAGCAAGAACGGATATAAGTAAACAAAAGGGTATCCCATTGGTTATCACTAGCAAAAAACGGGCATTTCTCACGGTGTATTGCTCGGCCTGCGGCCTCAAGTGTTGCAATTTGCAAGCAAGGAGACCAAAGGCAAGGGAAAGACATGGGGGCTGTACACTGGAGACGGCGCGCTTGTCACCGACGTTGTTCGTCCCAGCAATTTTGAAGACCGAAGCACCGAGAAAAGGGATGGGACGTTCTAGCGGCCAATGAGCTCAGGGGCAGAGGTCGAGGCTTGCACGGCTTCCACAGTGGTCAAATGTTGGAGCACAACATTAACGCTTGCGCAGCTCGGAGTGACGGAGTCAGAGCCAACAGTACACGGGGAAGAGGAGAAGGGACGATTTGCTGTCCTCGTCCGCCTCTCAGCCCAGTGAGAAAAAATCGTTGATGCTGTGGCGTTGTGATTTTGAAGATTTCTGATCAAGCCCCACAGTGTGACTACAGGGGGGCAGGATGTGTGCCGAATAGCGTGTTCGGCGTAACAGAGCGCGAATGCCGAGGGCATGAAAACACGTCTAAAGGACCTTCGATGATTCATGTCCGGCGGAGATAATAAAAAGCGAATGAAGAAAAGTTGCAGAGAGTCGGGGCCATGAGTAATCCGATTGGAAAATATCCGCTCTTGCAGGAGAGGAGAATGAAAAGTCCGGGCCGAACTCCTGAGTTGTCTGTGTTGCAGGCACTCACTTCTCCTCCTTCACTCCATCCACGAAGACGTCCACCTTCTCATTGTAGAAACACAACCTCCCGGCAACCAAAGCACTCTCTGCCGTAGGATAGCGATAGTACCAAACCACATCCTTGATTTCCTTCCCCTTGACATTGACATTGTAATAACTACCCCTCGTAAGCAACATCCCTCAACCCATCCAAAAAGTGGCACTCACTTAGCCATCCCCTTGTAAGGACAATAACTCGTCGTTTCACTCTCCGTCAGAAACTCCCAATTCATACTCGTAGTAGCCAAATAATACCTTGGTCTTAACATCGTCTCAAACAGAAATACGTTTTGTGAGCTCTTCGCAAGAACAGTGCCATCGACCTCGATTCGGATCTCGCGGGAAGAGGGGATGCATTCTACACGCTTGTAGGGGTCTTTTGGGTGAGTACCGAGAAGCTTTTCGTCTTCCACAAACCAGCCATCTATTCCGTCAGTAGTGAAAAAAGCAATGGCGTTGAGAGTGCGAACCGAGAGCAGAGACTTCAATGCGCACGAGATCTTCCAGCGGCCCTGCATGATCAAATGCAAGAACTCTATCTGTGATCTTCCCTCCTGCGCTCAGTTTTCCTAGCCAATATGACTTCTTTGCCGAGGACCCAACTTCCTCCAGCACTCCCTTCTCAAAGGCAGTTTTGGGGATGTAGAAATATGGATCTGTTTGGCATCAATTACATTCCATTGAAGATCATGCAACAATAAATCAGATATGAGAGTAAGGACAGGACGAACAATAAGCGTGCTCCCAAACATATTTAGCACTGGTAGTATCGAAAACATACTTCCCACCCAGCAAACCGCGAACTCGGCGAGGTGTACCTTCAACTTTATGAGGCCCTTCAGTTGTGAGTTTTTTGCCTAGTGCTTCGAGGCTGTGGCTTGCTTCAGCGTATATTCGGACACGTCGTTTACGTGATGATGCTGCAATCGCAGCTCTCCGCAATCTCGGAGTTGGCACTTACTCTGCCATCTTGGGAACGAAAATAAAATGCGATTTCAAGGGTAAAGGTGGAGTGCCTTGCACGGTGTTGTAGAGCTCGAACAAGTTTGTCGTGACGGTAAGCACACTTATGCTTAAAACGGATAATATCCATTTAAGCAGTGTAGTCATCTCTTTGCGGGGTAATCCGGTCCTCGGTGCGAGGTCCGAAATTCCAGATCACAAACGGAAGAAGAGTAGCAGCTCTAAATCTTCATAGGAAGACGAACTTTTACGATTATGATTCATTTGTGTCTATTCATCTGTTCATGAAGGATCATAAGCCACTGAGAGTCTATGCCCAGACGCCGGAAGATGCAATGAGGCAAATCCCATGAACCCTTGATGCTCATAACGCTCAAGCAACGATGCTTGAATAACATACAAGAATGTTTTGCACAAAGGTACTGTACACGTTCAAATAATTCCGCCAGGCATATCAGAGAAGCTGGGGCTTGATTGATAGCATCAGCCCGAAAACCGAGGGCATCCGCCACCTTGCAAAGGAAGCAGTCAGGTCATGGGCTGACGCAAGTAGCACCAAACGCCGAAAAGATTCAGGGTCCATAACATCAACCTCGCTTGCGAGCGTTGGCCTCCATCTGCAAGCGGTCTCGGTCCCTCTTGGTAATTCTTGGATTCCGCTTTTTCTTGCCAGGTTCCGCCGGCCCGCCCTTTTGGGCATTCGGACCACCTATCTTCCTTCCGCCCCCATTATTGGGCCCTGGCATCGATCGGGGATGCATTCCTTGCGGAGGACCACTTGGTCGATTCAATCCGTGTTGAGGAGGTTGAGGAGGTTGAGGAGGTTGAGCAGCGTGATATGTCATACCTCCGGGGTAGTTGTGCATGCTCCCGGATCCTTGAGCAGCCGCATGCGGTCTGCTAGGTAAAGACTGCTCGTTTGAACGCCCAAACCGAATGTGGCCACTCTGAACGGGGGGGTTGATCTTTGCCCGAATGAAGCCTTCACCATCGTCACTGTCATCGATTTCAATAGGGTCGTTGGCCTTCCCTTTGATGCTGAATTGCTTGTTCGATCGTGGTGGGATGGAATAATCAATGCCAGAGGAAAGCGCACGATCTGAACTAGCAGGGTCAACGTACTTCTCCAGGTTCCGTTTGGACCAGGTATTTCCATCCGAGAGAATGCGGCCTCTGTGCAACCCGCACTCTGGTCCGTAGTGATCACTTCCTCCACACACATAACAGTGAACCGGGATGTCCCGAACTGTACGTATCTCTTCGGGCCTGGGCTCATAACTACGCCAGATGTACTGGCAAGCGATCTCGAGGTGATCCTTAGAACCACAGATGTCGCACGCAACTGCCTCGCCTTTGGAACGAGCAAGTTTTTCGGGGCAATCTTCCTTAAAGTGACCTCGTTCGCGACATTTGTCACATCGCGCGTTGAAGGGGCATGAAGCCGTAGAATGCTTGCCAAAAGTAGAGCATGATGTGCATGAAAGAGCAGGGCAAGTTGAACTCCTGTGCCCAAGACATCCACATGAGAGGCAGCGAGGGGTTGTCGAGGCCGTGCGTGAGGGGAAATATTTTTGTTGCAGAATAAGTTCTGCTTCATTCATGTCAAACTTCATGCTTTGCACCCCTTTGGCACAGACACCGGCATCTATCAAGTCCGTACTTTCCGATGCCACCACATCGACCATGGTTGTATCATCATCCTTCGGAGTGGTTTGTCCCTTGTCCGTCATGGACCGCTCGACGTTGGTGGATGTTCCTCCAAGATCGGTATTCTCCTTCTTCGATGATTTAACCCGACTGAAATCAGATTTTCTTAGGCCAGCTTTGGTATCACCACGTTTTGGTGGATTTGGTTCCAAGCCAGCAGCCTTGGCTTTGTCGGGATTCTCAATTGCCCCCGCGAGTAGAGGCACAGAGACCATTCCCAGACCGACACTGCTTGCCGCCAAGGGACCATTCGATGTATTTGAAGCCTCCGTATCGGCAAGGCGCTTCGCCTGCTCTAGAGTCAAAGCATCACTGGCTGTCGCAGTTGTTGAAAGCCGACCAGTAAATCCGAATTGCATAACATGGCTATAGAAGACGCTTACATAGAGATGAAACGCTGCGATGACATTCTTTTGAGTGAGCAAGTCTCGTCTCTTTCGGTGTGCCGCAAGAAAGGCCGGCGCAAACACATTGAAAGAAAACTGTTCGATATGAATGTGCTTGCCTTGATCAAGTATCTCAGAAAGAGGAAAGTTCACTCCACTCTTTTGATAAGATGGGTTGCACTTTCGAGGATAGCAGGTGAGGCCCCTCGCAATATCATCCGGGGCCGCCTTGCGAGTGGCTTCTTCGAAAGTTTCCCGTTGCTGTTCCAATTTTTTTGCCTCTAAGACACGATACTCTTCTTGTTGTTGAGGATCGAGTAATTCGAGCTCGGCACGGGAAAGCTTCCTTTTTGATCTGCGGGGCTGAGGATCTTTCATCTCTTCCAGCACCTCTCTAGCTTTCACTTCTCGATTCTTTGCCCTCTTTGCCATATGAACTGCAAGAGCTTCATCATAAGCCTGCCTCTCCGCGGTTGTAAGATATCTCAACTTTTTCTTGCCAATTCTTTGGAACCTTGCTGGGGGCTCAGAGATAGAGGATATCACAGGTGGACCACCAGATCCAGCTATATTACTGTGCCCACTTTCTTCGCCCTCACTATCATCACCCTCAGAAGAGTCTGGCTCTGGTTGGAGGCCTGCTTGTGTTTCTATGATGTTCGTCGGTTCCCATGCCTGCTCCTCAAGATGGCTTCCAGATTCCGAGATGCGAGCCTGTGGTTCTTGATAGGGAAATGAAGCCAGACTGCTAAGCATCTCGGTCTGTGCTTGATTGCTTGTCAAAGCTTTGCCATCATCAACGAGCTCATCAATCTTGTCATCCGAGACTCTCGCAGTATCTTCGTCACAAAGCATAGGAGTATCTTCCTCTGTTGCAGATGGAATTACTGAATCAAGGCTGCTTTCAGGTCTCTCTCCCATGAGACTGATTGGATTGACTTGACGAGACCGACGTTTACTCTTGCCTGCAAATGAAGTTCGAACTCCGCTCTGCACACCTTGGTTCCAAGTAGCAGGTATGGCGTTTTGAACTCCGGCAGCAGATTGGAATCCATCAGATCCATGTTCAACAATGCCAGGAATGGACCGCGTCGTAGTGGCATCTGGCTTGTCCATCACTTTTCTCGAAAGCTCCGACGCTGACTTCTCACGCTCCAAACACGAGGATTCTTTGGCTTCGACCTCAGAGGGTTGCTGATCGAGAGAATGAGAATCATTTAACGCCATATCCAGCTCAAGACTTATAGTGTCCAAAGGTAGGTGTGTCTCCTTGACGCGTTTATGGGATCTCTCTTCATCAGAGGAGTCGCCAGCATCGGCAGGCTCACGATACTGCATCGAGTCATGGAGATCGCGTTTTCGGCCCACGACAGACGTCCTCGAAGCCTACAACGTTAGCCTGGACTAAAACATTAGAATCAGCCGCCCTGAATAGGTCGAAGCCTTGTTCCAAGGGACACCGCAGTCGTAAATGCCCTCGTGGTGCAAATTCACCGTCGTGTGTTTGTTGTGGATAGAGTTAAAGTTTTGCTCGGAGCAGTGGCTTCTTCGGGCGAGAATTCCCTTCCCTGCTGGCGCTAGTCGAGGCTTGCATTGGTCAATAACGCCAGAACTCAACCTCGTACAAGGTGACAACCCCAGTCTCTGCTGTCTATTCATCCCCAATTCGACTTGCGTCCCCCAAATTTTCTTTATCTGTTCCCTTCCTGCCCAGTATCTTGTCACTCGCTTTTGGCTGCGGTCTAGACTCACGAATTAGAGGTGAGCATCTCCTCAAGCTGACCGGATTCCTCTCCGGCCTAGGTACTTCTGGCCACTCTGCGCGTGCCTCCTCCAGCTTACGTTCCGCCACTTATCACACAGTTACCAGATGCTGACAGGGTGAAGCTATCCGATTTAGGACCATCGAGCTTGCCCAGATCCTCTCCAACTCTGCCGGCGTCAGAAACCCCCATTTTCCATCGAGACCACGCTCTTTCGAGCGTTTTCATCACTCAATATTCCACCTCCTACCACCGCCAAACTGTCTTCCCCGATACTCCTTCCTCGCACCGTCTCCTACGACGCGAGCTCGAAGGGTCCACGTCCGAGCGGTCCGTACAGAACAATGAGCGAACAAAAGACGGGGAGGCGGCGGCGGTCGAGTAGTCTGCTATACCAGGAGCCACCGGAGACAATAGAGCATATGAGTGACCAGGCAGCATTGCCAAATTTGAATGCAAACTGGGTGAATGCGAAGGGTCAGTCATCTCCAAACTTCTCAAGCCATGCCAAGCTGGAGGCAACCTACAGCTTCAGTTGTCGAAGGAAGCTGGTAGTCTTCCGCCACCATTGCTGACATGATCATACCAAAGGGGCCTGGACAATACATCTAGTTCTTATTGCGTGCCTCAAAATCCTTTTCGACATTATCCCTGGTGTCTCGCAAGAAACCTCGTGGACTTTGACAAACATTTCATACATGTTCGGGTCGTTTCTCATGTTCCACTGGGTCCGCGGAGTACCTTTTGAGTTTAACGCAGGTGCTTACGACAACCTAAATATGTGGGAGCAAATCGACAATGGCGCCCAATACACACCTGCAAAAAAGTTCCTTCTCAGTGTACCAATTGTGCTGTTCCTTCTAAGCACTCACTATACCCACTACGACCTAACGTATTTCACAATCAACTTTCTGGCTGTACTTGGAGTTGTCATACCAAAGCTACCATACGTATGTCGTCAAGGGATATCTTGTTGAGCATACTAACGATATTAATAGAGTCACCGCACGAGGGTGGGTCTCTTCTCAGGAGCTCCAGAGGATAGGTAGCATGGATGACTGCATGGCGATTGTACGATGTTTAGGCTTATGGGCCATTCTATCATGGAAGGATACACCCAACCAGAGACGATGAAAGATGTATTTAAGACAGCAAAGAAACACGTCAGGTCTTGGCTACATCAGTCACAGTGGTTCTTGGAAATGGAGTGTCTTCTCCGAAACGTCACATCAAAGTCTGCTGTCCAAAAGAGCGGAGAAGACGTCGAGGTAAGAGCCGTCGCCACGCCTTACTCTAAAAGTACATAATTTATGCGCTTTCCACACCAATTGATTTGACAGCTGCTAGCGGCCGTGGATAAGGGCTGCTTAGCATGGTATATGATTCAGTTTCTGGGTCCTAGAGACTCAACGCGTGTCATTGATCGGGCTCGAAGTGACGAGTATCTGTTGAGGAGATATCTCCTATGGTGACGTTGAGTGCTGCTCATTGATCTATTAATGCATCGATCTTCCTCCTCAGAGTCTTCTTGTCAGAATTTCTTCGGCTGTCAATTTAAGTATTCTCTTTTCACACTCGCTCGAACCCTGCAAAGTCAATCGCTCAAAAGATTCGTTCAAGATGCATTTCTCTTACGCCGCCGCCGCCGTCCTTGCTGCTGTTCCAAGCAGCGTCAACGGCTACATCGCTGCTCGTGCTCACCCCACGGGGATGATTGCTCACATGCAGTGGGACAACAAAACCGGGACTGCTTGGCACAACAAAACCGAGACTGCTTGGGTCACCGAGACTGTGACTGCCTACAAGACGTACTGCCCGTCCGCCACGAAGTTCACGAAAGGCACAAAGACTTATACGGCCACTCAGCAAACCTGGGTCACAGTCACCGACTGCCCGAACAAGTGCACCATCTCTTACCAGCCTGCCAAGCCAAGCATCGTTCCCGTCGAATCTGCTCCAGCTAAGAACGGCACCGCGCCTCAGCTCTCAACCACCCCTACCAAGCCTATCCCGTGAGCTCATCGTACTACCAACCCAACATACCTATAGCTAACCATCCTCAGGGTCCCAGCAGCACCAGCCTGCAATTGCCCACAGGCCAACGCCACTGGTAGCACTTGCGAGTGCCCATCTACCGGACCTACTGGCTCTACTGGTTCGACTGGCTCTGGCTCTACTGGCTCTGGCTCTACCGGTTCTGCCGGTTCTGCCGGTTCTACTGGCTCTACCGGCTCGACTGGCTCTACTGGCTCTGGTTCTACCGGTTCTACCGGTTCTAACGGCTCTAACGGCCCGACTGGCTCTGACTCAACCGGCGGTCCGACTGGAAACCAAGGTAACACCCAAGCCCAGACCACCAGCGCAGGTGCCAAGCTCTCCGCCAGCCTCTCCTGCCTCGCCATGGCTGCCATCTGCTTCTTCGTCTTGTAAGCAGGTATCGGTAATGGTTGAAATGTTCGCTATGACTGCTGGGTTGTGTGGACACAAGGAAGTCTCGGGTGAGGAGATGGGTGCATTGAATGACGAGCATGTTGGCGTCATGATCTAAAAGTTTTCTGTGTTTCGATGGTCACTGCTGGTATGAAGAATCGAGTTTGGGGAGTTATTTCATTGGTGTGATTGGTATCGGGGACGAGGTCGGGACGTTAACAGATAATAATATTTAATAATTAATAATTTGTGGATTGAGACTCTCGTCTGCCTCTGTGGACTTTTATTGATCTCATGTAGGTGTGTTTTGCAATGATTCGTGTGCGGGCAAGATACGGCGCTGACGAAAGGTGAACCAAGATTTGTCGAGGAGCGGCTTCGCTTAATATAGGGGGTCACGTGGCTGCCCCTTTCTGTTCTTGAACTCGCAGTCCCAGAAAAGTGCAGGTGTAGAGACTAGCAGTACAGAATTTTGGATCATACAATGTAACTCCTCCTAGTTTTGGAATCAGACCTTGCCACTGAACGAAATTACAATGATGTTTCAAAGCACCACGAAGGAAAGTTTCGAAGATGAATTAGAACGATAAAGCTTTGGCCCCCGTCCTGGTGTCAGACTCATCTAAAATTAGCGTCTCATGACTGGTTAAAGGATCGAACGTTTATTACTTTGTTCTGTGATACAATTGATAACTTAATCTCCGTTTATCTCTAGCAGAAAACTTTTGCACATGCTCTCGGCCAGATCTCTGGACTATGAAGCTTAGTTGGACAAAGAAAGCTGGTAACACATTCGAATAACATTCTTACCAAGAATAGGACACATAATTAAATTGTTCACTTCAACAAGAAGACAGCCGCAATATCTAGAACAGCTCCCTCAATGCAAAAAAAAAACTCTTCCACTCCGCAAGTATAAATTACCTCTCCATCTCTCGCCCGCCTCCTCGTTCCATTCTTTCGTTTAATCAATTCAAACACCACTTCACCCTTTGCCATTCATTCTTTAATCCATCTTCTCGCAATCATTAATTCACTTCACAATGTGCTGGACCACAGAATCGTACTTCACCCCCTGCACCCACTGGGGTAGCGCCAGTGTCGAAACTTTAAGTCTCGAGGCAACAGCGTCGAGATTTCGGAGCGGGTGTAGTGATTCAACCGTTGCGGGCGTCACAAGATACAACACGCCATGTCCGGCCTGTAGGAAGTGAAACATCGAGATTTGAGGGTGCAACTAAGGATTGAGAAGATGGGCGTGCGAGTTGGGGTTGGAGTTGGGAAATGAGTTGGCGGGGAATTGGGAGTAGAGAGGAAAATGTTGTCGCTGCAGGAGCGTTCGGACAGGTGCTGGATGCCATGCCGGAACAGCGACTACAGATCATCGCCTCCGCGACATAAAGTCTAATGTCTAATCAAGAATGCATTACTTGAACAACCAAAACTTCTGTTTTTGAGTTCCAGTCCTTGACACTTGAGACAACGTGAGTGACAAGCAAAGATAGAAGCAAAGTAACACGAGCCAAAAAGATGATAGTTCGTTCTTCCCAGAAGAGTGGTGATCAAGCTACCGGCTCCTGTTCTCCTCTTTCTTTGTCCCTGGTTCAATCGCCTTCCTCCGTCTATATAACCTCTCTCATTTCCTAGACACTGAAATTAGAAGTCGCGGAACTTTGTCCATGTGGATATTTGTATGCACGAGTCTGAGAGATGATAGTTCGTTTGGGGAAAAATGGTGATCAAACTATGACTCCTGTAATCGCTCACTAATGATATTAGTCCGCACCCTTTTTGGGGGGTTCATATGAGATGTTTTGATGCTCGGTGAGAAGAGTCTGGGTCATGGCTAAGGGTCTGAAGATGATAGTTCGTTCGAGAGAATGGCGATCAGCTGTAACTTACCTCCTGTTGATTGGGCACTAATTGCTGGGTTGAGGCGTCTTGCGAAGACTTCCTTGTGAGATGTTTTGAGGTTCGGCGAGAAGTGCATGATATATTGAGAAGGTCGACAGATGATAGTTCGTTCGAGAGAATGGTGATCAAGCTAGTTGACTTATCTCCCGCTTATTGGGCAGTGATTTCTGGGTCGAGTGACATCTTGCAAGTATAATTTTAATCCCAATGGTTTCTGCCTTTCCAAACCCACTTTAAACGTTGATTATTAACCCCATGGGAAATACTTGGATACAACCCCAAGATCCCATAATGCGAAATATGGAAATAGTGAATTGCCAAGGAGCAATTGAGGATAGGAGGAACTTCTCACTTTAAAGTTGATCCTCACTTCCCCAAGTAAAGCACCGAGAATGGCAAAGAAAAGGCTCCTGACAAGTGACTTTTTAAATCACCTCGTCATCCAAGGCGAATCCAAATTAGTCGTGCAAGAGCGAATATCCTCAACCGCGAAAAAACAAACGAGGCCAGCATTTTTTTGACTATGTAATCCCCCTCCTCTCTACATGGCTTCGATCTAAGCTAATCAGAAAAGTCACAGAACACCAGCACCCACGAGCACAACCTTCGACAACAATCTACAATGTTCCTGGCAATGCCGAAACAATGAGCCATTGACAAGAGCTTCGATATTCGGAGCTTCCATCCATTCGAGGACATCAGGTATGTCGCATGTCTGCACGCAGTCGACTCGATTGATGGCCGTGACGCCATTGATGCTCTCGGAGCGGAGCTGCTTGACGTTGGTGATGACCCTATGCGGAATGGGTTTGGTGGAGGGCAATTCACCGCTTTTGTTCATCCTCGCTGGTGCCCGAAATGCGTTGTGCGGCGTACCGCCCTCCTGAACCAAGGATTGGCCACGAGACTTGCGAAGATCGATCCCTTCACGGACAATGAAGTAGTACGCAGAAATGAGAAAGCATATGTCTTAGGTGTTTTCCAAGGTAGAGTCTATGCCCTCACCGCCCCACTTGAGGAGAACGAGCAGGCCGAGTGTGCCGATCTTGAGCCCGGTATAGACGACGTTGTTGACATGCTATTGGAGGACCACCTGACCGAAGGCGAGGAGGGCATCGAGGAGCCTGCTGCAGATCTGGGCAACGGCGGTATGCAGAACCTGACTGACAAGATGTTCGGTGCCCGATTGGCTGAGGGCGATAGTTGTTGGCGACACTCATGAATAAGTGCAGAGTGGGGGACGAAGAGATAGAGCTTGACGAGCTGCACATGGTGCTGGAGATCGAGTTAGAGCTAGCGCACATCGCAGACCTGGAAGAGAAGAAAGGGTTCGAGGACGGCTGAGACCTTCAGGCGGGACTCGAGAGGATCGCATTGAGCCACGATGAGGACATCGAGGAAAGAGGAGAGCTGCTTGGACAGGGTTTGCCCTGAATGCTGTTGCTGTCGATCATGGTGTCGATCATGGTGTCGATCATCCGTGTCTTTTTGACAAGTTTGCCTCCGTCAGAATTGTCACTGACCAAGAGGTATTGACCACATACGCAAGCTCACTATGATGTAGATAGAGACATAAATGACAAGACTCGATAATGAACTGTTACTGGTGAAATTGGCCACCGGCCTTAAAACGCATTGAAGACTATTTCGAAGAACTGGTATTAGGAGTAAAGCTTCAACAATGAGCGAGTGGTAGTTCTTAGAGCAGCATGAACTCTGCAGATGCCTCTCACAAATGATGAATAAGGACTGCGAGAGGACGACGGTGGTGTATGGACAATTCCCAGATTTGAGAGATGATGCACCCGACATGCACATCAGCAGATCCACTTGGATAGTAGATGTAGGTGGGACTCGAAGCGGGAAGATATACTTCGTCAGCATAAACTGAAACTGCTTTCCGCCTCTCACTCCTACCAGCGAATGGTTCCAACCTCGTCCGACTTGATATATCGACGCGATTTATCGCGATTGACCCTGGGTGGCACGCTCCGATGGATTCTGGCCCTGGCCCTGACCCCGAGGATGATTTTCGTGCAGGTCTCCCATGCTTGATGGGATCAACACGGCATATAATGCGGTGCAATGTGACGAAGAGAGCAAGACCCGACAGCACTGCATGCACCAAGCACTGTTCATGGCTTGCTAGATTGATCCAGTGCTGGGAACGAGTCAAGTCGGCGACTGAGTAAGTGCACGTTCAATTGTTGCAGCACTTGCTGAAGCCTGAAGCGTCTCCACAAAGATTCGCAGCGGGATTTGCCTCATTGGGGGGAAGTTGTGGAGGAGGTCTGAGGGCGGACGACTAAAGTCGAGAATCTAGAAGGGGTGGAATAATGGTGGAATGCGGAGAAGGCGAGCCTTGACTAGCAACATCTGGACATCTGCGAATCATCTCTTGCGTGTTGGGGGCAAGAGGCAGGGTGCCAGGGTGGACGATCCGCGGGGTTGGCACGGTGCCTTTTGGCGTGCTGGAGATGTGATGCGGTGCGAGGCGGTGCGATCTCGACGAGCTGTCAAAATCATCGCCGCCGTCACTGCAAATCTTCAGCCTGCAAGAGCTTGTTTGCTTGGTACAGCCTTTTGCAGGCCCGAACGCCCGCCTTGTGCCTGTCCTCCTCCCCTCCTCCCAGCGCGGCCCTCAACTCACACTCCACACGCCTACACACACACACCCACACCCACGCACACGCACACGCACACGGTCGGCACGCCGTCGTACTCCGTACTCCGTAAGGTCACCGATCCCTGATCAGGAAGCAAAATTGCTGGGTGTCAGCCACGCGAGGTCTCCACCACCACCACCATCGCTTCGGTCGTTGGACCGCTGCCATCCTGCGCCAGCGCTCGGGAAGCATCAATTAGAACAGAGTTCCACACCACTAGAACGATGGCCTCCCCGCTCCAATTTCGCATGCCTTGGCGATCTTGCGTCTTGGTGCAAGTTAGTGATCTTGAGTCTTGGCCTCTTGATCAACTGTCAACACCTCAACACCTTCTTCACCTCTCGCCTCTCGTCCGAGGGGCCCGTGGTATCGGTGTGACCCCTTTCTTTTTAGTCGTGGATGCATGCAGAAGAGAGGAAAATTATGAAACATGCAGCCGGCCCAATCTCTTTGTGCTGCCGGAGTGGGAGCTCGGATTGCTGGGCTGCAGGTACGGAGAACCACACCACTTCACTGGCCACTGTTGCTTGACCGCAGACCTCGATGTCCCGTCCTCCTCGTGCACTCAGCCGACCAGAATGCTGCTTTTGGACTCCTGTGTCACTCACTCCCCCTACCGGTGGCTACAACTATTGCGATCCTTGGGGCAAGGGATTGCTTTTCTCTCCTCGTCAATGGAATTGGAAGATTCCTTCCTTATCAGCGGGAAGCCGTCGACGTTCGGTGCAAGCAAGATGCACTCTTGCCGCGTCCCGAGGGCTTCGACTACTTGATCCAAGAGTTGAGACATATTGGCAGGAGGTTCCCCGTTGCCCCAACTTACCCGTGCATCATGGAATGTCTCTGGACTCTTTGTTCTGGCAAGGGCAGGCAGCTCAGCCAGTATTGGCACGTTTCTTGGCTTATGACAATCAACGATCTCCGTTCGTGGGTTTTGTGGAGCACACGGAGGCTAGTCCTACTATGAAGTGCGCACTGCTTGTGTGGCTCAGACCAAAGCCATATTGGTACCTTAACCCAAAGCAGCTGTGAGGCTCGCAGCCACCACCAGCTGATTGTGTCAACCCGATCTGCACAGATCTGTCGCCTTCTGCCGTTCTTTGCCAGCTTCCGTCTGTGGGCCTGCCTGCGAGCCTGCCTGCGAGGAGCTGCCCTGTACTTGTACATCATGACATATAACCATCCCGCGCCTCGTCGTCCCGCCCATTTTGCCCTTCTGCCCTCCCTCCTATCTCCCAACTCCCATCTCCCGCCTAACCTCCATCCATTATTGGACGACGCGAGTCTTTCAGCCTTTTCATGAGGCCCTCTCATTCTACGGTCCCGACGGATGCGCCCTTCCCCCCAAGACTCTCGCGGCCGGATCTAACCACTCGCGAGCAGAATCCGATAATTTAGATGCACGACCCCTGAGTTGGGCAGCCCATACCAGCTACTTTCTCGCTTCACGAATCACGTCAGCTCCAGCCTCTATCTCTTCTCAGTGCTCGCCGTCCGCTCCTTCTTGACAACTGGCGAGTCTGCGCAGCGTCTGACGCTTTCAGAAGCTCACCATTCCTTGACTCGACCTTTTGGCTGCAATTGTCTCGCAGCGCAATATATACATACATATTTATCCGCGGTGTCTCTGCGCGCCGAGTCCGTCTGCCGACTCCCGCATCGGCGCGACTTCGACGATTTTAGCTGCGATTGAACTTTCTCAGGTACGTCCAGACAACGGTTCCGCATTCAGGGGAGACCTCCAGAGGAACTGGCGAAGGTTCGAGCCAGACCTATCTTCATCTACATCTACGATCTTCTTCACTTCTCCGATATCATAGTTCGCTTCAAGTAGCACGAATTTGATAGGAGCACAACATTCATGTATCCCATGCATTGACGAGTCGGGCGATCCGACAGGAACCCATACATCTCCAACCCCCTTCGTCGTTCCCGTTTCGGTTCCCCACAATTTTGGGATGCAGGAAGGCTAACTGGATAAATTCCCAGAGACTTCTGTTTTTGATCGTGCGACTCGTCGAAATCCCGATTTTTATTTTCCGATTTGTTCTTCAACACCATCCCGGGGGCAGGGTTAATGAAAGACGAATTGACGGCACAAAAGGAGAAGATTTGAATGGTGTTTGAGGGCTAGAACTCGGCGCTGTCACATACCGGTAGAACTCAAGATGGCACCTCCAGACCTCGCGGTACACACTGGTCGATCATCAAGATCGCATAGCATCTCGAGCGACAGGCCTTCTTTGACAGGATTTGGGAACTTGCTCTCTCCACCAACATCAATTACACCAGATCCCGCCTTCATTGCCGCATCTGCTGCCTCGCAGATTGTCACAAATGATCATGACAGCCTAGCCGATACTTGGTTCGATCAGCACGGCATTGAGCCCTCTGGAGAGACCGCACTTGTCGCCCCGCCTGCGTTGAAATTGGTCAACCGCTTTCTGGACCAGCTCTTGTTCAACTTTCTCTCCATATCGAAGTCGACGTCTCTTGGGTCTCTTCGACCCGCAGTCAGTGAGGTCTTGAAGCCGAAGCTTGCCAAAGATGCAATCAACGGTGCCGATCAGGAGTTGCACGAGTACTTGGGAGGCGGAGAAGATGAAGAATTACTAGCATTTCACAACGGGCTGGAACCGGGCAGTGATTGGGATCTAGAATTGGTCTGGAAGCGCACCCGATTGCGATGCATGGTTTACTCGTCTCTCGGAGATATGGAAGAGGAGGATGAAGATTATTACACCGAGCAGGAACAGCTCGATGGACCCCCAGGCTCGAGCAGCAACCGATTCTCCAATAATCCAGGAGTGGTGTCTCCGGCGGTTGCTATTTTCCTCACCTCAATCTTAGAATATATGGGAGAACAGGTTTTGATAGTCGCAGGTCAGGCTGCATATCACAGATTACGTGCGAAGCATGAACGGGAGGAAAGGGAAGGCATAAGCACGCCGTCAGAAATTGCCGATCGTGTAGTAGTGGAAGAATCGGACATGGAGCGTGTTGCCTTGGACAGAACTCTAGGGCGGTTATGGAGAGGCTGGAAGAAGAGAATACGGTCGCCTACGAACTCCATTTCAATGACTCGCTCATTCTCGAGAGAATCCATGACATCCCAGCCTCAAGGCAGCCGGGCAACGAGCATGACACCTGAAGAGGCTATATCAGAAGATATGACATCGCTGGCAGCTGTCTTGGCTGAATATGAGCACGCGGCGACTATCCCTCTGCCAATTACAGATGATGATGTGAGAGAAATTGAGATTCCAGGTCTTGCAAAGCAGAGCGATGATGAAGAGGAGGAAGAGTCTAGCGCCGATGAGGAGCTTCTTGTAAAGTTACGTCCGAAGAGTATGATCGTTTTCGATCACCCCGCTCCCGAATCGTCGACAGAGCATTCGCAGACGGCAAACCTCCTGTCTCCGAAACCGAAGAACCGCAGAAACTCGTTACCTCTCCCTTCAAGAGCGCCTTATTCATCCCCTTCATCAACCGAAGTGCCTGCTGGAGAGGATGGAGAAGAAGTTGAAGGTTCACCTGAGAAAGAGCCTATACCAATTGAGGAAGCTAAAGCGGAGCCGGAGGCTGTCAATGAAGAAAATGCGACCTCAGATGATCACAAGGGCGTTGTCGTTGGTGTCATTGCCGGAGCTGCTGCTCTCAGCGCCGCTGTTGTCGCAGGCGTTGTGGCGGCCGCAAATGGAGAAGCCCCATACACTGCACTGGAGAGCTCGAAAGAGGAGACCGATGCGGAGGAGGAGTTCACTGAAGAACCTCAGATCATGACATCCTCTCGTGTCTCAATTGGTGGAGGTCATATGACTCCAGACGAACCCAAAGCGCTCTCTAGACAGTCCAGCGTGCGATCTTCGAGTGTGCATTCTCTACGACTGATTGATGTGACCGCAGCCAAAAGTCCAGTCCGGTCACGAACTGGGTCTATGGATGCAGCTGACTATATATCTATTGGACGACCCACGGTAACGTCTCGACCCGGCAGTATACATTCTCCGGTTTTGGACACTCCAACACCTCGAATTGCTAGTCCAGTGGCAAGAGGTGCTACTTCCAGCCCTGTCATTCGAAATGGATCGTCCGTCAGCGTCAGGCACCCAGCTGGAGATTCTATTTCTGAGCTGGAGGAGAAGGAGGCTATTGATACCGAATCAGAGCCTAGGACGGCAGTTCCGGCTGATGTTGCAAGATCAATGCGAGGCGCTGATGTGGATCCAAGCCCAACTTCATCTCAATTTACAGCCGACAATTCCAGCAAAGGTGCCACACCACACACCTCCACATTCATTCTTTCCGCTCCTCCTGCAGCTAGAAATCTACGAGATGGTCCAACATCTCATCCAAGTGATCGTTCCGATCAGCAAAGTTCGACTTTGTCGGCAACCACGCGAGCTCTTGGTGTAGAAAATGGCGTTCCTCCCCTCACTCCTTTGCGTGAAATGATGGAAGGAGCACCAGATACTTCAGATGAAGCCAGTAGTGTTGCCCCAAGCAATGACGCGCAGAGCATGTCGGAGTATGGTATCAATAGCCATGCCTCATCGGACTCCACTTCGACAAAACCCAGTTCCAGACGTGTTCCCGACCAAGAACCTTCAATCCAGGCACAATATAACGTTATTAACCCACTTCGAAGCTCGCCGCCGCGGCCTTCAAGAGACGAGACACGAAGGATTGCCCCAGAACCCAAAAGTCAAAGATCCATCCACACATCCGGATCTGGGTCGTCTTCCAACTCTCATAAGATCAAGCCGATCCGAACTTCTCAGGAGAGTACATCAACGCTTGCTGAAGACAAGGGCCGAAGCTTTGAGCAGCTTATCCGCAGTGACCAAACCATTCAATATACACTGACACCACAGAACATGCGCAACATCGAGGTATGCACCCCTATGGTCCCTCTTGACTCGAGCTAACCTTCTCCTCAGTCTCCCGAGTCACCTCGCTACGCCAATCATGCTATTCTTCCGAATAGCAACGATGCCCAGAGGCCAAACACGAGTCGGTCACATTCGTCGTCCGTTAGCAAACTTACTGGATTGAACTCGCACCCGCCGATAGAACTCCCCAGATCGGCGAAACAACTCACACAAGTCCCTCGACCTTCAAACACTGGGTCAAGAGTGCGACCGAACGCTCCTCAGCCCAGGGATGCTCGAGTGGATCGGGATTCCATCGGAGACTTTGCCGATTTCATTAGAAGTACTGGTAAGATGCGCCTTGGCTTTAAACTCCTACCCAGCGCCTATCCTCATGCTAATTTTTTTTATCTTCTAGGTCCTGTTGATTCCTATGAGCGAATACCGCCCCGGACTGCTCCTGGTCATCGGGGAGCTAACGGTGTAGCTCGTAATGGCAGCGCCTCATCGCCACGGTCTGTCACAGCAGGGCCTACCCCACGGCGTACAGAATCATCGGCAGGTAGGAGCAGATTGCAAGCTCGCGATGCCACCGTTACCCGCGGTGACAGTATCAGTGATCTGATCGACTTCGTGCGATCAGGACCTCAGCTTGACAAGGAGAGCCATCGAATTCCTCGTACTGTTGCCCCATTCCGAACTACTATGGATTCAGACCAAATGTCAGGGGCTATTGGTGGCAGAGCGGTTGACGCTTCGTTACCCGATCCACGTTACAGTCAGGCATCCACATCTGCCCACAACTCTGTTAACTCACAAAGTGCTTTGTTGTCCAATGCCTCAAAGAACAAGCCTCTTCCGATTCAAAACAACCGGCACGACTTCGAGGAGGAGGACATGATGCCGAAACGGAAGACTCGAAGGGTTCGAGATCCCTATGCTATTGACTTCTCCGATGATGAAGAGGAAGAGGAATACGAAGCAGCCCGAAAACCCAAAGTCACTCAGGAGGAAAGCTTGGCCGACTTCCTCAGAAACGTGCCTCCGCCACCAGAGTCTACTGTAACCCCGATTTTCGTACCTGACAAGAACATCAGAAAGAAATCTAGCACATCGAATCTGATGTCCCGTTTTGGTCGAAATGGTTCTGGCCCCCAAATCCCGCCGAAACCAGATGTCACCAGCCAGATCGTCCGGCCACAACAACCAAGACAGTCGTATACGCCCATCGCTGCGAAATACAGCACGACGATGAATCTGAATCAACCCCCACCACCGACGAGCAACTATGTTTCACAACTGCATACTGCCCGGAATACCAGCCGAACCAAAGTTGCTCAAAAGAGTTATCAGCCTCGGGATGCCGTATCCTCTGGGAGCAGAACGAACGATCTGGCCGATTTCCTGATGAGGAGCGAGCCTCCAAGCAGTACGCAAACGCAGCCGCAAACGGAGGCGAGCGCATTTCAGCGAATGTTCGGCCGAAAGAAGGTCGCTTGAAGATCTGAGCATATTTATTTTCCTATATCTCTCTCAACTTGGCTTCGGCACTGCAAAAAATCGGTGGACCTCTGCTTTTATATAAACTTTACTCAACCCATTGGCGCATCGGCGCACTTCTTTCTTTGCACGCCATTCGGTCGACTACGCTGTTGTTCGAGTCAAGGGGCTTCGTCGTTGGTTATAGATACCACTCATGAAGTGCTTTCCGCCTTTTTTTCATGATGATATATGGGGGTTAAAAGGATAAGAGGATCTATCGATGGTCCTCATTTACGATTGATTGATTGTATTTACGAAACGTGCTCCTGAAGAGGCCATAGCGTTGGATTAATTTATTTCAGATCTTAATTCTTACCATCTTTCTATCTATATAAGTACGACGGGAGAGGAGCTCATTGTCCCAAGGCACTTTCGAACATTGAATGGCCATGTACTGTACAGCAAAACTCTCGGTTCTGAGATGAGGTTGAAGGAGAGACGTTCGATGTTCAGGGGAGTTTGGAACATCGGGGAGGGTATCTTTCATTGTACCAGAAAGTTTAGAACATTGAAGCGAGATGCAACAAACCTATAGATATTGCTATTCACTACATTTTCATGCTCAGATGAAAATCAATTAGATGGAAACCCCTATGAGATGAAACTTTCCATCAGATGAATATTCAACGTCCGGAATTCTCCAGCTTTGAAGACAAAATTGGAAACAAATTACGAAGGCCGGTCGGAGCATATCTTCAACTTTCTCAACTTTTGAAGAAGTTTCACGTCTCAAAAGGGCGAAACTTCTCAGAGTGTTGATCGGAGATTTCACTAATTTCTAAAGAGGACTAATGAGGATAGAAAACAAGATTGTATTTAGATTGTACTGCAATATAATGTATCGACGCCGAGCTGGACAGGGGTATCTCTTAACTAAATCAACCAAATTCAGCAAAATGGCTGGGCGTAAACGCCGAATGCAAGTGCGAGTGCTAGAAAACTCCCATATGGCGTACACCTCCCTTCCTTTCTATGTTTCTATGTGATGATTGTGACGGCAGTACTCCAGCAATGCGGGATCGAGGTCGTGAACTTGGCCGTGGGTGTCGTGGCTTCGTGATTCTTGAGTTTGGGAATGGTGATGTGGTTCGAGTTGGGGCCGTGGCTTTGTTGAGAGGGCTGTAAATAAAGGGCGAGCCTGGAGGATATGCCATGGTAGCAAGTATTGATGTAATATTTGGCTGATTCGATTACAGATTGATTGGATCGATCTGATGCGTGGCCGAATAATCTCACGTGGACGGTGTTTCATCTGGGACTGGCCATGGATGATTCGATGGAAGCATGCCTCTTGTGCATCAACGGAGATCTCTGTAACTCTGCCACGACTCCAGCCCATCCTTGCCGCTGGGGGCTTCCAACGTTATCCCCATGGCCCATGGCTTGCGTGGTGAGTCGTCGAAGTGGCGGTTTCCTCTGGATGCCTTCGGTCAAAGCATGCGGCAACGTGGGTCGTACCGATACCTTTTGATGGTGTTTTTCAGGGTCCTTGGCCGAACCGTGATGTTCAGAAGTACTCTTCGCAGCTACAAGGCCCATGTATACTACCAAGAACCTCATTCGCAGTAGATCGAGTCTCCTCACACTCTCCTCCAATCTTTTTCTCTTCGATGCCCACAATAACCTTGTACTGGACCTTAATCTCGTCCCTCCTTCATCAATCAATAGTCCGTTCAGATCTTCCCTAAGGTCATCACCACATTTCTGTATCTCCCTCAACAACTTCCCCATCCGCAGCTTGTCCTCGAGCCGCTGGACCTTCGCCACATCCCTATCGTAAGATTCGTTCTCTTGGATGGAGAAGTCAACCGCATCGATGAATGTCGTGATTTCATTGGGAGCAGCGAGGTATGCGCTGGTGTACGTCGTTGCGACTTGTAGCACGATGAAGGCGGAGACAAAACAGGCGGTGAATAGGAGTAGTAGCGTTACGAGAGGTAGGTCGTTCGTGTCTGCCATCTGATAGTTGTGGCCGGGCGGGTTGGCGATGCTATCGATACAGGCGCATATTCGTGGGAGTGTTCGGAATGCTGGTGGTGAGAACTATTGCCACTTCAGATGATGATGTGGTTGTCAACCGTCACCCGTGAATGATGGGTTGTGAGACCCTTGTAAGTGCATTTGCAGCTGCAGAGAACGGGGGTAAGAAGTACCATCACAGATTGGGCGATTGGGCGTCATTCACTGAATAAGCCAAAACCAGTTAATTGTGTGAATAATCAATTATCTGAAACTATGTTTGTGAGTAAGAGTTCTTGCCTGAGTTAAGCTTTTCATCAAAGTTGAAGGCGTCCAAGGGGTTTGTGCCTCTGACGTTGAGTCTGCGGGGTAATTGTGAAATTTATGCAAGATTATCAGGAATTTTCACCGTCCATGTGCATCCATGTCACTTCAAGGCTCCTTCACTGCCCACCACGAAAAACAAACTCGAGATGGAGGCCCAAGCAATACACCCATGCGCCGCCAATTCAGATGAACGAGTTCTCCCCTCTATCTTCAGACATCCCTCCGCCGCAGCCCCGCTCCTCATCACTCAAGGCGCCGAAGCACTCCTCTACCGCAGCACCTACCTCCTCCCCAGCACACCATGTGCGCTCAAGTACCGCCCCTCAAAACCATACCGACACCCTATTCTTGACGCGCGATTAACGAAGCATCGGATCCTGTCTGAAGCGCGTGTGCTAGTAAAGTGTAGACGAGAAGGGGTTCCCGTTCCGGCGGTGTATGCTCTCGATGAGGCTGCAGGATGGTTGATGATTGAGTGGATCGAGGGGGAGGTCGTGCGGATACGGCTTAACGAATGGTTGAAGAGAAGGAAAGAAGAGGATATAGCGGAGGGAGTGGATGATGGGGAGTTATTGGAGCTGATGACGAGGGTTGGCAGTGCCGTGGGGAGACTGCATGCTATTGGTGTTGTGCATGGGGATTTGACTACAAGTAATCTGATGCTACGTCCTAGGAGCAGGGAAGTGTCAAATGGTGATAGTGAGACTGCTAGTAAGATGCTGGATGGGAATGTTGTGCTCATAGACTTTGGTCTGGCGAGTCAGAGCCAAGCGGATGAAGATCGCGCTGTTGATTTATATGTGCTTGAGCGGGCATTTGGGAGCACGCATCCTAGGGCAGAGAGCTTGTTCGTGGAAGTTCTGAGAGAATATGGGAGGAGTTTTAAGGGGGCCAACGTTGTTCTTAAGAAGTTGGAGGATGTCAGAATGAGAGGCAGGAAACGTAGTATGCTAGGTTGATCTTCTGAGCAGGAAGATGCCAAATTCTATCTGCGGTTGACGTCTCGCTATCTTCTCATGTGGAGATGCTCATTTATGAAACCGCGGGATCTAAACGCCAAAATAAATGCCATATATGCAATCGCCTCCAGTATCTGCCTGCAATCATCATTCCTCTAACTCTGCAGCCGCAAAATATCCTTTATTCTCAATCACCCCTCTGTCTCGAACCACTGCCGTATATTTGACAACCCATTCCGGTGTCAGGTCGCCCTTCATCCCATCTAAACCTCGTTTCGATTCTGAAAGAACTCCTGCTCCCCTTACCCCTTGCCCCAAGAGCTCTCTTAAAGTTCCGCTGGGAAGAATATCCGTGCAATCGTTATGCGTGAGAAGCTCAATTCGTTCAAGCTTTGCAAGCTTCAAAAGAGGCGGCGGAACATTGCAACAGTCTTTCACGTTGACCTGGTCTACCTTTGGCCGCACCTTGACTCTCGCTAAGAATCTGGCCAACTTCTCACTTCCAAACTCTGCCAAGCCTAACTTCTTGACAATACCTTGGGTGTGAAGTTCCTCAAGTGCCGGCCAAGATTCAATCTCTTCCTCGTCGTTCCCTTGCGCCGAGTTCCTCTTATCTGCCTCCCATTCGCAATCACCATCGAAAGACATTCCGGGAAAAGATACAATGAGTAAGTCGACGGACTCGACTCCCAGCTCCTTCAAAACTAGTCCAACGGCGTCCTTGGTGTACCTTTCTCTCTCTTTGACGTCTGCGCCCGGCAAGTAGAATAACTTCACCGTTATATCATATTGGCTTCTTTCCTCAGCAAGGCCAGATAGTGACCAGTCTATGGTGGGTATATAGAAATCAGAGCCTTGTCTCGTTGTCCATACTGAAGCTTGTGGTCGGTGTGAGGGCTGATCTCCGTCATAACTGCTTCCGGGACTGCCATTCGTTGCAGATAAAGGAGGAGAATAATCTTGCTGGGCTGCAAGAAAGTTACTCCGGAGGGAGTTTGTAAGCTCGAGATTTGATCGGTCTGCTCCAGGTTTCCTGATAATCGAGGGACCGCCGGTCATAATATTACTAGCAGCAGGCCGGAGTCAGCAAAGTCTACGAGAAAGTTGATTTGCTTACGACGTGGAAAGGATTAATCGCGTCATCTTCAAGCCAGTAATGGGCCTCGTAAGTTAGTAGACAGAAGTGAGGAGGTGCCGGAGGCCGGATGTTGGAGGGTCATTCGAGGATTGGTAATACAGAAGGTAGAAGTTCCTCGGTACTGTTGATAAGTTGCTGGTCCTCCTCTTCTCAAGAATCGCAGCTCAGATCCAGTCAGAGCGCGGAGAGGACCGCGATGAGGTCTAGATCGGGGGGTGAATAGAAGTTGATTGAGAAAATTGCTGCTGCAATCCTCGTTGGCGTAGTTATGAAGCGTAGTAACTGCTCAATAGCCGAAGTCCCTCCGGCGAGGCTATCTCCGAACCCCTCCATGCAAAAGCGGCACCATACATGCATTCTGCACGTGCCGAATCGACAATATCAGACGGCAGCGCTCACAAAGCCAAAAACATCGACATCTCCACCGATGGCAATCAAGTAAGCTTGCTGTGTTCCCTGGGAGGAAAGAACTCGAGTCTTGTCGCAGGACTAATGCCTGGCAGCTATTTGATCCTGCTCTCACGGCAGGGCAAAGTCGTGCGTGCTCACCGACAATCCCAGACCCCCCAGCTCGCCACTAATCCTTCCGCAGAGACTCGCAAAGTGGTTCACTACACTGTCACCGAAGGAGAAGGCAAAGATCATCAAGGATGTCTCGCAACTCGTGCTGGCACGGCGGACGAGGATGTGCAATTTTCTGGAGTACAAAGGTTGGTTGTACCGCGGCTTTACAGACCTTTTGCTAAAGCTCCTCTGCCAGATTCGAAGATAGTCTACCGTCGTTATGCTTCCCTCTTCTTCATCGCCGGATGTGCGTCGACAGATAATGAACTTATAACCCTGGAGATCGTCCACCGGTATGTCGAGCAAATGGACAAATACTATGGTAATGTGTGCGAGGTAAGAATTCCCCTGCCGGAGATAAAAAAGCTGGACTAACACTCTGACAGTTAGACATCGTACGTTACGACTTATATGGTGTTCTTTCCTTGATCCCAGATTGACCCGAGCTAGATTTTCAACTTCCAAAAGGCGTACTTCATACTAGATGAATTACTTTTGGCTGGAGAGATGCAGGAGAGCAGCAAGAAGAACGTCCTAAGAGTGATATCGGCGCAAGACTCAATCGAAGATACCGAGGTAAGTGGAGCATGGCTGTTTCGATTTTACGGGGTCGAGTTGTGCTGTTATACATTCACTGCACCGGGTCGATACCCATATCCTCTCATACACTGACACATATACCCCCTACACCAGGTCGATGAAGAGGTTACGAAAATCATGTGAAAGGCGGTCCTTAATATGTATTCAGAAGGCGCTGGAGGTTGGCGTTTTGGTTCAGGAAATACATCAGATTCAGCCACATGTCCTTCGCAACCTCCTGCTAATCTGAAATTTTCTGATATCTTAGGCATCCGAGAGACTTATGAGCGCACTTGGGGAGTCTGGCCTTATCTAATTCACCGCACTTCGAACTTCTCAGTCACATCTTTCCAACCTTGCTTGCCGAATACGAAAGGAGTTCTAGCTGCATTCGCTGAATTCGTGTCGTTTTCTCAATGGTTGACTAGGCGTCTGGAGGAATGGGGGGCATGGAAGAACTGGGTGTTGAGAGCATAACCCTGAACGGAGTATAAAGGAATGATAAGTACCATTTGCATATCACTTGTTTGACATCCTGATTTGAATCTCCGACTTAATGTCAGCAAGATCGCATTTTCAGATTCGGAGAGCGGTCGACAACAAGGCCAGCTTACAGAACCAATGACTATACTTTCTAAGCAACCTTCGGTCCAAGATCCGGCTGGTTTGCTTGGAATTCTAATTGCCAGGACATCATGCATTAGAATAACTCTTGCAGGAAACAGCAGAGAAGCTCAGCTGTCAAGCCTTTTGGGTGTCCTTTCCATGGCTGCTACTCTCCACTCCTGACAGCATGTGTATCTATCGGGCGTGCTGATTATTCACAGGTGTTTCTTTCTATTACATGGTCACAAGGTGCTGCTACAGAATTCCAAGACCTGATGTCCAAGTTAGAATCTCCTCGTCCACCACCTTTGCCACGTGCGCCCAAAGTGGCATGGCCGGATCATTCCGCGCTAAACGGAAACAGGGAATTGGCGGCCCTGGCCTTTGTCGCCATCGCAACATCGCAATCGCGCTGACCTCAACCACGCCACCTCGCCCACTCCCCCATTTCCATCTCTCTACACATCGCAACTTCATCAAACAATCATCCTCATCTTCGAGTATCACGATGTCCCCTACCTGCTAGACGCGAGTCTAGCTCGAGAACACCTTGATCCGTCCTCCGCAGCCAGCGCGAGGAAGGTTCAATCCTTGATTCTCAGCCGCAGGTCCACCCAACTACCCATCGACAAACAAACATCGCTGCATCTGCAGCAACGTCGATAGATAGGTCTTATCTGCATTATTAAGAGGGATTAAGTTCCTGGTTGTCAGTTTCCGAGTCTGAAGAGTCCTCCGTAAGGTCGCATCTCCAACAGAACACTCGGGTTCGGTCGCCACACGCTTTTGCCTCCTCCGATAACGCGCAACACCCCCATCATCTTCGTCATCCTGATCGCATTGATAAGAACAAAATCTAGTCTCAAGGCATCCCTCGAACAGCCAAGATGAAGTTCCTACCACTTCGCGACTTCGACGACGTCACAAGCGCGTTGAATTTCGAAACTCCCGATTGCCATGTCATAGGCGGCTGCGATCTTTATACAACGAAAGCCGCGGGCTCAGACAAGAAACTCTATCGAAATATCGAGAACTCCCTAGAGTCGCAGTATGAGTCTCTGCTGCGATTGTCGGCCTCGGTCTCACCTCCCAACGACACTGGACCCTCACCTTTGAACCTGTCTCGATCAAGTCCGTTCGGGCCATTAAGCCAAGTTTCAAGCCGTCGTACGTTTGCCTACTTGATCGCCACTCTTAACGCTAGTCACCCTGACTATGATTTCTCACACATCCTCAGGCCTGCGGACTTTAGAAAGGAAAGAAGTTTGAAGGCCGTTATCAACACCATCGACTCTACACTTTACAACCTCCGCCCCAGTTCAGGTATGACTCTCCAAGTTCCGTCGCAGACAAGCTATACCACAACTGCTTCTGCTCCTCCAACAAGCCAAGCATGGGGTCCTCAGATGTGGTCCATAATCGACAAGGAGATGACTCTCAAGGAGTGCACCGTATATTGTTGGGCTCCTCCCGATGAGCCTTTCGAGGAAGAGGAAGGCTCGATCTGGAGTCTGAACTATTTCTTCTTCAACAAGGAGAGAAAGAGGGTCGCTTACATATATATTCGAGGTGTCCCAGTGATGACTCACAGCCCCAGACAACCTGCCAATATGTCGAAGAGGGCAGGCAGCGGGTATGACTCTGGAGCAAACAAGCGGGCTCGATATTGGCTTGGTGATCAGGCGGCTAATATCACTAATGATCAAGATACAGAAGATCTAGAGGATGTGGTTATGTGGGATAATGGTGATGAAGGCTCTGAAACAGATTTCTTCGACGATTATTCCTACGAGGCCGACAATGATTCAACAGACGACCTCAAAGAGAAACCTCGCGGGATGAGCGAGGAGATTGCTGCCTCTATGGATATGGATTATTGAAGCATTTTCTTCTTGGCGGTTCGGATGCCGAGCAATGGCTGTGTTGGCGCTCTGAACCTGCGTTATACCACTTTGGTCCTAATTGTATGAATTTTCCTGGCTTGTAGGAGTATGGAGGCACACCTAGGCTCTGCGGTAATCAGGAAGGCGTAGAAGTGGTGGGTCAGTGGCTGGCGTTTTCGGGAGGTTGTGGGTAGGCGTAACAGTCCTTCAATCCTGATACCAATAACAATCAGTTTCTAGTTTGGATTTCACTTAATTGCTCTTGAGTCTTGGCTTGAGTCGGAAGGTCTTGCACGGCTTGAAGACTGTGGGGGTGCATATGGTGTCACATTGCCTCGTCCCCTCTCCTTTCAGGTATCTGAATTATCTCTAGGTTCCTATTTCGAGACTAGTTCCTCCCCGCCAAAGGATACCTGTTTATTTGACAGCTTCAGAAGTTATCGACGTTCAAGATATTGCTCACTTTTCCATTGGCCGTACCTCCACTGGTAGCCTCATCCAACCAGGGAGAGCATTAACGAGCATTTCCCCATTCCGTGTAGATTGACTGAAAGGATGTCTCACGTCAAGGTGCGTGAAGTCCGTAATCTAGTCAGCGCTGACAAGCTTAGGAGGTAGCTCTACTCCACCTAATGCCTCCCTTTCAAGTCTTTGCAATGAGAGCCTACAAGTTGTATGGCTGCACTTTGGTAGCTAGGTCAGTGGAATGTGATCTGTTTCCTCTCCAAGCATGCGTAGGATGGATGGATGAATGCATGGACGGATTTTTTTCTCTTCCTTAATTTTCTTTTTCTTAAAAACTTGTTTATTACGCTAGCTCCTGATGGTCACCATGCTACCGGAGTAGCATCTTTCCCGCGAAGGGGGGTGACGGGTGGTGACGCCACCAGAGAGGAAGGAGCGTTAGTCAGCTAGCCATTAGTTAGGGCTCCAGACGTGAATACGAATAGAGCCGTCTTTGCCTCATTTGTTCTCTTGACAGAATTGGAAATGATAGATCTGTTGAGAGCTAGTAAAGACGGCAAAAGCAAAGATTTCAGATAAGCTAATAGGCAAAAAGAGATAAGGAGAACAGAAAGAAGAGTCCGAAGCGGCGAGCGAAGTTCTGGGTACACTGTGTGGGGTGGCTTACCAACGCCACGGATCTGTTATGCCTCGTTCTTATAGGCTGGAAAAGGGGAGCGGATTCAGAACACCGTGGGGAAGGCTTTAGAGATCAAGAAAGTGAGCAATAGAATGAGAACGTTAGTATGTTTATGTGGGAGTACAATTCAAGTACAGGTCGGACTGTCCTGAGATTTGCCCGATGCTGGAGCCCTTCAAACTTTGGCGGGGTTTGTCTATTTAGCAAACATGTTTGCTCTGTTTGCTCTGTTTGCTCTCGCTTATCTCACTAGCGGGCACGAGCCACCACAGGCAGTATATATTCAAAGCTGCGCGCCCGCCTTCAACTCTTTTTTCTTTTCTCCTTAGCTCTCTTTGCCTATTGGCTTAGATCAAGTAAGCTTTCATCCTTCCATCTTCATCAAGTCAATGCTAACAACTTCCAAAGGTGTAGTATCTGTTCTTTTCAGTTTAATCTCTGAAAGATTCCTACGGGAATCACATTGATTATACTTATTTTTCTCTCCCGGTTGAGGACCTCTGGGCTTGCTCATGTCCTCGACCACTGTGTCACTGGTATTACACTGCCTCCAGTTGACGCGAAATATCTTTTCATTGCAGATTCTGGCTTGCCGGAAATGTGAAGAAGAGTCATCGAGAGTTCGAGAAAATCAGCCCAAAAGGACGAACGTGAGAAATTTCACCAAAGAGCCGTTTGGGTCTTGCGAGAGGAGCCCAGTGACGACGCAGTGCTTGAGCAGAGGCTGGCATACGGCCAAGCCTGCTGTAGGGGAGGCATAGGAGGGGGAGGCTGGGAACTGGGAGCATGATCTCGATGTCAAATACCATTTGTACTTGTAAGGAAACCTGATTGTGCAGTTTCCGTGACTCCGTGAAGTGAAAATACGGCCACCGCTGCAAATCTGGACCTAAGATCGAAGTTCTGTGATAACTCCAACTCTGCCCTTTCGAACCCAGACACCTACTTCCCCGACCAACCACCATGGCCTCCAGCTCTGGAATGATCGATCCTCGGATCTTTGAGCACCTCCAAACTAAGATCGATGAGGACGCCGAGGTCAGAGACCAGATTCGTGCCATTACCCAGACGTTGGAGAGACAGGGAAGAAATGGGCAGTCCATTCTCTCCCGAGCCCATTCCACCCCCGCAGCACACCGTGAGTATACCCCGCGCTGTCACTATCGCTAACGAACCACAGTGAAGCCAGTCCTCGAAGCAGCAGAGGTTTCTATCAAAGATGAGATCGAGAGCGTCACCAAGCTTGCGGCTGTAGCCTCAAGCTCTCCATACTACAAGTACACGTTGCTGTCACGAATGGAGAGCTAGCTGACTGAAGCAGATACAACAACTTGTGGTCTCGAGATATTCAGAATGTGGTCTTTTCTATTCTCTTCTGTGGATGGCTTGGAGGGATGGGCACTGCCAGCAAGCCAGCAGAACCCGGCAAGCTTCTCACGATCGAGGAAGTCGGTGGGATCCTGAATGGTGGGTCCGATATTCATTCCTCGAGTTTGCGTTGACCATATCACAGTTCCCGTTAATCTTAAAGACCGAGATGCCTTCCATATCACCATCGAGGAGTACCTCCAATCCCTGATTACCCTCATCGAAGAACTTGCCCGACTGGCCATCAATTCCGTTACATTGGGAGACTACCAACGACCTCTACAAATCAGTCAATTCGTCAAGGATCTCCATGCCGGTTTTCAGATATTGAACCTCAAGAACGATTCATTGAGACGAAGAAGTGACAGCATCAAGTACAACGTCAAGAAGATTGAGGACATTGTCTACGATCTCTCTTTGAGGAATCTGGTGCCAAAGGCTGGCTCTGCAGCGTGAAGGGAATTAAGAATACGAATCTTGTTACAAGGCTACGATTTTCACGAGATCACGAAGCAATTGCCTAAAGTCATGCTGGAAAAGGCTGGGAGTCACAAAAGAATTACACGTAGCAGAGGATTGATGGAATCAAACAATTTGATGGTGTTTGAGTTGACATGGTTAATCTTGTCTACTCAATCCTTTGCCTGGCTGCAAAATAAACCATAATGCTGTAAGAGGCCCGAGGCATCTTGAACCTGAGCCGATAACCCCACAACCCTCAATTTGCAGCAATTGTGCTTCGCTGTTTCGCTGAACGGAAAAATTGATACACGTCGGACTAACGAATTTCCGTTCCGGTCTTCAAGATCCCGAGCTCTCCAGAAACGTGTTCCTCGACGCGACCAACCTCAATATCATAATGCCCCTCGTGGATCCAGTAACAATGGCCAGCACAAGTCCAACAAAGACAACAGTCCCTGCCAAACTCTCAATGCCAGTCGAGCTTCTGCCAACCGACCTTGCTCGAATCGTCTCTCAAGCTCATCCAGTGCTCCTCCTTTCTGCTTATTATCTCCGCTTCCCGGCTCTGGTCGCAGACCCAGTCTCTACATTACTGGATTCATTACTGCCCCTGGCAGCCATTCAGATAGCCTATGCTTTCATCTGTCTCCCAGCAGTTGGAACGACCTCAAAGCCCGTGGAGAAAGCCAAGTCCGGAGAAAAGAAAAAGACGCCTGAAGCGTCCAGCGCGAAGGCCCTCGTATATCTCGTTCTTTCCCACATGATACAGATCAAGGCTAATTGATTCCCAGACGGTCATTTATGCCATTCTTCTCTCTCTCATATCCGTTCCCGTCCTAGCAGCTGTCCAGGTCCTCTTCGGCGCTCCGATCACTACGCACATCCCTCATACTCTCCTAAGTTCAGCATATGTCGCCTTACTAGCTATCTTTCCTCTCATATACGTGCACGGATCTGATGGGGCGAAGTGGAGAGAGATAGCTTCTGTGTATAGCCCAATTGATGAAGTGTTCGGGGCATCTGTTGGTTGTTTCCTGGGAGCTTGGTTGGGTGCTGTGCCCATTCCGTTGGATTGGGACAGAGAATGGCAGAAGTGGCCGGTTACAATCGTCACTGGTGCTTATGCTGGGTACATGGTTGGGAAGCTGGCTGGAGGGTGGTTGTTGAAAGGGAAGAGGATTGAGTTCGACTGAAAATTTTGCTTGTGTTAAAGATATATTCGACAGCTGTCAATCGCATCTACTGCGGACAATTATTGCCAACCAGGCGGGGATTGTGTGCAGAGCCCCTGCTTCTGAAAAGCTACGGATACTTCGCATAGTTGCGCTTAGTATTGTTAATGCTCTAAATTTCTCCCCGACTTTGTACTACGAGTACTTAGTAGGTGCATTTCTTGGGAAAAGAGGGATGTAATTGGACTGGTCAATTGCCAAACCAGAACGCCGCTCATCCAAGCCTCACCGAAGCCAGTATAGTCATCATGTCTCGTTCCCATGGCTACCTGCACATACGGTGTAAAGGGAGTGGACACATCGGATTGGACTCCTGTACGTGCAGCTATGTCAGAGACGGGTGTTGCTATAGAGAAAGCACGTGCACAACCCTGTCTACAAAACTTTGTAAAAGCCTCTATGGCAACAGCACAACGACAATGATCACCTTACATGAGTCCAGTCCAATGCATCCGCTCCCTTACCTACAAGGTCGGGGTTCCTAGGCAGCACGACTCCACCTTCTTAGTCAATCCTTCGAAAGCTGGTCCGTCAAGGATTTGAAAAGGAAGAAAGGCAAAATCCGACACCTTCCTAATCAGGCAGAAGACCGTCTGTCGTTCATTGCGTGATTTGGGTCATTCATCCACGGCGAGATCCTCCTTTCCCACGAGTTGGCAAAGATCAGACCGAATACTCCGTAAGGCTTGGAGCTGAGACCGCTTCCAAGCCCATTCGCGCCGAGTCGGGAAACTCTTTGCTGCCTGAAAAGCAGCCAGAGGAGGTTTCCCTTATCGTCTGAGCTATGAAGCACACGAGGATTGGCTCAAATGATGCGATTCTTATCGAAGGCGGGATTGGGGAAATGGTGGCGTGAAGCGGCTTGAAACTCTTGTGAGCAGGGAGGCGGGCATGCCGATGATGCTTCGATGCGTTGTTCTCGAAGGCTGCCAGTTTTGGCTTGAGCCCGAGCTGAGGACGCCCCATAAGCATCGGAACCTCTGAGGCAATAATGTGGCTGATGTATCACAAGATCTCAAGCCATCGACATGGACATGCCTCTACGGAGTAAGTCGAAAATAGAAACGGGTTTGATGTTTGTGGAACGCGACTCGGAAACTCAACCGACGATTCGAAAACTGGTGCTTGCCTTTGGATCGCCATCATGTGGTTTTCTTCCTTTGCGATCTACAACTGGATTTAGCTTCGAGTGGTCGAGAGCATTCCTGGCTGCCCTGGACGGCTGAAGCCCAAGTTACAAGTAAAAAAGATACACTCCCGTGCCAACGCCCCAATGGCGGGCGCTAAGAAAAGCCTATTTTGTGCAAGGATGTTTCGCGAATTAGAGTTGCAGCAGATGAAGGCTTTGAGATTTCGGCAGCGAATGGCAGGGCTCCCCTCGCGACTCCGATCTTGGCATATAAGGATTGTCAGATCCTTATCAAGAGTATTCAAGACTGCCTCGGGAATGCCGCTCAAGAAACCACCGGAGAAGGCCCTTGCAAAATGCCAATGCGCATATCTTCTTGTCTTCTTCCAGCAAGCTGCATTTGGAAGGGAAGGATTCGAGACTCGTGCCATTTTACAATCTTGAGGTCTAAATATGCCCAAATGCAGGTAGATATTTCTACGCTCCGTGTGTGGCCCCAGATCGCTGTGCTTATTATTGGGAACAGGCTGTACCACGCGAGCAGGAATAAGCTTATACCTTTGCACGAGGTGGAGACTCTCCACATCCGTCTCCAGAAATACGGGATCTTGCTCAAGCGAGCTGTGACCAGCGATCTCAGGAGGAAGCATCGCTCTCCGTCTTGCAGCAGGATTCGATTTTGTACTACCGATGATCTTATTTCCAAACATAGAGTCTCATGAGGTACCGACTTGGCATTGGCAGATGTCGCATGATACTGAGGCTTGGTGACATGCTAAGTGGCAACAATGTGGCCATCAGCCAGTAATCTGATTGGTGTCTTGCATTCGAACACCACGCCCAGGACAAGTTGATAGGGCGAACTGAGGCCAGTCCTTTTACAGCTTTCGGGGTGATTATCAACAACAACGTATCTACCCATTTAAATTTAGCGACACAGGGGTTCCAGTTCTGGCACATACCGGAAAGTCAACGGCACGAGTTTTTTATTGGCCTTCACTCCCTGTCTGTGGCTGACTCGCTACATTTAAATGGGAAGATACGTTGTAGTCAATTCGAGGCAAAGAGAGAGATAGCTAGAAATACCAAGGCACTTCTGAAGCGGAAGCCCCAAGCGGCCACATCAACGATAACAAGGGTCCAAAACACAGCCAGCCCCTGGACAGGCTTAAAATATTTTCACATTTAACTTTTGTTACCGACCCTACAATGGACTAGCAAAACCTAAATTAGAACTCGAAGGAGCCTTGCAGGCTGAAAGCTCGAAATTCAACCAAAGAAGCCGTCAAGATGCAGCGGCCCAGCGGGGAACGCGCTGGAATCTCCTGCGAGATGCTAGGGCAGACTGCATGAGCAGGCTAGACATGCTTGACCTCTTCGGCCTTTCTAGTAAATGCTCTTATCAGTTAGTGTGTGTAACACCAAACCAGTGGCTCTCTTTATAAAGTCAAGTCAATGCCCTCGCCCGTCCCTTGCCCTTCCCATCATCCTCCTACAATACTTTCAGGCGATTGAATCACAATCATGTCGAATGAAAAGTACGACAGTGACGCGCCTGACTATGATGGTCATGGCCACGCTACTTATGTCGACCCCACCACGGGAATGGAGAGTAAGGCTGGTGTGCTAAACGAAGCTGGAGAGCTATACGGGAATATTGAAACCGCAGAGGAATACGGTTATGTCTCCCGAGGGTAAGTGGCCGAGCTCCAAGAAACCTCGGACTCTGCTGATCCTCTCTCAGACTCAAGTCAAGACACATTCAGTTTATCGCTTTAGGTGGTACCATTGGAACGGGCTTGTTCTTGGGTATTGGATCTGCTCTCACGCGTGCTGGTCCCCTTTCAGTCCTTTTGGGGTACACTTTCACTGGTATTGCCATCTTTGCTATGATGCAGTGCTTGGGCGAGATGGCCACATGGCTTCCTCTGCCTGGTGCCATCCCTCAGTTCTGCGCCAGATATGTTGATGAGGCACTTGGTTTTGCCGTTGGATGGAACGTAAGTTGCTTCGATCATCCTTGAGATGTCAAAAAACTCCTCAACTTAGGAGTACGATGCGAGCTTGAGCAAGGCGCCAAAGCTGACTCCTTGTCTCTAACAGAACTGGTATGCATCTGCCATCACACTCTGTGCCGAAATTTCAGCAGCTTCGATCGTTATTCAATATTGGCCCGGAGCTGACCACATCTCGGTCGCTGTATGGATATCAATCATCATTGTACTGGTCCTCTGCCTGAACATCTTTGCCATTCAGATTTATGGCGAAGCCGAGTTCATTTTTGCCAGCATCAAGATCGTCACCATAGTCGGACTTTTGATTTTGGCCTTCATTGTTGATCTTGGCGGTGGTCCAAACCACGACCGTCTTGGGTTCCGTTATTGGAAGCACCCAGGCGCGATGAAGGAGTATGGCTCGACAGGAAACACTGGCAGATTCTTGGGTTTGTTTTCCGTGCTGGTCAATGCAGCTTTCTCATACGGCGGTGTCGAGTTGGTTGCTGTGGCCGCTGGTGAAGCCGAGAACCCCAGGAAGAATATTCCCAAGGCAGTCCGCAGAGTGTTCTGGCGTATTCTGTTCTTCTACGTTCTCGGCTCTCTCGCAATTGGTGTCCTGGTGGCATCAAACGATCCGCATTTGTTGAGCGCCCAGAAAGCCGGTGCTGCTGGTGCAGCCCGATCACCCTGGGTCGTTGGGATCCAGAATGCTGGCATCAAGGTTCTCCCTTCCATTATTAACGCAGTGATCCTGACGTCAGCGAGCTCATCCGCAAACGCCTTCCTCTACACAGGATCCCGCTATCTCTTCGCCCTGGCTCAGAACAAGCAAGCACCACGTTTCCTCCTCCATTGCAGCAAAGCTGGCGTCCCGTACTACTGCGTTGCGATTACGGCTTCGATCTCACTACTCACGTACTTGTCCGTAAAGAAAGGTGGCCCTGCAGTAGTTTTTGATTGGTTCCAGAACCTCACTACCATTGCTGGACTCTTCACGTGGTGCTCGATTTGCATCGCATATATTCAATTCCACAAGGCACTCAAGGCCCAAGGAGTAGACCGAAACACACTTGTCTTCAAGAGCAAATTCCAGCCATACACCGCTTGGTTCGCCTTCTTCTATTTCGCGATGATCATTATTTTCAACGGATTCCACGTCTTCGTTGGATCTCGTCACCAGAACTGGAACGTCACTGGTATGTCCTCTCCCCCAAATTGAAATTTGTGTGACCAATACTCATTTACCGTAGATTTCTTGGCCGCCTACATTGGTATACCGATCTTCTTCGTCCTTTACGGATTCTGGAAAGTTTTGAAGGGCAGCAAATGGATTCATCCTGCCGACGCCGATATCTCGACCGGCAAAGCTGCTCTAGATGCAGAGGATGGGCAGTGGCCTGAGCAGCACCCAAGAAACGTTATTGAAAAGATATGGTTCTGGATTGCGTAGAGGATGTCGAGTTGCTGCTGCTGCTTTGCGCCTATATTCGTGGGATGTTTGTGTGCTAGCATAGTGGAGAACCGTGGGATCGTACTGAGATAATGTTGCATATAGCTTCATTAAGAACCAAATTCTTTGCTGGGTTCCTTTCAACAGCGGATAATGTGACCCCGAACACATTTCATGTTTCTGTCAAAATTGTCAGACTCTAATACTGTGGTTTGAAAGCTTCACCTTCTTCGCTTCTCCAGATGACTTTTAGATCTCTACACCTCGCAGCTCCCTCTGTCCTATTTTGGTGTAATCGAGAAGTCCATTGTTCTTAAATTTCCAAGTCAACGACGGACGGGACTTGCTTAGATCTACTGTATGCGACCCCAACTTCTGAAAACCTGTAAATGGCGATGAAGCAAGGCTGGTGGATACAAAATTGGACTCAAAGTTAACAATAGATCTTTACCTGAAGAATATGTATCTGAATACTTTCAGTTGGAGAAAGTGAAAGCTTGAAATTGTGCCAAGGAAGAAGGTACTGTACATACAGAGAACAACCAACCAACATTAATATTACAATATGCCTGATATACGATGGCCAAACCATCATCTTTTGCTTTTACGCTTTGAAGACTTCTCCAGTTGTCCAGGGGCGTTGGCAATGTCATCCAATGTCATCTTTTCTTCCTCCTTCGTCAAGCCTTCCTCAACTAGCAACTCCAGAACTCCCTCCACAAAGACTTCTGCCTTCGAGTCTGCATTTACTGGGATGTCGTTGACGACCTCTTCGACCTTGATGACCTCGCTTTTCTCTATCACAATGCCTTCTTCATCTTTCTTGACCTTCTCCTCCTTTGTCTTCCTCCCAAGAGTGACCTTGCTTCTCTCAGCAGATTTGCAAAGTCCCTCCAGTCCCAACTCGCAGTCTCCACACTTCCGACCAACCGGAAGACAAACAGTCTGTCCAAAGCCTACCAATAACCAGTTTATCTCGTGCCATAGTTCCTTTGGTAGCCACGCCTGTAACGCCAATCTTGTTTCCTCTGGTCCTTTCGTCTTGTGCCATCCCCACAGGTTCGTAATTCGGTGTACATGCACATCGACACCTATTCCCTCCGTCCTTCCCCAAGCGGTACTCATACACAGGTATGCCATCTTCGGGCCGACCCCAGGAAGAGACATCAAGCCTTCAATAGAATCCGGAATATCGCCGTCCCATTGATCCCTTAGAATCTCAGCAGTGGCCTTGATGTATTTCGTCTTGTTATTATGGAAGCCCACCACCCAGATCAACTCGTTCAAGAGCTTCGGATCCACTGCCAAAATATTCTCCAGGTTCAACCCAACAGGTTCCCCTTCCTTGTATGCCGGCAGTTCATTCTGCAACCTGCCCATCGCGACAGCATTGGTGGTGTCCTTTGTCTGCGAGGACAGCATCAAGGCCGTCAACGTATGGTATCTCTTGACTTTTGGGCTAGCCTTCTCCTCTGCCAACCTCTCACAGCCCATTGTGTCTACCGCAGCATTTTGTGCAGCTCCTGTAGTCCTCATCTCCTTAACAACAGCGTAGACCTCCGCCCAGTCATTGGGAGGATGGATCTCGACTTCGCCAGTCTCTTCATTCTTAATCTGTCGAGCTGGTTTGCGGACCTTGCGTTCCTTGGAAGGCGAGAATGTTACACTGTCCTCGACTTCGGTCTTGACGGTCACGGTCTTGTGTGGCGACTGCTTGATCGGCGTTCGTGGGGTGGGGTCTCGTTTCCGTTTTCGTGATGGAGGAATAACATCTTCGATATCTGTTGTATCTTGCAACGGTTCGGGCGAATGTTCGTTCTTGTTCGAAGAATTGCCATGTGCAAAGCGTGAGAGGGAGGACCGTGTGCTTCTGCAAGATGTTGTGGAGACGGATGTGGCATTGATGATCTTGGAGGTCTCCTTCGAGATCCTCGAGGTCCTCATTTCGATGGTGGGCCAGGCGACTTGTACCGCCGGTGAGACCTATGGAGGTGCAGTTACAGAGTGCTTTTCACTGTCTTACCCGCAGAAGGGTGTTCAGCCCCCTGAATCCAGCGCTGAATCGACGGGTCGGCCCGCAAACCGCAGTGCCCAGATCTGTTCGCTGACTAAAACAATGTAGACCTCATTCAAGACACTTGGCAGCGTCTGCACCATCCTGACGCAGAGAGGGGATTGAATCTACGAATGATGGCTGGTGGAACCCTCTACCATCTGTTGCCCAGAATGTACGTGTCTTCTCTCCGATCTGCGTTGAACGAGCATGACTGTGCCTACTGTTCGGAACCTTGTTTTGTACCTAAGCCCTTCTATGACAAGCCTGTGGACACAGTTGATGAGCTGTTTCACTGCTCTCAATCACTGACCTGGTTCAGGTCAAAGCTCAAGTTGGGCAAAGGAGATGTACAGTGGCTATAATGGATAAATCGTGCCTTCCTCGAGAACTCTGGAGCGATTCAAATCGGTCGTAGGCTGCACGTGGTCTGTCTCTTTCAAACTCCCCAAGCATTCTCAATTGGCCTCTTAAACCCTATCTTTCACTTCTCCCCATTGCTAAATTGCAATTGCCTGGTATTTTTAAGCTGGGATATCATACTTTTCAAGAATATCAGCGTCTCCCCGACGAAGCCAACATGGACGCTTATCCAATGTCTTACACTTCTCCATCTCGCAGACACTCCTCACGGATCTACCAGGATCTCGCTAGATATCGACTATCGAACCGAGCCTGTACAGATGTCAAAATTCAGCAACTCGTTGTCGATTTCCAGAGCAAAGTATGTCATCTTCCTGGAACCTTGCAATATGTTTGTCAAAATATCTCTTAGGGCGCTCTTCCGTCCCTTGACCGAGCTTGAGGATGATTTTCGCCCTCAAAACTGGCAAAGTCAAGTGCCTGGAGAACACATATATTTCTCTTCTTCATAGTATGGACGATGGACTAAGCTCCTGCTTTAGCTGCTTACCAGAAGTCACTCAACAACACCGGAAATATGTGTGGTAGGGGCTGGGCTAGCAGGGCTTCGATGTGCAGACATCTTGCTTCAGCATGGATTCAAAGTCACCGTACTCGAAGCTCGAGACAGGGTTGGAGGTCGTGCCCATCAAGAAACTCTTCCATCAGGTCATCTGGTCGATCTAGGTCCGAACTGGATCCATGGCACTGACCACAACCCCATTCTTGATCTTGCAAAGACCACCAAAACTGCAATGCACACATGGGGTGAGAAATTTAAGGTCTTCGGCGCGGACGGCAACCTTCTTGGTGAAGGAAGAGAGTATAACGACGTGATGTGGAAAATCATTGCGCAGGCATTCAAATACTCAGCCCAAAATACATCCACAATCAACCCGAATGAAAGTCTCAAGGATTTTTTTGAAAAGAAGCTCCTAGAAGAGTTTCCTGGACAAGCAGATTTGGACAAGAAAGAAATCCTTATGCAAATGGCTGAGCTGTGGGGCGCCTTTGTTGGAAGCCCTGTGTATCGGCAGAGTTTGAAATTCTTCTGGCTCGAAGAATGTATTGATGGAGGTATGTTTTGCCCAGAATATTTTTTTTCTTGTCCTTCATCTATTCTTTGACATCCTCCGAACACTCGTCCGGCGAAGGAGTTCTCCAAACGTTACCATCCTTTGCCTGCTTTTCTGCTCTTCGCAGACTTTTGCAAGGAACCCAGAAAATCACATGCTGAAATTCTTTAGAGAACTTATTCGCTGCTGGAACATACAAGGAAATTCTCGCCACTATTGCTGCACCGGTACTGGCTGGCGCGAAATTGGAACTTTCCACCAAGGTTACACACATCAAGTCTTGCTCGGGTGTCATCTCAATTTCGACTGACAATGGACGAAGCCTTGAATTTGATGAAGTTGTGGTAACCACACCTTTGGGCTGGCTGAAGAAGAACAAGCATGTTTTTGATCCTCCTCTTCCTCCAAGACTCTCCACTGCCATTGATTCCATCGGCTATGGCTCTCTGGAGAAGGTTTGTTGAAAATGGCAACAAATGAGATAAATGACGCTGACACTGACCAGATCTTCTTAACTTTTCCTCGTGCTTTCTGGCTCGATACTCCGGATAAACAGAAGTTCACTGGCTCTATTCAATGGCTTTCCCCCCAATATGCAAAGGAGACGAATCCAGCCTGTTGGAACCAGGAGGTTGTAGATCTTTCAACATTGCCCGGCTCTTGTGCACATCCCACACTATTATTCTATATGTATGGCGATCAGTCAGTTGCGATGGCTGGCGAGCTTGCTTTACGAAATGAACGAGAACAACGAGATAAATACCTTGTGGAATTTTTCAAGCCTTATTTCTCTCGACTGCCCAACTATAAGGAGGGTTCGAAGGATTGTATGCCAGTTTCGTGTCTTGCAACAACTTGGGTGTTAGATGACCTCGCTGGAAATGGTAGCTATAGTACATTCCGAACTGGCCTTCTTGAGGGTGATCGAGACATCGAAATCATGAGAGACGGACTTCCGGACAGAAACATCTGGCTTGCTGGGGAACATACCTCTCCATTTGTAGCCCTCGGTACATCCACTGGTGCATACTGGAGCGGCGAGGCCGTGGGTTTGAGGATTGCGGATGCATATGGCAAAACTGCGAGAGACGGCGGTGACCAGCATGAAGCTTCAAAGCTCACTACTGGCGATTCTGACAAGGAGGTCAACATCAGAGGTTTTGCTGACAAGGAGTTGGATGAAAGCTAACTGTAAGCGTTGTGGTCAAGGTCTGCTAGCGATGACATCGTTTCAGGGGCGTGATGCATTGCTGTGGTGACTGTTTTCTTGCGAGTTGGCTTTTCGAAGACAGAGATTGTGGATAGATCTCCCTAGGCTAGTCCTTCAACTTCACAAGAGACAAATGACAGACAACTTGAGAAAGTCATTGCGGAAGTTCTTGTGATAAGGGGTTCTTTTAACTTCAGTACGAATGACAAGAATCCCACGAAATTTCCACCCCGCACATCATTCTTTCCATAAACGACATCACCTCTTACAGAACATCCTTCACCAAGGTTCGCGGGATGTACTTCATTTAGCTTCTGGCGAAATCTGCCTTTGGCCAACCCGTTCGCTTTCTATCTTATGTTTCCTCATCTCTAGGCAGGAGAAGACAAGCCAACACGTCTTACTCGCAATGTTTAAATATTGTATTTTTCTTGCGTCGGTCGACCATTTGCCAATCACAAACGAAGATGGTCGTAGTGCGGCCCTCTGACATGCAGTTCAATCTGACTGGCACGAGGTTATTCGACTTGTTAGCCCTTGCTGCCAACACAAACACAAGAGAGACTCTCAAAGTTTTGCAGGTATTGGGCTCAAGATCGCATAGTTATTGACGGAAACGGGGATTGTGTCCCCTTCTCCCACAAAAAATATTGCCCAAAAGGATAGCACATCTATTTTTATTTCATTTAGGCACTGCTCGAGACCAGAAGAATTTTAAAGAAAGCTTGATGATTCAAGCATCAAGGTATAAGTGCTGTCATTTATCTTGGACCAATAACGAGAAATGGAAGCATCTTCAAATGTTCTTGAGCACAAGTAAGCCTCACCCCATTGGTGTGTGAATACGAAGATACCACTTCAGGAACCTGATGAACCAAACGATGTGGCGTTTACCGAACGATTTTCTACATAAGGACGGTGGTCCCCTCGCTGGTTGTCAGGACTTGACGTTCGAAACAGAATCGCATCCCATAAAGGTCCTGCCCACAAAACTTCACACATCTCCACAAAACGCTTTGGACTCCCGAACGTTTTGGAGACCAGACGATGGTGCTAATCTGAATTTTTGCTGTCAGCTGAGCTCACAAATGTTCCAGTTCATCTGCGCTTTGTTTTCGCACCGTGGAGCATCTGGGAATATCCACAGAGTTGTGTCCAGGCATTTCAGCAGCGAAGTTCTATGCTTGGCAAGCGCCGGCTGGTGTTGTGAAACCTCGACGTATCACGGAGCCTAGGTCAGTCAAACCAATTATGTCTAATAATGTTGTCACTGTTTTGGCACCGGCAAGAGATGAGCCGTGCGTGAGGGTTGCTGCGTGCATCATTTCCACTTGTCATCCTCATTGTCTGCGAGGCTGTCCCGTCCGGCGTATTTAGCGTCCCGGAGACGATTTAGGGTATTCAGCTGGCCCCTCCTCCAAGCATGAGGCGTGTCGATCAGCGGGAAGGAGAAACAATTCGAGCGGATTCAGCGCATGATCTGCGTTGTGTCAACGGATGTGGCACGGTATCAGAAGCCCAGAACCACACGGAAGCACACCAAAAGAGCATTCGACCCATGTTCGCCAAATAGCCAGCCTCCCGGAATTGGAGTTGCACATACAGTATGTCGTTGTGAGCTTTTTTCGGCATGCGGCCAGACGATGCTGGCCTGCAGTGGTGCAGTGGTGCAGTGCTGCAGAGGGCATCTCAGAGAGACTCAGACCGCTTTTCAAGCCCGGATGTCGGACTTCCCGGGCTGCATGTTGGTCCTGATTCAGAACGCGAGCAGAAAAGAACGCGGATTATTGTGCAGTAACACCCTCCACGGTCAGGGCCAATTTGGGGGAAGCTCTATTTTAGCCCAGGGTGCATCGACCCCGCTACAGGGAGGAGGGAGTTACGCGTTAGCCGCAACAACAGCAGCAGCAGCAGCTAATCACAGAGTGGCCAGCGGCCCACACAGAACGGACTTGACGGCATTTGTGGAGGGCCAGGGCCGGGACCAGGACCAGGACCAGGACCACGACCAACTGACCTCGACCCCCCCCCTCATGACCTTACGACCGACCATCCGACTGCATTCCAGAACAACCTATTTCGCAGCCCTGGTGGCCCTCGAAGGACAAAGGGTATCGATGATCGAGATCGGCTCCCGCCGTCCCGCTTCTGTGCAAATATCTTCTCTTCCTTCGCCAACGTTCTCCCTCTCATCGACGTTGAATTTAATACTTAATGGACTCGGTCCGCGGAGCTTGCTCTCCATGTTCTACTCTTCAATATCGCGGCGCGACTTCCTTTGGCTTTGGCTTTGGCTTTGATTTTGATTTTGACTCCAGCGCATGAACTCGAGCAACGATACTTCATTTCCTCAAATCTGAATTTACAGAATGGCGGAAACCCTGCCGCTACTACGAGAAAAGATGGATCGTGAGAACTCCCCAGTTGCCCTCCGATTGAGAAGCAAAACTGAGCCTCTGGAAGCTGAAAATAGGTCTTTCATATCGGCCATAGACTCCCCAAAAGGACCGCGACCACAGGCTATCGCACATAGAGGATATAGAGCTGCATTCCCCGAGAACACCATGGCGGCGTTCAAGGGCGCTGTCAAGGTTGGAGCTCATGCCATAGAAACGGATATCCATCTGACGAAAGATAGCGTCGTGGTGTTGTCCCATGTAAGGACCAATTGGATCTGCACATTGTGATATTATGCAATTCTAACATATCTCAGGACCCTACGCTTGAGCGGTGTTTTGGGAGGAAGGACAAGATTATCGATTTGGAATGGAGAGAAATAGAACCACTCAGAACAATCCAGCAACCTTGTGAACCAATGCCTCGACTCCGAGATTTGCTTGAATACCTCTCCGAACCCGAGCTGGAGGACATTTGGATGTTGTTAGATATCAAGGTAAGCTAAACGGCCTTGGTGGAAGAGCAAGGCTAAATCTCAAAATAGATCGACAATAACGCCGAAGACGTGATGAGGCTGATCGCGGCGACACTAGAGGAGGTAAAATCTTCACGGCCTTGGAGTGAACGAGTTTTGCTTGGTTTCTGGATGGTGAGTAACTGCAAACAAGCCATTTTCAATTCCCCCATCTGACCATCGTCCAGCCCAATTACCTTCCTCTGCGCGCCAAATATCTTCCAGATCATCGCGCAGCTCATATTGGCTTCAGCATAACCTATGCAAGACAATTCTTAAAAGAGCCTCGAGTAGATTTCAATATGCTTCAAAAAAGCATGGTTGGACCCTTTGGCAACAAGTTCCTCCGTGACATCAAAGCAGCCGGACGGTCCGTATTTATGTGGACAGTCAACGACGAAGAGAAGATGAAGTGGTGTATCATGAAAGAGGTCGATGGAGTTATTACCGATGATCCGCTCAAATTCCTGGATATTTCGAAGAATTATAACGGAGAACGATGTCGACTTCCTGTGACTCAGTATGGAACCGCCATTTGGATTAATATCATGTCAACCATTTTTGGTTTCATGTACAGGCTCAGGGCCATGTCCTCAAGAGGTAAAGGAGACCAAAGCAGATGAGACGCAGTGGATAGGCTCAGTGGAGACGAATTTATGACTTCGAGTGTGTTGAATAATGATATAGACGGCCAACACAAACATAAACGACTAATGAAAGACTCGGGACTCGAATTTCTAGCAATCTCATCCCGTGTGTTCGAAGTCCAATAGCTCCTATTCTTGTATTGCTTTTTGTTATAGATCAATATGGACTCGTGGCAAGCTAGAGTGCTTCGCAATCACGGTCACTTTCACAGTCATGACATTCTCTTGACTAACCACAACTCAGAAACCAATACCATTTCAATCACCTACACGGTTCAATTAAAAACCCAACAAGACATACCAAATGTGCATCAAACACATCAAGAAGTACACACAGTGTCCCCACACAGGTGTTAAGATCGAGCATTGCGAGATCTACAAAGCCAACCCAGACGCTTGTCACAAGAAAGAGAAGTGCCCGGAAACGATAAATGGCCACTGTCGGAAATGCGGCGGTGGTCCGCAACCAGAGCCCGTCATTACCTACGTCGACTTCGAGACAATCTCATCATGGAACAGAGAGTCAGCATCCAGCATCGAAACACCATCAAGCCTGAATTCCGGTGTCGAGCTGATGAGGAAAGGGAGTCAGAAGGCGGTAGGTGGTGTGAAGAGGTTCATCGGCAGCATCACGAGCAATCGCAGCAGTGGTGGCAGTTCAAGCCTGCTAGACGCAGTCTCAGAGACAGAATCTCCCTCTAGAGGTGAGAACACCGCATCTTACCCCAGTACGATCGAGCTACTTGCTGAGAGTAAGGCGGTCGATACATCGACGTCTCATGCGAAGCGCTGGCAGGGACCTACAGAAAGCTCATCGGGCCACATCCTCTCGAGTTCGAATACGACTGGCGGTATGCACGAGATACAACCCTCACATGGCCGTGATATTGAGACTGCTTCTGCTGTCACGACTTGGACGAAAATTATTGTGAAGGCTAGCGGAATACAGGATTCGGGGAGAGCTGGAGTTTCCCAAGCTGATGGGGTTTTGTATCAACAAGAAGTTGATGTTTCACAATTCAATGTGGTTATGAGCCAAAGCAGACTTGAGGAATTAGCCAAGGCTGATGAGAGATTGGCGAGAGTGAGGGATGAAAGAGGATATATTAATTTCAACATAGTTTGAGTCTGTTGGCATAGGCATGAATTCCGAAGCCACGCAAAAGCAGTAGATTAAACCTATGACTGCTGGATTATGTTGACCAATGTTTGATAATGCTTTCGAGTCGGAAACAGTTGTTCTTCTGAGAATGGCTACTGTAGAGGTGTATACAGCATCATACTTCACACGTGCCCTTTAGAACACGAATTTATCTAACATAGCAACACCGCGGTTCACTTATCACATATAATTAAGAAGCGAAAAGCCCGAAGATGTATTTTGATTCAATTTCTTTGACATCCATTAGAAGAAGTGACGTCTCAATCACGTGTTTCACAACCGAACATCTCGAACACGTCTTGGTTCAAACCTTTCATCAAAACAACATTTGAAGCCGGCCTTGAAAGCTCATAATTTTTTCTCCACAACTGCTTGGTATAGAATTACAAACGCCATGCATCGAGACAAACTTCTCATTACGGCGTTGCCCGCTTGGTGCAAGTTGAACGACGTCAATTTCCTGGACAGCAGAGTGAAAGACCTCGGGGGTTCGAAGGGCTTCGGACTCGTTACTGAAAGAGCACTGAACTCGAAAGGCACATTCGACATCCCGACTTTACTCACAGTGCCTCGTGACCTTATCTTGTGTGCGGAAGCGGTTGAAGAGCATGGGAAGGCGGATCAGCATTTTCGACAACTGTTGGATGCTGCTGGTGGAAAGGTCTCTCCCTGATACCTAACTATACGGTGTTTAATGGAATGTGGCTAATTTCAACGCAGTCTTTGAGAGGAGATGTTCTCTTATTCCTCTTGATGCAAATGACTATCGGGTCACCAAACCGCAACCAAAATGTCGGCTTGTCTACGGCTTGGACGGCTTATGCGAATATGCTCGCTGATGTTGTTCCCGTTCCATCGATGTGGAGTGAAGAAGAAAGAATCTTGCTATTGGGAACGTCTCTTGAGGTGAGTTCTTGACAATGTCTTTTAAATGTTGTCATTAGTTGGGCATGAACGTAAAAGCCATCCTGAGGGTTGCATCTTCCTCCTGCAAGGGCAATCAGCTTGCAGCATTGGATATGAAAGTTTAATCCAGCACTTGTCCAGAGCTTGTTCTTTGAATTATCAAATTGTTCTCCTCTTTTCTAGGCGTTTTCCCCAAGAGGCTTATCTGACAATGTTCCAGACAGCAGTGAACGCTAAGTTGGCTGCCCTTCTTCGGGAATTCGAGGCCCTCCGTGAACAGACTGCCATGGTTTCTTGGTGCAAAAAGTGTTGGTGGGACAACGAGGCTTTACAGTTCGAAGACTGGATTCTTGTCGACGCCTGGTATAGATCACGTTGTCTTGGTAAGCTTATTTCCATACCGAATCCCTAGCTTCTCTATGAGAAGAGGCTGGGAGCTTCACGAGAGCCTCTATACGCATTTGTGTCTTGGGAGCTTGGCTTCTCAGCTCCTGAGCTCTTTTCAGAAAATCGGCACACTTCGTACTAATTCGATGCAGAGCTTCCAGATATTGGAGAATGCATGGTTCCTGTTTTAGACATGGTCAATCACTCCTCACAACCAAACGCCTACTTCGAGCATACGTCCAGCAACGGAGTCTCTCTGCTTATGCGGCCGAACATGGAACTTGAAGTTGGTTCAGAGATCGCCATCAGTTACGGAACGTCGAAGAGTGAAGCAGAGATGTTGTTTAGTTACGGTTTCATTGACGAACAAAGTACGAACAAAAGCTTAGCTTTGACCCTCGAGCCATTTCCAGATGACCCGCTGGGAAAGGCAAAGAAAGCAGCCTTTGCAGGGCCGTCTCTCCTTCGAATCTATGTCGATCAAGACGAGATAAAATGGGAATGTCCTTTCCTGTTCTTGATGTTACTCAACGAGGAGGACGGTCTAGAGTTTCGGATGCTTCAGCAGACTGATGGCTCACGCAGTCCACTGAAGGTATTTTGGCAGGGCTCTGATAAAAGTGACGCCACGGAAACTTTCGAATCTCTCATCAGCAGCCATCCTCTCAGCGATGTCTTCAAACTTCGAGCTATCGCCTTGCTTCAGGACCGGGTACGCCAACAGCTTGAACGTCTTTATGAGAGCGAAGACGAAGTGGACTTAGTAGCAGACACACCTTTCGTAGGGCCGGATCGAAGAAGTAGCGCCATGTTCTTGAGAAAAAGTGAAAAATCAACTTTGGAAAAAGCCTTTGCGGCTGCAGATAAACAGGTCAGTGTGGCATTGGGCAAGCCAATGATTACTGGTCGCTTGCGCTGAGCTAACGCTTCACAGAAAAATGGCCTGCTGGAAAGCGAGGTGGTGTTGCGTTATCTCGGATCAATGGATGGCGAAGAAGAACCGGGAGACCAAGAGACCAATAGCAGTGATGAGCTTCAAGAAGATTTCAGCTGAGACCAGTGGACTTATGCAAAAGACTTTCATCGACAAGCGCCTCTGCCACATTATTGCGGTTGGAAGTCCTTGGTCAGCGCAATTTCCGCAAATTTTCAGAGATGAAGGCCCGGAAGCGGATGAACCCATCCCGGTGAGGGTTTTTGGTCTCGTAATGAAGCAAATGCCTCCGATGATGGCTGAGAAGAGGCTGATTCATGAACCTTTGATTGGGCTCTTCCCACGTTGATTCAAGGAAGATCTTCATCTCAAATCGGATCTGCATCATAGTCCCGAGTCATGAATCTCACCAGTTGAAGGGTTTATTTCGTGACAGGGAGGATTGCTTGCATTTTGGAAACAATTTGGAAGTGTTCAGAAAGTTCTCCCAGACGGAGACTCAAGAAACGAGACACTCAAAAGTCTCAAAAAGGATACAACTTTTCAATCTCATGCACATCCTCAGATCCCGGCCTCGGCTTACTACTGGTATGGTGTTCTCGAACTGTCGAAAGATCGAAACCTTAATTAAGGGAACATTTTACCGCCCGCCAAGGTGAAGCTTGGCCGACCAAATGAGGACTAATCTCAAACTCTCTTTCGCACACACCAGACTCACAACCAGACCATTCCCCGCGTTCTCCAGGTTCCGCCAAGTGACACTCGGCAACCTCTGACGGAACACACCTGGAGCTGTGATGTTATTCGATGCTCATGACGCGTTGTGATCGCACGATGGAATTAAAACGGTGGCGAGGCAGTCACCATCGTATGATACACAGAACTCCTGCGCAGTGCTCAACAAATTCCTCAAGACCAAGCTATTTTTGACCAACCCTGTGCTGTCTACCATGAAACCCGAACACCATTTTCTCACGGCTTACTGTTTTCTGACGGCTTACTGTTATTAATTTCCTCGAGGGTCCGAGATAGGTACAGATAGTACAAAGCGCTCTGCATCCAAGGGGAAAGGTGTCCATTGCTACTGTAACTAAATCCTGTTAGTACAAATGATTTGCTCACATGATATGTTAGTAGATTCGGGGGCCCGGGGCGGGTTCTGGTATTTGGCTAAAGTCGAGCCACTCATCTCCTCAAATATACTACTGTATCCGACACAGGCAAAAGGATACCGGATTAAGACCCAGAACGAGATGCAATATGAATTCCAATGCTGAGAGGGAAGGGGCCCAGATCAGAAGGCTGCCTTGCAGCCCAGCGCCGCCGATGCTCGCGACACGGGATGCTCGGTGAAGCTTCAGGAAGATCTGTTTCTGCTTCCGACACCAGTCGAGGCGTAAGGTTATGTGGGGTCGGAAGATGACGGGGCTGAGTGCTGGAGAACTTCCCCAGAGTGTCACTTTTGCTGCTTTGGGGCGGTTGGTGTGCGTCTGATCGGCAGACAACTGGCCATGGCGGTGGCCATGAGGAACGCGGCCTGGCAGCATCGATCTAGAAGGAGAGCCAGAGGGATCTTGCTGGAGGGACCTAGCTGGGGCGGTGGTGATGGTGAAGCGTGGAAATGCCGCCAAATAATCGCATTCTTCCGTTGGCGATGGTGCTGGCCAGTGAGACGGCCGCCTCGCGGATTCGTGGGCTTTTCGTGGGCTTTCCCGCCCCGCCTCCTTGTCGTGCTGCCGTGCACCAAGAGGATGGTGCGCTGCGGGGGGGCTGGGCTGCCAAGAAGGATGTCGCATGGGCGCATGGGCGCATGGGGCATCCTGGGCCACATCATACTGTTCTTGGCGATGGGCTGCGGACAGAAGAGGAACCCACGCCATTATGCCCACCACTCACCGTGCCCACTGCTGCTCTCTTTCCCCACATCCTGCTCCGTAGTCTTCCTGCCCATCCTATCCCATCCCATCCCATCCCATCCCATCCCCTTCCATCCTGCACATCTTTATCCCCACAACTTCGCACCCCTCACACAACCCTCTTCTTCTCTCAACACTTTCTCGTCGACTGTCAAATCCGCCATCTCTCCATACCGCGACCATTCGACGACGATACGACTCGACCGTCTCTTTCTCTCGACCGCTGCTTGACAACATTTGATGGGTTTGGGATTCATGCGAAGTTGCGACTGACTGGGACCCCGAGAGAGGACGGAATCCGTACCCCCGTGGCAAAATATCTCCGGACACCATTCACACTCGACAGAATGCCTGGAATACTTCCTATGAAAGTGATCAAGGTTGGGTCGAGTTCGCAGAGCCGGATTGCCCAAGCCTGTGATCGCTGTCGCAGCAAGAAGATACGCTGCGATGGCATACGACCCTGCTGCTCGCAATGTTCCAACGTCGGCTTCGAGTGCAAGACCAGCGACAAGCTCAGTCGACGAGCGTTCCCGCGTGGATATACCGAATCGTTGGAGGAGAGAGTACGTGCGCTAGAGGCTGAAGTGAGGGAATTGAAGGATCTGTTGGATGAGAAGGACGAGAAGATCGACATGCTGTCCAAGATGCATCAGAACCGTCGCCCGTCAACATCGTCTGCCCCAATAGCTTCGGAATCTCGAAAAGAGATGGTTACTACGCCGCCGAAAGAAGATGTGTTCCGCGTTCAGGCGTCACCGTTGCTGCTTGGATCAGAAAACTCGGATTCGTATTTCATGGGAGCATCAAGTGGTCGAGCTTTTGTCGGTATCTAGCCGTGTTTACCTGAACTAGTTTATCCATAGCTAATGTCATTTAGATGCATTCAAGCGAAGAATTCAGGAGAGCGGAAAATCCCTCGCCGGTTTCAACACCGAAGCGTTCCTGAACATTCAGGGCGACAAGACCCCCATTTCTCCAGCCTCCGTGTCTAAAACTTCAACTGCACCGCCTCGCATGTTTTCCGATAGATGTGTGAATGTCTTTTTCCAAGAGTGGGCACCGCTATTCCCGGTCCTTCACAAGCCTACGTTCCTTAGATTGTATGAGGAGTACATGTCGAACCCGGACCAGGTCACCGAGCCACACAAGCTGGCACAGTTGCATCTTGTCTTTGGTATTGCTGGATTGTCCAGTGATATCCCTGACCGCGATCAAATTGCTTTCTGTGAGAATCAATGGCACATATCCCTCGAAGCAGTGCTTATGGACAATACACTTGTAACTCTTCAGTGTCTGATCCTTGCACTCGTTTATTGCATTTCTAAAGCCGACTACAATCGTCTTCAACATTACAAAGGAATCGCCATTGGACTTTCTCATCGTCTGGGATTGCACCAAAGCCAAAAACGGTTTTCATTCGGCGTTCTTACTATCGAAACACGGAAGAAGGTTTTCTGGACGCTCTACACTGTTGATTGGTAAGTGCACATTATCATGTTTGAAACGATCAGCTTCTAACGCGTTGTAGTTTCTCCGCTGCTCTCCTTGGTCTACCAAAATTGTTGAAAGAAGAAGACATCCATGCAGAGTACCCATCAGACACCGATGACGAGTATGTCACCGAAAAAGGTTTCCAGCCCACCCTTCCTGGCGAATCCACGAAGATCTCCAGTGCTTTGGCTCTTTTCCGTGCCTCGCGTATCCTGTCCAAGGTCTTGGATCAGAATTATCCGGCTGCTGCAACACATGATCTCTCGCTTCAGTCCCTCACTTCCCTCGAGACCGAGCTCAACGAGTGGTCGGACAACCTCCCAGCTCATCTCAAGCTCACATTCGTTCAAGATAAACCGTCGACAGATGTCACTGGAAGTCGATCTGCGTTACTTGTAAGTTTTGATATCATATTGGCTGATTGCAAATTTGCTCACTGTGATAAAGTCTCTCGCTTATTACTACATTCGCACTCTCATCCACCGGCCTGCTGTTGGCTCGACTCTTGGTAACAAGGCATCGTCGTCTGTCATCTCACTCGCAGACTCCAGCAAACACATCATTCAGATTGTTCAGCTCCTTGAAGAGCGAAGCATGTCTTTCTCATTCTTCTTGAACAAGAACGAGATGCTCACACTCTGTGGTCTGAGTCTCCTCTATCAAGGGCTCGACCTTAAGCAAGAAGGCAAATTAATGCAAGATGGTCAACGCTTGGTCGTATCTGTTATCCACCTCCTCGAGAAGGCGCGAGCCCCTGGAGCAGCTGACTTCAAGAAACTTGCTGCCTCTATGATCAACTTGGAACCACAATCAAGAGTATCTCCTGGACGCAGCCCTAACAGCATGGCCGCTCCTACAAGTGCGAAGTCTACTCCTTCACCACCAATTGCCAGGCAACAGATTCGGCCCCAGATGTACCGTCAAGGAAGTGCTACAATGAGTGAGGCTGACTTGCTATCTCAACAAGAGAAGCTCAGACGCGCTGCAGTTCCAAACATCAGTCAACGTCAGGATTATAATCCTCGGGGACGGACCTCAACAGACTCCACGCGTTCTGAGTCGCCAATGTCCAAGCGCGATTTCCGTTCCTTAGCTCAACAGCTACCAACAATGTTGAAGCCTCGCCAAGTGAAGATTGAAAAGCCCCCGAACCTAGATTATCTCTCCCTTAGCAGCACACCCGTTCCATCGCAACCCCAGTCTCCAATTCAAAACCGTACGCAACAGCAACAGCACAGGCAAAACAACCATGCCCCCATGTACCAAAACAACCCGTACTCTACTACCAAAACTTCAAGCGTGTCGCCATCGGAGTGGGAGGCTCTCCTCGGCTCTCTCGATGGAGGTCAGACGAACTTGTACGATGCAATCTATGGTGGTCCTGCCCTTTCACTTACTGAGAATACCACCTCAAACTATGGCGACTGGTCTCCGGATTCTCAATGGGATATGACTTCGTTTACCATGAATGATTTCAGCAGTGTTCCTGGCGCGGCTCGGAGTGTCTTGAGCTTCAGCGAAGAAAGTTTGAGTTCCGGAGAAGATCTCTCAGCGAATGATTTAGGGTTGGGCGGTAGACCACTGGACTACAGACAGGCTTTATTACCGCGATCTGGCTCGGATGGGTATCTGCTTGAGGGGCTGGATGCGACTTTTGGTTTATAATGTCGGGAAATATGACTGGAGCAATGGCATCTTCATTGGGCTTTTGACACATTTGTAAATATCTCGTATAGCTGGGATACATTGGCTATGGTGTCGACTCGGCGCTGTGGTTGGGGGAAGTCTCCTTTGTTAAAGCGGAAGATTTACTACTGTTGGATATGGTTTCATGATGATATTCACCTTGGAGAGTTCTCACTCCAGGTTTTATAGCCCGAAAAACGTTTACTTTGTTATGCTCGATGTACGTTAGTTACATATCTATGGAATGAGAACCGGAAGTTAAAATAATATTCGTTTTTATCGGTGAAGTCTGGCTGCAAGTGAGGTGTCTGTATTCGGGATTTGTTCAATTCCTGGACCACACTGACGTTAGACACTAGATAAATAAGAATCATTTCACCTTTTTCGCTGTCTCTTGGGGTCTCAGCTCTTTCATTCCGTGTCTCTCATGTGTGATGCCTGTCCACGTGGGTGGGTATAGCCAAGGCTTTGGGCATGACGACACCATCCCTAGAGAATCCGGGGCAAGTAAGGTAAGGGGAGCTCCCTCACTTCACTTCAAGCTATTTTCAAGCTCCTTCTCTGCATTCTACAACAAGATCCATTGCTTCAATCAGCACATCCAATCCAATACAAACTACTTCTAAACCTTGCAAATATGCTTCCCAACAGAGCATTTCAAACCCCTTCCCTATATGCTACGGCAAGATCTGTTACTTCGGTTTCAAGCAGCACATCCAAGCCAATACCAACTCGTTTCCAGGCCCCTAAAATGCTAAACCACAACGCCCGCTTCATGACTCGTGCCTTCCACCGCGTTCTACCAAAGGTTGCGAATAGTTCTACGTCTCCGGCAATGACAGTAAGACGTTTGAGCGGTTCACCAGTGAATAGGAAATGGGAGGGGAGACAGCCAGAGGAGAATCCGACGCGGGAGAAGGACACGGATAATGTGCAGCATGATGCGGTTAAGGAGGGGAAGGAGGAGCGGGCTAAAGGGCAGGGGAGCAGAGGGACGAGCGAGGAGAGTGGGGGTTCTAATAAGAAGGCCAAAGAGGAGTTTCCTGAGGCGCCAGATACGATTGGGATGCAGGATGAGAGAGGGGGGTGAGTGTTTGTTTTCTTTGAAAATTGGGAGAAGAGAGGCTGACGAGGTGTAGGAATACGAAGATGTGAAGAGGAAGTGAAGGAGGAATGAAAAGAGGAAGGAGGTAGTGAAGGCTTGAACTAGTAGCCTATTTAAACTCAAATCTTGGACCTGCCCATTCCCCAGAACTCCGTTGCTATGCTGCCTTTACCCTGTTGAAAGCTGGTGTTTCTAGCCTGATTAATTCATGCCCGGCCGACTTTAAATGAGAGAATCTGTGATGTGTTAGAGATGGAAGAGCATTCTGAGTAAGACAGGACTCACATCGTTCTTCCCAACCGCAACAAGATCATCCTCCGCAACCCTCACCCCACCAGCGCCCTCGACATAAGCCAAAGGAGCATCACCCATAACCTTCCTCGCAACCTCCGCAACAGTCGTATTCTTCTTCACCAGCACACAATCCCGAAAGACAGCATTCGAACCCGAGGCACCAGAAGCAAATGTATTGACATTCCTTACGGGAAAAACCGGGACCAAACCCAGCAGTTCTGCAGCCTGCGAGAGAACTTGCACAACCCCCGTAGACCCAAAACGGTACAGCACCATATCCTTCAGATTCTCTATGCGATTTTTGAGTTTCTCGTCGAGCTCCTTCAACCCGCCACCGTCCGGATCTCCGTCTGCTATCAAATCTTCCCTAGTATCGACAAACTCGCTGCCTTCTGTATACCTGATGAAGCCCTGCTTTGCTAGCTTCCTCAAGAATACCTCTGAGATTGCAGAGCAGAGGACTATCGAGTTCGGGTCCTGCATCTTAGCGATCTTGCTGATGTTCTTGTCTGCGTCCGCATGGTCGATTTTGTTAAGCGCGATAACCGTGGGAAATTTCTCGTCCGTGAAGGCGTTGACGACTTTGTCTATAGTCTCGTCGGACCAATGCTCCAAGGGCTCCTTCAACGCCAGTCTATCCAGTGTCCTGGCTACCACGGTAGCCGTAGATCCGTATCCTGAGAATTGCCCTTGTAGAGTCTCCACGGCCGTAGCTTTCACAGCTACGTGCCGCCGTCTTATCGAGCCCCATTTCTGCATCAGATTCCCGCGTATCCATTGTACTATCTCGGAGCGTAGCCAGACGATATCTTGCGAGGGGTCGTAGCCTCGTGTTGCTTTGCCTTCCGCATCCGTAGTCCCCGACACGTCTACCACATGGACCAGAGCATCTGCATGTCGTAAATCATCCAAGAATTTGTTCCCCAAACCCTTTCCCTCATGTGCCCCTGGCACCAAGCCAGCTACGTCCAGCAACTCGATAGGAACCGACCGCCGTCCATCAACGCAGGCTCCATAGTTTGGTTTACATCGATCGGACAGGTTGTATCGTTTGCAGGCGCATTCGATTTGTAGGTAGCCAATGGCACGCTGAGGGTCTATCGTTGTGAAGCTAGCAGTATTTAAGTAGATATTCGAAGCTGTGGGAGTCGTCGTGCTTACGGGAAGTTGCCTGGTCTCTTGTGAGCTCGAGGTCATGGAGGAGGGTTCGTGGCTTCACCAACCAACTTTGGAACTGGCATCGGTCAAGCTGTTTAATGTGGTGCTTTTACCACTTGACGGCTTTCCGACTAATCCGATTAAGGGGTCTCGCGGCATTGTAGAGCGTTGATGAGAAATTGTGGTGACTTGGAGTTCATGTTAGTGGGGTCGTTACGATAAGGAATATATTTTTGGTGCAAGCCATCACTTTTTATCCGGTGGCGGCCTTCGAAACGGTCCTCCAAGGCAACACACTTCTCTTTCTGGGCGACTTTTCACAATATTTTATTTTTAGTCTCATGGCATTTCAAATCACATATTGCTTTATCATCTTACTCTCGTCTTTCTGTTGGACCCTGGGAGAGTAAGCTCATCCGCGACCGGGCTTGCCACCTGAGACAAACTCGTTCAACTATCTCGGAAATGAATAGGGCTCCATCAGTTGCACTCAAATTGAATCATCATGACCATTCAGCTTAAGTGCCAGTCTTCTCTTGTGTATTAGGGTAACCGGATTCCACCCTCGCTCTGGCTCGCACAAATCCTTCATCTCCTAACACCGGAAAGACCTCAGTCCAGTCAAAAGACTCAGGATGAATTAAAACTGGGCAATAAGCCTTCAAAGTCACAGACACTCGTTGTTCTAGGGAAAACGGGGAGTATGAAGCAGACACTTGTCTTCCCGATAAAATTGGACATATTTAGTAACCGTTATTTCGTAGTGAGGGATGGGGAGAGGAGTTTAGGAAAGCTTGGAGCGATTTCAGCCCCTGAAACTCGGCTACAGTGGCGCCGGAAGCCTGTCGAAGGCCTGTGCTTTGACGCGTCTTCCCCAGAAAATCGCGTCTCGCTTTCAAGAACTGTCACACGAACATCATAGCTTCTCCAGGTTGGCTCAACATGGTTGCATGCCCTATTTGTGGCAAGGCAGTCAAGCCAAGGGATATCAATGCCCATATCGATTCAGGTTGCGCATCTTTTATTGATACCGGTTCGCCGCCACCTACTCAGCAGAACGGAGCTCCACCTCAAAAACCGCCTGCATCCCAGAAACCATCGGTCTCAACCTTCTTCCAAACGCCTGCAGCTAAGAAGGCAACAGCATACCTTACACCGAAGGTGGAACCGAGTCCTACTCTGAGCTTTCAACCAAAAACTCAAAGTAATGGCACATCAACCCCGAATCCACAGCCACGCAAAAGGTCCTTCGAAGATATTGCCCCCGCGATCAAGGAAGAGACAGAGCTTCAAACGAAAGTAGAGGACGAGCAACCTGCAAAGAAGCCGAAGACAAATGCGTTCCAAAAAGCTGCACCATTAGCAGAGAGAATGAGGCCAAAATCTCTAAATGATGTTTGCGGACAAGAGCTGGTAGGGCCACACGGGGTGCTAAGGAGTTTGATCGAGCAAGATCGAGTACCGTCTATGATTCTGTGGGGGGGTGCGGGAACTGGAAAGACAACGATTGCGCGGTGCATAGCTTCGATGGTGGGATGTCGATTTGTGGAGATCAACAGTACCTCGTCTGGAGTTACAGAGTGCAGAAAGATATTCGCGGAGGCAAGAGGGGAACTGGGCTTAACAGGACGGAAGACCATCATTTTTTGCGACGAAATACATCGGTTCTCGAAATCTCAACAAGACGTCTTTTTGGGACCAGTGGAATCCGGGTAAGTACTATTTCCATATTGATTTGCTCTCTTTTTGTTTGGGAGCTCAGAGCCCCAGAGCTTCACGGGAGCTTGCATTGCCAATTGTCTTTGGAGCTCGGCCCTCACCTCTTAAGCTTCTTATTATAAATCAGGCAATTACCATACTAATCTGATGGTAGGCAAATTACCCTGATTGGAGCCACCACAGAGAATCCTTCTTTCAAAGTTCAGAACGCACTGCTTTCGCGATGTCGGACATTTACTCTCCAGAAATTGACAGACGAAGATATACTCCAAATCTTGGAACGTGCTCTTGCGACGGAAGGCCCAAACTATACACCTACCGACTTGGTGGACTCTGAACTCCTCAAATATTTATCTGCATTTGCCGACGGGGATGCACGAACCGCCTTGAATCTCCTCGAGCTTTCTATGGGTCTCTCAACTCGGCCATCTATAACCAAAGAGGAGATAAAGTCTGCCTTGACGAAGACCCTAGTCTATGACAGAGCAGGTGACCAACACTACGACACCATATCTGCCTTTCACAAATCGGTACGAGGTAGCGATCCAGATGCTGCGCTCTATTATTTGGCTCGAATGTTGCAGTCAGGAGAGGATCCTCTTTACGTAGCTCGACGGATGGTGGTGATAGCTTCAGAAGATGTTGGACTAGCAGACAACAGTATGCTCAGCCTAGCAACTGCAGCCTATACAGCTGCAGAGAAGATCGGGATGCCAGAATGCAGGATTGCTCTGGCTCACGCAACTGTAGCTTTATGCTTTGCTCCGAAAAGCACGAGAGCCTATCGGGGATTGAACAATGCATATGCGGCATTAAGGGAACCCGGGGTCGCTGGATTACCAATTCCTATTCATTTGAGGAATGCGCCGACGAAGTTGATGAAGGAGCTTGGGTATGGAGACCAGTATAAGTACAATCCGAACTACAAGGAGGGCAGAGTAGTGCAGGAGTATCTGCCCGAGCAACTGAGCGGTCGAACATTCTTAGAAGACAGAGATTTGGGTACAGAAATAGATCCCGGAGCATGGCCATAAATTTGAAGCACATATGAGATTGTTTTGAGTCTCAGCATTGCGACGGCGTTCATTGGATTGGTGGCAATTAGTAATGCTCAGGTAGGATATAGTGTCTGAACGTTTGACCAAGTGTCTTACAAATTTTGTTCTACACTCTCTGGTACAATCATGCAGGAGTGTCTCCTCCTAAAGCATCATAACCATTATCACCAGTGGTACCCTGCTGTCTCGGTATGGCCGCATCTCCAGCCACATCTGCATTCGTCCTGTTCATTTTCTCTTCTGCTAAACGTCCTGGATCATTCTTTGTCCCTATCTCCTGGTTGAAGCTTGCATTCTTCGAATCATTACTCTCAAACCCCCCCTCAGTCAAATTCTTTCCACGAGGTCCGCTTTTATTTTTAAACTGAGCGTTGATATAGCTCGGAGCAGTCCTAGCTGCGTTCGAACGCCCGCCCGTCTCATAGGACCCCTCAGTATTCTCAACAGCAAGGCCCTTGGATTGCCCACCAGCAGCGGTGGGGTAAGAGGTGGATGCAGCTCCTAGCTTGCGCTCCTCTTTCCAGTCTTCCTGTGCAAGTCTCGCCTCGGCGTCGGAGGCGGGATCTAGACGTGAAGCTCCTGATGTGTTGGCATTAGCAAAGGTAGAATTTGCGCCCTTGACGTCTTGAGGCTCGCTATTGCGGTTCTCTGAGAAGCCGCCTCCTTCTCTGGTTGATTCTGCCGCAAGGGAATCCGAAGCTACCGGTCCAGCTCCTTCTCGAATGGCGGGTGCGTTAAGGTCGGTGACCTGGAAGAGCAATTAGTTAGATTACCTCTTTTAAGATCTACCTTCGATGAGAGCGGTAATTTTGATTCGCAACTTCAATTAAGAACTAGTGAGATTGCGGCTTGCTATGCAGGAAGAAGTAGAGCGCCTTACCTTGGTGCCGAGGCTTGGATTGTGTGTTAACATTGTGAGGGCTATATGGTTATGGAAGATCTCGTTGATAAAGACGAGACGCTATTGAGGATTCAAAGTCAACTTTCGATTATGTATGTTCCAAGCTCAAACAGGTTCTTCCGTGCTGCAGGTAAGTACTGTAGCATCATAGTGAGATCAACGCCATGACATCACCCGGAAAATGTGTTGAACCTCGCCCTCCACCCAAGCAGTATTTTTGTCGCATTTTGTGGAGATTGACTCTGATGGCCATGAGTGCGATCGGATGTTTTAGCTGAGACTTGACGTGATTAAAATTTGAGGAGCTTCGTAAATACGTCAGTAAGTGAAAGTAGCGCGAGGGGCAAAAAGGAGAGGAAACTGTGGTCACGTGCACATCTTCTAAACTCGACCTACAAATTATGTGTGGAGGGCTAGGAGGTGTGAGGTGAGAGATGAGTTTCCTCGAAGCGTCTAAACTTGTGTAGGTAAGAGCAGGTAGAAGTCTGGAATGGGAACCGTTATTCGAAAGGACAGCACAGCTTGGATACCCAAACCACCCCAATTACCAGTACATTTACACAAGCACAACTGTCCTCTATCTTGAAGTGGCATCCTTTGGCGGGCCACTCAACCCTTCTTTGCCTTGTCTCCCAACACCGCTCATATCGGCACCGTCCTCCTCTCTCACACCACTGTCCTGCGTAGCTGGCTCTCTCAAGCCAGTCGAGGAAGCCTCACCCATCGACATCTCTTCTTGTCGTTCGCCGGCCATAACATTGACTGTGCGAGCATCGGCGGAGTTCCAGTCTGAGGCCACAGGAGGGTCTTCTGGGAGTGGGAGATTGGCTTGTCTCTCGGCGATGAGGCCTGCTTTGCTCTGCTGTCCAGACATTTTGATGCTGTGCTTATCAGCTTGTGATAGTGATGTAGATTAGGAAAATCGGACGTACAGTACTTTCGTGGAGAATATAAGATGTTCTGTTCGTGAAAGGAAATTGAGATGAGGCGAGGTAAGATGAGAAAAAGATGAAATGGGAAAATGGCAAAATGCTTGCTGCACTTGCAGCTATTATGACATTTGATCCGGTTCCTGGCCCCGCAAAGCTCCAATTATGTGAGAAAATCAAGGGGTTCCCTGCTAGCGAAGAGGAGGGTTTGGTCCGATGCAGAACGAAGAGGAGATGACGTTTAGTTAAGGATGTGCAGAATTGATGACTGAAGAAAACGGCATCAACACTTAGACTTTAATTCACGAAACTTCTATTCATATTGGTATCATCAATTATTCATGAACAAGGACGCCGCCTCAACCATAGACCCCTTTGCACCATAACCCTCGACTCCGGAACTGATCCCTTATACAGTACATTATTGAAATCAGGATACTCTCTTATCCCCAGCCTCTCCGGCCGTAGTCTTGTCTCCTGCATCGGGATTCAAGTAATCCGCGTCTTCCGCCGCCTCATATTCGGCAATGAGATCTGTGACCACCTCTCTTGCCTCATCGAACTCGTTTAAGTTGTCCGCAAATGGCGCCGTTTTCTTGTAACCTTCCATGAAGGCGTTTCGTTTCCGCATGCCGTCGTACTGTCTCACGATTCGTTTGAAAAGCTAGAAAATGAGTTAGTCAGGGTGGCAGTATTCAGTGATACCGGCTTACCGTTGCGATACTTGTGTGGTTTGCCAACATAAGCCCACTAACTCGGTGGTTCATGGGGATATATGGACTCTTCTTCGTCAACGCCACCTGTATACTGGCAGGTCCCCACGGAATGAAAGTTGCGAGTCTCCGCTCTCTGATTCTGAGAAGACTCTTATGGACATCGGTCGGATCAACATCACCTTGAATGACGTTCAATATTGAGATATAACAGCTCTTCTTCCCGGGAATTGTTGAGACCATGCGATTCTTGGGTTGAAGAAGCCGCCGCATCACGTCCAGCACAGTAGTCTTGCGAACCGTCTTAGCTTGTTCAACGTTATCGCCCGTGAATGGTGTGTAAGATGTCATCAAGAAGTGGCACCGTGGGGTTGGGATTAGGGAAGCAACAATGCTGACAAGGTCGTTGTGCATGTAGCCCGGATAACGAAGGGTAGTAGTACTGGCGGACATGACCGTAGACACCTGTTTGAAGAATTAACAGTGAACGGGGAATATATTGACAATGGAATCCTACCAGCTGGTTCGTTTGTTGAAAGGAAGGCTCTTGGACGTGTAGTCTGTCTGCAGCAATTCGAGAAAGGGCCCCATTGTCAAGGACAACGACCGAGTCGGCATTTTGTGTTAATCTTCGCATCGAGAGCAGACTGTTATATGGATGTACCACAACGTCTCCTGAATTGGTGGTATCCGGAAAGACAGAGTATGTCTGGATGATCTTTTTGGGGAATCGGTCGTTCAATCTTTCCAGTAGAAACGAGCCCAGGCCAGATCCAGTGCCTCCCGCTATCGAATGAAGCATCATAAAACCCTGAGTTAAGTCAGAGACTGCTCTCAAATCTTGTTTGCCTAGCCCCATACCTCGAGAGAGTCACTTCCGTCCGCTTCGCGGTCGATCATCTCCATTATGTCCTCGTGGACCAGCTCTCCTGTTTGATACCCATCTCCCCAGTTGTTTGCAGCGCCCACTCCGTTCTTCCCAACAAAAAAGTTCTCGGGGTTGTAGATGTTCTTGTAAGGGCCTGTTTGAATACCGTTGATGACCTGGAGTTTGTTAGCCTTTGGCCATTTGCTACGCCGGCATAGAGCGCAAACGGTTGCATTCACGCACACGAGGTTCCAAATCTATCAATATAGCTCGAGGGATATATCTTGTGTCATCAGACTGGTAGAAGAAGACATCTTTGCGGTCACCGCCCTCTGTCGCAAACTCCTCTAGATTCCCATCTTGGCTGATCCCATGTTCCTGGCACAGTTGTTGCCAGAACTGACTTCCAACTATATTCCGCCACGATTAGAAGCTGCTCGAAAGCTTGTCTGGGGCATGCAAACTGACTGCTGTTGCCGCATTGGCCGGCCTGAACTGTGATAATTTCTCTGCAGGACTGTCAGTCAAGAGTCGCAGCTGCAGATTGCCAAACCATACCTAGGCATTATCGTACCATGGATGGCAATTCCCAAGTAATGTGCAGAGGAGGACGGAGATTATTCGTTGCAAATCATCCAGCAAATGTTGAGTCTTTGTGATCGCGTTTCGTGGGGTTGACGACGCGTTTAAAGTCGCGCTAGTACGGGCTGATTTAGCGACGATGCTGCAACTATAATTTTTTTCGCAAAATCAAAATTATGATGAATCGCGATTTATTTAATGGCCACATTTTATATGGAAAACACACCTAATTATGGCCAAATACGCAACTCCCATGCATTATAGTCAAATGTATCCAGTAGTATTACTCTGTTCTCGCTTTTTTGAACTGCCCCCGATTATCCCTACACCTATTCCCCGGCCTATAATCACTATCCCCTGGTAATTCCTTCTCTCTATCGTCAAGATCTGAATTATCGTCGTCATCGCTTGATATAATCACCTCCCGCTTCCTCTTTAATATAGACTTCAGAGGACGTTGAGTGGATAGAGCGGGAGCGGGAGCAAACGCTAGTAAAAACGTCAGATCTACTAGTATATTTAAATCTATTAACTTACTAGATATAGAAGCAGGAGCAGGAGCAGGAGCAGGAGTAGGATCAGGAGTAGGAACAGGAGCAGGAGAAACCGTAATTCTAGCTTCTAGCATAGGCATATTATCGTCTGAATTAAAATCGTCAGAATTCAGGTCATTACCTAACTAATTCTTTAAAGAAGCAACCTTCTCCCATATAGCTTCGATCTATTAATTAGGAGTCAAAGCAGGTAAAGAAGATGCCATAGATATAACTATAGATATAGATACTACGTTAGGGGTAATATCGGGAGAGTCTCCTAATAGGGGGCTAAAATCTAGGAGGTAAGACATCTCTCCATCCCTTCTTTCACGCTCATCCTGAATCTCGTCGTCTCTTGCCTGAATTTTATTAATATCTTAATCAAATACAAGATAAATATGCTTTGGCATTCTCTTATTTAATTAGCTAAAATAGGATAATAAGCCATTAATAGTATTTTCAGCTCCATATATCAGATTAGTCACATGGTCGATCCTCTTGTTTTTATCCTTTGGCCATACCTAATTATATTAGTACTAATTATATTAGGATACTAATAAATAATAGCTTACTTTAGTAGTAAAAGATACCCCATTTACGCATTCCAAGATCATAATCCATTAATTAAGCTCCCAGTCTTCAAGTAACGGAATTAATAATAAAAAAGCCTTGGCTAAATATATAGCAAACTCCTTATATAATAGTTCTTGACTATAATAAAGTATTATATTAGCAAAGAGGTATATATTTCTATAAATAAGCTTTACATACGTATTAAACTATTCTACTATCTATAGCTCAATTTGAATATTTTGAGCCTCCTAATACTCTTCTAAGCTAAGGAACTTCTTTGTAATTAAAACAGGTATACTCCTCCCAGTAAAGCTACTCTCTAGTTCTTCTATTTCATATATACATAGTATAATAGAAATAAGGACCTTATATCGTTTTTCGATAATAGGAGCAGGAGGAATCAGCGATTTACTCTTACTAAAAGCCCTTACACATGCCCCCTGGCCGAGAGTAAGGGAACCAAGGGCTTTACCCCTTTTAAGGACTAAACCTAATAAAATTAGTATTAATATAGGAGTTAAACAAATAGATATATACTTTCGCCCTGAGCTTCCTAATAGAAATTACCACGTAATCGCTCTAAACGCTCGAGCTTAGCCTGCTATCTCCTCTTATATACTTCTGATTCAAGAACCTCCTCTAAGAGATCCATACCCGAGAAATAGTAAAAAGAATAGGAATTAGCTAAGATATTAACCCCTTGGTCTCTTAATAGCTAGGCGGCAGTATTCTAAAGTTGAGTTTGACTAGAAAATAATATATTATCTAATATAATAGTCGGTATAGCTAAAATAGGAGTAATAGGAGCAGGAGAAAAAGTAGCTAGGTTAATTGCACCACATAGTAGACACTTTATTATAGAGGGGGAATATAGTACCTCCCGTATAAAATAAGAGTTCCATAGATTGAGATTATTTATTAAAAACGTTTAGGGATAATATAATAAGGATCTAATTTATAATTAAATATTAGAAGGAGGGTATAGCTAATAAATCTATAGTTTAGTAAATAGTAATATAAAGTCAAGTAGCAGGATAGAACTATAATATATTAATATTATTTTAACCCTTTAGCCCATACCCCTATAACTTTTTCCCTAGGGAATTTATATATTAGAGACTTATTTTAGAGGTTATTAATAGTAGCGTATTACTAATATATAAAAAGAAGTAAATAGAAGGACTATAAGAAATACCCCTTAGCACAAGTTAAATTCGGACATATTTTATTTATCCCTAATATTATTCCTATATAAACTATGGTTTCTTATACTAGGGGCTATAGAATATTAAGTAAGGGGCTATAGAAATTAAGGGAGAGAAACTAAATTCCATATAAAAAGAGACATTTTCACCAAATATATCTTATAATTACTTTAAAAGTTCTCAAGAACTATTAATTTAATAGAGCTAGTATTAACGGAGAATTTGATCTATACTATAAACTTCTTACTACTAAAATAACAAGTTAATAAAATAATTATAGGAGGTATGGAAAATAAAGAGGCAAGGGTTAATTTTCTAACAAGGTAAATCATATAATCTTTTGACATTAAACTACCTATAACTATATAAATTTAACTAATTAAGCAGACTACTATTAGCTTCTATAATTAATTGCTTTACCAAAAATTAATATTTTTAGCTAGTTCTTTCTTTAGGATATATATTAATATGTCCCTATTTAGCCTCTCTAAGGCCGGGTAAACCGACTAATATTTACAGGAGGAATTTCTAGATTATTCTCTTCCTCTGCTTCAGGCTCAGATATATATCCATTATCCATAAACTATCTATATTCTTGACTATTTATAACCTAATTACTATTTGCCCTATTAAAAGTAATACTATCTATAGTAAATCTAGTATCCTCCGCATTATCTTTAACCTTCGCTTCGTCGTCAGAGCCAATATAGGTAAGATCTTTATCTCTATAGCTAGCGTCTCTCCCTTTATTAATAAACTAAATGCCATCTTAATTATTATAATTCTTTAGCCTTGCCTCTTCTAGTCCCATAGCTACCTCTGGTAATAAATTCTAATTATATATACCCTTAGGTATTAATAAAAGCCCTAGCTTTAGACAAGTATTCTTCGTATTAATTAGGTAGTTACTAATTGACTTCCTTAGATATATATATATACTCAGGTAATTCAGATCCCTATTTAAGTCACATATAAACTCCATAATTAGGAATATAAAGCCGGTATTCTTAAGCTCTTGCTTATACTACTCAAGTATAACCTCTAGTAAATATATGTCTTTATTATAGCTAGCATATCCTTCATATAGCTCGTTTAGTTTATTAATATTAATAGGAATCCCGTAGTCCCTAACCCCTATCTGCTCTAAAAACATATAGTTCTGGAATAGTTAACTAGGGATAATATATAGATAATTAGGCTATTTCCTAATTAAATAAATATTCCAAACCCGGACAAACTCCTTAGTTTACTCCCGTATAATAAGTAAATAGACAAAAAGCATAGTAATATAGTCAGGGAGAAGTTTACGGGAGTAAAGCCTTTGAGAGTATAGTTACTTGAAAAATATCTTCCATTTATTTAGCATATCCTATATAATATTAGCTAATTAAATAAGTCTATATAGGATTAGTATAGATAAATTACCTTCACAACTTGCCCCCATTATGCCTCAATTCATTAATTAGCTATACTAGTCCCGAACTAATAGAGATCTGAGAACTAATATGAATTAATACCCCTTATTTAGTATATTGCTTTATAGAGGATATAATAGATATTAGTAATTATAGGTATTTCGCATCCTCTATCCAATTAAATATAGAGCGGAATAACCTCTATTTCGTCTACTAAGTCAAGGTATTATACTAGGATAGTAACCTGGAAAATAGTATAAGTAAGTATATATTAGTATAATATTAATTAGCCTAAAGGAGAATATAGTATAGAGATTTAGGGGGTTTATTACCTAAATTAAGGGTTTTTCAAACAACTAGTTCTCTATAATACTATAGAATTACATAGCCGGAATCACGACTAAGTGAATTTTGGCATTTTCAAGGGAATATATTTATACCGAATTAGGAAATACTACTACTTATAGCATAACCATTTGAGATTCTAATATAAATCCAAGGTACGAACCATAAATAGGCATTAATACTAGTATATATCTCAATCCCACAAAATCATAGCTAAGTAAACGGATTAGTAATTATTAAGATAATAATTTTTGAAGTTAAGTATATACTATACTTACCTTATAATAGCCATTAATAGACCAAACAAAGTTCGGCCCATAAATATTATATTCCCCCCTAGCTGCCTTTATCTCTTCCGAGTAACGTTATATACTTTCTGGATTAATTTCCTATATTACAGAAGCTATTCTATTTCTAGAAAACTTCTGGCCATTCCCTAGAGAATTAAGATAAGTATATAGAAGCCGGTAGCCATAACTTCTAGTATTACCTTATGGGCCTTTATCCACTATATATTACTTGAGGATATGGCAAAATTACTCCTTTTCTAGCTTAACTTGCGAATTAAGCATTTGACGTCAAAGGCCCATAGCCCGGCAAGCTTATTATAATAGTTATAGATTAGGAATATCATATCCTAAGCTCCGGAGGTTAGTAAGTATATTAGTATTAGTCATATGGATATTACAAAAGAACCAGGCAATAAGACCCTTCACCTGCGGCAAAGGATTAAATATTAAACGTTTAGAGGGCGTTTTCCATTCGGAAAGCCTACTACATAGTATTCTCAGGGAAATATCAACGTCAAAGTCATGCTTTAACCTCTCCACAATAGTCTCATATAATAGCTACTGCTCAATTAAATAAAGAATATGGGCTTAATAGCACATAATATTAATCTTAAAACGACCTATTATAAAGAGTTTAATAATAATAGATTAATAGTATTAGAAATAATAATATAGGAACAAAAGTATAAACGAAGTATACCAGATAGCTAGTAGGCCAGGGGGCATATCACGTGCATTTTATTAATTTTTCCTACCCTATTGCATTCCTACCATGGAATATAATAAAACACCATATAGATTAACTGTTTTAATTGTATTCTACCATAGAAATTAGCTAGACTATTAATAATAGCACATTTTTAAAATATCGTAATTTTGATTTTGCGAAAAAAAATTATAGTTGCAGCATCGTCCTTAAAGGAGCCCGTAGCTAGCGCACCCTGGAGATCTTCCGAAGTTCTGGTGGTTGATTGGCAACGAAGCTCGTAAATATTATCATTGCCTACTATCGACAGCTCATCGCCAAACATTTCCACGACAACGAGTGCCAATAAATTGCGATCTCGAATCGAAGCTTCTGCATCTCTGCGCAATCATTGCTTTCAGAAACCGCTCTGGGGAGCATCCACGTCGCAATGGCCTTCCAGGTCCCATTCTCCTCCAGCCCTCCATCAACTCCAGACAAGAGATCAAACAATGGCAACAGCAGCTTTCCATTCGGGGCCTCAAACCCTTCCACGACCCCCGCTGGACCTCCGCCTTCGTCGAATGGTTCTTTCACACCTGCAGGACCACCTCCTTCGTCCTACTTCGGTAGCTCCATGATAGGCAACGGAAGCCCGCTCAAACCGCTGTCATTCTCCCAGCAAAGCGTCTTCGGATCACCCTCTTCGCCCTCTGCGAGCTTCTTGCGCCCGTCCGTTGCACCCCAGCGCTCTGGGCTCAGTAATGAGTACCAGGTTTCCTCTCGACGAACTTTTCAAGCTCCGGAAGAGAGCGAGGAAGAAGACTCGGCTAACCTAACAGAGGATGAGCAGCAATACAACGAAAATCAGGCCTACATCGGCGAAGACGCCGAAGACGCCGAGGAAATGACAGACGAAGATGCACAATATGATGATGACGAGGCCATGGATTATCAGTCTGAGAATCCTGCATCAAGAACGAATGGGCGGGGCTACGACCAACGCAGCGCCTCTGATTTGTTACTTTCCGCAGAAGGTGCGCTGAGAAGGAGCAGTGAAGGGGGCATTCTTGGGGGAAACGATTACTTGTCACAATCTCTACTACGACCAAAAGAATCGATTTTTGGATCGATAGCAAAAGACCTATATACCAGAATGCCTCCACCACAGGTCACAGAAGCGGATGATCTTCTTCTCAACACCGAAAGCATCATCACTCGGCTTTACGAGCAAGGCATTGGTGCCTCGGAAGAAGAAGATAGAGTTCAAGAGGTTTTGATGACGATCCCCGGCGAGCTCGTCAACCTTTGGGAGGACTATGACAGAAATACTAGAGTGTACGATTCAGAAGAATACACAACCGCGATCGGGCCAGGACCTAAGGCGACGAATTTCCAGAAGTCAAACTATATAGCTGGCCTTGCACTTCAGATTCATCATCCTCAGAGGGAGGCCAATTCCTTTGGGACTAGCAGAGTCAAACCTTTACCACAGGTCATGCTTGAATGGCTTGATGATCATCACAATGTATTCCCATCTTACCTCGAAGAGGTACAACATCACCGACCAAGTCCTTCCAATAGCCGACTTTTCTGGAGCACTCTCTTCAACAGTCTTATACGTGGGAAGATCGTTGCGGTTGTCAATCTCCTCACAGATGCCGGATGGAGACATGCAAGAAACGATTCCGATGTCGCCGTTGGCCAGTATAATGAGACTGGATTTAGTGGTGCAGCTCTGCAAAATGTTGAGAATGTTGCAGCGGCTGCCGTCAAGGTTTTCCAGCTATGCCCTGCCGCACATGGGGACTGGAATATTCGGGGAAGTGAATGGACCTTGTTCCGGCTTCGGATTTCCCAGGCAATGGAGGACCTGAAGCGCTATGCAGAAGGTAATAACAGGGACCGATCTGAATCAAATGCTTATGCCAGGTCCTCCTTTGCAGGCAAGTCCGGAACATACAGCAGAACTGCTCAGAAGGCAGAAAGCAAGGTTCCATGGCACATATACCAAAACTTGGTCACTCTTTACAGTATTGCAATGGGAGATGCCAACGCGATTGTTGAGGTCTGTGAAGATTGGGTTGAAGCCGCTGCCGGATTGCTAGTATGGTGGGATGAAGGAAAAGACGACAGACGACAAGCTTTGAACAGATCCCGAAATACCTATCGTGCTTCACTGCGAGGTTCTGAAATGGAACACTATTTGCACAAATTACGGAAATCCTTCGAGACTGCTACCAACAAAACCACGGATTTTGCGGTAAACACTGCTGACGAACTCGAAGTCAGCCTGGCATCTCTCCTCGAAGGAGATAATGAAGCCGTCGTGGGGTTTTTGCGGGGTTGGTCTGGCCCTGTGTCATCTGCTGTCGCAGAGGTGGCTTCTCTTGCTGGATGGCTGCCACAACCAGAGCCGCAAAGCCTCATCAACATGGGCAGTTTAGACCAGGAGGATTTGGATTTGCTGGGGGTTAACTCATCGCCTTCAAAGACCGATGGTGTTAAGGATCTGACCCTTATCACTTATGCCAAATCGTTAACGCATCGAGGCCAATTGAAGAGATCTACTTCCTCCGGTCCATCCCAAGAGGGTTGGGAATTAGCTATTGCCATTCTCGGCAGACTCGACTCGACTACCCGTTCCGAAGAAATAGTGGGACATTTTCTGCAAGGGTTCCCGTTAGCCTCAACAACTGTTGTCGACAAGCTCTGGAGATTACTAAATGAGACTGGGATGGGTCATCATGCCGAGAGTGTTGCTGAGGTAAGAGCTCTCTTTTGCTACATTGGGTGTAATGCTAAATGGATACAGTCGTACGCTACTCGCCTCGCCGACGAATCTCACAAATATGGTGAGGCTTTATGGTATTATGCACTAGCACACAAGATCCAAAAGGTCAAGGATGTTTTGGATCTTCTCATCTCGTTCTCTTTGATACAATCGACAGCCTTCCCACCGGAGCCAGAGTTGGACGATCATTTACGCCGACTTGTAGCATCACCGAAAGATGCGTTGACGGAAATCTCCCGAATGGATTTTGAAGCTGCCGGGTTGCTCCATAAGATGCTGAGCGGTTACGCAACACTGCGTAAATTTTACAGTCTTCGAGACGAAGCAGAGGTGCTTAAGGGAGGGAAGCCAAAGAACAGCGCCGTTTCCCGGAAAATTGAAGCTGCTTCAGCTCTGATGGCTGTCATATCCAGCTCGGACGACAACATTCGAGGTGGATTTTACGACGAAGAACGTGGAGCGGTTGTGAACGTTGACTTTTTGCTTGCATTATTGGGTGAAGCAATGGTCTTCGTCAACCAGACCGACTATACTATCACCGTGGGTCAAATCGACGTCTTGCTCAAAGCGATCGAGGATCTCCAAACAGTCGGGCCGAGAGTGTACTCTGCATGTGCCGAGTTCCTACAGACGGTGATTGCTTCTGGACAAGGTCTCAAGGGGTCATCTCCTACCGATATGCTGAGGAAGACAACATCGAACTCCAGTGGTTCAAGCAGCTTCTCTATGATTGGCAGTTCCATGTTTGCGTCACAGCTGAAGCATTCGATGGGGAGCAGCGGCGTCATCGTGAAGGGAAATATCAAGCGCGGTTGGGACTGGCGACAAGGAATTTCTGCATCCACAAATGGAGATGATCTCTTGAGAATCTTGAGACATGGGCTGGCAAAAGATCTTGCGAAGGCATGGCTTAATGAGGCTGATAATAAAATATAATAAGTGGATGGTTGGCTGTATCGGGGCATGCATTCTATGGCGTTATGATATGGAAATGTCCCTTGAAGGAAAATATGGATCGCATGGCCGGCGGGAATACTGCTCATGTGGAAAATACAGAAATGATACCCTGATCCTGAAGCACGAGAAGCTGCGATCACCATATTTTTTATTCATTCTCCACACCATAGACTCAAGCCTCTAAATCTATTCCGAATTTTCTATATACATCTCTTCAATCGTACAGAGATAGCGACTCCTTGATGGTCCTGCAACTTCGTCAAGGCAAAGAACACTTTCTCTAAAACCCATCTACCTTTATCCCCTCCTTCTTCTCCAGCGCTAGCCTCTCATTATTATAATCCACCCACCAAACATGTGTCGGATCCTTGGAGACACTATTCCCCTCTCCATCCATCTCATCCCACGGCTTCGGAGCCAAAATATAATGAACATTCTTCACCTTATCATCCTTCCAGATCTCACTATGCACGTTCTCCCACCTCAGCGTTTTCAGCGCATTGTAGATATACGGCAACGGGACCCAGCAGCCTTTGAACAGGTCAGAGAGGAGCGACTGGTCGGCAAAATCCATGTCGATGGCGGCATCCGATTCCATGTGTGCGAGGATCAGGCCGTAGACAGTTTTGGAGGGGTTCACGACTTGCAGGCCGCCGTTCATGAAGCCTAGGGGACCGACGGCAGGGTCGGGTCCGGTTGTTTGCGCGATGTCAGGGGTGGTGTGTTGGCTTGTGAAGGCGCAATTTTCTGGGACCCTGTTTGTAATCTCTCATCAGCCCGAAGTCTTCTTTGCTAAGCTAAGGGTAAAAGGAGAAGAGGGGCGGGCGGACAGGGCGGTAAAACATACCAGTCCTTGGGATAATGCGGCTTCTTCAACGGATTGCAAACACACGCATGCCCTGCCGCAAACACCTTCTTCCCTTTACCCCCCAACTCCGGCCCATCAAGCTCCATCTCCATCAGCTCATCCATGTTCTGCAGTACCAGCATATCACTGTCGAGTTGTACAACCCTGTCATACTCTACGAGACTGAAGGGTGTGAGTTTGGACCAGCAGTCGTAGAAGCGTGGGTCATTGGAATAGTCCTTCCCTGCTTTCGGAAGCAGGTACTCGATTCTCTGCTTGGGGATTCCCCGTGCTTCGAGCGCGGCGTGTCCTTCAGCTGGGAAGTCATCGGTGTACAGGGCGACAAGGGGGTATTTGGAGCCTTGCTTCTTGAGACTGAAGTCGAGCGTGATGAGGCCCGAGAGATATTTTGTGTTGGTGATGAGTGTCGTCCACACTGTTTATTATCAGTATTTTGCTTTTGCCTGCCTGGCGGGACGCCGCATGCATACCTTTCCTTGCCTCAGTAACTCGTGGTATTTCAACCATTTTTGCAGGAAGATGCTTCCTGTCACGGATATGGTGATAACGAGATCTGTGATTTATATACAAGAGAAGAGAAGATGAGATTGAACAGTTCAGAGGAGCACAAACACCGAAGAAAAGGTTTGATACAAGTGTTTGCCCCGGTTTGACGCGTCTTTCGTGGCCCACAAGCTGTCACTGCATTATCGTTGATTTTTGGTTCCTAGTACCTAGATAGGTACTAGCCGAAGGGTGCACGCCACCGGGAGCAGTATATCGGGAGTTGAACCCAACCTACAAGCCACCCTAGGGTAAGTTATTTCGGTCCTTTATGTGCAGGCCTACCCTTGTAATACTAGGTCAGGAAGGTACTATAATTAACCATTAAGTGTATTCGGTTTTTGTTTGGAATATGGGTTTATTGTAGGATATTTTAGCCCGCTTCTCGCGGTTATTTTTCTTTGGTATTAAGGCTTCTCGAGTGTTCCACAGAACTCGCCTTGGCTTAACATCTCCGCTTTATCAGTCTTTATCGCTTTCTTCTTCTCCGTTATCGAGTTCAGTATCAAGTCTCGGAGGTCCCATACGCAACAAGCATTGTAGTCCTTTCCGGATACTTAAAGTCCTCGGGTCCTCTCTCTAGAGTTTTCGAAATAATGAATGGTTGTAATAATAGTTTCGGTAAGCTTCGTTTTGTACCTACTATATTGTGTTGCGTTTATACCCGCCAGTTTCTTTACTTGCTTTGTATCCGGGTCATAGATATCATCTGGGCACCGGGCACCGCCCACCAGCTGTCAGAAAAGTGTTTATCCCGATGGGGATGTTTTGCGACAACCCCACTACCTGCACGATGGAGGGGCAGCACCTACCTTGGCGCTCGGTTACGTAATATTGCAGGGGTTTGGCCTAAGATTAACGAGTTTCAGGGGCTGTAAACAACGTTATCGAGACCTGACCTGCCATCAATCTACTTCAAGGATCGACCATGGTGAGACTGTGACAGGCAGTGCCCTGGATAAACAACGTTTGGACGACGTACTCAGCCTCGGATTTTCTAGTCTTCTATTTTAGTCTTTTGCGTCGTAAAACTGGATCACGTTTCTGGAATTGCGGCTGGACGGAAGCGAAATTCCACTGTCCCCGTTCAGCCTGGACATTTACCGGGATTGAAGGAGAGATTGATAGTATTCTACAACTTCCAAGGTTTCGAACGGAGTGGCCTGTGAATGTGCCATAAAGTGATAGAACATTCAAAGGGGATGTATTTGAGATTTCCATTGACTCTATGCTATGCTGTATGATCCCTGAGTAGAGGTGTTGAATTCTCAAGAAACTTTCGATGGTACAAGTAGAGGGTAGAACTATTTCTGAGTGTTGAACTCAATTCTCCCAACCCTTTGAATATATGCAGGGGCAAAAAGTGACCGCCACCACTATCTCCAGCTTAAGAGCTGTTAGTTTGCTTGCTCAACTGTTGCATGATAATACCAAGCTCCTTGAACTTTTGCTCGTCTTCATCATCATCCCCTCCATCACTTCCATCATCGTCACCTCCATCACTGGCGCCATCGTCATCACTGTCGGGGTCTTCGGAGCCTTCGGAATTTGGCTCGATGGAAGTATGGACAACCTCGTTTTTCTCACGCGCATTCATCCATGCCTTTTCAATGGCGTGACCCTCCTTCAAAAGCTTCGCTTTCAAAACAAGAGTTGATGGATCCAAACGGCTGACTTGAGAAGCAGGGGCTTTAAACATAGCCTCGAGATCTTCGTGGAGCTTGCTTGATGCTTTCATAGACGTTTCGAGTAGCTTGTGGGATAGCTCATGCTTTTTCTTCTCAAAAATGTTCCGGATATTCTGGTCCATATTGACGTACATAGACGTCTTCTCAATATGATCTGATAGAAGATCCTTCATCCGATTTCCTACTCCTTTTCCTACACAAGTAGTCAGTCATTGTTCCAATTGTCATTTCATTGTCTCAATTCTTCTGGAACAATCGAGGAGAATGTCCCGACGCTCCTCAGAACAATCCAGCACTTACCTCTTTCCTTGCCCATTTTGGATGTATATGGTTTCAAGCTTATAGCAGCCAGCCTAGTGGTTTCAATAGAAATCTCCTGAGCAAATTTCCCCAGTTTTCGAATATCAGATAATTGAGTATTTGCTTCGTCCTTTAGTAGCGAAACCTGTTCAAGTATTCCTTGGAGAGGCTTGTACCCTGGGTCGCAAATAAGTTCAACTGTATTTTTGATATCGTCGGCGTAGGTACTGAACTCTTTGAGGACATTCGTCTCATGTTGCTGGAGGACTTTGGGTATCAACTTATTCACGATATCGTCCCAGGCGGCCGTCAATGGAACGAGTATGACACTGGCGAATTGTTCTTGCCAGTTATGACGTTGCTGGTTCTTACCGGAGGTCATGTAGACACCATTTCGGGCGCAAATTGCCTTCCATGTCTGCGGGCGTAGCTTTTGGGATTTTATGCGTTCGCATCGCTTCGCGGCCATTCCTGGTGCTCCAGACACCGCTCTGGCCAGTGTTGATAGCAACTCGTTACTGCACAAGTGGAGTTCGGACTTCGTATCATTCTGAAGTTGTTGGATCGCCTTGCAACATATTAGCTAGTACTAGTCTTGAGTGAGAATGGCCGATTACATACCTGTTCATGCATCTTAAACTTCTGTATCAACAAACTCTGTAACTCCACTCTCTGGTCCTCTGACAGGCCATGCGTTTCGTTCTTACTTTCTGCCGAGGCTTTGATGTCAACGTACATGAGACCTAATTGAGTGATCAAGTTGCTCGCATCTCTCTCTTTTCGAGCCAGAGTACACTGTTTTGCAAAGTTCTGCAGTTGTGGAATCTGCGTCGAATCCAAGGTTGGAAAAGCTTCCGGCTTCTTAGACCATGCCTTTTTCTTCTGCAAGGATTCGTAAGCCGTCGAAGATACACAGAAGGTTCTTAAGTTGCATTGTCGTATATCTGCTTGGTGTTAGTAGAGTGTTCAACAGAATCATGATTTCCTGCTAGCCTTTACCCTTGGTGACCACTGGGACCTTGGAGTTTCCACCATCTCGCGACTGGCTCACTTTCTGCTTGTACTCAGTGAGGCCCGACTCGAAGTCGTGTTGCAGACGATTCTGCACGATTCTATTGCGAGTGGAGATGCATTCCATCATCACTTTAATGCGTAATGTTTCGACGTTTGCCTTCAGCTCGCCTTCTCTCTTTACCGCAGTACGCTTTTCCTCCAACATACTTTTCTTCTGTTCTTGAATGGTTTTGAGGCGAGAAGATGGATTGTGCAGGCTTGACTCGTTGATCGATTCTGTTGCTTCGGCCATGTCGTTCCTCTTCCGCTTTCTATGCAATGTTTGGGAAGGGACATCACCTTGGAGTCCTTTAATTGATTTGATATCTGCATTAACCTTCTTAAGACCGTTCTGAAGTGCTCGGCGTTGCTTGGTACAGTCCCCCAAGGCCAATTTTTGTTGCTTCTGCTCGTTGAGTACGTCGGTCAATAGTTGGTCCTTTCCTTGTTGCTCCTGAATGACATTACTGTAGTCCACGTTATCTGTGTGAGTTGCAATGAAGGTAAGAAAGTTGTTATTATACTTATTTTCCATAAGTAATTGTCTCTTGAAGTTGCTCCCGAGAAGGTTTCTCGCAACAGACTCGTCAACGGCTCGGTCAATCTTAGCAACGACCCAAATATGGCTCAGCTTCCGAATGTAGCTCTCAGAAACACGGGCTCTGGCCTCATTGTAATCTCCCTGGCCTGGAAGATCTACCAGAACAAGACCGTTCTGCAAAATAGGGGCTTTCAAGCGGACCTTCACAACTTGTACGAAGGGCCAACAAGCTGCCTGATCTTCTTCGCCGGTGCTGCTGATGATATCATTGATCTTTTGTGAGAAGGATTTTGCTGTTGATTCGCGGATCATTACCGTCTGTCCGAGAATGGTCGACAAATCTCGGACTCTGCCTAGCTGTTCCATTGTCATATCCAGTATTTTCTTGACATCCACCCCAGGGTATATCACTTTAAGTTTATCGCTTGCAGTCTTTGCTTCGGTTGACTGATCATCGCCGAGCGCATCGTCCTCGAGGTCGTCCATGATGTCTCGTTTGAGAGTTTCAAATTCCAAAGCCCATTCTTGTGGAGTGATGTAATGTACATCTGCTGCATACTTCTCTTCGCTGTTGGTAGATTCATTGAAGCTGATTTCCACAACTACTGAAGTACACGCCCGCATGCAGTTAGAAGGGACCACGGATTTATCTAGAAGAGCGTTGATTAATGATGACTTTCCGCTCCCTGTTGAACCAACCACTCCGATGAAGACCCGGGGTCCTTCTCGGGCCTGAGCCTCGATTGATGCTATGAAAACTTGTTAGCAATTTGTGTAAATATAAAAGTCACAAGTGTCAGATCAAATTTTGTACAATGATAGGAAGAAAATATAGGGTCAGACAATTGAAGGTACCGACTCACCTATTTTCTGCAACCATTCCACACATTTTGGAAGAGCTGAAGCGTTGTCTTTCAGGAGGGGAATTAATCGATTCACGAAGATCAAACCGAGCTCTACTATCGCCTCCTTTTTGGTAGTACGAACCAGTGGATCTGGCTCAGCTTCCTGTGTCGACGTACCATTAGTAACTGTACAAGTCAGATAGAGCAGACCTACCAAGTCAGACAACAACTTTTGAAAGAATTCGTTCTCCGTGGCAAACGCCTTAGTGCCACGCAGTCGTGCAAGTGCAGCCGGCGGCATCTTGAGCTTCAAAATGTATTTATTCTCAGAATTCCGCATACCTACGTCGATTGTACTCAGCGACTGCGGTACAATCATACGGAGAGAGGCAAATACCCGAGAATGAGGAGATCAAGATTCAATAAAGGTGAATCATATTAATGAGTTGGCTGGGTACGTAGGTGTCTCTGAAATTGAACGAAGTCGTTGTTGTAGATTGACCTAGAGCGTGGATTAATAAATACACGGCTCGTAAAGAAACGGTTGGAGGTGTAATTGTGAAGAGAAAATTTGGTAATGGTGAATCTTCGAGAGAACGGAGCAATCTCAGTTTTAATGGTGTAGAATGTTCGTTGTGTAGGAGGAACAGTGTGGAGTATGTGTGATATGGAGATGGGAGTGTGTGGTACGACAAAGCGATTTCTGGGTGCTCACAGCTTAGGAGGATTGTTGTTCGCCGAGAGTGTGGTACAATGAGAGGAAGAGAAATGAGGGAGAAGGGGAAGCTCCTTAAGTAATTGCGAAGAGGAAAGGATGCGAAGTGGAATGAGTGACTTGAAAATGTTGCTTGAAGCAAACTGCGTGAAAAGGAAGGGATTATGAGGAAGTTGCGAGGACGAAGGTGAGTGCAAAATGGAAGAAGCGCTCTGAGGACGTTGGGTGGGGATGAAGTAACGAAGAGCAAGCTGAAGGGAAGGGAAATTTGTGAGATACTTAAGTGTCCCAACGCAAGGAGAAGAGCCAGAAATTGCAGAAGACCGAATTGATTGTCCAGCTCCTCACCTGGCGAATGAGAGGCGGTGCGGTTATCAAAGCCGTGGTTGTGACTGTGAACAGCGAAGTTGGCGGTGAACCTTTAAAGCAAAGAGATCTTCGAGATGTAAGAAGCCTAAGAGCATGCAGTCTTCCGTCGGACTTGAGGGGTACATTGAGGGAGGTAGAAGCATGAGCAGAAATCCCCATGAAGTGAGACTTAGAGCACAGCGTCACCGCAGTCTCCAATAGCGGAACAGAGCGCAACTGACATGCTATTTCACCTACTGCATTGGTTTCAAGCCCTCAATGCGTCACTTTTGGTTGTGGCGATGGTTGTACCAGGAGGTTGATGTTGAACAGTGAAGACGAGGGTGACTTCTTGGCTTACACTCGCATAACAACATACAAGACCTTCGTGATCTACTTTCGTTTTGTTACACGACACGGAAATCCATCAGCCGGATGAGCAGCAGCTCTGAAAACATGATACGCTCTCTCACCCCAAGCAGTCTTCAACCCCTTCCTCGGGTGCAACTCATCCCACTCATCATAAGCTCCACAAACATCAAACTCCCTCACAGTCATCGCCAACACTGTCTTCGCATCTTGCATCACCAACGTTTGGCCAATGCAGTTGCGAGCTCCGAACTCGAATGGTCTCCAAGCTCCTTTGGCCGGGTAGAATGGATGCTCTGGGCCGACTAGCCACCGCTCAGGGATGAAAGACTTAGGCTCTTTCCAGTAGTCTGGGTTGATGTGGATGGCGCTGTGCATTATTAGAATAGTTACTCCTTCCGTAGGGAAGCGATTGCCGTTTGAATCTTGGAGAATCGAGCCGGGAAGACCTTTTCGGACGCCAGAAGCAGCTGGGAACAGACGCATCGTTTCCTTGATAACTGCGGTGGTGTAGGGCAACATGTTGATCTTCTGAGGCTGGTCGAGTAATTGAGGTCCAACTGTTGATGGGTCGGCCCCGAAGACTTCGTCAAGTTCAGCTTGGATTCGGGTCATAGCCTCTGGGTGCTTTGAGAGGAGATGATAGCAGTATTCTATTGTGGATGCGGTTGAATCATGGCCTGAAAAGAGAAAGGTGCGAATGTGAACCGATGCCCATTTCTCGAAGGATGGATCCATCCGACTTGATGTTTTCGCTGAGGGATTTTCTTTCATGTAATTGTCGAGAACGAGATCCATGACTGAACGAGGAGGGGAATCGCTGCTCTTCTGGCGTTCTGCAAATCTTTTTTCCAGTTCCTTTGATACATAACTGTCCATCTGGCGACTGTTGTACCATTGAACTAGAGGCCGAGCTGGATTCCATCTTTTGAAGAGATTCAGTTCACCATCCGCGATTTGCCATCGAACCTGGCTCCTCATCGCATGGCCCAACTGATTGAATTGTTTTTTAGAATGCAGCCTGGAGCCTAGGATAACAGCGCCTATGATATCCATCATGAAGTAGCCAAGCAGATCGTCCAGTAGGAAGATGTCTCCCTTGGTAGCGTGATCTTTGAAAATCTCAACCAAGTCTGCGGTTTCTCTGACGATGTTATGCGTTTGACTTAAGATGAAGCTTGCACTAAATCCAGGATTAAATATCGCGTGTGATCGTTTCCACTCTGTACCATTGAGTGTGAACAGAGTGTCAGTCCCACCAGCGAACGGGCGGAAGAATCTGTCCAGATCAAACGGTTTTGGAAGATCGAGTTCTTGGGTTGCTTGAATGGCTAATGAGGGGGAAGAAATTACCAAGAATGGGATACTGAATGGCCAACTGCGAAAACAGCTTTCAGTGCTCGCTCTCCATGCTTCAAGCCGAGGAGAAACTAAAATTTACCTACAGGTCCAGGTAGAAACACGAATCCCACTTTTTGAATTTTTTCGACAACTCGGTGATCAGGTAATTTTGATGGGCATTGCTTGGAAAATGCTTCAAGAGGGGCAAGAACGCGAGCAAATTGCCAGTGACAATGTTCCAAGATGGCATGGGCTTCTAGACGTCAGATCTTTCAGCCATGGGGAATGAGCGATGAAAACATACCAGGCCCTGCCTTCGCAGCTTGTAGAATAGCTGCCTCGAGTGCAACCCTTTGACAATTATATAGCTCAAAAGTGCGGCGACAAGCGTAAGAGCAACCTGCCAATAGGCAATGGGGAAGGTTGGGTCCATGATGCTGGATCAGGCTGCCAAGCTGGCCACGATTGAAGGTATTCACCACCTAAGCCTCTTAGACCTGAATGAGGAATCTGACCTGAAAATGACCTGGAACTCACTCCACACTGCGAAAGACGAAATAAGAAAACGTAGTGGCAGAAGACGCGAGTTGCTCAGCATTTTAGGTCAAAGAATGGAAGACGTGCCATTGGATCAGGAGCAGGCCTCCTTCATTGGTCAACATTTCAGCCCCGCCAGCAGCCACTTGGCATGGGAAAAAGTACAACGACCCCCTCCCACCCCCGAAGGCCTTTCCCCCCCTATCGCGGGTATGAAATAGGAGTATTAATAGATTTTAGAGTTTTAATAATGTCTAAATAATTACTTGTATAAGTTTATATATAAGAGCTCTAGAAGGGATCACCAGCCAACCGCCCAAATCACTCAACCGCCAAAAAAATAGTTTTACTATAACCACACCACAACCACATCCCAAAATGAAGAAAACAAGTTAATATTCGTGATCTACGACCTCACTTTAGTCATTCCACAGAGTTTCAAAATTTTCCGAGCCCTTTGAAAATTTTCCAAAATTTTGCTTGGGCGGTTGGCTGGTGATCCCTTCTAGTTTTGGGATATGGATGAGCGAGACGATTATTGCGCACGAGGCAAATAAGTTCCAGGTACTTAATCGCTAAATTTTCAGGCTCTCTTAACGTCGACACCCCTAACTAATACCCCTCAATTAACACCCCCCAATCGACATCCCCCAATTAATATCTGGGGAGGTATCGTTTTATATTTTCCCGTTCTACTAGAAGTTATTAGGAAATATGCATTATTGTAAGCCTGCAAGACCCTAATTTTTATTTTTATTTTGACTAATTGCGATATAACTAAATTTGTCTGAATATAATAATAACAATAACAAGCCATCAGAGCAGAGAATACGATACGCGCATTAGGTGCCAATATACATTGATTTGCACATATTGGTGCATACAAAGTAATATACGCGCACCTGCTACCGCTTGCTGATTTCGGTTAGTGTGGCCCCCATCGACACCCCAAATCGACACCGGGGGGAAGGGGAGGGTCGTTTTACTTTTCCCCAAAGATACCAAGCTGTCAAGCAAGGATGACCTCCTCAGGCGTACTAAACAACTCTCGCGCAAGCAACCAGGCACTAAAGATGACCTTCCCCACGCCTACCCGCCGAGCAATTGGCCCATCCCACTCAACCAAAATCAAATTTACCGTCGACCAAAGGAACTTTGGCCGAGGTTGTCCTTTCTTAGCAGTGAACAAAGCATCTAAAAATTTCATCACAGAAGGCTGTTCCGCCTGAGCGGAGTTCACTCCGTACCTGCCCATCAACCCTTTTGAAGGCGCTGGGCGTAATGCTTCCTCGAAGAACGAGCGGCAGTTCATGAATATTTGCGACTCTGGCAGCTTAGCACTATCAAAGGTCCATCTTGGGATGAAAGCTTCGTCAATTTCCGCTACGCTGAGAGAGAGACCCCAGTTGATGGTCAGGAACTCGAGAGGTTCCTCCCTCCCCTCTTTCGCTAGCCTCAGGGTTGTCCAGACCTCGCCGACACAAGAGCCGTTGTGATCAACGAGTTCAAAGACACTCGCATCGTCGTCGTGAGTAGGGAGGATGTGGTGCAAGCACCGACCGATATTCAACTTGACAATAATAGTTTCCATCGAAAGTAACGGAAATCTGTATTTTCGCGCTATGTCCTGAAGGTCTTGGCGGCTCCGACTCGATTTCGAGCTGTTGTTTTCGTTCTCCTTAAACATAGTACCGTCTGCCATGAAAGTGTGGAGGGATAATGTCTCCTCGCAGTTTAGAGGAGTGACTTTCTTTTCTGCGCAGTAGAACATGTGCTTAACAGTGTGGTCACGAACTGCCAGGGGCCAACCGAAACATGCTACGATATTACCGCTGGCTTTGCCGACAATCTTCCTGGTACTCCAGTCACGCTTCTTCTTGGGTGGCTCGTAGGGATAGTAGGTTGAGGGGGAGGAAGACGAAGTCGAAGATGAAGTCGAAGATGACGAAGAGCCGCTGTCACCACTGTAGTCAGACGATGACGACGAGTCGGAGTCAGAGGATCCACTCGATGCCTTCGCCATAGCTTTGCCCAGACGTGCCAGCAAATTCCGAATCGTGATCATGATTGTGCGAATCATACGAACATCTAGAACATCGTATCCAACCCCATTAACACAATGCCACGCCGCCCATGTCCAAGATGGCAAATTTGGGTCGGATCGGATGTGCCTCTTTCCAGGCTCAGGATACCATAGAAGAGACTGTGCAAAGTATGCTTTAGGAAGTCCACAGATGAATTGCCCTGTATCTGGCTTTAAAGTTTTGAGTACACCGCTGATTGCGATCAAAATGTCGTTTGGATTTGTCAGAGTCCGCTGAGTATATTCTCGAATGGCGGCAGCATAGTCGGGAAATCTGCCTAGGTAGCTCCATTGATCATCCACATGGAGTTGAGGAACAATCATCTTAAGCAGAAGGAGTTTCCCACTCACATTATGGCGAGGCCTATCAGCGGCCCATCGATATTTTCCCGGCCGTGATTCGATGCTGTTCGATAACCTTTTCGTCTCGTTGACAATTTCTTCCGTCCAAACAGATTCTGAGCATCTATAATAGACCTGATAGTCCGTGAAAAGGAGAATTCGCTTGGCCAGAATCTTTTCCTGGAAGGTCCACCCCCGGGTGTTCCAAATCAAAGACTGTGAGTTTTCCAACTCTGTAAATGACGGAGACATTGCAGCAAGGTGCATGCCTTGAATTTTTTCCGGCCGTGGGGAGTTTTTGCGTGGTACCGAAATTCCAGGAATTCCACTGTCGGCATGTAGCCCCGATGCTGCTGCAATTGTAAGAGTCGAACAGTTATAAACGGCATCCATCCTTTCTAGATGGAGGTTCTTCGCCTTAGTGGGATCATCTTGGATGATGCAGAGGGCATCGACCCAGAGATATCGAAAGCCAAGAGTAAGGGTAAGTGATATCGCATCTTCAATCGTTTGTGGCAGGTGATCAGGAAGTGGGGTAAGCTCCTCCCCAGTTGAGGAAAACCGGATGTCCGCTCTGTTTGTGACTACAGGAGTCATTCCAGTTTCCCGTAGCATGTCGTCTGTGCCCCAGACGTAGCTGAGGGTCAAGTATTGCACTCTAGCGGTCGATACCTTCACAATCGTTCTCTCTTCCACATCTATAAGCCTCAACTTCGTCGGTAAATTTTGACCACTGACTCCATCTTGTTCGCAGATATCACCATGCCAATCTTCGCAGAGACGGAGCCATTTCTTCAAGAGATAGGTATCAACCTTCTCTCGATCCAGCGGGCGGCCAAAAAATTGTTGATCCTCCTTACGCACACCATGAGCTAAATACTGAATACAACTCCTGACTTCTGGAGTATCTTTGACATAGACAACAAGGCGATAAGCAACATCTTGGCACTGTTTTGCGGTCGATCTTAGGTCCAGCTTGTTGGAGTACGTGTCTGAATTCAGTTTGTCGTAGGGTGATTGCTCCACTCCAAGCTCCCAGCTCGCATCGTTGCTCAAAATGATTTGATCATCTAAGTATCGTGGAGACCGATTGGGGTTTGCTATGAGAGCGCTAGCAACGAGTCGACAAAACGAACAGTATTGGCTACGCAGAATCTCCTCCCACGTTCCTAATCGGATGTCCTGGGTCATCTTATGGTAGAAATTATGATGGAAGGCGATGGTACTGCATAAGCCGCACAGTTCCTCGCTTCTCTGAACGACTCCCGCGAGTGGCGGTTGAAAACCGAAAGGGCGAGGCTGTGGGATGGTGGTAGGCATTTTGGAAAGGTGGAAGTCGACTAGGCAAGCTTTGAAGAGCGAGGACAGGGAGGACAGGCACTCTGCAGAATTGAACAGAAATAGGTGCAGGCAACGTAAAGAGGGGTAGAGCTTTTGGAAAGGAGTCGCCGGCGAGCGGCAAGGGAATGTAACTTTCATATCTTCACGACCGGTGGGGCTGCTTCGCCAAGTCCCACAGGCTGCTGCGCCCAGAAACTTGACGCTCTCCAGCCTCGACTCAATCTCAAACCACACCACTTGGTGACTCTAAAGAACGCGCTTGCGGCTTCGTCGGCGCGGCTTCTGGCCACAATCCTCAAAAGGGAAAACACGACCAAAGCCACTGGCAGTATCCCGTGAGTGGAGAAAAAAATTTTCTACTTCAAATTTGTGAGGACGACGCTGATGATTGACTGAAAGACATTGATAAGGTTCACGCTTCGAGACCTGACAGATGACTCGCTAGAGGCGCGCAAGCGATGGTGGTGTGTTCGGTCTGCCAATGAACAGCATCGTCTTCGGTGAGTGAAGTGGGAAGATCCGGGTGTGGGAACGTGTGAAGACTGCAGAGATCAGGATCCGGGAATTGCCGAGAAGGCTACTGCGGGTTGAAAGTATTGTCGATGGACCGGCCAACGCTGAATGGGTGTGCAAGTCAAACTCTCGCGGTAAAGCTGTCAGTTGCCATACACGTGATTCTCCCATCTTTGGTTAGCTCGGCTGCAGAGGCATACAAACCTTCCACTGAACTGCACTTCTTGTACTTTAGATACTATCTCAATCTATATCAACTTTACCGTCATATTTTGAAGCCTAATTACATGCCAAATAATGCCTTGTTCATACAATTGTCAAAAGCCTTTTGTGAAAAAAGAAAACGACCTTTAAGTCACAGTTAAGCCAAGGAAACTGATATACGATGGAGTGCTAAGGGGAAGTAACTGCGCAAGACCTAGATAGTTGCCAAACATTGGTGTGCAATGTACTGAACTGCCCAAGATCATTGTAATTGTCCCTATGACGCATTTGCGGTAAGAATCAGTCGATATATAGGAGTCATTCGGACCCATGCGTGGGTTGAGTCATGAGCTATTTCCAGGATAAAATGAACGAATGGAGGGAAAGGAGGTAAGCGAAGGGGCTTGGCGACTTTGTATTCCGTCTCCATTGACAGACAAAGCCAGGCATTTTCAATGTCCCAAGTCAACTTGAACATTTCAGATATGTTCTCTCTGGATGTTCCCTTGTCTTATCGTACATTCAAAGCCTGCTCTGTAACAAACTCCAATCTCTCTGAGTGGACCAAGGTCCGACGTAGCTGAGGATGTTGAAAACGGCTGCCGCTTCTGTGTCCACCACGAGATCCTAGAGCTTCTCCAATAAGGCTGTCAAGTCTACATCATGTTCATCCGTGTACTTCATAACTTATGATTAGAGCCTTCGCTACCCCATGTAAGAAAAATCTTGGCATACAAGATATTCCTGGAACAAGTAACTGGAGGAAATTAAGAGCGAAAATTAAAGCATCAGAGTATTAATGGTGTTGATCATTGGTGTCCAGTTTGTCCAGTTCAAACATGTTAGATGTGAATTCATCGTTTGAGGAAGGAATTATACAAGAGGAAAAGACCCATCAAGTGAAATCCGGAAAATGTTCTGAATTGGCACTCCACGTTCTGAGAGACTTCTCTCACTCGAGCTTTTAGGCGCGCTATATTGACTCTAGCGAGTATCATTAGACACGAGTTGAGCCAAGAAAAATAGACAATCATGTAGGTGTGAAATGAACTAGAGGGTAGACGCATATTCAAAAGGGTACCTCGGCATTGAACAGCAAGAACGCATGGCTAGCGAACCATATGAGAAGCTCGATGGAAACTTCCAAGCAGCAGACTCTGGGCGAGCTCCTTGTCTTGGCAGTAATTTGCCACTCGCAGTATCTCGACCTAGAAAGCGTAGTCTGTAATACGCATGCTCATCATAACTCACACTCAGTCTTTTCGTGGACGAAAAGCAAGTTTATTGTTTGTATTGACCTCAGGATCCATAAGATTCCATGCCATCATGTCCCAATGTCAACCCTTCGGCCCCAGAAGCACCATATGCAGAGCCAATGCGAATGCATGCGTACAAACACAAAGCCCATTCCCGCAACACCAATTTGCCTCCGTCTGCAACACCAGGAAAAGGCGAGTCGTCTATTTCTCCTTCTTCTTGGCCGCACCCTTGACCTTCGCCGTACCTCGGAGAGTCTTTTGTCGGTTCTTGCGTTGCTTGCCTAATCCCCATTATATTAGCATCGCTGCAACTGCCATGATCCGCACATGTGATTGACGACGTACGCTGCTGTCTGCTGGGCTTCTCGATCTTTGACGCGAATCCTACTCTGACAAGACGATAATGGGGCTCAAACTTCTTCAAGGCTTCTGGCGAATCGTAGACGAGCGCGAAACCAGTTGTCTTTCCACCGCCGTATTGTGTTTGCAGACCGAAAACATTGACTTGGTCCTTGTTGGCCTTGTACATTTCGGCGAGCTTGGCTCGGAGTTCATCCTTGGAGATGTTGGCACGATTTGGGTGAAGGATGTCACTATCACAGCAGCGTTAGAATCACAATTCCAATTCCAACTCCGACATCATCTTTGTGATCGGAATGACGGCGATTCGATTGAAAGGTAGGCAAAACTTACACGACCATTTGCTTGCGGCCGAGAAGAGGATTGCGGATGAATTTGCGAGTTCGCAGCGTAACGGGTTGTTCTCGGTCCGCCATCTTTGCGGATTCAAGAGTCGATAGTTCTGCCTGCGAGAGTATCGAGACAGATATCGAGGGGTGGTTGTCAGTGGAGGTCGCTGTCGATTGAAGACTCGCGGAAAGTTTGAGGAGTTCTCGTCGATATCGAGAACGCGCTAAACTATGATGAGTGATATAAGCGAGCACACAAGAATTTTTGGTGAAGGGCTTTGCAAAGCCCTAGTGGCCTTAGTAGCCTGAGGCGTCAAGGTTTCGAGAACGTAAACCTCGCCCTCTGCGGTTCTTCACTTCTCCAACATCATATCAAATCATGATTTATTCGATGAATGGTGGAGAGGATGGAGAGTCAATTATCGGCCAGTGCTAGGCAACAACTCAATCTTTTCGTTCGTCAATACCTTCAGCTCCAGCTCAATCTCGACTACCCGGATGAAGAGCATCTTCGAAATGACGCCTTTCAACTCTCCTTATGTTCTCATCTGTTCTCAGAAAATGGAACCAAGAATGCGTCTCCGGTGCGATATCAGCTTCGAGTCTTGAAAGAGCTCACAAGCAGAATCGAGCAAAGTATTCAAGACTGGGAAGAAGAAGTATGCTGTTTCCTTCAAATTATCAGCTACATGGCGAGTGTAGTTCATATTTGCATCACTTTCTGACTGTTTTATCTTTCAGGGCATTTCTGATGACCTCATGAACTGTCTTTCATCATTGCTTGCATCTTCTGTTCCGCCCGAAGCAATTTCTGCTCAGCAAAAGTCATATGTCACGTATACACTTTCTTCCCTTCCCTTACAAGATCAAGCTGCCCCAACTATCACTCTTCTTGAAGCTCGGAATCTTGTTGCGGCATCTGGAACCACAGGACTCAGGACGTGGGAGGCAGCTCTTCACCTTGGCAACTACCTTTGCGCAAATCAGGCCACTCTCGTTCGTGGAAAGTCCATTCTGGAGCTAGGCGCTGGAACTGGATACGTCTCGGCATTATGCTCGAAACACCTGGACGCCTCACACGTTATAGCTACCGATGGATCCGACGATGTGGTTTCCGGCCTCTCGACAAACTTCTACCTCAACGACCTGCAAGACTCCACAATCATCGAAGGCAAAGAGCTGAAATGGGGACAGGCGTTGGTCGGCGGAGAACATCCGGAATGGAATGGTGGGCGGAACATTGACCTGACTCTTGGAGCTGATCTGACCTACGATGGATCTGGAATACCGCAACTCGTTTCGACTTTTGGAGACCTGTTCGAGCTGTATCCGGCGATGAAAATCATTTACGCTGCGACAGTTCGAAATCCGAAGACATTTGAGAAGTTTCTTGGGGCATGCAGAGCGAACAAGTACGTTGTCGAGGAGATCAAATTCGGGATTGAGAAGGCAGAACTCCAGGAAGGTCCATTCTATTCGGATCAAGTCCCGATTCAATTATGTCTAATCACTAGATCCTGATACGCGAAGATCGCAATCCAAGATCCATTAGCTCTAGTCTCTCGGCAGTGCGTGAAAGTCTGGCTCTCGCTCTACATCCCACCCAATCCCCTCATCATCCCCCTTCACCACCCCCAATCAACCACCTACAGCTTATAACGGCTTAACGCAGAGGCTTTGTTCCTTCCCCGTCCGAGCATAATTATACGGATCCTCCTTCGCCAGCCTCTCCATATGAGCGCGCACCAGGCTAAAGGATTCCCACATAGCCTCCTCCTCTGTTCTCCCCGCAGCCAGCAAATCCTTCTTGAACTGATCTCTCTTCTCAACCGACTCTCTAATTCTATTTAGCTGTACTTCCCCAGGCTTTGGGTGCGGCCCCTTCATCGCTTCATCGCACTTTTCGCTGAGTTTGCCCTTCTTCCAGTTGTTCACGAATATCCCTTTGGAATCCGAGGATTTTGGCTTGTTTTGTTCCGGCATTTGGTTGAATCAGTTTATTGATGGGAGTTTATCTTGGAAACTTCCTGGGTCGTGTTTTTGGGGAGGCGTATCAGAGTGTATAGTGTTTGCTTGGATCTTTTGTTGAGAAAGAAGAAAAGAAATCTGGAGAGAAGAACCTGGCACTATTTATCATTACTTCGGATTCTGGAAGGTGCGAATGACCGTAGGGCACTTTTGGGAGAATGGTTTAAGGTTGCGTGCTCCCGGACTGAATCAAAAGAGTCTGGGTATCGAAAGATGCAAATGAATGAAGATATAATCTTAAGGCAATGATTCAGCAGTAGCGGTATGTACTTTGTAGTATTTATTGAAGGATGGCTCTCCTCATGATTACTCTATGCACATTTCTCAGCCAGATTGCCTGCAATCAAGCAAATATCTCGAATGTTGTTTTAATGAAATGGTATCGTAGCAAGACCGAACGCCAACGCAAAATTCCGACTCCTATGTTAAACATGTCTCATGCCTCATTATTACGGTCCTCCATAGCCTTTCGTGAATGGCTCTTAAGACCTCGATCAGCAAAGCCTCACCAGACTCATTGAGCCATACTAACTTACTCATCGGAACACGGCTCCAATCGCCAATACTCCGGCAGCAATCGCAGCACCTCTCGCGTTCAAATGGCCGGCACGCGCAATTTCAGTTCCACCAGGTAGGACAGGCTCATGCCTAATTATTGTTAGCACTCAATTCTTGAATGAAGCCCTCTACAAAAAGGCCTAAGTAATTCTAGGGAACATCCGATTGTTCGGAAACGAAAGAGAAGCACTCACCAACCACACATGGTAACCGTCTTATCAAAAACATTACAACTCCAGTACGTCGTCAAATGCCACTTCTCCTGCAACCCCAACACACCACCCTTCCCAAGTTCCGGGGGGCTCGTAACCATTGCCTTCCCGGACTCCGTGCTCGTCGACGAGGCTGAAGACAAGGCTGACGCCGCAGTTTCCAGCGATAAGAAGCCCGATAACGCCGAGGCTGGTTCTGGCCTCGAGACCGTCGTCCCAGCCTCGCAGACCGAAAAGAGAACCAGCAATACCGGGCAGGCGGTGAAGATTCTCATTTTCAGAGCTAAATTCCAGAGACAAGAAGGACGGAAAAGAAGGAGGTTGGGAAGGCACAGGTTGAGTAATGAGCAGGTGGCTGATAACGTGATGGGTTCGCACGTGCCGAGCTGTGAGTGGTTGGCTGAGGTCGAGGATGTAGGTATGCGTGCTGATTATCGTAATGCCTGTCTTAGTTGGACTCGACAGCCTGATTTTGCTCAAAGGTGGGCGACTAGCAGATCTTGCACTCGAAACTTGTGTCTGAGAATATTGGGAAGTTGACAAAATTGAAGGAAGGTCGGAATTTGAAGGCTGTCCAGCTTCGACGGAATGACAATGAGTAACCAAGTACATTTAATTATTCACGAAACTAATCGCACATTTTTAGGCACACTCAGAAGAGGTATGAGGGGGGGGGGGATGAAACGGATGCGAAAGAAGGCTGCTTGTGACTCGAGACGAATGTTCGCTGTTCTCTAAGCTGCAGATGCATTGCCCGGCTTGGAAGCTCGGCACAGCCAATCACCTGGTTGGTCCGGGCTGCTGTGAAACGAAACGACACAGGACTTACAATGGTGGTTAAACGGTTCGATACTGAATGAACGGCGCCTCCTTGATTGTGTTCTTAGAAAAGGAGTTGTATTAAACTTTCATTTCTCCCCAAAGTCGTATCGAAAGTCATTGCTAAGAGATGCGGAGAGTAAGCTGACCACTCAACAGCCTCAGGATGAAATTATCAGAAAGCTTGAAGATTGGCAAATTGCAGAATCGTTCTCGAATTAGAATAATGGACAGGACTGCCCTTTCAACAATACTGCAAAATTTGAGTGTGCTCAATGCAAACCAAGCCATTTATCTATCCCACTCGGAACGCCATCGTCCGTCCATATGGTATCTTCATTGTCAAACAGTAAAAACGACTACGGACAACTCGAACTTCACCAAAACACATCACCTAGCACTCGTCTTTCTTCTATTCTGTGTGTTGAGAGATGCCTGAGAGGAAGGTCTCAATCCAACGCTCGTATGTCTCCTGGTCTCAGCCCCCCGAACATTGCTGTGCTTCTTCGGTATCCACCCTGTCTTTGGATCATCATCCTCATACGAATCATCATCCCCATCATCGTATCTCTTGGAAGGGCGTCGAACAGTCTTCTCCGGTTCAGATTCGGGTTCAGCTTCAATATCGCTGGACATTGTCAGATCGACGATTTGTGATGCTTGAGGCTGGCTTTGAGAGGGACGGGGTTGAGAAGCTCGAGGGATCGAGGCTCGCGGCTGGTACGCAGGCTTCTCCGAATTCCTACCCTTGGACGGCCGATTTGCGGAAAATGATCTTTGTTTCTGGTTTAGTGTAGTTTGATAATCTTCGAAAACGTCATCGTCGAGGGCTTCCATGGCTTTCTTGTGTCTAGCGTCCTTTAAGCTTTTCGTAGGTGTCGCCGTCTCGCGCTTTATTGCCTTCTGAGAAGATGCTATCTCTTCGATTGTAGGCAAGACTGACTCATCGGATGAAGGATCATCCTCGAGGATTTCAGGGCAGTTCCATTGAGGAGCTTTGTATTCATTGTCCGATTCCCTCGGTGGCTGCTCAGGTTCGTCAACATCAGACATGTCGATTTCTACGGAACTGGAATTGGTGACCTCTTTTGGAGTGGCAGAACGAGCTGCTTCCGACTCTACGTCTGGCTGAGGATCGTGTGATAATTTGTCAAAATCAAGACCACCTGCTTTCGATTTATCTGCACTCAAATTGAAAGTGTCCTCAAAGTCAAAGTCCGGCTGTCGGCCGTGATCTGCAACCTGGCTGGTGAAGGAGGAGCCCACAGATAAACCCGGATATCTCACGCTTGGTATCGACTCTCGCTCATCAGCACCATCTAGGCCGAGGCTCAAGCCTGGACCGGGGAAAGTCTTAGAGTTTTCCACGTCTGAGGCGGGGGTCGGACTTCTCTTTCGCAGTTTAAGTGCTTGCCATGCTTGTAGGCCTTTGCTTGGTGGTAGTGTCCTCGCTGGGGCCTTCTTTCCGCTTTCAGTTTGCGTGGTCTTGAGGGCTGCGGAAGTAAGAGGGGAAGATTGTGACTCTTGTGGCTGTTCAGTAACCTGAGGTGGTGGATTCGCAAGCTCATCAACGGTTTCCCAACTTGATTGAGGAGGTGCCGGAGGAGAATCTTCACATTCATCCTTTTCTGGAGACCTCGAAGTGCCTCGTGGCTTTCTGGTTGGTGAGGATCCGAGACCATTAAACTTCGGAGAATATGGACGCTCGAGGGGAGTTTCACTCATGTCCATGTCCTGTGCTAACTTCTTCAATTCATCAGGCGACTTCATACCATCAGGTCGAACGAGTTTCGTGAGCGAGGATGGGACGCTAGAGTGAAATCCTCCTTCCTCCCTCATCAAGTGAGTCCACTTTTGCCTACCCTCTTCGGAAATATCCTCTGCCAAGTTGTCAATAGCAGAAGTGTGATTCTTCTGTAGTTCTGCCCATGGCGTATCCGGTTCAACAATGGAGTCGTTGGCAGGAGTGTTTTTGCTCAGGGGTTCAGCAAGTGCATCTACCATGCTGTCCCTTAATTGACTTTCTGCAGATGGAGTCTGTGGTTCAGCAGGTGCATCTAACATGTTTTCCTCTGGTTGATGCGGTTCGGGGGCATCCGAGTTCAAAGGAGTCTCGGTGACATGGGAGAATTGAGCTTCCTCAGCATCACCGGTAGGTTTTTGTTCATGGCTCAAAGTAACTGTATCAAAACCTGTGAGCTCCTTTGCCTGAGACGATTCGTCCATCCCCACATCACCGCCTATATTTGGAGGTGGCTCCTGAACAATCTTAGGCTCGATGAGTTCGTTGAAGAGAAGATTAAGCATCCCTTCGTTGTCTTCATCATCCATTTCATTATCATCAGGGATTTCGAAATTGGAATATATCCTCTCCCCGGTTTGAGGATCGTAGCGCTTGTTTGGCTGTTGTCGGTCCCTCATAGCCAGAGTAAGCTGGAGCTCGCCACTCTCGGCGATAGCGATCACAATGGTTGTGCGATATGCCGAGATTTGCGGCTGCCACTTTGTAGCTTCTGACATTTCCAATTGTTTGAAAGCAATGGTCATGCCTACTTTGGCCTGGCCATCATTGAGATCTGGCAAAGTGGATGGATCATCTGGGAGAAGTGCGAGGTCTTCGGGTCCTTGACTGAATTCAGCAATTGGAGTCTGTATGTCATTCATCAATTGCTGACTGATTTCCCCTTCAACGTCATCGCTTTGAAGCCGCTTAGCTTGGATGGGATTGTCGAATTGCGAGGTCGTGGTGTCGTCTCGAAAGCTTGGTTCGTAAGAAGCATCGAGATATTCTTGTTCTTCAGCATAGTTGTGCTTGCCCTTCCGCCGTTTTTGCTTCTTCGAGGCTCGAGTATCGTCTTGGTAATACTGAGCTTGGTCTCGTTGATCCTTCTTCCGCTTTCCTCCCCGGTCGCCTTTGTATTGGCCTCGTTGTTGAGGATCCCATCGCTGTTCGAATGGAAAAGGTGGTTCACTCAGATCAACTGCATCTTGAATGCACTCCACAGCACGGTAGATGATCTTTTGTCTCCACTCGTCGAGGTCTTCGACGGCCGTTTCGTCAATGGGATCTGGTTGTGGATCCTCAGTTGGTTTCTTTGGTACCAGCGGTCGAACGCCTTTCATGAGGTTGTTTCGAACTTTCTCTTCATCCTTTTTCGTCTTCGGCGCCCTAACCCCCAACGCACTAAACAAAAGTCGTTTCCCTGCACCTAGGTCCAGCTTTGATCGTCGTGATGAGCTCGGCTGCCTCGACTCTGTAGAAGGCTGTGGAGGTTTCGGAGAGGCCGAAGGGGTATCGACAGCTGCCATTTCTGGAGCTGTTGAGGGTTTGGCCATCTCAACCTCTGCACCATTATTTGGCGGAGGCGTTGAAGTGTGCTCAATTTGATCGACGGCGATTGAAGCCGGATTTGCAACCTCCTGTGATACAACTGCCTGTGACTCGACAACCTGCCGCGGTTCGACGCTCTGCTCACACTGCAACTCGGCACTGCTGTGCAACTCGACGCTTTGTTGGGTCTCGACAGCATGCTGAGACTCTAGAGATTCTCCAGCAGATTCTTCAACCCCTGTCATCTCAACATCAGGGCCGGATTCAGTAGGTGGCGATTGATGGACATTTCTCGAGAATTCGGGATCAACTCCAACGCCACCAGCTGCAAGAGATGCGAGCAGTTCTTGTCTGCGATGTTCAAATTCAAGCCCCTGGCTCACGGATTGGTCCGTTTTTTCACTGGATTGTCGGAGGGTCCTGGCAGCCCTAACGGCCTCCAATGCAGCCAATGCGGTCTCTGCCGATGTTGTCTCGTCTATCCCCAAGCCCCTAAAATCAGCTATCGTGGTTCCAGCCGGAAGGATCCCCTTCTTTTTAAATCTGTCTAAGGCATCTGCATTTCTCCTACGCTGGTTTCTCGTATGGGTTTGGGTTGACCCTTGTCCTGGAGCTGCGCTTGGTATTTTCTTCGACTTATTGTCCTGAGATGGAGATGTTGTATTGAGATTAGCAGGAGCATTGATAAGAGTCTCTTGCTTGCTGAAAGGGGAAGCCTCCTCCGCTGATTCATCATCATCACTCGATGAGTCGCTGCTGCTCTCGCTGCCACTTCCTGAGGATGACGTTCCACCATCTGAACCCTTTCCTCCCTCGGCCTCCTCGTCGGAGGAATCGCTACTATCCTCACTGCTGCTAGCATCTTCGTCATCGGACTCTGAACTCCCATCGTCGCTTTCTTCTTCGCTTTCTTCCCCCTCGACTTGAGACTCTTTGTCTATGAATGGGGTTGAGGTGAGGCCTTTTGAGAAATTTTCATCCAAAGCAAATCTGACGCTCTTATTGCTGGTGACTGAGGCTGATCTCCTTGATTCCGAACGTGGTCGAGCAGGCGAGCTTTTCAGGGCCGCTGCCATGACCGACAGGGCTTTGCCGGACTTGATAGAACCCGGGGGAAGTCCATTCTGGTCGTAATAATCGAGAAGTGTATTCTCGTCTGGCTCGACCTGCATACTCGCCAAATTCTCCGATTCATGCACAGACAGGGTCTTCGCCATTGACCAGGTTTTGGGCACCGTCAAATCGCCTTGATTAACTCCTTGTGAGATCTCAGTAACCACACTTTTTGGCTTCTCGGGGACGAAGCCTCGTGCCATGGCTTCATAGGCTTCTCCAATATCCTCCGACCCGTTGAAGACGTACTTGCACACGGCCAGAGGCGATTTAGGAAAGGCAGAATGCAACTTACGGATCTTCGCTCGAGTTACCTGATCCCTTACGTCCGCAAGGGCAGGTTCATTAGAATCGTCGGTGGCTTCTACATCTGCGTGCGAGTCGACAGGAGGTTCTTCCCCATTTTCGGCTTCCTTCTTTTCGTTGTCTCCTTCAAAGTCTTCTTCACTTTCGCCGTCCTCGTCTGCATCTTCGTCTTCTCCAGGAGCGAAGTCTTCATCATCCTCTTCATCATCATCTTCAAAATCAGCGTGTAAGATGAGCTGCCTATTATTATTATCCTCCTCAGAGTCTTCCGCTTCGTTTTCCTTAAGAGTCTGAAACCATTCGGGCTCTTCATCGTCTTTGTTGTGTTCGATTCTTTGCCTTTTTCGTGGTGGTATATTGATAGCAGGTCGATCCCCTGCTTTCCTCAATAGTGGTCTGCCCCAGGCAACGCCGTCGACAAGATGTTTACCATCGGTCGAGATTTGCATGCGTCCAGAGACTCGTCGTATCTTGATGTCCTGGGTGAGAAGAGGTCGTATTCTAGAAAAATGTTAGTTCTACGATACGAAACTGAATCACACCTCATTAAGGTGTCTGTAATAGGGGATACGAACATGACTTCATCTTCGTCCTTGATTACACTCGCCAAATGCTGAAAGTGAAGGCATTCGTAATTGACTCCGTTGTTGCCCTTTACCTCGACAGCATAGTCATCCAGACCCCATTCGCCATCGGACTCGATCGGTATTACCTCGTTTACCTGCTCAAGAAGATGGTGGATGGTGGGATTAGGACTGGTGTCGATGGCCCAGATGATGGGCGTGTCCGGGAGGCGATGGCGCCTTACGGTCAAGCGTAACCTCATGATGAAGGTTGCACAGGTTGACAATGGAATGTGATGGCGCGGAGAGAGACACGGTAGAGTGTGGGGAAAGGATCCGAGGTTGTCTCTGGCGGGACGTGACGACGCGAAGAAAGCTGAGAGTTCGCGTTCAAACGAGAGTGGCGCCGTGCAAAAAAGAAGTTAGCCCTGATGATTGGGCGGATTTCAATCGCCGACAACTGTCCTCCTTTATCATAACTGCTTTTCAATTTCATGATAGAGGGCTTTTCAACCCATTCGGTCGAACACGTCCATTGAGCTTCTTGCATTGATTTGAGAAAACTATCAATTGAAGCTGAAAGCCTGCACTAGCAGCTTAAACGGTGAGTGAGTCTTCTCCCGACCTGGGCCGGAGATAAAGAGCTCCACCGGAGGTAAGGCGATGGATGATAAGAAACGAATCACTGCACCGTTTCGGGGTTGGAGCATCAATTGAGCAAAAACAGCTGTTCAACCCCTAACTCTCTCTCATTCTGTTTCTCAATTGAAATTCACAACTTCTCAAAGGCCCCAAAAACTCCAACATGTCCTGCCCAGCTTGCTTCCAAGGAGGCGTCTCGACCAGCCATCCAACTGGCAAAGAAGCTACTGTACACGGCCTTGCTACGTACGTTGCGGAGCCAGAAGAGAACACCACGCCTAAGGGCATAATTGTCTTCATCACCGATGCTTTTGGCTGGGACTTTGTGAACAACAGGGTCCTATGTGATCACTATGCAAAGGGAGGATTCCTCGTCTACTGCCCGGACTTCATGAATGGTAATCCACTCCAACCGTTCTTGAGACTCTTTTAACAATTCCTCAGGAAGTTCCATGCCATCCAGAGCTCTCACACTTATGGATGAAATCATGAAGCCTGGGTCTTGGTTTAATGCTTTGTCCGGAAGCCTCTCTATGTTCTACAATTACTGGCTATGGGACTTCCTTGGAAATATAGAACACGCTACTCCGTCTCTCAACCCCGAGTCTTCTCCTTCGTTAAAGCTCTACGAACTTCCCCACCTCCATTCGATACGAACAATCTCAAGGTAGGTGCTGCCGGCTTTTGCTGGGGAGGGAGACATACAGTACTTCTTGCAGCGGATACCCCCTCTTCCCGAGTCTATAGACACGAGTCACAGGTCAATTCTTCCTCTCTCGAGCCCTTGATAGACTGTGCTTTTACCGCCCATCCCTCCTACATCGAAGTTCCCAGAGACATCGAAGCCATCACCATTCCAACCAGTGTGGCCGTCGGCGAGAACGACATGGCTATGGGGGCGAATAACATTCAGCAGATGAAGGGCATTCTCGAGAACAAGAAGGTAGGCGAGCATGAAGTCATTATTATTCCGGGTGCTAAGCATGGATTTTCTCTCCGTACCCACCCAGATGATAAGCACGAAACGGAGTGTGCTCAGCAGGCGGAGGATCAAGCCATTTCGTGGTTCGCCAGGTGGTTCAATTAATCACACTTGTCCACTTGTGGATAGCTTTGGGTTTCTGGAAGCTTTCATGATTATATATATAGTCACGAGTTGTACAATGTTCACGCCCCAGTATCTGCAGTGGCATTACGTTCAATTACACAATGACCCAAGTAGATTTCTCACATGCCCGTGACATGAATACCCTCAAATCTCTCACAATCCCGATTGTCGTTTTCTCGGGCTGTCCTCAAGTCTGACCCTCTTCGAGCTCTTCACTGGCACCTTCTCCTCGCGCCGCCCAAAAACCCAGCAGATGAAACCAAAGATCCTACGTATCAAACTCCAAGTCGCACTCATCAAATCAGAAAACTCACTGGCCGTCCATCTTAAAACAGCCTTGAGGACCTTGTAGCCCAACCACGTACAGACGAGGCTGAAAGAGGTAATCACAATCAACGCGGCTGCTATGAAGATACCGTAAATTATTCCGGGCAGGTTAAAGAGTAACGCCAGGCAGACTATCCAGATCCAACCAGTGATTATGCTGAGGCCAAGGATAAAGAGGCTGATGAGGATGAACATCCTGGCGGTTGAGGTGACCGGATATGTATAGATCGGATGAACTTTTGATAGAGCAATATAATTATAACAGATGGGAAACTGGCAGAGAATGATTGAGACGGCGGGAGCTTGCTGAGAAAGAAATCCTCCAAGACAAAGGAAGAACCTCCACAAAAGCAGGAAAGATTGAACCGCACATGCGGACAAAGAGAACAAAGAAAGTCTCATTGCATAGCTGAACTCTGGTTTTGAATCTCCAAAACTAGTGCAGATATGTTATTCACCCGCTATGTCTTCACCAATGACATCCCTCACCGCCATCATCTGCCACCCCCTATCCGAACCTTGCCCCACTCTCCTCGCGACACCAGTCGTACGTACTAGAATAACGACTTTTTCATCAACAAGATCGGATGGCGCAATGGTAGCGCGTCTCCAATACAGTCTACCTCTTCTTCTCGTGTACTAATAGATGCTCTCGGGCGCTCTTGGTGAGGAGTAAGTAGCATTGGCACGGAGAAGGCTCTAGGTTCGATTCCTAGTCTGGTCACTATCATCAGCCCTCAAAAATCTACTTTTTGATTTTCTTTTTTTTGGTCTTAAAGAACTGGAAGGAGAAGACGAGTGTGAAATATTTTTGCATAGGAAATTAGCCGAGTGAGTAAGTGAGTTTGTGATGAGTGTGTGTTTTTTGTTTGCTTTGCGGAAGACAAGATAAATGTTACGCGAATGCCGGAGGGGTAAATTGTGATTAGAGCAAAATATTGTTCAGACTGATTGGAAGATTGTTGAGTAAACCTGGGGGCTTGCTTAATGGACATTGCTTGGTAGTAATTTTTCATACAATGTTCTCATTTGGCAGAACATCCATGCAGCAGAACACTTTTTTGATGCAACATTTGAGGTATATTGCCGGGAAACGCAAAACTGGTAAATAGAGAAGCGTTAACGATCATGGCATAAAGATTGAAGTAGCAGGAACGGCAAAGCAAGAAGCATCAATGCAATGATAAACCAAACATGGTGTTCGAGCAATTCCCAATAGGGCTGTAGGAGGTAAACCCAAGACATATACTGATGTGGATCTTCGCAAGTGGATTAATGAAGTTGACTTCCGGAGCTCTGCTTTTCTATTAATAGTGTACACACATACTCGTACAATACTCGCCTTCCCTAATTATCTAACAGGTCTCCTCTAGCATCTCTATAGACCCTCTTTTGCAAGCATATCTGCAATGTCAAGGTAGAATGCAATAGCATTGAACCTGTCACTAAATCAGCAAATACACCACAAACATTGATCACTAAATTTACTTTCTCTCGTTTCCACTCAGTTGCGAAACGGCCCACTTGATCCTATTCGTCCAATTGATCAAGTCCAAATGAGAAACGTTTACCAATGTCCCCTTATACGCCCCCCATTTCGCACTTTCCACGCTAACCAACCCATCGTTGATCCCCTCCAGCTTCTGCACAATCTTATGCGGCTGCCGGAATGCACTCCAAAAGCTGGGTGCGAAAGTAGCCCCGTAAGAAAAGTACCTCACACCCTGAGCATCTGGTGTTTTTGGATTGAACTCTTCCGCCATGTACTTCCTCGTCAACTGGCTGAAGGCTCCCGTACTGATGCCCAGCCTATCGAAGAATTTGTAAAAATACGGCAGGTAATTAGCACCAATCTCCTGGAAACAGTAATCCGCGAAAGCAGAACCTCGATGTGGAGTAGCAACCGTCGTCAGAGAGAGGACTTCGACATTATTGGGTTGTAGGCGAGAGATCATGTATCGAGCATCCAGACCTCCCATACTGTGTGCTATGATATTAACGCTCTTTCCATTCGCCTTGGTCGCTATATCTTGTCCCAGTTTCGCAGCCCGTTCTTCGATTGACCCCAAAGCGGGGACCGAGGCGATGATGACCTCGATGCCATTTGCGCGCATTGCGTCTGTGATCCCCCGCCAGTAATGAACTGGAGGAAATGGGAAGAATTTCGGTACTATCTGGAGCTCGCCGAAACCCATAAGACCGTGTGCTAGGACGACAGGATGTTTTGGAGTAGCTGTCTGCATCAGCGTTATTCGAAAGAAGACAAACTCCTGGAATATTACCATAATTCTCCCTAATCGTAGCAAAATCATCTTCAATGGCTCTGCCCAATATATTGGTCCTCGGATCTCCGTCGGTCTTCTTCTCTTTCTGCGCCATACGCATACATCGGTGGCAGGAGAACGTCCTGGATTGATATACTGATGACATGACGATGCTTCTTGGGCGGAAGCGTACATTTTGAGAACTCCATCTCGTGCGTGCTACACGAGCTACCAGTATCGTCATCGCTGAAGCTTATACATTGAGTTTGGAAGCGTTGGTGAGGAGATTCCATTTTGAGGAAGTCGCGCTGGGGAAAGTCATGAACCCATTTTGCGATGGCGGCAGTGACGTCGACTGAATGACCCCTGCAAGCATGTGACTTGAGGCTGCATCAGAGCGTACCGTGCGAATAGCTTCACATGGACAATTTGGAGGCACAAAACGTAAGAGGGACATTTTTTGCTTTACTTGAGAGGTTTTCCTACCATGTAGTTTTTGTAAGATGCAATAGCAGTATCTGCAATCTCGAAGACAAGGATATCATTGTAATACTACGAACTGCACTATAGTTATGCAGCTCCTTCGTAGGCCCACCGAATTCCCATGCTGAGTTCAAGCCATTCAAAGCTCATGCAAGCATCCATCATTCCGAAAACTCTAGGTCGTACACTCATCCTGTCTCTCCTTCCTAGGACTCATAGCCTCCGTTTATTTCGGCTTCTCAATACGTTCTGGAACGACAGGTGTGATCTCAAAAACGGCCTTCAGTAGATCCTTGACAACCTTGTCTTGTCCCGTCTTGCCAGCTTCCTTGATCTCCTTCATCTTAGTCTCAGCATCCTTATTCGCATCTTCCTCGGCCTTCTTGTTGCCACTGGTGTGCTACAGACCACATAATTAGCATACATACCACACGACGAATCTCCTATGGCAGCTGTAGTTCCCATCTGAATGGAGGAAAGTAAAGCCAGGCTCAACATACTTCCGCCTCAAACTCCTTGAACTCCTCATCCTTAGATTTCCTGTATGCTTCGATCTCCTTCTTGGCCTCATCTCTTGCCTCCTTTACACGCTTTGTGCGGTCTATCCCAGTCAGTTCCCCTTCTTTCTCCAGCTCGTATTTGCTTGGGTGGAGCTTTGCTCACATTCTCTAGCTGCGACGCAGTTAGCACTCCGCAACCAATTGATTCTGCCTCTACACACAGAACCTACCTCTCTGGACAATCTTCTGAGCTTCTCTCTCAGCCTATACGCAATCAGCACCTCCTCTACCATTTCTAACTGCATTCTCTCGACAAAGGTACGCACATCAAGTAGAGTCTGGATCCCCGCTGAATTCTGTGCCGACTGCGAAACAAATTAGCCCGAGGTTCGGCAGACAGCCGTAGAATAGACATACCATCTTGCAAGGCTCCTTCTTTTCTTCAAAGCTTGCGCGGTGTGGTTGAGCTCGTTATCGCTGGAGGTGCAAATAGAGAGTTGAGGGTAGCTCCACTCCAAAAAGCAATGAGCTTCAAACCCCTGCTCGGCTAGTCCACTTTGGTTGTCTTTCATTGCAACGTCCACTTCTCATGACACCTCCAAGTTCTTCACCATGTCACACTGAAAATTCAATTGCAAAGTCAGGGGAAGGTTCAATCAAGAGGCCGGAAAGCAGGAATCGCCATGTCCCGCGTAGCAAAGCTCACCCTCGCGGGGACGTCCCTCTTCGCTATTGGCACCATAGTCTTCGTGCACCACGCCCAGCAAGCTGAGAAAGCAGTTCGTCTCTTACACTCCCAAAACCAGTAGTGTCGAAGCTAATGCAGGCTCAGGCAATGCACCAAGGCGTAGTCCGAGACGTGGAGCAGCAGCGATTAAAGAAGGAACGCCAGCTCGATTTCGAGATGCAGAAGGCCCTGGAAGAGGAATACAAGAAAATTCAAAGTGTACACGATGGAGGGACAGTACTGAATAAACAATGATGACGCAACTCTGTTCCCCTTATAAATCTCTCCTCTGTGTATCATGAACGGAATTGGTGTCCAACAGCAAGCATTGGGCGGCGAATCGGCTCATTTCTCAAGACAAAAGTAAACGGGATGGCAGCATAAGCATATCACAGGAGGGCACTAAAAGAATCCAGATCATTCCTGCATTCATTTCCCTGAGATCTAGATATGGTACAATAAGGGGGTTCCGCTTTGGGCCTCCCATGGCAAACGAACTTGGCGGTATTAAACTATGCAAATGTTTTCGAGGACCTTTTCTTCCATTCTCGCTCCTTCCCAAACGCCCCGATATGCAAAGACTTTCTCCTCTCCCCGACCATGTCTCCTTTTCTCATCATACATTCTTACATCTCCCCCTCCATTTCCCCACCACTCGCTCAGCGAACTGAAATCCCGGATCGCTTGGTGAACATTCTAGATGCGATGTTCATCGATGCCAGCTCTTGGAAGAGTAACTTGGCAGCGTAGGGAATGTGGATCTGAGAAATCTTGGTTTTGTTCTTGCAAGGTCTGCACTCGAAAGATTGTGTGGAAAGTTTACTATTGCATGTCAGCGTTAAATTCCCCAGGAATGGTTGAAACTTACGCAATCGGTGTCATAAGTCCACAGATGTCACAAACGTGGACTCTGAAAGCATCCGATACCTCGAACAATCTCTCCTTCAAGAAAGCACTTGCTCCGTGAGAGATCATACAATCACGCTCCATTTCTCCGAAACGAAGACCACCATCTCTAGCACGACCTTCCACTGGCTGTCTTGTCAGAATCTGAACAGGCCCTCTGGCTCGCGCGTGGATCTTGTCATCGACCATGTGACGAAGACGTTGGTAGTAAGTTGGACCCAGGAATACTTGTGCCATAAGCTTGCGTCCAGTATGGCCATGATACATGATCTCAAAGCCACGAGATTGATACCCATGATCACGGAGGAGCTTGGAAACTGAATCAACAGTGACTTCCGTGAAGGGTGTAGCGTCACCTTCAAGACCTCGGAGCGTGGAGACCTTACTCAATTGACATTCAATCAAATGAGCAATTGTCATACGAGACGGAATGGCATGAGGATTGATGATCAAGTCCGGCACGATTCCCTGCCTAGTAAAAGGCATATCCTCTTGTCGGTAGGTAATACCGATAGTTCCCTTTTGACCGTGACGAGAAGCAAACTTATCGCCAATCTGTGGGATCTTGGTTGTTCGCATTCGTACCTTCACGAAGCGGAGACCTTCGGCATTGGTTGTGATGAGGACCTGGTCGACAATACCGTTCTCCGTGCTACGCAAGGGAGTGGATGCATCTCGCTTGACATGTGCCTTTGTACGCTGCCCAAGCTCTTCGGCATCTGGTGCAATTGGCGCAGTCTTGCCGATGATGATATCCTCTCCCGAAACACGAACACCTGGCGCGACGATTCCATCATCATCGAGCTTGTCATAAGTCCCATGCTTCAGTTTCAATGTATCTTGTCTAAATGGCTTCTCGAATTGTTCAACCACATTCATGCCAATACGCTTCTCCTGGTCTGTGTAGGCACGATAGAACAGACTTCGGAAAAGGCCACGATCGATGCTACTCTGGTTCATGATGACGGAATCTTCTTGGTTGTATCCAGAGTAACAAGCAATGGCGACAATGGCGTTCTGACCGGCGGGAAGTTCTCGGAATTTCAAGAACTCCATAGAACGAGTAGTTGCAAGAGGCTTCTGTGGATAGTACAGAATGTTCGCCATGGTGTCCATACGCTGGTCAAAGTTTGTGAGGAACACTCCCATAGCTTGCTTGCCCATAGCGGATTGGTAAGTATTACGGGGAGACTAGACGGTCAGCGATGAATTAAAGAAATGCGTACGCATAGTAACCTACCTGATTATGATCTGGGAAGGGAATAATGCTCGCGCAAATTCCCAAAATCATACTTGGATGAATCTCACAATGAGTCCAAATATGCGCTGTAGGGTTCATTGGAGCTTTCACTCTCTTGTTCAAGTCTCCACTCTCGTCCGGGCGAATCTGGTATCCAGCCTGGAGTTGTCTTGAAATATCCAAATCTTCTGGGGTCATGACGATCATGACTGTCTCTTCCTCCTCGGCATCAACATACTCCACTACACCCTCATTGATCAGTCCTTGGAAACCGAAGTAGCCTTGCTCTGCTTTTGCCTCCGCATCCAAATTGGCGGCCATGGCCTGGTCATCTTCCAATCTTCGAATATGATCCTTGTTCAGAACTAGGTTGCCTTTATTAGGGCTATCGACATCGTTGTCGATGACAAATAGCGGCCTGCAAACTCTCCCGGCATCTGTGAAAATCTTGAACTCTCGATCTCGAATATCTCGAATCAGAGAGACTTCATGAGAAATTAAGTGGGATCTTCGAAGATTCTGAACAGTCTTGACGAGGTGGGCTGGGTCTCTGTGAACACCCACCCAGACACCATTAACGAAGACTTTGGTGGCGTTCGGCGACCGCAAAGGTTCGTATTCCTCAAGAACTTCCATGTTCCGCTGGATCATAAACTCGATGATAGGATCGCTGGGAGTACCAACGGTCACATAGCACATGAGTGCCAAATTCTTGACGAGACCACAAGCTTGTCCCTCAGGAGTCTCAGCTGGACAGACCAGACCCCAATGAGTGTTGTGCAGTTGACGAGGCTTCGCAATTTTCCCATCACGGCCAATAGGGGTATTAGTTCGGCGTAGATGAGAAAGAGTAGAAGCAAAGGTATATCTGTTGAGTACTTGGGAGACACCAGCAGTTGAGCTAGCTGCCTTCTTTTGATCACCCCAGTTTCCTGTGGCCAAGGAGTATTTGAGACCATTTGTGAGTGTAGTTGCCTTGACTCCGAGCGTGAGATTGAACTCGCGATTGTTCTCTACGCATCTTTGGAGGTATTTATAGACGTCTTGAGTAAGTCTGCGGAACAAACTTCGGAAAAGCTTCGCAAGTAGCGGGCCGGCCAGATCCAATCGCTTCTTTCCAAAATGATCTCGATCATCAGTTTCGCGACGACCAAGAGCGCACTGCAACATCTTATGGACCATGTAGCCCAAGAAGAACGCCTTGCGGGTCTCGCTGCCTTCCTTTTGAGAAATATGGGGAAGCAGCTCCTTCTGCATGATATCGCGAGCGTACTTGACACGTTTGTCACGGGTCAATGTCGCTCCACTACCACGCTTGCCAATAAAGTCCAAGGCAACTTCTCGGTCCTGGATGACAAAAGCCTCTTCGATACAGGGTTTCAGCATCTCCAGCATTTGGGTATCTGTACGGTCATAGCAAATGTGGTTTAAGATGTCCTCGTCAGAGACGACACCGAGCGCTCGGAATACGACAGCGATCGGGATATCGGTCTTGATATATGGTAAAGTTGATTTGATAGTTTGGCCGAAACCACCTCTCTGACCATCGCCTTTTGCGAAAAGCTTGATGGTCATCGATGAGATCAGACGCGACCCCTTCTCGAGAGCGCTTCGAATCTCGGCAATGAATGGAGTAGGACTGGGCGGTGCCTTCTTGAATACCTGGACGATGTTCGCTGCACTGCGCTCCTGCGCGATCAGGACTTTTTCGCTGCCGTTGATGATGAAGTAACCACCTTGGTCGTATGGACATTCGTTCCAGGCATAGAGATCGTCTTCATCGAGATCCTTCAATATGCAGTATTTCGATTTCAGCATAATGGGAAGCTTCCCAATGAAGACCCGATCCATTGCCGGCTCTCCTTTATCCCCAACCTGTCCACCATCTTCATCTTCCCAGAGCAGTCTTGTCGGAATCTCGCCACTTCTGGCCATCTCTGCCTCCTGCTCTTCATCAAGCTCATTGAGAGGAATGTCGCGCTCCACAGCCACCGATACCTTCTTTGTCATTTCGAGGTACAGAGGGCTCGAGTAGGTCAGGTTTCGCAGTCGCGCTTCTTGGGGTAGCATGACTTGTGTACTTCCATCGCCTTCTGTCATTGCTGGCCGCGACAACAAGACCGTACCAAACTTGATCTCATATCTTCGAACGGTGATAGGGTTGTCTTCGGAGTGTGGTGGATTGTTCTGATCGAGGGTGAGTTGTGAGTTCTCCTCTACCAATTCCTGCATCGTCGTAGACACAAATTCATCGAAAGAATCGAGCTGTTGTGAGACTAGACCTTTGGACTCGAAGAACGATGAGATAACCGTCCAGCAGTCCTCGGCCGTGATCCCAGCGTCCTCCTCCCCATACTCATCGTACTCGTAGCCTTCTTCGTATTCAGCCATCTTGAAAGGTCCCGGAGTCGCAAGAACCGTATATTAGAGCAAAAGAGGTGGATGGAGGTGCGCTCGAGATGCGGAAGAAGTTGAGAGGAGCTGTCGCCTTCAGCGAGATCGAGGCGCGTGTCGCCCCGAGGCCTGGGTGACTCTAGTAGGGGAAAAAAGATGGCATTAAGATCAACAGCAGCCCCAATAAGAGATTCTGAGTTTGACGGGGAGATCTGCGCAGTGTTGGGGTGTCGTCCTCGGACGATGTCGTTGATAGAATATTTTGGACTTGCCTCTCTTCGATGTCTGTATTTCTGAAGGGGCGCAAGAGCGGCTAGTCCCAAATAGGCAAAAGCGGGTTTGACGAGGCTGACTACAGGGCATTGTCAACGACGCAAAGTCCATGCCGCAGCCTTGGAGCCTCCTATTCACTCTTTGAAGGAAATTTCTGACTTCAAAATGACTTTTAAGCTGTCCGAATTGCATATAACCGGGAGCTAATGGAAGAATTCGAGGTTTTCGGCGATATATCGAGCGGAAGCCAGCCCTCACGCCTTTCAGAGCCCCTGAACGGCGGAAGGCGTGGAGATGGAAACAGTGCTGGCTGGCCGCAAAATTAAGGAGGTTGGTTTTTTCTCAACTAATCATATCGCTCGGCCGTAATGGTATTAAAGCGCCGAAACAAGCGTTCCGCATTTAAGGTTATCAAGTGAACGGGGAAGTACTTAGAGCGGTGACTCGCGGTGTGTAGAAAAAGCGGCACTCATTTCAATGCCTCAAGCCAAGCTGGATAATGGGAATCCTTCCTCTCTAAATGCACACATGCGATATTGTGCATTCAAAATTTACTCCCTTGGAATATCTCGGAAATTGTAGAATACTGGTTACCTGCCCCTCGCGAATCCAAATGAATGGAGCCCTCACAAGAATGTCCAACTTTGGCTTGGGACATTGAAAGTTCAAGGTTCAGTCCCTCTTTTCCAACCCGCCGCGAAGGCAATCAATTTGCGTTTGCTGCGTCACATATGCCGGATACACTGCAAAGGACGTTGCATTTCTGCTTTTATCTACCAACGCTTTATACGTTCTCCTCTGCTGCATATTTCCCATTCACGTGCACGTATCTGTATCTCGCAATACCCTTGCCCATATCGAGAACCGCTGGATTCGCGTCCTTCAGCGGCCGCTCTTGGATGAAAGGATGGATCTTGTTCTTTGTAGCAACTCGAGCATCTGAACATTATCAGCAGGAGAACCAATGGCTGATCCACCCAGCTTGGCATCCTTTGTGATGAGAGCAAAGCCGTTAAATACTGGGATCTTATCCTCGGGCGCGCCGACCTGGAAGGAGAAGTTAGTGCATGCTCAATACAAGAAACTAGGAGTGCCACTCACCTAGATGGATTGCCCGTTCGTCCTCAAAAGATGGATATATTCTACAATAGGCATATTCAGGCTTGATACTATCAAAACGGTGAGATCGAGACTTCAAGAATTGGCCTTGTTCCAGCTATCCTCAAAGACCCGGAATTAGCATACTGCTTTCAGATATTTCCCGGATAGAATGTTCCAAAAGCTGTTGGACATTGTGACAAGAGGGTTTGATATTTCGAGAAGTTGGAGCTTACCCTTTATCTTCTGTAGCGATGGATTTGGTGCCACCCATCCTCATCGCATCGTCCTTCTTCGAGTTTGTTCTTGAGATGGCTACCACTTCATCACATTTTGAAGCCTTGGCCCACAAGCGCCCAAAGTGCCACAATCCACCCACACCAACAATCCCCACTCTCCTTCCGGGGCCAGCACCATTCTTCACCGAGGGGCTTCAGACCGTTACACCTCCACACATCATCGAGGCTGCTTCAGCTGAGGAGCAGACATTGAATGTACTAAAATGAGACTGAACATATAGAGGAAAGGCATTCGAAAGGTCTAAGTTGTCTTGGGACACTGAAGATCAATACTATTTTTTAATCCACCGCGAGAATATATTCTGAAAAGTCAGATTCTATATGATCGGCTTCATATTTGCCCGCAGATTCTTCTTCCGGAAGCTGTTCGTGAGTTTGGCATGGGTGAACTATTCCTGGATTTTCAGACAAGGGCCCCTGCATGACAATGTACCATAAGCATGCTGTAAGTCATAGACGAATGCCAGCGCTACTTTGAAGGGTAGCTTTCTTCGCCGGGGTGCTTTGGATACCAAGCTGAACGGTCGACTTCACCCGATGCATTTGCATTACGGTCGATCACCATCAGAGCTTCGTAAGCTTCAATCGGCGTCGGGGTAACTTCATTGGACTCAGCTACTGCGGTAACAATCTGTATGATATGCTTTTTCAGGATCATGCCAGCGTAACACAGGCTTTTTCCTATTGTTCTAAGAATAAACAATACTTCCTCCTCGACATTTCGTCTGTACCAGTTCATTCGGACCGTTTCCAGACGCAAATATCAAGTCAGGTGGGAAGAAGCCAGCTGGCGTTCTATAAAGCAATCAACACCCTTTACTTTCGCTATTCTCAGTAACACCATCAACTTGATTAGCAACTTATTGTCCTTGATAAATAAAAATAGTCGTTGAGTTGTTGAACGAGTATCTTCTCAAACATCAGCCATGCAGCTATTCAAATACCTCATCCTCTTCGTCAGTGTTACTGTCGCGATGCCTTCTGCAGAGCAAGTGAGTTGTGACTTCATCATTAGACTGCCCCCAATTAACCTTTTCAAGCTCTCTCCACGAAGTTGCTCGAAGAGTGAGTTACGTTCAAAACTTGACCCACACATAGCTGTCTGACCATGACGCAGCCGTTTGCGTTAATCATTGTTGTGCCCAATCTGGCTGCAATGGGTATCTCTACTGTACCAATTCACATGTGAGTCGTGCTGTGAAGACATATATTCGATGCTAGCGAGAATATGGACCTGACCGAAACCGGCAGTGTTCTGGAAATTCATGCGTTTGTGACTGCAGGTATGACTAGGATAGAACTTGAAAGCCGACAGCGGTCTGAAATTGATGTCTATTCATGGCAAATTAGGCTAGGGTGACTTGAAGCTGATCATCTGTGTTATTCTTGCCATTTCATGTCCTATGAGTATAACAATGGAGCACGCCTTCTTCATGAAACCCTTTGTACAGCATGTCAATTCTACTTCCCATATTATAGGTTGTTATTGTGACCAATGACACCTTCCCTAACCGAATATTTATAGTTCACCTCCACTCCGTCCTTGCCGTCATGATAAAGCTAAAATGTTCGAATGTGCCGGGGTTCTCTGGGTCCGTCAAAACCTCAACCTCCAAGTCCTAGATTCTCTCACTCAACAGCAAGAATTTGACGAAATGGGGTTATCGATAAGTGATATAACAATTTCCCACCGGGTTTCAAGACTCTCACAACCTGTGTATATTAGTAGAGGGCTAGACGTAACAACGACGTTTAGCTGTACCTCATCGGCGTATTTCTCCATAGTAACTGATTCCTGTTATTAGTAGCTGACTCCTCTATTTCTACCCAAGCCAAGCTCAGAATCATGCCTTAGACATTGCTCGGAGAATCCCACAGTGAGCCATGGATCATATCGATTGCCGCGTCGACAGTAACGGCAAGAAGTCGAATGTTCCGGACATCCGTGACCAACTAATGAGTATTGAGACTCAAGTATCTAGATAAACTTGGACCAGTATCAATTTATTAGAAATCGTAGATATACCAGCACCTGGGGGGAATTTGTAAAGTACAGAACTCGAATGTTCCGGAAGTCAGGGGATATTCGAAGGCGGAGAGAAACACTCGAGGACGGGCCTGCTTCACAATCATTGCGTCAATTACAACCTGGGAAATTCTACGCTCATCTGATTAGTATAGCCCAAGGTGCATAGGCCCGCCGTCAACGTCTATGAGCAGATAAAATGTATTAGCTGAGTGAACCCCGCAACAAAACCGACTCCATTACCGAGCAGGTAAAGGGGAGAGATGGGTCAAGAAGTCCTAATTATGACGCAAATGAGGACGCACACTATTATCACACCCTAAATGCATTATGCAACTCCCACTGGAAGCATCTGGGAGGTGTTTCTCGAAGAATGGCCGCAGATTTTTGAATGTTCGGAACCACTTGCACGAATCGCTCTGCCATCCTTGCTTACTCTCTCGGCACTGGTCCCAGTACTCAGGTCTACTCAAATCCTTTAGAACTTCATCTTTGACCATAATGGGACGTTAAAAATCGAAAGTTGGCAGACTGAAGAATGAGGGCAATGGAGAAAGAAACGTGACAATTTGGTTGTCGCCTGCTTCCCCTTTCAATTTGACATCGAATTTTGGTTGAAGCAATTATAGAATGTGTATCATTTGACTGCTATCTATGAAGCTGTTGAGGGTCTCGAAGTACGTTGTTGCTTTGGAAACTGTCTATCGAGGCACGTTTTGGCTACTGCTCAAATACAATATCTGCTCTAAGAACTACCATACTGTCCTGGGACAATGAAAGGAGTTGGAGCGCAAGAGAAAATATTACGAAGAACCCAGAAAGAACCTTAAGCGTGGAACGCTTGACTCAGAAATCTATGACGATATGCCCAATACCTCTCGAAACACAACTCAACATCGCATTTGCCTTGTTCTCTCCACTTAGCCCACTTCCCCGATGATCCACTCTCCCTTGGCAGACCTCGACTCGACAAGTACCGCAATTGCCTGTCTCACAACTCGAATCGACCTCCAAACCAGCCTCCCTAATAGTTTCCAGGAGTGTCTTCTCTCTGTCCACTGTTAACACCTGCCCGGTCTTCTTTACCTCCACAGTAAAGGGGTCTCCCGAAGTTGCAATTTGGAACGCTTCAAGGTGAATTTCCTCTGGCGACATACCACATTCCTTTGAAGAGCGTATAATATCCTCGACCATCCGCTGCGGTCCGCAACTATATACGAAGGAGTTCCAGGAGCGATCTTTGAGAATTTGAAGGACATCCATCCGTTCGCCTTTCGATTTGTTGTAGATTACGACGTTTGATCTCATTTTTTCGACCAATGATCTGAACGGAATGTCTTCAGTAGATCGGACGGCGTAGTGAAGTGTGTAGTTCCAGTTGATTTGAGAATAAATGTCCATGTGTGCGAGGAAAGCGGTGATACCAATACCCTTGAAAATGGTACGTTAGCATGCTCGCTATGGAACTCAAAGAATATACCGCAATTTGTGGAACACTTGGAAGGGACAAGACTTGAATGGACAAGGCCTCGTGAGACCTCAAAATAGGGAAAGGTGAACTCGGAAATACACGTACACCTGCTATAAAAATATGATTTGAAGACTGGGGAGAACAAGGAATACTTTCAGTAAGATTCCCTGCAAGGATCTTATCTCCTTGCTGAATTATTTCATGTAGGTATCGTGAGCCGCCACGGCTGTCCTCCTCGAGAGCGATTCCGAGTTGGAAGCGATTCGTTGTCCCACCTACGATGGAGTAAGGGCGAATCAAGCCGTTGGGCAATTTGAGTCGAACGAAGAACCCAGGATCCAGCTCTTCTCCTTCGCCAGGTCTCTCAAGAATAAAGGAGGCTATTCTGCTGGTTTCGGCCTTCTTCTCAACAACTTCAAACTCCTGCCAAACCTCTGGTTTTTTCTTCTTCCCACCGTTTGCCTTCTCCTCTTCTTCGGCCTTGAGTTTTGCAACTCTGGTCTTGAAGGCGTTTTTGCACTCGTCCCCGAATTCCTCAATCTTCTCCAGCTATGAAATTTGTTAGTACAACCTTCTGCCAGTTCTAAAAGTTCTTCTTAAGCGAGACCGGAATGGTAAACGCACCTCCATCAACTTCTGAAGATTGTCCTTATCGCGATGCAGATACTCTTGCACCCTCTCAATTGTCCAGTGGGGATACTTTCTCTCCACCAGCGTGACTTTATCACCAACCTCCATCCACCCCTCTTCAAGCACCTTGTAGTACCACCCCGTGCGACTCTTCTTCCATGTTTGAGCCGCGAAGCCCTTAAGTCCAAATCGATGATTCAGCTTGAAGCAGGGTTGTCTGGGCAACGAAATTTGTAACAGAACCCCATCTTGCCCACCAACCCGTATAATATCCCCAATACAAACATTGCGCTCGTTCATTCCGCCATTCACAACGAGATTTTCTCCAAATCCACCGACCTCAAACGCTTCTTCGGCCTCGGGGTGCTCCTCCTTCCAGTCCTTGTAATGGCCCGGAAAATATTGATGCACGGCTTTGTCGACACCACCATGGAAAGTGAGATCGTGTTCATCGCTCTCGAGACCTGTGAAAGAGCAAAAGACGCGCGTGGTGCGCGGAAGCTTATAGATGCCCGTTGTGATCGACAGCCCACGCATTTGTTTCATCGTGCTGGTCCTCACTTCTATCGACGAATTAGCAAGGTATGTCTTCAGGGAGGTGCGAGCTGGGAGCGAGCAAGGATCATGAAATATCCTTCCGACCAGCGAAGTAGAGAGCTCGGGATATGGGACAAAAAAATAGGTTGTTTACGGAGAATGGTGGCACTTTCCCATGGGGCCCAAAGGTCAGGTTGTGAAATTGGTGCCATATTCGACTTGTGGTGACTTCGGTCGCTTCTGGAGTTTGGAAAGAGCAGTGAAAGAATGGTGTTCCGGGGAAAATAGGGGGGCAACTTCGGCTAAAAAAGGGGTGAATTCTGAAAAATTAGAAATAGGGCCGTAATTTTATGAAAAGGCGGTGTGTCTTCGGTAAGGGCGGAAAGCAGAGATTTGCGACACAGAGATTTGGTAAATAGAGAAGAAGGAGAGAAAGGTGGTGAGAGTGGAATAAATAAGATGACAAGCGCTAGGCGCAGGCGCGCAAAGCACAGTAGCGGCGGGGAAAGCAACCTCCCTACTGGCTAATTTTCGGCCTACTTGCTACAGCAACACATGCATGTTTTGTCCGAAGGGTGGATCTGTCCTTGAATGATTAGAACAGAGTAAAAGACCGAGCTTACCACACATGAATGGTCTTCGCGAATCTCTGTTGCACACACTTCTCTAGGCATCGGTCTGAACATTAAAGTGTGCTCCGTTGTAAGCAACAGCCTTTCTCTCCCGCAATAGCTGCCCGCATCTGGATGATAAATACACAGGATTCCTCCATGACCCCAGCTTCTTCGTGCATCAGTAATAAACAGATAAGAATTTGTTGAGTGACCCCCAGACTCCGAATTCCACCTTGTCGCTCTGATACCGAGCGCACTGCGAGGCACCAAAACACAGTAGAGTATGTATTAAGGTCCTTCGTTTCAACAATCAAGCATAAACATAAAACAGGAAACACGATACTATACCCGTATCCGAGCACACAAATTTGCAGATGTGTATGTAAAAAGGGAATTTTTGAGACAGTCGAGAATTTGATCCTTCTAATCATTTGAAACTTGGACTCTTTTCGCGTAAACAATGAACAGGCCAGAACAGTGAAGTGGTATGATCCGCTAACGCCGGAGGTATGCTCGAAAACGCCGGAAATTGATGATGGCACTCATGAGGCCCCTATGGTCATTCTGCTCCGATTGTGTTTTCGTCTAGGAAACCAGACGCATCGAAGTTGAAGTTGTCTTCCGCCCCGCCATCTTGGTGTAAGAAAGAGTCGAAATCGAAGTCCTGGAGTACATCCAGGCTACCGTTATTGGGAGCAAATTCCATCTCATTCGAGAAACCGAACTGTGAAAGTTAGCAAGATACCTTGAGGTAGGCTTGGTAAAACTCACAGAATCGCCGCCCAAACCGAACCCACCAACCTGTAAGGGGTCTGGCTGCGAGACCACACCAATATTGGCAGCGGGCCCAGTTGGTTGACCGTTCGTGACCGGTTGAACAGCGCCGTTCTGTCCAGTGAAGCTCTTTGGGTGGACGGGGGTGATCGGTGTCTGGGGCGTCGTTGTTGCTGCGGTAGCTTCAGCGTCGGCAGATGGTGTAGCACCAGCGTTGATTGCGGTGGATCCCTTCTTTGCAGTCCGCTGTCATCAATGTCAACATTTCTACAAAAGTATCCATTAAACGCATTAAAATATACCTTTGTTTTAGCATCCTTCGAGTCATTCTTCTTCTTTGGATTCGGCTTATTAGGTTGTGATGGTGTCTGTGGAGCAGCATTTTGCTGTGGAGAGGACGTCTGTGTGCGACCATTGGCAGCTGCACCAGTTGCCGGAGCTGATGGAGGAGGGGGCATTGCTCGCTGCTGAGGAGTGCCCATGTTCTGCTGGGGAGCTCCTTGCACGCTTTGTTGCGGCATCATCTGTCCGTTAGGTCCATTTGACCAATTCTGAACGCCGCCTGCCTGTTGTTGCTGTGCCATGGCCATTTGTTGTTGCGGCGTCATTTGGTTGTTAAACCGACCAGGAGCTGGGTGCGAGCTTGGGGGTCTCATGCCGTTGGGCATAACACCGTTGAAATATTGCTGATTCATGCCGCTCGGATCCATCGGTCCACCAGCAATGTTGAAGTTCATGGCAGCACCGGGTGAACCACGCGATTGTGGTTCTGGTAAGGGAGACGCCATTCCGCCACCGGGATTCATGTGAGGTGTACCCCGTTTCATTTGATCACCCGGATTGGGTGAGTTCACAGAACGAGGACCTTGAGGTGAGGTGCCTTGGAACGGTTGGCCGTTGGCTCCCATACCTGGGCCTGCTTGACCCCCAGAACCATCTGGTCCTCGAGGCATCATGTTGTCTTGCTCTTGTCGGGCCATCATAAGTCTCTTCTTGTTCTGTTGTTCTAAGAGCATGAGCTGCATTTGATAGTCTTGCAAGGCATGATTTCCACCCGCAGCACTAGGTTGGCCGCCCGGACCTCGCATGCCATTCGGCCCCATTTCGCCAGGATTATAGTAATTGGCTATAGCACCCCCATCTTGACCTTGGGTCATCATCGGTGAACCTTGGTTCGGGGGGCCTCCTGGGTTTGGCATAGGTTTGGAACCAGGCATCTGAGTGGCTTGTTGTTGGGCTAGGTTGGCTTGGTATCCAGCCAATCTTGCTTGGGCTGTCGCGTTCGCACCGGGCTGGAACTGCTGAGCTGTCAGATTGTTTGGTTCGATTCCATTGGTAAGCTGCATATGTGCGGCTTGAATAGCATTGCTGGGGCCAGTTTCTCCCACCTGTTGGGGCATTTGTCCTCTTCCATTTGGCATTTGTTGTGGGTTAAATTGGGGTTGATCAAGGCGAGGTCGTTTCGAAGGGGAGGGCGCGTTTTCAGCAGATCCAGGAGATTGGGGCCGTTGTTGATTGTTTCCATCGGACGGGTCTCGTTGCATCTGTTGCTGCTTCTGCTGTGCGAGAATTTGCATGTTAGGAGTCCTAGAGAATGTTAGAAGAGTTGTGTAGCTGGGTTGTAGGAGGTACTTACGCATTTCTGTTGTTATGGATGGCCTTCTGTCTCAGTTCATTGTTCTGGTTGAGATTCATATTGTTTACTGCTTGACCCCTCATCATCATAGCTTGCTGATACCCTTGAGGTAGTTGCATGTCGCCCCGAATGCCCCGGAGCATTGCTTGCTGCTGTTCTTGCCTCATCCGTGATTGTGCCTTGAGAAGGTCTTAGCTTGAACTTGACGAGAAATGCCATCACTGTACGTACCTGTGTATGCGTGACATATTGCAGAACATTGCGTCCGTCTCCTTTGCCACGCTGAGCATTGAACATATCCCAGAATAAACACCACCACTCGTATAGAAAGCAACTTTCTGGGCATTCTTTGGGGAGATTTGGATCCGGGAGGTCCGCTGGTCGTTTCGAGTCGATATCGTCCTTCGAATCTCCATCAGCTCCCTCATCGCCTCCGTTTTCGTCGCGACGCCTTCCAGGACTATCCTTGATAACATTCATCGGCTGGTCGCTATTCAGCAGTGACCTCGCGCAATCGTACATGCCATTCCTTAAGAAGTATTCGTAAATGTATGTGTTGAGTTGCGAACGGTTGTCGTTTGCGGGCATCGGTGGACGAACTCCAGCAGCTCCATTATTCATCATGGGCATGCCGCCACCGACTGGGCCACCCATGGCATTCATTCCTCCCATACTGACGTTGTTCATCTTCGCGGATTATGGTCGCGAAAGATTTCCCTCGTGTTCCTGTGCCTTGCAGTTGAGAAAGCGTGGAAAAAGCTCCGTCAGCCACCGCACCTCTGACGCGGAGCGGTTAGAGCCGACTGTCGCAACGGCGGATCTTCTTCACGTCGACGAGCTTGGAGGATATGGAAACTGAAGCTGCCAACTCGTCACAGTTTGACCGGAATGTGCAGAGCAAGTGAGGCAAATTGGAAATCGGTGATCGTGGACCGCCGTGTAACTTCCGTCTCACACCCTTTTTTGCGAAGGACAAAAAGCGAATGCGATAGGCGCGCGAGGGAGGCAAGCGAGGGTGGTTCGGGGGCGAAAGAGGTTAGGGCGTTCTCGTCGACAGAATGCCGTGAGAGAGGATTCTCGCCCTGCGATCGTCGACTCAATGGGTTGTCGATGCCGGGTCGAGGGATGCTGTTGAGATATTGAGTTTCTGGAGTGATGTCGAAAGACCCAGATGGGGGTGGAGTGTGCAGGCCCCAGGGTATATCTCAGCACGCTTACTTCTGACTCCAGCCTCGCTGATTGAGGACGTTGTTCAAAATGCCAGCACCGGACGCCACGGGGGAGGCTGCGAGGATCAATATCAACGAACAACTCAACCAAAAGGCGCGCAAAGTGCGTATCGAGAGTAACCGGGCATGAATCGAGGGAGAGCAACGAGAGGGAAAAAATCAGACGTGAGATGGCTGGAAGGTCTCGCAAGATTCAACTTTCGCACTATGCTGCTTTGGTCTTTTTACCCTGAGTCTATTGGATCGCTTAACTGACACACGTGACTCCATCGGATCTCCTTTCTTTGGATCGGAGCCAGGACTCTCAGGGCTTTGAGGGAAATCCTGGTGCGAGAGCTATCGATGGACTTGACATTGAAAACAGATAGTCTTCAAGATGCCTCAATGATGTGCTGTTCATTTCGAGCTGCGCTCTGAAGTTGGGCTCATCCGCTAAAATGAAGCTCAGACCTACAAACTGACCGTGTGACAGCCAACTTCGTCGAACCCATCGATCATGCCTTGTTCATGATAGGCCCAAAAGGACTTCCTGCGATCTCTTTTGCCTTTAAGAAGATAAAGTTTACTCAACACTTGCGAGCATCTGTCCACGAACGAAGGTTCTGCCAGTGGTGGTCACGTGATAAAAAGCATCGCTGGGCAGCATCTTCTCGTCGGTTGGCTGTATTCGTCCTTACGGCTCTCGGGAGAAAGGGAGATCGTTAATTTATTGAGAAAAAAATGTCCGTCTGACAATGATTGTGACGTGGCTCATATACTCCTTCCTTATGATATGATAGACATCATTTCGGTTCGTCTGCCTAGACGGCGAGAGCCAATGAGGTGATGAGTGAAGCGATTTCTAAGGAGTGGTTTGTCGTTGATATCTGTTGCGCCAGTGAATGGAGAAGTGCAGCCCATAGGCAGTAATAAAGTACTAGAGGATGAGTTTTAGTGACAGTTGTGAAGTGCTAAAGGCGGGATTCTTCCAAGTTCGAGCGAATCTTGGTTCAAATTCGAGCTCTTGAATAACTCAAAAAGGGGCCTCATTAATAATTTTCAAAGAGTTATTCAGGGGGAAATACTTATATTGGATGAGCTGGTCACTTTAAGCGAACCCAAGAGAGATACTCCTGAAAATGGAAAACTGATGGCGATTTTCTTCAGGAATATAGTATCAAAGGATCCGAATCATAAGAAGACGTAAACGAGGCCCAAAAAGTCTTCGTGCGATAATCAAAGCGTTGATCTCTAGTCGGTTGTCCTGCGAAGTCGAGAAGTGTTGACTCTGGGCAAGGGTGACAGCTCTACCCATTGCCTAGAACGATCTGGGGTGATTACAACTTGGGGTTACTAGATTACTAGTTACACAGTCTCGGTCCCAATCCCATATGCTCTCCTTTTTTCTAGCTTTATTTCCCTTAGGAAATCTTGGTCGTGCCCTCAGTCTCGCTGTGACATAGAAGGGGCGCACGTTCCTTCAACGACAACCTCCCAACTTCCTCCCAAGCTGACTTCGTGATGACATAACAGCACAAGTCGAAGATGCCTACAGAGTTCCAAAATTAGCCTCATCCAATTTCTAAAGACGCAGGGAATGAGGCAGTTGCAAACCGAGTAGAAAAGACTTCCCTCGATGGACCCTTCGAAAACTAGATATGCCACCGCTATATGAAAACCCTCCCGCTGTTTAACTAAAAACCTGAAAATACACCGCTAAGTAATCAGGCCTTTTTATTGCCTGTGCGATATGCAACCAAGCCTCCAAGAAAGTTTGGTGCTTTCAGGAGTCACCAGTCGTCTTGGTACTGATGGTAATACCGAAAACACTGGAAACGCTGCCGAACGCTGTTTGGAACAGAACTTCCGTCACGAAACATATTTTAAAATATTTATCTAGTCACATATGCAAGAAGCGTGCACATGTTCACAAAATACACCTCTGTGGTCGCGATACATCCACTAACAAGAGGGCCACCAACATTAACCACTCGTCAAATAGGCCCCCAAAATTTTCCCCGGAAATTCACTGGAACAAGTGAAACGTAGGAATGAGACTGAAAACATGCAGATCTTGATGAAGGCTACTATGCAAAGCGATCTGGACGATAGCCCGGGGAGATGAATGCTGTATATTTTGCCATGATGACAACAGCAATGGGCCACTAATCCGTGTCCTCAGTGATCTAGTATGATTCTGAGCTGCCAAAGTCGCTGCATTGATATCTCTAATCCCGCCTCTCCTGCGCCAGACGCCGAAATACATGCACAACGCCTCACTCATCGTCCGCCGGCATCTCATCGTCGATATACCGTATCAGAGATATCCTCATCTCCGTAGAGTCATTGCCCCTCAATACATCACTGATGAAATGTGCCTCTACTTGCATCTGCACCATCTCCAAAGCACCTCTCAACACCCCGCAGAAGATATTTGAGTACCATAACTCGTCTTGTGCCCTTCCATCGTCTGGTAACTCGACAAAATCTGCCAGGGGGTTTTCTTCGAAGATAAGAGAGAATTGTTTGCTGTCACTAGTCCAGTTCGTGATAGTGGGTGTAATGTTCAGGAAGATCTTGAATCCAACCTGAGTGAGTCAGCCCCTGTGCCCGAGCCTTTGAAAGCCGAGGAACGGTACCTTCGCAATCATTTCCGCTGTTTCTCTGAAGTTCGAACACCTCCTCATAGTGTTGGATTTCGCAAGGTAATCCTCGATTAATCTCAGGCCAATGTTGTAACCCATCTTGTCAAGCTGCTTGTTGACTTCAACGTAATCGCTTTCGTAGTCTTTGCATAATTGCGCAACAATTGTGCCATAGGTGAGAGTAACCAGTTCCGCGTTGACCTTATCTACTCGACTCCTTCACTCTGTCAGTTCCAAAGGGAAGCATCCAGACGGACAAACGGATCTTACTTCCACACCCTGTATGCTGTTAGCCTGCCTCTTCAATTAATCCTTGGAATATTTAGCTTACTCTTCGCCAATCCGTGCAGCTTTGGTCGAAGCCATGGTAAAATCTGGCTTCCACGTTTGCAATCAAAGCGACAAGTTAACGTTGTTCTAGACCACAGCCGCACCAGGCACTGGACTGAGACTGTTGATCACCTTGCAGGGATTGAGAAGGCTGCGGCAGTTCGTTTGGATTTTAAGCGCGATTCGAAAAATATCAAGCCCCAGCTTCGCCTTGGTGACTTGAGAGTGAAAATCCTACCCAAGACACGAGCCCTTTCAATTACCATACGACTTGAGTGGTTGCCTCGAACCGCAATCATGTCGGCAGAGAAGCGGCCCGCATCAGATGAATATGGCTCTTCGCAGATGTTGGTGAAGAGGCCAAACCTGGGCAAGGATAGCAAGGCTGTAACTGTCGCCAGTGGATCTGGAGGAAATGGCGCGCTCACACAAGCGGTATGTATCACCTTAGAAGATTCAGGATGAACATGCTGAAGTCTGCCGAAGAGTCTGTTGCTGATATGCGTGGACTAGGCGCCGCGCACCACTGGTCTTCAAGCTCCTGTCATGGAATTGACTGGGCACTCAGGAGAAGTCTTTTGTGCGAAATTTGATCCTAACGGAAACTACTTTGCCTCTGGATCCATGGACAGAACGATAAGTAGGTCTTTTGACTATTCATCATTCGTAAATTCCGGTCTAACAGTTCCTAGTGCTCTGGAGGACGTTTGGCAACTGCGAGAACTACGGCACTTTGACAGGCCATAAAGGTGCAATACTTGATCTACATTGGTCGCGAGATTCAAGAGTGTTATTTTCAGCATCTGCAGATATGCACCTGGCGAGTTGGGATTTGGAGACTGGAACGAGGATACGACGGCATGTTGGACACGAGGAAGTGATCAATACAATGGATATTAGCAAACGAGGTGAAGAAATCCTCATCAGCGGATCTGATGATGGCTATATCGGAATATGGGATCCTCGAACGAAAGGTGCAGTGGACTTTATTGAAACCGAATTCCCAGTGACGGCGGTAGCATTGGCGGAGGCTGGCAATGAGTTATATTCTGGCGGCATCGACAACGATATCAAGGTTTGGGACATGAGGAGAAAGGCCGTGGTTTACTCTATGCTGGGACACACAGACACCATCTCTTCTCTAAGGATATCTCCGGACTCACAATCGCTTCTTTCAAACTCGATGGACTCGACCGTGCGAACTTGGGACATCAGACCGTTTGCTCCAACAGAACGGCACATTCGAACATTCGATGGAGCCCCCGCTGGAATGGAGAAGAATCTAATCAAGGCAAGCTGGAACTCACAAGGGAAGAAGATCGCAGCAGGAGCCGGAGATGGGACCGTGGTTGTTTGGAATAGTGAGACGGGGAAGTTGCTATACAAGTTGCCGGGACACAAGGGGACGGTTAACTGTGCCGAATTATCTCCATCGTCAGATCCCATCAGTAAGTCTTTGCAGCTGAAACCTGCCCAGCAGACCGCTAACTATGAGATAGTCCTGTCTGGCTCCTCGGATCGGACGCTTTTGCTGGGTGAGCTGAAGTGAGCTGACTCGATTTTGAGCTTGGAAAACCTCAGGGCTGTGGCTGTCCTGCGGCTGAAAACAAAATTTGGTGAGGACTTTCAGGAAAGAAAGGATCAAACGATGGAATTTGGTTTGTGATGACGGAGTCGTGGCGTTTCCGCAGACGGCGAAATACCTCCGTTCTCCTTGTTTCGACGCCTGGGGTTGAGGTATCATGCAAACAGCCGCATTCATGCACTCACTACCAACTTGGGCCAATAGTTGCAGAGAGATAAAGGAGAAACGCCAATGAGGTGCACGATGCGGCAAAGTGACTGGTCCAGATTGTACATGGCTGTTTGCATGCAGGTACCATTCTAAAAATCCAAGAAGCAAAAAGCTTGTCAAACTCAAATTTTAACGGTCGATGAGAGGCTTTGCGTGTACTCAACAGATGCAGGAATCCGTGTGAAGTCCAGGGCTCCTTTTGGATTTCAGTGTAGTATCACATACCCCTGACCTGCCCTTGACTGAGCTTCACGCCTCTGAGCGCCGAGGGGTGGCAAACGGCCGCTGTGATTGGCTGCGTGCTCCTCAGCGTGGATTGTCTGAAACGAGCAGGCAAGGGGTGCGGACTCGCTTAGATACATCTCCAACCCCGATTGTGAGAGCGCTCCCTCCTTTTGAGAGATCTAACTGGAGGCCTCGCGCTCGAGGGGTGTTCCCGTCACACCCCCATCGGGTTGCGACTCCTGTAACACGAGGTCAGTGCTTTCCTCGCATCCAACAAACCCAAACCTTCCTTCGAAGCTTGTCTGCTTCTTGACCTCGCAGCCTTTCTTTCTCACACTCCCTCCTGTCCCGGATTCAGAGAGAGGCTCCGTGAGCCAGCTCCCTCGGAAGTTTCGCATTGTACTTTCTTCTTGTCTCTCCTTGGCCTGTGTTTCTTCTTCTCTGGATCGTATCCGTCTTGGACCACTTCTGCAAACCTCGCAACAACACACTCGTTCAAACTATCTCTCGGCCTACAGTTCGTGGACGACCGAGAGTCACTGGCCTTTGGATCCCCCGACTCCTTCGACGTGCATCCCAGAATTGGGTCTTGATCTCGATCCCGATTCCCTATTCGACAGACACTCATGCAGCAGGTCATCTTCGCTTGGTTATGTTGATGGGCCTAGTTCGTGTGGAGGGAAAGTTTTGATGGACGCGTTGGAGGCCGACTTGAATAACAGACGGATATTCCTTAAAGGGTGTAATTTTTTGGATAGCAAAGAGTTGGGACAACAGACACACAAGCGGTTACCCGTACACTTTAACACCAAACGCCATGCCTGCCTCTAACGAGAATACACCGAGACGCTCTTCGGCATCTCAGCCCTCGCGACCGGTCCCTTCGAGACTGCAGAATGTGCGGGTTGGAATAAACCAGCTATTTACAGGACGGTCAATGGTTGGGCAACCCAGAAGTCAGTCGCCTGAAAGTCCAAAGACACCGCGGTTGGCACTTGGCCTTCAGAATCTGCCCTCGACAAGAATCAATATTCCCTATCTCAATCGAACCTCTTCGACGAGCTCCGACAGAAGCACTCGACCTAATACCACTGTCCCACGGACTACTCGAAATCCATTGACTCCGTTCGGCTCTCGCCCTATACCTCCTAGAGGCCTACAACAAGAAACTCGAGACTCTCCCGACACGACCATTCCGCCCCCAGTCCGCCGCTCTTCTGGGCGAAGGTTTGTCGGTGTGGATCCAGCGGAATTACATTTGGCTGAATTAGCACAAGTTGGAAGACGGAGACGGAGACAAAAATCAAGAGCTAGACATAGACATGTGGAACGAAGATGTGGCCCAAAAATAAAGAACAGAAAGATCCGGCAAAAGATTCTGAGCTGCTTCGTCTCAGGAATTGTAAGTCGCGGATGATGCTAAATATGATGAGAATGCTAACGAGGCCCAGTTCCTCACTCTTGTGTTGACCGTCTACCTTGCGTTGGCCCTCTCAAACCGAAATGAGAGTCAGGAATTCCACGTTCTCTTGATTCTCATCATTTTGGTAACCACCATCTTTTTCTGCCATGCTTTGATTCGACTCTGCATGATGATCATGCACCCTCCATCCGACGATGACATGGAGAACCAAATTCTCCCCTCAATGATTGGCCCTGGAGGTTATGCAAATCCTGTTATGCCAATTCGAGTTGCACTAGCCCGTGATGAGGAAGCCGCTGGGATTGAGAGCGATGCGACAAAACTCCCACCTCCGGCTTATGGGCTTTGGAGAGAATCTGTCGTATGTGGACATTTCCACTGGGATTTAATCAAAGATGCTAATACTGTGCAGAGAGTGGATCCAAACCGCATCTTCTGGCAACGAAATGAGGAGGCTGCACTTGGACGCCAAGATGCTACGAGCCGGTCTGAAGGACGCCCTTCGACCGCTCACAGACCACCGTCGTATATCTCAGAAGATGGTGTAGATTATGTGATTGAGGCGGCACCTCGATCGATTGCTCCAACCACCGACGTGCCTTTGCCACCACACCCGTCAGAAAGGGGACGGGTGTGGCCCATGCTATAGCTCTTCCCAAATTATCCCTGTATCTATATATACCCGTATCCGATGTCGAGTAGTTTTTAGCGAGCGTACTGTATTAATTGATTGGAAATAGCGTTTGAAAGATTGGAGTTTGGAGTTTCACGGCACCCAGCATTGGGTATTATTACGTCGGGCGTCTTGGCTGGAGTTACTGTATAGTTTTGTACTGGATTACGAGATATGTGAGCTTGAGCAGGAAGGCTCTTGCGCGTCTGAGGATAGCAGTCGGCGCAGAAGGCATCTCCGGCAGAGGAATAGAAACGGCGAGAAATTTATACATATCTTCAGCCGCAGGGTCGGTGCCACTTGCTTGGTCTGCGTGTAAAATCAACATGGATGGGAAAGCCTCTTGTGGAGCCGGGACAGGAACGTTTCCTTCTAATATCACCAAGGAGTCCTCTCTCCACCACGTGAGAAGCCTCGCAGATCTTGGAATTTATAGAAAAGGTGTGCCAGAACTGTATATATTGGACTGGGCCCAAAGGTTTCAATTGCCCGAGTGATCAGACAATTTTCTCCCCAAAGAAGTCATATTACAGATCTTATGGTGGGAGTCCCCGCAAGCATTCTTTTTCTTTCTCCAGCGAATTTGTAATTGTCGAATCAGGGAAATAAAGAATTCTACATGCGGGCTGCGGTTAGTGCTGCAGAGCATACCTTCTTGCATGAAAAGAAATAGTTAGGATAGGAAAAAGGAAGCACCGGACCGGGAAGTTTCATAAAAGGTGCAGACAAAGGACGAAGTATCTGCTGTCCTGTTCGAAGTTGGTACAATTTCTGCGAACTCCACTCCTTACTTGGTATGTCCTCGGGCCCGCCCCTTTTTCTTTTCCACTCCACTCCACTCCACTCAATCGAGAATTAGAGTTGGTTCGGCCACGGCGAGCGGACCAACCTCGCAAAGTCGTGGTTGCCGGGATTGCCAATTCACGTGCTGCTGCTCGGACCGCCCCCCAGTCCCAACCGCCCCGGCTCCGACTGACTCCCAGTCAGGTCAGGGCCCATATTTAGCTTAGGTAACGAGACTAGCCAGGCCCGATTTTCCACGAGTTTTCCACCGCTGCGAAGTTGCCTTCGAAGCCCGGTCCTCACAAACAAAATTCACAGTTTTGCTGTCAACTGCTCGCGACGTTGTACACGGAGGGAAGAAGGTTGACGGAAGAAGTTGCTGTTGTGAAGGAAGAAGGAAAGCTGCAGGATCTCAAGCAAGCAGGAAGAATCTCTGTAAGTCCCACCGAAAGCATGCCGGTGCCGCATCTCGCACTGCATGTTCCTCGGTGAATTTGTATCTTTTCTTGTCGACCAGACAGACGGTGGCACATCTGCTCTCGATCTCTTCGCCCCGGTATGACAACACCACCACCACCCCGCCTCAACGTCGACCACGACCTCCAATCCTGAGACCATCGGCTTCTAGACTACGTCTTCGAGTCGCACAAGATCCATGCAGCTTCCTGCAGCCTGACGAATGCTGGTCATGCAAAGCAATCTTGATAATCCCCGGCCCTAAATCCAACAACATCGCACCATCGCGCAAGAAGAATGCCGGCCACGACAGTTGAGGAATGGCTACAATCCGATCGAGCAGATGAGCCACCGCACCGATGCAAGAAGATCGTCCGGGAATGGGCCACCGAGGACGGCGCATATGTGACTTGTTGTGCTGACGATGGAACTCAGCAGACTCATCGATTAGTCGCCATGTCTTCACTCTCTCGTCGTGCTTGCTACAAGTGCGGTAACGTTGGCCACTATGCCGAAGTTTGCTCTTCCGCTGAGCGTCTTTGTTACAACTGTGAGTAGAGCCTCGCCTAGAGACATCTCGAATTTTTGACTGATTCTTTTGTGTAGGCAAGCAGCCTGGTAAGCCTCAGCCTCATGATACCAATTGCCTCGATATCCTCTGACACCTGCGATAGGACATGAATCGAATGGATGCCCATTGCCGAGAACCACCGAGGCCAAGCAATGCTATCACTGCCAGGGTCTAGGTCACGTTCAGGCTGACTGCCCAACTCTGCGTCTGAGTGGAGCTGGAACCAGCGGCCGTTGCTACAACTGTGGTCAACCCGGACATTTGGCTGTACGTTCTATCGTTGGCATGGTCATAGATTGGTGCTGACAAGGTCCAGCGTTCTTGCCCAAGCCCAGCTGGCCCAGGCAGTGTTCCTGGTGCGGGCCGTGGTGTTGGTGCTCCTCGTGGTGGATATGGAGGCGGATTTGCCCCCCGTGGTGGATTTGCTGGTGGACCCCGTCCTGCTACTTGCTACAAGTGCGGTGGACCAAACCATTTTGCTCGTGACTGTCAAGCTCAGGCCATGAAGTGCTATGCTTGTGGGAAGCTCGGTCACATCTCTAGGGATTGCGGTGCACCAAACGGAGGACCTCTCAACGTTGCTGGCAAGACTTGCTACCAATGCGGAGAACCCGGCCATATGTAAGGATTCCCTCCTGACAACCTCTGTGACAACTTTACTGACTTGACAAGTTCCCGTGACTGCCCACAAAAGGCTACCAACGGTGACCTCTCTGGTGATGCTGTCGATCTTGGTGTTGCCCCAGTCGCACCAATTGCTCCTGTCGCATAGGCCTCTCTGAGCTCGCCACTGTTTGATAGGCCTCGATGAACTATCGATCACAGAGTGGAATTGGTCATCGATTTCCTTACCTGTACTTGGAAATAAAGCAATGGATCTCATCTCCCGCTCGTTCTGCATATTCGGTTCGGCATACGAATAAAATTTCGCGACTTTCAGCATTCACACGGATTGCTTTTTCGGCGCCTGGTCTTCACATGTTTTCGGACATGAACACCCAAAAGCTTTACACGATATTCATTTTCCTACCTTACGAAATGGCAACCCGGTAGATACCACCTAAACGACGTTGCACCCTTAATTCTGTGGTTCATGGATAGAGATGCTGTAGTCCTGGACTGGGACATGGCATGCTTGTATCAAACCACAGGGAGATGTACGGAGGCGATGGCATGGAGGTAGTGAGAGAAGTGGACGGGCGATGGAAAAAGGATAGACGATGAAGGAGAGTGGTGAAAGACCGTCGATAACAGCGTGAATACACATATCGATGCTGAGTCTATCTGAATTCATGAAGTATTTTTCTAAGCAGCGTTCCCCCTTTTGTGTTTGCATTTTTGGATGGCATGGCGTGATAAAGCTATTACCTCGCGGTCTGGTCTATCTACAACCAGCCGCAACCATACCAAATTTCAACTCCTGGCGTGTAAATAAACCTGCCCTCTTTTGGAAATAACGACTTCATATGATGCTGAAAATCAGTCAAAGTGATTCATGAAGAAGCGAAAGATTTGTTGCATCTCTCGACCCCTCATGACCCTAAAATCTTTCAAACGTTGAGCAATTTGCTTTAGTCCAAGTTCGCGTCTTTTCTGATCTCGATATTAATAGAAAGTGTATCCTACTTAGAGAATCGGGAGTTTTGCCTTGCGAGTAATCGAGGTCACATTGTCGTTAGCGAAATTTGAGTCTGGCTCTTATGTAGTTGAATGGGCTTTTATTGTTCAGCTCACTGGCTTCCTGGCTGAACTGTATATCACTTTCCCAAGTACGTTAGCGAACGTCCGGTGAGTTCCAGTGATTAAGATATAGGCTTTCGAGCTCAACTCTTCTAAATCCAGGCAGACGTAAGCATACATAACATAAGACCCTCGAAAGAAGGCAGTATGCCGAACTGTTTTGCCAATCAGAATGAAGCTCGTGGCTATTCAGCATTAGTATTTTATTATTGATGCAATCTGTTTTGATGCTTCTTTAATATTCGGTTGAGGGGATATGAAGAACTTGAAAACACGTTGGCGTTTCCCCATGGTTGAGCTGAAATCAACACGCTTTGGAAATCTAATATTACACTACATGACTTAACAAAATCCAGGGTCCTGTTATGCAAGCGTAGACTTCGTGTGGTTGACAGCTTGGCGAGCCAACGTTCCAAATTCGGAATGGCCGATTTTTTTGACTGTCTCGACCATTTCGTTTTCCACTTCTTCCTCCAACCTCCATCTCTCTCCTTCATGAACAATCCTCACTGACCAACCTTCACCATCGCCTGCTGCATCTTCCCATCTTCAATGCAACTTGACATTGAAGATTGGACATTCACTCAAGTCGTTCTCACTGCTGTACGAGTCGGCATTCTGTCTGGACTGATCTTCTGTGCTACCCCTGCGCACATACTACCTGACGCTGAAGAGCCCCAGGAAGATTGATTGATCCATCACTCTGCTATCTGGTCTCAACACCACATTAATACCACAGTACTTACCCTTCTTGATACAGCTTTTCCCATCCACTCTCGACGCTTCTTTCTGCCTTTTCCACATCGCACACTCCATTCCTCCTTGTTCTCGTCTGATGCAAGCTGGGCATCGACCACTCTCTACTACACCATTAACACTTCTTTTCTCACTAATTCTCCTTCGAGGCTTCTAACAGAGCGCTACAACCTCACAAGGATCCCCGGTCGCTATCAAGATGGCTGGAACTTCGATTTGCGGTGACGAGGAGGATGTGAGTTAGCCTCGAACTGCTTTTCATCTAGACTGACCCAATAGAATATCATCATCGACATCGATGAACTGCAAGCTCATGGTTAGCTCTTCTGCCATTATCGTCAGCTTGCGGACTGATTATGGGTTTAGGTATCAATGCCGCCGATATCACCAAGCTCAAGAACAACAACATCTGCACTATTGCTGCGAGTCGCTCGAACTTTCCTTGATGGTATTCGAGATTGCTGATCATCTGCTGCAGTCCTTATCCGCTTGCACAAGTAAGAGACTTCTGAAAATCAAAGGCCTTTCCGATACCAAGGTCGAGAAGATCAAGGAGGCCGCTAAAAAGCTCTCTGTGAGTTTGCCGTTGCATGCAGTAACTTTCATTTCTGACGCCGAACAGCCAACTACGACAGGGTTCATCACTGCTGCTGAACTTCGCGAAATTCGTAAGCGATGCATCCGGATCTCGACTGGGAGCAAGCAACTCGACGCTGCGTTGAATGGGTAGGCTGAACAAACATCACAAACTGGATCACCGCTGATTTCATGCAGTGGCTTTCAAACAATGAGTATTAACGAGGTCTATGGAGAGTTCAGTATGTGTGGAAGGTTCTTCCTCATGGGTGGTAACTAACAATTGCAGGATGCGGCAAAACCCAACTTGCACACACTATGGCTGTCATTGCACAGCTTCCCAAGGTAAAGTTATTCCAGCTATTTGTCAATCCCACTGCATATTGACAGCATCCAGGACATGGGTGGAGCAGAAGGCAAAGTTGCATATATTGGTTAGTCGTCCACCTTTATCGAAGGACCATTGCTGACCTTGGAATAGACACCGAGGGAACATTCCGTCCTGAGAGAATCCAAGAGATTGCAGAGCGGTTTGGTGGTAAGCTACCCGAAAGATATTTTGACTAGTTGTTGCTGAGTACTCTAGTCGACCCTGATCAAGCTTGCGAGAATATCTCCTATGCCCGTGCCCAAAACAGTGAGGTAAATTGCACCTTACACTTGTGGCCAGTTCAGCTTTTGACAGAAACAGATGCAATCCGAATTGTTGGAAGGTCTTGCCGCCAACTTCGCCACCAACGAGTACCGTCTCCTTATCATTGACAGTGTCATGGCTCTCTATCGCACCGACTTCGTGGGCCGTGGTGAGCTTTCCGAACGCCAGCAAGTCCTTGGTACCTTTCTTCGAAGAGCCACTCAGATGGCGGAAGAATTCAACCTTGTGGTTCTTATGGTAAGCTTCTCGTTCTTCAAAGTTGCACCGTTGCTGACCTTTCGGCAGACAAACCAAGTCATGTCAGACCCTGGCGCCAGCGCTCTCTTTGCAGGAGTCGATGGCCGCAAGCCTGCTGGAGGACATATTCTCGCCCATGCTTCTACAACCAGACTTCTCCTTCGGAAGGGTCGTGGTGAGGAGCGTGTTGCTAAGATTGTGGACTCTCCTGGTAGGTCTTCATCTTAAAGATCCCAAAAATCTTCCAGAAGCAGACCGTTCCAACCGTTTCCATATATATCTGACCACCGTGTGCAGACTGTCCAGAGCGCGAGGCAACCTATATCATTACCACCGGCGGCATCAATGACCCGGACAAGGCTTGATCCAGTCGATATTGTCAACAATTTGGGAAAGGCTTCGCCGACCCTCGAAATACGCATGACTTTCTCCACCTTGCTATCTCGCGTGTCTGTCTCTGAAAGAGGATAACTTAATTGCATATCATCGTGCTTGGAGTTGCTATTGGAAAAGGAGACGGGAATACCCCTGTTGCTTAGCGCCATCTAGATTAGATTAGATCTCGGCTAGAATTTCTTGCTCCAGAAAAAGATCCATTGACCTCAAAGTGTTCTTCCCACCCAATTTATGACCTCAAGAAGTCACAACAGTTAACAGTCGGTAATTCAACATGTCGAAAATTGGGGAATATACAATTCTCCCCATCTCCATCCCTCCTACGCCCGCATACCCCAAGCATACGACGCATACCCTCTACCTCCGACTCCACGCCCCAAAAATTCCCACCGAGAACGACGAGAGGAGTCTATTCGTCGTTAATGTGCCGATAGACTCTATGGTCGCGCATTTCCGCGCTGTATTTGCCAGTCTGACTGGCGCGGGACGAGTCGAGGATGTGACATTCGAGCACGAGCGAAGATGTGCGGTGCCCAGCAGAGAGGTAGCCCTAGTCGGGAAGGCCAGCAAGAAAAGGAAGAGGGGATCAGAAGGCACAGAGGACAACGGAGTCGCAGAATTACCACAAATCTGGGATCGAGAATTACGACGGAGCGGCAGCACAGCCGTGGTACTTTTCGTTGATGCGAAATCCGTCAAATCGGCTCTGAAAGCTGTGCGGAAGCTGCATAAATCTTCGAAAAAGGAGAAGGGTAGGGATGGTGCCTGGCCTATATGGGGAGCAGGAATTGAGGGGAAGGTGGCGAAGTTGGGGAGCGCGAGGTATTTGGCGCATCAGAGGTTGCAATATCCGGATGAGACGGTGTTGAAGATGAATGTGGATGCTTTTATGACGGAGTTTAATAGGATGGAGGAGGAGAGGGCGAAGAGGGAGAAGAGGATGAGGAACGTACCCGATGAGGATGGGTTTGTTACTGTGACTAGAGGCGGGAGGACGGGCCCGGCGAGGAGTGAGGAGGCGGAGCAGAAGAAGACGGAGATGGCGGAAAGGGAGAGGAAGAAGAGGGAGGAGCTTCAGAGTGCAGGATTCTACAGGTTTCAGGTGAGAGAACAGAGGAAGGCGGAACAGGGGGAGTTGGTCAGGAAATTTGAGGAGGATAGGAAGAGAGTTGGTGCTATGAAGGAAAAGAGAGGACGGTTCAGACCGGAGCGCTGAGGAGCAGATGACATACAATAAACTAACCGTCTCACGTGGGCACCGATTGTGCCGTTAAAGGGGATGTGGAAGGTACGTGAGGGCTTCCCTCTTTGCGCTATTGTAGCTATTTTCCTGATGACTCCGCGGGGCCATATGAGCTCTCAGTCTCCCCCGGGCCAATCCCTGGAGGCGAAGAGAGCAGTGCCTACAAAAACCGCAATAACAAATCTTCTCAAAATTGTCTGAATAATTCTCTACTCAACGTTATGCTTGGCCTTCAAACCTTTCAGCTGTTCGCTGACAATTATGTAGATTGATCAACCTTCTTTCGGACTGTGCCATTACCATAAAGCTTTTAGAAAGAAAGAGTAAAACCCGCTCGGATCGCCCACAGAGCAGACAGGCCTGTCGAGTCGCTGCAACTAGTCTTAGTTGAGCATATTCGTGTTTACCTTAAGAGTAGCAATAAACGGCTTTCTCCTACCTTTTGATATTTATCCATTGAAAAGTGGACCCTTCCAGTCTCCACAAACTGTAGCCAAGGAAGTGGGCTGATTTGACTCAAGCTCTGTAGCTGGTTGTGGACGAGCATTGAGTGGTACTTCGGCTTGTTTAATACCTCTTTACACGCACACCATCCCGCCGCCTTGGCCCCTGAGCACAGGAGTTTCCTTGGGATTCTGATCATTGATTCACAACCCGAAGCGATCTGTCCCAGCTTGGAAATCTCTTGTGGCACCTTGCTGAGCATGAGCCTGGACTACTTGGACTATTTTGTAACAGGATTGGATGCACCCAATTTGTATGAGGCTGCAAGTCTGACCATGCTTCACCTGTATTTGTATTGGAGTTGGACTCCACTGCAAAGAGGAACATCATTTCTTAGAAGAGACGATACAAACTGGTCCAGCGATGGAGATCTATGAAATAACTGGAAGGTATCATTATAAAACTGCAGCGGATGGAGAATGCAAAGATGATGTTCGCCATTCCACATAGCAGACACCTAGACCAGATTTGGGATGGCTTTATTTCAGGGACTTTGTCACGATAGCTCCAGTCTTGCAAGTTGTTTCGTCTGAATCGAATGTTGTCTCGATCTGAAGTTTCACACAGTTGGAGGCAGCTATCTTCGAAACGGCACTTGTTGATTTTAGATTCCGCTGCATAAGCTGGTGTTTTCACCGCCCAATACCTTTGGAGCAGGTGTATTCGTTGATTATACTTTCAGATGGCATTTACTCGAATTTTTTAGCCACACAACCTATCTAAGATTTGCGTGAGATCTACTTAGAACAGTTAAAAAAGGAACATTCAATACTAGCAAAGCTTCCCCAAGAGAAAGAGGAACTGCAGGCCATGGCATACCGAATCCAAATTCAAAGGGTTTCTTTCTAAAGCGAAACGGGATGCTGAATCCTGAATGCACCAAGTCTTCCAAGGGAAGTCAAGCCCAACGCACTTCCTTATTGTATGATCACTTCCACCACCGTTATCTTGCTTAATGTCTAAATTCTTCGAGTACAATAGAACCCACTCTAAGAGATTGTCAACGGCTTCGTCTCAATGTTAAATTTTACCAAGTGCAATGGGTGATCCTCAAGGCTCAAGCATCAAGGTTGAAGACTGCATATTACTTCATATCTGACCTAGCTCGAAGCTATAGTTCTCATGTATCAAGCCGACTTTTCATCTACAGCGAGAATTACATGCCCTCGCCTACCGAAACGGATCCTTAAGACTTGTTAGGTACAAGCCATCTGAACGATGGAACTCTCTTGTTCCGGGTGACACGGTTCCAACCATCAAAATTTCTGCTTCTTGCTCAGAAGCTTTCTTCTCGCATCAATGCCTCACCCCACCAATCCCACAGAACTGACACCAACATGGCCTCTCTCTTCGAGCCTCTTCCCTACCAAACCTTCTCATCTGCTTCCATAGCTCGCCTCCAAGCCTCAGGATACGACCTCAGCATCCCGGGCGATATATACAGATACGAAATCATAACCCCTTACGCGCCGTCGCCCAACCAAGTACCGTATTACCAGCCCAAACTTGTCCCACAAGATCTTGAGCCGCCGGATATATTAATGTACATTTTCGGAAAGGTCAGAGCACGTGAAATTCGGAATTGAAGGCAATATATAGCGCCCGGCGGCGACAGATTGTGGCCGGCACTGAGCTGAGGATAAATATTCGCGACAGCGTGGTTGTGGAGCTGATTGTCGATGCCCCTGCAAATGAGGAAGGGGAGACGGCTATGTAGCGAATGGCTTGAAAATAAGAGATAACATATGGGGATTGAATGAATTTATTCTTGGCATTTGGTTACCCGGGGTTCTGGAGAATACGGACAGCCCTAATGGAATGGACAAGGGAGAAAAGGAGAAGGGCGTGTTTGAGTGCAGTCGGGCTGGGTCTGAATTGGATACGCCATTGGACTGTGGACATCTCGGGGCATGTATCCCAACTAGGTACCCTTGAACAATTGTTCACGTTCCTATGGACTCAGTTATGGGAGCGCGCTTGAGGGTGTTGATGGGAAGATACAAAGGGGTGAACTGATCGAATACTGACAGCCTCGGTATAGGTATCGCGTGGGTATTATTATTTGCGAGGGTTGGTTGGGTATCATACAATGGCACTGCTGGCCCCACCAGCGCCGCCAGAAGAGCCCTGCTTGGTATAACTCGGAGCTGCGCCCCCTTTCTCGTCCATGTTCGGGGCGTTGACATCAGTGACACCACTGTACTCTCTTCTGGGCCCATCCGCTGGACTCATCTCATCTGCCATTGCATCCTCGTAACTTGGTGGAGCGTCATCGAGATCTGGTGCTCCAGGAGCCCCTACTTGTGGTGGATAGGCTGGATCATAAGCTTGTGGCTGCGTTTGTACTGTCGGCCGAACGGGAATGGTGGGTCGAGAAGCAATGGCGTCGAGAAGGGCTGCAGGTGGATGGATGCCAGAAAAGATCTCAACTTGGAATTTCAAGGGTAAGGTGACAATTTGAGGCTATGACTGGTTAGCAAAAGAATTTAATCTAATATTGAACATTTACCTGTATTTCACCTGGAACACCAAAGCCTAATCCGACGCGCACCTCAAGCTCGTACCTCCTGGTAAGATTGCAGGTATGGAAGGAAGGTGCTACAGTATTAGGCAAAGGTATCCGATCCCACAAGGATGGGTCCACCATAGTCTCTTTCCGGATCTCTTCGTCGGGCGACCCAAGGGGAATAGCAAGTCCAGTCAAACTCATTAACACCCACGAAGTCGTCTCTGTTCTCACCACACCTTGAGCTCTGACTTCCGTGGACCCAGATAAATGCACCTGTAAAGACATCAAGAACACATGTTCGGGACTATCGTTCAACCTCCTCGCAATAATTCGTAATGGCAGTGGCTCATTGCACGTCAGGATTGCAGGACTAGGTAACCGCGCATCGATCTCTCCTTTGGGGGCCTTATCTGACAACTGCGCAGGTTTCTTTTTGAACATACTCGACTTCTTCGCATATGACGCCAAACCAGCTTGGAAAACGTATGGCCTTCGTGCATAAACCTCGTTTGCGGTCTTCGGCGGTCTTGGAGGTTCGATCGGGAGGAACTTGAATCCAATCGCATTTCGCCTGTTCTCTTTGAAAAGGGAAGGCCGTTGGACGGTGACCTTGATGTAGTATCTGATCTCCGCTTCGCCAGGAAACCCCGTGAGAGATGGGGGCAGTGTTCTCTTGACATGTCTGTATTGTAATTGTTGTAATCCAGCTAATCCAAATCCCGCGAAGCCACTCCCGGGTCCCATCTGCTGCGAATGCGGATCTGAACAGCCATTGTTGAACGGGATCTTGAATCGGAAAGGGTATTCGTGTTGTCCCGCTCGCAAAGTATATGCTCCACCCAAGCCACCCGAATCCCGGCTGGGAAACACCTGATTGACCTTGTAGAGGATCTTGTGGTTCTCCATAGCTATCCCATTCCGCTGGTTTTGCCGCCCATAGAGTTGCTGCTGTGCCTGTGCCTGTGCCTGTGGCCCCATTGGCCGCATCAGGACAGTTCTACTCTCCCCCTCCAGCTTAACAAGTATCGCGGACACATTCTCATCGCTGGTGAGTGAGAGAATTATTCTGCCGCTGATGAAGTCAAGGTTCGTGTAGAAGGCGTGGGGATCATCCAGTTGGATGCGGACCGACATCTTGGGCAGGAAGATGGGAAGCTATCGATTGGAATCGCATAGAATTGATCATCGAAGATGGATCGCTGGCCTTTGACTTTGATAGCTCAAACCCTAGATGTTCGGCGTCGTCGGATGTTCCGTGGCTGATCGACTCAGCCTCGTTCGGAGGGGAGATGCCTAGACTGTCTACGCAAGCCTGGCTCACTTGGCGGGACAAGAATGGTAGAAGATGTAAGGGGCAGATGTCTCATGATGAGGTCGAAAGGGAGGATAATTGGAAGCAGAGCTGTCAGGAGCGTCTCTGTTTGCGCCAGCCTCACAGGCTAAGCTGTGAAAGAAAAGAAACGGCGTCATGGCTCGCTTGAGGATCCGGGAAACCCCTGCTTGCTGTGCTGACTTTATTTCAACCTTTTGCGGCAAACACTATGCAGTTCTTGACGAGAATCGATTCAAATTCACTTCCAGGCGTGTTCAAACTCTGCTCACCTCAGGGAGCAGGGGACACAAGCAGAACTTGTTGGATGTGGCGCCTGGCAGTGGCAGGGCAGCAAGTTAGCTAAGCTGAAGGGGTTGATGTTAAGAAAGGGGGCCCATCCCAAAGAGAGCCTACATCCTGAAAAGGACCGGCCAAACAACCCGTCTTGAGGTAAGACAGGCAGTCTTCTGGAAACTATGACTCGTTTGTATCTACTTGTGAATAGAAACAGAAACATGAATTCGCTATCTATAATTGACATGCCAGATCTCGATCATCACTGCCCCCTCACGGAGGGCCACCAAAGCTACTCCCCATCTTTTAAAATACCCATCTTCAACACTGCAGTTGTAGCTTCCCTAACTGCACTATTAGGTGTCCACTCTCCACGTCCAGTAGCTCACCGTCCCACCAGTCCCGGGCTAACGACCCTCTCCCCATCCGAGTCCAGACCCATTCCAGCCGACCGTTGCGTCTTGAGTCGGTGAGCCCGTCCCGGCAAGTCACCTATTGACCAGATACAGAGACAACTCGAGGCGTCTGAGGAGATAAGTATCGAGCCGGCAGCAATCACTTGACTGACCCCTGCTGAATGGTCTTGAAGAACTGCCTAGCACTTGCTACATCCAGATCAGCATTATATGAACGTAAAAGCAAAGCTACTTAAGGGGGAGAGAAGTAATCAGAGAAACTTATCCCGGAGGCATCCTTGCCAGTGGTTACAACTTACGAATCTCCACCTCCTGCGAACGTAACACGGAAGATAAACCCTGCATGGCCTCGCAGCGTGTGAAGCACACAAGTCCATCATCCGTGATACGCCCGACGCACGCCGTTCCGTCTTGACTTCCTGAGATGAGCAGATGATCGGCACTGGACACAGCAATAGTCCGCACTTTCTCGGTGTGTGCGGTTACCACACCGGTACAATTGCCTTCCGCAACGTCCCAGACACGAATCGCGGTATCGCGAGACGCCGAAATGACCCGCTCCTTGTCGCTACGGATCCTGAGAGAGCGAATAGTGGACGTGTATCCCTGCAGCTATTGCTGGTGTCCGCTATATGCGCAGGGAAAGAATCAGACGTTCATTCTTCACGGGCTGTGAGGGAAAGGCTAATGCATTTATATACATTCGCCCCGTCTCTAGAATGGTAAATACTAACTCTATGAGAAGATCCCAGATCTCAATCAAGTTGTCGGTGCCTCCGCTTGCTAGCACATCCCCCTGCACTGCTAGAGCGCAGACGACACCCCCAGACGACCCCCCCAGAACTAGATAATCGCCTGTTGCGTGTGCCATCGATGTTTATATACTGCAATCTCGCCGTTGTCCATGGCGACGATAATGTATTTCTCTGTAACATGGAAACCCGTACATACTACTTCCACTGGATCGGTAATGACATTCGAGGAAACCGGCTGCGACAGGACACAGGTCCCGATGAGCTTAGGGCTTCTCTCCATGATACTATCTTCCGGCTTGAATAAGGTTTCGTTGAGCTTGGCTACCATCCAAAGTCTTCGAGGCGAAATTACGTGTGTATCAGCAGAGGATCTGCAACAATGTACCCGTACGCAGGTGTAATGTTGGCAATAAGCTGAAAATAATACCTTGTATAATTTGCTACTACGGTTGTCTTCTCCTGCATATGACGATTTTGTTAGCAGATTGATTTCAGGTAGTACAATTGGTAGCCTTCAACTCGAAGGAGGCTTAATAACCTCGAACTTCCCAGATATTAGAAGGTGTTAGACTTCCAATGTACGATCATCTAAGGGAATGTTGAGAAAAGCAGTCAGTATATTCAATGTTTAACTTGGCTTGGGAAATTGAAGATATTTCCTATTCCCGCCGATTAAGATCGCCTCACATTTAGTTCAACGCGTTCCATTCTCAGGTCTTCAAAAGGAGGAAGGTATGAATCTTTTTGCAACATTTCTTCTAGTTATTCAACAAGGCCCCACAAGGATGGAGGGTATCCAAAGCTTCACACGCCATTCTATGTTACTCCAAATCAACTCCAAGTTTATGCTTTATACTGCTTTTGCTTCGTTTCAGCTGTCACAGCATCTGCTTTCCCCGTGTCTCTATGGGCAAAAAGATCATTGCAACGAACGCTGCCAAAAGGAGAGCACCACTCACGAAAATTGGAGCTTCGGGACTTGTATCTGGGATATTCGCTGCAATAATGGGAGCACAGAGCCCACCGATCCGGTTCAAGAAACTGGAGATTCCTATTCCGGTTCCCCTGTTCGGTGCTGGGAATACCTCCGGTGTGTAAGCATAAAGGACGCCATACATGATGTTTTGGAAGAATGCTTCGACGGAAGAAAATCCCAGCTGATATTTCGAGTCTGAGGAGATGGTGAATAAGAAGAGGAAGATTCCAGAGAGCATGGTCGCCATAGCCATGGTTCCTTTACGGCCAATGTACGGGATGTCAACCATATAGCATGCGATGATCGAGCCTGGAACTCCAACCACCGAGGTAATCGCATAATTGCGGTACGTTTCGTAGCTGCTGACTCGTTGACCAGAAGCATTCCTGCCATTGCTGAGATACTGAGGTAGGAAGGCGTTGAAAAGAGGGTACCTGTTGTTATTAATGTTAGCCACCAAAGGTCTACTCAAGAAGACAGTGTCTTGAGGTAGCTCCTACCCAATGCCGATTGCAAGCCAGCAGAACCAGAGAAGTAATGTCGTGATTGCGAGCTTTCTGGTATGGAAAAGTGGAGCAATTCGCTCTGTCGAGAACGATGACAGCTTCCGGTTAACAATTTCCATATCGGTGAGCTTCTGAACTTGTACCGTCTCAGGATGGCCACCGATCTCGTTGAGTATGTCCTCGGTGAGCCAAGTTTTAGTCCTGTTTTTGCTTGCCATTCCGTGCACAACGGCCACTGCTTCAGCTTGACGTCCCCTGCTGAGCAAAAACTTGGGGGACTCGAAAAGGTGGAACAGAACAAACCGAGAAAGGAACATCACGAAGGTCATGGCCCCCATCGTATAGACGAAGTCTGCAAAACAGATCAGTATTGAGGGATCGAGACGTTCCTGGGGAAGACTTACATCTCCATCCCTTGTCAACGACGTAGTGAGATCCCAAAAATCCCCATCCAATCAAGGATGCAACTAACTGACCGACTGGCCACCAAACCGAGAGGAGAGTCAGATGTCGACCAGAGGCGGTAGGGAGGAATTCCAAAAACAGCGCTCCGTCGACAGGCAAATTGCCCCCAACGCCTACACCAAGTGCCGCGAAGAGGCCACAGGCACCAATCCAAGAGGGTGCTGCTCCAGCTGCTATTCCAAAGACGCCGGCTATGAGCAGTGTCAAGTTGAAAGCTAGACGACGTCCCATAATGTCACTCCCGATTCCCCAAAAGCTGGCTCCTACACACAGGCCCGTAAACAGAGCACAGGTCGTGTACCTGGTGGCGTCGGAGTCAGCATTTTCGGTTAGAAATGTGCGTATTGAAACCCTTTTCGAGTGTTCTTTCCTCTCGAGACATATATGAAGAGGAGAAAACACACAAGGCAACTAGGAGAAGAAATTCGGCCTCAAGAGAAGTTAACGTACCTGACTCGAGTCTCAGAGATGCCAAATTCGGCTTGTAAGGATGGCAGAGTTACCGCAATTCCTTGTAGCCAGAGACTAAAGACCATCAGCTTTCCATTCTTCCGATATACCTGGTAAATCGAGGGGAACTTACTTGTCTGCACACCATCCAAATCCACATAAGATGAATAGCTCCCAGTTGTACCTGCCCATCCCAATGTCTTGAATCGCCTTGTTGATAACTTTGCTCTTCACTATGCAGCTGTCAGCCTCCAGACACTCGGGGTTCCAAAAAAAACTTACAATCATACGTGCTATCATGACCACTGGCTGCCACATCTTCCATGACCTCAAAGCGGAGTCCCTCGATAGTATAAGGGCTGTAGTTGGCGCTACTGGTGCCCACCACGCCTTCTTCGCCACTGCGTTCGCTAGTATTGAGCAGGCCTGCTTCCTTTTTCGCGCCGTCAAGATCTCCGTTATTGTCATGGCCTTCGGCGGAGCGGCGACGAGCGTACTCAACTTCAACCGTTGGGTGACGTTGTGCTTTCTCGAGAGGAACCAAGACGTCGTGATAATCGTTGACAGAATCCTTGTGGAATAGGCTTCTGATCGCCAGAAAGCCCATTTTTGCGGTCGGAGTTTGCTGCGAAAATCGAGTATTGCTCTACTTATTAAGTTGTAAATTTGTTGGCCAATTTGTCGCTATGGTATTTCGAAGTTGCAGTGGCTGAGGTGGTCGACAATGTATATTGCGGGGGACTTCAGTTAAAAATGGTCTTGTAGAGACCAAAGCTCATCATAACTATATGGATACCCTTTTGACCGAATCTCGAGCAATACACTTCACGAAGTGATCAAAATTGCCTTCTGCACTGATAAAATGCCGAAAATGTTTTCGATTGCCACCTGCTTGGAGTACAGAACTTCCGGTCGTAGTTTCCTCTTTTGTCCAACAGAAAAATGCGTTCTAGCTCCAGTTGCCGTTTTGAAAATTTGTAAATGGGAGTACAAGTTAAGATCGAAAAAATTAATGGAACCTTGGAACCGTGGAATATAACAGTATTTAAGTGAATTCGGCGGGGCTCGTCACTTTGCGTCCCCCCTTTTCATACAGTAGACTACATTGCGTATAGCTACCAAGTTTAGCCTTCTCTGTCTGCGCTATCCCTTTCGCAGGCATCCGTTTCCTTCCGGCTGGTACCGGTTTTTACGAAGAAACCAAGCAACTTCCGCGTCAAGAGAAAGCCAAGTGCGCGATTGTGTAAATCTTCGTTTTAGTTTGAAGCGTGACGTGCATCTTTGCTCCTCCGAGCTTAATGTCTTGGCCACACCCGCACTTCTAGTGACGCTACACCCTTTCGGTTGAATAGCCGTCCGAGTGAAAACTTTTCGCACAGTTCAGTATGAGCTCGTTGTGGGTGAAAAAAGCGGTTCCCTCGAGTTACGGTAGATCCAAAGTCTACCTCCTTGAATGCCCTGGCAGTTCTTAAACATTCAAGTCCTCAACTTTGTAAGGCTAAACTTCCAACATGACTTGGAGCACTGGAAAGATGTCCCATTGTTTCCGTTCACTGCGAGACGGGGACTTAGAAATCAGAGAAGAGATGAAGGAAAGCACAGGGAAAGGAACAGTACATCCGCGAGGATAGAAGACTTGATATCAAACATTTGTGTTGGTATTTCTCTTCCCCTATCTTCTGTATGCTACAAAAGTGCTGCGATGTAAATCGCTTGAAAGGTCATTGCTCCTCGTCGCCATCGTTGAGCACATGCTTCACGTCCGTGGCATCTTTGGGCTAACCCATCCAGATATCATCAACCCATTGCCCCTGGTTTCCACTGCCAGTCCTGCGTGCCAGCCTCAACCAAGAAATTAGACGGAAATATACGGTACGTAACAGAGGAATTTGTTACCAGAAGATTGGAAAGAGAATGGAATGTGCAGCCTTTTTTGGTGCCACAAAATGTATAAACAGGAAACGTAGTGCTGGGCGACCCGAGTTGCTGCTTATGCCGTCCGAGGTTCGTGTGCTAATGCCTCACCCAAGCCATTCATATCGAGGAACGTGCTGTCCGGCTTCTGGGCATCGGACTTCGAAACGCCAGATACCCCACTATCACCCTCCTGCGGGTCTCGATCGAAGATAATGCCTTGAATATTCAGCCCATTCTTGTCGCTTGCAGGCGTCTTCATTGCTTCCTCGTCAACTTGCTCATCGAGATTCATGAGCGCTGGTGGACGATGTCGCATGGCCCGAGCCTTCGCAAGAGAGATTGTCTTTTGCTGGTATGTAGTTGTGATAGGTTTGGTATCGTCACGGTCGATGGTAGCCTTCATGAGTGCGGCCATCCAGAGTCGTCCTTGCTTAATATTGGGTACCGCGAAATAATGTACAGTGGGCTTTGTAAATGTAACTGCTCTTGATAAGCCTGCCCTCGGAGGTACGAGTTTGAAGATGAATATCGAGTCGCCGCTTCCCTTGCTTAACGTCGACTCCGGCTCGGCGGTAGCCTCTGTCTCTGCGATTGTTACAGTATGGGCTCCAGATGGGCTGGTGGGACTGTTTGTAGCGCCGGTAAGCGTTGCATGAAGCCCAGTCAGGCGGTCGGTATCAGCAGGAAGGACACGATGAAATGAAATATCGATCAAGCCTTTTTCTTCAGTATCGTTCTCAGAGTAGTAGTACGACAGACGGCGACCCTTTAGGATGAATAGACGCGGCTTCCAGGTTGTCATCAAGTTCGTGCTCTTCTTCTTCATCCATCCACTATAGTCTGCACCAATCATCTGCTCTTGAGGTGTCTTCTTCTCAAGTCCTCGAGTATATGCACTTGTCTCCTTTTTGGACTTCTTTCGACTGGCCCGTGCGCTGCCTGGAGTCGTCATCGTTGTGTTGGAGCTCTTAGCATCAGGTGAATCAAGTTCAAAACTTGGGCCACCAGACGGGGTGCTAGAACCAGTCCGTGACGGGGATTGCAGTGGTGATTCCTTTACAACTGAAGAATCTGCGTCCGTTGGTGAAGTGACACGAGCCTTTTCATGACCTGTGACCGCATCTGATATCGCCCTCAGACCGAAATGTTTATTAGAGATCGGTTTGACAGGTAATAACCAGTCGGCACCTCGACCCTGTCGCGCCTCTGGAGATTTCGGCATGGTTGTATTTTCGTAAGGGCTACCTTCTAGTTTCGTGACTGTGGGAGAAGGGACGTCTTTCGGGGGTGGTAAGGGTCGAGGAGGCGCGTTGATGGAATTCTCTGATGGCGTTCGTCGGCGACCGTTGACTGACAGCCCATAGTATTTTTGTGCAGCTGATGGAGGAGCAGAATCTCGAATAGAATCGACACTGCCAAATCTAGAGTGTCTTGAATGTGCAGTGGCTGTTCGGAGCCTTTGTTCATCGGTGTAGCTAGAATTTCGCGAATGGGTGGTCGTCGTGGCCGTGCTACCTCGCTTTCTCAAAACATTTCTCTGCCGTCCTTCAATCTCACCGCCTGAGAAATAGCCCCGATCAAGTGAATCAAAAGGACTACTAGACTGAGTCGGCCCTTGAGACAAGTGATCAGTTGAGCTTCTAGAAATAGTTTTGATCTCTGATGAAGACAGTGGACGGCTTGGAATTACTGATAGTGTCGGTGATGCAGCAGCGCCCATTGTCCAATTTCTGTCAAAAGAAGGCTGCTTTTTGTGCGTTGTATCTTGGGCTTCAAGTCCATCTCCTGCTACTTTACCCATCAAAGAAGCTGTACTGAATTCATTTGCAGAACTTTGTCTGGAGTGATGTAGATCACGGATAGATGCAGCAGAGGGTCTCCTTTTTTCACCCATAGGTCTAGGGGTATCGTGGGTGGTTCGAGGGAAAATGGGAGACACAGGAGAAATAGAAGTGCCCTGCGAAGGTTCAGCTCTGGGGATGCTCTGCTGAGAAAGGCGAGTCTTCTGCCGAGACCCTGGCCTCTCCATCATGCTTGGAATCCTCGGAAGCATTGTCGAGGAATTGATACTTCGGCTTCGATGCCGACCAGCATCATCGGAACCAACCTCACTGCCATAAGTGGCGGTATTTCGTCTTGTTGAGATATCCCCTTTGACCTCGTCTTGAAGACTCTTTATTTTTTGCCATGTCTTCAATCTTCGGCCAACCGAACCTAGATCAAATTCTTTAAGAAATAGAGAAGTTTGATCCATGCCTAACAGGACTTCTCCTGAGATTTCCTGGTCCCGGAACACCTCACAGTGTTTTGTCTCCACCCCAGCAGTGAAGAGGTACTCAGCAACCTGATCGGATGTCCAATTTTCAACCTCTTCTTGAGTGTGCTGCCCTTCCTCTTCCTCGTCTGTTTCTTCCCCGTTTATGTAGGATAATCTTTGATCTAGGTGGCTGCTATATTCGCTTCCAGAATCTGTAGCAAGGCGCCGGTCTGCTGCAGTAATGCTATGATGAGGCGAATTCATGTCCGTTATGTGTTCATCAATGACACTCAAAGTCTCGTTCATTACCGGGCTATCTTGGCCATGATCGTGAGATTTCACGGCAGTAATGCTTTTCGACGGTATGGGTATTTCGATCGGGGTCGTGATTGAAGAGGTTGGAGTCGGGGCTTCGGTCTCTTGAGCACTACTTGATGGAGCCAACGGTGAAGTCATTTTGGAAGTATCAAGAGGTTCCGAGGCGCTAACATGTCGGCTTGGCTGTGGGGTTGGGTCTGCTTCGGTGCTTGGAGGGGCGGAGGAGAATTCAGAAGCAATCGGAGTTTCTTTGACGATGGATGCCACAGATGGCTGCACTGGCTTCTCTTTTGGTGGCTCAAATGTGATGGGCTGGGATCGCGGAAGTGTAGAAGATGTTGGTGGATATGACGGGGGGGCGCGGGGAGCAATCCTCGTGTACACTGCCAAATCTCAGTCTGTGGACTCGGGTAGAAGAATCATCAAACGCTGACCTTCAGGGAAAAGACCGCTGTTTCCGTTTATCAAATGCCGTCCCAGGTACCACCCATCACCAAAGTCATCGTCCCTTTCGATCAACTCGACGCGATCCCCTTTCGACAGGCTCAATTCATCTGAGCTGCGCGCTGAGAAGTCATCTGGATTTGACAGGTAAGCACTTTCCCCTCACTTACAAAACAATGAAACGTCCCAGCCAGATGATCCGTTTCGTCCATTGCGACTACAATCAGTCGCACACAACACAGCAACAAAACAGTCACTTACGGACTACAATCAACATCTGCCCTGGCTCTGGCCGCCCGCTGGGCTCGATCGCCGGTCGGGATGCCATCTCTCCTCAATGCTGACTTCTCACGGTCCGCCAGACGCCGGCCGTCTTCACAGCAAACACATTTGAGGTTAGGGATAGGATTCGGTGTTTTTGAAGTAACAATGAAAATGCCTGGTCTAGGGATAGAGATGTTTCGAAAGGCTATTCTTGTTCTGGGGGGGTCAAACTGAGGCTCCGCAGTCGCTTTCGAGATTCTGAAGCCACGATAGTTGTTGCATAAAAGACAGCGGGTAACTTTGCTGTCGCGAGCAAGGGTCGTGGAAACCACTCCTCCACGAGCGCACACGACCTCAGTGCATGCGGTGTGCAGCCCTGGATTAATTGGTAACTGCGGGTGCGCGACGGTGCCAATGATGGGGAGCAAAGTGTGCTGTGGTGAAGATGGAGAGAGTGAGTGAAGCACGAGGAGAAGCTGGGCTGGCTGGGCTGGCTGCTGCGGTGGTGGTGTCGTCGCGCCTGCCACTCGGCGAGACGACGACCCACGAACCAGTCGCCATGCAGCTTCCGTTGGGCCTAAACCCAAACCGGGCAATCTTAGCGTCGTTGAAGGCACGATGGGCATGATGCACTACAAACATCGGGACCCCAAAACGGAGGCAATGTTGAGCCAGAGAAATACTGAGATCGATTCGCTCCGCAAGTAGTGACGAGTCGAGTCCATCTGTGCATGTTTATTCAGAACGAAACCCTTATTCTATAATTAACTCGCTCTATCAATCTGCATTCCCTTCGTAACATGGACCTCGACCTTTGCGCCAACAGGTCGATGTAAGGCTGCGATTCCTTCCTCCCACTGCTCCACCGTTTGCGAGTAACGACTTGTCAAGCAGCACGTATCCGCTGCTCTGTTCTCGCAGGCCCCGAGCCACGGCGACACCCCGTCTACCCGCACAGCCTTGTCTCACCTTTCGGCAGCTCTATCTTGGAGGGTGGCGGTGGCCTATGGTACGAGCCAACGCTTGTCCTCCCACCTGCTCCCCATACTGACTCTCCAAAGTCTGATCTGGACCTTGTGAACTCGCTGCCGATGTCTGCTCCCCTACTCACCTAAGCAATGCGCCGACCTCCAGACAAGGATGGACAGCCGGCCCTGTCCGAGAGGGATGTTGATTCATCGAATGCCACGCTCAACACTCTCTTTGGAGGCGCCCGGCAGAAGTCATGGATGCTCGGTGCTGGAGCTCCAGTGCGTCCAACTCCACGGACGAACGTATCGAGATCTACGTTGCCGCCTGTCGCAATGGCACAGAGGTGAGACCCAAGGAAGTTGGAGGTAGCGAAGAGGCACAGCTGACAGAAGATTTAGGACGGCCGCTCCAGTTCTGCCATCCCCAACCCCAAGCGATGAACCGAGTCCGATAATTTCGAACAATTCTATAAACGGGGCACGCAATGAGAACCGCAGCGCCATACGCAATGACGGAAACAGGCGTACCTCTGCAACAAATACCAGTCCTCCGCGAAACCAACAAACCTCCCCAAACGAGGCTGACATTCAAATTCGGGCTGGGCCTCAAGCCACAGAGACACAACCTCGACCCACCTCATCCTCAAGATCGCAGATCCAGGCTGGACCGTCTACCGCAATATCGACACAGATGGGTGACTCCCAACCGTCCACGACGATGACTGAGCTCCCGCCGCTCCCTTCATCTGTACTGCTTCCATCAGACCAAGAACATCGGATTCAACTACAGGAAGTCCAGTTGCCGTCGTTGCAAAAACAAATAACAAGCCACCAACAAGTTCAAAGCCCGGTTCAATTGAGCTCACCGGCTGCGGTTGGGTCTTCACCATCGAGGGATCAAGCACATCAATACCCAGGATTGCAGACACAAGGGGGCCAGAGTAATCAACACTGGCAGGGCGCACGAGGGCAATTGCCAAGTCCTACTCAAACCAGCACATCCTCCCCAAGGACAAACTCGGATTTGCCGCTGCCCTCTACCTTGATGGCAAACCAAAATCAATCATATCCAAGTCCTGGGACGTTTCACGCAAGTGCCTCCCACAAGCGACAGCGAACCCAAGTCGCTGTTATGCCGTCATTAAAACCTCGAGTGGCTATGATCGAAACCCACATCGAGTCAGTGGGCGGCAGAATGAACTTGAACGCAGGGCTAGAGAAACCTCGTTTTCAATTACTCATAGAAGCCTGCAACAGCGAAGATGCGTTCTATGTTGCACTTCATCAAGTCTTCTGTGTCTGGGACTTCGATCAAAATGACGTTGCTGCTATTCGTGGATTTCCCAACCGTACCGTTCTTCATTCAGCTTTCAAGGTGCTTGGACAACTAATTCGAGACAATGAACAACTAGCCCCCAACCACAAGAAGTGGTTTGCTGGGTTTCCCAGCCCCCTAAACCATTTGATGAACAATTCAGAGCCTTATCAACTCGTAATGGCCGATGTTGGAATATTCTTGGACAAGCTTGCGGCGGAATGGATTCCTTTATCAATGGAGTGCACTAAAAGAGGATATCCACCTCTAGTCGACGAGCTTGTGAATCGAATGGGCCTGCTGTCGCCTATCCTGCAAGGCGTAGTGTTCACAGCCACACGTCGGACTATGGGAATCAGTGATGGAGAGACTGGAACGAGGGCGGAAAGCCTCTTTAGAAGAGATCAGCGGGATCATCAATTACTCGCTGCTCGATATAACACAAACCGGCCACCCACTGCCAAGGAGGTAAATGAGCGAAACGCTCACCTCGCAAATGAGTATATTGCTCTTCACAACCAATTCTTGCAGCAGCGGCGGGCTTCAGGGCCGGCGTACGGTAGTCCGTTAGGGCAGGTTTCTACACCCACACCGGTAGTCCCCAGCAATGCACATATTCAACAAGGTGCCCAACTTGCTGTTCCTTCGCCTTGGCAACAAAACCCCCAGCATCAGGCTTCCTGGAACCAGAATATGCCTAGTCCTGACCCAGCTGGAAGCTGGCAATTCGGCAACCAGCAAGCTCAAATGATGGGAAGAACAACGGCTGGTTCGCCCAATCCTTCCATCGTTGCAGGTCGGCCACCAAGTGTAGGTGCTCATCGAGTGTATGCAAACACACCGAGTCCGACTCTTCTCCAGGGCCTCTCTATGCAATCACCCGTTCAAGGCTTCCAATTCCCTCCTACAGCTAGGAGCAACAGTGGCCAAATGCAGGTTTCCCAGAATACTTCAGCTTATGCAGGACCTAATGGAACGTTCTCTCAAAATGGCGCACAGCATGTCGACCCATCGGCACAGCACCGAAACCAGATAATGATACAGCAGCAGCAGCAGCAGCAACAACAGCAACAGCAACAGCAGCAACAACAACAAGTAGCGGCACAGTATCAGGGACAAGGGCAGCATAGTTTGGCTTCATATCAGCAAGCCTTTGCATCACAGCAGGGTCAATGGCAACAAAATCCTCAACAGCAACAACAGCAACAACAACAGGCATTATTAGTGCAGCAGCAGCAGCTCCAGCAAATCCAACAACAGCAACATGTGCTTAGCCAACAGGTCCTGAACATGAACAGAACCGCTCAACTAAGACAGAGCAGTAGCGGGGCTCTCGACTTACAGCAGCGTGCTCATGCCAGAAACAGCAGCATTAGTAGTAGTGGGCGTCGAACACCAGGTGTGAATCCCATGCCTGGTCCCTCGCCCCGGCTGAATCAAGAATCTGTACCGGGTCCTCGAAGAACACAGCCGGTCTTCATCGATCAAATACAGAATGAAATTCAAGCGTACAGCCAAACCCACCCACTTCAACGGCCCCTTGTGCCTCCCCTAGGATATGTACACCCTCAACAGGCCGTGAACCCGGAGATGACTGCTCTCCATCAGGCACATATCCGAAGCCCACTCTTGGTTCCTGTCTATGCTCCACCCGCCACCATGAACAAAGAGGATCCGGCCTTTCGATACTATCAAGCTGTACGAGACTTTGCACTTGATCCAACAAAGATACCCACAAATACACCTTTGTCAAAATTCGAATTCCGAGTTTCAGAAGCCGACTTTCAACTTATTCCCAGAGACGGCCCGCCAAGCAGTAGTCAGCTGGCGACGCGAGAGTTCAGACGTGGAACACTCCAGTTTCGCCTGCGATGTATTCAGATGAAGAAGTCCGATGCAATATGCTCTACGCCAGACTGGATAGTCAACGACACAGTTTGGCCAGAGAGCGCATGTTTAGAGATCAATAAGAAACACTTAGAGATTAGGCGGAAGAATCACCACGGAAAAGACCTCCCCATCGACATCACAGCATTCGTGCGAGCTGCCGGGCCTAATTCAGCGAATCGAATCACCGTATCAATTACCAGAGGTCGAACCAAGATGAAAGATTTCACCTATTTCCTTGCCGTTGAAATAATCGAAATACTTCAACACGGTCAGATTCTTGATATGTGCCGACAACACCGAGTTCCTGCATATCAAACCTTGGATAAGATCAAGAAGAGTCTTGCATCTTCCCAGAATGATGACGATGAGATTGCAATGGTGTCGAGCGATATCTCTGTTGATCTTTCCGATCCTTTTACAGCCCGGATTTTCGAGACGCCTGTGCGTGGCAGCAACTGTCTACACCGTGAGTGCTTCGACCTCGAGACCTTCCTTATCACTCGAAATAGCAAGCCCAAGCGTCCCCAGCAACCTTGCATGATTGATGTTTGGAAGTGCCCTCTGTGTGGCAGGGATGCTCGACCATATAGCCTCCAGATTGACGACTTCCTTGCGTCAGTGAGAGCAAGGCTTGCAGAGCAGGACAATCTCGATGTAAAAGCTATTTGGATTGATGCAGATGGAAATTGGTGCCCCAAAGAAATACCAAGATCCTCGGTAAAGCGATCTCACCCGGACGATAGTGAGGACTCGAGCGACGACGAGGGTGCTCGGAAGCAGAGAGCTCTCTCAGCAGCAAATCAGACGAGGAGTATTAAGAAGGTGGTGGAGGTCATTGACCTGGACGATGATTAATTTAGCTTTCAAAAGAATTTTGGTTTTGGTTTTCTATTTTTTGTTAGCCGGGGTCGCCTTTGCATTGCAGCGTTTATTGGCGTTAGGCTGGCCGGGATGGCTGTTTGCATACATCTTACACGGAGTCACTACTTGCTCTACTGGAGCTTTACCGAAAGGAAATGGCGTCAATATGGAGTTTGATCCTTTGCTTGGCTAAGCATCTGGCGTTACAATACTCTGGGTCGCCGTTTATGAGGAGTTGATTCCATGGGTCTACGAGGAATACGATGGGACTCTGCCCTTGAACAGACGCACACATATGTATTGTTTAGCATTTATAACTTCATCGAGCATTTTGCTTCTCTCTGCTTGATGTGAGGTGTGTTTCCAGAATGTCCAAATCATCTCCGAACAGTGAGCTTCCCAATATCCTAGTGAATTTTTCAACACCTCCAGAGGTCATGAACCTTTTCAAAAGAGACAGCAATATCTATTTGGCCTTCTAACTCAGGTGCCGAACTCAAATGTCACTTCAACTCGGGGTATCATCCAAATGCAGGCAATCATAGCTGTCAAAATAAGGCTGAAGGTTTCTAAACAAAAGCAAAGCAAGAATCTTCTATCCGTGCTATCTATTCCCTCTTGCACCGACTGGCGCGTCTGCCCGTCTTCGCTTCAGTAAATTTCCCAATGCATCGCGTACTTCCGGATCTGATCTTATAGTATTTTCGACCAACCAGTCCTTAACCTTCCCTTTGACATCCCTCAGTGCCTCATTATCTCCAACAAATGGGCTCATTTCCATGCCCATTAATCTCGTGGCTTCGATGTCGGCGGCCTTCGCCGTAGCCTCTAATCGGTCTAATTGTTGCTTTAATGCAATTTCTGGGTTCGCATTTGCTGGGATGATGGACGGTGGTTGTAGAAGGGGCCCAATCTGAGAAAATGCGATATAAAGGGTGACGCTAAGTTTTCGCGCCAGCTGGATGAGTTGAAATGGTAGGTAGGGCGGGTGGCGCGTGAAGGTCGTGAGGAGGGGATTTATTAACTTCGTGGCAACGTGAGGGAAGTATGGACGTGAAATGGTGTGGAGTTCGAAAACGCAGAGGACGACGAGCGTAAGCCAGCGCCAGTATTTGCCCCATTCGAGATATCCTAGCAGACCGAGGATATACATGAATATTGCCGCCACGCCGTAGTATGGAAGGATCGACTGGAGGCCTTGGACTATGAAGTCGCGGACACTAGAACAGCGTTGCCATTCTAGGATAGACGGCCCAAATCGCTCATACGCGAATCGTTTGGCGGGGTTGAGAAGCGTGTCTTGTGCTTGCTTGAGGTGGACGAAGTATGCCTCCGAGGAAGTGGAAGAAGATGAGAGTTTGTCGGGGTGGTAGATGGCTGCTAAGCGCCGGAACCGAGATTTGATTTCCCTCTCGGGAGCAGTATGTGCGATCCCTAGATCTTGGTAGAAATCGCTCGCCCTCCGGATGTCCCAGTCTGCTTCGTAGATTGTGTATAGTAGGTAGGCAGAGACAACTATGATGTGGATACGTTGTCTGTGAAGGATGAAGCGTGGCGTGCCAGGTTGAGGCTTAGGATCACCGGCACGAATAGTGATGCCATAGTATATATTTTGGACCCATCCTGTTACAAGCTGGGAAGAATATTAGCAAATGTTCTCCATGTTGCTTCCTAGTCTGGAAGTTGGTTGCTCACGTTTGGGAGAAAGGTCCACCCTGCGAGGGAAAGGAGGTTATTTGACATGACCACAGTTATGGCTCTGATCCGGTCCAAGTAGGTGCTCGAGAAATATCATGTAGAGGACCAAAAGGTTGAAGGAGAATGGAAGAGGGTTGCTGCACGTTGGCGACTCTGATTAGTGAAGTCGCGAGGCTTCAAACTGTCCAGATCTTTAGCCACATTGACAGGGGCCACCGGTTAGTTGCGCTAGTGCATCTCAGCCTTTGAGGCGCAAAAAAAGGCAACCTTAAATTTCGAGCAAAGAAACTCTTGACGACAACCGCACTTCGACATGTCAATTGAGAAAGCAGCAGAGCCTCCAGTATCCAAAATGGGCCCTGAAAAGCACAAGCCAAGATCGGACAAGAAGCATAAAACTACACATGGCGAAAAGCGGAAACGAGACCACGGAGAGGACGGGCTCAAGGCAAAATCGAAGAAACATAAGTCGGACAAGGCAGCGTCTCAAGCCTCAGCTCTGGATATCACAGCCCCAGCCTCGCCGTTTCACATCCAAACAGCATCGCTATACCTCCCATTAGCGCCAGTCTCTCAAAAATACCCCCTCGAAGGACTCTGCGCCGAGCACATCTCTCCTCTCATCCTCACTTACTACCCGCCCCTCAGTGGAGTTCTGCTATCATACAGCAATCCACGATTATCCGAAAAGCCATTCAAGGACGACGGAGAGTCGGTGCTGCTGCGGAATATCGACGAATATGCGGTTAGTTGGGCTTGGGTAACAGCTGAATTTCTGCTTTTCAAGCCGGAGAAAGGAGCCTTGTTGGAGGGCTACATAAATCTTCAAAACCAGGGCCATCTCGGAATAGTGTGTTGGAATCTGTTCAATGCCAGTATCGAATCGAAGAGATTACCCTCTGAGTGGAAGTGGAAGGATGTGAGCGATATGAAGAATAGACGAAACGCGGAACAGGGAGAGACGTATGCGGAGGAAGGACCGGGATTCTGGGTTGACGGTGAAGGAAATAAGGTCGAGGGTATGGTCAAATTCAGGGTGAGGGAGATCGAGTCGAGCCATGACAGGGAGAGGGGGTTTTTAAGCATTGAGGGCACGATGTTGAGTGAAGGGGATGAAGAGGAATTGGTTGAGAGTGAACGGGTAGGGGCACAGACCGCGAGGGATACTGCTGGAAGGCGGCTTGGTGGGTCAAAAGCTTTGGGAGCAACGAGTTTGGGTGTGATAGTGGAGACGGATATGATGGACGTCGATCCAAGTGCGAAGAAGCATAGGCACAGGGATTGAAAGAAGGAGTTGAACAACATTTCCAAAGCGGCAAGCAAAGTTTTACCTACGACCCTCCTTTCGCTTCAAGATCCGTCTAAATTCATGACAGTGAGCCGCCAGGTGAACGACTACAAAATTCCTTGCTGATCTGTCCCTGATCATAAAAAATTTCGTTGCAATTCATCAACGCCTCCAGTCAACATCCAACTCACCACCAAGACAACATCCCTCCATACAGAGGAAGCGTACAATGGCTGTACTCATCCGGCTCAGAACCAACAAGGCAGGAGCCAACGGTGACGCAGCCTTCCAGTCAGGCAAGGAAGTCCTGAAGAAGAATATCAGCCTGTGGTCCATCCCCTACGAACTCCCCGCTACCGCCAACGAGGGTCCTCCTACGGAGCCAGTGGTCATTCGCCACTCTTTCGACGACCTCCCAAACGGTGTTGAGGTGGTCTCATATGGCAATTGTTTCGTCACTGGCCTCATTAGAGCTTACCATCAAGGTCTTCATCTCCGTTTGAGACCAGAGGACGTTTGGCTTTCAATACTGTCTCAACTCAGGGTAAGAATGCTCGACTTTCCTTTCCTAGCTAAACACCCACGGATATTGGAACATCCAGGTTCTTCTCCGTCCTTTTATAGACTCCTATGGGTTTGAAAACATTCAGTTCTGGTAACCGCCAAATCAATCACAATTTTGAGAAGAGCATTTAGATCGTATTCACCGAATACTGACTTCTTTATAGGTCTACGCATACCGTCAGCCTAACTCCATCCCTGGACTCTCCTCTTCCCACAATTTCAATGTCGACCTCTCCATCGATCTGGAAACTGATCCCGGAACAATCGACTCCACCTATCTGGAGGAGAAGATATCTGGACTATCCCACACACTTATGAGCAATGATGCCGATCTCAGGCATTGGATTCTCCCGAATTTTAGCTCGACAACTACGACCGACCGAACAGTTGCCTCTGTTGTGATGATGGGCCAAGTTCGAAAGTCTACAAAACCTGATTACGATAGCCGCCTTCGAATTGGATTGTCGTCCGTCAAATTGCTGGGAGAGAAATCAGACTGGGAAGAGATTTTGCGCCGAGTAACGGAGCGAGTTCCTACCTTTGGCAGCAAGGCTACTGAATGGTTCAAATTTCTGGACCCAGTCATCAAAGGCATCATCTTGTCCTTTGATTCTCCCGATCTCCCCCAGACCAAGGAGTTTTGGGGTCAGGCATGCCATTTCGACGGTGCCAACCTTGGTGTTGATAGAGAAACCATCACAGGTTGGATCACAGCTTTCTGCTTCTGGTCAGACTCGGGAGATTGTCTCCACCCGGATTTCATCGACGGGAATGCCCTCCACCATCATCGAAACCCTATCGAACAGCCCGGCCGTGGAGATGCACGTAGTATACTCTGGGATCAGGATAGAGATAATTGGTAGGTAGCACGGACAGACATGTTCCCTATCCTCAAAATTCTCATGCTTTCTCCTGAAACAATATATACATCCGTGCTGGAACAATGCCATTACCAAGCAATCGCTGACTCCTGCGTTTTAAAGGATTGTCACCAACCTTATTGACCGCAAGAACATCTTCATCGGAGGTGTGAAATGTCCTCACATTCTCCCCGAGAATATCCCAAATGGCACTGCTACGGCTTTGACATATGTGAGAGATTACTCCAATCGGGTGGCCTACTCTGTTACCATAGTTGCAGGCTCTATGGGAGCGGTACCTACTGCGGTTGGCTATCTTCATGATGAGACTGTCCTACAACCTTGGTCTGGCTGGTTTCTATTGGAAGATGGATTGAAAGCAATGCCGCCACTCCAACAGCACAGGGTTCTCAATGAGAATGGCCATGAAGTGATCGAACTGGACTAGTTGGGTGCTGGTGGTTTGAGCGCCAAATCCGGAAGATACATCGCTGTGATACTGGAAGGGAGTCATCGCCGCGACTCGGGGGACATCCTTCTTTGCAAGTGCTGCTGCTCTGGACTCAACACTACCTAGACCGGCTCTGAATTTTTCTGTATTTTTCTGACTATGAATGGCACTCTGCGAGCGATCATGGAGAGTGGTTGGATTAAGGGACCCCCATATGAGGACTTCAAGCATTTGATTTTACTAGAAGTGAGTAAAATGCAAATTGTCATCGCAATAATTTCTGCTCTCCTGTGATGTTGATGTCGAAATTATTCCTTAACAAATAGCTTTGGAACCCCTGAACCTTAGCGATGTGGATCATCACGTGAATTGCATTTCGGGACTTTGTCATCCCGCTCCAAACTCTTCTTGCCTCTCACAACAACAACACCAATTACTTGAACATCCCTTCAGCACAAGTGAAAACAGATTTTCGGCATTGATTCCGATGGTGTGGTCTCCTGCTCTTGAGGTAGTTGTCAAATTGCTTACTTGGAACGCCACAGGTCCATGCGGACGCCTCGAAATTTGCCTCCAATGTCACCAAGGAGGAGGCCTATAAGCAGGTACTAGAGCAGGCCGAGGCTCTCTTTGAGGGTCAAAGGAACTGGGCAAGTCATTTTCGGGGCTGCAGTCAACAGGACTAACGTGGTCAAGGTCTGGTATGAAAATTATGTCACGTGAAGTCGCGAAAATGCTGAAGACAGTAAATTACCTAGTAATCTAGCAAACACTGCTTCGTTGATATGGCACGCATATAAGTCTCTCCCAGCTCCTTCCTCGGAAGTGAATTGGGCTGGTGAGTTGCTCCTTCTCCTGCCGGATGATGATCTATTCCTTTCGGAGCGTTGTGCCCCCAACTTTCCAATATCTGCTCACCTCAGCAGGATTCTACGTCCTCGATCCTTCCACCCCCAACCAACTGATTCTGGGCCCCTTCCACGGTAAAGTAGCCTGTCAAACCATCAGGTTCGGAAAGGGCGTGTGCGGCGCTGCGGCAGAGAAAATGGAGACCCAGCTCGTTCCAGACGTGGAGGCGTTCCCTGGCCACATCGCATGTGATGGAGATTCGAAGAGCGAGATTGTGGTGCCTATCTTGGTGAAGGGAAAAGTTATGGCGATCATTGATATCGATTGTGCGGAGATTCAAGGTTTTGATGAGGTTGATAAGAGAGAGTTGGAGGAGTTGGCGGAGTTGTTGGCTCATTCATGCAATTGGTGAAGTGGCAGAGAGCTCTCAAGTGCTTAGATTTTCGATGAGATGGTACAGTACTAGATTTCAAAAACAAACTCAGAAACCATTTGCCAGTCGTTGAATTTCAAATTTATTTATGAAAACATCAACTGACCTTCTCTTGAGCGTAGGAGCTTCTTCAACACCCATAATATGATTCGCTTAAAATTTCCAAGGTCGGGTCACTTGTCTCTCTGTCAATTGAGATGAGATGGAGGGGGAAGCCATCAAGAAGCGTGAACAAAAGCAAGGCGAGAGGCCAATCATTTTATGCAGTTGATACTGGATTGATTGAACACGAGCGTTGAAAGGAGTTCAATTCATGCATGCATTACTTCATGAAATGGATGGCTGGCTGGCTTGATTCCAGCCCTCATCATAATATCCACAATTTGTACAAGTTCCATCGCTCAAAATGCCTCCTCGAACACCATTCCACCATGAAAAGTCATCCCTCGTAGACGATGCTCCTAGTTCGCCTTCCCGTATACCACGCTCGCAATGCAGCAAAACAAAATCGGCACCTCTGCTTCCCCAAGAGGCAGCTAATCCTCTCCACGAACCCGATGGCCACATGATCGAAAACCAGCGGATAATTGTACACTCTCCTAGGGAACATTTCACCGTGCACTACTTCCTTCCGGTAAGATCCTGCTCAAGCTCCTCAGCACCTCCTGCATCGGTAGATCTCTGGTTCCAATCTCTTCTTTTTCTCTACGATCTCTATCTTCCAATCGGACTGCACTCAGAGCCAATATCTTGTCAGCAACCCTGCCCACGGTTTCTTGATATTGCTCCAGTTTATGCACCCCGTCCGCGAATTGGTCGATCTTAAATTCTAGGCCCGATTGCAATACTCTTAATCGCTCGGCTGTCTGGTTTCTCAGATCTAGTGCAGATCTCGAAGCAATTTCCACGAGGATGGCTGCTTGCTCTGGATCAAGTAGTGAAGCATCGATTTGTGAAGGGCTGAGTTCTCGAGTGTTATCTGGAAACAACGGGGGAAGTGAAGGCGGAGGTTTCGCTAGCGCCTTCCATTGATCCCGTTCTTCTCGAAGTCTATGGATTTTGTCAGCACGCTTTCATATACGAGGGGAAATTCGCATACAATTTAAGTCTAGCTTCCAATCCAACGAGATTCTCCTCCAACTCAATATTTCGTGGGTTGGGCTTTTTAATGACCTTTGTTGGGGGAGGAGCCGATTCTTCTCGATTGAACCAGTCCGAGAACTCGGATTTGTTCGCAAAATCCTTCAGTAATGATTCTTTAATCATTCGCGCTGCAAAAGTTAGGAAGGCATTAAAAGGTGTTCCGTACTGCTCACCTGAAAGTTCTGCTGTATTGTCCTCATTGCCATGAGATGGCTTCTCGCCCATACATCGCTCCCCGGTCCATGTTAACAGTTGCTTCATTCTTCTGGGCTCACTTAGCCCTTCTGCTTCAATATGTTTGTAAAACTCCGAAGTTTCCACTTCTCGATGCGGTATTGCACTATGCCCGTTCTCGATCAGAGAACTAGCTCTCCGCCCTCGAAGTCCCAAGCTACTCCTCCTGGCGCCATTCCCTCCTTTCTTCCTTAATTCCTTGTTGCGATTGATGATAGGCGTGTCACTGAACGGTAACGAGACTACCGTCGACTGTTTGCTTTGATCTGCGATTGACTTATTCGTCTCCTCCACGCTCGAATTGCCAACCATGTCTATCGTGTCATAATCGCCCGGTTCCCCCCTCGAAATATTGGTACTGCTATCGCCATTTTGACCGATTCCCGTAGACGAACGCGTAGCTTTTCTCTTTTTCGGCACAACAAGGGTATCGTTGTCTGCTTTCGGAGTCGAAAAGCTCATCTTCCGCCCTCTCGCATTTTTTGCTGTTGCCATCTTCTCATTGTCGCGTTCCCTTGGTTGTTCCTTTGGCTTTCGACCCCTCTTCGCGGTCGAAGGCGCTGGAGCAGGAGCGGAAAGGGGTTCTGGTTCTGGTTCTGGTTTTGCCTGTGCGGTCTTGGTTCGTTTTGATCCTCTGGTAAAGACAAAGTCGCCATCCTCTTCATCATACGCTACAAGGGCCGTCAGCATGGAGAATTGCAATGCGCGCAAAGCGCTCCTGGCCCATCCGGGGCATCTTACCAGCAAGCCGCTTGCTTCGTCTTCGCGCCGTAGGTTGACTCATGCTCAGCGTTTCAAGGGGAACTCGAGTCCGTACTATAGTAGTCATTGATCTCGGTTTTGTAGACGCATCAGCTTGTGTGTGTGTTGGCGGCTGACCGAATCTCGCGACGATCTGCCTGTCGCGCGTTGATCCCGAACGTTTTCGCGTCAATTGATGGTATCGTAGCCCGTAGATGTCGAGGCAGGGAATGCGGTGTGCTGCATGGATGAATCGCTCGTGCGTCGTCGTCTTGAAATGGCTGGATTCGACGATGCGGGAAAGAAGCGGGTTTGTTTACACTGAGCGTCGCGCTAATATCCACCACGTGACTCGCACTCCACATCTCGTAATACATCTTTCTGTCTCATTCAGCTTGTAAGGCTGTCAGCACCACATTCGCTCTACTATTGCGCCTATGTCAAGTGGTCGAACTCAAGTGTTTCAGGAGAACAACTACGGAAGGGTTTTGTTACGCGTCCCGCTTAACAACGAGCACATCTCAGCTCAACCCTTCCATCACCAGCCCAGCTGTTTGCGACTTGAAGCAGTGAGCAAGTACAATCGAGTAGTACCCACATTCTGGGCTACCAAGCGATTGTACTGCATCATGGGCCTAATCTCCTCGTTCGGTGTACTTGATGGAGATTTCCCAATGTCTCTCAGGCGAACATTTCTAGGAATTGTTGCCTTGTGGGATGATGATATTAATTCTCTACGTCTCCACGCTCTCATTTCCAATTACGCCCAAGGCACCTTTTCCTCTTTGGCAACGTGACTAGGTCTCGTTCCGCAGGTAGCATCGGCTGCCTTCTTCCAAATAGCTGTCACATTCGTGATCATACTTAGCTCATATTACAATCTACAATCTGCTGCTTCATAGACGAATTGTGCGGGGATTCCGTCCTCAAGGTGGTCCCTCAAAATGTTGTCTCTGACATTTATTGAGGTATCCGTGCTCCGGTTTAGAGGGAGTTCAGAGTAGCCGGTAGTCGCCGTCCAATTTCCTAAATGATACTGTAGATCTCGTACTCATTGCAAGCGCAGTAATCTGACGGATGTGTCTGAAAAGATAATTGTTTGCTCCTGCAGTAGCGCCGATTCCTTGAACTGTTGATTTGTTGGGTCGTCCTCCTGTGACGCGATAGATTTCACGCCGGCTTGCAATCTCATTAATTCACTGAAAATACCACAGGTTGAGGCACAGGATCCGTTATAAACCTGACGATATTAGAAATCATGCTCTCGAACAGAGTCATCAGGATAAGACAGAATTGGAAGAGCCTTACCATCATGAGATCCTCTGCGTCGAACGGCTTGGTGAAATTTTCCCGGTCACCATATCCGGTCATCGATGCCCCAAGCCCCTAGACCGGATTATAGTTGTAGAGTTATCATCAAATTCCATCTGATTAATTGTGTGAGGCTATCGCCATTAAATTGCTCTAGTTTGAATTTGTCTTCGTATATTATGAATGTCGTATCGAAAGTTGAGTGGCGTTTCATATGCGAAATAATCTACTGAGCTAGCTAACTGCTGCGGTGGAGGAATTGGCAGAGTATTGTGAGAAGCCTTTGCTTATGATCCCGAAGACTTCATGCTCTCGCATGCGGGTGAACAGAACACTAAGTAAGGTGCTTCGTTTGATTAAGGGAGTGAAGTTCTCAGAGGCAACAGCTCTTCTAAAATCCACTCTCAGAACAAGAAGCCTGCTAGAACAAAGATATGCAGGTTTCCACATAACAAAGAAAAGAACAAATTCTAGAGTCTCCTGGAACCAACATGAACCCGCCCTAAACGATCTGCGGAAAGAATTAACGGAAAAGGTCATATCCCAACAAGATGTCGCCTCCCCCATTTCTAAAGAGGTCAGTGGTTATTTTTGTCTTCCAGGCAACCCTTGTATCAGAAATCAACGTCTGGACAACCGTCTGAGATTGGATTGGGAACCTGCGCTCGAATAAAAGAATGCTCAGGACTGCCACATCAGAGTATCTTGGACCGTCTAGGAAGGATCCCGAGATTTGTTGATTGATGGTTATTACATGTGGATTTGGGTAGTCGTGTGCTGGAGCCGACGTCGTCGGAGGCGGAGTGGGTGCTTTCGGGGCTGTCTCTTGGCTCGGGGGGGGGGGGGGCATTTTGATGAGGTCCAGTCCAAAACTCCTGAAACAATAATGGCCCATCTGCAATCCCGGTGGAATCCCCAGTTATTTCCGCGTAGTTATGATCAGTAGCTATCGTGCCGATCTCGATCTCGATTATTGTGTTGGCGCTGGGATAAAAGTATCCAAAGCGTCCTGCAAGTGCAAACATTCCAGTGTATCTTTTTTGAGTAGATTGGGTATCGAATTCCATCTTGAACATCGGATTATTGTAAAGGGCGCCTGGATCCTGTAAGAAGCCAAGTTGAGCCAGATCTTCTAAGAAAATATCTACTTCTTGTCCATTAATCTTGGCAAGAGCGGAAGGAGTCCAATTGCAACTATTGTAAGCAATTATGTCCTATAAGTGATATTAATATTTAAATTCTAAGGGTGCGCGGGCTGCTTGCCCTTTGCTTATGCTTTTGGTACCTCCTTTCCATCTCTACTCACGGGTACAATCTCAACTGGCCTGCGAAAAAAGTATTGACTTTCTCAAAAGTTCTGGCGAAAGCGACAATGCCCATCATGAACACCTTGGAAAGTCATGCTCATTATTATAGTCTCCATTTTTGATGTTGCTCAGAATCGAATTGAGATTAGCATATATGTTCATCGCAGCTTGCATGTACCCAGCGGGAGGATTCTTAGGGTATGAAAGGTCTATTTTCAGTTTGTAGGCAATTGGGATCCAGCTCACCCGACTGTCATTGCAGGCAAGGAAGAATAGAAGTGACCACATTGGTCGCAGCTGCAGCATTCCGAGGCACCGAGGTCAGGCAGTTGTAAGCTAATTGGGAATCTTCTGTGGGAATTGCTTCACCACGAGTCAGCTGAGAGCCGGAAAATGTTGACATTGACGTACCAGAACATGTTGTAGCAGCGGCAGACTTCGAGTTTTGGCTCACAACAGCACATGGGCTCTCCGTCACGATTCCATTGTGTCTCTTCGCATATGATGCCACAGTGCTCTGTGCCAGAAGTAGCAGAAAGAAAAAGTATCGGGACTTCTTTGTATAAGCACTGGGCGATAAGTCAAGCAACTCCAAGCAGAATAAACCGAGGTCACACAACAGCAGGACCGTTTATCTTTATGGCTTCCATCTCAACTCAAATGCATTAACTAAAGCATCGATATCGGCTGATGACTTTGGTGGGAAGCGCACTCTACTCCTTTGGGGCCTTGTTTCGTTCAAACCCTCTTTATTTGAATCATCCATCAGTGGCATGCGTTCTGCGTGTCTCTCTCACTTGTATCGCCATCATATACGGAAACAATATATGTCCCGGTTTGGCAGCCGTTGAACGCTGCTGAGCCAATGATCACACTCGGGGACAAAAGCGATGTTTCAGCCAAACAGCGGGTGATTGGCACCGCTGACAGTGCCGGGATTGTGGGGCACGGCAGAGAAATCCATGGAGTTGGTTTAGGTACAGCCCCCACGTGTCACTTTTATAACCACGACATTAGATGTGTATTTGTCTGGGCTGCATATCGTAGTGAATAGAGGTACACTTCCCTCAATTATAGGGGTATTTAGTTCTGTGAAATTAGTTGAAATGTAGTCTTGCAGAGGGCTTAGAAGGCTTGCGGACGAAGAAGCTTACTGAAAAAGCAATTCAGCCGTCGCTTGCGGGTGTAAGATTCACTGTTTAGGCTTTCGTTCGAGCGGAGAGGGAATTCGTAATACAGCAATCAACAGATATTCCTGTAATTCTAAAAGACTTTTCATTGTGGTATCTCTACTAAGAATGTTAAAAGGCAGATGAAAGTACATACCGTGCAACTACATACTGCAACGACGAATGGGAGAAATAACATACAAGAAACCACAGAGCATGCTTTTACCAAAATTTGTCAATCCTCCTTCCTTTAGATCTGCCAAAGGGCTGCGTGCGTACCATTGACGCAACATACGTATGTCTACGCTATTGTGCTCCCCAATGTTCCCTTAACCAATCCCAAAAATTTGTTGGAACGACGTTGACAAGAGTGTTGAGGTTCGCGGTCGTGTAATCGTATCTTCGTTGCTCCGTTGCGATGAGCTCTTGCACGCGGCCAACCTTGGCAAAGTCTTGATAATAGGTAGCATGCTCAAGGTGGGCAGGCAAATCTCTCGCTTGTATCACTTCTTGAACGAATGGTGCTCCTGGTTGTTGTTAGCTAGCCAACTCGGATCTCATGCCGACTAGATAACAACTCACCCCCTTTTACAGACTCAGCGTAGAGTACAACCTCTGCAACTGACCTTCGATCTCCACGCATTTTGAATTCTGCTGGCCAGTTCTGCAGGGGAATGTCAAGTGCTGCAACAAGGAATTGTACCACATCGTAAACTGAAGTCAAGCACAGGAAAATGGGAACTGCTTGGCCTCCGCTCTGCCTCTCGACTATTTCCGCGGTGCTAGCTTCCACATCCATCAAGTAAGAACCTTGGTAATAGACATTTGTAGAAGTACCGATGCCCAAAGATCCTAAGCCACCACGAGCAAACCTCTCGTAAAACACCCCGCAAATAAATATCGTGGACGCCATGCGGTGTCGATGATGGTGAGACCAGTGCCGAAGCCTATCAAGTGTCGCTGCTCTGCCACGATCTAAGGGGTCATTACGAGGTCGACGTCCTGGTGGTCCTTCAAACTCCGCCGGAACAAATCGACGGACGTCAGAGTGAGCAGCAGCGTCGATAAGGTTGATCTGGGGATTTCCCGAGACAGTTGATATGACAAGATCGATGCCCCTGAGGGTATAGCGAAGTTCATCTTGACTATCATAATTGACAACAGCGATCTGATAGTCAAGAGCTTCCAAGTCAGGTTGGGCCTAGGAAATCTGTTAGTGCCATCGTCCTCCGTTGCTGGAACGCCTCCTGGGAGTTGTACCTGTCTTGACAATATGATGAATGGATGAACAGTTGCATTCAAGTAGTGAGCAAAGATTCGTGCAAGTCCACCAGAGCCAGCTATCGCTATTCGCATCATGTTTTCTTGTGGTTCGTTTGCCATTTGACGAGGCGGGTGCAGCCACAGGCTTGCTTTTATTCCTGAGCCCAACCCAAACACCCTCCATGCAATTATCAGAGCGACAGGCAGAAGACACCGTTGCGGTCTTAAGAACAAATTGGCTTCAAGTATGGCAAGGCAAACTAGCCACTAGGTGACTCAAGAATTTGTTCGCTCTCCGACGATACGAAACCAAAGACCGAATCACGATTTTGTCCAAGGCGAACCACTGGCGTCTAGGGGAGAATAAAGTTACAGCATCGCAAAAGGATTTAACAGGATGATGTAGAAGGTAATGTGATAGAAAGACCGCTAGGATGATTTGTGGTGTGGCGAATCGTTTGCCGTTGACCCCTGACTGGGTTCGACATCACGGAAGCACTGAAGATGCCTCTTCTCCGTCGGAGCAGGCAATAGCGATATGAAACGCCATAAGATATGACTGCCTTGAGGCTCTCTTTAGTGTTTGCGTCGGACTCGCGTGGGAGGTGTGGCACTCAATCCTCCGTGGCGCGTACCCTAACTCAGGAAGTCAGGAGCCGGCAGAATAGTACCTGAACAGCAATGCAACGTTCGTACATTAGCCCACAGGGCTGAGATTTGCACCCTCAATCTCGTCGTAGATGTGGAGGCCGTTCGAAAGAAGCCAGCCCAAAGAAGAATTAGGTGTGGAGAATTCTACGTCCAGCCAGTTCAAGGGGCTGAGAAGCAGTTTTTGCATTCTTGCAAATCAAACGTTTTCAGCCGTAATACCCAGTCATACACAAGATACCAGTTAAGGAATATTATGATTCGGTGACATGGTACAGCCCGGCATACTTTCCACACCGAAGGGGCACATCGCACCGAACCACACTCACGGACTTCGTTGATGAGCGGAGAATTTTCTAGGCTGCACTAGGGTCATCACCCCCCAGACATCGAAGGGCGAGTGTTGATTCGCATTGACAGATGTAAGTAATTTTTTAGTGGAGAGCAAAGGGCACTAAGGGCGTTTATGAGTCTTTTCTTGGTACAGAATGGGCTTTCCCACTGAGGATGTGGATGCAGCTGCAGGTGGCCTGCACACGGCTTAAGCTCTCCCGAGCACTTGTTTTATCCGCCTCATTGTAAACAAGAATGCAATGCTCAAATCAAATCATAAGAAGGGATGGATACACAGAGGCAAGGCTCTGACGATAGGAGCGCATGCACGACAGGCTCTAGGAGCCCGGGAGACTGGAGATTGCACCTTGCAAGGCAGTTCCACCCCGAGAAAAAGACCCTAATCTGGGAAGCCCTATAGGATGAATTCGACGATACTGTGGTACGTCAGTCAGGCCGCTTTAGGGGATTGAATCCCATGAATCCCTGAGTTGGGGGCCAGTCCAAGCCGTGCAGAAATTGGGGAAAAAGGGTCCAAGCCGAGTGATTCTCCCGCCATTTCTCAAGTCCACTCGAACCTCTCGAGTTAGTGTCATACGAGCTGCCGTCCTGAAATGCTTTCTATTCGAGCTCGGAGGAGTGATTGGTCGACGTCGAGCCCATCGAGGAGGAAAGGGGGTCTTTTGTAAGGCTGAACCAAACATGCAAGTATTGCATAACCTTAGCGCTGCATGTGCACCACACCATGTCGTAGCCTAAATAGCAGTGCAAAGGATAATTCTTGAATTGACCACTGCGGCTGAGAAAACTGACCTTCAACTTGATGAGGCTCAGTCATCAAAGAGCTGAAAAGACATCAGGACCTTCCGTGTTGTGTTTAGAGCCCATGGTCATGTGATCGCTTAGATGGCACGGGGGCAGGGCGGCAGGAGGACCGAGTTCCATTTTAAGAAGGCCGTGAACTCCAGCCACTTTGTGCACTTGGCACAAGGAAGTATGCAACCTCAACAACCATGACAGCATTCCACTTGCATATCTCGTGGTGCATTGAAATGTCGAGCACATCTAGGAAGCCTGCTGAGAAACTCCAGCGTTGCTCCACCATCGACTCATCGGACGACGGAGTCAGCACTTGCTTCTTCCACACACCGAGTAGCACTTGCCGCGAATAACCAGAGGAATTCGGAGGCAGAGATCTCCTCGAGAGACATCTGCGTCATCGCCGAGTTGGAATTGGCCTTGGGACAGTGATCTTGCTTTCCTGAGCAAACCAACGTGCAGAATCCACCTTACCAGGCTTCGTGTCAGCGACCACGCGACCCTTGGCCGGCTCGAGACAGGTCTCTTGGATCTATCACCCGCTCCTAGTCCTATCTTACCGACGAGAAAGATATGAGCTGTCTGCTACCTTCGTCGAAGTTCAGATTAAACATCGATCCCTGTGAGAAGAGTCGACCCGAAAGGAATATGGCTCAGGAGATTCGAATCTCCACCCCCTCTCCGGCCTTCACAGCTGTATTAGGCACCGAAACCCCAGCGATGTTGAACGGGAAAGTCTGGCAAGTAGCCTAGGCCCTCCTCCATTGCGGAGAGCCCGAAGTCCACCATGGCATGGGTTAGGAACGAAACAGAAGAATCGCGTGGAATAACTTTGATGAATATGAGCTCTGGTATCTGAATGCCGTTCCGTTTCCGCATTTTCTGATTGCTTGTCTCCTTTGATCATCTGTTTCTCTGCATATCGAGTACCCTGGCATGCGACATGTGGGAGCAAACCATTGGTAGATGTCAATGAGTTTCAAACCTGAAGCGGTTGGTTGCCAGATGCCGTTCCAAGTCTGAAGATATCGACGGCAAGATCCAATGTCGCATCAAGTTGCTGCAGCAGAACAATATCGCGAGGTGGAACCGCTCTACATTTCCTCTGCACAGGAGTCAAGGACCACCTATTCAAAGACGATAAGCAGGGCATTATATTTTGTCTCTGCAGAAAGGATTCTATGAATCTACCTCCCATCTTTGTGAGTGTTTGCTCCCGAAGCAAATGTGATACATCTTCAGGAACCCAAAAGCAAGGATTATATCCTCTGGTAAATTCCACTTCTTTATAATCGATTGATCGCGTGTCGCTAGATGTGAATCTCATGGCCTGATGGGTGTCCAAGCCACTAATGTCGTTGAACGTGAACCTCCAGACTTGGTGGGTGAACTTTTGGGTCATCCAGTTTCTTCAATGAATTTATTCCAACAAGTGAGACTGCAAAGTTTGGAAAGGAAGGAAATTGCCAAAGTTGACGAGAGAGACCGAGCCAGGCGAGTCGGAGGCCGACTTCAAGAAGACGGAACAAACCACAACTATCGAATAATTAGAGTAATAATAATGTCAAAGAGAACTGACGTATGTCACCTCAGAATTCTTTCTCTTCTTTCAAATGCTTTTTATAATACAACCAATCAACAGTGAGTCATCGACACCCACCCATTTTCTTTTTCTCAAAATATCGATTTCTGGAGGTACGAGTACTTCAACGGATGAAGCGGGGTCTATTTATGGCACAGCCCAGCCAAGCGACCATCAATCCCAGATTCTTACAAGGCTACACTGCAAGAAGCCAAATCCAGCAATGCTTTAAATACCACCAAGTCATGTCCAAGTAGAATAGCTCCTGCCAATTCGAGAGAAGAATGCATTTGAATTCGCAGCACTTCTATGAATACGTTACAATCGTTGCACCACGCACTAGCTATTCTTACATGTAGACCGAGATGATTACTTTCATAGATGAACGAATGCCCCTTAAACGCCGATCGCGTCATGCGTTTTCTTTTCGCTTTCCCTGACCATTGAGCCCAAGAAATAAATGTCCCCAAACGCCGGCAATGCAAAACCCGCTACCTCCCCCATAACCATGAACACCCCCATCAATTCTCATCATGCATTATACCCTAAGCAAATATCCCTGAACCAAACTCCAAATAACTTTCTACTACTGCACACTCAAAAACAACTCCTCTCCCCTCCTCGTCGGCGTAAGTTTCGGTACCCAGCCCGGCGTATTCGGCAACTCCGTCCTCTCAAACTGCTGCCCCGTCCTCGCCTCATAGTCCCCGTTGTCCTCCCCCCTCTCACTCCCCAACATCGGTCTCCAGCTGACCTTCTTCGCCTCCTCGATCTCCTCTCTCCCTAGCACCCTCCATTTCCCATTCCGTTTCTTCTCTTCTTCATGCTTCAAGGCGAGGGCGTTGGCCTTTTGCTCGCCTCGACGCTTGGCGAGCAGGGATGAGGAGGTGGAGATTTTGGAGGCGGTAGAGTATTGGGACATGCTGGAGGAGGAGCGGGTGAAGGTTATCGAGGGGTGGGCTTGCAGTGGCTTAGGGACTAGGGATGAGTTGCTTTGGGATTGAGAGATGCCCCATCCGCCTGTTGCGTCTGTCAATGGTTGATTTGAAGGTGGATTTGGAGGCGGTCGTGGAATATTGTTTTTGAGCTCCGTCTGTAGCCTTGGGAGGTAATAATTTCGAGGTGGCGGCTGCAGTTCGAATTGTGGGGGAGGTCGAGCCTGTGAGCGAGCCGCTGCTTTTACAGGAGGAGCTGGAAAATCATACGTGATATCTCCAGAACGTTGCCGTTGGTAGCCTGAGAGTCCAGGTTCGGAACCAAAAGGCTGCATTCCTACTTGTTCCTGGACTTGGTTTTGCACCCGAACTCTTTCTCGCTCTCGTTGAGCGGCGATTTCCGCTTGCCGCCATGGTTTCCCAGCTCTGCCCTGGGAACCTAAAGCTTTTGTGAAGTCTGGCTGTGGCGGCGGCGGAACCAAGCGTATCGTATTTGCACTCAAGCGTCCGGGAATCTTGGGATAGCTGACTGGGCTTCGGCCGCTGGCTGGGGATTCCACCACTGGTGACAGAGCCTCAGCAGTTTTAGGCTCCTGCTCAAGAGGCGAGACGATGGACTCTTCGCTCTCGAAGGACGTAAGTGAACCGACGGAATTGTGGTCGTAAGGTCCGGGTTGTCTGTACGACCTCCGAGCATGCTTACTGCTATGTCGAGCTACCTCACTTGCTGGAAGTGATCCTCGTTGTGAGTAGATTGAAGATGTAGTTGTGATTGGTCTCCCGTTCTGAGTTGGAATGGCAAGTTGCTGTTGTTGCTGCTGCTGCTGAGTTCTTGAATACGCATCCGGTCTCCGTGGCTGAGAGAAGCTTCCAACTTTTGAGCCCAGAGTAAGAGGCTTCACATAGGAGATTGGCGACATGGTCAAATTCGAAACTTCGCCTGAGCGCGATTGACTTCCCACTCCAGTGGTATTCAACGACAGCGGTTGTGCCTGAGGGTTCGAGTCTAGAGGCTTGGTGCTTATCCACCTCCCCGTGGAGTAATCCCAGATTTGTTCTCCGGAATTAGACCTCCAGGTGTCGTCACGGGCGACAGCAGTATCTGCACTCTCGTCGTCTTCCTCAAATTGGGTTGCCGTGCTCTGCCTGCTTACAGCCGAGGGTTGCACGACTGGTTGAGAGAATGCAAGGCCGCCTGGTTGTGCTCTTTTTTGTGATGGTGGCATCATTAGAGTCAATGTAGGCTTTTCCGGCAGCAGTCTAGATTGTCGCTGCGGTCGCTGCTGGTTAACCTTTGTCTCGGGGGAAATAGCGAGACCAATCGTCCCCTGCATGACGCTTCTTCTCGAGAACATATTGGGATTCGAAATCTCCAGCCTCGGAGGTACTTTTGGTGGAATTCTGCCGGCGTTTCCATTGGGCTTCCCTGGTCCTCCTCTTTCTGTAGGTCCCTTGAAGCCCACAAACTTTTGTGTGCTGCTACTTGTTGAGGGGTCCATTTGAAACGGTAGCAGGTCGCTCTCCCGTGCCTTTCGGTACTGCCTCCTCCTCCAACATGCAAATATGATCAGACATCCGAGTGCCACTGCACCTCCTCCAATGGAAGCCACAGTGATACCTATGATTTGGGGTCTAGTCAAAGAAGGTATTGGTGAAGGAGTAGGTGACATTGAAGAAGCTATGGCCGAATAGGTGCTGCCAGCTGGCGTGCTTCTGACGGGAGAGCCTGATGAAGTAGCGAATGGAGAACTGGACGATGATGGTGTGGAGGTGCTTTTGATACTCATCGTGTTTGACCAATTTGAACTTTGTGTTGAGGTTGGATTTGGCGCTACCAGAACAATGCTAGGCATTGAACTCTGCACAATCAAGGTTGCTGTAATGGTGGCATGTGTGTTAGGGAGGGCGTTTGCTTGCCCGGAACACATCCCAAATGCATCAAAAACGACAGACTCTGTAACTAGTCAGTATTCGAGCGTAAAAGCAGAGCCTGGGGTTTGTAGCGTACGCTGAGCGTCGTTTCCCTTACAGAAACCAACATTATCCTCTGAAATTATACATTGTACTGCCCCTTCTCCCACCGTGTATCCTGTTGTAGTATTGTGAGAACAAAGACAATCTAACGCCGGTGTTGTGCCGCATGTAGCAGTATCAAAATTCGAATCTAGAAATGATATAAAGCAATCTTGAGCACAAGTCGGAACGAACTTCGTGAGCTCAGACGTGAGAGTGAATGCCGCATGGGCGAAGGAAGAGAATGCGTATATCAGGAGGATTAGCCTTGACCAGCATAATGCCATCCTCGTCGGAGCTGTGTGGTGGTGATGTTAGCATGTCTCTTCAACGAAATTCTCCGCCTCCCTGCAATTCCAGTGACCAACTTATTTGAAGACACTGACGACGATCGAGTCTTGCACAGCCCCAACAAGCTCAGCATGCCAACATTTGGTCTCAAAGGTTTCAACCTGGTGGCCCCTTCCAACACCCGAGACAGGCAAAAAGAGAAGGTTGACTGACCTTTCAGAGCCAGAGATTACTGTCAGAGGCGGCCAGCGTCTCGAACATACTTGCAAGTAATCAAATTCCAACGCCTTTTTCTAACCATCCATTCTAAGGCCACAAAAGAGAATGATATTTCATGAACTCGTGACCATCCAAATCAAAGACCAATGCAACGCGATGCAGAACCTCAAGATCTCAGCAACATATGAAAAAGATAAGCAAGGGAAATTTGCGAGGTAGGAAGTGTGGAAATGAGATGTTACAAACCCCGCGCTTGCTTCGATACTTAGCTTCTTCATGGCAGCAGAGAATGGGGCTCAGTCTCCAGTGCCTCACCGTAACGCCGGCGACGAGATTGTGCAGGCAGGCCCTATTTCGAGGACCAATGACCACTGCCGGAGACCAACGGCGATCCGCTGGGAAGCCATATCGTCATGTTGCCCCGGGGAACAGACGTTTCGGTCTCATTTCCAGGGAGTGTTCATGTAACTACGCGCTGTCCTGATGTCGGCGAGGTGTTTTGTGTATATTTTTGGAACACGGAGAAGTCGTTTGGTTGGATGAGAGTCCTCGCGCTTGCGCTGAGCGCTTAAAACAGATCACGTGCTAGATCCAAATGCAATGACACCGCATAGACTTCCTGAAAAAGGGATGATGATGTGAGATATTTAGTGTTGTTTTTAGAGATAACTGCAGAAAAGCTTGTTGGTGGAGGAATTATAATAGACACATGCTGCTTCTCTTCGGCAACATCGTTGCATCGCAATCCAAGCTCCAACTCCTCCTGACTAGAAGACCACAGTAGCTCAATGGATTCCTGCAAGCTAATGGAGGAGAGCCTCCTTTTCTTCTAAAGTAATCGATATAACCCCGAGAATGTCTCGCACAGTCCTACAGAGGTCAAGGGAACGGTTGTTGATATTGTATTGGATTCATCTTCTTTATTCGTGGTATCTAAGGCTCCGGTTTGCCTGTGCAACGCTCTGATGTAGGGTTTCCTCCCATGATCAAGCACCCCCCCACCCCCGAGGTCTCCTTCATAGCCGCGCATAGTTTCTTAAATGGCGCTAAGGCTGCTCCCTTTTCCCTCTATAGAATCAATGTAAACGCCCGCTTTTATGAGGCTCGTGGAATTTGTGAAAAAGAGAAATCATTACCCAAGCCCGTGCCTAGGACTGAAGGTTGGTTCCAGCACGGCTCGACTTGATGACGTCCTTCACGATTGTCTCCGTCTTGTCCCAATCATCTTGGTCGAGCTTCACCAAATCGATACCGTAATGGGCAGCGATCTGAGAAAGTGCAGCAAAACTCTTTCTGTCAAAGACGAAGCTTATGCTGACACCGACACGTCCGAATCTGCCAGTGCGACCGATACGGTGAAGATAAGTCTCTGGATCAGGCTCTGCATCACTTCGGCCCTTCATGGGAATATCGTAGTTGATGACCATGGACACCGAGGAGACATCGATACCACGGGCAAGAACGTTGGTCGTGATGAGAACCTTCGCCTTTCCTGATCGGAAGTCCTCAACGATGCTGTCGCGCTCTGCACCTTCAAAAGCGCTATGTACAGCTACAACTTTATGCCCGTCTTGTGTAAGGCGCGCGGCAATTTGCGATGCAGTATCCTTCTTCTGTAATTTGCTAAGTGAGGGCTTGTCTCAAGACTATGATTGGTGGATCTTACCTTGACAAAGATGATTGATGATCCGATTGTCATTAGTCCATAAAGTGATGCTAGAATGTCGTACTTTCCCTCGTCAGAAGGGCAGTCCATGTACATCTGCTTGATTCCGCCAACAGTAAGCTCGTCCCGCTTCAGTTTGATCTCGTTCGCCCCGGGGCTAAATTGTTGTGCATATCTCATGACGGTATCGGGAAACGTAGCTGAAAACAAAAGGATTTGGTCAATTCTTGGAATCATCCTGTCTTAATGTAAGCGGAGCTCTCTAAGTTCAACGGGTGGATACGAACTGTTTGACACGAAGACACTGGTCACCTAGACCTTGTTGATCCAACATATTATCGGCCTCGTCCAAGCACATGACTTTCATGTTGGATACGTCGAACTGTCTTCTCTTGATGAGATCCATCACAGTACCTGGTGTACCAACAACGACCATGGCTTGAACCTTGGCGTTTCGCTCCACGGCGCCCGGAACAGCCGCTTGAATAGTCAGACCAGGGACGAATTGGCCAATGCTCTTGACAACACCCTCGATTTGGCGCGCCAGTTCACGGCTAGGAGCGAGGCAGAGAGCTTGTGGCTGATGCGGCTTGGTGTAGTCAAGGCGAGAAAGAATGGTGATGACGAAAGCTGCCGTCTTGCCGGTTCCTGACTGTGACTGAGCGATCATGTTGGTTGGAGGATTTGAGAGTAAGAGAGGAAGAGCTTTTTCTTGGATTTTTGAGGGCTTCTTGAAGTTCATGGAATAGAGACCAGCCAATATACTCTGGTTGCTGTTCGCTGTTAGTTAGTACTCATTTGAAATTCAAGCAGGACTACTCACATTCCCAACTCCTCGAATGTGCTGACTGAGAACAACGGGCTGTTCACGTCGCCTTGGATATCGCTCAACTTGACTTCAACTTCATACTGTGCGTCATGAAGGCCTGAACCAGCGTGAGGTGCAGTTGCGCCATCCAGCTGTGCTTCTTCAAGAGTGCCTTCAAGCCGCTTTGACTCGGTTCCGACAGGCGACGCAACTTCGTCAGCCCACGAGTTCGAGGGATTCGGTGCGCCGGGTGTGAATGATGTAGTTGCCGCGTCAAGCTTGGAGGCTGCAGGGCCAGTAATGCGGTCCGCAAGGGAGCCGCTGGCCTTTGGTGTCTCTGACATTTCGAGGGTGGTTTGACTTGGTGTGACTTGGAGATCAGAGAGAAGCTTAGTGAGGACGTCGAGTAGTGATCGCGGGAGATACGTGGGAGCTTATGCTGTCTGCGAAAGGTGAATTCGAGACTAGGCTTCTGGAATGATTGTGGGGAAAATGGTGGAGAGCCTGAAAATGTCGCGTCGATCAGGAAGAGGGAATAAGATCGGGAACTTGAATGAATCAAGATGGAGAATAGAATCGCGGATGGTCGCGTATTATATGCGACCAGAAGGTGGTGAGATAATATGAAGTTGTTTCGCAACAGCTTTCAAGGTCGAGCTCAAAGAAGCTCTGGGTGAATTTTGGCGATGGCGGGGTCATCTAATGCCTCGGATTTCAGGCTTACATTGAGGCACGAATGCCGGCTCGGGACAATCGGCCCGGGCTGGAACTTCGAAGCCCACAATGCATTCAGGCTTCATCGAACTGAGTGGGGTGCTGCGCCTTCATACAGCCCGCGACAGAACTCAAAAACCTCCGACGTCCGATTATGCGGCTTCACAATCTTGCATGCATTCCATGATTTTAGCTGTTCTGGTTCATCGCTGTGGTGGTAATCATGGCAGATGTAGACATTGCTCCAAATTTTGGCCTCGAACTGAAGGTACGCGACGCTTGCATAATTTCCTCGAAATCGCATAGCTAACAAATGGACTTTTTCAGGATGCCTTCAAGCCGGTCAATTCTTGGGTGGCAGGCGGAATCACCTGGCTTGACGATATCCAGCAGTTTTACCGGGAGCGAAGTGTCATCGAGAAGGAATATAGCGCAAAGCTTGCTGCGCTGGCAAAGAAATACTATGAGAAAAAGGCGAAGAAGTCGAGCAGCCTGAGTGTTGGAGATACGCCAGCTATGACCCCAGGATCATTGGAGAGGTATGGGCTGGTCGTGAAGTTCGAAGGAATACATGGCTGACGCGGCTCTCCTCAAGCGCATCCCTCACCACATGGACCACACAACTCACAACGGTCGAGTCTCGAGCGGCGGAACACGACCGATACGGAACAGAGCTGATCACACATATCGCAGAGCCTTTGAAAGTACTTGCGACTCGCTATGAGGATCTCCGCAAACGTCATGTCGAGTATGCGGATAAATTGGAGAAGGAAAGGGATTCAACATACAGCGATTTACGCAAGATGAAGGGCAAATACGATGCTGCATGTCAAGAAGTCGAAAGCAAGCGGAAGAAGGCAGAATCCTCATTCGACTACTCGAAAACAAAAGCCCAGAATGCCTACCAACAGCAGATACTTGAGATGCACAATGTCAAGAACAGCTACCTGATTGCAATCAATGTCACAAATAAGCAGAAAGAAAAATACTACCACGAATATGTTCCAGAACTCTTGGACAGTCTGCAGGACTTGTCAGAATCACGGACGACCAAGTTGAACGGGATATGGTCACTTGCGGTGCAGCTCGAGGCTGGTGCGTTGAAACGAAGCACCGATTTCGTCAATCATCTGTCCCAGGAAATACCTAGAAACCAACCTTCCCTGGATTCAATGATGTTTGTGAGGCACAATGCAGGACCGTGGCAAGAACCGGGAAACAAAGTATTCGAGCCCAGCCCTATATGGCACGACGACGATGCTATGGTAGTGGACGATACCGCAAAGGTCTTCTTGCGTAATGTACTTGGGAAATCCAAAGCGCAACTCGGGGACTTAAGGAGAGAAGTTGACAAAAAGCGAAGGGAAGTGGAAGGCACAAAACGAGTGAAGCAACAAATTCGAGAAGGCAAGGACAAGAGGGATGAGGTTGAGGTGGTGAGGGCTATTTTTGCAATGCAAGAAGAGTTACACCAAGTTGATCACAAGCGATTGACCGCAGAAGTTGAGACCTCAACGATCACGGCGGCCGTGGGCGATGTTACACTTGGGGCAAAGAGTCACAACTTCAAATCTCAGACCTTCAAGATACCCACAAATTGTGATTTGTGTGGTGATCGAATATGGGGTCTTTCTGCCAAAGGGTTCGACTGCAGGGACTGCGGTTACACATGTCACAGCAAATGTGAGATGAAGGTTCCTGCTGAATGTCCTGGAGAGCAGAATAAGGAGGAGAGGAAGAAGCTGAAAGCAGAGCGCCAGGAAACTGCAAACTCGCTCAAGAGCCCGACTTCGACTGGTCTTTCTGATAGTATCACTGAATTGCCTACGATGAGTCGGTCAAATACCATGAATTCTTTGAGCTCTGGTTACGCGGCTAGTGCCCATCGATCGGTTTCTGGCAGTGGACTCAGGTCTCCAGCTGAAGAGACGCCTCCCGAGAGGCCGACGTCTCTCAAGCCAGACATCAGTGGACCTAACACGCTGAGGAAGAACAGAGTTGTGGCACCACCGCCTGCTGCCTATATCAGCGAGTTACCTGGGAGCGCACCTGTCAATGGGTCAGGATCTACATCGAACGACCAGAAGGGCAAGATGCTCTATTCTTATGATGCAAATGGAGATGGCGAGGTGACAGTGGCCGAGGGTAAAGAAGTCACAATCCTCGAGCCAGATGGTAAGCAAAAACGCCGTACCTGCTTCGAAATCTACTGACGTTGCGGGCAGATGGAGGATGGATCAAAGTCAGAACAGCTGGCTTCAAAGAAGGTCTCGTGCCAACGGCATATGTTGAAATTCTCGCATCAGCTCCCCGGCCCTCATCCATCTATTCCAATTCCGGATCGTCAATGGGCGGCAGCGTAACGACGAAGAAGCAAGGCCCAGCAGTAGCGCCCAGACGAGGAGCAAAGAAGCTCAAATACGTAGAAGCACTCTACGAGTATACTGCACAGAGCGAGGCAGAGCACAGCATGTACGAAGGCGAGAGATTCGTACTGATTAAAGAAGACCCAGGTGATGGATGGGCAGAGGTTGAGAAAGGGGGAGTCACGAAAAGCGTGCCAGCGAATTACGTTCACGCTGTATAGCGAGCGACATTGCGTACGAAGTTACGAGAGATGGGCAAGCGAAAGGGTGCATGGAGAATGGGCATTTTTGGATTCGTGTGTACTCGCACGATTTTGATCACAGTCTTAGGCTGAGGCATCGAGAGCGTTGAAGTGGAGTCTGTTCTGGGTCTTGTGTAGATTGCCGGTGGGCCATCGTGTTCCAACTTCCAAGAAGTAGTGGCAGGCACAGCCTGCACACGAGTCGATACTTCCAACAAGAACAAGACTTTTGCATGCGTGTCCTGCATGCTTGGGATTTCCACCTGGTCAATCAACCTCACTGCTAATCCCCAACCACAATCGCCAAGTGTGTTCCAAGACCGGCCACCGAAGTGGCAATTTCTGCCGTCTCGCACCGCCATCGTATTTATTTTCGCTTGCTTGTTCTAAAAATAAAGGATCACTCAAAATGTGTGTCTTTTCATTCTTCAAGCAGGAAAACTGCAGCATAAGAAGATCTGACTGAATATCTCGATGACCTCACCGATCTTCCCTTGCCAGTGATTTGCGGCATCCGGACCCCGCTGAAACACGCGTGAATCGCGACAGCTGGCAGCGGCAGGCCAGGGCAGCTTGGGGAGGGTTTGGCCCCGCGGCACGCCAAGAAATCGGCATCAGAGGGTATTGGCTGCGGTGGATATCACCGAAACGAAGGGCAAATCTCGCTTGGTCGGAGGCTGGGGGGCTGTGTTGAAGATCTCGATTTCCATTGATTGTCCATTGATTGGCACCGTGGTGTTGAAGATTATTGGGGGGTGTGCAGAGTTGATACGGGATGGGGCCGGGGGCTGATGATACGGGGGACGGGTCACGGAGCATTTTCGAGATACTGCACAAGTACTGTTCTTCGGCGTGTGTGCGGTACGCTTGTTTAGGGGAGGCAGGGAGCCCTTTGACTTGATCGTGGCAGAGAGAGCAAGCGCTGGCGAGGTTACTTCATCGACCCTTCAAATGCAGCTCACCCATGCTCGAAATAGAGTGGTGGCACTGGTGGCCGCTCATGGCGTGTTAAAAAGCTGGCTGGTGCCGTGGACGCCCACGCCCAACCCCCCTGCGAGCCAAGGGCAGCCGAGCCTGCCCCCCCTGAAAATCAACCTCCGCCAGCGTTCCAAAGCAGCTAGCGCCCAGCCACCATATCCCCCTGCCCACACATTTGACCTCAAATCCCGGCCGTGTCAAATGTCCTGCCAGCTTCTCCCTTTTCTTCTTCCTCTCCCCCTCAAAACTTCATCCTCGATCATATTTCATCTGCATTGTCGGGCCCAGTCATTCGTTGCAACTGCCCTTTTGCCCTTTTATATTGACTTCTAATTCGAACCTTCTTTGATCGGTCTCTCACTCACTTGAGACGCTCAACAATCGTTTTACATTTACTGCCAAATTCTCAAATCTCCTCAACCCACTTCTCCACGCCTATCCGCATTAGTTCATCCCATATTATCGTCCCGAAAATGAAGACATTCAATGCAATTGCAGCTCTGGCTGCAGCTACCTCCGTTTACGCTGCGCCCTCTCCCACAGAGCAACTCGAAGCTCGAGCATCATCTCTTACTGCAATCACAGTCAAGGGCAATGGTACGCCGTCGATACGCGATAACCCATCAATCACCAACTGACATGTTCCAGCTTTCTTCCAAGGAAACAACCGATTCTATATCCGCGGCGTCGACTATCAACCAGGAGGATCTTCGAAGCTCGTGGACCCCTTGGCCGATTCCACCGCCTGTACGCGTGATATCGCCGAATTCAAGAAGCTTGGCTTGAACACCGTCCGTGTCTACACTGTCGACAATACTGTAAACCACGATGCTTGCATGTCAGCGTTGGCCGCTGCAGGCATGTACTTAGTGCTAGACGTCAACACACCTCTCTACTCCCTCAACAGAGCCACCCCAGCACCATCCTACAACTCCGTCTACCTCCAGAACATCTTCGCCACCATCGATGCGTTCGCAAACTACACGAACACCTTGGCTTTCTTCTCCGGTAACGAGGTTATCAACGATGATTCTACTACCTCCGCTGCACCATACGTCAAGGCCGTCACTCGTGATATGAGACAGTACATTGGAAGCCGTGGATACCGCCAAATTCCTTGTGGATACTCAGCAGCTGATGTCGACTCCAACCGTCTCGAGATGGCTGAATACATGAACTGCGGTACCGCTGATGAGCGCAGCGACTTCTTTGCTTTCAACGACTACTCCTGGTGTGATCCTTCTTCATTCCAGATTTCCGGATGGGAGCAGAAAGTTAAGAACTTCACCGGCTATGGCCTCCCAATCTTGTAAGTCATCCACCTCCAGTCTCGGAACTCGTGAGCTAATTGTTACCTAGCCTCTCTGAGTATGGTTGCAATACCAACACCCGTAAATTCGAGGAAGTTGCTGCTCTCTACAACACGGAGATGACCAGCGTCTACTCTGGTGGTCTCGTTTATGAGTACTCTGAGGAAGGTAGCAAATACGGCCTCGTCACCATCAACTCTGATGGAACGATCACCGAAGGAGCTGATTACGCCGCTCTCAAGACCGCCCTGGCTGGAACCGCTCCCCCAACCGGAGACGGAGGATACAACTCCACAGGAGGAGCATCCGGCTGCCCTGCCAAGTCCGCTAACTGGGACGTCAGCGGTGATTCTCTTCCAGCCATTCCCTCCGCTGCGGCAGACATGATGAAGACTGGTGCAGGCAAGGGTTTCGGTCTCACGGGCACCGGATCCCAGAACGCTGGTGGAACTTCGACTGGAACTGCTACTCCTGGCTCTGGATCCGTCACTGCTACCAGCACTGCGAAGAAGAGCTCTGCTCCTGGCCGTCAGCCCCCGTTCGACAAGACCCCTATCTTGGTTGCAGGTTTGGCTGTCGCTTTCTCTCTCTTCGGAGCTTGTCTGCTATAAATGATCGGATGGAGTGTACATAAGGAGTGTCAAGTACGTAACAAGGTATGGAAGGAATCAGAGGGCTGAGACTGGATCTTGCATGGATAGAGGTATACCACTGACACGAACCTGGAAACGGCTGTTGCTGATGGATTGGCATTCTCGGTGTTCTCGTTTGTTTTTCTTCTTGTGGGTGTATGAGTCAAAAATTGCCTTCTATGTAACAAAAGGCCTGTTCGACATGGCGTGTGCTAGGCATGTCAAGATAGCTGGCTGAGGAAGAGCTGTATGACAATAGAATCTTTAAATTGTAACTTCACTTCTGTTCTTGCTCCCTTTGTTTCGCAACCTACAATTCCGAGCTCACTTCTCTGAATTGGTACAAGTTCCCTTTTGCATGCATGCAAAGCAAAGGGGTCACCAAGGTGTCACCCTCTGAGTAAAATCCTCGCTTAGAAGTTGGAATGCAATAAAAGGGGGGTCCACGCATCCTCGCCTGAGGTTGTAACAACCAATAACAACCTGGCTCCCGGCCAGGGGGAATGAGATACCTTCGCCGTAACTGTGCTGAAGCGAAGCCTCTTCATGTTGGCACCAGGTACGATGCAGAACTCGTTTATGTACTGTGCCTCTTCCTACACCGGCTTTAGTGAGCTTATTCAAGTATCCAAAACATCCACCGACGGTTGACCAACAGAGTAGTTTAAGTACATTGAATGTTTTTCTGAAAGGATATATATATTTAAAAAGTAAATTCTGTTGGAGTGGAAGGCAAGCATTGCAGTTATGTTTTACGTGAGAGACATCTTCTAAGAGCTCGCGAAGAAGCATTCTATTTCTGTCTCGCCGCTCGAGGAAGCTTCGAGGGCAGTTCAGGATGTCGTAATCAACGATTCTCATCCAGCCCTCTCACCCAATCATGCGCTCCGCTATCGATTAAGCCATTCCCTCCCCTTAAGGGTTTTCTTTTCTTGCTTTGTTCGCTTCTCCTGCCACAGCCGTTGCAATGCCCTTCCGGATGAGCTGTTTCCAAACTGATCAGAAGGAAAGGGCTTTGATTAGAACAGGCGAGTGGGACGCTTTCGGTGTAATGCTGCTCCAGCCGAAGCCCCTTCAATATGCATATAAGATATTTCATCAGACAAATCCCATCGGGCGAGTTTGTGTGAATGCACATCACGCAGTTATTAACTGATTCGCATTGGAGTCCTTCACACGTCAGCCTCGTCCACCCAGAGAGAAGCTCCCTTTGGACACAAAAGACCTATATATATTTCCCCAGACTAACCCAAACCACCTGGGGAAAGCCTCTTTCTCAACTCCTCGGAGTGTCACAAAACATAAGAGTCGTTGACCCGTTACCTAGCCTCTCTAATCCAAGGCCGGTAGAGACTCAAGTACTATGCCTAGGACTCTCTCGCACAGGAACTCTGTGTTCGTTACCTCTCGCCCAAAATTACCAACTGGATGCTTATTGATTAATGGAATGCAAAGCGCTGTGCACTACTCTCAAAATCCTGGGGTATAAATCCGACTGTTTCAAAGAAATGTCCTCTGTGGAGGCAATGAAGAATAAACACCTGTCCTGCTGGAACGAAGCTCTCAAAACAACGATTTCTAGGGAGGGGAAGCCTCTCTCTCGTGCGGAGCTTGATAAGGTGCTTGGGAGGTACAGTGTAGAAGACTCCCTCTCCTTCTTGCCCTCATTCTAGACTTCTCTTTGTTCCCGCCTAAATACTTCTCTGGGGATTGGCTGAGTGAGAGAGACAGTGTTGATGAAAGGCCACATCCGACGGACCAACAGCCCTCTTCGTAGACGCTCGCCACCTACCCAAACGCAACACGCGCAATGCTGATAAATGGCTCGCATCTATGGAGGCGTCCTACTACGAGATCCTGAGCTGGCGGTCCTGGCGTGTACTGTGCCTTTCCGACCCCGTCAGTCCCTCCCCCTTTTCCACTTACCCAAATCCCCTTAGCATGCAAACTCCAAACAAAGCAACTCGATCAGGAATCGAAAAGTTGATGAAAGCGGCGTATAGATGCTCGACACATTTATCTCAATCCTCTCTCTCTCCCTCCCCCCTCTCTCTGGACCTCCGGCTCCTCTTGCTCGCGCCCTGTGCTCCGCGGGGCCCGGTTTCCTTGCTCATAACGAGTACGTTTCGCTCCATCGTGCCCAGGGAACAATTGCTCGAGTATACGATCCAAGAGGGCTGGGGGGCCCGCCGTGCGCGTTTCCGAGGAAGCGTTCCCGAGGATTGATGAGGGGGATAAACGACCAAGATATTCAGGACTACCTTTTGGGCTAAGGAGGTGATTGCGAGGATGGGGGTGGTTTGGAGGAGGAGCGGGCGTTTTTGAGAGATTGGTGCGGTGAATTGAAGGGCATTCTGCTCCTAGCTCCAATCAACCCCTTCTCGTTGCAATCTCGAACTGCAGCTCAACAAACCCCCAGCTCGTCTGCTTCAAGCTTCAACATCGTCCCCGAAACCCAGTCGATCAAGTGCTGCAGCTTTAATCAGCAATCACTATTTCCTTGTAGCTCTTGACATGGAGTTCGAGCATCGGAGGAACTGAAAATGCAAAAGGTATCTATCTTCTAGATGCCGAGTTCGCTATAAAACGAGCTCCCAGAGAAGGTCATCAGCAGCCAACCAGGCTCCTCGAGATCGGGCTGTATGAGACGGCCGAAACTACACCATTGAATCTTAATGCCTAGCCTGAGCCATTGCAGGTATAAAACACAATCCATCAAATTGACAACCGGAAACCTAGACTAGCTGAGAGCTGGAGCTTCAATGAATAATGTGCCGAAGACTTTCCAGGACGTTTTCACCATAGAGAGTAATACATCTTACTCATGGATCGATTCCGGCGCATCGTCCAGAATTCACTCGAAGATATGAACGAGGAAGCTTCACGATAAGTGAGATCGAGGGTATAGTTCAATCCACAGAGCAAAGCAAAGCCTCGGTACTCTCCTCACACCTACTCACTCGTTCTCTCTGCGTGTTGTGGGAGTTTCGCATCCCCGTTTCCACTTAGGCCAGATCCACAACTCCTCGTTGCGTGTGGCCGTCCAACCTGCTCAACCCGTGCAGCATCACGCTTTTGACACGACAATCTTCAATACCCCCCAACAACCACCCCCATGCAGCAGCCAGCAAGCCTTCTTCCAAGCTGTCAAAAACCAAAGAGAGGATGGTTTCATTGGCGACAAAAATCATTCCCTCAGATGCGATAAATTGCCAGTCTCCATTCCCTTTCAAACGACGAATTGCACTCCCACCAGAGCGTCCCAACCCGTGCTCTCTGCCCTTTTCACTCCGCCTCACCAAAGCAAGGGCTCGTCGGGTCCCCCCTTCTGCAACGTAGCAAACATACACGTCTTTCATTCAATAGTGCCTCGGAATTCTCCAAGCCGAAAATGGCCCTTCCTACTCCCTTCGGGTAACCTCGAGGACGTGAAGGGATACTTAAATAATGATCGAAGTCGAGCCAGACCAAAGTTCGTATGAGTCTATCCCACTCAAATACACAAACTTGACTTTTTTTAATGTCCAAGGCTAGATGAAAATACGGACTTTTGACTTGTTCCGAAACCCTCCTGTTCCTTACCATCCCCCGCCCGCATGATGTGAAATCCTAGCAATTTGGCAGCGCGCTATTCTGAATTGTTCTACACACCTGAAAAAACACACTGTACTGTACAAAAATTATAAAATGAAAAAAATGAAAAAAATGAAAAAAACTCTAGTAAAACAGGGAACGAGAAGAAAAAAGTGGAAAAGTTTGCCGTTCTTGTCATGAAACGGATATGCCGTTATTTGCTTAATTTATTTAATATAATTTTTCTCTCGGATTATCGTCTGTCCGACGTTTTATTGAACGGACGAGGCACCCCTTTCCATCCGATCTCTAGATCTGCAGAAATCGAAGAGAAAGCCCGTTGTGCCTGCATGAACCGAACACATGTGGAACATCCAGATCATAGATAGGCAGGTGTCTGGTAGCGTAGTCAAGAAATCCGAGTATATACTTCTAGATGTATGAGTCCGGGCCTGGTAGCTTTCCCTAGGATGTACGAGCACACTTGGGACATGAGAACGAAGATTTGTGTCGAGAGCGATGGTTGGCACTTGCCGAGGTACAATGCATCACGTGAAAGACAGAGAATGTCCTTGGTGATGTAGGAGAGAGGAGATGAAAGGAGAGGTCACCGGTATCCGGAGAAGGTATGGAGGGTAGCATCCACATCGATGCTCGCACACTGTATTATGTCGTCTATCATAGAGGGTAAATATGCTAAACTGAATGATGATCCGTGGATCCATCCAGGGTGTATACAAGCCTCTTCAAGTCGAGGCTATCGATATTCATGATATCGTCGTGATATCGTGCATGCGTAAGCTGCACTCTACACCAAGGCACAGTCCATTTTGTTGCGTATGTTGCTGTGTCTCCACGCCCCTGAATCCACACGATGGGCCTAATTCCTAAAAGCAATTGCTCTTGCTCACACTCTGAACGCCAATCTATTCCCATCCCGATTTTGCTCCAACCCACTGATCGATGCTCCGCTGATTCCATACAGAAAATACAATTCCATTACTCCGGTACACTCTTAGGTTTCCGCCGTCTCATTCTTGGAATAGATCTGACGTTCGTTCTTCCTGCAGCGTTGACAGCCGCGACGCATTCGGCGCTCCCCCGCCATCTCATCACACCGTACTTTCGGATTCCACTGGGCGTACTCGCCCGCCGTAATGTCATCTCTTCCTCAATACCCCAGTCCTCATCAGCAATCTCGGAGAAGCCTTCGTCCTCGTCAGGAATATTGCTCCCTCGGAACTGATACCCAGTCGTGTCAACGACTAACTCTTCTCTTCCTGCTCGGCTTGGTGGCGGACTTGAAAGGTATGGCCTTGATGTAGATTTGTGGAGGGTACATTGTGAGTTGGTGACGATCATATGATCGACCAAGGCGTTGATGTCACGAATATGGCTGCTGGAAGCTTGTAGCTGCACGTTGAGCTGGCGTTGCAGTCGACGACAAGCAATAGTTCCGCCTTGTGGGCAAGGGAGGGAAGGGAGGCCAGGTAAGGATTGTGTATATGGTGATGCGGGCACGCTGATCATCCCACGCGTTGTCGAGGTATAGGACATTTCTTCTGGTGTAAACTCGTCGTCCATATCGAAATCTGGACTAGGTAACGGATCGTCCCGCCCTTGCCACACTGATGGTTGTGGTAATTCATCGTCCTCACGACGTAGTGACTGCTGGGAGAATTTGTGGATGATGCCGTCGACGGTATCTTCTTGATAGGGACTCCATGGAGGCAATGGCGACTGTCGTGTCGCCGATACAGGCGAGGGGAAGGATATGTCGGTGGGTGAGGCGGAAATCGTCTCTTCTTGCTGATCGGTTGGTTGTGCCTGAGCGGCAAACGTGAAGTGCTTGAACATGGTGATAAAATTTGATTACAGTATTACCGTGCCTCGAGGATCAATGGATCATCATCGATGCAGTTCCAGAAGGAAGAAAGAATGGGGGATGGTGCGATTATGAGTCCATTCGCAGGCCCAGACGAAACGTCGCGGCTGAATCCAGAGCTGAGAGCTCGCGATCCGGGAACAGAGGGAGCAATAATGCCTCGAGTCGTGGGGCCAGTGCTAAGCTGTCTCGAGTCGATTTCCAGCAGAAGGGCGTTTGCGCACGGGAAGACGATGCTGAAGTCGAGTCTGTTCGTGCGGGAGACGCTCCTATTATTTCGATGCAGCTGTAAAGTTAAGGGTGAGGGTGAGGGTGAGGGTGGAATGGGTCGAGGTGGAGGTCGAGGTGGAGGTCGGGGTGGAGGTCGAGTTCGAGTTCGTTGGGTAGCAGGATGCGATGATGGCGAGAGGACGGAGGAGCGAAACAGTTCGGCCTGGCCTGCCTGTCGCTTGGCGGGAGAGCAGCACCAAGCACGCATCAACCATCAACCCAATATCCCGCACCCGGCACCAGCACCGCACCAGCACCCAGCACCCAGCACCCAGGATTCCAGCGAGCAGAGGGAGCGACACCCACACTAGCGGCTAGCGTGCGCCTCCACGGGTGGGACTAGGTTGCATTGGGAAGCTCGCCGCTGCTCGATTGGACGAGAGGCCACTGGGCAGGGATGCAGGGATTCCGCCATTTTTGGTCAGGGTTCTTTCCTGTGTCGCACTGTCGCACCGTCGCTGTGTCTGTCGCTGCTTGCCCGAGCGGCCTGTTCGCGCTGGACCGCTGGTGCAAGCGAGCACGTGCGCACAGTTGAATCCCATGGCCATGGCCTGGACCAGGAAGCGGGCTCCGATGCGATCTACTACGTATATCCCGAGTTGCTACATATATCAGTGTCAAGGCCTTCAACTACTGCCATGCGATGCCATGCGATGCCATGTTATGCCAGGCAGCCAGGCTCGGCTCTGCTCTGCTCGTGACACCATCACATTAAGCTTTTGCTTTTCCCTCGACGTGCCTGTACAGTACCGACCCGCTGGATTTGGATAGGGAGCGGGATTTGGGGAAGACCGCGGCTGCATCAGCCTGTTCGTGTTCACGAGTCACGACCATCAATAATCAAGGGGCTTCACAACTCGCAGCAATAAGGCCGAGGCGTTGCTCCCTCCTGGAAGAGTATGATGAAGGGATGAAGGGGTGAAGCGATCATCGATGGAGCGATGAAGGCCCCATCTCGACCAATCTGTCAACTGGGCAAGCCAGTTTGAGCAGACCTGTCCTCCGTCCAGCACGTCTGCAGGTCTGCAGGTCTGCAGGTGCAACTCAATTTTCAGTCTGGCGGCCCTGGCGGGAATATGATCTTGGCCTTGTCTCGACTCCCGGCGCGCGGCATGCTTTGTTCTCCCCACCGGATCCAGCCATCCAGCCAATGCTTTGCGCCTCCCCAGAGCCCTGCCTTCCAAAGGCGGCCACGGGTCGAGCTGAAGAGCAAATCACGTCGCCCGTTCATCAGAAATGACGAACGCCTGCAGCAGCAACTGATCGATGCATCGACGATGGGCCCTCAGCATTGCTGCTCTCCCGTGTTTGGTTGAATGAGGGGGGGAAGGGGGGGGGCGATGGTCGGGCAAACACTGGCCATGTTTCGGCACAGCCCAAGCCCACGCTCGCGGTGGCCCCCTCCATGCCGGTCAGACCATCCCACTCCGGGTGCAGCGCTCCACTCTGGCTGCTTGGCCACTTGGCTGCTTCCAATCACCGCATGCTGGGGAACGCTGCAGAAACAGGCTAGCCCCAGAGCCGCCCATCCCCCCCTCGTCCTTGGCACGACCAGCCGCCAGCAGAAATCCGGGAAATCGGCTACGCCAATAAATGGGCGCTGCTGCCCCGATCAGCTGCCAAAACCCGCGGTCGCTGCAGCCAGCCTTGGCTCGCCATGGGTCTGAGCTGACCTTCTAGCGCCCTTCTAGAAGGATCAGCACGGATCAGCATACGGAGGAGCATCACAGATCAGCCGTGGGAGGCGAGCCCCGAGGCATGTACAGTATGTACCTTTACCGAAGTCTGGACGAGCCAGAGGCGGCCGGCGTGAGTCGTGACGGAGTGTCCGACCAAAAAGAAAGGGGCAACCACAGAGGCGGCATCCTCTGATCTTGTTCGTCCAGATATGTATCAGCCGTGATGTTGACACTTCGCAGACAGCATGAAGCCATTCAGCCCTCAATGAGTAGTGCGCTGTCCTGCTCGTTCGCGAGCAAGTAGGGATCATCCTATATCTTTCGGCCTATTTTCTGATGTGGATGGAGGATCCGCCGCTGTTGGCCAGCCTGCCTGATTCGAAATGAGACCTGAAATTATGGAATTCTGGCGTCAAGCCCCCACCAAGTCATCGGCGCGTCCCAGTGTGAAGGCGCCGGGAATTTGATTCGCGTCTTCCTCATTCCATTCGTCGAGTCTATCTCGGAGACTTTGGCCCTCGGGACGTTGTTGTGGGCTGCTGACAGCTTGCGCGATCCGGAACTTCAGCCCTGAGTCTGCTCTAGAGTGACACCTTCTTGATTCGTTACCGAGCAGCGAGGTCCAGGAAGGTTACCATCTCCATGTGAAACGCTGTTTCTGCTCTCATTTCTGCCCTTGTATCATTGGAAGGGGTACGGCTTGCAGTGAACGGCTCGCCTTTGACTCCGTTAAATCAGGGGCATCCCCACGATAGCGAGGTCTATCTGCAATGCTGTTTGGCTCTGGCCGTGGAGGCTATGTATTCAAAACGTTGGGAAAGGGCCGAAAGAAGTCTTTCGATGCATTTCCGAACTCCGTCCCTTGATTTGACCCCCAACATCCTGAAGCGCTGGTTTGAAACTCTATTTGCACGTCCTCATTTGTCGACGCTCGGTTCACAGTACTGTACAGTACAAGCAGGGGCTGAGCTGGAGGACTGCAAAAAGTCGCACTATCAGCCGCGCTGCACAACACATGCTCCATCTCTCATAAACCTCGGAACACATCCTGTCCACTCCCATCTCTATCAAAACCACCTTCCAGAACACTGCTAAATCTATGAGAGGACAACAATGCTGTACCTCTCGAAGACGTCTGGTTGCCTCCTATCCAGTCCCGCATGCACACCATCTTCCCAGAATATTACCTAGCCTAATATCGAAGCATCTCAGCAAGTAGATTGAAATGAAAGCAAGACTTTCTGCGACCAAACAGCAGGCTGCATCCATCGTTTGCCGCTTTACTCTGCCCCGATCTCGAAGTCGTCATTCGTTAAAAAAATCTTCTAGAATATTTCCTAGTTTTAAAATTAGTCGGAGCTCAGCTCCCTCAAACTAACTCTTATTCTTGAAAGCTCTGCTAAGAGTTAGCTCACAGACGAAAAGGACCGTTAACCTCTTTCAGCGAAGATCACCCCCCCTTTTCAACCGCAATCCATAACATCCTTCCTCATTCGTCCATTCAATACTCCATCAAAATGTCTCATCTCACTTCAGAATTCAACGCAATTCTCTCTCAGGTAACTCGAATTTTCTTTCTCTTTGAATGCTGACTCTGGCTCGATGCAATCCTCGACAGAAGTTACCTGTCAGCCAGCTTATCTCATCTCACACTCCTCGAATCAGAACAAGATCAAGCTGCGGGTCCTTGTACCCTACCATATTCCCTCTGTTTTCTAGAATATTACTCTGTTTTGAACGAAAGGTCAGCTCAGTTGACGAGACGGACTAGCGAACTCGCGCAGCCCGATCCAAACCCCTTTTATTCTCGGTGAGTACCGTAGTTGGTGGGTCCTTCCATCGATCTCATTCTCTGTTTCTGAAGTCAGTGTTTCTATTCGGTTCCAAGTGCCTAGAAGCCTCCACTTGGAGGCTCTTGGTGCATGGCATGCTGCTCACCTAAACAAGTCGGAGAAATCAAAATTTACTGTCCACTGATGTTGCTCCCAGAAACTCGATCTCAAATACATTCCGACGGTGAGGTGGTGGCCACTTCCATCGAAATCTGGTTCTGGAATCAACGGTTCCAAGGGCTAGAAGACCGTATCCTTAGGGCAACCGACCTAAATAAGTCGGAGGGAAGGAATCTCGCTCTCCTGCCCAGTGAGATTCTTTTCCACGTCAGGAGCATGACTACCGGTTGTCGCACCAAGTCGTACACCCAGAATTTCAAAAGGTGGGAACAGCCCAGGACTCTGGGCTTGGGATACACGACGCTGTCACCTGTCTCGGCTGTTGTTAACTTAAATTGCTCCATGGAGATCTGGAGATGGGAATTCGATTGGCGAGATGCCAAGAGAAGCCGTTTAGCAGCTTTAAGGTAGTCGGAGGTGAAGCCTGACTATTTTAGATTGAGATAGGGAGGGTGGACTCGGTAGTTAGAATCGGAAGTAAAGATTCATGTCTAAGACACCAAGATCTCATCTCTGCTCTCGAGAGGGAACCAGGGAAGCCAGAATGGAGAGCGAGCTCGCGAGGAAGCACTCTGGGTTTGATCATGTGGTGGGAAAAGGGGGGCATCAGGAGGGGCTCGGTTGCGAAGCGAGGTCCCAAGTCAAGTGCTGCTTGTATTCAAATGCACATCATGATTTAAAGCATTAAACATACATCATCGGATCCGTACTGGATTGGGATTTCTATCACTGCATTCCACACTTCCAAAATTCCGAGGACACTCAAAGGCATCAGCATCACCTTTCTTTCGCCCGTCTTCGGGTCCTTGCATGATTACCTTACATGCTTCTCACTTTTTGCTTTTTTCCTCCTCTCCAAAATCTCCGTTCGAGATTCGAGAAGTGGATTCGATAAGCAGTCAACCGAACAGTTAGTGCATAAGAGAATCCCATCCGGCGATCGATGGAAGAGTTGAGATGCAAGCCAACGGGCGGCAAGTCTTCCCTGGATACAAAAACGTTGGCCCCAGCTTCAGCCCAACTCTTTCAAGTTGAGTGGGGGGTGCGACGCCAAAAAAAAAAAAAAAACAGGAATGCCACCACGCGAACCCTACCTACCCGCCAAGTTAAGTCTCATCTCTCTGCGTGTGTGTGTTCGCTTAATAACTGCAATCTCGTCGTCACTCCCATTTGAGGTCAAGAAAAAAAGACGTTTTGTTTGTTCCGTATCAAGAAACGGCCCATTGGGGGTGGTTTTTCAAAACGCGGCATCTGCCGAAACAGGGGAAGAAGAGAAGGCCGCAAACCTCCGTCGGCCGGCTGGTTGGCTCGACTGCAAAGCAAAAACTCGGGCGTCGCGAATGAGATGAAGAAAAAACCGAAAACTCCCCCCGATCCATGTAGAGTATGTCTCGGGCATGTACATGCATGCTTTGCATTTCCCCGTGAGAATATACTGTACACTGTGTCTTTTTTTCTCTGCTTGCGTGTGTGAGAGAGGGTGGTTTGGTGGCTGTGGCTATGCGGAAGGAAGGCAGGAAGGATTTTTGGGGCGTGCAAGAGAGAGAGAGAGAGAGATGCGGGATGCCGTCGGGTGCGTGCATCGCGACGTCTCAGATACACGTGCGGAGTAAGAGTAATGATTGTTCAATCGAGTTAGTTGAAATGCGATATTTGCTTTGCCCCTTTTTTACAGTTCGTGTCTGGCTTCGTGTTGAAGGAGGTGGAATTCAGATGCACAAAAAAAAAGACACTGAACGCCGGGAAAGAGTAATCACCCCCTTTTTCAAACCCCGCAACCGAGGCCCCGTGGGAACACAACAAACTCTAATCCGCACAATCGACCTGACCGCCCATACTTCCTTCATATTCAGATCCTCACAACAGGCTGCCAGATCCCACTTGATGAATTGAGCGAACTCTGCACTATCTCCCCCTTCCCCTCCCCTCCAACCTTCCTGCTGGGAAAACCTAACCTGATCGCTCCACCCCGTGCTTACCACCGAAGCACCAGGACCCATTCCTTTCGTCCACGCCCCATTTACCCCCGAGACTTCGTTCGACTGCGGTGTATTCGCCCATCCAGGGCTCGTCCTTCCCGTTGCGTTCGACGATATAGCGGCCGGGAAACTAGATCGGGATAAGTTGTGAGCGGTGAATTGCGAGATGGTGGAGAGAGTCGTTGTGAAGGAGAGGTAGAAAAAGTCGGGGATGAAGGCCCAGGAGAGGGTTAGAGAGGTGGTTGGTGGGAGGATTAGAGGGCTGTTATAAGCGTTGCTGAATTGGTCAGTTGGGTTTGTACAATCATATAGTAAACGGGGGGAAACGCACGTAGTAGCCAGTTCCCGTTGATGTCCTCAACAGTGAAGATTGTGTTTGCTTTGCGTCCATGTAGACCACTTGTATGTACCCCGGAGCGTTGAAGGTTACGACTGCGAGACTGCTGCCTTGTACAGCTGCAGAAGCTATCACTACATCTTGTTCTGTCCCGTTTATTAAAGCTAGTTCGGTGACTTCGTGGTTGGTGTTACGGTAGAAGATTCGAAAGCCTTTTTTACTCTAAATCTGAGGAATACGGCTGCAATAGAGGAGTCTTCTGCAACCGGGCTTGGAGGGTGTTTGAGATCCGGTGTTGGTGAAGGTAGAGCAGCTGGTGGGTGTTAAGACTTGACAGGTCAGGTTCGCCAATACGATTTGGCTGTTGAGAATATAGAAGACGGGAGGGAAGGTTGTGCTGTCGGGGCTTTCGAAGCTGGTTGCTGCCAAGGGTATATTCTGAGTTAGCACATAGCTGAGAGTGATGACTTGGGCGGCGGAGTAGTTGTGTTGGTAGAGATGCGGTAGTTGATGGCGCTCGAGGTGAGGTCTTGGTAGACGAGTTGCATATTCCATTGTTTGACGTTCTTGACGGAGAGGTCGGAGGCTGCGAGGCCTGGGTGCGGCGCCGGATTCGAGCTTTGTTTTTTGGAGATGCCTACTGCGGCGCTGATGGCGATGTTGGCGAGGGAAAACAAGGCTGATATCGCCAGAATGACAAGGTATTTACGTTTCATGTACCTCGTTCTCCGAATCGGAGGTTTAAGTAAAAGAGTTTAACAAGCGCTCATTCAATGGTTCCACCTGGTAGACAACCCCTTCGGATCTATCATCAAATGAATATGCGGCCATGATTGCCTTGAACAGTTTCAGACTTCGGAATATCTGTGGTATATTCGGTACAGGGGAACATTGGTATCTTCGGACTCCTTCGCTGGCTTTCTAGGTGCGTGTATGTAGATAATGTGAAGTGACCAGCGTAAAGCCGTCTTGACTCCCCAGGGTTCATCTTTTGCCTCGACCATAACTCAACCAACAGACAGGAACTTTCGAACTCTTTTCAAGACGATCAATTTCAGAAGTCCGGCTTCATAGTGAACAAAAAGTATCAGGGAATGCTCTAGATATGAAATGTTATGTGAAATATCATATGAAAGGAATTCAGTCTTTGCACATCTAAATTTTCAGCTAAAAACTTCATATTCGAGTTGAATTACATATAGTGAGACTGTAGGGGAGATGGCATATGATTCCCGTCCAACCTAAGGTTTGGGTTCTGGTACAAGATGTCAATAGCCTTAAATCGTGGGATCAAAACTTGACAGACCGCAGGAAAGTTCAGCTAACTCGCTGAATTTGGTGCTAAATGGCAGTTTTAATTTCAAGGTTTAAGTTTTCGTCTGAGATTTTGACTTTTTGTGGTGCAAGTTCGCCTCCAGTTGTCATGACCGGAGCTTCCCATACCGGATTATGGGCCTTATGAAAGGGATTCCTTGCTCACAGGAAGAACGCCTCGTTCTATATCGTACGGTTGATTTGCTTGCCACTAATAGATAGTGCGCACAGTAATATGGGGCGAGTTCTCGAAATAGGGGCGAGTCAGGGTTAGGCGAAAGGGCTCCGAGCACTTGGCTATGACGACGAAATTTAATCTGAAAGCAAGTACCATTCTTTCTTCGATGCTCCGACCGAGTCGGTCCTTCCTTATGTTCAGACAAGAAAAAGCGCCCGGGCTCGCTCGCGCCTTCTGGCATGGTGCTTGGCTCATCAGGCCATTTCTAGAAAATATCAGATGTGACCTTCCTCGCAATTTCCTCTTCTCCTCCAACACTCTCAATTATTTCACCATTCATCCGGTTTTCTGCTGTTGGGGGAACGAGAAACTCTTTGCGGAGGTAGTGTTCGCGTATTTGAAATGTACACTTCTGACCAGAGACAAGGAGACACAAGGAGACCGGGTACCCTACATCAGGAACCCACATTGCGAGTCCGGATAGCCCTCCAGAGCCTGGCAGCCTCCATTGGGAAGCATATACTATATCAAAGCACCTGTAATAACCAACCCATTCAACCATGAGGTCCGCATACAGTGCTTTGGGGGGTTTTGAATAATCTGGACCTGTCAAACCAAGCGCTATGCATGTCCTTGATCACAGCAGTCTTCAAGAGCTATGTATCCGGTGAGAACGGGGAGAAGTCGGTAACTTCGTCCGATTGTACGCCATGGAGCAATCGCAAGTAATTCCAGTCCAAGTCAAAGCAGTAAGCGTGCAGAGCTGCAATCCAGAAGACAAGTGTTCTGTCGCCGCAGATGAAATTTTTGTTATTGTTCGGTACAACTTGCTCTTAAATAGTCTAGGTTCTCGAGAAATAAGGTTGACGGAAAAGTTTGTAAACCACCACACAAGCCGCTTTCTCTTGCTCACTCAACTCCAGCAGTTCTGCTGAGTTGTTTTTCATCTTGTGTGTGAAAATCTGCTCTCTTTCACCCTTCTCTAAGAAAATGCTGCGTAGAGAATTCATGAAATCGATGGTGAGGTCGCCATCAGTAGTAGATTCACCAAGCCAAGGATCCGCGTAGTAAGCTTTCTCATTTTGGCCATTCTGGCTATCTGCTGGCTTTTCTCAAGTGTATCGTCCTGGAGTGGATTGTGGATGGGAGCACCCATTTGTGTTGTCACACGACAGTGTCTTTTACAGGGGTTAGTACAAGTCAGGCTTCAGTGGACTGGACTTCAGCCCCTGGAATGCCACAACCCCTGCTACGCTGTGGCACAAGCCGATCGCCGGTAGCACGAGAGTGATCGAGAGAGAAACCGGATATTCAGATTCATTGAACTTCGTGAGGCTCATTTAGGCCATAAACTATGAAATCAAGACATCCAGATTGACGAGCAGTCTACTATGTCCCCACTCCTTACCTTCCTTTCGTTTAGAAGTGTACTTTATGGGATGCTGTAGTATGGAAAAATAATACGAGTATAGACTTTCATAGTCTTCTCCAAGACCTTACTGAAGACTGAATTGGGAAAGCTGAACGAGGATCAGACTTAAAGGGACACGAACAAAAAAAAAAGGCTGAGAGATCATCCAGAATCACCACACGGAGCTTACCTTGGCAGAATGAACCCTAGAAGAGAGTAACAATCTGCGGTGACCCGTCCGCTATCTCAGCAGCCTGCTCATCCTCCACAGACCACCCCAGTTTCTCGCTCTCATTTTTGCCTTGCATAACCAGACCAGCGCTCGTCGATGGATCATTGACCTCACTCATTCTAACCAAACTCACAGTTCCGATCCTCGTGAACGTTCTCATGCCATTCGCCCTTAAGATGAGCGCATGTTCGTTATCCAACATCAGGGCAAAACTAGGAAAGCACGCCTCGTCGTCAAATTTGGCGTGACCACTTCCAAACTTCTTCGTTCCTGTGCCACTTTGAAATTCGACGGAAATAGTGAATTTGAACACCCGTTTGTACCTCTCCTTCTCCCATTCAACCTGATGAAGGAGATACAATGGGCCCTGAATCTGTTAGTTTCTTACCCGGGTCACTATACAGAAATTTGCAGGTTCACCTCGATTATCATCCATCCGAGTTGCACTCTGCCGAATTTATCCTTCCCTGCAGGTGGGACCTGGATATCAAGACAGCGTGCTTGAATGCCCTTCTCGTTTAAATGACTGTACTCTATTTTCCCATCGAGAGCAGCCCAGGACCACGACGGAGCGCGATACTGGGCAGGGCGTTTCACGATTGCCTTTGTTGCTGGCGGCATCGTGGCGTCGTGTTCTGAATCATCGCAGTGATGCGAAGGCTCGTTGATCTCGACCGACCAGTAGAGATCTTTGATAATATTGTTTCCCCAAAGTCCCGCTATATAGCGGTCTCCAGTTTTCGACGCCATCAAGTTCGCCAACCCTGATAGTGCTGGCAGCTTGTCTTGGTCTCTCGTGAGGTGACGACCCGTATACTCCTGCACTAGTTTGTGCCAAATATCGTGACGAGATTCGTCTCCTCCACTAGGATATCGTGATGCCACCACCTTTTCCATGGTGGGGAATTCCCTCGTCATGAGAGCACCGTCTTCGCAGAGCACGCAGTACTGGCACTCCCAATACATCTCCTGTGAACCGTAGTGAAGAGTCCGCGGTGATAATAAGCGCTCCTGCAGTGTCCATGCCCGCTTGTTGAGCGGTTCATGCTCGAATGGGTCGACTTTGCGGCCGAACCGGCCTACGAGATAGTATTTTGGATCGTCTTTCAAAGACGGAGGCATCCATTCACACGTTACGTAAAGGCGAGATTTTGGGTCTCCCTGCATAGCCATTTCTCGAAACCGCCGGATCTCGACCGCGTTATCCCTTCCGTCTATGATTAGACCTGCTGCTAGAGGGATAGCTGTGAATCCGGTGGTCCACGAATCGCATGAAATACGTGGGTTGTGAGTCGAGGCGAATTTGATATCACGCCCGTTTCTAAAGCAGCCAGAAGCGTCGTCAGCTGAGCTCAGTGCAGAGATTGTGAGATAGGCGTGAGCGTAGACGTTTCCCATTCTGGACGCTTCAACTTCCCAATCTGAGAAGTCATCCTGAATGATACACAGGGAGTCGATCCACAAGTAGCTGATGTCCAATTTACGGGCAATGAGCACTGCCTCCCTGAAAGTTGGGGGTAGCTGGGCGACAGTAATGCCTTCGCGATGCTTTACGATGTTCCATTTTGTTGTTGTGATTCGATGCGAGAGACCCCAAGAATGGCTTAGAGCCAAGTAGTGGCTTCGTTGCTCTCCGAGCTGAACGACTCTGATTGTCTCCCCTGATCCACTTACCTCTAGCAGTCGAGTCGGAACAATTGGCGAATCTCTGTTCTTGTCACAAGAGTGATTTTTGTCGCAGTCATGGCCTCGGTCGCACTCTTCTACCCATTTGTGGACTCGTTGAAAGGCTATCTCAGAGCCCTGAAAATCAGTTCGAAGTCGCCCAGGGACAATGGCAGAAAATTCTGATTCTGGACGAGTGTGTCATTGATGCCACTATCAATTTTGCCATGAATACTCACCCTCATCCGTGCGAATCCTCCTTCTGTAAGTCAGCACATTGGAAAGTAGAGAATAAGACAATTATTGAAGAAATAAATCGCTTGAGGTGTATCCTTAGAGATAGATAAATCTGATTGCGCTCCAATAAAAGAAAGGGAACTTACAAATACGTCCCCTTGATAAAGACATCTGTCTCACTATTCCCTTCCGCTTCACCCAACATTGCCCCTTTACCCAATCTAATACCCAAACCAACCAAGAGTGGATGTCTGTCACGGTAGGGCGACCTGTACCAGTTTCCGTAAAGCCATGGTCTCACATTGCTTCCCTGTGGAAACCGAGCATCCAGATCTACCGACCGTGGCTCACCCAATTCCGCCTGCGCGCTTCCCGTATTCATTACTACTGCACCATTGGAGAAACCGCGCATGACGCCCATAGTATCGTACATCCCTTCAAACACTTGTGTCATGAACTTGCGGCCATCTGGCAGCTCCTCAGATGGCTTGGACATGACAATTCCACCGGGAGATGTTAGGTAACAGCCTGCTGCCCACAGAATAATCTTGCATAGCTTGCAAGATTTGGCTGATTCTCTCAGCGCATCGAGGGTGGGCTGGTGTGGGAAACCTTCTTCATTCTCGTAGGGAAGGTCCCGGAAAGGGATATCGAGGCAGAAGCGACAGTGCGGCATCGTGAACGTGAGCTACAGTTGCTTGATGCGAAAGCCAAAGGCTGTTTCGGTGTTGGCGGAAGCCTTAAGCATCGTTAAAAGCTCTTGTCGCAAAGAGAGGGGTCTCTGTATGCGTACATTGAGGAGCTGAAAGATGGCGACCGGCAAATCCCGACACCTATGTATCGCTGAGAAACTTGGCCTCTCGTCGATTGAAGCGTCCGCCAGGCTTTCTCAGCACCGATCTCAGAGAAGAGTTGTGAGCATGATATTGGATTGGGTTTCATTGATGATTGTATCGACTCTGATGGAAGCATTTCGTCAAGTCTCGCTTAAACAAAGGGGCTTACACTTTGAAAAGCCGGAGTCAACATCAACATACAAGCTTTCTTTTCAGTTTGTACATGGAAAATGTGAGGGATGTCTTACCTGCCAAACCAATACACGTCCTTAGTAGCCAATTTCGTGCTTAGTATTGGCTGCAAGAGCTTTCCGGGTAGGAAGGCAGCTGACGTGAGATGGACTGATTAGTAGAGAAGGGAAGAAAGAGATACAAATGTTTCTCAATTCTTCTTCCTAATTCTGTACACTTTATCTTATCTGTGAGCGTACAGAGTTCAAGATGTCTGGACTTTTCCCAGCTGTACTCGCTCAATTAAAAGAGAAGTTCTCGGATTTGGTGATCCTCACACCTGGGTCGCCTGAATATGAGGAGAGTATGCTGAGGTGGAATATCGCTGCTGAACACAAAGCCGTAGGTTCATTTCCATTCCACGGGGGCTCGCAAACTTATATTTACTAGGGCGCAGTGATCTATCCTGTCTCAACACAGGATGTCTCCAATATTCTTAGCTTTGCTCGTGCCAACTCCATTGAGCTTGCAGTTTGTGGCGCTGGTCACAATCACCGCGGCAACTCGGTTGATGATGGACTGATTGTCGATCTCAGGAAATTGACTGGAGTCTCAGTTAACCCACTTAGCAAGCGGGTCACGACGGAAGGTGCAACCGTCTGGGGGTCGGTCTATGAGGCTGCAGGAAAGCACGGCCTTGCTGTGGTGGGAGGTCTCATCCCCTCGGTCGGTGTTGGCGGCTTTACCTTAAACGGAGGATTGGGCTGGCTGACGAGTGCTCACGGGGTGGCTCTGGATAATCTGATTGAGGCTGATGTTGTACTAGCTGATGGGAGGATCTTGACATGCTCAAAGAAAGAGAATGAGGACCTCTTCTGGGCAATAAGGGGTGCAGGCTCAGCCTTCGGCATCGTAACCAGATTTGTCTTTCAGGCCCACGAAATAAACACTAAGGTTTGGACTGGGATGATGATGTTTGAACCGAGCCACCTGAAAGGCGTGGTTGACATGGCCAATAAAGTCACTTCCGAGGGAAACGATGGAACTGCATCAATGGCCTTTGCCATATTTGCTTGTAGCGGTGAGCTGGAGGTTCACGTGCTTGTCTTTTATAACGGTTCCGAAGAAGAAGCAAAGACGTACTTTGCACCCTTATTGGAGTTGCCCCGGAAAGTCGATTTGGTTCAAATGGTTCCATTTTCTCAGGCAACTATGCCTCATGGATCCGCCCCAGGTCGACAGTGGAGAAAGGTTACCGCAGGAGGTTGTCTCATCGTACCTTTAGATCACTCTTTCATCCAGAGTATCATGGATGACCTCGAGGAGTTGGTCACGAAGATCCCGGACGCCCTGGAAACAATATTTGCGTGCGAGATGCATAATCCTTACGCTACAATGAGGGAAAAACAGACCTCAACCGCATTCCCGTTCCGTGGGAGACATGGCAGCATACAGCTCATGCCCACTTGGACCCAAGAGGAGAATGACGAAGCTTGCTGGGCATGGTGTAGGAAAGTAGACAAAAAACTTGCAAAGGAGTTCCAACGAAGAAAGAACGAGGAGGGAATGGATGAGACTACCAGAAGTAGTGTGGGGACGTACATAAATTATGACGGTATGTTATCCCACGAAAACCACCCTGTTCGATCTGACATTTGATAGGTTTGCACAAGAGCCCGAAAGCCTTGTATGGTGTGAATTATGAGAGACTCGTGGAGCTGAAGAAGAAATATGATCCTGGAAATGTCTTTAAGCGATTTGTGGACCTGCTTTCTGGCGAATAGTTGGATGAAGAACAGTAGACTAAAAGATTTAATTCAAGACATCTGGAAAGATGTTAATGGTTCGTTCAGACATGGGAGGAACAATTCAAGCAGACGCGCAAGCATCTTGGTGAAATGTGGGTCGGCCCGAATAACCATCAAACCCGGACTCGGACACCAGACAGAGGACTCAATTAAAAAAGGGGGCTGGGTGGGTGTGTTCTGAAAGTTATGATTTATGAAGACTTAGGTATCTTAAAGGTGAGACACTACTTTCCGATCTTTCGTCCCAGATTTCCAACACCAGATCCGTCTACCACTCCTTCACGAAACCTCAAATTCGATCAATTGAGCACAAAACGAACCCTCGAAACCCCAAAAACATCCCAGTCCTGAGAACAGCCTCAGCCAACGAGTCTCTTCTAACTTATACGCCGCAACACCCGAATAGCATCGACAAAAAAAAAGCCATCATATTCCCTATTCCCGGCGGCTTGCAGCTGCATCCAGCCACTGCCAAGACCTGTGCCTCGCCGATAAATTCGGCCATGCAACCCCACGTCCAGTTTCTCCTCCCACTCATCGCTCTTCTCTCTTTCACAACAGCAGATCCGCAAGCTGTCGCCGCTGGAAGGGTTGCTACAACCTTGGCTGCATCACAATCTCCGACAGTTGGGACGTGGGGAAGCTTGTACACTGTTGGGACCGTGACGAGCGTATCGTGGGTTGTCTTCACACAGACTTTTGCTTCGACTGCGCTAGGGACCTGGAGTCTGGGTGCTACACCGGCGGCTGGGATAATTGGATTAGGGACTATTGCAGGAACCGTGGGCTCTACGAAAGCAAAAAGGGCAATGCCTACACCGGAGCTGGGAAGTGCTTGAGGAGAAAGGAGCTGATACGGCGGAGAATGGTAATGAATAGAATGGATGGCACACAACGGCCGAGAAGAAGGCACTCCAGTTCGAGATCGTTCTGTTCAGCATTTCAGCGACCTTTCATCTGCAGCATCAGGATATTTGGAGCGATCATTAGATTTGACGACGAGACGGCAACGCAGTGCACGCTGTCTCCTTGTTTCTCGGTGCATTGGATGAGTTAGAGAGATACCATAGACTTGGTTGGCATTTTTGTTGCATTGAGGATTGTTTGGAGTTGGAAATCGTTGCTTCTGTCCACATAGAGGAATGGGTTACAATGCAGAATACTGCAATGCGATCCCTCTATGCATTCGTTTTGCTTGCTTTGATCCTCAGTTCGTCCCAAAGGGACTCGATGGGCAAATGCCATTTATCTGCTGCTATTTGCGTGCTTACCTGCTGCCATTTACCTGCCATTTTCTTGCATTTAGCTTGGTCCCCAAGAAACTTTCCTTGACAGCAAGACAAATCATCGAGGTTCATGTTGTCTTCGCACAACGAAGGAGATGCTTTCCAACCGCGAATATCCTGAATGCCTTGAGCAATCACTTCTCGTCCTGCCAGATGCTGGACGTCTCGAGTGATTTGAGGCCTTCCAGGTTCCGTGCATCAAATGAGGTCCGAATGGCTTGTAATCCTGCATCGCCGAAGAGAAAGCATCACCGCAATTGACAGCAGGTCTTGAAGACTTGCGTTGATGCTACATAATGCGATCGTTATCTGATGAATGTTTCCTTTTTGAAATTGGTGGCAAAGCCTTAAAAAATAGTTTGAAAGATCCTGTGCAGATGAAAAATATTCAGCTCCAAGAAGTAAGATCGGCGCATGAATATCATCTCATCGCCAGAAAAGCAATACAAACCAGAGTTGTCGAGTACCTTGATTGAAGCGTTGCTCCGGGTGATAAATTGAAATCACGTGGGTCGACTTTCCAGCGGGTTTAATATATCCAAATAAGCAATTCTGTTGCTAAGAGTTCTCCAGTCGTAAACATGGCGAAAGTTAAGTTTCTGGACATACACACTCAATACTAGTCATAGCTGTATGTGTACCGGCCCTAACTTCTACTGCGATAGTAAGATATCTTGTGTCTTTCCCAAAGAGTTCAAGACAGCAAATTGGTATCAAGTGCATTGTCCCGGAATCTGTTGTAGTTTTGATGGCTGATATTGGCCGTGAAGCCTTGCCAAGTCAGAGCTATTTCTGACGCTCGCAACGACATTTCGACGGTACAACATGGAGTTGTTTGATACTATTTTTGAGCGGGACGTGGAACTGAAGCATAATATGTCACTCCCACAACCGAGTGACAAAAGCAGAGGCATGAAGTTTTGTTCAAGCGAACAAAGTTGTGAATATAAGGTTCTAGATCCCCATAGTGACTGTGTTCATGGTTTTGAAAGATTTAAGGATATAGTTAGAGGATGTGAGGAGAGTCCTTTTATTATGGTTATACTTAGATTCTGCAAATATGCCCAATTACCTTTGTTTCTCGATTTTTATTTTTATATATTTTTTTCATGTAACAAGTGGCGAGCTGTTTCTCAGAAGGGCGCATCAGAATACAACAGGGAGGTCAATGATACCAACATCCTTAGTCGGTGGCGAATATTTGACTTTCTCGAAAGGGATCGCCAACTTCAACTTTGGAAGCTTCTGCCACAGCGTGGCTATAGGCACGAGTGTCAGCATACAACATAACAAGATCACGCCTGAGCTACTCACCAAACACTATCTCCAGCTCAGCCCTAGCCAGCCACTCAGCCACACACCTATGCTCACCCCACCCATACCCCAACGCTTCTTCCTTTCCTCTTGCTCTCTTCATATCAAAGACGTCAGGATCCAGGAACACATCCTCATCTCTATTTCCACTCTGCGTGGCAGCAATAATGCCCTCTCCTTTCTTGATAGCCTTCCCACCAATCACCACATCCTCTTTCGCAACTCTCTTCGTCGCCAGTGCTGACGCAGTATGGTACCGACACAACTCTTCCACAAACTTTGGAGCCCACTCCAGGGGCTCTTTCTTCATATCTTCAAGTTGGTCCGGATTTTGGAGGATTGTGACAACACCAAGGTTAATCATATTCACCATCGTGGCATTACCAGCCACCAGGAGCAAGAAAGCAATTTGCACAACGTCGTCTTTGGTCAAATGACCAGGCTTGAGCTGTTCACTCACGAGGAGACTGATGAGATCCTCCTTTGGAGCAGAAAGCCGCTTGTCGACAAGACCCGCCATGTATTTGAGCAGTTCATCGTTGGCGTTTGATGCTTCGGTCGCCGTTGCTGAGCCGTTGCTACGGATAGCTGCGAAGTTGGTAAGGGTTGGCAGGTCGGAGAGAGGCACGCCGAGAACGCTGTAGATGGTCTGGAATATGTCAGCAGGAGTTTGAAGTAGGAAAGAGAGAAAATACATATGAAGGGACAGGCAGAGCGAATTTCTCGACGAGGTCAACTGGTTCGGACCCTCCTCTCTTGATCATCTCATCCAAGAGGGAATCCACAGTCTTCTGGATTTGTGGACGCATGCTATCGATGTGCGCTTTGGTGAAGAGTGACTCCACCATGCTTCGTTGCTGCATATGAGCAGGCGGGTCCATGTCTACGAATGTTGGCTTGTTCTTCGCAGCGAGCTTCCCACCGGCAGAAAGTTCTGGGAAGCCTGGTCGAGTTCGTTCCTTTTCGGGTATCAGTGATTTTCCAATTGTGTAATTGGGGTTGAGTGTGGTCAAACCTTCGAAAGTCGATTATCAGTCAACACGCTGCACATATCCTTATGCTTAATAACCAGCCAAGCAAGACTACCATCCCACAGCTCAACCTGCGAGACAGGATCACTGGCTCGTAGACGTGCATACTCGAGAGCTGGAACCGCTCCTTCAGGGCGAGCAAACGGGAACTTAGGTGGTGCTGCTCGATAACTCAGTCCCGCCTTCCGGATCGAGGTTTGAAAGAGTGGGAAGGACTTACACCACGTTGAGGCAGACATGGCTTTTGAATTTTAATGGTACGAAGACCACGGTTTTGAAACTATAATGTTTTAGAAGAAAGATATGAGATGGGAAAGGGAAAGAAAAGGGGAAATCTGTGATGGACTTTATAGTCCGGCATTCCGGCGTGAGGCGTTGAACATGGAGATGGAGGGGTCTGCGGTGCACGATGCAATGTGCTTTCTCCTCTACATGCGCAACCTGATTTGGCAAATTTCTTGACCCGGAAAGTTCTCTTGAGGGTGTACTTCTCCACGGAGAAGGGATGATTCTTACTTTACGGACGTATAATGTCGCCTGATGTGAAGTGCTTCCCTTAAAATGTGTCAGAACAAGTCCTTATTGGACATTAGCGAAGGCATTTAGTTGTATGCTTACGGAAATAAACCAGCCGCCACTGGCAATCTCAACTACAACTATGGGGAAGGAGTTACAATTGCGCAGGGTCTCTTATTATGCGTGGTGAGATTTGCCCAATCCATTCAATCACAAAAATGCTGTCAGCGCCAAGGTATCAAACAAGCTTCCTGCAAATTCTTCGATCAGGAGATTACTTGCTGATGATTTCAGAGTTACTAGGGTTTCTAGGGGACGGGAGTTGAAACAAAGCACTGTCATCATTAGATGCATGTGCAAGAGCCAGGTTTGTTATGCATGCCGTACATTACCAAACGAATAGAGTCGTTCGGACGCAGCTACCGACCGAGGTCCCGAAGACCCTGGAGAAAAGGAGAAAGCTATGCTTCGAGATTACATGGGTTGCTTCAATCTCGTGGCAAATTGTTGGACTTCGTCTTTGGATGTTGGGTGCAGAAGCAGATCCGGGAATGTTGCTAGAGGGGTTATATTGAGTGGGACAGAAAGTGATACGCCAAGAGCACAAATTGTATTTGGCATAGCATTAGATGAATCATGAATATCATTTTACCAGCACCTAAGGACAAATACTCATTTACCCCACATGATATGATCGAGAAACCATTTTTCATTGAAGATCCGTCTTGAAACGAAGCGGCATCCAATGAAAGCGCGAGCGCGGTTTTCCTAAGGAGAATGAGGAGAAAACCGCTTATAGGGAATGCTTTCTTCCAAGTGCGTGACTGCCTGCTTTCCAGGCCGCTCGTCGTAATATAATTGCTTCTCGACGGCCCGGGCGACGTTATCGGCCAGCGATCTGTCTTCGAACACTGTTGCGCTTGTTAGCTACCCGTAAGAAGGGAAAACCGTCCGAAGACGCCCAAGTAAATACTTACAGAATGAAAGTTCTTCCAGGGTTCTTCCATGAGTCTCGGGGTAGAAGAAGTATACGCAGGTAGCTTCTACTGCAATCCAACCCACGTAGACGGCGAAATATTTCCATGTTATGGCTTTGAGAGCTATCGGATTCACGTATCTGTGATTTCAGATTAGAGCAAGAACATCAGAACTTCTGAGGAAACTACTTACGTCGAGAAGAATCCGGCAGCACGCCCGAAGAATTGCTCGACGGAGATACCACGAGCTCTTTCCGCAAATGGGAAGAGTTCTACTAGGTAGGCTAGAATAGAATAGAATTAGCCTTTACCCTTGAAGACATCCGCGCAAGGCTATACGTACTGTATGTGAGAGCGTTATTACCAATGTTGTACATTGGAGAATGGGCAAATATGAAGAACAAGGCTAGAATAGAGGCGGCTCGTCCACCTTTGCCATGAGCCTTGGCGGACATGAATTGCTCAATCGACGTGGTAAGGCCGATGTAGACTAAAAGCATGCCACCAAGACTGATGAGAAACATTCTTCGGCGTGGGAATCTCGTGACGATGAGTGAAGCAATCGTCCCGTTGATGAGAGCCCAGCAATTTTGAGAAACTGGGGTGCCCAAAGTCAGATGGGTGGGTCTGTAAGGCGAGTTTGGAGAACTTACTATTGATCCTCGTCTTGGCGTGAACGCTGGTCCAACCCATCATACTTAATATATCAGAAAGATAATAGCTGAGCAAGGTATTGCCGCTCCACTGAGTAAACAATCCAATCATGGCGGCAATGTAAACACGTTTTCGCATGCCGGATGTTTTCAGCATGCCCCACCAAGATTGTCTGGCATACTCCAGCTCAGTTTTGATGGTGGTCCTGATCTGGGCCATCTCAGCACGAACAAAGAGAGAATCTCGGTCGCCCTCAGCGTGATATTTCACGAGAATTTCAAGTGCTTCATCATCTCGATCTTTGCTGATGAGATATCTAGGACTCTCAGGCAGCATGCTGGCAGGTATTAGTTGGTGTTATGAGTAGAAGTCCGAGTGACTTACAAGACGAAAATGAGCTGGAAAAGTGACGGAAATATTTGAAGCACGGACGGGATGCGCCATGCCCAGGTAGTAGTCAACTCAGCTGTCTTTAGAGAAACAGCCGATGCTACTACTGCTCCGATAAAGTAAGACGAATTGAACAAGGAGGTCACGATAGCACGCTCTTTCGGGTAAGCAAGCTCTCCAATCATTGCAGATCCGGAAACGATACAGAAGACGATGCCGAATCCCAATATCATTCGAGCTACAATATACATCGCCGCTACCATTTGTCAGTCAATCAAATTGAAAAGAAAACAAGAGCACTCGCTATTTTGAGCACAACCCTGTATGACTCCGCCACACATCATGGTGAGAGAGCCCGTAATGATAGACCATCGTCTTCCAAACCATTGATTGGCACTAGGAGCAAGTGGAACTGCGCAGATACCACCCAGGCTATAGGAAGCACCGATGATACCGAGAAGAGCAGGCTTGATCGAATATTCGTGCGTAGTTGGATCTCTATATCCATTTCCGAAGTCTATGAGTGTTAGACACGATTCAAATGGCCCCACTACGTGCGGACCTACAGTGCAAGAAAGGAGGAGCGAATTGTAATGTGTTGATCAGTTGAGAATCGAATCCGGAGGTCATTTCTATTCCCATACAGGCAGGGAAAAGTAACAAATAGAGCGTTCTGAGATTCCTCTTTTTGTACCAAGGTACGTTATCCCCGTCAACAATCCGGGTCAACACCGGATCGCCGTGAGCGATCTCATGAGCGTAGATTGCCATATTTCATCTTCATCGACGACGATAACTTTTGGGAGTTTTCGGAGATGGTAATGAAGATAACAGTGTTGGCCTTGCAGGCGCAGCACGGCCGCGACATGTATGTAGTCATTGCCTCTTCCGAGAGTTTGAATCTGGGGTTCCTAATTCGTATTCCTCCAGGGGTGTCATCCCCGCATAAATTCAGCGAACATCAGCCTGTATCCCACAACCAACACGCCAAGGTGGAATCCTCTATTCCGGGGGGCCCGATTAAGTTAAAAGTTAGGATAGGTTGGAGGAATATCGATCTGTGGCCGAAAGGATGCCGCTAGTGGAGGTCATCCCTTGCTCGTTTGATCCACTTGGAGACGAGAACAGGCTTTGCAAGGGGATATCCTGACGCTGCAGATCGCGTCCCAGGAAAGTAGAGGCTCGAGACCGCTGGAGACGGGGCAACTTGACTGGGATCAAAGATAATTCTTAAAATTCGTGCAGCCAAGTGCCTCTCAACTTCGGGTAAGTTCCGAGGCAGCCCTTCTCCAACACGTTTGCCAGAATATAGGATCGAGGACTCCCTCCAAGCCAAGCAGTTATAACACACGAGAACAGGCCACACTCACTTGGCAAGCAAACTGGACGCCAACTCCACGAACAAACAGTTTTCGAGCACATGCGGACAATAAGGCGCATGCGAGGGCCGCATCCCGAAAAGAGCAACCGACAGAGCGGTCTTGCGGCACATTGCCCAACTCCAACACCTGAACACAGCACTCCCCACCCGCCACTGAGGGGCAAACGTCGCAAGAGCCCTCTTTGGGAAAGACCGCTAAAGACGAGGATACAAGTATTGACGAACATCTAAACTTCCTGCGGGGAGAGCGGGGAGCCATTCAGGTAGAGATATGACACCTCCAACAGCATCGCAACCAATTCTGGAGAACAAGGGGTGGGACATGAGCAGACATCCTTTGATTCTCTGTCTCCATTTGTTGGTGAAGGTGGTGCCTCTGCATGAGGCATGGTGAGGACAGCAAGATTAATCTGGATCAAGACTTTGGCTATCGCGCTCGCCTGCGATAGTGAAATCATATGGAGGAGAAAAAATGTTTTCCGTCTGCGAAGCAGAATGGAGCGGCGGGGTTGTTTTTATTGGATTCACACCAGATTCCTGCCGAGCCGTGCAAAATAGGCTCGGAACTTCGGAAGGAGGCCGAGGGCTTGGCATGGAATAAAGACCTCCTTTGTTCTCATTTCACACGTGATATGTATGAGCCGGAGTTTTTCCATCTTCAAAACTGAGGTGTTGGTGAGGTCGATGGGCCCGTTAAAGGTCCAGGACAGAGACCCCATTGGATTGGTGCAACGGCAAATTCGGTATTCCCGAGGTCGGGTAGTTTAGGTCACGTGATATAATTTGCTCCCCAAGGCACCAGAGACAACCACCTCGTTTACGCTGACGTTTGCGCAGTACCACGTCAACTCGCACAAATCTCATCACTCTGGTAGGTCAGTTCGCGTATGACTTCGCAAGCTATGTAAGCACTGCTCGAAGTACGAGCTCATCGTCAGCATTTCCTCCTGCGGAATGAGTATTCAACCGATTTGGTTGAAAGGCGGCATGGCATGTATTGGCCTAAGCTGCGTGGTAGGTGAGGCCGAAACAGCTTAGGACGGCCTGAGCTTCCTCAAGTAGTATTCCGTCTTTCCAGCTTGGACTCAGCCTCCTCTTTGAAATAATAATACGTGCCTGACAAGTACTGTACCTTCAAAATGCCGTCCAAAAGTTTTTCTCTTCTTCATTTCCATCCTCAACTCTCATCGAAAAGTTTCGTTCAGCATGGCGAACCCATCCAATAGCACAGAGCAATTGCCCGTCGAGCAGCAGAGTACAAATGGCAAGAAGAACAAGGCCAATGCTACAAAGAAGAGAGCTGGTGCAAATGCAGCGAATGGAGCCGCTAAAGCTGCCAAAGCTGTGATATCCAAACAAACTTTCTCGCAGAAGCTGGGGAGTGACCTTGCAGATGGATTGCTCAAAGACTCGAGATCGCTCGAAGAATCCATGAATCTCGTCGACAGGGTGACCTTTGTCAAAGCATCAACAGCCCAGAATGGAACCTCGACCACCACAATCGTCACAGCTACCGCGATCCAGGAACAAGCAGAGATTGTCATCTCAGGCGAGATCGACGCATTGAACCTCGATGCTGTTGACATTGTTCGTCCAAAGAATCCGAGAAATATCTTCGATCTGGATGACTTTGCAGCACTCTCGGCACTCGAAGAGCTGATCGGACGGTACGGCCGGGTCTCTCACATGGGCATTCTCGATAAATCATATACCTTCTTCATCACCGAGGATCGGAAAGCAGCGCTGTATTACAAGGTCAAAGACAAGATCGCCATTGTGGGCGGAGATCCGCTCTGCGACCCTAGTCTGTTTCCCCAGGTCCTGTGCGAGTTCGAGAAGTACAGGAAGAAGCAAGGGCTAGGAATTGCCTTCCTAGCCGCTGGACAGACATTCGTCGCGTATGCGAGAAAGGAGAACTGGACGACGATGTGTTTTGCAACCGAACGAGTCCTCAACCCCATAACGAATCCCGTCTTGCAAGGAACTGCTGGAAAGTCCATCGTAAGGACAACAAAGAATCTCTTGGATCCGAAGAAAGAGGGGATCACGCTCGAAGTCTACACACCCCGGCTTGGCAAGAATCCGCGCTTGCAACAACAACTCGTCAATGTTTATGAAGAATGGCGAGGACACCGAAACGGATTAAAGGATCGAAATCAAGCATACATTACCGTTTATGATCCGTTTGCCTTGCCCGAGCTGATGACTTATATCTACACCCAAGACCGGAGTGGCATGCCGAACGGATTTGCAGCTCTCCGAATTCTTGGTGCGAACAAAGGGTACCACCTCGATCCGTGTATCGCAACCCCTGGAGCACCAAAAGGGATTACGGACCTCCTTTTATACGGGGCAATGGCTCTTTTGAATACGGCGAAGATCTCGTATCTCAGTCTAGGATATGAGCCTCTCGATGATCTTGGTGAGATAACAGGTATCCCGAATGTGGTTGCCAAGATGTCAAGGAAAGTTCACAAGCGTATATTCCGAGGACTGCATGTAGCTGGCAAGAAAGGCTACCATGATAAGTTCCGACCGGATGAGACTCAGCAGTCGAATCTCTACCTGGTCTTCCCTCCTGGCATACCGAGTTTGCGACACATGACAGCGATTGTTCATGTAGCGAATATCAAGATCCACAAGGTTATTTTTGAGAGACCGCCGGCGGCTGCAGTGGAGAACGAGAAGGAGGCGGAAGGGAATGAATCAGTGAGCGATCAAGGAGGTTCAGCACAGAGTTCAGCGGTAACATCGACAGAGCGATTGTAAGACTGGCATTGGTAGAGCTTGGTAAATGGTAGGAACAGGTAGAATGAGGAGAGTTAACATTGGGTAATGCGGCCAATTCAAAACTTTCGTATTTCAAAAAGCTCCTCTCGATTGCAGAGATGATTCCACTTCGTGAACGCTGTGATACATAAAGGGGAAACGCCGTGCAGAACGTCATAGTTTTGTTCTCATGTACCACAGGGCGAAACTTCCCATAGCGAGTGGTATGACAACCTTCCCAGCTTTGCCCAAAAGTTCAAGCAGAGATTGCATATTGGTCTTCTTGACGTAGTCCTGCCACGCCTTGGTATCATTGACTCTCGGGAACGGCATGTCAGGCTCCTCAACCTCCAGAAATTTGCACAACGGACCCCATCCCTCCTTAACATTGTATTCCAAGAACTGCTTTCCTTCTGCCAACTTCCGTACGTTCTCATTGTATGATTTATACCAATCTCGTCCCTCCGCAGGGAAATTCCCTAAGGGCGTGAGGCGGTAAAGTCGCTGCAAGACTGGCCAAGGGCTGGGCCTGGGAACGACGCTTTGTACGATCGTTTGGAGAATGGTGGTTGGACGGCCGAACATGAAGTTGCCAGTCCAAAGTGTATTCATCACGGACTTATACCAAGACTCCACATCGTCACGGACAGTGAGGAGGATCTTGGCATCGGGATAGGCTGCAACGAGTTCCTCGTTGAACATAATGCAGGGAAAGTCAGACACAGCCTAGGATGTTTAGTACACACCTGAGGAAGCGGTAGGAGGGGTTCAGTGTACCATGCAATGGCCGAGCAGCTTGTCGAATTCCTCCTTTCCATACGGCTTTCCGATTCCCTTGTATTTTGCGTCGATTGCTTCAACCCACATCGAAACATCTGAGGGGTTCTCATCAACAACCGTCACCATGTGGTAGACATCTCTGATGCCGAGGTGCATTAACGCTGTTCGCAATGCTGCTCACTATCAGCATTCTTCATCGTCAGGGGAAGTATGAAGCATACAAGCAGTGCCAGTTCTCCCTTGTCCGAGGCAGAGCACTTTCATGGGCACTACCCTCTCACTGTTCCGCCTGTCGATATTGGTGGTAGGCATCATGAGCCCCAATTTAGTGAGCTTTGCATCCCCTAGCTGCAGAGCCATTGTGCTTGAACTGGCTGTACAACGGCGATTTGTGTGTACTCTGTTGAAGATACCATTCGTTGAGATGAGAAGTTGACGACGTTAGAGAACTCTGCCTGTGTTGCATTGGGGGCTGGGGGTTGAGCTGATGCCAAGGTCTTTCAGCCTGTTACTATCCCCCCCCTTGAATACTTACAGTGGGTCCTGGGATAACACCACTCCTGCACTGACCAACTCAAGGGTGTATAGCCAATAGCGATTCTGGAGAGCACCTGATATTTCCTAGTTGGGGGTTATAAACGAGGTTTCAGGGTGGCGTTACTAAAGGACCCACTGTAAGTATTCAAGGGGGGGGATAGTATAGAAAAGGAGACACATGATTGGCTCGAGGACGTGGCGCGGAATGAACGAGAGAACAGAACACAATTGGAGCAGACATTTCTCTTGGCGGTTGATAAGACAGTGACACTAAGTCGAAGGAGACACTACTTCTATTTGCGATTGCGGCCCAAGCAGTCCATCACCCAGAATTGAAAATCAAAAGATCTTTCCCCATAGATTCTTGCATTGAAAGACGTCGTTTGTTTTTATGGGGACCTTGAAAGAGTCGACTTGATTGGCCAGGGTCTGGGCATCGGAGTCGCCCGAAAGCTGGTCCTGGCTACGTCCCGTGGCAAAACCATCCCCTGTTGCAGCTTGAATCAGGATCTCATGAAAGTCTGATTTCAGATCTGACCCAGGGACTCTTTTCTTGTCGGTAGAGCTTGCATACTGTAGTTCGAGACTCCCAACATGTGACGAAGATACAGGCAATTGCGCTGCTGAAGAGGTTCCAGCAACGGGAGTCTCCCAGCATTTGTCCCTGCTGCATTGCAGGGATCGTCCAGCCCCGCATCTAACGTGCATTGGCCGTCACCGCCGGCAAGAGGCTATCGGAGAGCTCCATCGGAAAGAGCTCCTGGGACTGGCTGAGATAACACGCGGCCGGCCGTGACATTAAGTCGTGGGGTCTTGTGCTTGAAGAAGAAATATCTTCTTCTACTCTCTCTTCCTCTTCCCCATCTCTCATGGATCGCCTCAATGCTAACAATCCTCGAACTGTGTTGACTGGTGAACTATCGCTGCCACCTGTGAAACCCTTCTAGCTCACTAGATAGTGAAGCTTCCGGAGCAACCGACTTCGAATACAAACCTTGTTCAACAAATCAACATGGCACCCATTGCAATCTCACCCGAACCCCAGCCAGCCGTCTCGAACAGTGCCACACACAGTCTCTCTTCTGTCACGACCACTTACGATGATACCCTACGGTTCTACCTCAATGGCACACGCGTTGTGCTAGACGATATCGATCCGGAGATAACTCTCCTTGAATACCTTCGAGGAATTGGCCTCACTGGGACGAAGCTTGGCTGCGCTGAAGGAGGCTGCGGAGCTTGTACAGTAGTGGTTTCTCAATACAATCCAACAACGAAGAAGATATATCATGCAAGCGTCAACGCATGTCTGGCACCGTTGGTCAGCGTGGATGGAAAGCATGTCATCACAATCGAGGGAATTGGAAATGTCAAGAAGCCACATCCTACCCAGGAGAGGATTGCAAAGAGCAATGGAAGCCAGTGTGGATTCTGCACACCTGGAATAGTGATGAGCCTTTATGCTCTCCTCAGAAATGACTCAAGTCCTTCCGAACATGCCGTGGAAGAGGCATTTGACGGCAATCTCTGCAGGTGTACAGGTTATCGGCCGATCCTCGACGCTGCCCAAACGTTCAGTGCAGAGAAGTCATGTGGCAAGGCTAAAGCCAATGGGGGCGGTGGATGTTGCATGGAAAATGGAGGCGGTTCTGGGGGGTGCTGCAAAGGCAACGGATTCAAGGACGACCAACCTATCAAACGATTCACCCCACCTGGGTTCATTGAATATAACCCCGACACGGAACTTATCTTTCCCCCTGCTCTTACCAAGTATTCATTCAAGCCATTGGCATTTGGGAACAAGAGGAAGAGATGGTACCGTCCAGTCACAATGGAACAGCTCTTGGAAATAAAGAGTGTTTACCCTTCGGCCAAAATCATCGGAGGATCCACAGAGACACAAATTGAGATCAAATTCAAGGCCATGCAGTACACTGCCTCGGTCTTCGTAGGCGATATCCCCGAACTTCGACAGTTCTCATTCAAGGCAGATCACCTAGAGATTGGCGGAAACGTCATTCTTACCGATTTGGAGTCGATTGCGTTGAAGGCGGTTGAGCACTATGGTCCAGTTCGAGGCCAAGTGTTTGCTGCAGTTTATAAGCAGCTCAGGTACTTCGCAGGTCGCCAGATCAGAAATGTTGGCACTCCTGCTGGTAACCTAGCCACCGCTTCTCCCATTTCAGATCTCAATCCAGTCTTTGTGGCGTCAAATGCCATATTGGTGGCCAAATCTCTGGACAAGGAGACAGAGATTCCGATGTCTCAATTCTTCAAAGGCTATCGAATGACAGCTCTTCCACCAGATGCCATTATCGCTAGTATCCGAATTCCGGTCACCAGCGAGAAAGGCGAGTTCTTTCAGGCATACAAACAGTCGAAGAGGAAAGACGATGACATTGCGATTGTCAACGCTGCCTTCAGAATGTCCCTCAATACGTCCAACACTGTAGAGAGTGTAGATCTTGTTTACGGGGGTATGGCTCCAACGACCGTTGCGGCCAAGACCGCCAATGCCTACCTCGTAGGCAAGAGTTTCACCGATCCCGCTACGCTGGAAGGTGCTATGAATGCCTTAGAGCAAGGCTTTGATCTCAGATTCGGTGTACCCGGTGGCATGGCTACGTACAGAAAGTCTCTTGCCCTTGGATTCTTCTACCGCTTCTACCATGAAGTTCTTTCTAAGCTTGAAGTTAGGGAAGTGGACATTGATACTGAGGTTGTTCCGGAGATCGAAAGAGTGATATCCACTGGAAAAGAAGACACCGATTCGACAATCGCCTACCAGCAAAACATTCTTGGAAAGGCAAATCCCCATGTGGCTGCGTTAAAGCAGACATGTGGTGAAGCTCAGTACACTGATGATATCCCGGTTCAAAAGAACGAGTTGTTCGGTTGCCTTGTGCTTTCAACCAAAGCACGTGCCCAGATTCTGTCTGTAGACTACTCGCCAGCAATGGAACTTCCAGGAGTTGTTCAATGGGTTGATCATACAGATATGCCGTCACCAGAAGCAAATTGGTGGGGAGCCCCTGTTTGCGATGAAGTCTTCTTTGCGGTCAACGAGGTCTTCACAGCCGGACAGCCAATTGGTATTATTTTGGCTGACAGTGCACAACACGCTGCAGCTGGAGCAAGAGCAGTAAAAGTTGACTACGAAGAGCTGCCTGCAATCTTCACCATCGAGGAAGCAATTGAGAAAGAGAGTTACTTTGAGCACTATAGGTATATCAAGAAAGGAGACACAGAGGAAGCATTCAAGAATTCGGATCATGTTTTCACTGGCGTTGCTAGAATGGGCGGCCAGGAACATTTCTACCTGGAGACCAATGCATGTGTTGCAGTTCCCAAGCCTGAAGATGGAGAGATGGAGATCTATTCTAGTACCCAAAACCCCACTGAGACGTGAGTATCGTGTGGGCTATGAGAGCTGCAATTGCTAACGCTCAACAGTCAGGCGTACGTTGCGCAAGTCTGCGATGTTGCTGCCAATAAAGTTGTCTCCAAAGTTAAGCGTCTAGGTGGCGGATTTGGTGGCAAAGAAACTCGCTCAATCCAATTGACGGGTATCGTAGCTCTTGCGGCAAAGAGAACAGGTCGTCCAGTCCGCTGCATGCTGAATCGAGATGAAGATATGGTTACGTCTGGTCAAAGACATCCGTTCCTTGCTCGTTGGAAAGTGGGAGTCAACAAGGATGGAAAGCTCCAAGCTCTCGATGCAGATGTCTTCTGCAATGGCGGCTGGTCTCAAGATCTGAGTGCTGCCGTTGTTGACAGGTCACTGTCACACAGCGATGGCTGCTATCTCATCCCCAGTGTCCATGTTCGAGGAAGAATTTGCAAGACCAACACAATGTCCAATACCGCCTTTAGAGGCTTTGGTGGCCCTCAAGGGATGTTCATTGCAGAGTCTTATATGGAAGAAATTGCAGATCGTCTTGATATCCCAGTCGAGAAGTTGCGGGAGATTAATTTCTACAAGCCTCTTGAGGAAACGCATTTCAATCAGAGCCTCAAGGACTGGCACGTGCCGATCATGTACAAGCAGGTTCAGGATGAATCGAAATACGCTGAGCGACGAGAAGCTATCACCAAGTTCAACGCCACGCACAAGTGGAAGAAGCGAGGTCTTGCTCTTATTCCCACCAAGTTCGGTATCTCTTTCACGGCCCTCTTCCTCAATCAAGCCGGTGCGCTGGTCCATATCTACCACGATGGATCCGTTCTTGTTGCTCATGGTGGTACGGAGATGGGGCAGGGCTTACATACTAAGATGACGATGATTGCTGCGGAAGCTTTGGGTGTTCCCCTCTCCGACGTTTACATCTCCGAGACTGCAACTAATACCGTTGCAAACACTTCTTCTACAGCTGCGTCTGCATCGTCAGATCTCAACGGCTATGCCATCTTCAACGCATGCGCGCAGATCAATTCTCGATTAGCCCCTTACAGGGAGAAATTTGGCAAAGACGCACCGATGAAGAAGCTTGCCAGCGCTGCTTATTTCGATCGTGTGAATCTGTCAGCAAACGGCTTCTACAAGACTCCAGATATTGGATACACATGGGGGCCGAACGAAGGCCAAATGTTCTTCTATTTCACGCAGGGTGTTTCGGCTGCCGAGGTCGAAGTCGATACACTGACTGGAGACTGGACTTGCTTGCGAGCCGATATCAAAATGGACATTGGACGATCGATCAACCCTTCAATCGATTACGGCCAAATTGAGGGTGCCTTTGTTCAAGGAATGGGACTCTTCACCACAGAAGAGAGCTTGTGGTTCCGCGGCGGTCCTATGAAAGGCCAACTCGCAACTCGAGGACCAGGCGCGTACAAGATTCCCGGCTTCCGTGACATCCCACAAGAGTTCAACGTCTCTATGCTCAAGGGCGTCCAATGGGAGAACCTCCAAACGATCCAACGTAGCAGAGGTGTTGGAGAGCCGCCTCTCTTTATGGGCAGTGCCGTATTCTTCGCAATCCGCGATTCTTTGAAGGCAGCAAGGAAGCAATATGGTGTTGAGGCTGAAATTGGCGTCAACTCGAAAGATGACGGGCTGCTGAGGTTTGAGAGTCCGGCGACTCCCGAGAGGATTAGGACGAGTTGCGTTGATCCTATTGTGAAGAGGGCTTTTGTCAAGCCTATGGAAGGGGAGAAGAGCTTTTTTATTGCGATTTGTTGAATAACATTGACATGAGAAACGGCTGGGTTTGCTTCATTGTATTTATTGGTAAGGAGATACTACGATTATTTGCTCTTCCTTCCCCTTCCTCTCTGTTCAGGGTTAAAATTGTATTTAATGCCCGAGCTAGTAAGGGACATTTAACCACCCGCCAACACAGAGAGACTCGATGCTTTCTATTCCCCCATCCAATCAACATATCGGGCTAGGTCGGATGGGAACAGTGACCAACACTTAAAGCGTAGTGCAGCACGTGCCATCCGCTACCTCAATGACTTCACCTGTCAAATGTAACGGATCTTCAACGTCAAAACAAAATGCACTCTAACTAGGATGTCGGAGTCACCATTCCTAACAAGGTAATTAAGAGATGAGAGTCCCAGGGCTTGGAGCCTTCGAATCTCCTTTTCTTTCCCCTGTCAAAACTCGCAGCTTTTTGTTTGAAGAAGTTACATCAGCTTGAAGTATGATGACACTTAGACTCAGCAGTCCTGCACCTCTGCTCAAATTTCTCCACAGACAATGTTCCTCTAGACTCATCATATCCGTTAGTTCTTCATTCAATTTCAAAAATATCAATCCATCACGTTCAAGGAGTCTGCATACTAAACCACCCAAAATGGCAGCAATCGTCGACACAGTCAGATCCACCATCGCCGAGAACTTCGGCGGGGCAAGGTACCTCCCCCCCTTTCTCCTTCCTTCATTTCTTACTAATTCCAACAAGTCACTCCCTCGCAAAACCCGAACATCAATTCTCCCTCTCCGAGGTCCCTGACTTAAGTGGGAAAGTGGCACTCGTGACCGGAGGGTCAGAGGGTATAGGATATGGCTGCACCCACACGCTGCTCTCGCACAATATAAGCAAGCTGTTCATCCTCTCGCTTTCCCAGGAAGTCGTCGATGGAGCGTTGAATTCGATAAGCGAGGAGATGGGACCGGAGGCAGCGAGGAAGGTTACGTGGGTCAAATGTGATGTTGGAAATTGTAGGTCGAAAAGATTTCTATTCTGGACAGCCCCATAAAATTCTCCGGAGGCAATGTCCTAGAGTTTCCTGTGAAGGGAATTGCTGACTCTATCGTTATGCAGGGAAGGCTGTGGCGAAGACAGCAGAGGAGGTTGCTGAGAAGACGGATAGACTTGATATCTTGATCTTGAACGCAGCGAGGGGAATTATGACCTACCAACTCACCGAGTATGGAGTCGATCGGCACATGGCGGTGAACCATTTCGGGCATGTGATCCTGGCAAGTCATTTGATGCCCCTAATGAAGAAGACTGCGGAGAAAGGGGACTTCGTCAGGATCGTGACGCTGGGATCGAACGCTCACCAAGCTACGCCTTCTGACTGCAAATTCGAGAGTTTGGAGGAGTTGAACACAGATCTTGGACCTAATGGACAGTATGGCCGAGCGAAATTGGCACAGATGCTGTATGCGAAGTTCTTGAACAAGCATTTGACGCAGGGGAAGGAGCCGAAGATCCTGGCGAATACTGTACATCCTGGGTTTGTGGATACGAAGATGAGTCAGGAGGATATACACGAACCCTACCCACTTGGCGGTTATGCGATGAGTGTGGGAATGAAGCCATTTAAGAAAGATCAGTGGCAGGGCTGCGTAAGTGCTGTCTTCGCTGCCACGAAAACGGAGAGGAGTGGCGAGTATGTCTGTCCACCTGCCATTCCGGAGAAGGGGAATGCGTTGTTTCAGGATGAGAAACTGGCAGAGAGTTTGATGGCGCTGACGAGGAAGGTGGTTAAGGAGAAGATGTATGAGGAGAGCATAGGGAAAGGGTGTCCGATGGAGTTTTACTAGATGAAGCACTCTATAGTACTAGTTATTTTGGGGACAATGGGCACTTGGACGAAACATGGGAAGCAACAGTATTCATGACATTGATGCTAGCCTTTTACTCATCTCCTGCCTTTCCCACGAGGTGATTTTATGACTCCGCCACGGCCTCTGTGACCACCGTTTCCATGCCGTTTTTCTTCGCCCAATCCTCTCCTTCCACTAGCAATCCCACCTCTGCCTCCTCTCGGACCGCCTCTGCCACCTCGGCCCCTGGAGTTGTCCCGAGAATTGCCACCGATCTGCTTTTTCACAACCTTCAGATCATCCTCATCGACGTCCATCTCATCGTCTTCATCTTTACTCCTCTTGTTCGAGAACTTCAGTCTTCCACCTCTGCCTCTCTGAACTGCATCTCTCCCCTTGATAGCTTTCACATATGCGCCCACGCCACCTTCATCATCTCCTTTGTCATCAGCCGGGGTATCAAGAACCATCGCACCATCATCGCTATCACCATCAAGTAACAATTTGCCATCCAGATCAAACCTTGCTTTCGTTTTGCCAGGTGCGCGTCGCTTGAGCGGTTTCGTTGATGAGATATTCGCCAGCGCTCTACGATCCAGCAGATCAAGAGGTTCGTCTTCGTCTTCCACGATATATGTCTTTCCGCCTTTCTTTGCCCCTTTCTTGCTCTTGCCGAGGACTTCGTTGTCTGAGACATCCGATCCATCTGAGCCATCATCACTGCCGTAGATAGCTTCATCGTATTCGCTCTCGAAGCGGCCTTTCCTCTGGCCAGTTTCGCCTTCTTCATCGCTACCTTCGGCACCTGCTGCTTTGGCGGCATCCTTATGTCTTTTATTTCGCTCTTTCGTCTTCCGAATATTGGCGATGAGCTTGCGGTCTTCTTCGGGACTGTATTGGTTTATAGTAGAAGCTCCAAATCGGCGAATCATCCGTTCGAGGATGTGCTTGACTTTCGCCTTGAAATGTGCTTTGTGCTCGTGACTCCATACCATTAAATTTGGTATTAAAGTCTTGAGTCGGGGGAGCATGAGATCCTCAGGTAGACTGATGACACAGACTTTCACAAACCCCAATACACTTCGGACGATTTCGCGGTTGTTGGAGGTGAGGAAAAGATCTAGGGTTTCAACAAGTTCGGAGACGGTTTCTGGTTTAAGAGCAGCCCGGAACTGGTAGAGAATCCTAGTCAGTGCTGTGATACAAGCTGATTGCATATGTGGCGAGTTGCCCGCCAAACCAGCGCTGACCATGGTGAAGTATTCTTCGAGGGTTCCTTCGACTGCTGGGGTATCCTTTGGCATGTGTGCTACTTTGTTGTTCTCGATCAACACACCAGGAGCTGCTGCAATCTTCTCACCCATAAGAACAAGAAGGTCAAAAGCAGCTGTTCGGGCACGCTCATTGACTTCCTTGCAAGAGATGACAACCTCGGAGAGAATTGCAGGGATAAAATGGAGGGAGTCATTCGGTAGGAATGGAATGAGTGTCGATATTGCGGCAAGTCGATCTCTCTTCGCTGGAGCTGATACTTTCTCTGCACTGCCGAGAAGTAACTGTTGAAGCTCGGCACTTCGTTCTTCCAAGGCAAGCTTGCCAACTGGAGATTCGGCTAGTCGGGGGATGAGCTTGTATGCTTTCTTCTGCAGTTGTGGATCGTCATCTTTGATGATAATTAAAGACGCGATATTGAATAGAGTGCTGAAACTTTCTCTCGGTAGATAGATGGAGATGGTAATGACAAGGTCCATGAGAGTATGGCTCATAGGTGGCATCTTATCTGTTGCGCTCTGCTGCTTTTGCTTCTGTTTTTCTGCCTGCGTTTGCGTCCCTGCCTCGGAGAGTGACGACTGCAGCATCGTTGTGACCCGCTCAAAAGTCTCCATGATCTCCTTAGAAGGAGCAATGCTCAGATAGGCATTGATGCAGCATAGGATATAGCCTCTGTACTGAGGCAAGGTCTGGCTGTAGACATTAAACAGAACAGCTAGCATATTACTTGCGAATCCTGACAAGTAGTCGAGGTTCTTCTGAGCAGCAGCCTTTGAAACGCGATGTTGGAGAACAAGATCGTCCTCGCCTTCAATGTCAACAATCGCTTGGTTCGACTCCACTAATGTCTGAAGAGCTCTGCAGACGTCAGATCGCAAGTTGACTTGCTTGTACAGTAGATTTGAAACCAATTCTGCAAATTCTTCGTCAAACGACTCGACCAGATCCAATGGTAGATCACAATATCCGGGGAGGAGCGCCCATATTTGCTGAACTAGAGTCTCGAAAATCTTGATCTCCATGGTCTTTTCAGCTTCACCATGGTCGATGACTCTTTGGAACATCAGTTCGCTGAGCGGAACGAACTCAGTCTTAAAATGTTGCAGATTCGTGTTGTTAACATAGTCGCGCAGAATAGGTAGCATCCAGGCTCGTCCAGGCTGTCCTGGCTTTGGTTTTGCAAGATTGAGGGGTAGGATCTTGAGAACGCTCTCTGGCCCCATGGCTCGAACAGCTTTCCCAATGATCTCATCTGCCTCTTTCTTGCCACTAAAGGATTCGTTGCCACGAAGCTCGCCAATAGTTTTCACAACATCAGCTAATATGGGATCTGCTTGCCATCGAAGGCCGTCGAACATGGCTCCCATGACATTGAATGTTTCCATCCAAGCAGCCTGGTATTTGATACTCAAAAGATCCACTGCCACTTTTGCAAGCCTCCGCAGGATTTTCTCGTCGTATATTGACGGCTCCAAGAGAACAGAATCCGGGACGCAATTTGCCATAAACGAGATCAAACATTCCGAGGCAGAAACTCGAATGTTGTGTGATAAAGATGCCAGGAAGGCTGAAATCAAATTGAACAACTCCGGGAGCTTTTGGAAAGTCTCTTCGGGTTCGATTTGCGCAGAGACGTCATAACCTCTCGAGAGCACAGCAATCCAGGGTGGGAGGAGTTGGGAGTCATTCTGAGATGGTCGTAGCTCTGAGATTACCTCCAACAGCCTCGGCAGTTTTGAGGAGGATTCGTCATTCGCCATACCCTCGAAAATGATCTCGAAAACCTCGAATGCAGCCATAGTCATATATTCGTTGCTAGATTTTGAGATATTGAGAAGCACTTCGCACAATTCTTCGATCTTCTTGCTAGGCCAGCCTCCCGAAGCAGCCGCGACTGTTTTGACCAACTGTAATGCGTGTATCAATGCCGGTTCGTGCTCGGTTGTCTCGCTTTTCCTTTGTTTCTTTGCTTGGGTTGATCGCGCAGCAAGTTCACTCAAACTCTTCAAAGCGGTCTCAGCACACATATCTGCAGCAGGGTGATCAACAGCTGGACTCGGTGGTGGGTTCTTCAAGACATTGGTAATAGCTTCTTGTGCCCGCTTCCTGATCTTCGGCCTGTGATCAACTGCCAGATTTAGGAGACCAGCCATAGCTCTTCGGGGGCCGATTTGTGTTTGTGAAAGTTCCCATGCCGCTGAATCTTGAGCAACCAATAATGACTCGAGGCATCCTATCGAAGGTCTGAGCAAGGGAGCGTCTGCTTCGGGGAAAGTCAAGGCCGGGGCAATATTTGTGAGGATTTGTGAGAACTTCGAGCGGAGGAGAGGCTGCGGGGCATATGGAGTAACGACATCGAGGAGGTAGACAACCGAAGTTGCTAAATCTTTATTGACGCCTGCTGCCGAGACAGCTTGTCGAAGTAAGGCAAGAAGTGCTGCGAAATATCCAGTTGGTGAGGGTTCTGTTTTCTGGTCCCGCAGTGTATCCTCCACCGCGGACAGTACAATGTGTGTCTAATGTCTTGGTTAGTACACTCTATTCAGAATGGCTTGGAGATGGTTAATACTACCTGATGCTGGTTCTGCAGCTTCGGCGATCGGATCTTGTCGAGCTTCTCTTGGAGAGACATCTTGAACGAGTAGATGGGCCCTTTGCGCCTTGCTGCGAGTTTTGTCGAAAATGTCTCTCGCAAAAAAAGTTTCGCGATAATCGATAGCAAGCGACCACTTGCGCAAAGTCCGCCGTAGCGACAAGGCTCGGCCCAATATCTGGAAAACGTGCCCGGAGGGCTTGTTGCGTTTGGGATTAGCTCCGGATCTGCTCGTCAGGTTTGCCAATGAGACGAGCCATTCTGAACAGTACGCACGTGGGATGGAAAGTACTGCGAGCTGGCCTGTGCTTCTTGCCAGGGTCAAACTCTCGGCCTGGGCTTGCTCATCTTGTCTGGTGTGGAGAGGCGCTGGCTGGCGGGAGAACCAGCAGCAACAGAGCACCCTGACTTTCTGTTGCCTTCGACTGCGAACCGTCAACATCTGGCCTCATCCTCTGTCGTTGCACAATATTACTTGACTGTAATCTTTGCCAAATTTCTGAATTGCTTCGTCTCTCCTTGACTTTTGTCTGTTATTGCCCGCGGTGCGCATTCCGCTGCGCTTAGCCTTATCGCGCCTTTCTACTCCCTCCACATCTCACTCTCCAATTCCAACCAACAAAACAGAAATCAACAACCATGCGCTTCTCTACCGCGACTCTTCTGGCGCTCCCGCTGCTTGCGGCTGCCACTCAAGAAGCTTCTCCTCTGGACCAAGCCAAAGCCCAGGCGGAATACTGGCTTGGGAAGATCGCCTCATACATTCCAAACCCAAACAAGCCTCACAGTCCCCAAGAGCCCGCAGCCAAGGCCGGTGGCAGGACTCTCAAAATTTTGACCCTTAATGACTGGGAGCAAACAATTCGATCAAGCGTTAAGTCTGCAAGCACAAAGCCTGAGGAGTGGTGGATTCTAGTTACTGGAGGCAACAAGACCTGTTTCGGCCAGTGTGGACAAATCGAAAAGGCATTCAATGAGACTGCTCTCTTGTGGTCCCACAATCCTGCCGCTCCGCATCTGGGATACCTCAACTGCGAAGCCCAGCCAGTACTCTGTAACGCCTGGAGCACCGGAGCACCAACTCTTCAGATCTTTGAGGTTCTCCCTCCTCCTGCCAAAGTCGATGTTCGCAGCAAAGGTTTAAACACTACTACGACCACTGTCAAGACATTCACAGATCTCCACGCTTCGAAAGCATGGAAGGAGCAGACTCCTTATGAGGGCTTGTTCCACCCATTCGATGGCTTCTTTGCTAAGAATGGTCTTGCCGTTCCCCTTGGATATTTCTTCTGGGCTTTTGCCATCATTCCTAGCTGGATGTTTATGATTGGTATTTCGTTCCTTAGCAGAAGCATCATGTAAGCCCCGAATTAGGCTCTTGGTCGAAATTATTTGCTGACAGCTAGTTTAGGAGCAATAGAGCCATGGGCACTCAACCAGCGAGACCAGCAGCTGGTGCAGCACCAGCTGGAGGAGCAGCACCCGCTCGCGTAAGAGGCGCCCCGCCGGGTGATGGCGTATCCTATTTATACTAACTCTCCATAGTAAATCGAGGATGAGATAGAGAAGGCTGTGCAGGAAGGAACTTTCACAAAATGGTTAGGGCAATAGGGTGGATTACGGGACTCTTCATGGCATGGTTTCATGGCAGGCTGTGTGTGGGCTCAGAAAATTATATAGTGATCAATCATAATTCCATTGGGTATCAAAACGCCTAAAACCCCCACCCATGACCCTTCCCATGCGTCATTTCTTCTCACAAGACTTCTCTAGTCTTTCTAAACCCTCCAGGACTTGTCCTCGAAGCTGTCCATTTGCTAATCGCCCATACCGAAGATCGCTAAGTCCTCCAACCGTGTTCCGCATCTCTTCCAGCAAGGTGCCCGCTTCTTCATCCAGCCTCCTGATCTCGTCCTCCACATCCTCAACTGCGCTCTCCAATTCAGGTAATATTGAGGTCAGCGTATGTGGGTTTGAAATCGGTAGATTAGCACTCTGCCCGAATAACTATTTCCTATCAGCATCACATCTTTTAGCATGAATCCCGCTTGGCTTACAGCAGTCTCAACAGCCACTTCATCATCCTGCTCCTCCTTCTCAGCTTCCCTCCTAGCCCTCACAACTGCCCGTCTTTGCATATTTCCCCTCTTCACTTCGGCAATGATATTCTTGGCCACGGCATCTGTGATTCGTGCCCGCTGATTCTGGAGATCTCGGTAAAGGGCTTTGACTTGTGGGGAGGATTGTTGTGATTTGGGGAAGAGCTGGGTGAACGATTTTAGGGTTATAATTGCCGGGAGAGGAGCAGGTGGGAGAAGAAATGCCGAGAGAAGGGTTGCTTCTGTTGGTGGCATCGTGATAGTTGTGTGTACGTTGGTGGTTTCAATTGTGAATGTTCAGCAATGACGATGGGCTTGCTTTGTTCTTTCCTGACTTGACCAGATGTCGTTGTGTAGAAGAAAGTACAAGAATGCCCACTACCACCCAAGGCACTCAACTAAAGAGGAGTAAATTCGGTGTCGACTCAGTCTTGTTATTAGAACTACTGAGGGCGGCAGGACGCGACTTGGGAAACGCGGTTCTTCCCCGGCCCGACCATTGATCCGTAGTTTACTTTATTTAATCGTTCACCTCCTCGCTTGGTAGTCCCCTCAATTTCAGAATACATCACGACGCGATCCCCAACTGTAACTGGAAAAGCATCAAGATGGCACCATCGAAGCCTGCCCAGGCTAACGCGCCTTTTGCGAAGGATGAGCGAGTACTATGCTTCCATCATGAGATGCTGTATGAGGCGAAGATTCTGGATGTCCGAGCAACAGAGGATAAGGAGAGTTGGCAGTACAAAATCCACTACAAGGGCTGGAAGAATACGGTATCTTCTCCTAATTTGCTTGGTAGAGTTGAGAGTTACTAACTCGGAGTAGTGAGTGCTCACTTTCCTTGTAAGGTGACCGTTGCTTCCAAAGTTGGAAAGAGCGTCTACCCAAAACTTTTCTTTCAAGTCGTCGAACTTTCGACCTTCACCCCAAGAAAACATCCCATGCTGTCCATTTTTTGTCTTTAAATCAGTTGCCCAGAGTATCGAAACAATGGCTCGTCCTCTGCGAGAAAAAGATAAGGACAAAGTCCAGAACATCTCTGCTAACCACGTGTGGAATAATAGCTGGGATGACTGGGTCCCGCAAGACCGGGTGCGCAAGTTCACGCCAGAGAACAAAGAGTTGGCTGCACAGCTGCATAACCAAATGAAGTTGTTGCAGCAGAAGGCTCCGAAGTCTGTTGGCAAAGGTCCCGGCAAGAGAGGTCAAAATGGTTCAGATTTCAGCTCTAGAAATGATAGTGAAGAGCTAGGTGGTAGCGTTGCGGCTGCACCAGGCAGAGGAGGCCCAAGGCGGAATCGGGATTATGATTTGGAACATGTAAGCAACTTCCTTTTCTTTATATTTTGCTTAATGTCGTTTGGGTCTGGATATTGTGGAGAAGATTCCTCCATGCACTTGCGAGCTACTGAACATCTTCCCTGCTGGGGTTGGAGCCCTCACTGGACAGCCATGACTAGCCTCACTAGTCTACGGCATTGATCACATCGCCCTCCTTTCCCTGGACTGGACTTAGGACAGCTTCTGAACCCACCTCCGGGTTGCAAGACAACAGTATGCTCAATTGTCAGCAATTGTGTTGGTCCACGATCGTGACTACAGACTTCAGTTGTCTACGACGCTTAAAACACAAGACGCAGTACTATATCTTAAGCTCGCACCGCAACAGATCTTCTCCCCAGTTGGCAATATCCTTGCTTTTCAAGGGGTCCCTGAGCTTAGTCGGGCTTTGAGAATACTTTGAAGCTCATCGCTGATTTGACTCATCTGTTGATCCAACTTGGACATTGTGTGCACACTACATGCCCCACTTGTTTCGACATGCACTGTGCTCCTACTAAGATTTTGCATCATCTTATTGACTGTTCTCGGCACGCTTTCGATCACCAGATATCTGGAACGAGTTTGTGCCAATGTGCTCGGTTACTTGAAGCTACTGTCTTTTGATGGCTCACTTCCGGTAGCTTCTGTGACCTGAGCCATTTTCAATCAACAGCCAAGCGATAGCTTCAGACTCTACTTCTCCCAAGGTCATTCTGCTCTTCATACCGGCGTCCTTGCCATATTGCCCTTCGTTGGCTCACACGCTCTCACTCCCAAGGAGAGGAAGAAGGCGCCCGCAATCGCTTTCGAAAGTTTAGCTACGGTCTCTTCTATTGACATTCACGTCGTCTTCTAGTCTACGACCTAAGATTAGTACGAAAACACGAAGTCAGTACGTTCCCAAAAGCGATCCAAACTACACGCTCTCACTCCCAAGGAGAGGGAAGAACGTATTCGCTATCGTTTTCTAAAGTACGACTACTCTCTCTTCCACATCGATTCCAATCACGAAACAACACGAGCACACGAACTTGTAGCGTTTCTCAGAGCGATGTCATTTTCCTGCATGGCACGGTAAATCGCACGTCCCCAACCTGCCAGAAATTGCTTCCCAGGACTACACATTGGTCTCGTCCCCTCCAAGTCTTACAACACAAAACAGCCCCTTTTGCACTCGCTCCCGCTCTCACTACACAATGTCCTCAATGCACGATTCCAATGACGACTCCGAGTGCACAGTTGACTGTGACTTCAAATCGATGGGACCCCGTGCGAGCGCCACTGATACGTGCCGTCCCCGTAGTGACGGAGCCCATCAATCAGTAAGTCATGATGCCCTCCGACCTCTGTGGGAATATGTTCTGATATTTAACTTAACTTAGAGCAAGTCGGTGATTCCACCTCCACTTACATCAAGTGGCATGCCCCGTCTTGGTCTATTTGATCCACCCCGTGGCATGATACCACTGATTACACCAATTGCGATTGAGCCTGGCAGCCCTAGCATTGGTAGACCGAATCAGTTACGAGACAGGGAGCAGAGTGAGCAAACGACGCTCTCGGCCTTGGCCTTTCCACAGATTTCTGCCATGGCTTCCTCGTCAGGAGCGACCGCCGGTCAAAAGAAGCGCAGCTTCCCCCCCTCCGCCCATAAAGCATTGCGTGCAAAGAGGGGAAAAGATGCACTCAAACGTGGATATGTACTGCCTCCACGTGGAGCTTCAGCGAAGGAGAGACGAGCAGCCAGAAAGGCAGCAAAGCCAATTCTCCCATCGACCACACCTCAATCTAACCCTGGTAGCTCGCTTATTGGCATGTTCGGTGATTCACACAACAACGAGAACCGAATCGAGGATTCGATGCAAACTCCTTCAATCCCACCGGTCGCGGGACAATCGGATCCGGACATCTCCTGTCCTGGCAATTTTGATCGTCCACAGACCAAAGAGACCCAGATTCAGGACTTGAAGATGGCTCGATCCACTGCACGATCCAAAGACAACAACTTCCGAGCATCCTGCCCTGATTCTCAATTCAATTCAATCTTTGAACAGAATGTAAGTTAAGCTCTTCAATCCTACTTCCCCGCTTTGTCTATAGATGATGAGAAGTATCACCTACGTCATCTCAAGTTACAAAGACGAGCCGGTGCCGTTCTGATTGAGCACACACACTGACTCCACATTTTCTCAGGGGCAGGGTACTTTGGAGTCTGAGTTTGCTCCTTTACCAGCGTGTGCACTGGGTCAACAAGTTGCCTTCGACGAGTCTGTCTCAGTCTCCAATCCATATCGAGGAAATTCTGCAACAATGCATGGACCTGGCCGACAAGCCCCCTCAGACGAGTCTCTCCCAGCTTCCGAAGCATCTCGAGAATCATCTGCCTCTGTAGCCGCGCGATCTTTGGGTCTACGAGTCCCCTCAGACGAATCTGGCCCGGCGTCCAACGTATCTCGAGGAACTCGTCGAACTAGACGCAACCCAACCCCGACTTGGAGCATCCCAGGACACCCTGATTGGGACGTTATTAAGGTCCTCATGTCCGATGACATGTTGGCGCCTGATCCACTTCTGACCCTACCAAAGCCCAATCATACCTACCTCAACAGCCAAGGCAAGCTCAAGGATCCGTTCAAATACGCCCTACCAGCCAAGGTCGAAAGCCCTCCTCATCCGAAGCTAGTAGAGCTCAAGAAGAATGGGAATTACACGGCAGCTCACGGAATCTACTACAGGGATATGCAGCATGATCGGAAGGCTCCCATTGCAGGAATCGCTCCGCCAGACCCACGTAACTCTGTAGTCAGAGACTACGACTTTGACTTCGGATTGGACTTCTTTCCTGGTCTCGGCGCCTTTTTTAACAATGTAATGACTAATGGTGAATCCCAGGAAGAATCATTTCACGCCAAGCCTGCTGTCAAGCTCCTTATACCCGACCACATCAAAGCAATCCTCGTCGACGACTGGGAGAACGTCACGAAAAATCTCCAGCTCGTCCCACTTCCCGCCGCTCAACCTGTTAATGCTATTCTCAATGATTACCTGCAGTACGAAAAGCCACGCAGACAAGCTGGTAGCGCCTCGGCCGACATCTTGGACGAAGTTGTTGCTGGTCTGAAGGAGTACTTTGAGAAGTGTCTGGGCCGAATTCTCCTGTACCGGTAAGACGATTAAAAATGCCTATAATTGTGGATGTTAATGCCTACAGCTTCGAACGCCAACAATACATTGAGGTCCGTGAAGGAATTACCAAGGGAACGGGTGATTTTGCAGGGAAGGGTCCAGGTGATATCTATGGTGCGGAGCATTTGTGCCGTCTTCTCGGTACGCCGCTCTTCCTCTCCATACAATGCTGTGCTGACCACCATAGTCTCCCTGCCAGAGTTGATCGCCCAGACCAACATGGACCATCAATCTGTCAACCGTCTCCGTGAGGAACTCTCGAAGTTGACCAACTGGCTTGGACGAAATGCTCTTGTTTATTTTGTCAACGAGTACGAGACCCCCGGCCAAGAATATACCGAGAAGGCGAAGAATCTCTAGGTGGTTTCGTATGGTAGCATTGGCATGGAGAACGGCGTCACCTGATATTGCGGTATTGGAAAATGGGACTGTGGAGCGGAAGACTCGTTCGTCTGCCAGGTCTCATTTACCCTGCGTGCTCTGAGCACATCACATTGCGTTCTTTTTCTCCTTTCTGTCGTATTACACTTTTCCTTGCAACACATCATCGCAGGCACATCTGGTGGTTGAAGGAGCCTTGACTCGACTTTCGCCTGATTCCTGCACTCACACACCACTCTCATACATGCATTTGAGCGCTAATTCATGGCGCGCTATGATACACCTTCTAGACATCATAGCAGGTATCACTTGTAGGAATTGAGATATTTCGCATTATCCTTCTTGCAGTTGTGTTATAGTAATACTCATAACGTGCAACAAAGTTTGATCATGTTCTATTAGACTGCTATGAATATGCCTACAGAGTTCACAACACTACCAGACATCCGCTTTGTCCCAACCCTCACTAGTCAACGCGTAAAACGACCACCATCTCGAAGCCAGTTCTTATTTTGACAGGCGGCCACTGTTGAAATGAGAAATGTCTCCTATGTAGGTGCATTTCTGATCTACATGGTTGAACCGAAATGTCAGGGAGCCTTTATCATCATCCAGCATACTACAATTAATCCGCGCGTGTAGAACCCATTCCCGTTGTATCCTTCAAGCTACTTGTAGATAGTTCTCCCAACTCTCGCTATCTCTACTGTCTGAATCCACAAACCTGCCGCAAGGTTCACCGAAAGTGCGAAATAATTGGTTTGTGATGCTCTCGTTCCTGCTGCCACTATGTATAAGGGGAAAATTGGATTGTTTCTTTTGACTTTGAGGGCACGACGGACGTGCTCCTTGAGCTAGTCATTATTCCAGGGGCGATCGCACTTTGTAGAGGTGTTCTTTATAGCTGTTCATGTTTAGTTGAGTTCAATACTGGTGCTGATGTTAAGAGTAGGAAGCAGTTGCCCTCGTTCTAATATCTGTTACAGGAACAGTCTTTGTCTAATCCCAAATCTTGCTGGCTTTGTGATGTTCGGTCCAGCAATCGATTGTATGTTACAACTCGAGCCCAGATGAATCCAAACGCCATTGTGGGTTCCGCTTAATGTACAATATCGCCAGGATTGGCTTTGTAGAGTGTTCGAGACACGCTTCCGAGGCCATCCAGTCATTTCTCCACCATCATGATCCAAGTCGACTCATTCATAGCCTGCCAGCGCCTCCATGACTCGGCCGTGCTACCGTTTATTCCAGCCCAACACTTCTCCTGCTCCAATCTCGTCACCGTGGAACCGCGCTCTCCAAGTAGAATCCAGGATCCGGCCGCCGCTCAGCTTTCAGCTCCTCCTTGGTCAGTGGCCTATCCACTTCCCGAACTGCTACCAACTCCTTGACTCTCATGATCTGACCTGCGACCTCGGGTGTGACTGGGTAGAAGACTGTCTTCATTCGTTGACGCAGACCCAGTGCTTTCAACACTCCTTGAGTCCGTTTTGGCAGGCCGATGCCCGATCGAATGAGGGTTATTCGGAAGTAAGGCATTGTCTTGCAATTGCTTAGTTAATGACCAATTCATTCATTACTGTTCTGAACAACATACCTCTGTCTTGCAAGGACTTTGCCCTTTGTCGATGGTTAGGATGGAGTCCAAGCTGTCCCAAGAAAACCATTAGCGACTTCGGCATGTTCCGAAGCAGACGCGACCAAATGACGAAACGTCTCAACTAAAACCTTACCTCAAGACACCAAACATGGCATGAAGACACACCAAAAACATTGCACCGCTTGCTTCCACTATGACGATGGACAGTTCCTCCATCAAGCTCGCCGAGCTGCTCCGGCACGCGGACGATCTAGACAAAATCCCAGCCATGAAATCGGAATATATTCGCAAGAAAGCAACGGTCGATGCCCAGCTCCGGAGCGGGCTGAAAGAGCAATTGGAAATTACACAGTCTGGCATGAATGGGATTACCGATGGGCAAAGAACTGTCCAGCTCATCAAGGAAGAAATGATGAAGATCGATAAGCTGTGTGCTGAAGCACAGAACATGATTCGGGATTTCCCCAACATCAACCTCGTTTCCCAGACACATAGGAATTTCAGCGCAGTCGAGACAATGAGGAAGAATTTGGACAGCTTTAATGATCGGCTGGCGCAGGTGGAAATGTTGCTCAGAGAGGACGATAAGGATCTGGAGAATATGCCAAACTTGCTCACGGTGCACTATGAGTTGACGCAGTTGAGGAACATACGGGATGATTCCATGGAGCAGATTATAAGGGCGGATGATGCGGGTATGCAAGCCACACTGGAAGACTATTTTGCGAGGTTGGACGAGACGATTGAGTGGTTTGATGAGCATGTGGGAACCATTGCCCTCAATCTGATCAATGTGCTGATCAATGGGAATAATGGGTTGGTAGTAAGGCTGGCAGTTGTTCTTCATGAGGAGGAGAAAAGCGATAAGAGGGTTAAGGCGCTGCAGGAGGCGCTGAAGGATCATAAGGAGATGGCAGTCCGGTTCCAGAGTATTACAGATGGAGCCAAGACTGTGAGGGGATATAAAGAGAAGTTCTTACAAGCGATTAAGATCAACGCGGAGGGGCAGATAACAGAGACAAAGCAGGCGTTCTTGGAGGATCCGTCGAAGTTAGAGAAGAACCTGAAGTGGTACTTCAACGATCTCAACGCTGTAAAACAAGGGATGGTTCCTTTGATGCCAAAGAAGTGGAAGATTTTCCAGACTTATGGCAAGATTTACCACCAGCTCATGCACGACTTCCTTATTGGCATGATCGACGATCCGAATACCACCTCAGCCAATACTCTAGCTATTCTCAACTGGCCCGAGAAGTACTACAAGAAGATGGCGAAGCTAGGCTTCAAGCAAGACGAACTAGAACCTCCTATTCTGGATGGTCGGGAGAGTGAGCTGGTTAGAGAGTTCCGTCAACTCATTATCAGATTCCTCGACCAGTGGATTGATCGGATCTTCAAGACAGAGCAAAAAGACTTCGCAGACCGGAACGTGGATGGCTCTAATCTTGACGCGGATGAATATGGCTACTTCAGAACGAAGAACCTGGTTGATTTATGGAGAATGTTGTCGGAACAAGTTGACGCAGCTGGGAACTCTGAACGAATGGACGTCGTGGAAGGCGTGATAGATGCCATGATTCTTCGACTTAAGACAAGACAACAGACCTGGCAGAAAATGCTCGACGACGAAGCAGCCAGGTATTATGGCAATACTCCTGAGCTTGAGGGATTCCAAGCTCTCCAAGACTGGCTTGTTGCTACAGCAAATGACCAAATTGCATGTGTAGATGACAACGAGGAGGAAGGACGATTTGCATACCTCACCAGCTTCCGTCAAAAGTTTGAGCCTTTGGTCTCGCCTGTGTATCTCGAACGAGTTGACGTGGAGATCTCAACACTCCGTGATGGATACGTGGATCTCAGTACACACTGTATTGCAAAATTCGCACAGCTCATCTTCGCTGTGGACTTCAAAACAGTTATGCCAGATTTCTTCACACCTAGATGGTATGCCGCAACAGCAGTGAAGCAAATGGTGGTCACGTTTGAAGAATACGTCGGCGATTACAAGAACGTTCTCCATCACTCTCTTCTCGATATTTTCATCGAAGAACTCGCCGACGAGCTCCTCATCCGTTACCTATCATCCGTCAAAAACAAAGGCGCCAAATTCAAGCGTCAAGATCCCTTCAAAGACAAGCTATTCAACGACGTCTCAACGGCCTTCGAATTCTTCAACAACAATAATTACCTAAGTCCCGATGTTGCCGAAACCATTAAGCAGAAATGGAAAGTTACGCAGAATTTCTTGGAATTGATTGAGGCCGAGAAAGCCGCCGTGCCTGAAGTTTTTGCTGCATTCAAGGCAGAGTATTGGGACTTGCAGTTGAGCTGGGTGGAGGCAGTTCTTAGGTCGAGAGACGACTTTGACCGGAGTATGTTGAATGCTGTCAAGGCCAGAGCAGCGTCAATTGATGTCATCCGAGGCTTGGAGACGATAATGAGTAAGGTGAAATAGGTTAGGCTTTGAGGCTTGGGATATTTGGTTTGAGCGTGGAGTTCAGCGGGCATTTTCTGGCGTCAGGGGCCATACAGCTTCCGGTCAGATACTGGAAGTGTTGTACAGTAAATCAGAGATTCGATCATATTCCAGCCAAGGGGGGGAAATCAACAAAACATGAAAATCAAGCTTCTCAATGGAAAACTCTTGCTACTGTATATTCATCCGCAGATCACGTGCGGGGCTTGAATGACGCGATTCTGATTGGCGAAACGCGACAACATATCAACGACGCGATATCAATCCCTCATCGGGCCTCTAATATCACAACACAAAATGGTACGAAATCTAACCTCCATACCTTCGGTTTAATTATCTAACATGATCAAGGCCCCCGAACCAGAAATCCTAAAACGAAAGCGTTCGCGACCTTCAGATTGGTGGGCTGCTGCTCCCACGACCCCACAACAACACGATGAGCCCCCAGCGAAGAAGCGCGGAGGATCTTCCAATGCGCACGCGGATGGAAAGGGAATGAAAGATGCGCCTGCGGCGGGGAATCGAGGAAAGAGTGCGAAGGAGAAGGAAGGGGGGAGGGATGGAGAATATGGAGAAGAGGATGAGCTGCAGGAGAAGCCCGTGAAAGGGGGACGAACCTCTGGGGGCGGGGAAGGAGGCTCAAGAGCTGCTAAGAGAGCGGAAGGGAAGAAGGGGAAAGGCGCACAGGAAGCTGCTGAAGAACAATCGGCACCGAAGAAGTGTGGAAGAGCTACCGCCGCGCAGGTCGATGAGCAAGTTCAGGAGACCATGGCGGAGAAATCGGCGGCGAAGAGGAAGAAAAGACCTTCGGGTGGAAGAGTTGAGGAGCCTGTTGAGGTTGTAAAATCGTCGAAGCAGTCGAAATCCGTGAGACGTGGGAGGTCATCGAATACTGGGGCGGAAGTGAGGGCTGATACTGAATCTGCAGCTCAAAGGGATATCGCAAAGAAACGCAAAGTACGTCCAGCTGCGGAGAGGGAAATTGAAATCGAGGCCGAAGAACCAGATGAGGACCCAATTGCACCGCAAAAGCGTCGTCAACCTGCGAAGAGAGCGGAGGCTGAGGCTCCGATTGATGAATTGGTTGACGACGAGTCCTCAGGACAGAAGAAGAACAAGATTAAGAGGCGATCTGGTGCTGAAATCCTTGAGGCGGAAGCTCTTGCCTTAACGACTACGGAAGATTATGCAAAAGGTAGAAGACGGCCTCCTATACCCAAGCCAGGGGCAGTCGCGCCTTTCACAGATGATCATGATCGAGGCAGGAAACGCACCCGGCACCCAGATGCCAATATTCAAGATGTTCAACCAGCAGCTTCATCTACAGTCGACTACCAAGAAAGGGGCCGAGCGCGTACTCGTCGATCTAATATTGAACCCAAGGAAGCAGACATGGCCAAACGGCCGAAGAAATCGAATAATAGTCATCAAAGGGATCAGCGAGTCGAAGTAGAAGCCGCATCTTCAAAACTACAGCGTTCGGGACCGGAAAAGGGAGCCAAGCCTGCCGTTGAGAAGCGCACAACATCTACCAGGGGCTCTACGGCGGCTGAGCAGCCTCAAAAGTCCAAGAAGCGAACAAGGTCGTCTATTGAGGGAGTAGTGAAAAGGTCAGCTCCAGAGCCTTCAAATGCTCATAAGAAAGGCTCCAAAGGACAAACCCAAGAGGAAAAGCAACCTCGCAAGTGGAAGGATTTGGAGCGTGAGTCTCTTGTCCCTTTCTGATCCAATTGTCTTCTAATGCTTATAGAACATCCAGCAAGTGAACCTGTGAAGCGTCGGCGGATCCAAAAGCCATCGCAACATGATCACGATACCCATGAGCCCGAAGAAGCACCCATGTATCAACATTTACAGGCAGTGACCCGCAGAGTGTCACACCAAACTATCGAGTCCAAATGGGAGCCTTTACCGTCTAACTGCGTTGAACGAATCTCCCAATTATTATATGACCTCCAAAGACCAGTAGTCGTTCGTTACAACGACGAGCGGAAGAAAATGCAGTCAAGCACAGCCTTACAAATGATATCTCGCAGACTCGTCAGCAAGATTTCAAAGGGGCTTCCTTTTCCACAGGGCACACGGAATTATCGAGAGGACGATTTTGACTTTGAGAAGATCTTGGATCACACCAAAGCTTTAGAGGGTCAACTCACCCCTGCACTTCATGCCAATGAGCTTCTGGAGGCTCAGGTGAGCAAGGAAATGGCATTGCTCGAGTCCGAAAAGGAAAGGCTAGGGACGTTGGAGGCAAATGCAAAAACTGAAGCAGCTTTGAGAAGTGAAGCAGCCCGGAGATTGCACTCATTGCTTCAACCACAGCCGGGAACAATGGAGATTGAGGGATTGAAGGATGACATTAGCCTAAGTATTGGTCAAGGTGACCGGCCACTTGACATTAAAGTAAGTCTCGTTACTTTCCGCTGCCATCTACTAAGCTAACCCCTTCCCAGATCCAGAATGACGAGCATCTTCAAGCGCTTGTAAAGGAGCTGCATGGTCACGTGGACAGCATTCAGGGGAACATTCGACAGGTTCGAGGCGTCTCCCAAGCCATTTCTAAGAGTAAAGCTACTGTGCAGCTCACGCTCTTTGGCCACCTTGATAGTGTGCAGTATGAGGAAGTCGTGTTGGGAAGTGAGTGAAGGATAAAGCAGGAGAGCACAAGACACTGGACGAGCTACTTTGAACTGTACCTCGGGGATGCGCCGATCAGCGCTATGATTGCATGACATGATGTACGACTCTAGTAATGAAGCATAACTACCCAATAAAGATACCCAAAATTTGCCATCAAATGAGAATTCCCCGACCGAAGGTGAACTGGAAACGTGCAGGATGTACTCTGTACTCGTACCTGCTGGCTGGCCGTGGGGCCCCGAGGACCCTTGAGCCGTGCATTCGCTGCGGTTTTCTCGGTTTGTGGCTAGCCTTGAATCCGCCAGCCCCGCGTGGGATCTTCAAAGACGACAACCACTTGGCAACAAGAACCGCCAGTCGATGCCACAAGCTTCTTTTGAAGCTACGAAAGCTCTGGAGGATCGATGCTCATTGATTGAATATCCTCCATCGCTATTCATAGCTGACTCGACCACTTTGGGAGCTCCACTCCAAGAGCGCCTCCACACGAGACCTCAGCCGGTCCGTAAGACGACAGCGCGACGTCGCAATCCGATGGAAGCCCTCGAGGCGTAGAATCCAATGTCATGGAGCAAAATGGGGCAAGCAATGGGCACGAGACGAAGCCGCAGAAGTCTCCACCCGCGTCTGGCGCAAACAAAAGCCCCAAGAAGCGGCGCAAAGTAAATCATGGTTCGTCCAGCAAGCCAACGGCCTCGAACAACCTCAAGGATCCCTCTGAAACATCTACTGACCTTGGAACGTGTTCCTGCAGCTTGTGTGTATTGTCGCCGATCTGTAAGTCTTGCATTGGGTCTAAATACATGGAAGTACTCGGCGTATGCGCCTATGCGCATATTGTTTGGCAGAAGCTAATTCGATCTGGTATTTGACCAGCATATGACATGCGATTTAGTACGACGTCCTTTCCAATAATTCAGCCACTCGTGGTACACAATGTACTCTGACTAACATCTTTCTGTGACACAGGAACGCCCATGTGCACGCTGTATAAAGCGCAACATCGGACACCTCTGCCATGATGAGCCCCGCGAACCGGAATCGGCCACGAAAAAGTCGAAGAGCCAGCATAGCAATTCTGTGGCGGAGGATGTTGGGTCGCCGCCTGATCAATCACAGGCCAATGTCGAGAGTGGCATGAGCAATTCGTTCGAGGAGCAATCGCAAGATACCAGTCTCGACTTGGGCACAATCACTGCTTCCCAAGGTGGGCCCTTACAGATTGTTCAGCCATCACCTGTGTCAGGAATCCAGGCAAATGCCCTCAACAGCGTCAGCAATCAATGTAAGCTTGGTTCCTGCTCAATTCGCTGGTTGTGAGTAATAAAGAGAAACGTAGTTGTCGGGTATTCGAACGACTGGCTTGGATCTCAGAATCAATTTCACGATATGCATAACTACCATCCTTCATATATGTTCAATGCGCCGGAGGTTAACAACGAGTACAACCTTCTGAACGATTTTCTGAACAACAGTTTGCTTGATGACGGTGCATTACTCCCAGACGACACTTCAAACTTCTACACAGATCAACCTGGAGTCATGTTGCCTGGCGCAGCCAACACTAATGCTGGCCCTTCTGGAACGCAGCCTCAAGCAACTTTGCAACCCCCGGGAAACCCTCAAGGCAATTCCATTTCCAGACCAGCGAGTGTCATTCCGACTGACAAAGCACGCGAGTATTATCTTCAAGCCGCTGATCCGACTGGCAATGATGCGCCTGAAGAGAGAATGCAAAGATTGCTCCGAGCAAAATATGATGCGGGAATGCTGAAGCCCTTCAATTATGTGAAGGGCTACGCACGACTATCTGCTTACATGGATAGCCATTTGCATGCGGCTCAGAAGCAGAAGATTCTTCGACAATTAGATCGTTTTAGACCGAAGTTCCGAGAGAAGGTCCAGGAATTGACTGATATCGAGCTCATATATGTGGAAATGTGGTTTGAGCGCAGCTTGATGGAGTATGATCGTGTCTTTGCAAGCATGGCCATACCTGCATGTTGCTGGAGGAGAACAGGAGAGATATTCAGAGGAAACAAGGAGATGGCGGAGCTGATACATGTACCCATAGAGAAGTTGAGAGATGTGAGTGTTGGTAAAGTACGACCCTTGAACCCGTTGCTAAAATTTTGCAGGGCAAGATTGCGCTGCACGAGATTCTCGCTGAGGAATCGCTGGTCAACTATTGGGAGAAATTTGGAGCAATTGCTTTCGATCCAGCTCAGAAGGCACTCCTCACTTTCTGCTCGCTGAAGAATCCAGATGATCAATCAAAAGATCCAACGATCAAGTGCTGCTTCTCGTTCACAATTAGAAGGGATGATCACAAGATGCAAGTCACGTTATCCAGTTCCTTTTGGACATCATTTGCTGACGAACATAGTCCCTCTCTGATTGTTGGTAATTTCTTGCCCCAAGATCCAGTGAAGCAATGAGGTCTTTCTACAACATATTTGCCTGTAGATTAGGGGTGGTAAGTACATAAAAGTTGCTTGCTCGACAGGCGTTATTGGTCATAGGAAATCTTAGGTCGTTGCGAGGCAGCGACGAGCTGAGCTTGAAATACAGCATGACCGGCATGCCTTTTTCTTCTGTAAATCGAACGAAAACTTTCCGTCACGTCTATTCCCATGAAGTTTTCTTGCATTGTCAATAGATTTGTGACTCCTTTTTTCAACACTCGCTTCGTCTCGGCAATCTCTACTAAAGAAACACCGACTTCAAGCCTCGTCGATATTCATCCTTTCTAAATGACAACATGGCGCCCGCACAATCATCTCGGCCCGAGAAGGACAAACGTTTAAAGATAATCCTTTGCAAGTTCCTCACCCTTTTCGCCTGCTCTGCTGACTCGTCATTGCGCCCAGCGTTCGCAACAGACCTGGAAGCCCAGCTGCCTGCAGCCACCAGAGCAAGAACATCAGGGACGCTTCTAACCGAAATAGGAAATCAGTTATCAAATTTCCCCGCCAAGTTTGGTACGTTCGCTACTTCAAAATGCGAGGAGGTTGATCAAATTGGCACGACACTTTGGAATCTCTGCACCCGGCTTCGACGCGACGTCGAGTCCGACAATCCAAGAGATGTTCCGATCATTCTGCTTCTGACTCGCGTGTTCTCCTTTCTCCTGTTGGATGGAGCATATGAGGGTGGAAGGAATGCTCCTGGAAATCTAACGAGGCTAATGAAGATTGGAATCAAGGCTGGGAAGAGCTGCATAGGTTAGTTGGAGTTTGCCCGTAAAGTACATCTGCTGACACTATCTCAGAAAGGAAAGAAGGCGATCTGGCCCTCAAGGTGCTCGAAAAAGTTAGCGGATATGTCAAGCCAGATCCCGGGGCAGCGCCAGGGGACAGAGAAGCAGTTGAGAGGCTTGTGCCTGAGTATTATGTGCTCAGAACAGCTTTGGCGAGCAACATCATTGCGGTTGATCCCGACTTCAGCTGACATACGTGTAGGCCTGGCACCTCGACCAGCTCGATATAGCAGAGCATATGTTCAAGCTGTCGCTATCATCTATCCAATCCTTCGATTCGAATACAGCAGAGAGCTTGGCTGATGTCCTGTACGAGATGGGAAAAGATCTCCTGCATAAGCAGCAATACCAACTAGCCGTAAAGTGGCTAGAAAGGTCGTATGAAGTATTGAATGATCAAGAATTGGACAGGCTCAGCATTGATGCCAGCGAACTTCGAACATCAATCATGCAGACCTTGATCAAAGCCCTATTATATTTGAAGGAGCCTGGAGCAGTTGAGAGAGCTCGTAGCCTTGTCAACCTTCTCGAGAGTGTGCTTGGGGACAAATTGATTGTCTTATTACTGAAGCTGGAAATTCTTTCTGCGCCTTCGACGGAAGCTTTCGATTGCAGTCAATACAGCGATGTGCTACAAAGAATGACTAGATCAATACCCCTATCGGACGTCAACTTCAAGTTATTTATGTTCCACGTACGAAAACTGAACGACAAGAGTCCGAGTTTGGCGTGCAAGGCGCTCGATGAACTTCTGAACCTGCGGATACTGAGAGAAGAGCGGGAGGAGTACATTGAGAAAATTCTGATCACTCGAATTTGGATCACAGTCAGCCAAAGGGAAAGCCCAGAGACAGTGGGGTTGCTTCATGAGTTGTTCTCGTTGATCATGGAGAATATCAAAAATCCCATCAGCTCCGTGGCTACACATGGGGCTCATACCGTTCGTGGATCTTCCCTGAGTCGGAAAGTTGGGTGCTAATTGCGGTAGTTGTTGTGGAAACGTATCGAATCGAGTTATGCTGCAGGACAATTTGAAATGGCTGAGAAGTGGTGCCAATTAGCCACACATCAGATATTCGTGAATTCGGGGGAGCATAATATGGCTCGTATCTCGAGGTCAAAACCCTTCAGATGAATTGAACATGACAGTGTTGACATTCCATAGGAAGCTTCTCCTTTGTGCTATGGCAAAGAAGGACGTTGGCAGCGCTAGGGAGATCTTCTCCTCGATGTCGGACTCGACTAAGAACGAGCCCATGAGTCGGTTTCTCATGTACAAGATTGCAATTCGATGTGGAGAAAGTGATCTCGCCGCCGAGAGCCTTCAGATCATTAGCTCTGCGACTACGAAAGACCCAACACTCTTATATGCTTGTTGTTTGGACGCCCAGCAGTCCGGAAACAAGCTTCAAACCATTGCCGCTCTGCAACTTGTTCTTGATAAATATGGCTATGCCGCTCCCTCTGCGATACACCTACCGTCACTGCTCCGCATAACAATACAGTTGATGGTCCAACTACAAAAAGAATCGCAGAATACCGCAATTTTGGATGACATGGAAGTGACTGTGGAGAAACTGTGCAAAGCATTTGAAGGAGGTACTACCTCCAACACCTCACTTTAGAAAACTCTGACACATTATATAGCTGTATCCTCGATGCGCAAAACAAATGGCCCGGATTCTGTCTGGGATATTCGTGAGCTTGACTGGTTCTCCAAGAACTCATATAACCTTGTTATCAAGAATATCTCGAGTTGGTCCCCACGCCACTCTTTACAAATGTTAACATGCTGCATCGCCTTCATCGATCAATATCCGAAGGATATCAGCGACCAAATATCAGACGATCTTTGCCTGCGCAAGATGTTCTGCGAATTCTCGGCGGTGACTGCATTGCTTGCTCTGGCTCGTGGTGGAGACAATATCGAAGTCCAACTGCAAGACTATCTCAATCTTCGAAAGCATGTCGACAGCTTTGACGCTCTACTACAAGAAAAGACGGGTAAACTGGGGGAAGAAGCGGAGGAAGATCTTCTCCGAAAGCTATCGATACTGATAGCTTTTGACTTCGAGGCTGCTTGTCATTTGAAGGCATGGGATGATCTTCACGATATCATTCTGAAGGCAGAGTTTACTAAGAGCCAGCGAGTATACGAATTAATGGCGGATTGTATCCTGTGCTCCCAAGCTCCAACGCAAGGTATGCTACCCAATATTTTCCGTCCATCGGGCGAGAATTAATGGATCTGGCAGTTTCAGTCTCGGTTCTGAAGAAGATTGTCAATGAAGCTTGGGGTCTTGATACAATGGATGTTCCAAAGCTTGCCAAATACATGCGCTGCCTCTTCCAAATTGCCATGTTGGACAATATGGAGGTTGCCGAACAGCTCCTTGATCAGGCTCATGAACAGGCGAAGGAGGCTGCGGAGGTAAAGTCACTCCTGTCCATTACTGATAATTGAACGCTAATGATGAGCAGACCGATCAACCGTACCCGACGGAAGAAATCGAATGGATCGCTACTCGCTCTTTCAACTACGCAGTCGACCTTTACTGCGCTGGTGATGAAGATGGCTGCAAAAACTGGACAGCGAAAGCATTGAATATTGCTCATTATTGTTCAGATCAGGGTGGTTTGGAGAGGCAATTGCAGAGTAAGTTGCTGGTTTTGAAGCTTGATTCTTGATGTCCATGGGATTATGATGATGATTAGGGAATTTTCACGGCTATTGAGTGCTTGTGCTTGGGATGGCTTAATATTTGCTAGAAGGCATGTCTTGGAAGATATTGGCATGGTATAGTTGGCTTATGACATGTCATTGCAGAGGAAGGTACTATGTCTACCGCACAATCGGTCGCATTTGAGCTATTTCTATTGAAACCCCACCCCCAAATTCTCTTATCCTAGGCACTCCGACCGCTAGTCTGATAGAATATCGGAAATAGTGTTTGGCCGCTTTTGATGTTTAATCATTACTTTCTGAGAGTTAAACAATGGTATACAGTAGAAGTGGGTCTAGAAAAGGGACTCGGAAAGCCATGCAAGCACGCCAGACCCTTAAATTTGCTTTCAAATAATTGGCTACCGGGGAGCCATTGTACCTATAGGATACTGTGGGATTCATCTGCAAAAAGATGGGGCTGTAAACCAGAAATGCGAGAGTAACGATCTCGCTATTCCCCTCTTCACTCCAGGTTGCACGATCGACACCAAATCTCCACCACTCCCTCTCTTGAGTATTTAACAGATCTCACAACACGGTACACTGAAATAATCACTCATATGATTATATCGACACTGGTCGTATTATTGGTGGTATCAAATCAGACTCGATGATTTATACTTCATTTAATGGGGAAGAGGTAAGGTTCCCGCTCGAAGCCCAGAAGATTCTGCATTCAGCCGGCGGCTCAAGTCTGGTGTCCTGGAAATCAAGCTCCCTTTTTGAAGACAAGAGACATTGGCAACGAAGCCGTTGGTGACAGCAAGAATCGCTCTCAATTGGGAACTCAGGCTCACACTTCACGGCCTGTAGCCGGTTGCAGTCCAAGGAAACTCGAGCGCACCTTCTCAGCCACGGATTTCTCTGAATGTTGGTGGATGATGCTTCAGCAACAAACCTTGACGCGTCTAGGTTGACGCCTTTTCCTCTTCGGCGAAGCATTCTGCTTGTGAAGTGACAGGTATTTAGGTACCTCTTGATCGGGTGCGTCGAAGTCGATTCGAACATGGGCCACTTCATTGCATTTGAGAACGTCGATATCCTTTCATATTCGCAGAGGATATTAAATGCAAGCTGGAAATAACGTGATATGTCCTCTCGGAACAGCCTGAAATGGAAGTGACGAAAGATGCACTTTCCCAAAATTGCGACGAAGTTGCAATTCGAGATTTCTGGCACGTCTCCCCCCCCCCTCTTGCGTATTTCGGGAGAGCGGAACCCCGATGTAACGAAGCAAGGAATAGAGATGTGTTCCGATGATATGAGGCAATTATACCTCGTGTTGGGGAGAGGGAAGTCACTGAAGAACAAGCTTTGGCTGTATTCCTTCTGATATTGGGATCACAAGTAGTAGAAGAATTCGAAGAGGTTACAGATGGCTGAGGAGGGAAGGAGACCTAACACTGACTCTGGAGCTAGGAAGCTCATATCAAAGCCGAAGGATCTGGGGCGGCAGTCGCCGTGCCCTCAAGATCGTCATTTCAAATCTTTCCAGCTCCAAATGGTCTCAGGATCTAATAGTCAGTGTAGAAACACCAAAGACAGGATTTTTCAACAGTTGATGCGAAGATTACGACACGAGTGGAGAGGAAGGTATGGTGAATGACAGTGAGAGGATTCGTGACAACAGATGGCAGTTTGACAGCGAAATACGGGTACAGAATGCTTCTGTGGAGAGTATGCGTAGTCGAGAGGCAGTTGAAGCTAACTTTGGAATGCTCATATCATTATCACCAGCTTCTTAGGTTGTGCATTGTTCAGAATTGTTTCTTCGGCGAATTGAACTACTACCGCGAGAACTACTGCAACAATGGTGAAGACGGGGAATAGTGACGCCCCTTCAAAGATAGAGGGGGCTTATTTATATCCACAATGGAACCCAGTCTTCTCTCTGAGCACGACCGGCACTAGGTAGGAATGAACACAGACGGAGCAACTGGAAACCCGGATGGAATAAGAGAAACTCGCAGTTGTGCACGAACGTATTTACAAAGCACACAGTACAATCCAACCCCCAGGCTTGGACAAGAAGATATATCAAACAAGAATGCGGGCAAGTGCCCAAGCCTCCCTCGTTTGGCCCTCCCACAACCTCTCAACCCTCCGCCACTAATCCCTCAGCCTCCCGACCCCCAAAAACCCACCACAACAGCAACCACCATGCTCACTTGAGAGTCTAGCAAGAAGCCCCGGAAGGAATGTTCGTACACGCCGTGCTTGTCTTTCCGCCGGTCACGCTGTTGCCACTCCAAGTCCAACCCGAGCAACTGCCCTTTCCGCAAAGGATATAGACATTGGTAGCCGAGCTGGCCACGGAACCAGTGACACCGCTAACCGTCAAACCCGTGATAGGGACACCCGTCGTCGGAGTGCCCGTCGGGGATCCGTTCTATTTTCATCAAATCAGCAATTTTTTCTTTCATTATGCGTTGTGAGGTGTTGTTGCTTACCTGGTAATCTTGCTCGATGACGATTCCATATTTGGTGATTCTAGGCGATCTCGGAGTCAGCATTGCACGATTAGGAAGGTATTTGGAATCGAAACCGTCTTTCGCGTGGTCTTTACTCTAAAGACGTGTCTTAAGAGTGGGACAGCCCCGCAAGGCGCCTGAAAGAGGATGACTGGGCTCGGAGAATGGCACGTACCCAGAGAGTGTGATATCCTTGTAGGTTACACCAGATACGGAACCGGTGGCACCATAGACAGTCTTGATGCGGACACCGTTTTGGGAGTTCTTGACCGTTGAGCTTGAGATGGTTACAGTTTTGACGTCGTTGTCAGAACGCCCGCCAACGCTACCGATCGAGAGCCCTATGGATATGTCAGTGAAAGCCGCTAGATAAGAGAGAGGGAGCTCACCGTGGCCTCCTGAGCACGTTCCACCGGTAAAAGAAATGCTGGTTCCGCTGTTAATTGCGAGGCAATCATCTTGGTTTTGACTATTGAATATCAGTACGGATTTTCGGAAAGTTCATAGAGGCTTACATGTTTGCTCCAGTGATTGTAACTCCCGTTGAACTTCCAACATCAAAAGCGTCAGTGTTGTGTCCTAGAGAAGTGCCGGCGGAGTTATCCATAACGAGGTTGGTGACGACCAAATCCGTAGCAGAGTTGATGCTCATGAGCTGAACAGGAGAGTTCTTGAAGTTAAGGCCAGAGATTATAGAGCTTTTCATCGAGTGTGCGTAGAAGAACTTTGGCTTGGTCTTGCCTCCGTTTGATCCCTGTCCGTCCCACCATCTAGCTCCGCCTCCATCGATGACATGCCCTGAAGCCCCGACAACAGCGACATTAGTTCCAGAAACCGAGATCAAAGGCCCACTCCACTCTTCATAGCCAAAGGTGGTGGTGCCTTCGAAGAAAACCTGGGATTATTAGTAAGTACTATGTACTAACTGAGGTATGGCTTACGTGGGTGCCAGAGGCGAGCCCGGTCAAGTCGAGGGTTGTGCCAGAAGGAACAGCAACGTCCGAGAGGACGATGGTAGCGCAAGAAGACTTCGACTTGCTTGCTGATGCAGCACCATTGCTTCCAGAAAATGTGCAGGTTGCTCTAAGACCAAGGAGTTAGCAACTATACTGAAAAGTGGGACTGAGTTGATGGAACCAACCTTTTAGCAAGATCAGGAGCAGCGGTCGGAGCCGGCGCCGCAGCAGGTGCACAAGCAACAAGAGAAGCCGTGGCCAAAAGGCCCAGCACGGCTGAAAATTGAACCATGATTACGGATTCACAAAAAACACAAAGGACGGGAAGAATGTATAATAGATGACAGGACCGTGCGTGCCATAGAACCAAAGGGCGAATATAGGAAGAAGATGTCCTTGTCATCCCAGAAAAGTAGATCAAGCCATTTTATATGTTGACCTCGAACGCAAGCAACAATCAGCAGCGCCATGGCTTCAGGGGTGGGTAGGGAGGTGCCCCGTGGATTCTCCGCTAAGACGGATACTGGGAGTCCTGAAATCTGCATCTTGAGCCCGGATCATGCTGCTGCCAAGGCTGAGAAATGAAAAGTCAATCTACATCTAATCCTATCAGCTGGACGTCAGCAGTTTGAACAGACCTCATGGTGACACTTACTCCACCAGTGACATTTGAGAACCTGTTTCTCGGCGTTGCTTGTCTTAACTTCTCGGGGGGCCGGGCCGGAGAATGGCTCAGAAAGGAACATATTCTAGAAGAAAGGGCTCAGATAGAGTGTTCTTGGACGAAGGCTGCGCCTTTTCCCCAACAACGGGTTATTAAGGATCGCCCCGCTCAGCTCGAGGCTCGAGCATCGTGAAGGTGGAGTCAGTGGATTCCACCGGTAAGATTGCCGATTCAACGGGCATGCTAAGCCTCTTTAAGCTCATCATCTGATGTCCCAAACTCCCCATTATGAAATTTCCCTTTATTGCTTGCTGCAAAGCAGATAGTTCTTTGGGACAGCCTGAGTGCTGGTTCTTGGCTTCAAAGACCGCGAGGGATTGAGCGGTGGAGAAACTAGTGTTTCAAACTTAAAATCACCTGTAGGTGCGAAACAACGTGAGATGGGATGTTCCGTGGAATCCGATAGGATCTATTTTAAGCATCAGTCAACGTTGTATTTCGCAGATATCATGGAAGAATTTCTTCCGTGTATGAGAGATTCTCCTTCGTGGTTCCTGGTGATGAGGAGCTCGCATCGGTACCTGAATAATGCGGGGAAGCTTGTGCTCGACGGCAGTTCTTGGGTCGAAAAGCTTCCGTCTTGGAAGCTGGAAATGCGGAGAGAAAGTTTATGTATTGACGGTTTTCGACTTCTTGATAGTTTTTCTCGGGTTTGTTTCCCATGTTTCGGAATATTTGATTCCGGCAACCGCTACACGTGATCTGGTTCTCCAACCCTGAGCGCCCGAAACTTGCTTCAACCTTGGGAAACAGGATCGTTGGCAAAGTACGGGCTAGATGTTAGTTGCGTTTCAAAACACACCTTCGCGAGGATCCACCATAAGGGTGGCCAGAACTCGATAGATCTTCGGCTTTCTACCTTTAATTTTAACAACAACCTGATATCTTACAAGTACAATCTAAACGACCATGCAGTGCTTTTCGGTTTTTCTACCCAATCTCCAATGCAAATCTACCGTCTCACTGATTTAAGACTTCATGTAGAAGTTTCCCTAAAACGCCACGAACCCGCTGCGGCTTCTCACCGACACACGTAAATACCACCGCCGTGCTCATTGCGAAAGCCAGCGTCTCTTTCCACTGATCTTCCATCAGATACCGTCTTGGGAGGAGCGTAGCCAATGCTCTCGGTGCAACAAAAAGACCAAGTTCTTTCCTTCGTCCTGCATTCTCGATCAAGACGCTCCATCCGCAAAGTGCGCATCCACCACCAACACACATTCCAGAGTCAATCTGTTGACAGACTGGAGTGGATGTTCCTAATACACGAGGTCCGATACGAGTCCGTGTGAGGCAAATACCATAATAAAATAATGCTATGAAGGTCCCCAGGAAGGCCGAAGAACGGGCTGAGGACTTCACCGCATTCGTGATCGCATTTTTCGATGGTTTTCGTAATGTAAGGAGAATGTTTAAGGGGAGGTAGGTCGAAAAGGCCCATACGAAAGACCGAGCGAATCTCGATACCGCATGGTACTCGCAATTCTTGCCAGTACCCATGTGGACTATCTCGCATGGATAGGGGATGCTCTTCACAGGATCCCCGTACTCCAGAGGCCAATGATAGGTCTTGCACATACCTGCTAGGAGGTGAGCTTGTCCGGTCTCAACTCCGTATTTAATTTCGCCATAACGACAGCGGCGCAAAGCTATCAGGAGCCGCTGATCAACTGCTGCAGCCGACTTGATCCATTTGTTGTATGAACGCGGCAGACGATCTGGCGTGTAAATCCAAGCCCACATGATCAAGGCGCAGGAAGTCGAGAAAATCAAGGAGTCAGCTAGAGTTGACACGGCAACATCGGTCTTCGAAACGTTAGCCAAATTTGAATAGAGAGTTAAACAATTTACCGTGCTCCGTTTCCCCGAACCCGTTCGTCTTGCTCTTCGATGCGACCACAGCTCTCCGATGATCACATCAAGTGCTCTGGTAACAGCGAAAAGCGACAAGTCCATGGTTCTACCTGCCCAACGGATGGGCCTTTCGACCCGTCCAGTAGGGGTATCGACCGTCACATGGTCAACGAATGCATCACTGTCTTTTGATTGAAGGAGCTTCAGACTGAACCATGCAGCAATGAAAGTCGAAAGCCATCTTGCAAGTCTGCAAGAACGTTAGTAAATTTAGTCAAAGTGCCAAGCCCTGACAAGATTTGTTCCACAAAGACACCGGTGCTCAGCCATCGGGCGGGAAAGGAATCAGGAAGACATTTAGCACAAGGCACTGGGCTCTTGCTCTTGCCATTTTGCCGCGAGCCGAGCATGATCGAGTGCTGGGGTAACCGAGAGCCGACTTGACGACTGACGAGATGCCGGGGCATTGGGAAAGCTTACCTCAACTGGGCTAACTGTGAAAGCTTTGCCGCAAAAGTAGCGAAAAGTTTTCGTAATGGTAACTAGCTATAGACTTAGACTTGTGTAAGATGGGAAGCAGGGGGTCACGTGCCTGTAGTAAAGTTGAACCTCCGACAAGTGCGGCACAAAACGTAGGAAATCTTTGAAACTCCAAGCCCCCTTTCAAGATACGAAACAGAGCTGGGAAAAAAGGGTCGTCGGGCTCCTCGTCGACCTTCTTCCGCCTTCGACTTAGATGTGTCAAGAGTAGAGTTAAAAGCCTCGGCCCCGTCGAAGAGGCATATCCCAGGACGTATGCTCGGAAAACCGGCCGCAATGCAGGAGGAATCACTTGCTCACTGCGTGGGGAGAGTTGCTGCATGGCCATGGGTAGAAAAGAAGCCTCCTCCTCCCTGAAAGACCAGCGAATCTGTTTGCACCTTTAACACTGCAACGCTGTGGCGGCCGGATGACGAGAAAACTTCTTGTTTGAACAGGGCTGATCGTGCACTCTCAGATCCAGCGTTGTACAGTAGGGGGAGATGCGGGTCATGTCGGTTTGAAGAAAAACGTCACATACAACTTTGCAAGGGGCTTGGTGGCCGAGGATTCGCAAACGGCCCAGAAGGGAAGTCTACCCCGGAATTTGATACATGCGTAGATCTGGAGAAGCGGCTTTGCACCTCGGAAATCGAAATTGCTGTGCTGGTTTTATGCGGCCCTTGGCAGAATGAAGGCCTTCCTGGTCGTAAATACGCAAAGGCGGAAAGAAAAGGGGCGCCGGGGATCCCAAGGCTTGAAGGACCGTCAATTGCTGTTCGGGAAGGAGGATATCCAAGATCTTGTCCTCGATCTTGTTCTCGATCCTTGAGGGTCGAAGCGAGGGGTCGAAGCAGGGGTCGAGAGGCAGCAGGCGGGAGGCAGACGGACGTTGACGCAGGACGCCGTCGTAGGGCCGTTTGTGGCTTTCCCTTTCCTTCGCGGCACCGAGTCAGCTCGAAGAGCGTACAGTAATAACAGCTGCAATAACAACGGTGCACAGGGAGCAGAAGAGTGCGTGCGGTGAAGAATGGGCGGAATTGAGAATAATATGGTACGTAGGTGGTCTGCGTGGCGGCAATTGCTGGCTGGGAAAGGGGGGGACGTGGCGCTGGGGCGGGAAAGTGGATGGACGGTGGATGGTGGATGGTGGATGGTGGATGGGATACACCGAGGTTCCTGCCTTAGCAGGCGCAAGGCCGGAGAATCGCGCAAAACAAAGAAAGAACAGAAGAATACAAAAGACTCGCGATCTCTGCAGCCCGAATAGGAATAAGGGAAAGGGAAAAGCGAGTCGCATCACGGCCCACGGCGCATGGCTCACGGCTCTTTATATTGTGCGCACCTATCACGTCCACGTCCCGTGTCCGGGCAGAGGGAGAGGCTCGGTGGTTTGCGGCATCTGTTTCGCGGAGAGCACTAGCGCAACAGGCCCACGCTTGGCCTTCCCTCCCCTCCCCCCTTCTGCTCTGCAACGGCTCCAGCCTCCAGCCTCCAGCTGCTGGAAGATTTGCATGTGAACATCAACTTCAACCCACCAGGCCGACCAGCACTAGCCAAAGGCTCCAGCCCTGGGCCATACGAGAGCTTCGTTATATGCATATATGCATACGCACAACTTGTGGAGATCCCGCAGCTCTGGATTTCGTTTTTGAGAATTGTTGGGAACTGTTGAAGTCTCGACCAAACCGTCTTTAAATCTCGCCGAAAGCGCCCCTCCCCTCCTCCAGTCAGCCGACTGCCTGACTGCCTGCCTGCCTGCCTGCCTACCCGCGATCTCGAATACCCGCGCCGCCATATTGCATCCCCACTGCCCAAAGTTCGAGCTCCAAGAAGCTCGCAACCTTACGTGCAGCGAATTGTCCTGGCCGCTGGCAACGTCTACGTTCGAACGCAGACTCCTGTGGCCTGGGAGACTTGCCCCCCGCCGTCCTGTCAGTTTGCGGAACCAAGTACCACCGCACAGAAGAGGCTTCTTTATGGGGGACGAGATACGACGTCGCCGTTGAACGTTTGCAACGACGACACGAATACAGCGTGGTGGGGTCATTGAGTTTCCTCGCAACTCGGCGTTACGGCACTCATGCTCGCGGTTCAGCGTCCCAGTATGGGTTCATCGAAACCACCGAACCTCGAGATGCCTTTTGGCTGTTGGTCTCCGTTGCACAAGCACTGGGAGACATCCGCTGACTCTGCCGCAGATTCCTTCGACACCTCTGGCTCCAACTTCCCCTTCCCTTCACCTACAGCGCCTGCCCCAGGTCCCTCTATCCTCGATGACAACGAATCCAAATTTCTCGATAGCTTCTTCGATGGTGTGAGCTCGGATCAGTTCAACTATGACTTTTTCAATAATCCTCCAGATGGCTCCGAGCTTAGCCTTGGGTGGGAGGAACTACCGCCAACGTTCATGGGGACAACTTCTTCGTTTGGCCAACAACCACAGCCCGGAAATCATGGATTCTCGGATATGAGCTTTGGCAATATGAACTCTCAGATGCATACCGTACCGCAAATACCTTCCTCCACATCCGCGGATGTTCTGGCCGCGGCTACGTTATTACAAAATGGACCACATGGTAGATCAATGGGTATCCAGGATGGCATGTTTCGTGAGGATATTCCAAGACCAACAAACGGCCAAGTGAGGCATCAATCGATAGCTCAACAAACACCTCGATCACAAGCTGACTTTCAGCAACGATTACCTGCTGACGAGTTCATGCGGGATAACTTTTATACGGACATGGTGTTTGGACCCCAGAGCAGCTCATCGATGCGACATCGAGGAGTGGACCAAAAGGCCGACATTCGTTGGGGATCTGATGTAGGCTTTGCAAGTGCTCAAGGCTTCGTTCCTCCTGACCATCAGGAAAATGTGGTGGCTACGGAACGTTCACATATCAAAGCTGTGGAAGAAGCATTTTCACTCAACAAGATTTCCCACGCACCGAGCAGTGCCGACACTACCCGACCTCCAAGTCCAATTGGAGGCCCGTCATCACACCAAAGAACAAGATCGATTGGGCAAAAGGGGGAGCAGGAGGATATGGATTCAAGAACACGGAAGCGGAGGAAGAGCAAATACCAAGAAGACGCGGATGATGATGACGAGTCACCCGCTTCACCAACATTTAAGCCTGGCGTTAAGAAACGGAAATCCAAGAAAGGATCTGAAGAGTCACCGGAATCGGAACAAGCAAGTAAACGACGGAAATCTGCTGCCGCCGCTGCTGCCAAAGCAGTACGAGAAAACCTCACTGAGGAGCAGAAGCGCGAAAATCACATCAAGAGTGAGCAGAAACGTCGAACTCTAATCCGGGAAGGTTTTGAGGATCTGGGAGAATTGGTACCAGGACTAAAGGGCGGTGGGTTCAGCAAGAGCGCTGTACTCATCATGGCTGCGGATTGGCTGGAGGAGCTAATACATGGGAACGGGATTCTACAGCACAGGCTCGACCAACTGGAAGGCCGGTAAATCCAGTCAAGGGCTAAAATGGGTTATTGGCGAAAAGGGCATGTATGGAGTACTGATGATTTATCACGGGGCGGCACGGTGGTTTATGATACACAAGAACATCTGTAATGGGGTCCCTCGGCAAAGAGGACAAAGGGGTCTCTCAGCTTGGCTGAGCAGGCGGGTGGGTACACTCAAAGGGCGGATACGTACTGTAATCTCAAACATACAGACTGCAAGGATCTGATATGGACAAATCAATTGACAACTTGCTGTTTGGGGCTGGCTCTTCGATTCTCCAAATCCAAGGTGAATCGGGTTCTGCTCACTGTTCGTACCTCGGCTCCCCTCTCAGCCATTTCTCCTGGCATGGCCAATCGCAAGTGCTTCCCAACTTTATTTTCTCTGTCACTTTGATTGGCTCCATACCATCATTGTACCAATGTCCACTTCTCGTCATCCCAAAACGCCATCCAGCGCTCAGCGCTGCAAGCTGACTCGGCAGGAATTAGCTAGACTGTGTACCAGCTCTTTACACTCGTCCCCCAGGAGCCTGCGAACTGAACGCCATCCAGCGTTGCAAACTGACTCGGCAGGAATTAGCTAGACCGTGTACTATCTCTTTACACCCGTCCCCCAGGAATTTACGAACTGACTGCCCGTCTCTTCAACCAGGCAGCTCTATTGCCATGCCCAGAGTCTCTCGCACGCCAGCAGTTTCGATCAAGCAGCCGTCGGCAACCTATCCACAGACGTTGTATGGATGTTGAAAAATTACGAACGGCGCAGAGGGCATCACTTCAGGGAGGATCAATTCGCGACGTATTTCCAGTCAACGTTGAACAGTCCGCCCGTTTGAATCTTTGATACGACAAATCCGAGAGTTTGTTGGCTCCAGACATATTTTACGGACCACTATGCGATCTCGCACAGCATGTAATGGATAAGCCCTCTCTGGCCAGTACCCACGTTGACGCTGATAAAGCAGAAATCTTGGCCTTGGGCGAAGACGACTTCTACTAGCACTTTGCAGAGATACTTCTTATGCAAATCGTACTCTAAGGTTTCGACGCTTCGTTTCCTCTCACAGCGTAGCCCCATGGCCATCAAAACGTATATAGCACTCCTCTAGGGAGAGTATGCAAACTCTACGTTAAATGTTTAGAAGTTGGAGAGAGATCGTTACGCAATAGAGCTCGCTGTCGATACATGACAGGCAACTAGGATATACGATACCTTTCGCTATCCAGGCACGGCACCCATCAATCTTCTATACTTGCCGTGCAAGGACGGAAATGCTATCCCGAAGCCCTATTTTTGTCCATCACATTCGCTTGCTTGTGCTGCCAACTTTGTAGATATGATTGCCAAAGCTGATGGCACACCACAGGTGGGCAAGCCGTCGAATAGAATCAGGACGACTGCGGTAGATATCGGCAGCTGTAGGAGTTCAATGTACTGTCCGAGAAGAACAGAAAGATTATGTTAGTTCAGTTGGAGAAGAAAGGTGAGCGGGCCGAGTTTTTTGCTTCATTTTGGCGTAGAAAGGTTTTTGGAACCAGATTTGGTTGTGAGAGCCAGTGGATTGAGTGTTTGGAATTGAAATTGGTTATTGAGGGTTGGGTGAGGTGGGGCTAGGTTATCGTTCGAGCATTGGAGCAGAATAGAGAGAGTGTGAGTAGGCGATGGATCTTTTGGTTGCGCAGCTTGGCTTGGAAGAGGATGTTGTTAGGTGGAGGTGGAGGAACGGCTGTGATTGAAGTAATGACTACGGGATGTTTCAGAGGTCAGAAAGGATTTTGAAGTGATGGGACTTGATTGAAGTACAATTGTGGAAAGATTTCTATATGTTCTTCTCGTGTACCTATGACTCATCTCCTCTAATAAACGTATTCTTCGACCTAATACAGTTCTGACGAGCCGAGCTTTATTGTAACAGCAGCATCAATCTTTTGGAAACTTGATATCCTATATTGGATCCGGTTCTGCAACCATTTCCGTCCCCTAAGGAGCAGAATCGGCGAAAGAAAATTTGATCTTGTGCCTCGTGTTGCTGACACGGTTCTGTAAATGCAATTCCGCAGCGGTCAACCGGTAGGCAGGCCCTCTGGTCGCCCTTCTGGCATCATGAGCTGCCTTGTCATCCAAAAGCTTCTGCAGCAAGCCTTTTTGCAACTCGATCTTATAATCGATCGACGGAATGACGAAATACGATTTCCCATCTGCTACATCTTTCCTCTCTTTGTAATCTTGAAAATCATTCATTTCCTCTTTCAACGAGCGAACCATATTGCGACACCAGCGAGGAGATCCCTTATTCGGTAGTTTGAATGTGCTGTCTTCGATGCCCCAGTTGCCGTTCTCAAAGATATCATGGTTATAAAGAACGATTTCCGAGGCAGACTCGGAGGGAGGTGTGCCGTAAAATTTCTCGAGATCCTTTTGCTGGCACCCAACCACGAGGGTGAGGTGTTGGATTCCGCTGAAGAAATTCAATAGGGAGTACAGATACTTTTTCAAATGCCAGGTCGATCGACCCTCCGAGGCTAGAATTGCAAGATTTTGCACCTTGCTGAGGTCTGTGATTGTGTTGAGATATTTCAAGTTGAGAGAAGGGGAGGGTTCGTGCTTTTGAAATGCCATCTCCGTCAGGTAGAGGATGTCCCTTTCAAAATTAAAGTAAGTTTCGCGCAAGTTTTGGCATCCACCTAGTTTGAAAGCTTTCTGGTAGTGCTTTGAAGCAATTTCGTAGGACATATAACAAGCCAGCAGCAGTAGTGGAACAGGACAATCCGAGGTAATACCCCATTTCGGTTTGGGCGTTACATTCTCTGCAGCTTCCGTTTCCATCTGGCAGGGTTGTTTCCTGGCCAAAGGCCGCGTGATGATTTCAACAAGTCTAGGTCCGGCTCCGACGATAGTGAACTCCCAAATCAGTACCTGTAACTCGTCAGGTAGGTTGGGGAACTTCGTGAAAAGTACCCTCGTCTTGCCTTCAGATTCGGGGGGCGTGCCTTGCTCGGCTTTAAGCTTTCGAAAGATGCCTTTCTTGACTTTAGGCTTCAAAGAAATGTATTCCTTGACGCCAGGCTTGGAAGACATGCCTTTCTTAGTGATGTCGGTCCAGGACGGTCGATAGCTGCTAGAATGAAAATTAGCAAGCGAAAGCAGGTCAAATGTGGCCTAGTGGTACCTTGCTGAGTGTGACAATCTTGAGGAAAGTCCAGCAGGTGTGACATGAGACGATTCATATCTTGATTGGCTCCTGGTGTGTGTATCTATGATATGTTAGCATTTTATACCCAAGGCTTCCGTGCTGGGAAGCTCGCCTGGGGATCTGCTAGTTGCAATGTCCAGCATAGCCTCAGAGGTCGCATTGGTAATGTTTGAGACTTCGGAAGGCATTGCGAAAGGTAATTGGTTTATTAACAGTAAGTGAGAGGTTGAATGGGGATTATGTGGTTTGTATTGGACGAATTTGAAACGGAACAAGTGTGATGAGGATTTGGATTGTAAATATGTAGAGTTTTGAGAACAAGGAGTAGGCAATTCTGAAATAAACTGAACAGGAACGCATCTTAGTCCAAGCGTGTTTTGCGGAAATCACTATAGGACCCAAGATGAGGAAGTGGCAGAGCAACCACGTGACAACCCGCTTTTGGCTCGTTTTGAAGGGAACTACGACCCACGACCTCTAGCTGCCCCTTTCGCCTCCGCCGGCCAATTGACACCGAAATTGAGTAGTAGTGTTCCCTCCCTGGATCGCCCAAATACCATGACTCCAAGCCGCGATCCAGGGGCACGAGTACGCTGATCTGGGTTTCTAGACCCAGCTCCGCCGTCAAAACTTGGTACATGTTGAAAAGTTTGGTGTCCAAAGAGTCTTGGGACATTGTTACACTAAACAGGATATTTCTTCCTGGCACAGTTATAAGATTTCATGTCTCAAGACTGTGGAATCGCTCATGAGCTGCCATTGCAAAAGCAGGCATGGTTGCTCCACATTCATGGCATATCTCCCGATTCTCATCTTCGACCTCTTCATCATCCCACTCAACTGGCTCATCAGCGCTAGTTTGGGTCGGTATCACATCTTCTGAGCCAGTCATAGTGCAATCTGAAACTTCATTTCCAGCACTTGGATCTGTTGAGATTGCATCATGCGACTCGGCGACAGCCTCTAGAATAGTATCAGGAGGCACATCTCTATCTTCGACTTTCCATTCCTTGAGAACTTCTTCTTGTCTCTTGAACATTCGTCCTATGTCTCGACCACCACCGTTGCCATCGTCACTTGCTGTCTCAATCATGTTCGTGATGCCAATATTGACCAAGCTTAAATTCCAGCCCGACGGATACGGATGCAACTTCCGGAACATTGGAATTAAGGTCTCTAGGACAAGCTTCTCGACGATGACATCAACGCCATCTTTAAGATTAAACACGAAATTAGGCAGAGGACCCGACCTTGAAATGCGGTTAAAGCTCCTAGCCCTCGTACCGTCAGAATTCAAAGGTGGCCGTGGCCTAGTGGATAATTTAACTGTCTTAGGATGTGCAATCCACCGCCTGGTTGTAGAATCATCCCCGTCATCCTCAAGGAGGTCCACTTGCATTCTTTTGATCAAGCTGGTAGCCAGTATCCGAAGCTCTTTGAGAACCTGTGGCATAGTGTCCAGGCGAGTGTAGGAATCCTCGATGCTGATTTGTGTTGGGACTTTCTTTGCTTGTTGGACCTCGGTATCGTCAATGCCATTTATTAGTCCCCATGCCTTACCTCCGATACCACGTTCAGTACCGGGGCCGCCCAGGACTTTCTCAAGAAGCTCTGGACCCATCCCAGGGAATAATCGGACGTCACGGACAGTCACAGATTCCTTCGTGCCTCCGTAGATAAGTCCCAATTCAAATTCCGCGGGCCTTGAAAGGACATGGTTGCGGATTTTCTGTGACATTTTAAATCCTATTCCAGGTATTTTACCAATATCATGACCGTCGATGAATGCGGTCACGTTACTTTCCACTTCTCTATCGTCGGGGACGACATATGGAGGAAGAAGAGTGGTCTGGCCCTTCGGTTTGTTCAGGTTGCCGACTAGTTTGCTGAGCAATTTGTTGGTGGAAATCCCGACTGTTGAGGTGTAGCCTTTCTGTTCTTCCAAACCCAATCTCAAATGCTGTGCTAAGTGGGAGCCGAGAATGAGGCGCGCCATCAGGGATTCGTGATCGTCGGTCGGGATGTTGGTGTCAGGCATGGGTGACTGAGTTTGAGGAATGTTCGCGAACCCATGCCCTGCAATTTTGGTTGAATCGAACGCAAACCCGACCGTCGGATCGTTCTTTTGGAGTTGAAAATAGGAGTTCTTCAAGTCGTTTGGGTTGAGTAACGACTGGTTGAAGTCAACAATGTCTGTCACGTCCATGAAGACCTCATCAAATCCCAGCCTTTCAACCTTCCCGTTCCAAGTAAAAGCCTCCAGGAATTTGTACAGCTCTTTCGATGCATCTCGAAATCTGTTCAAATCCTCGCCCAGGACGATGACCACATCCGGAACGATCTGCCGAGCCTCATGGATCAGCTGAAGTTTGTGCAAACCGCGCCGCCTTGCTTCGTAATTGCAAGTGACGATAATCTGCTTCTGGGGCTCACTTTAGAAGATGCCGAAGGATCATTAAGGATAAAGATGGTGGTTACCTGTTGCACAGCCTTAGAAGGAGTCAGCACAGCTTCAAAACGGGCAGCTTTTGTCGACTTACGAGAGGAACTGACTTCAGCGCGGGGTTTTCGGCCTCGAACACGCTCGCATAAAAACAGTCATAGTCCTAAATCTATTAGACTTTGGCGTCGTAAGTGGGCGGGCTGTGGCAACTGACGAAATGAATAATGATTCTGTCGTGTCTCCTGGAGGGCTTGGCGGAAGTCATCTTGGCAAGCGGGGGCTGAAGAAGCGTGCGCAAGCTGTTAACGACTTCATTCTCGCCGCTGGCACGCGGGAAACACACGCGGTTCCAAAGTATGAACGTGGAAAAACGGGCTGGATCGTGAGGTGCAAGTACGATGTCGTGAGTCGCAAAAATCGTCCTCGCGTATCCGTACCCTAGAACTAGCGGGTCTAAAAAACGCTACCGCTCCGGCTGTCCACAGCGGAAAGATCTAGCGCTAAGAGAGCTCGATTTGTCTGCAGACTGCCTTCCTCTCTTCGCCACGACTCACTCCTGCATCCCTGAGGCTCACCAATCCGCCTCGTCTCACCCAGGATCCATCCCATCTCCAGTGACTGGCATGGCTTCCTTCAATCGGGGATTCGGGGTACGGTAGTAGCGGTACGAGTACGGACGAAGCGTCACCACTCATCCTCTCTTCCTTGGCTGCCTTTTCGCGGCTCTGGGGTGCTTGCCTCACGCCCCTGTTCTCCACGTTGACCGTCGCGGTCCCAAGGATCTCATCACATCTCCACTGCAGCACTCTATTTCTATTTTATCCCATTTTCATTTCTCTCTGTCACAGTGTCACCATATTCCCTCGCGGATCGGCGCGCCACATCATCTCTTCAACTCGCGGGCGGTCTGTCCGACGGCGTCGTCACGTCGTTCCTATTGCTGGGAGTCTGGGGCCTCGCGGTCGCTCTCTTCTGCGGGCGTCAAGAATAGTCGCTGACCGTGTCCTTGCCGCACTTCTGCATGGATGTTGGATAATGGATGATGGATCGAGGCCCTTGCCGCGCCAACCCTCGAAATAGGACTGCCCAGTGGGAAAGGGCTAAAAATGGCTGTGGCTGACAGACGCTGAGGGCTGCCTCGCTGCGCCAATCAGCGGTGCGCGTCTGAGGTGTGATGGCCGTGCGTGTGTGCTCGGCGCCCGCATCAGACCCCCTCCTCAGCGCTTCAACGAGTCCGGCCCACCAACAGATCGGAAGTACCTTGATGCAGGTATTTTTGCCCCCTTTTGTTTGCCCGCAGCTTCTAGAAATACCCGTCACACCGCGCCTAAAGTGGTGCCGTCGCTTGCATAGTCGCATTGTCAACTCATCACCTGCATGAGCCCTCTTGTTTGGCGACTTCCCCACCAAGGCCACAGGGCTATCCGGGGCCGTGGATCAAAGGCTTCAATCATACAAAAGCCGTCGATCGCCTCTTTGTACCCTCCCACTCTATTACTGTATCGGTCTCTCTCCACGGCCTCAGTGTCTGCCATTCCACTATTGATATCTCTTGTCCTAGATCCCAGGTCTGGTCTTGAGTGGAACACTCTTATTACCCACAGACACTGCGACTCGAGACGATCCGCTGGGCGGGTCTCTGGTGCTTGGCTCCCTATCATGCTAGCTTCTGTTCAAACATATCCGTTAGTCACGATGTCGTTGGATTCTTCACCACGGTCGTCTTCTCCTCCCAAGCGGCCACGGCTTTCTCTTCAAATCAAGGCTCCAGCCATACCTCAGACCCTCGGGAAGTCAACGTCTGCGTTGAAAGGAGATATTGACCCGACATCACCTACCGCCTTTAATACACTCTCAAATGCGTACGCCGCTGCCATCGAGAACGCTTCTCCCCGGACCGCGAATCCTAAGCTCCTAGATACAAAATTGAAGCCCACCTCGCTACGGCTTGAGACCTCAAACTTCAGCGGCAATAAGAGTTATATCCACCCTTCTCAACGCACACAGACACCTGGTCCATTTTCAATCACCTATCCCGATACTCCCTTGTCGGCATTCCCAGGCCAGACCACTGCCACCACTCTACCAGATGGCGATCCAAAACTTCCTGCAACTGCAACTGCAACTGCAACCGCATTCACATTTACACCTCCACAATCTGCAGGTTCTGATCACCAAGCTCAACCAAAAGTTTTCACATTTGCAGCCCAATCTCCCAACAGATCAGTTCCAAGCACACCTCGCACGCCTCGACGAAGGATGACAATTGGCAACTCGTCCCTGGCCGCTCCCTACACCCACCCTCGAGCTTTACACAGCATCCTCCGCAACTCACCCCTACCTCCACGCTCTTCGGTCACACCCGCCACCCCGAGTAGAGTCTCGATGCGGCTAGCAGCAAAGGCTAACAAAAAAGTGGGATATAACGACCCGTTGGAGCAAACCATTACAACAAATAAATATGTCAAATCGCATATCGATCTCCTCGCCGAAGACTCGCCCTTTTCCGCAGAGCAGGAGGCAGATCCCCAGACGACACAGACTCTGGAATTTGCAATGACATATACAGGGGATGAGACTCGAGATGGAGGTCAAACACCAGGCCCATTTGAAGAAATGAGAAGGAAAATGGCTGAAAGTGGACTGGATACTCCTGGATCGCGGAAACGCAAGAGGAGAGAAAAGAAGAGGAAGTGGGAATGGACAATCAATACTACGGAAATGGATGGGGATGATGAAGGCAAGACACCACTAACTGCCGTGCGGAGGACACCAATAACTGCAGTACGGCGAGGTGCATCTGTGTCAGAGGGATCGGAGACGGAAATGTCAGAAGCTGAACCACGATTCGTGCCTTCTGAAGCTGAAGACACTGAGATGTCGGAGGCTGATGAGGGTTCTGTTCAATCAGAACCTACGAGGCCATCCACCTCGTTGTAAAATTAGTTTTGGTATAATGGGCCGGTGAATCTGCCTCTCAGGTATTCTATTGGGGTCAAACCAAATAATAAAAACGGAATTTGCACAGTTTGCTGCATTACCTTTTTCGTATCGGGATTGCTTATTTCTCGCGTGATTCAAAGGGTGCATTGCCAAGGGCTCGGCATTCGTTTCTGCCTGCCAATCGAGTGATTCACAGTTGCAGCTGACCTCCCGAGCCCAGAAAGATGTGCAAGTGTTTCATATTCCTGCACGCCTTGCAGCCTTCTTTTGCGGCGCGTCTTCCAAAAAACAGCCCGCCCCCAACGCGAAAGGAGCGGGACATTTCATCTCACCGAACTCACGGATTACAAAACATCAGCTCTTCCCGTTCCTCCACCTCCACCTCTCAAAATGTGACATTTTCACATTCTATCAATCAAAATGGCAACGGATATCGAGAATCAGCTCGACAATGAGGACTTGGGGCCTGTGGAGGCTAGCGATCCCCTGCTCTCGAAGCCGGACCGAGACCGCTCTTCCAATAAGAGCTCGCGACGCTGTCGGAACAGAAGATCACTGGAAATCATCGAGCTCGACGATATTCCCCCAATCATCAAAAGTGCGAATGGGAATATCTTCTGGGCGGATGAGCAATGCACCAGACGAATTGGTCTGACGTCTACGGAAGCAAGGCTGTTTTTGAAGTTGCTGCAGACTGATGAGCCTGAGAACTACAATTATCACGATTACAAGGAGATGTTTGATGATTTTGGGGCTGAGCAGGCGAGGTTGAAGGAATTAGTTAAGAGATTGCCGTGGTATAAATTTGATACCTATCGGCAGCGGGGCATCTGGAAGGCGAGAATCGAATGGCTTGAAAGAATGAAGGAGCCGCGTCTTTGGCTGAAGTATTTGATGGCGAGACGGAGGAGGATTTTGAAACAGGCGTCGGTGAGGGTGCTGGCCCGCCTAGCGGAAAAGAGACGATGTAAGTTGGAGAACGGTGTGGATTTTGAGAGGGGAAGGCCGCCGCCTGGTCCAAGCCGATCGAAAGAGGAGCTTCTGGGCTTGGCTCAGGTTATGCTGAGTGAAGCAACGCAGACGTCGACACCGAAGGAGACGTCGCCGCTTCCTCCTCCGTCACGGGGAAAACAGCTACTAAGTGAAGCTACGCAAACTTCGACGCCTAAAGAGACATCGCCACTTCCTCCTCCATCTAGGGGGAAGCACCAAGCAAGAGCTAGCGATGCAACCCAAGTATCAGAAAATCGTCTAAGCCATTTAACCTCCAGACTGAGAGATAGTCTCAGCGCCTCACGGCATCGACACAGTCCCCGCTCCTCTCACGTCCAATATCCCATCTTCGAAAAGCCCTTCGAGGCAACGAGAGAAGACATCAAGCGCCAAGTTGAAAACATCATGCCGAAGACTACGCCGTACATTGTAATCGGCTGGTTTCATCGCTCAGCTGGTGATCCCAAGGAGAGGATCTTACAGTTCAAGCAGCCAGAGCAACTTTTTGCTTCTATGAGGAAGGGCGAGAGCCAGGTGAGGGGATACAGGGAGTATTTATCCTTGAAGAGCTTGAGGGGGTTTGGATTGTACAAGGTTCGTTCCACTCCCGTTTCGGTGTATGATGAAATTGACATTCCCAGTGCGACATCTCTCGTGGAGCACATATCCCACTCGTGCTCAACTCATCCCAAGAAGCAGTCCTCGCCCAGCTTTTCTTTGCATACAAAGCTTCGTACAGACACGCAGATGACGATGTAGCACGAGCGTGGCACGGCTGGGTCTCTAAGAATCTCAATGATAGCAAAGAGAACCCTCTCGAAGGCAGATACTCGTTGCAGCTGCTTTACGACTGGTCGAGCTATCGACTGAGTGCAGTGGTTGCCATCCCAGTGATTCTGAGTTTGGCAATCGGGACTTGGTACATGATGGGACAAGGAGATGTTGTAACGGCCTGGACTTTGGCGTTATACATTGTTACTACGGCCGCAGGTGAGTTCCCAAACTCAAAGATGACATGTAATTTACTGATAGAACGAAGCACTTATTGCATTGATGGCGATTATTGGGAGTCTGAAGGACATTTAGGGATACTGGAGATACCATTCTGCGAGCATTTGAGCATACTTTTGCATGGTTTTTAGAGAGGCATAATTTGGAGCATTGAATTATTCAGAAAAGGGACTTGCTTCTGCTCTATCACAGGGATGAACAGAGCCCCTATAGTGTCACTAATAATCTTGAATTATCGCCATTTTTCATATATGAAGAGTCTTGGACGGTCTTCTCTGTGATATGAAAAGGGTGTTTAGCCGACAGGTGTAGAAAGGTGGCATTACACACAGTCCGATTCTCGAGCGAGAGGACAACTTCTCACCTGAGATGAAAACTTCATCGATAACAATCTCAACGTACAAGAAAAGTCGGTAGAATGGGTGCGGTGTGCAATAGAATTTGGGTTTAAGAGGAGTGAATGTGGGGTTCGTTTTGTGTAAGTACGAAAGGGGGGAGTAATTGCGAAGGCGAGCTGAAGACGACAATGTAAACAAAGTTGCAGATGTGCAACAAAAAGCCCGAGGGAGTGATTCACTTGAAGGCAAGGACCACAAATAGAGATGAGTGACTTTCATACAACTCAACATCTGCAACGTACCAGGGAACTTTGAAATATTGGCGTGATGTGCAACATTCTTGGCACTTGCCATAGATGGGAAAACAGCGAGATTTCGAGAAAGGTGTTTTGCAGATTCGAAATAGCGCGTTCCCTGCTTCTCGGTCCTGATCCGGACTCCACAGAAAATAACTTCCCTGCAGAAGAGACAATGAAATATGAATTTCTGTAGAAGATTGCATCCATGTTCAAAATAGGTGGCTCCTAGACAACACTGTGACAGGATGTTGATTGGGAGGGAATTTTATTGATATCCACCTAATATTTCCCACTGAGCTTCACCAATCCAGCATCCTCGTTCTCTTTCTTACACTTCTGACTCCATTCCGGGGCCTCGTCAATTCCGTCGTCCTCCTCACTGTCTCCCTCCTCCTTGGTATGATGAACGGTGGTAGGTTTATGTTCCGCTGGAGAGTAGATAGTGTACAAAATCTACGGGGAGTTTTGTCAATCAATGATCAACCACTCAGTTCAAGAGATCACTCACCAGAGACGTCGATCCAGTATTGATGAATTGATGTTGTGTTCCAGCTGGCACCACCATCAAATCCCCAGCCTCAACGTCCTGGTCTTTTCCATTGATTGTTGCCTTCCTCTTGCCGCTTGTGAACGTCAATGCTTGATCAACGGTATGAACTTCATCTCCAATATCGCCGCCAACGGGGATCGTCATCAAAACCACCTGTGAATAGAGGCCTGTGAACAGGACTTTGCGGAATTCGCCCGATGTACTTGGAAGAGAGGTCGTCATCTTTGGGAAGTACACCATCTCATGTTTGGGTATCCCCGAGTTTGGCTTGAAGTCCGCCATTGTTCGCACGGATATCTGATATCGTGAGACGATTGGTACTTTAGTCAATGCTCGGAGAGTGCTGCGTTGGCAAAGAGCGCGAGTAACTGTTCGAGTTAACATTCCTCGTATGTGAAGATGGAGCTTTATAGATGGCAAAGGCTTATGGAATATATAAGAAAGAACTAAGAAAGGTGACATTAGGAATGACAGAAGTGCAGAACTCTTGGCTTATGATTCCTCTCGTTCGTGATGTCATGACACTGCTGCCCCCCTGAAGGAGAGTAATTGGGGATAGCTCGTCATCAAATGTGCATGGAGGGGAAGACAAATCAGCAGATGGCAGGCATTCGAGAACAGAATCAGCGCTCGAACCGAAAATTGACCTTATTTCCGGGTTGTAAACTCAAAATGTTTTTGCTTGGATGTAGTTTGGAAACTTTCCGATGGCTGTGGTGGAGTAAGGATGAAGTTCGGGAGGATGAACCGGGTTAAAGTTTATCCGATCTAGACCACTTCGGGAAATCATTCGAGATTCTTCAAAGCTTCCTCCAACGACCGCCAGATACGATGAATTCTTTCCCGCGCTTATTATCGGGCTTAGGCCGCAAAGATATAGCTTGGGTATGCTCATCGTGTGCGAGAAGAACACGGCAACGGCCCTCCACACCATTCTTCAAACCATCAATGAGACGATATATCTCCGAATCTTCGAAACCAAGACAAAATGCAGTTCCAACAATGGAACAATTGCGCGCTCCTTTCCAGAAGAAAAATAGTACGACAATGTATTATACAATCAGCATAATATTGGGAACAGTAGCATTCTCATATGGTTCCGTCCCAATGTACAAAATGGTACGCCACCATCCACCCCACCACGAGCACCAGCTAACAGCTCCAGATCTGCCAAACCACCGGTTTTGGAGGACAACCTATAAAAGCATCCGGGCACGGTGGAGCTGAAGGAGATCCTTCCGTGCGTCTCCAACCCGTCACGTCCGCAAAACGAATCCGCATAACGTTCAATGGGTCCGTGTCCGACGTGTTACCATGGAAATTCGTGCCTCAGCAGCGCGAAGTACGAGTCCTACCTGGCGAGACGGCATTAGCATTCTACACAGCGACGAACATGTCTGATCAGGATATAATTGGGGTGGCGACGTATAGTGTGACGCCTGGCCAGGTTGCACCGTACTTCAGCAAGATTCAGTGTTTTTGTTTCGAGGAGCAGAGGTTGAATGCTGGGGAGACGGTGGATATGCCTGTTTTCTTTTATATTGATCCTGATTTTGTGAATGATCCGAGCATGAGGGGGATTGAGCAGGTTACGTTGAGTTACACGTTTTTCAGTGGGTGGTACACGAACGAATTTGAGGACTGTGCTGACTTGTAATAGAAGCGAGGTATGATAAGCATGGGCATCTAACGCCTGTGCCAGTGGGGAATTAAGTGTAGGATATTGTAAATATAGCATCAGCATTGGGTGGCGTTCCGGAAATGTCATGGCTTAAGTTGGCAGAGGTGTATACACACTTCACTAAGTCGTGGATCTGACTATGGCCTTGGAAGTTCTCAACAAGCTCTCGCTTTGTGCTTAACTCATCGCTGCATTCAACAGCTCATCCAGGTATCATTGTTCGCCAGGACGAATGAGTTGCATACGCCCTTCTCCGAAGCGCCTTTTTTAAGGGCTAGAAAATCTGAGGTGCAATTGCTTTGTAGATTCGACATTTAAATGTCCTAGAAGTCGTGGAGCGTTGAGTGCAACATGTAACAAGAATTTCTCCAAGCATCACTCACTTCCAAACTCAAGGTGGAATGGACTGTGACTTGGAGATTCAATATCCCCATTGTCAATAGACCAGAACTGTTAGAACATTGATATCATGTGCAACAAAATGATATATCCCGATCCCGAGATTCGCTTTCAAGTCGAATTCTCGACAGTATCCAAAGTGCGGTTTTCTACTCTCTACACCCAGCTGTTATCGCAGCGAAAGTTCTGGGGATTCTCTATTCTCCTTATATCAAACTCCAGCCGCTATCTTCTTTCCCAAAATCCAAGTCTCCTTTACCACGCCCTCATCATCAAGCACCACGAAATCACCCCTCCGTCCCACCTCAAGCCTCCCCCTATCCTTCAATCCTAGAGCAAGTCCCACATTCTCCGTCACACACCTCACAGCTTCCTGGACTGGGATCTCAGCCCAGGCCATCAAATTTCTGACGCACTCATCCAGCCCAATACAAGTACCAATCAACGTATTCGTGTTCTCGATAGTCACTTTGTTCCCTTCTTTGAGCTGGTTGAAAGGAATCTGCGCATGTCCTGGATAAATCCCGTCTGGAAGACCTGAGAGCTCGATGCTGTCTGTAATCAGGATACAGTGAGATGGTGATGATCGATATGCAATCCCCACAACGCGTGGATGGAGGTGTATTGCATCTGCTATCAGGGAGAAATATGGCGGTGAAGGATCAGATAACAATCCTAAGCTCACAATTTGAGCTGGTTGTTCAAAAGTTTTGAGGGTGAATAATAGAAAAGATCATACCAGGCAGTCCCGGCTCCCGGTGATGCAAAGGATTCATTGCATTAAACGTATGTGTGATCAGATTCGCACCAGCCTTCATACCCTCCTTCCCTTGCTGATAATCAGCAGCGCTGTGCCCCATTGAAACTTTCACATCATACTCCTTCGTCAACTTCTCAATATGTTCTAATGCTCCAGGTAACTCAGGAGCCAGTGTGAGTACTCTGATGCTATCTTTCAGATTCTCTTCCCCGTAGATATTTTCGAGTGATGAAGAAGCCGGGATATGCATATTCGCTGCATCATGAGCTCCTTTCTTGGACGGAGCGAGGAATGGACCTTCAACATGTGCTCCAAGTACTGATGCCGAATACGCGATATCTTCTGGTTTAAGAAATGGGAGCACTTGTTTGAATACCAACGACGAGACGGTTGGGACTGTGGGATAGAACCCCGTGACTCCCGTCTTGGGGAGGTACTGGGCTAATTTCTGGACACCTGCTTGGTAAGTAGCTGGTTCGCCGTAGTGAGCGAAGTGAAATCCGAGAGCTCCATTGATTTGTAGTTCGAGGAAACCGGGTGAGACGATGGCGTTTTTGAGGTCGATGGTTTGGGTATTTTCCGGTAGTGGAGTGTTGGGAATGATGCGGCCATTCGAATCGATGGTGAGGGGTGAACAGATGAGAGCGCCGCTTAAACACTGCCTGCAATTGATGAATTGTGTTGCTGAAGCCATTCTTGAGAGATATAGATTCTGAGATTATGTTGTCAGTGTGGATTTAAGAAGTTCAGAAGTCTGACTGACAGCGCTCAATAGTCTTAAATTGAGGCAAGAAAATGATAAGCACAACTTCTCCTCTCGAGTTCCGCCTTTCTCAACGATTTTGATTGAACTCGACTCCGAATCTACTGTTTATATATTTGATTTCGGGAAGCTTACTGAAGCTATGGTATGAAGGAAACGTTACTCCCACACGTGTTTTGAGACTGTTACCCCACCCCACTATTCGGGACCCCACCAGAGCAAGGATGCAGCTCGCTTCCCTGCCGAAGATCACGAAATAGGGGTTGAACCGCGTTTCTCCCCCTTCAATTCTTAACACCTTTTGAAATTCTTGGAAGTTCTCAGTGATATGGCAGCAACCTCAAACGAAGTTTCATACCAAAGTGGCTTTGTCATCATGCTTGGCCATCATTAAAGCTTGGAATGGACATCAGCTAGAATCCCTCACTTTATGCAATATTTCTTCAATTATTCTTCTTTTGACCATGTCCTTCACTTGCCCTTTCCTGTGAATCCAAACAATTGAAATGCTTCAACCAATGCTAAACTGAGGTCGAGTATCTGCTTTCTCAACAGCAGTAATTGACCTCGACTTTCCAACATCAAACGCTTCTGATTACCCAGAACATTTTGAACATTCCTCAAGATGTCTAACGATCACAAGGAAGGCCCTGGAGGCCATTACTCAGGAGCAAATCCCATTCCTAATATTCAGCGATTCGTCGAAAGTCTCGATGCGGATAAGAAGGCCTGAGACACCAAAATCAACGAAGATATGAAGGGAAAGGGACCAGCGATGTCCAGGATCACAAGCCACGCAAACCAGTTGGTGTGAAAGGGACAAGAAAGGCGGTTACAGACCCTACCACTGGGAAGGAGGTGGAGATTGAAGATGTCAACTAGGATTTCATGAGAGCTGTGGAGGACCCGAAAGTAAGTGTTCTTGTCTCCTGATCAGTGGATGAATGTTGACATTTTAATAACAGCTTTCGGTACCAAACGCAAATGTGGATAAAGAGACGACCGCCAAAACCGAGGCACACCAATCTGGGAAGAGTACAGAGTCAACCAAGATATCACTGCACCTCCAGACCCTATTGAGCCAGGCAGCACCTCTGATGTACCAATTCATGGAGAGAAGACGAATATTCTCTTCCACCCTACGATCAGTCAGCTATGAGCCGATGTATGAATTGTTGGAGCAGAAGGCCATAGTATTATCTGGTGGTGTTCTCATTGCAATTGTAGTTCTTGGGAAGCTGTTTGGCGGAGCACTCTATGGACTGATACACTTGGGAATGTGTGTGGCTTCCGGTATATACTTGTGGATGAAAGAACTTGTGCGGAAAGGCCGTGAGACTGAATGGCAGAGCGAGAAGGATCGTGGCAAACTGGTCAGATAACTCCATAAGCTCACGGCACAGAAACTAATTGATATGAACAGGCAACAGCCAATCTGATCCCCGAATCTGTGGAATGGATGAACACATTCCTAGGTATTACGTGGGGACTCGTTGATCCGGAAATGTTCTCTGGCGTCGCAGATACCCTCGAGGATATTATGCAGGCTTCTGTCCCCAGTGTGATTGAGAACGTTCGAGTTGCCGAGATCAATCAAGGCAGTAATCCCTTCCGCATCCTGAGTTTGCGAGCTCTTCCTGATGGGCATATTGAAGAGCTGAAAGATGACATACACAAACACAACGAGAAGGTCAAAGACCCTCAAGAGCTGGCCGCCGATGAAGAGGGGGGCGACTACTATAACATCGAGTGTTCTTTCGCGTACCATGCTGCACCCACAGGAAAAGGCACGTCCGACAGAGCGAAGAATATTCATATGCAACTGGTTTTCTATCTTGGTATCAAGGGCCTGTTTGGAATACCTCTTCCAATCTTTGTAGAACTTCAAGGTTTGGTGGGAACAGTTCGACTGCGCTTGCAAATGTCACCAGAAACACCGTTCTTGAAGGCCCTCACGTTCACGCTCATGGGCTTACCAAAAGTTCAAGCAGCATGCGTTCCAATGCTGGAAACGGGAGTCAATATCTTGAATCTTCCACTGATCTCCAATTTCGTCAACTACGCCATTGCTGCTGCAGCCAACGAGTATGTCGCCCCCAAGTCGATGACACTCGATATGGGTAAATTGCTTGTTGGTGATGATATTCAAAAGGATGTGGAGGCTTTGGGTGTGCTTTGGATTAGAATCCACAGAGCGACTGGACTCAGCAAGCAAGATCGTCGTGGAAGTCAAGGTGGAGGCAGTGACCCCTATATCACTATCAGTTTCTCCAAATACGGCAAGCCAATGTGTTGTACTCGAGTGATCCAAGATGACCTCAATCCAGTGTGAGAGGAGACTTGTGCTTTGCTTGTCACTCCAGATTTGATCAAAGCTGACGAACAACTCTCCCATGGAGCTCTGGGATTCGGATCGATCGACCTCCGACGATGTGGTTGGGAAGGTCGAATTATCCATGCAGAAAATGATCCAGCATCCCGGCAACATGTATCCACAAGTTTCTAAGCTTCGCAGTATGGACGAAGGTAGTGAGATCCCTGGTGAACTTCATTGGGAAGTTGGATACTTTGGAAAGCCGCAATTCCGGCCTGAGTGGCCGAGTACCAGACGTGGAGACGGAAACTTGATTGCATATTTGTAAGATCCTCCGTGATCAAGGGCTTTTCAAATTGCTGCTCGGATCTGACCACCGATTTGTTGGAAGTTCAGTGTACATATATCTGGATTGAAGTAAATGATTGAAAGAGCCTCACGAGGAACGCGCTGCTGATGTGTTGGCTCGCCCGAGTGACCAATGAGAAGGCGTGCTTTCTCAGAACCTTGTCTCTGGCTCTGACCTCGAACTTCTACACTCTTTCGCTCCTTCCCTTCTTCCATTCTTACAAACATCCCCTTTGGATTCAGAGAACGTGCAAAGTCATCAGATGGTAGACGGAGAATGTCTCTACTCATACATTATCCCGTCAACCCTATGACAGTATCATAGCAAACAATAAGGGTTGGGTAGCCCTGTAGGCACCTGCATGCGGAACAAATGTCCCTTGAGCAAACCGTTCACAACTGTTCTTTCTATATCCAGTTTGTCTGATATATTACGATTCACTTGCGATTTCAAGAGCTACCTCGCGCGGTCCCTAGAATGAAGAGTCATCTCCCAAAGTCTGGGACCCAACTTTCCTGACATGACACAATACAACGTCTCAACGGCGATGGCTCTGTCGACATCACAGACAACAAGAATCACTGCCATGGATATCCCTGCAATACCAGCGAACCAAAAAGAAATCGTCATGCAGGACGTTGCCGCTTCGGATGCCGCTTTGAGCGAAGCATGGAGGCAGTTCACCACAACCGACGCCACAGCTTCGGACCCTGTGGCCAACGAAGCATGGAAGCGGTTCTACAAGACTATCCCCTTTCTTGGTGTGCCCCCCGAAATACACCTCAAAATCTTTACCTTCCTCAATCCTATCGATGCAGTGTGTCTCAGTCTCGTGAAGTACGTTTCTTCATTACCCATGACTCACCAATTACTGACTTGCCCAGCAACTACATGTACACCATCTCTCCGCGTATTGCGCCTCAGTCACATCCACTTTCAATTGGGGACCCGAGCTCCGCCTTCCCAGTTGAGCAGATCGAAGGCTGCAAGCACTGCGTCCCAGTCCGGTTTTACCCTCATCACTGCGAGCTTCATTATCATTTACGGGGTTTCATACCCAAGAAGTTTAATTTCTGTGGCGGCCAGTGCGGAAAGTACACACTGTGTGAGCAGAAAGGTTTCAGCGACAGCCATGAGTATTGTGGAACTTGTGGGGTTAGTTATTGGAGACGCTATGAAAGGGGAAGACGCATGTTGGATATGTTGAGACCTGGCGAGAAGCAGGAGAGGTTGTGCAAGTGGTACAATGACCCGAAAGCTTGAGGAGATGAGTAGTGAAGAAATTTGGAGCTGGGAAGGCACCGTGGACCTGAAGTGTGTGCTTTGACATTTCACGGTGTCGATTTCAGCAAGGGTTTCATTTGATTTGGCCGCCTTCACGTGGGGTACTGGCGGTGTATTTGACGGCTATCACGAACGTTTGGGTGTCTAGACGGAGTTGTGGACGCTGTGCCATTTTTCCTTTGAACACGCGACGGAGTACGGGGACGGAAATCCCACAGAAGGGTTTTCCAGTCGCATTGGATTCACGTTGATTTGAGCGAAGGTTTATTATTCGCAATGGAGTTGTGCCGGGATTTGGGACTGCGGGTTGAGTTGGCTGTTAATGGTTGTACTGTTGGTGTAGTAGCCAAATGAGAAAGCATGGTCTTTAAAAGCTTACGCGTGAGCTTTAGCATGGGTTGCAGCACGTTGTCCAGGAGCACCACAAATACGATATCGTCAAGATGATCACCTATGCCTATATAAACGTTGAAAAGTACTCTATCGGTAATGATATGATGAAGGGGGCAGCAGCTCGTTGTAGAACAAGATTCTTCTTCCTTCAAGCTCAGAGTAAGTATATCACCACCACGGTCAGGTTATCAAATTTAACCACTTGGGTACAGACCCAGACAATCTCAGACCTCAACTCCCCTCAACTTCCAACCTCCAATCCGCAGCACCTGTAGGGCAGGTACTCCATCGTACTATGGGTTTCTTGGCATATTGGTCGCCCAGCGACATCGGGAGGTGGACCGGGTACTTGGATAGTCAGGACAGACTTTCGAAAGGACAGAGTATTGGCAACAGCGACAAGGTGTTCTTGTCAAGCTAGGAATGCGCGGTAGCAATCAAAACGAAGATGCAACCAGTATATCATCTTTCTATGTTCCCACTCCAAGCACTCTTCCAAGAGAAATATCTCTGCCAAGTAAACGACTTGGCTCTTGAACCACCAAAGTTAACCGAAGTGCGTAGGGGCAGCCAAGCAAACCTCACCGACCCAGACTTCATTCCTGAACCAGTAAAGCCAAGCGAAGAACGATCCCTCTAAGAGGTGAGTGATGAGGAGTTGAGGTTACTTCACTACTAACTTTTGGCTAGCAACCGCAGTTGTGGAGTTCAGATTTTCCATGTCTTCCATGCCCAGTTCTACGAACTATTAATCGTCTACCAGGAGGCAAGGTCAATGCTAAACTGCTCACAGGTTGCAAAAGCTCTCATTGTCAATTTCTAGCTTGCTGTCACTCTTGAGTTAATTGTCATTTTAAATTATATGATTGAGTATCGCAGAACTAACAAAGAACTATCAACTTCTCGAGTTGGGAGTAAGATAAACGTTTACTTCATTAACTGGGGTGATAGTCGGATCATCAACTAATTCTAGAGGCTCGAATGCATTATTGTCAAACCTCAGGAGGTTGCAATGTTAGGAATGGTTGCGCTGCCCTATAGATAGCCTCGAAATTCTTCTCGCTGTGCCTCTTGGGGCAGGTGTGCGGAATTTAAGGCTTGCTGTAGCAGTTGAAGTCATGTCTTCAGTGATTTTTGCGAAATGATATTGCATCTGAACAGGTCGCATGTTATTTATAAGCCAAGGGAATAGAAATTGACAATGTCATCATGGTGAATTGCAATGATGCTTCCCAAACTGGAAGAGGTCAGAAAACTATTTGCAACACGAGCAAGGACTTAATAGAGAGCTCAGGTAAGTGAGTGTTGTTAGATAGATACACCTGAAAGAGGTAGGGGTCATGATCGAATGTGGTGTATGCAAGTTGTTCCTAACTCCTTGGCCCGAATTCGGTTCCCGTTCTATGTTCTAGCCATTTCCCACTCCTCTAATTCCATCGAGCACCAAGTCCATTCTAAATATCCCCCCCCGCACGCGCAAGGCAATAAAACAAATCGGGTGTACAAACAGAGAATCGTTGCTCCTGACCTGACCTCCATATTCTACAAAGTTGTACCGGAACATTATTTTGTCGGTGCAACACGCTCACGACTCAAATCCCCCATCATGCTAAGTGGAACGCTAGAGTGCTGCGACTCCTGATCAGAGCTCATAGACTTGTCCCTCGCATTCTTTTTAACTCTGAAGGAGAAGTTGGCTGAGGCGAACGCTCCCTGGAAACAAACCGCTGGGTGTAGGAGAGTCAAGCAACTCGTAGCAATTACAATCATCAGACCCTCGAAGATCATGAAGACGGCTTCGTCAGATGTAAAAAGGGTAGATTTAAATCCACCTGAGAGTTCGACAATACGATATGAGGATCGAGTGAAGATTGTCAATGTAGCAATCATGAGTCCAAATAAGAATACCTTGAAAAGGCGCGAACTGGTGATTTCGAGATATCTCATGTTCCAGTGTCTCTTCGATTTTCGAACGCGGAGGAAGAAGTCGGTGCAGGCAATGGCAAAGAGAACGAGAGATACGTCCTGAAAGATCAAGCCTGCCAACATGATATTCTTGCCGAGGTTACTAGATCTCTGAGTATGGGCAGTTGATGCAATTGCACCACCTAGAGCTTGTAGAACGAGGCAGATGAAGTCGCAGGTACAGAAGACGATTGTGTATGTGCGAGGCTTGAAGCGGGAGAGGTTCTCGTCGTATACGACAACAATTCGGGCGAGGCACAGGTAGATCTACATCAGAAACTGGTTAGCCAGGCTCAAGAACAAGCGGGCACTAAACTTACAGATGCGGAAAGAAGTGCAGGTGCGATGGTGAGAGTGACAAGATACATCAGGAAGTTATTGTTGTCGAAAGGAGAGTTGTGAAGCATGATTCGAGCAACGTAACCAATAACTTCAAGCAACAAACCAAGGACCATTGCAACCATGTAGCCCCAAGTCTTGTGTTTGATGCCAAGAAAGAGTTGTGCGACAATGTATATTCCGAAAATCGCTGCGTAGATGGCGTTTCCGGGGAGTGTTGGTAAATACAGGAAGCTTGCCATAGACAAATCACATGTTTCCAAAGTGCACAGCTCTGGATTCATAAGGAGAGTTATGTTGCCATAGCCTGTTCCGTGTCCATTCGAGTGGGTTAAGTTTGAGTTCGACATCGTGAGGTCATTGGCTATGGGACTTGAAGCTAATGTAAAAATACGATTTGAGGGATGGCAACTGAAAATTGAGGAAAGAAACTCTGAATTTTTTGGAGGGACGAAAATGCCTGGTACTGAAATGATACATGATACACTGGGAATTCTAATCAATTTATACACTGATGTCCGAGGCAGTGCTCAATATTGACTATTTTCAGGTTGCGTGGTGATGTCGGAGTGCGAATGCGCCAATTGAATTTCGTTTGGAAGCTGACATCATCCACCGTGGATGAGGAATTTGCGATTGGTTGAGTACAGTAACTTGAATGTGGTGCCGCGTCTGACATGGCATGAAAGCGAGGCAGCCACTCGCGCTCATAGCCTTCTTGCAATGGCTTTTGACGATGAAGATGAATCAAGATATCGACCTGGCTTGCATTGAGTAGTTCTAGGCTTGTTTACTGCAGTGGACGAGAAGAGCACGAGAAGAGTGCAGGATCTATTTTCAATGCAGATACGGTTCGTCTAAAAGAAACACGGAGTCAAATCTCAAGCGCCTTGGCTTAAAATGATACGACATTGAGCCTGATTGTCTCAGTTGAACCTCAAGCTAGAGATTCAGGCAGCAGACTTATGCATCGAAGGGTTTCATTTTGTCACTTGACAAGGCTGAACCGCTGAACCGAGAAAGCCTGGGGCAATTTGTGATGAAACGTATTTCAGCCTTTGCTCTGCCTCTCTTCGTGAGACATTGGCACACGCCTTGGGAAAACATCCAGGCTAGTGTAATATGACACTTGTGAAGTAATCAGATGGAGGGAAACGTATGTAAGAGTTGTTCCAGAAGTCGTGAAATAAGGCAAAAGAGAATGATGAACAAAAGTAGGTGTTGATCGTGTGCCTCGGAATCTGACGGCGTGAAGGCCCGTGCGCCGGGTCTTTCCCAAAAATACCGAAATCACTTTTGGAAAGTCAGCCTTTCCACAACATCTCCAGCCGCAACATCTGGCACATCGAATTAGAGAATTTGGAGGCTATTTCTTGTTCACAAACCACTCCCTGAGTGCTCCGCCTCTAAAAGATATCCAAAATGGCAGACGCTGCGCCGGACACACCTGTCGTGTCCTCTTCCCCAAGCTTGCCAACCAGCTCACCACCTTCGAGCGCTGCAGAACAAGCACGCATCCGCAAAGAGCGACGAGAAGCCAAGATCAGAGCAGGAGGCTCCGCAAGATTGAACAAGATTACCGGATTAGGAGGAGGCGTCCCAAAAGGTAGTCAACTTGTCCACACAATTCTTTCTTAATTTTGGTTGACAACAGATACAGAGCCTCCGCAACAACCTACATCCCACGCAGACCCAGATGAAGTCGACATCTCCCAGCACTACTACGAGCCACAAACCGCACGTCGCCCCCAAAACGCATCCTCCCAGCCTGCCATCTCCGACGACCAACTGCGCCAAATGATGCTCGGCTTCGATCCCTCAGCAACCCCTCCGCTCGGCGGTCCCCAAAACCCAAATGCAAACCCCTTCGCTGGTTTCCCAGGCATGGGAGGAATGGGTATGCCGCCTGGTATGGAAGGAATGGGAGGACCGCCTGGCGCAGAAGACCCAATGATGAAGATGCTTCAACAAATGATGAGTGGTGCCGTACCGGAAGCAGGACCAGGTGGGATGCCTGCGTTTCCCGGTATGCCAGGTCAACTTACTACCACCGCTGATCCCTCAGCGTACCTCTGGCGTATTGCCCATGCATTGTTCGCCCTCAGTCTGGGTCTCTACATCACCTTCACGACACCCTTCACCGGCACACGCCTGGAACGAGAGACTTCGGCACTAGGTTATACCCCAGGCTCGGATGTACTTACACCCTCCTCAGTCCACTTCTTCTACCTCTTCGCCACCGCTGAAGTTATCCTGCAAAGCTCTCGATTCTATCTTGAGAAAGGGAAGGGGGAGCAGAGTGGGTGGGTGGGTATGGTGATGGGGTTCTTGCCTGAGCGGTGGAAGGGATATTTGGCTTGGGTGATGCGATATTCCAGGATTTGGACCACCGTTAGTGGGGATGCCATGGTCTTGATATTTGTGTTGGGAGTGTGTGCTTGGTTGAGAGGAGGTGTTTAGCTTGCTGCGATATTCACAAAAGAAGAATTTAAATATGACATTGAGATTGTCATTGCACAAACGATACTTGGAACATTGACGCGATGCGCAACAAAAGTTTTACATGAGGTGGAAATTTGCCATCAAGTGATGGGAAGAAAACCTCAATGTTCAAAAGCTCCAACATTCGTAATCACTAATCACCACCAAAAGATCAGATGAAGTCTTATCATCAATGTTAGTTGGCAATTTTGAATATGGCAGCTATTGAATTCGGTATGCAACAAGTTTGGTCTTAGTATTGCCGTTCAGTGGCCGACGAAACCTCCCTGCTCAGAGCATTTCCGAAACATACAGACATGTTGGATTCCGCAATCTTGCTGATGGTATGCCTACATTACATCTCAGCATCCTTCTTCTATGGCCTGGAACACAAACCTAGATTCGAGTGGCTGCAAGTACTTCGTAAAGCTGCACAACACTACTCTGCAAACCCATTCGATACATTAAGTATACAACTCTTTCACTGCTTATAATCCGGCCCAACAAAAGTATCCGCCACCTCGTACATGACAGGCGTCATCGAAGCATACTGCATTGCCTGCATCGCATACGGCCGCAGCTCCTCAATATCTCTCAATGATTCCCCTGCCTCTTTGGTACTCCACTGGCTGTACACCACGACTTTTGTCCCATCATGGCTGCGGTGAAGAGCCGAGGCGACGAAGCCAGGGACATTCTTTCCAGGTCCTGACATGAGTGACGACATTACATCGATGAGCTTCTGTTGGTTTGCTGGGTCGTGGAGTGTAAAGACGTTGATGAAGGTGTACTTGTCGGTTTTAGAGATGGTTACTGAAGACATTCTGTTGTTGAATTGAGGCAAGGATAGAGATGCAATGAAATAAGCTTTAAGCAGAGTTTATTACTTGAAAGAGAAAATGAAGATCAGAGAGTTTACATCCTCGCATGACAGGAGTCAGCACTACCGGTAAGTGGAGAAGTGCGGGACTTACAACCATAAATCCCAAAGCAGACAAGCTTCAGTACGGAAGGTTTCGACATGGGACGCGGCCTTTCCCGCCAGCTCTTCATTGGCCAGTGACAGGCTCGCCACGGCCTTGGCGTCCAAAGTCTCAGCCCCAGCAACTAAATCGGGGTTGTTGCCGCCCACTTACAGGATCCCCTCATGCGACATCGCTGCAAGCCGGGGTGCGTAAAGTTTGGGGGCTGAAGATGGAGCTTCGCTCTCGATCAAGGTCCCGTCGCACAACCTCTCCTTCCATCCCCTTCCCTTCGTTCTTGTTCAATCGTCTTTATCTTCTGTATATAGCTTGCGATCCAGTTAGTCCGACCATGCGCGAACGGAAACCATGCCGCCTTTCCTTCGCGAGCACACGAATGACCAGCCAAAGAGCTATGCACAGGTGATCCGCTCTTTACAGAAAGGGCAGCGCGCGCAAACCTTCGACCCAGGAACCAGAGCCAAGACAACGACGGAAGGGAATGCGATCCGCGCGCGCTTTCAGGGGATAGTGAAGAGTGTGCCGGTGGTCAAGAAGAATACTTACAAGCATGAGCCGATCGATTATGATAACGAGATTCGGATTTTGAAGATTCTGCATGGCAAGGGGGATGATAGGATCGAGTGTATGTTGTTTCCGAGTCGATTTCGGCCGGAGAAGGAGTTGGTTAATGGTAACGGGAATGTCAATGGGAAGGCGACAGAGGAGGGGAGGACGGACAGATATTGGGCTCTGAGTTATTGGTGGGGTGATGTTAATGAAGTTGCTGGGAACAAGATTACCATATACCATGAGTAGGTTCTGATACTTTGGAGAGATGGGGTGAAAGCTAATATGACTAAGTACGGGAGGACGAGGCCAACGTCAAACCATGACTGAGTTAAACCGGTCAGGAACCTTTTATGTACGAAACAACCTCAAAGCCGCGCTCCTCCGCTTCCGCGATCCCCACGACGATGTTAATGTTTGGGTCGACGCCCTGTGTATTGATCAGGAAAATAATGTAGAAAAGAAAGCGCAGGTCTCGCGCATGCACGAAGTTTATACCCAGGCGGAGAACGTGTGCGTCTGGCTCGGAGAAGGAAAAGAGTCGACTCCGGAGACCTTCTCATTCTTAAGAGAGATCCTAGACTTGCGTAATTTTGATGAACTGATAGCGGACCCGGAGACGACATCCAGGAAGTGGGCGCTGATAGTGGACTTAATGAGTAATAGGTGGTTCAGTAGGAGATGGGTCATTCAAGAGCTGGCTTTGGCTAGGAAGGCTTGTGTCCTCTGGGGAGATGAGGAGTTGGAGTGGAGTAATTTTGCAGATGCGATTGCGTTGTTCATGACCAAGTATGAGGAGATCAAGAGGACGAGTCTCGATCCCAAAGGATATCATGATGCGGTTGATGCAAGAGCTTTGGGCGCGAACACGATTGTTCATGCCACCACGAATTTGTTCCGGAAAACTCAAGAAGGAAGGGTTCAACAACGTTTATTGCCGCTAGAGATTTTGGTTTCGAGTCTGCTGCTGGCGTTTGAAGCATCCGAACCGAGAGACACGATCTTTGCGGTCCTCACTTTGGCCAAAGATTCAAGATTCGCAGAGGAAAACACAGATGCTATTATAGAAGACCCTCGCATATCTCCAGATTACGACAAAAGTCTTTTGGACGTCTATGCAGACTTCATGAACTACTGTGTTGAGAAATCGCAGTCGTTGGATATCCTCTGCAGATACTGGGCTCCGTTACCAAAACCCCTGACTAGGGAACAAGCATTGAAGCTAGGTAATTCAGGACGAGACAAGGAAGAGAAAATGCCAACTTGGATTCCATTCATCTCTCGCTCTGCATTTGGAGAGCCGCACGGCGTATTGGGAGGCAGAGTCAATGGAGACAGCTTCGTTGGTGGTCCGGAAAGAAAGGGTCAACAGACTTACAATGCGTCGAATAATCTTCGAGCCTGGGCGAAATTCGGTACCTATGAGCTGGACCCCTCGAGGGATCCGGCACGACGATCGACGTTTCCTGCAAATTTCATGAGACAAGGGAGCTTTTCGTCGAATAAACGCCCCGAGTTAGGCAAGACCCATGTGAATGAAAACCAGCCACACCATTCGAGGAGTGATGGTGCAATGAAGGATCTAGTTGCGGCAAGACAGCCCTCGTTATCCCCGGAGAAGTACGACGGCACGCTGAGTGTGAGGGGCTTTTGTTTGGATCATGTACACGAAGTCTCTGGAAGGGTGATGGGGAAGGGAGTCATACCCGTTGAAGCCTTAACGATGGGAGGGTGGCAACATAGAGGGCCGGAGGATTTGAATGTTCCAGACCAGCTCTGGCGAACTCTTGTCGCTGATAGAGGACCAAATGGAACCAGCGCTCCTGGATGGTATCGAAGAACTTGTTTAGAGTGTTTGCAACACACAGATCGTGTCGGAGATCTCGATATCGAAGGCCTGAAAAAGAGCGTTCTGCCTAGGACGCCAAGCACGATGATCACCTTCCTGGAACGAGCACAACAGATTGTGTGGGGCCGGAGGTTCTTCAAGACAAGAGGCAACAAAAATAAAAATAAGGAGCCGTTGTTCTGTTTAGGATCCCCGGATGTAAGAGAAGGAGATCTAATTTGTATCATTTTTGGCTGTAGTGTTCCTGTGGTATTGAGAAAAGTTTCAACCGGTGGAGGAAACTCCCATTTTGAGTTTATTGGCGAGTGCTATGTTCATGGGATGATGGATGGGGAGGCTTTGGAGGGCCGGCAGCCGATGTATCCGTATGGTGGGAAGAAATCTTGGGTGATGACTTTTAAGTTAAAATAGTTTAGGTGAGATACCAATAATAGTTGTGCACTCCATAGTTTTAACCAAGCGAAGTCAACATTTGAAGTGTCGGAACAACCTTTCATCTATCTCTTAGAACACTTAATCTTTAGCCATGTTCATGGCCTAATAATCTGCCTTGGCTTATTGTCGGAACATATTTAGAACTCACTTTTCGACCTGACTCATCCTGAGGCCACTGCGCCTTGGAGTCCTGCGGCTGTTTGTGTCGGGGTGGCTAAGCCCGTGACTTCTCGTCCACGTGTTCAAAGTACTAGAAAATAGCAGCAATCGCTAAAATTGCTTTTCGATAACCTGACCCAGGAGTTTTTAATGTCAAGGTAGCTTGCTCGGTGATTCGAGATATTGGGTGTTCATTCTGGGTGTTTTTTAAACGTGGAAACGCTCGTGCTGGTTTGGGGAACTCCGCCACCTTGTCCATGATCTGCTGACACTTATCGTCGGGAATCGAGGGAATCTGCTTGTGCATAGTGATTGAATCAAGAGTAAATTATTGGCGACATTCTCCTTTTTGTTCTGTGCCAGCAAAGCAATTGGTTCCAAAAGTGGCTGGAAGGATACCTGGCTCTGTTGCTTCATCAAATACACAACACCCGCAACTTCAACCCACAAGAAATTTCATTCTAAAGAAGTTCAAATTTGATTTCACGGATGCAGACTATCGAAAGCCGATGTGGCGAGTACTTGTGATTGCATGCCAATAATAATCTTCGACCAACAACACAAGGATGGTGGCAATAAAGTCTTGTAACAAGTCCCGGTGCCTACGTCACAGGAAACGAAATGTTTGGGGTAGCCTTGAAGCTTCAGAAGTTCCATTACAATGTCAAGACTTTCCCTCGTACGTGGACATCTTCAATATCTCCAAACTCCTTGCGTTCTGACCAGTGAACAAAAAATAGAAAGGAAAAACCAAAAGATTACATTAAAAGTGCACAAGGTTAGAGAATAATCGGATTTGTGTTCAATTTTAAAGTTCCACAGCACACCATATTGGAAAAGGAGGCTATCCTCGAGGCTGATCCGAGGCATAGCAGAAGGCTGTCTTCAAGATCGTTAGTTTGCATGCTTCACTAGAAACCTGCAGCTCATGCTGTCCTCCAGCCTTTTCGGGGGCACCAGCGCAATGCCGTTGACCTGCAGGCCTTGAGGGATTAGGTGTGAGGAAGTCGGCGAGGCACTCCCAATCAATTTGTCTGTGGTCGTGGCTGTGCCCGAGTCGAGCAGTTGGCAGCCGGAGTCGAACCGCCAGGAGCTGACACGGCAGACACGCATCACAGCCCTGCCGAGCAATGCTGCTGGGAACTTGGGGGCCATTGGCCCCCTTTCTGCAGCAATGGCCAAGCTGACACAGTTCATCAGAAACGACCCCAAATCTGCCCTGAACCGCTCCGCCACACGATCTTCTGGGGCCGCAGACCGCCAGGCTGGGATTTCGAGCCTGAAGGAGCTCCAATCTGGGCTTGGTCTTCAAACACCTGAACCATCAATATTCCGCGGAAATGCTGGACAATATCGGATTAAGGCAAGCTCGAACTCCATATTGCTTTGCTGTGCTGAGGAGAGCTGGCGGCATACGACGGGATTGTGCAATTTTGCCTCCTGAGTGGCATTGCTGCTCCACGCAAGAGAAACACACGAGGACAACCTATCGCAAAGTCCGGCAGGCTGCTGATTCGGCGGCCTCTGATTTGTCTGAAACCGAAGGTCACCGAGGTTGGTGCGCCATCAGTGTGGCTGCATGAGCTGCAGGGATGTGAGCGCCCGCGCTTGACATGCCAAATTTTGCTGCGCCCCGCTCCAGCCCTTCGCAATGTTCCCATTATTCGGGATAACAAGAGGCTTCCGGTCACGGCGACAACTCTCTAGACTCATCGTGTGTTCTTTGTCTGTGTGAATCATTGTCTCTACGATTGCAAGACATGAGCCGAGGCATCCTTTGACAATCCCGGGGAGTGTGTTGTTTGCTCAATTGTCTATATATCGCCAGTGACGGCACCATCTCAGCTAGATCAACACCTGATCTCAAAAGCGCATCTTTCGGACCCCATCATGGAGTCGATAGCAGTTACAAATTCGGATCCAGACATTTTCGATCCAAAGGAGAAGCAGAAGGCGATCTATTTATATTACGATTCTCAATACAGCGATGAGGCACAGGACATCTATTCAGAGGAATGGCAGGAGCGTATACTGTACTGGCACCAGAAGGCGATCGACAGTGCAGCGACGACGCTGAGGTCGGAAGAGAACCTCGAGAAGTTGGATTTCGGAGGGTTCTTCTTGGCCCATCCTATCCCGGCATTTTCTCTCTGGCAGCTTCTCCAGGCGTGTTACGAACTCGATGTGGCTGTTTGTGGGAACAGCAAGGGGGATCTGGATGAGATCGAGTCCTGGCAGAAGATGAACCCATTCAAGTATCTCCGGGACCATAGCGTCCAGGACAAATGGCGGGCATCTTTGGAGCTTTTCAAGGCGCAAATAAAGGCGAAGAGCGAGGATATGGATGTCCAGGAGGAGAGTTGGGAGTTGAGGATGCATGAGATTCTCATCGGTGTAGAGAAGTTCGAAACGGCGTTCGAATCTCTGCAGGAGAACTTCAAGGCCAATCTTGCCAGGCAGAGGTTTGCAGACTGGATGATAGCAAGGATCGACGAGGATATCGGAAAACGATTCTCCATGATCCATCAACTGTTGGAGGTCAAGGAGAGTGAACTCGCGGGCATAAATCCTGCAGAGGAGAACGACGAGCCAGGTCCTTGTGAGTTGATCAAACGTTACCGGCTGAAATTTTGCTAATCAGTTCAGTGGACCCTGCGGCACCAGATTTTCATGTTGCATTTGAAGCTCCTAAACCCAAAAAGAGGTGGTCTTTTAAGAAGAATCAAGATAACCCACGGAGGCCGTCTGGTAAGTAAAATGCACGCCAGGAAGATTTTCGATTTTTAACCTTTCCTCAGCCTCTGAACCAAAATTGCCTCGTCCCACTAGAACGATGTCGATACCCAAATCTCTGAATTTGACGAGAGGCATCAATGCTCTAAAAGAGAAGTTTCGAAAACCGAAAAGCACGAATAAACGCAATGAGCGATGACATTTACTTTTCTGGAATCTAACTTCCTTGGATCCATCCTTCTTGTTTCAAAAACTATATAATTTGGTGAGAATTTCAGAATTTTGCTTGGAGATCTCATTTTTGTTCAATTTTGCCTTCATTCTTCATATTCCTTCTACGACTTATGGATTACGAATGAAACGGCCTTTGTATATCTAATTTGATGGTATATGGAATGGTGTTTGGCGTTCATACAGCTCTAGAGCTGTGGTTTGGATTTTATGATCTGTAGATATTCAGAAGCTTAGATAGTGGAAGATTATTTACTCCTTTAGCCGAAACCTTCTTGGTGTGCTCTTTCCTTGATGGGATTGCGAGCCTTGGCTCTGAAAATATTGAGAAAACGCTGGAATCCGCCCCGGAGCCCTTTGTTCTAGTAAGGCAGGGCAACTGCAATCCGGAAAGGCTTTATTTCGTTTCAGGTTTTGCGTTCTTGGTTTATTGATCTCGGCAGTAACGTATCTCTTTGTTCCCATCTTCCATTTCATATTCTCCGTGGGTTCGATTGTTCAAAGACGAATAGCTAATTTGTACGCATTCCACATCCTTGTTCACTCCCTAAAGATTGTTGAAAGCAAGTCATGACACCAGGAGAGCCATACAACCTCAGAAGCACAGGGAACACTTCCTTCACTAAAGGGCTGGACGTGGGGAAGTCAAAGGAGGTAGCACCAAAATGGAGAGATCCGAATGATAGGATTTGGTGTCAGTTTGTCATCCAACCTGGAAATCGGCGGTGCATGAGAATGTTCTACCCTCCGCCTTTCTGGTCTACGGCTTGTCACCAACATCGGGATAAAGTTGACAGACTCTGGAGATGAACGGCTACTCACGGGTATATTGGAGGACAAGAAGGCTTCGGGCACTGTGGCGGTCTTGAAGGATTGAAAGTTGGGCACATTTTTGTGCCATGACCAATTGTGAAGCAAAATAATACCCTGGAGACACTCGGTTTTGGGGCGTCATGAATTCTTGTGGAGGCTGAGCTTGGGAAAGATAGATGGAAAACTAAAAAGACAATGCAAAGGAACTAAGATACTTCACATAAAGCGCTTCCACGACCAGTAATTCGGTGAAGATACTTCCCTAGCGAGGGTCACGTGTCAAGCCTTACCTTCCTGTCCTCACTTCCATGCTTTCCTGACGCCCTCTCTCGCCCGACCTACGCCCGACCTAGTAGCAATAGGATCAAACATTGCTTTTCCTGGCCGCATGTAACTCTGCAAACATCCAACTTCACCGCTCCTTGCCAACACGTGACTGACCGGCTAACCCAATGATGGTTGAGCGGGTTGCTATCCGATTATCGGCAAGTGAAATATCCATGCAACACGCCGTGTGCTTTTTCTTTTCCTCCCCCACATTTGCGGAGTCATAAGCAAAAACTCGACTCTGTCACTGTCTTACCAACCCACTATCCCCAGTGAATACAAATACTGAGGATATCTCCCTCAATCCCTCAATTCCTCTTTCTTCCATCTTTTCCTTTCTACCAACACAACTCGCCTTCCAACGAACACCGACCAACATGTGCCCCTCGTGCGAACCTGAGCCTGCTGCCAATGGCAATGGCCATGCCAATGGAGCTTCAAATGGCACCAATGGATCTTCCAACGGTTCTAACAGTAAGAGCTTGCAGTTGTGGTCGGCGAGAGCAATGACTAATTCTTCATTGTGCAGGCCACCCAGGATTCACCGCCGTCCAGACCAAGTCCAACCCCCATCCTCACCGAGCGAACCCATACCAACCCGTCGGCGACTTCCTGAGCAATGTGTCGAATTTCAAGATCATTGAGAGCACTCTGCGAGAGGGTGAGCAATTCGCCAATGCCTTCTTTGACACGGAGAAGAAGATTGAGATTGCCAAGGCGCTGGATGATTTCGGAGTCGACTATGTGAGTCACAAATGGGATCACATACTCAAGAGATTTGCTGATACAATTGGCATAGATTGAATTGACTTCGCCTGCTGCGTCCGAGCAATCAAGAGCTGATTGCGAGGCAATCTGCAAGCTGGGGTTGAAGGCTAAGGTTGGTGATATTGGATCACGCCCACTCTCGTGCATTGGCTGAATTGATCAGATTCTCACACACATCCGATGTCATATGGACGATGCTCGAATTGCTGTGCAAACTGGTGTGGATGGAGTGTGAGTTTGAGCCTCGGCATCGTGATTGCTTTTGCTAATTGCCTTAGTGACGTCGTCATCGGCACCTCCTCTTACCTGATGGAGCACTCCCACGGGAAGGACATGACCTATATCACAAATACCGCGATTGAGGTCATCAACTACGTCAAATCACACAATATCGAAATCCGATTTTCGTCCGAAGATTCCTTCCGTTCAAACTTGGTCGATCTCCTCTCAATCTACTCAACCGTCGACAAGATTGGTGTTAACCGAGTCGGTATTGCGGATACTGTTGGCTGTGCATCCCCGAGACAAGTCTACGACTTGATCCGAACTCTGCGAGGTGTTGTGAGCTGTGATATTGAGACACATTTCCACAATGATACTGGTTGTGCCATTGCAAACGCTTATTGCGCTCTGGAGGCTGGCGCTACTCACATTGATACCTCAGTTTTGGGTATTGGTGAGCGAAACGGTATCACCCCTCTTGGTGGTCTCATGGCACGCATGATTGTTGCGGACAGAGACTACGTTATGGGTAAGTACAAGCTGCACAAGCTCAAGGACATTGAGGAACTCGTTGCTCAAGCTGTGGAGGTCAACATTCCCTTGTACGTATCCGGCGCCCCTTCCGCCCATCCCCCCTTTAACTTTTACTGATTAAACTTCCCACACAGCAACAATCCTGTAACTGGCTTCTGCAGCTTTACGCATAAGTCGGGAGTTCACGCCAAAGCGATTCTGAACAATCCAACGACATACGAGATCATTAATCCAGCCGATTTCGGCCTGTCAAGATATGTCCACTTTGCATGTATGTATACCGCGTTCTCTTAATGCTTAGTCGACATGCTAACATAAGATATAGCACGCATCACTGGATGGAATGCAATCAAGTCAAGAGCTAATCAGCTTGGTGTGGAAATGACAGATGAGCAATACAAGGAGTGCACTGCCAAGATTAAACTGCTTGCTGATATTAGACCCGTAAGTCTCTTTATACTTTATATAGATCTGGGATATCCCAGAAGCTAATGTACATTTACTCAGATTACTGTCGATGACACTGATTCTATTATCCGGGATTTTCAGCGGAATCTCAAGCTTGGTAGAGATCATACTACACGACCAGAATGAAATAGAGAGCTTGTTAGAGTTGTTGCTTAAGTACTAAATACTTAAATCGCAATTGTAGTTAGTCTTTATAAAAAGCAATATTTACAACACTTTGAAATTTACCTTTCTTCTTTATAATACAGTCGTATGCGAAAACTCCCTGTTTCTGCGAATTTTAGCCGCATCATGCACTTTTGGTACGCACCTCACCAAAAATTAATGATAATTGATAAAACTCACCCAATAATCGCACCATTACCTCCAGTACCATCCCCATTAGGCAATTTCGACTTTATTCGCAAGTTCCCACTATGGCACGTTCAAAGAGCAAAAAAATCGAGAAACTATTGAACGGATGCACGTATACGTGTAAGTGGGTCAAGTCTTGATTGATTTCTTGTAGAATGGGAGGTGGGCAGAGCCCACCTTATATACATGTCCGTACAGGCTAGTTGGCCTTGCACGTGGTCATGTGCATGTGACATGTCACATGACCATATTCAACACTCCCACTCAAGGACAGCACTAGACGAAACTAGTACCTCCAAATAATCCTGACTATAGAAGATACAAAAATAGAGTAATAAAAGTAGCTCAAATAGTGCCTTTCCTTGCTTCCTTAGCAGCCCGTTTTGCTACCTTCCTTTCCTCCTTCTCCAGACGCTTCTTCTCTCGTTCAGCTGCCAGCTTCTGATCTCTTTCCCTCATATGTCCTTCTATATCGAACTAATTTCGAGAGATATCAGGTGAGGGGCTCTGAGGAGCAGTAAACGAGGGTCCAGTAGTCGAGGGTCCAGCAGTAGACGACTCAAAAGCCGGAGGTATTGGTACTTCAAGGACAGAGGGACTCGGAGGGCTCGGCATATAAGGCTCAGGGGCGTCAAGAACCGATCGGAGTTAGGAGGAGTGTATCGAAACACGAAAAAAAATAGGCGCTAGAGCTTCCAAAGCAGACGACAAACCTTTAGCGAAATCAGGGAAGGCAGGAACCGGAACCATTATAATCTCCTCCTCTGTATCCGATCCATTAGATACAGGTACAGGAAAGCGATCTGCAGAGAGCAGATCGGATAGTTCTATTGAGGGTATTAGCAAGTCCAGGTTTATATTTTCTATATCCATCCCTGACTATTCGAGTTAATGGGCAATCATATCGTCATCAGAGACTAGCTCATATTCACTATCTGCCGTAGCCACCGTAATGTCTCCCACTTGATCCGGAACCGGTATTAAGACGATATTTAGGCGGCTTGTCTTCCGGCAAAGAGCAGGAGGGACTAGTCCTGTAGGAAAGGCAGAACGAGAGCGAGATTCAAAAGAGGACCGTAATCTGGAGCGAATTTGCCGTGGCCCAAGAGAGGAAAAAGCAGGAGAAGCAGAGCGAGAGGGAGGTTTCCGTCCTCTATCTATAATCTCCGGACCATAAATCCTTACGATAATCGTTATGGGGGGTATATCGTAAGCCTAGGGCCAAAAAACAGTGGGACCTCACGGCTGTATCGCACTGTCAAGGATATCGCTAAATCGAGGATCGTTATATCAAGGTTCTGCTGTATAACTGTAAGGAACCTGTACAGTGCTGTGGTCTCGAGTTTGGAATGGTTGTCTACCCGGTCGTTGAGATCATGCTGAACGGCAAAGCACACGCGACCCCCTGAGGGCAGGCTCCTGGTGGTTGGATCATTCCCGGATTGGCCCAATCTTAACACCCTTGTGATTATCTTGAGTGGGAAAGGAGCAAATGATTACTCGTCGGCTGATCCTCACTCTGTTTGGGCCGCCTCGCTTCGCTCGCGCATACAAGTAACACCTAGACACCCTAGCACCCCAAAACGTGGAACCATTTCCTGAACGGCTAGCCCTCCTTCGTCTACAAAATCTTGTCAAGTCACAAGTATAATGAATCGTGAGATCATGCAGAATTTCTAATTAATACGAGGTTGCTCCTCGATGATCTTTTCTATGAATAGAATGTGGCATCTACGTTTGAAGATTACCCATATTTCAAGAATGTGTAAGACATATCATCGTAAGAGTATCACTTTCTAGCTACTTTGCCCTTTTTCAAATTCTGCTCCCGCGTCTGAGCCTTTCTTTTAAGCCCCTTATGCGGCTTCTCTCCCATATCCTCATCTCCCTCTTCCTCTTCCTCCAAATCGACGGCCCCCATTCCTCCCTTCTTCTTCAATTTCGCGGCCGTCTGCCTCTCTCTCTGCTTGTCCGCCTTCCTTGTTTTCTTGTCCAACATCACCTTGACTATCCGTGCCGCAATCTCCTTCTGCGCCGCACCCATCCCTTCCTTTTTCACTTCCTCCCAATCCTCCTCGTTCATCTCTCCCACCAACACCCCCTCACACCACACCCCCTCACACCACACCCCCTCACACCACCAAGATTACTTTGCCCCGTAGGGCGCTTCGTAGCCGGAGCTAAAGGGCGGGGGCTGAAACCCTTCGGAGGAGGAGAGGGAGAGGAGAAGTTGGAGAGTTGGAGAGTTGGGAGAGGGCTCGACGGTGTTTCTGAGGAGCCACTACCAAAATGATCTTACTTTATGTCACGGCACTTAGTCACAACCACAGAAGTTCGAGAAAACATACTCTCAGTTGATTATGGGGGAGGACCAGCCTCGAACCTGAAAGGGGGAGGGACATCAGAGAAGTCTGAGGAGGCCGGGGCCGCTAGTACAAGTATGTACTGGGAGACGGTTCCAGCTTCTTTGGTATGGTTTATAGTCGACATTTTGATAAGATCACTTATGTATGATGGATGTTGAAGACGCCGTTCTGCAACCGCTCATGAAGGCGGAGGGAAAGAACACGCCGAGAGAGATAATTTTTAGTGAGGTACCTTGCCCCCAAACTCCAACTTCGGTCCCAGCAGCAGAAATCACATTAGCCAAGAAGGGTAGAAATGTTGTTACTGCATAGACTTGCATGCCTGCTTTGATAAAAATTTCTCTGCATTTGGGTGGTGGCATCTAAGGGGTTGGCCTTTCTTGATCAGCAAAGGATTTGGCTATTCAAAAGTCTAAAGGGGGAGATGGGGATATCTAGCTGACTGCTGATTGATTTCTGCGGTCTTAATATGCTGGGCTTTGCATTTACCTTAATCTTTCAATTGATTTGATTGGAGATGTCGTCTTGCTCTGCATTCCGGGAGAGAGCGATTTGATGGCTTGTACATTTTAATGATACATTGCTTAAAGGTTAGCAAATTCGGCGGGGAGGGCAAGTAAAAGAAACCAAGCAAGTACACATCACTTGGCATGAAAGATCCCGTAGTAGGCATGGCGGCGATTAAAGTAGAGGATGATTTCATCTGGTAGTCTTGGACTAAGTGTGAATTCGAAAATGCCGTAATATGTTGCACATCGACTCAGTGGCCCAAAGGCTCTGGTACAATGACGCTTGTCCAATGTTTGCATAGTGAGTGAATATGATTGTGCTACCTCCTTTGTGAGCTCAGCCATGAAAGTGCCTCGCTGATGGACCCCACTTTTGACGAATCGGGAAGTCGAGCTACACTTCTTAAGATGAACTCCTAGCCTCCGGAAATTACATTTCACTAATAGCCACGCCCTTGGGCGAGAAGTAACTCTCACGACCCTTTGCGGAAATCTCTCGTCATGAATTCTCAAGCCCTTCGATTGCTCTGCCGGTCCAGGCCAAGCATGGCATCAAAATCCCTCTTCCTATTCCCCTCGCCCAGTCCAACCTGCAGATTGTTCTCTATGACATCGAGGAGAAATGTAAGAACTACTGAGATGTCAGATGAGCAGTTGGCTGCTGTGAAAATTAATAGGGAGCGGTTGTGGAAGGATCTTCATTCGACGTGCGAGTGGGGAAAAGGGGAGAGATGGGGAGAGTAAGTGATGAATTTCTTGCAAATTTTCCAGGAATTTCTTACATTTCGGACCAAACCGTCCTAAATAATAAATCGGATGCTCTTCACGATTGGTACTACATGCTGAACATCTTTCAGTGGACCAACAGACATTGGAATGTCACGTTTGACATTAAGTGATGCAGATAAGCAAGTGCGAGATTGGTTCGTGGAGACGACCAAATCTCTTGGTTGCGATGTAAACATAGATGCTATGGGTGAGTTCTCTAACATTGTATAGTCTTGAGAGCAAAAGCTGAGACTAAATCAGGAAACATATTTGCTGTCAGGCCGGGAAAGAGGGGAGGGCCACCAACTTATGCTGGGTCTCATATGGATACACAAGTAAGTATTCGATCTTTCGTGGATCAACTATTGACAAATTCAGCCTACCGGAGGGAGATATGATGGAATTCTTGGAGTTCACGCTGGTATCGAAGTCCTAAAGACCATGAACGATCTGGACATCAAAACAGAGTACGATACTGGAGTAATAAACTGGACGAACGAGGAAGGGGCGCGTTTTCCGATCTCTATGGTGTCATCTGGCGTCTGGGCGGGCGCCTATACCCTAGAAAAGGCTCACAATGTCGTGGAAGTTGGAGGAGGCAAAGCAACGCAAAAGTCTGAGTTGGAAAAAATTGGATATCTTGGTCCTCTTGAAGCAAGCTACAAAGCAAATCCTATAGGAGCTCACTTTGAGCTTCATATCGAGCAAGGCCCAATCCTTGAGAGCTCTGGTGGGAAGATTGGGGCTGTGGACGGTGCTCAGGCTTATAAATGGTTCACTATCACTGTGAAGGGGAAGGATTGTCATACGGGGACGACGGATTTTGAGAATCGTTCGGATGCTATGCTCGCAGCAGCGAAGCTCATCCTACATAGTCACAACAAGGCTACGGAATATGGGTAGGTGTTGGGGGAGAACCCCTTCCCTATTTTTGACTGTTTCGTGATTTTCTCCCGAGACAATGTCCCAGTTCTCCTGGAACAATCTTATTCGAGCAATTGCTGACACCCCCATTACCTAGATGTCTTGCATCCACGGGAATATTGACATTGAGGCCTGGATCAACGAATACTGTCCCCGGTTGGGTCCAGTTTTCGTTAGACATCAGGTCGAAGGAAGACGCCATAGTCTCGAAACTTGAGGAATCGTTGAAGGAGGACTTCCAACGGATCGCGAGTGGAAAGGATATTGGTGGCGTTAATGCTCAAGGGACCAAGGGAAGGGGCTGTAGTGTGGAGTGGCAATTCGACACCGATTCTCCAGCAACCAAGTTCCACGAAGACTGTATTAAGTGCGTTGAAGCAAGTGCTAGGGATATGTTGGGAACGAATGCAGGGTCACAGGTCAAAAGAATGACATCGGGAGCTGGACACGACAGGTGAGATGCTCTTGATCCAGGTTCAAACACTGGCTGATATCTTCTAGCGTTTATACATCTAGACACGCCCCGACCTCGATGTAAGTATGGACATAAGAATTATGAAATGGTATGCTTACACCTCCTAGGATCTTCGTACCATGTAGAGAAGGAATCTCCCACAACCCGGCTGAATATTGTAGTCCAGAGGATTGCGGAAATGGTGCACAGACTTTGCTTGGAGCAATGCTGCGATACGACCGGCTGAGAGCAGAGAAAGGTGCATAATTGAAACAACATCACCCATTGGAAATAGATATGCTAGAGATAACAGCATCTGCACTTCTTTCAAGAGAACCCCTCTATCAATTCGCCTATCGATTTGTGACACAATGCTCGCAAAAACTGCCCTTTCTCCCTCGCCCGATTCTTCCTCAGTACAATCCTAAAGCATCTACTGATCCAGTCTCGTGGGAAATGTTCCGTTGCCTGCAAGGTATTGTAAGTTTGGGGCGAAGGGTCGTTCAATAACGAGCTACTGACTGCGCTGATCATCCCATCTCTCACACCAGGCACTTGGACACAAGGATCGATAAGCCAAGAAGAACTATATTATCCATCAGAACGTATCCCCTCAGCTCCAACGAGCTCCACATACTTGACGGCAAGGTGCGAAGTCCTCGCCCTTGGCTAGGATGCACTTGTGGTAATCGACATAGTTTTGCCAGCAATGCTTGGTCTGGTTCTGGTTCGGGAAGCGGGCGTCGAAGCCTATAATTCCAAAAGTCAATTGTATTCAGTCGACCTCGGAAGGAGTGTAGCTACCAGCTACGGTAAAAGTTAGCAATCAGACCATTTTCTTCCGGAGGGCGGGAGTACAGGAGCTTGGAGCTTACCAGTGACGAACTTGAAGGGCTTGGTCTCGCGTTCTCCGTCAGACATGGTTGCGATTGTATTTCGAGAGTGTGAGTGGAGAGAAGCTGGGGTCTTGTGGAGGTTCAATTGGAAGGAAGAGGAGTGAGGTCGTCGTTCATCGAGAGGTTCGGGTTCGGCTAGCCCGCGGACTAGCGCGCAACGCAGGTCCGCTCAAACTCAGACCACCTGAAGCTCCCTCCAACTTCAAAGAAGAAGCTATTAGACCTCGGATTCGACCGGCAAAACAATCACCATGCAGCCAAGTATCGCCCTCAGAATGTTCCAGCCGACGAAGCGGATGATGGCTGTGCCGGTACGTTGACGGACCCTTCAATTGAAGCTTTAAGAGACTGACGATGTTTGCTTTTGCAGAAGGAGGAGCAGAGTGGTACGTGATACGATTCCTCTCGAGAAGGCAGAAGCTTGCACGGAGATAGCGATTGTTCAATTGGGCGTACGGGACGGGGTCAAGGATGGACAGAGGCTGATGCAAGGACTCCGCAGCTCACACTATCTCGCAACGACTACGAACTCTCAAGAGAATTCCCCCGGAGTTGATTCCCCTCGGTATACCGGCTTCTATCTCCCGGCATTGAAGGGTATTAATATATCGCAGGAATCGTGGTGGGAATTGCTGTCGGATTTGCCGGGTACTCAATGGCCCGCAAGTTGGTGGTTGACAAGCAGATCCGTCTTTCTCGTCAAAACAGAAAGGACTAGGGGGGAGGAACTGCGAGGGAAGTTAAAAATCGCTGCTAGTCTAGAGATTAGCGGTTTTGGAATATGCAGATTGAACAAGAGAAGCAAGAGCGGGTGTACAGCGTAAATCGCTTCTTGTTGTTTGGCATCCACACACAGCTTCTTGACCACTCAACCTGCGATAGTGAAAAATGAGCAGTAGCATAAGGTGTCCTTCCTTGAAACGCCTTGCAATTTCCCTATCTCTCTGAACGCCACCCATGCATATCCCATCGTGAAAATGGAAGGACCAAACTTCTTCATGCTGGCTTGGGCCCAGCAACATCCAAACCTTCTAAGCCTTGCATGGGATCATCAGGCCTATTTGCACCTGTTTGTGCTCTCTCTGTTGCTAACTTATCCTCCTCACTCACAGCATTCTCTGCAAGCCAGCCCTCCTAGCACCAAACAGTCAGCAGCTGTATTGCCAAGAGAATGGAAAACCAAAGAACAGATGGATCTACCTGCTCCCATAATGCAGTCTTGCTTCCAAGGCCTTCATTGACGTTCTTTGGAGGCTTCGCAGCTGAAACTTTGATTACTCTACCAAAGACTTCTGACTGATCCATGTTGTCGATGGCATCTTTCGTATCTTCTGGGTCCTCAAATTCCACATACCCAAATCCTCGGTGAAGCTCAGTAGAGTTTGGGCCTTCAGGCTTACTGTGAAACGTTAGAGAAATGTCCTACTTGGTCTGCAGCTCTCAAAATGTACGGGATGGAGACGTCTGCAATTTCACCAAAGGGTAGGAACACAGCCTCGAGGTTTGCGGCGGTGACCATCGGCGCTAGACCACCAACATACACAGTAGCTTTCCATCTTGCTTGATCCGACATCTTTCAAATCCCGATGCGTCTTTGAGAAGCAACTTGAAAAGTTGATATCACGTTTTATAATTTTCGCGTAGCCTCGTCACGTGCAGGCTGCAACCGTGAGGCGTGGGGATGTTTAAATCTGTCCACCCGACTTGGAACGCAGCTAAGATCGTCATACTCTCTGGACCTCCTGGACTTCGCATTTTTCCTTTCAAGTTGCGTGTCCTTTACGTTCAGTATTCCTCCTTCACGTTGCCTTTTCTAGCGGTAGAAAAGGTGTGAGCATTCTTTCAGCGAGCATTGGATTTCAGGACAACACATCAACAAGATGGTGCGGTTACGGGAGATCCCCAGGACCGCAGCCTTTGCCTGGTCGCCTGGAGCGGAGATTCCTTTGGTGGTAACTGGTACAAGAGCTGGCGCAGTTGATGCAGACTTCTCTGATGAGACCAAGTTGGAGCTTTGGGACCTGAGTTTGGACAACCTCGAGCAAGGTGTTGAGCTCCAGCCCATTGCAAGCCTAAGCACAGATTCAAGGTATATATCTATATGAATACAAGTGTTAAGGATGTTAACTAATTTATTCTCTGCCTAGGTTCCACGATATTGCGTGGGGTCCTGCCTCCGCAGATCATCCAAGGGGCATAATTGCTGGGGCTTTAGAGAATGGCTCTTTGGACTTGTGGGATGCCGAGAAGCTCATTAAAGGAGCAGACGATGCATTCATGTCACGGACAACGAAACACTCAGGCGCGATCAAGTCACTTCAGTTCAATCCGATCAAGCCGCATATTCTGGCTACAGCAGGCGCAAAGGGGGAACTCTTCATTTATGACCTCAACGATATATCAACGCCTTTCAGATTGGGCACAGCTGCAGCACGATCTGACGACCTCGAATGCATTGCATGGAACAGGAAGGTTTCCCATATCTTGGCGACAGGAGGAAGTGGGGGATTTGTTACCGTCTGGGATTTAAAAACCAAGAAGGCATCTCTGACCCTGAACAACAACCGAAAGGCTGTGGGAGCCATTGCATGGGATCCTAATAATGCCACGAAGTTGTTGACCGCAACGCCCGATGATTCAGCACCAGTTATCCTCTTGTGGGATCTGCGGAACTCGAATGCACCAGAAAGGACACTACAAGGGCATGATCAGGGTATATTGTCACTTTCATGGTGTGAGCAAGACAGTGACCTCTTGTTGTCTTGTGGGAAGGATAATAGAACGCTTCTCTGGAACCCACAGACTGGGGAACGCCTAGGGGAATTTCCTGAAGTTACCAACTGGACTTTCCAGACCCGGTTCAACCCTCATAACCCCGCGCTCTCTGCAACCGCTTCTTTCGATGGGAAGATCTCCATACAGACTTTGCAGAACACCAATTCTACAGCCACTCAGACGCCAGTACAGGGACCTGTGGATGGTGAGGATTTCTTTACAAAAGCACAAACCCAACCACAAGGGGCCTCATTCTCGCTGAAGAAAGCTCCAAAATGGCTCGAGCGACCTGCAGGAGCGTCTTTTGGATTCGGCGGAAAGCTGGTAAGCTTCAGCTTGCTACCAGCAGTAGCCGGACAGAATAGGTCGTCCAAAATCCAAATCTCGCACTTCTCAGTCGATAGTGATGTAGGTTCAGCTACTGAGTCCTTTGAGAAAGCTCTTGTTGCTGGAGACATCAACAGTATCTGCCAAACGCACATCTCACAGGCAAAAACGGAAGAGGAGAAGGCGGATTGGCAGGTCATTGAGACTCTCATTGCTGAGAATCCTCGGAAGCGTGTTACAGAGTTTCTCGGATTCACAGACGTTGTTGGTGAAGCCACCAATGACATTACAGACCTTGATTTGGATGAATCCAAGGCTGACGCCAGTACGGAGGGAACCAACGGAGCAGCAACCAAGAATAGTCGATTATCTACCCTGTTCGCGGATGGTGCTGATGGAGACGACTTCTTGTCTAACATTACAGCGACCAAAGGTGCTAAGACCGATAATCCATTCGATCTATTCTCCGAGACGGACTCTGCCTCTGAGAAGCAGATCACGAAAGCTTTGATGCTTGGTCAATTTGAAAAGGCCATGACCATTTGTCTTAAAGAAGACCGCATTGCCGATGCTCTGATCATTGCCAACTGTGGTGGCAAGGAATTGCTCGAGAAAGCCCAATCAGCCTACCTATCAAGGAAAACCGAGGGTCCCAACTACCTGCGCCTCTTGACCTCCGTGATTGGGAAGAATCTTTGGGATGTGGTTTACAATGCCAATCTCTTTAACTGGAAGGAGGCAATGGCTACTTTGTGCACTTACGCCGACCCGAACGAGTTCCCGGACCTGTGTGAGGCTTTGGGAGACCGAGTTATGGAAACTGGTTCCCTCAAAGATGCATCTTTCTGCTACTTGGTGGGATCAAAGCTTGAGAAAGTCATCACAATCTGGATTACAGAGTTGCAAGCGGCTGAGAAAGCAGGAATCGAGGATCTTTCTGGAGACTCAACATTCTCGGTCCATGCTCGTTCACTACAGAACTTCATCGAGAAAGTCACAGTTTTCCGAGATGTTACCAAATTCCAGGATACCGAGAAAAGCTTAACCTCAGACTGGAAACTTGCTCCCCTGTACCACCGATACACGGAATACGCTGACATTGTTGCCGCTCACGGTCACTTGTCCATTGCCGAGAGATATCTTGATCTCCTGCCAACTCAGTATCCTGCTGCTGAGGTTGCAAGGAACCGAGTGAAGCTTGCCTCGAGAAGAGCGGCTCCAGCACCACAAGCCGCTCAACAACAATCAACAACGAGAACGTCTTCGCGCGCCCAGCCAGCCGTTGGGTACCAGTCTAATCCATTAGGAACATCAGTTGCCAACCCTAAACGACCAGCTTCCAACACTTATGCACCACCAGCAGCCTCTACACCTGCCACAAATCCTTACGCGCCTTCTGCCAATTCTTATGCTCCACAGCAACCACAAGGCTACCAGCCGCCACAGCAGCAAACCAGCTATGGTGCAGGGTATGGAGCAGGTTATGGTGCTCCTTCTGGAGCCTATGGGACACCTCCATCGTTCGGGGCACCCCCTCGGAACCCAACCCCATCTGCGCCGCCGCCGCCGCCGCCACGTGCAAAGGATGCTGGGCAATGGAACGATACTCCGATGGTGACCCAGCCCAAGATTGCCCGCAGAAGCACTCCTTCAGCGGCTCCCATCACGTCTCCTTTTCCCAATCAGCAAAATCTTTCCATGCCTCCGCCAATGCCTGCATATGGTCAAAGAGCAACACCAACACCACCTCCCCCGCCACCAAAGGGTCCCGCTCCACCTCGCATGACCTCACCACTGGCAGGCGGACCCCCGCACTCTTTCCAACAACCTGGTCGGCCATCTTCTTCAGCCGCAAACCAATACTCTCCTACTGTTAGATCCCCAGGGCAGACTTTCGGACAACCTGCACCGCCACCAACGATTCCTAGAGGCCAATCACCATATAATGCTCCGCCAGCAGGGCAACTACCTTCAAACAGATACGCTCCTGCACCAGCCGCGCAACAATATTCCCAATCACCCGGGCCACAATCGTCAATTGCACCACCTCCACAGGGCGGAAATCGACCTCCACCCCCCGCAAACCCATATGCGCCCTCCCAGTCTCCGTATGAAGCTAGTCAGCCTCCACCAGGCCCTTTCCAAAATCAAGGGCCTCCACCTGCTTCTCAAGGGCCACCCCAAGGACCACCTCAAGGATCTCGACCGCCCACCGGACCACCACCTAGAGCCGCGGCGGCTGCTCCCCCGAAAGCCAAGCATCCCGCGGGAGACAGATCTCACATCCCAGCATCTGCTCAGAGAATGGTAGACATTTTCAGCAATGATATGCAACGAGTTGCTTCCAAGGCCCCTGTTTCCTTTGCTCCGCAAGTGAAGGACACTCAGAAGCGACTAAATATTCTGTTTGACCATTTAAATAACGGAGAGCTTCTGAAGCCGGATACCATTGAGAGACTCAATGAGCTCGCAGAAGCTCTGCAATCCAAGAACTACGACGTTGCCCAGAGATTGCAAGTGGATATTCAACGTGAGAAGACAGATGAATGCGGGAATTGGATGGTGAGTGGATTGTTCCTACATTCATGTTCAAAACTAATTGTTGTCTAGGTCGGTGTAAAAAGACTAGTGAGCATGAGCAAAGCTACTCCTTAGACAGAGCGAGGACAGCACAAGAGATGATGGAAGGGATATTAGAGCGTGACATGAAATCGCAACGGAAAGCATATGTAAAAACAATGAAAGTCTTTGCAAGAAACGATGCTCTCCAGTGTCCCATCCTCTCTAGATGAATGATAATGTTGTCTAGTCTTCTGATCTTCCTGGTGGCTAAAACTGCATCTTTCGTACCAACAGTCAGACAAATTCTTCCGCAACTTCATCGTTCTTTGAAGCTACCAAAGTAAGCCTCCATTTCTCTTTACCTCATATTATGGCACTGTATCCGTCCAATGCTATGCTGATTACTTGTGATATCATCGGGGCAGGAGGAACGATAAGTGACCACAAATGCATCTACTCCTTGAACTTTCCAACCATATTTGCATATCTTCCATTACTGTCATTTCACCAACCCGATTGTCCAGACACCCCTATTTTAAGGTAGCTAAAATGTGAGCAAAGCGATTCGTAGGAAGGGATCGTTTGGGATTTGAGGGGGATTGGGGCTGGGCGTTGGGGGAGGGAATCGTTAGGATGCGCAATGAGTTTCATTTTGACAACTGTTCCAGACCACTGAGAACACTGCGGCTGTCACTTCATCTGTTACACATTGAGCTTGGTACAATTGAAGATTTGTGCTCTTAATGCGATTGATGTTTTTCAGACCTACTGACCGCTAGACCAGCCCCAGTTCACTCCATGCCACGCCCTTAACGCCACGCTTGCTGAGAAAAAAGATTTCGAAAGTGCTCCGTAGAACTGAATCATTTAGGTACTCGCTTTTCGCCTGCCCCTCAACTTGTCAGGCTGGGCTTTGGGTACACGGGGTATCTTGGCTTTGCCTTTTCCCTTCACGTGTGCCGACTGGGATTTTGGCCCTTTGGGAACCACTTTCTCAACCTCAACCTCATCCTCCTCAATTTCCTCCACTTCCTCCACTTCCTCTACATCCTCTTCCTTCTCCTCAGCTTTCTCATCATCGTCACTGCTCATAAACTCATCGTCATCATCGAATCCAAAGAAAGTCCTCGTTTTGGCTTTAGCTTCCGATTCCGAGGGCGGAGTTGTATCCTTCGAGCTCGTGCCAGCCATCGCCTCATCGTCACTTCCCGAGTTACCAGATCCCGAACCACTGCCGTGCGACGTTCCCAGGAGATTGTCCTTGTAATCGCCCGACTTCATAGCAGCCAGTACGGCTTCACGAGTTCTCTCGTTGGCCTCCTCCTTATCCTCAACCCATTTTCCATCGACCTTGCCCTTGTTGCCAGATCTGATCTCCTCTTCCCTCCGTTCGGCGAGTTCAACAACTTGTTCCCATCGCTTCCGTCTCTCCTCTTTTTCCTTCTTTGCCATCTCCGGTTTGATTGCCAAATACTCTGCTAATGCTTTTGCTTCATTTACTGTTCGCAACCGACGTCCGTCCAGGTTTCGGCTTGATCCGTTGTCTTCGCCTTGATTCCGCTTCCGTTTTGAGGACATGCGACCACCTGCTGCTCGTAGTTGGGAGCCGAATCCACCCTTACCACCACACATTGGTAGGGCGAGCCGAAGTGAGAGGAAGTCATCCTGAGGACTAGAGAGTAACTTGGAGATAGGATCAGATGATGTCCGTGGCAGCTGCTTGTTCGAGATGGTTGTGAGGATGAGGCGGCTGTTGTGTGCTGGGAGGCGTTCATAAATGCGATCTTGAAGTTGCGAGATTGGCGTATCGGCGGAGAGGGGGAGGGAAAGAGTGGAGGGGAGGTTCAATCCTGGGAAGGACGTCAAAAGAACGTTGACGGTTGGTGAAGCCATACTGGACTTTGCAAATACGTTTCGAATGTTGGTTGTGGTATGAGGTGTTGCGCAAATGGATCAAGGTAGTCAGGAAATCGACAGAAGGGTCAGCCAACGCTGAAACCACTCAATCGCCACTTATACCCCTGTCGGAACACCAAAAATTTATGAAATTTTCATAGTGCTGAGAAAATTCTCAAAACTTCTCAGAGCATAGAAAATGCCCCAAAGAGTCCGATTCCAACGTTAGTATTTCGAAATTATAATGCTGTCGTGGCCAAATTCAGGTTTGAGCGATTGAGTGGTGTGGGCGTTTGGCTGGCGAACCATTCTAATTTAGCGCCGCTGCGACATCTCGGTTCTGATGCGCTCCCACAGAGAATTCGTCAAAATTCAAAAGTTGATCGCGAACTTCCATCACGGCCAGTACAAATCAAAGTACCCACGACCAACCGCCAAGATGTAAGGAAACAATGTGCTGAGTGGGAGAGCCATTGCTAATCATCATCAGGCTTATTCCCAAGGCAGACCGAAAAAAGATTCACGAGTACCTCTTCCGTGAGGGTGTGCTCGTGGCAAAGAAGGACTACAACCTCCCAAAGCACAACGACATTGACACCAAGAACCTCTATGTCGTCAAGGCCTGCCAATCCCTCACTTCCCGCGGCTACGTCAAGACTCAATTCTCGTGGCAATACTACTACTACACTCTCACTCCAGAGGGTCTCGACTACCTCCGCGAATGGCTTCACCTTCCCGCTGAGATCGTCCCTGCTACGCACATCAAGCAGCAGCGATCCCACGCTCCGCCTCGCGGCATGATGGGTGGTGAGGGTGAGCGCGAGCGCAAGCCTTTCGGTGGACGTGGCGGCCGTGGTGGTGACAGAGATAGAGGTGATCGCGAGGGAGGTTACCGCAGACGTGATGCTGGCGGCGAGGGCAAGGAGGGTGCACCATCTGGAGAGTTTGCTCCTCAATTGTGAGTCTACTCTGATTTGCATATATGAACACAGCTAACATAATCAACAGCCGTGGTGGAGTCGGACGTGGTCGAGGAGCTCCTCCTCCTTCTTAGTTTGGCATTTTGTTCTGCTTGCTCGTGCATCCGACAGAAATACCTTACATGTTCTTGAATGGTTGGGCTGAACATTAGCGCGTTTGGTCGAGTGATAGCAATCGCCGGGGGTGCATAGGTCGAAGGTGGAAGTTGACACTTCAAAACTGTCAGATAGCATATCGAGCTTCTTCCATGAGTTTTCCAGGTCTTGCTGTGATAATCGGATTTCCATCCTAATACTCACACCCACACCTGAATCACCTGGTGGTCAAAGAGGATCACACGGCTATGAAGAGAATTCTATGTGCATACACTACTAACCTCTGATTGACCGAGATGTGGAGTTCTCTCCAAAATACCGCAAAATCCCAACCAAGCGTTGGTCGCTATATCTTCCGCTTTAAAAACAGCCACGGTCAACGAGTTCTCATGATGCAAACAAATTCTCCACGCGGGGTGTATGACAACCGAAGGGCAGACACCATCACCAAAAGGAAAGCTTAACAACCACGGCCAGAAATCCAGAATCTAGAACAGCAAGCCAGAGCAGGCAAGGAGTTTCCGATTCTCGCTTGGCTTTTCCCGCTGGCTCCATTGGACTCAACGAATCGCGGCGTTTGCAACATTGTTGGTGCAGATCGGTAACCTGGCGGGGTCCCTGCATGGGTGCAGGAAGGCCGATGTAGGATTCTTCCCCGGAAAGACTTCAAAAGAAATGCGGTGTGCGTTTGAAAATTCGGAACAGTGAACCAATTAGATTCAATTTGAACTGTGATCCAGCTGCAGGGGAGAAAAATTCAAAGTGTAAGGTGCTTTGCTTGGGGGTTGTGGTGCTCGTGGGGTTAGTGACACACCACTTACAGCGGGGTGATCGCCCAAAAGCAAAGCTGGACTAAGACCGAACGAGTCCAAGCTTGACTCCTTCCCACACTGTTAGCTAGCTCATTGAAACGAGGGGTCCTTCTTCCTTTCACAGAAAAGCTGTGCTGTTCTTCTTCAATCGTACCCCCAAAACTTCTAGACATTGAAACCACACCAACCTTACACACTTCACCACCAAGAAATCAAACAAAATGCCTGAGCTTCCCAAGGAAATGCAAGCGCTTAGGTACGTCTACCCCGCTTCCCCTCAGGCTCAGCAACTCTGTAGTACGAGAGGAAGAGAGAAGATGAAGTGCTGACCTTTGAGCACAGATACTCCAAGCCGGAGGTATTCAGCGTCGTCACAGTGCCTCTCCCAAAGCTTCGGGATAACGACGTTTTGATCAAAGTGAAGTATGTTCTGGACCCACAATCGTTATGTTCAATTTCTGACTCTCTTGTCTTTCAGGGCGTGTGGTGTGTGTGGGACTGATCTCCATATCCATGAAGGAGAGTTCATTGCGAAGGTACTCAGACGTTCATATACATGCCCCTCTGGCAAATCCTTCCCACTGTGATTACAAGCTCCAATTGGTTGCTTTCACGATGATCTCGATCACTTGATGGTTGCTTTTCACCCCTTAGTCTAAGCAAATGCTTGGAGCCTCACGCTAACATCCCTCTTTCTAGTTCCCCCTCATTCCTGGTATGTAGGATTTCTGATTCCTCGAGTTCAAGATATTGCCAATCTGCTCCTAAATGGCCAAACCCCACAAATTTTTCGAAAGAAGACCTACTTTGTGCCTGGCCAAATCCTCGTGAAATAAGTTTCAAGATGCATTTGAAATGGAGGCGAGGTTCAGAGCTGCCTAGATCCATTCGCAACTCGTGAAGCATGGTGTCAGGATCTTGAAATCCAATGAAGTTTGACAATCTTGGACCTTCTACAAGTGTTGGAATATTCTAGCCGGAGTTGGATATCAGTGGCAAAAGCTATACCCTCAACCATTCTCAAGTGATTGCGGCTCTAGGGCAAAGAATCACTCGATCCTTGGTTACTTGCACGCTTTCTTACAAATGCTGACATCCTCTAGGACATGAGACCGTTGGTGTCGTTGTACGTACTCCCTGTCCTTCAACTTTTCGGAGTAGAGTCTCTTCTAACTATGTATTTCAGGCCGCCATTGGACCGAAAGTCAAAGGCTTCACAGTTGGTGAGCGTGTCGTAGCAGAGTTCGTCACCTCTCAAATTCCTTCTTGTGCCACCACTGATATTCTCCCAGCAATTCCGAGCTTTGCGAGGAATGCTTCTACTGCCGACGTGGAGAGCTTTTGCTCTGCGAGAACTTCAATGCTCACGGTGTTACCATGGGTGAGTTTCCCCTTGGAATCACACAGAGCAGGATCCTAACATAGTACAGACGGCGGCTTTGCCGAGTACTGTGCATATCCTGCCGCTAAGGTCTTCAAGATTCACAATCTTTCGGATGTTGATGCCACCCTTGTACGTTGTTCTCTGTTTATCATCCAACGGGATGTGCTCTGACAAAAAGTAGCTCGAGCCTGCATCTTGTGCTGCACATGGACTTGACAAGATCTCTCCCAAGATGGGGTCATCCGTTCTGATGTTTGGAGCTGGACCAACTGGATTAGTGTGAGTCTCAATGAAGAATTCTATCGATGGCTTAACGCTGAAGCCAAATAGTCTTGCCCAGATGCTTCGACAAAATGGCGGCTGCAAGGTCGTTGTCGCTGCTCCCCAAGGGATCAAGATGGACCTGGCCAGAAAGCTCGGTGCTGGCGATGTGGGTTTCCAAAAGAGATATATATACGCACGACGGTCCTAACAACAACAGGAATACATTGAACTTTCCCGTTCAAACCCAGAAGTTCAATTCCAGAAGATCAAGGATGAAAACCCATACGGTTTCGAGTATGTATCCATGAGTATAAGATTGAATGAGCAAGGCTGACGAGTTTCCAGCATCGTCGTTGAAGCTACCGGCTCCCCCAAGATTCTCGAGGATGCTATCAACTACGTTCGCCGAGGCGGTAAATTGGTTGTCTATGGGTGAGTTATTCCGTACTCCAAATTGTTTCATCAGACGTGTCTAATTGGATGTAATACTAACTTGGAAATTCTCATAGTGTGTACTCCGCCGCTGCTCGTGTTTCTTGGCCACCCAGCAAGATCTTTGGTGATGAGATCACAATCCTTGGATCGTTCTCCGAGACCTACATGTTCCGTAAGTCTTGACTTTTCCTCCAATATTCAACGTCTTCTGGACAATGCTGACGTCTCTAAGCTGCTGCCATTGACTATCTCGACTCTGGCAAGGTCAAGGTCGAAGGGATCGTCAATAAGACCTTCAAGCTCGACCAGTGGGCTGAGTGCTTGGAGTCCATGAAGAACAAGAGCGCAATCAAGGCTGCCATTGTTTTCGACGACTAAGCTCCCATGATCATCAACTCAGTAGTTTCCTTGTTTCAGCATCAGAATCGAGCACATGCGAAGCTAGAGTATTTCTTACATTCATTGAAGTATGAACTTACGAAAAAATTGCCACTCTTATCACAATTGACGTCACGGTGATGTTCATAACTAAGGAGTTGGGTATCTCTGTCATTCAAAACTAAGCCTCCGCCTTTCTTCGCTTTTCTGCCTTCTTTGCCCCTTTCATTGACTTCCTTGGTCTGCCTTGTAGCTTCCCTTTGTTCGATTTGCTTGCAATATGCAACCAAGCATTTATCGGCCTTCTTGATGCGATGAATCTGCCTTCTGGACTGAATACTTCGACTGCAGGCCAGCTTGGATCAATTTCCTCGAACTCATCCATCGGTTCTGAATCCCACTCTTCACTTTCATCTTGTCTTCTGTCTCGTCTCCACTCAACACGAGTCATCTCACAGGCCTTCTTACGCACTTGAGCTACCAATTCCACCCACCCGCACCCCTCGATCAAGATATCTGTCGCCAGGACGCGATATGGCAGTCTCTCAGGTTTGATATTGACCGCTTCTCGGGCAGTGATGGGACCAGTACGTTCTCGAGTGACGTCCCACTTCAGATGAAAGGTCCCTGCGGAAGTGATCTTCTCGGCCGTCTCTGGCAGAGAAATATTCTCCACGTTCGATTCTCGGGTGTGCATTTGAGTGCCAATGGCCTTCTCGGTGGCTGTAAGATGAGAATGGATTGGTGTAAAGGCATATGCCATTATCATGACATCCGGAGTTGTTGGAGTGATCCGGATGAAACCGCCTAGTATAATGGATTGGCCTGGCTTGATGACTTGCTGGGTAGGGATGATTCGTGTTTTCATTACAAGATTGGGCCGGAATTGTGGTTGGACGTAGCGTTCTAGATCACCTCGGGAAAGTCCGGGAAGATCTATAAGCTCTCCTCTTCCGTTGCCGAAGGAGAGGCGGATTGGTGATGCGGTTGTGCCTGGTAGAGAGGATACAAGTGGCATTGCGGGGTAGTCTGTCTCTGGAGGAGCGGGAGGCAGAAGTGATGAGGTATCAAGAGTGTCTGGTAGCTTGTGGTCTCCCCCGGTTGTCTCAGAGGTTGCTAATGCTTCTGTTTCAGCAAATTCTTCGCCCACTCCAGAGCCTGCCGACGCCTCTACTTCAATCGAGTCCTCAGTGGTTTCTACTTGCTCTGTTTCGTTCGACGTAACGTCAACCGGACTCCAGCTAGTGTTTTGTTGCTCGCCCTCGCCTCTGTTCTCCCAGTTCATGGTAATCGGCGTCGAACTCTTTTTGCTGAGCAACTTGACCTTCTCACTCCTCCCTTTAGGGAATATATCGTGGAAAAGCCGGCTCTTACCAACATTGACTTTGCCAACCATCCATCCACCACCCCCTCTTTGCCAAATCTCCTCCTTCAGCTCCTTGGTCCACCAAGCCTGCCTCGCACTCACACATCTAATGTTTCCTAGACGCACATCTTTGCCTGACCTCCCTAGAGCATCTCGCAGAACTGATCGAAGGTACGGCATCATCGAGTCAACTTGTGTCTTCATTGGTGCTAGTAAATCGGATCTCGTGATGACGAAACTGACTTCGGTTTTCTTCCCATGATAAAATCTCCCCGTCTTTGAGCGCCGGTTGAGTGATCTTTGGGGCGTGAGATGGAGAAGCTTGTGCAGTCCTGGAACCAAGGACATGGGAAAATCCGCGGCATCGATAACATGGTATACATGGTTGTATTTATACGGTGATTCGAAAATGGTATCTCGTATAGACTGTATGGAAGGATGGTGTATATATGCGCCGATTTCATGATGTTTTAGGTTGTGGCATCGATCACATACTGGTGGGGCTGTATCTTTAACTTTCCAGAAGTCAGTAAGAGCTTCTGGTGGAAAAGAGGTTTGCTTACTAGGTATAGAGAAGCCTCCCACGCTCATGCCAGGTTCGACTGATGCTACATTTTCAAGAGCTGCCTTAATTATCTCATCCTCTGCGAATCTTCTCGAAGAGGATCCTCCTTCCAGATATTTCCTTATCGATCTCCTAGTAGGAGTATAAAAACCCGGCGCGACCTGGTCGGCCGTTTGCGAAAGAGCACCACACCCTGGGCATTGTTGAGGTAATTTTTCCAGCAGTGGTGCCAGGATCTTGGGTGAGTCTGTCGTAGGAATCGAAGTAACAGAGGTTATATGCCTCTGCTGTGAGACTTGAAATCGATGTGGTTGACGTTCCTGGGTCCGCAACGTTGGCAGAGATGGAAATCGGACGATTCCAGGACATAGAAACACTGGCAGGTCGGCCACCGGGATCTCAACCTGCCTCAATACTCTTCCAGCAAGTCTCAATCTTCCAGACATTATTCTCATCAAGGGAGGACATCCTTAGAGCTGTCGCAAGATCACCACAGACCTCCTTCAACTTTTTTGACAGGGGTCAGCTTAGCGCGGAAGCTTAAAATAATTGTGCATCTCAAGACGGCGGCCACAACTGGTGGAACGATGTTTCCTACATCCCCAAGATCACATTCAAGATGGTGGCCGTAGTAAGGCGTATGCGAAAGCTGAGAGCAGTAAGAACCCCCATTGTCTGACTCGGAACCCAATTCATCTGCTAACAGTTGTTCCACAGAAGGTAGAACACTCCCACCAGACCGTAACACAACGAGAACTCAATTGACCCATCCCACAGTTGCTCGCCATAAGATTAGGACCCGGGGCGGCAATATTGCCACCAGAGGTAACGAGGATCCATATGGACTTTGCAGTCGACATCCATGACGGACACCATGGACCAAGGTACATGCTCTGCTCTCTCTCCGCAAGACCAACACTGAACCTCTCTCCAGGAAGTTTTGGAGGAACTGCCTACCACGATTAAAATACCACAATCCCGCGGTTCCCATGACAGTAAACCGAACAATCAACCAGACTGGGCCCGCCCTCATGACCGTAGACTTCACCTCCCCCAAGGCCGCCGCGACCATCAAACCCGAAATCTCCTCAACGACCGATAAGCAAACATCTACAGGGCCTGTACCAGAGTCCAAAGCTGGCCCGCCCACAGAAAGAACAGAAGTGATCAATATGAAGCATAGACATGACTCTGAGATTTTAGAGCAGTTGCTGAGGCTTACGAAGGCGAAGGTGGTGAGACCCACCGCGGAGGAGCAAAGGGAGATTCAGGAGATGGAGGAGCAGAACGCGAAGAGCGAAAGAGATGCAAATATGATGGCCAAGGTTAATGCAAAAAGGAAGAGGGAAGAAGAGATCCTCGAGCAGGCCAGGGGTGAGGTAGAAGCTATACAGGAATGATAGGTATTCGTGCTTCTGAAAGGAACGTGTGCATGGGAAGGCGTTGAGCTGTAAATGGAACAACATCAGGAAACAAACCTGTACATCAAATGTGTATCCGGTCGAGAGCGCCTATGGGCGGATTTATGAGGAGTACATAGGGGTCAAAGGAGTTATCATAGACTCTTCTGTAACATTACCCTACCGATACTACTACTACTACTACTCCTACTGCCTTGACCCGAATGGAGGTCTAGAACGCCTACGCTTCCAAAATGCATTTATGAACACCGTCCCAGGTCACCGAATGCCGGTCATCCCAATTTCCTTCCCAACCATAGAAAACGCCGCAAGAACTCCCGTCATTTCAATCCAAACCCTTCACTCTCATTCACAGCTCTCCAAAGCCTATCTTCAAGCCTCGCCCTCGAACTATACCTCCACAATGCCAACACGTTAAAGCATGTCCTTGCTGATGGGAATCTCAAGCTATCCTCGCCTAAACAAGAAATTTTGATAACCAGATTCGTAGCACCCATAGCTGGGATACGATCACTGCCAGTAATGAAGCTGAGCAACTTCCTCTGGTCTTTGGGGTTTGCAGTCTGAAAGGACTCCCAAAACCACTGTACCACAGGCTCGGTCTCGGGATTGGGGACCTTCCAATTTTCGTAAGTGGAGACTGCGCGCAGAGAGGCAATGTCAAGTGGTTCGTCTGAGCCTCTGATGAGGAGTTCAATCTCCTCTGGTCTGAACAGGGAGAGAGCATTTCCTCCGCAGACCGTGAAAAAGCCTCGTTTGAAGGGCTCGAATTGACGTGTTACTGCTGTATCCAATAAATAACGAACGTACAAATCAACGAACTCGCGCCTATTAGCGTTTGTCACTGGTCGCTTCTCCCCTTCTACACAGAGTGGGATTTGGGTCGTTTGGCCATATCGCTCGATGTCTGCCACAAAGTCCCGACAAAAGGTGGATTCTACGTCACCATCATAATCGAGAAGTTGTCGTAGTCCATTAGCTAGTACTGGCCGATACTCGGCGAGGTCTTCCAACGAGTAGGTCATAGACGGTTTGGCGTGGGATGCTGCCCCAGGCGCCGCCGGAGGACCAGCAGCAAGTAGCTTTCGAAATGCAAAAGGCGGAAGAGCAACGTCAAGAATTGTTGAGTTGTATATGGCTAGACCAAGAACAACACCAACCAGGAAGAATTGATCAGTTGTTTCGAAACTATTGGGGTTGAAGTAGCAAAAATGCGAGTCGTCATCATAAGTAAACATGCCTGTCAGTTGTTAGTCTTCATGGAGTTGCATGGATGGGCATTATACCATGTTCTGGGTTGAAGACATCTCTGACAAGTAGGAGAAACCATTCTTTCCTCAGGCCGCCAGCGTCTATTCCTTCTTCTCCCTTGAACTCAATCCGCAAGCCTTTCTTGATCTCTTCTCCTCCAGTACCCACGACTTCGCTGACCCCTTTAAGGCTGTCCTCCACAAGACACTCTCGACGTATTTTCAAGACCAAATATTGATTCACGGTTTTCCGAGTCATGATGCTATCGAAGAACGCCTCTCTTGCTTTGACTTCCATCTGTCGGCGAGCGTCGTGCTCCATGATCTGAATCTTGGCCCATATGCTGAGGAAGAATGGATACTGACAAAAGGAGAATTTACCTCTCTTTGACTCCCACGCTTCAAAATCGGCAATGAGGTCAGTGTAATCGAGTAGCATGTTGTAGAAATCGCTTGTTGGCACAATCTGTCCATGGTTGTGTGCTCTATCACGAGCAATCAAACCTGCACTATGTCCACCTTCCAGTAAAGCTAGCGGACGTATCTCTCCCCGTCTTGTAAACCCGCTATTATTTGCAGAGAAAAATAGGGCCATGACTCTGGCTGCAGCTTTGATTTGCCAATCGTCGTTGTAGATGACAGACTTCGGCTTTCCCTCGCTCCTCTTAGACGGTTGACTGGAAACACCGAGGGCAGCATGCAAAGCCGCTGAGCTGTTCCGACCAGGTCCGCTCATACTTGGTATTAATCCAGCTGTGGGGTCCTGATCTATCTCCCGCTTTTTGCCGTGTTGTCTTGTGAGCCTGTAAGTAACAAAACTTCCAATCAAATCTATAGCTCTCTGGAATTGCACGTCCGAGTATCTCGTAAACCAGGAGACTAGATGATGATGGCATTCGTTGGAGACATTTGATAAAAGACCCAAAATTCTCTTGATTATTCCCGAGTGTTGGCCTGAGCTGCCTTTCCCTGCATTCGTTGTTCCTCTTGTGGAGGGCTGCATACCCCATTTAGCAGCTTCGGGCTTATTGAGAATGAACGGAGTAATCCGATCTCGCGACCTGGATCTGGATCTGGATCTACTTCGCTCCTTTGTCCATGATGTCGGCTGCACAGGGTAGAGCAGAGGATTCGCAAGAATGATAAGCAAAAATCGAAGATCATTCGGTTCATTCAAAAGACGCCCAGGGCGCTTAAGAAGGCTCTCCGTTGCTTTCAACAAGACGCGCTGAGCGTGGGACTGCGCTTCCAAAACTTGGTCTTCGATTTCTTCCAGTTCTTCGCCGGATGGTCTTTGAAACTCAGACTGCGTGAGATCCTCTAATCGTTTTTGCCAATATCTTCCTCCGTCAAGGGCAATGTTATACCACTCAGTCAATTCAGACCAGTCAATTCGAGGAGACTTCAGGGTGACCAATTCATGGCTATTTGCGGCACGCTGTGTTCGAGCACGTTCGGGGCTTCGTATTTCCGACCGTTCTCCCGTCCACCAGGAACCGTTCTCGGCGAAATCTCCAAGAAGGAGGGTCTTGGCATCCATTTCTGACAGTTGGGTTTCGTTTCGAGGGTATCTTTCACTCTGTGGAGGAGCTATACGTTGTTTGGTTCCCTCACTTGCTGCTCTTGGTGCCATATGTGGCCGTACAGTACTGAACGAACTGTTCACACACTCGAAAGACCCGAATGATGCGATTACATAATCTTCCAATGGCTTAAACAGATGTTTGGAGGCATTTGCATGTTTCCGTGGCACATGTTCATCCTTTGTCCTCTCTGCGGAGTTCCCATCTTCGAATCGATTCGCGACTCCATCAGTGGAACGGTTTCGACCAAGGCCTCGATCTCGTTGTTCCATGTGGGCCTCGAAAACACCCCCAGGCGATGATCTTGAGTAGGGACCAGGGATACTCTGGCTGAAGGCGGGCTGGACAGTTTCTCTGAAATCAGCGTATTCTTCCATTTGACGAACAGGTCTACTAGGCGGATGTATTGGAGGGGTTTGTCCTGGAAATTGCTGAGCACGAGGTTCTTGAGTAATTGGGATGTTAAGGCCCCTGCTGTCCTGGCGATTTTCTCGATCTGGTGACCGAGGCGGAGAAGGAACAGGACTTGAGGTTGATTCTTCATCATCTCTCAAGCGTTCACGAAGATACGTAGTAATACATTGATCAATGATTTGCCTGGTCTTCTCTAGAGACAGTGGAGAAACTGCTTCAGATGAGCATAAATCCAGCATGGATTTTGGTAAGAACATACCGTTAGGAGGAATATGCTGGCCAGAATGTATCCCGACTTTCGCTGCAACAGGCGCTCTGTGACCATCTCCACATCTCGCCTCCAACATAACGGGCTTGAGGTCGTTGATCGTCAAGCAGACCGTACACCTGAAAACCTTCAATTCTTTTGGCCAACGGACCATAGAATCACAGGTCATGCATTTTCCAGTCATCAGGTCCTTGTCCGGAACTTTTTGCTTTCCAGCTGGGTGCTGTGCGACATTTCGTCGAGCCTGAGGGGAGGTTGCATCATCATCTGTAGACTCGAACCCAGCCGCAGGTATCTCGCCATGTTTCTTCTTCTTGGCCGAAAATAGTGAAGGGAAAGGATGGCTCATTGAGCGCCCATGACTCGCTGTTCGCGTAGGTTTCGAGGATCTCGAGGCACCATGGTTGCTGTGCGGTGGAGGAGGCAGACTCGGGATTCCGTATGCATTCTCCAATATATCTGTCTCGGTGACTCTCGACCTTGATCGTGCTGGAGATGCAGCATTTACATCAACGAGGTTCGGGCCTGGCTCATTGCGTGAGCTCGGTGAAAGCAATCGGCTTGACCAAGGAGGCATTGCACAGCTCTCGATCATGTACGGCTCGAGGCGAGTGGGACATGTGGTGTAACCGTCTCATTGAATTTGTCAGCAGAGAATTCGTGCCCTCATTGAACAATATCCAGGAGTGTCCCTCGTCCGCGACGGTTGCTTGGCTTAGAAAGTCGAGTGCTGTCGAAGGCTCCTTCCTGTTCAGCCCCACATTAGCTGAGGCTTGCCCAGACCTGTGGTAGATCTTAATTACCTTGGTCCATAATCTATTCCAGCTGTCTGCGTAAAGGGGGGGCTTAACAGCAGACAATTTTCTACCAGATCTTGCGAAATATATTTTGGTTGGCGCATAATGCAACCCGACGAAGTTCCCCCAGTTTCATCAAGCGGCTAGTCAAGAGGGGTGGTGATATTGATGCCTCAATACGAGGTGCCAAGGAATTTGTTATCAGAGTGAGAGGATAGACTTTAATTACCCTTGCAACTGAGTCTAATTAATCACGGGGTCACATTGAGAGATTCCTTCACAGCTTCTTAATGCTTTTCCATTCATAAACGTGTGATATCAGCAAACCCCTTGTCATGTATTTGCGAAGCAGTGACCAGAGCCATAAACCGCACCACCTCTGGAAAGCGAAGTAGCACACACCACGCAAAGCTCCCACTAAGACATCTATCTGTATCTTTGGAGGTTGAGAGTGTTGTGTCTCTTCCAGGTCTTTCTTCGGCCAGCAGTTGTCTTGTTATATCCGTGACCTTTGCCCAAACCACGAGACTTCTTGCCAGTTGCGGTGAGACCTCGAGATTCGCGGTGCTTGTGGACGGGGTTGACGATCCAGCTAATGCGAGGATCGCGGCGGATGGCCTTGTGTTGAGGGTCGACGAGAATGACCTCGAAGTACTTGTAGGTGGAGTCCTGGTTAATCCAGTACGAGTTGAGAACACGCAAGTTGGCGCAACGACGTCCGACACGCTCCTCAGCAGTCGACTTGAGGGATCGTTGGTACTTGAGCTGGTTCACACCTTGGTTGGTAGGCTTGCCTGTAGAGAACCCATCAGCGAAAGTGGTAATCGTCATGTCGAGACTGTATTCATACCGTATGTAGCACCCTTTGGTACCGGCCGCTTGCGACCTCCACGACGGACACGGACACGGTAGATGACATAGCCTTGCTTGGCCTTGTAACCCAGACGGCGTGCCTTATCTGGACGAGATGGGCGGGAGGCGCGATGGACGACGTTTAATTGTCGGAGCTATATTATGCACTCTCAGCTAATGTTCAACGAGTGTATAGCAAGGACATCTAAAAGATGACCACATTTCACGTCCGCAATATTCCAATGTGTCCATGGACGAGATTCGAAGTATTGGTTCGGTTTCGAGGTTGAAAAAGGGTCGGTTTATCTTACCTCCCAGCATCGGACACGGAGAAGGAAGCGCAGGACATCGGACTGCTTCTTCTTATGAAGCTCCTCAACGTATTTTAAAGCTCCCTGAAGTCATAGAAGAGTCAGCATTCCTCTTCAAGAAGGTGAAGTCGAGGTTCTGAAGACAGAGGGGGCTGAAAAAGAGGGAACTGGTTCCAGAGCAATAAGAGCCCTTCAGCGGTCGCAGACTCTGTCGTATGAGAATCAGTCTATGGGATTCAATTGACTGACCATGGTTGAGGTGACGGGCGCTGGCGATTTGGCGTCGTTGTCGGTTGATGGAAGTTCGAGAGTTCGCGATATTTTCAGAAAATTACGGTGGTGTGCGATGTGTTAGCGCGAAAGATAAGCGAAAATGCCTGAGCTGTCAGGCGTGGAGATTGCCCCCTGATCTCGACTTCAACACCTCGAAATGTCCTTTGCGAAAAGTGGCTTTCGCTGAATTTATCCTGTTTCTCAACATTCAAGCATATCTGGGCTCTTCACGGCTTGCAAGTACCGTGGAAGTCAGCATTTCTGACACTAATATCCCCCTCTCGCTCAGATGAATGAAATTATGAGTCGACACACTATTTGCTAGTTCGAAAAGTTGTATGTATTCTTGTTCTTATGGTGCAGCGACGATCTCACGAGATCCTGATCACCCAAACCCAGCCAAACCGAAGCCTCTTCAAATTCTCCACGTGGATCTTGAACATTGAAGCCCAATGTCTCCTAAATGTTTCACAAGTTCGGTTCCTCTCTACCCTACCGGGCTCTGGCTCGCCCATTGCACCAAAAAAAACTTAAAGCTAAGTTGAGAGACGTTAATATCCCGAAAGTTTGGGACAACTTATTTTATTCCTGTACTTGGTGTCTAAATCTCATCAGGTATTCGGACTTTAGTTCAACCCCCACCCCCCTCCCCGTGCAGCGCCATATTCTTGACCCTAGTTGATGACCACTTCAGCTCATGAAATATTATAGCAATCGGGACTTCAATCAATATTGCCTCGGGTTCATCTCGTACTTCAGAAAAAGACTTCTTCGACCTCAATGGACCCTGGCTAGTCGCTCAGGTCGCATCATGTCAGCATCTCTACCTGAGTTAAAGAACCATTCAGGAGAATTGCAACATCAGACGAAATGCAAGATATGCGATGATTTGCAGAAAGTTGGCCAGACGCTTTCGTTAACGTTGTCTCAAGTATCCGGAGCAGCAACAGGAGGCTGCCAAACATGCTCCATCCTCAAGGAAAGTTGCACTTATGCTAGGGATGTATTACACGAACTGGATGCAGAACAGGATGCTCAAGTCAGCCTCCAAATTCCAGTCGTTGATGACGGCTTTCCAATGATTGTTGGAATCTCGGACATTGATGGTGGTTACTCGTTCAACGAGGTGTACACAGTCTCTGGTTGTACGAAAGCACCCTGGCTGCTCATTGGAGAAGGTTCAGAGAGAACGATAACCACCGAAGAAACCATCCAAGTTCTCAGAGGCTGGATAGACACCTGTCTTACTTCTCATCCTGCGTGTGCGAGACAACAGAAAAACTTGCCCACGCGAGTTTTGGACGTGTCCAGCCACAATCCTTCATTACGTGCCTCTCATGGAGATAGAGAGCCATACGCAGCGCTGAGTCACTGTTGGGGAAAGTCGCCCCTGATACAAACGCATCGAGATACTCTCCGAGATCGATTTGACGCAATACCTTGGAACAATCTTTCAAAGACATTTCAGGACGCTGTAACGACTACCCGGGAGTTGGGACTTCGATATCTCTGGATCGACTCACTTTGCATCGTCCAGGATGATCCGGAAGACTGGGCAAGAGAGTCTGGAAAAATGGCTTCAATCTACGAAGGTGCTCAGGTGGTGTTGGCTGCGAGTGATGCAAAGGATGGGCACGATGGATTTCTGAGACCTCGTTCTGGTTCAGCTTCACCAAAATCAATATTTCAGGGCATCAAATCCAACGGCAACTCATACTCAATTCGAATACGCAAGGGAGATTACCATAAATGGTATGGCGATGCATTGCCTCCCCGTAGCCAGAGTTCTCCAGACTCCTCTCCGCTATCTACCCGAGGATGGGCATTTCAAGAAAGGCTTCTTGCCACCCGTTATGTGCAATTTCGATCGGAAGAATTGATCTGGGAGTGTAGATCTGCTCTGTGGTGTGAGTGCGGAGCGTTGACCCGTCCATCTCAACAGCGCGAGCCTCTGTCCAAGAAAGCCTTCTACGACACTCTGGGGTCTTCTACTCATTCAGAGCTATTCTCTTTGTGGAGTAAGATTGTAAATGCCTATGCTATTAAGGCATTGACGAACGGAGGGGATGTCCTTCCAGCATTATCGGGTCTGGCCAAGCAGTTCCAGAAATCAAATGCTGGAACATACATAGCAGGGCTATGGGAAGCTGACTTTCCTCTTTGTCTTCTATGGGAAGCGCGCGCAGCAAAAGCGTCGCCGTATCGAGCCCCATCTTGGTCTTGGGCATCCATGGACACTTCTATTCCCGGGGGTTCTCTACTCACGGAGTCTACATTTGACAGCAAAACAAGTACCCCTACAACAGTTTTAGCAACCGTCGAATCAGTTTCATGTACATGGGATTCTTCTGACCCTACGGGACGCATCTCCGCTGGCTACCTTATTATTACAGGGAAAACCCTTGACATCATTGCTACAGAACCTGTGGACAACCATGAAGACACGTCTATGCAAGGATGGTTTGATTGGGACGCTAGACTTGCACGTCAACCGAGACCATATGGCTCCAAATGGATCCCTCGACGTGGGATCGAAATTTTCACTTTCAGATTCCATGCCGATACTCCTCTCTCCAACCCAAGAGAGTTGACATGCCTCCTCATCGGCGAAATTCCCACTAGTCAAGCACCCCGTGCTCTCGTTCTCCGTAAACTGAGTTTGGGTGGCGGCCAGGTGGTGTATGAACGCGTCGGCTTGATCGATCGAGTGATATTCGGATCAAGCGTGAGGAGTTATAACTGGATGTACCTTTTCGAGTATGCTCCAACAGACACGATCACGATCGTGTGATGGATGAAACTCATTGTGTTTGCGAGCTTTAGGCGGAAAATAGAGGCATTGCTCTGTGTAGTCTAGAACAGCATGTTTGATTGCCCTCTGTAGCAATCTGTTCCCCCCAGATCCCCGCAATGTAATGTTATCATAAAAAAAATAGCAATGCCCGATGCAAGCCACCATGTTTTTGTATAGGAATATCCCGAGCTTCACGCCATAATCGCCTTCGCAAAATTCTTGTCAATCTTCTTGAAAGCCTTCTCCTGCTTCCTAGCCATCCTGCCCCATCCAACACCGGGAATCTCCTGCTTATAAATCGCCTCAGCATAGACAGCCATATTCCCATCAATCTCCGGATCTCCTCCCTGAACCAAGGCATCGTATTTCTGCAAGCCAGCAATATGGCCAGCTTCAATGACTTCCTCTGCAGTGCGGATTTCCTCTCCCCAGTCATTGGTCATCAAATCTGCCAGCTCGATCTTGACTGTCTTCTCGTTGGCTTTCTCGAATTGCTCGATGAGGGCGAAAGCGTTGGCAGTGATCTGCTTGCTCCGCTCGTAAAGGACAGCAAACGAGACTTCAGAAGCAGAAACTCTTCCTCTGGAGGTATCGATTTGTGGTGCAGTGGGACGAGAAGACGCGTAAGAATTGGTGAAAGCTTCAAGGAAGTCATTGTCGAGTTTGGCACTGTTCGTGTAAGCTTCCGAACCGGGATAGGTTCAGTGGACCTACGACGCGGCGTTGAGACTATCACGACGTTTCTTGAGAGCTTGATCCGCGTTGCTGATACCATTCGTAAACTTGTCCATGTACTCATTAGCTGACTTGGCCGCCTTGCGCTTCTTCTTGCTTTCGAATTCGACAAGTGCTAAGAATTGCCTGAAGGTTGACATCATCAACAACCAACTTTTTAAATCACGGTAAGATCACAGGGTGGCTACTGACTGGCTTTCCAGGCGTCCTTCATCTTCCTCGTACTCATCGGCTTTAGTCACGCGCTTGACAGGTTCGGACTTTCGCGATTTTGGTGCTAATTTCTTGACGTATTCCGGCGCGACATGGTCCTCGTCGACGAAGAGCTGATCGCTAGAGTCACACTCTCCCTGACTTAAGTCGGAGTCCTGTCTCTGAGTGGCAGAGGTCTTGCGCTGCTTTCTTTTGCCAGTTGGCAGGGCGCCTGGTAATTGTCAGCCTTGTATACTCGCGAGCGCTCTGCGAAGGGAAATATGGAGGTGAAGAAGAAAGTGACGGTTGAGGACCTACTTTCGGACTTGCGCTTGGTTGCAGTTCTCGCCATGGCGGTTCAGTGCGCTTCGATGTTGCTGAAGTAACTGTTGAATCGAAAAGGATATGTTATCTAAGAACAAGGTGTCGCTCTCACTAACCGAACGCCGACTTTCTCACCCTATTCAACCCGGAACTCCTAAGGCAAGGCCGACTTCGAATACGCCAGTTGTATCACTAATGATGGAAATTGACTTTGTACTACTGCATGCCAAAGCTTGGCCATTACCAGTCAAGTCACAAAAAAAGTGCAGTGCAGGAGAAGTTTGATGTAGTGAGTATCTCATTTCTGCTACTGCTTGGTACCGCCCCCTTTACAAAGCTTCAAGATGCGGAAAAACCCATTTTGAGAGAGGTATCGATCGGAATTCCATCGTCCTTTCAAATTACCCAATTCTCCTATTTTTAAAGATCCAGCCGGGACACCTTCCGAATTTGTTTCAAATCTGTCTAAGCTCGCTGTCTCCCATATTGTGCCATTTTTCATGAGGTTCGTAAATGAATGTAATAAACGCCCTTGTCTTGATGCGCTAAGAGTCCTCCTGCAGAAACAAAGGAGATAAAATCAAATTGCGAAAGGAAATTGAGGGGGCCGCCCAGAGTGTTCTACCAGGCTATGAGCATTTCAGTCTGTCTGAGATGCTGAATGAACTTGAGATCGTCCGTCTGTTACATAAATAGCGTGAGCCATCTTCTTTAGTAGCAACTCGGCCGCCTCGAGTCAGTGAAGATCTGGGAGACCATCCGGAAGTGTTCTGCAGATCAGATGATATAGTGGCAGCGAACGCTCCGAAAATTGGTATGTAAATAGAATATGCAAATCGAAGAATAACAAAGAAGCGAATGTATGATGGCCCAGAACCGATGGTTCTAGATGCGAAGTCGATAAAAGCCGGGTATAGAAATCCAGATCCGAGCAGAACGTAGCTCGAGCCGAGATCATTCTATCTGATTATCTGGCGGCGATATCTCTTGGTGGTCTACGTCGTAGCTCTGAATGTTGTTGGATAAATACCGTGTCTCAATGGCGCGTCAGAGGCCGAGCGAGCGAGGAACATAATACACCGCGAATCGCACGAAATATCCAAAGACGGACGAAAGTCTGCCCTAAGAATTTGTGTGAGCTCGGGTCGATAGAGGTATTAGATAGTGGATTAGCGGGTGTTCATGGATAGGCCTTGAAAACTACTAATCCAGGTTTCGTTTGTCTGAAGACCATTGGAATTTCTGCCGAAGTCGTTGGTATCGTGGGTCGGCGTAGTTCCATGAGGGGATGGGAAACGAGCAGGAAGACCTTGGTACTCCGAGGGTGCTGGGAATCCACCGAACGGGTCCATGGGAACGAAGCCGCTGGGAGAGACTGTAACATTTCGGGGGGCAGCGGCGAACGGTGAGTACCCATATGTATAACCTGTAGGTTGAAAAGCGGTCGGGGGCATTGCAGCTCTATCTAGGGAAGACGTAAAGGGCTGGGCAAAAGCGCCTTGATAGCCGCGTCCTGCCTGAGGAAGGCCGTACGAGGACTGCTCGGCTGGTTGTGGGCGTCTCTCGTTTTGAGCTGTACGGCTTACACCAACAGCACCTGGTCCGATGCCACTTGGGGCTTGGAGACCAAGGGATGGACTGGCAAAGGAGGCGGGGTTTATAGCAGACATCCAAATCCTAGTCTTGTACACCTTAAAGAGGTCCGTAACAAGAGAGTTGAAGTTGATATAAGCATCAGCGAAGTAGTAGAACGTAAGCTTCTTCCAGTCCCTTGCAAAACTATTAGTATATTGTACGGCTCGCACATCGGATAGGACTTACATCTGAAACTCAGCGTCGAGAATCTCCATGTGAAGACCGTGCTCCTTGACTTTTTGCATACAGACTCTCTTTGCCTTTGCCTCATTCCCCTCCTTGTCTCGAAGCGCTTGAATTTCGTGGTTCTGGGCCAAACGCTTAATGATCTTTGGTTTAATCTCACCAGGATTAGGCTCTTGCATGCCGTGCTGGCTTGGGGGTCCCATTCCACCAACAGCACTTCCTTGGAGACCATTCGATGCCGCCATTAAGCCAGCGCCGGTGCCATCGGAATTGCCTGCTGCGCCTTGGGAGTACATCATAAGCCATTTGTAGTGCTCCTCGGCATAATGTTCCTTTAACTCCTTGGCTGATGCCCAGTCGACATTGTCTCGAGCGACAGTGCCCAAATCCGTTCCACGATCTGCCTCGACAATAACAAGATCTCCTGGCTTGACCGAGAGACCTGTTCCTTCTTGAACGTAGAAAACGTCTGCTCTCGAGCATTTGAAGAGGACAATATACAAGAGCTGGTTGTGGCGAGGTTGTGCAAGGCCACCACTGTACATACTACGATGAGGAGATGTAGCCCGTCCCCCACCATATTGCGCAGCGTATGGGTAGGCGGATGGTTGGAAGATTGTGGTGCCGTATGCGTCGACGTTTCGAGGAAGGGTAGCAATACCGCCGAAATAATTTGCCGCTATTAGTGGTCCATGTGAATAAGCTACTCTTCAAATCTGGCTCAATGATACCTTAAGGGAAGAAACCAACTTCTGTTTCTGAAACGAATATCGACGAATATTATTAAATTTGGTATACTCACCATGTTCATTGACACTATAGCCAGTCGTGTCTTGATATCTATTCTGATAATCCTTTGGAGACATACTCTCTTGCAAGCTGCTCTCGTGAGGTAATAAGACATCACCAGTAGAGCTCACTGAACCTTGCCGGGCCGGGACATCAGCGAAAGAATGGCGTCGACTCTGAGGGATATCGGCCAGTCCACCAAAACCAAGGGAGCTCTGCCAATAGGCCTTCTTCACGTTTTCGAGCTTGCGATTCTCAAGAGAATTGTAGGAGGGAGGACGCTGTTGACCAGCCACACTATACTCGCTCATTCTACGAGCCAACAGACCCTTCGAAGTAATCTCTTGCAGTTCATTGATCTCGTCGAGCTCATCAATGGCGTAATCTGACTCTTCAGGCAGCGGTTCTTGCATAGAATATGCCCCACCTAAGCCATAAGCATTACTCGTGGAGGACCGAGGTCGAATGCGCGAGTTTTGATATTGTTGTTGTTGTCGCAGAATTGCGTTTTCGCGGGCGAGGATTTCGATCGTCTTGGCTTCATTTGATTGAAGAGCCACACCGTGGTTAGAGCCATTCGTGCTTTCATCGTCATCGTCGTCAACTTCCTTTAGCTTACTAAGGCCACCTTCATTTGACATTTCGCTTAGCATGCTTGGTCTTGATGGACGATGTTGAAGGCCAGAGTGTTGTAGTGGTCGCCCTCGTCCAGAGAAACCGGGACCACTAGCAGCAGAGACCGCAGAGGCAGGTGAATCGGGATCCAGTTGTCCAACCGAGTATGATTGAGACCGGTACGTCTTTGGTGTAGGATGGAGAGGAATAGCAAAAGGAATTGTAGGGTTCGGGGGCGGATCTCTGGGAGGGTTTACGTCGCCGAAATACCCATTACCAGAGCCCGAGGGATGAATTGAAGTTGGTGAAGGGAGGACCTCTGTGAGTCTTGAAGGAGGCTCCTTCCGAGCGTCATTGTTCCAAATACCACTGCCCCATGGAAACGTACTTGAGCCCGAATGCCCTCGTCCAACGCCAGCCGTGCCTTGAGCATGTGCACCCCAAGTACTAGACTCGGCAGAAGGTGTGCTCGGATGAGATGTTGTCGGGGACATTGAGCTAGAAGCAAAGGATCCTTTACGAGGCTGAGCGCTAGACTGAGTCGTGTCGTTCAACCAAGATGCTCGTCTCGTGGGCTTCTGGGGTTGAATTGCAGGTTGGTGATGGTCTTGGCGGTCACCTTCGTCGTCTGAACTAGCCAAAGCCTCGGAATCAGGGGTTGAGCGTCTTCCGTTGAATTTATCCAGTAAGATCGACGGATTGCTTGATGTCATGCTGGAGGTGGTTGATTGTGGTATTTTGGCACCCTGGCCAAGCTTTGCTGAATTGGCGCTCATTGCGTTGGTGGTGAGGTTAGAAGTGACTATGTATAATAGTGAGGGTATGGTGTGATCTTTTGAAAAGCGAAGCTGGGGTCTATAGAGACAAAAATTAGTGTCTGAAGGTAAAGCTAAAGCATGATAGTCGATGTGTAAAATCCTACAATCTCAGAGGCACACACCAGAAGGACACAACGAGTAAAGGGGGTCGGATAATTGTCTGGACAGTAGATGTTGCTGGAGTGAATCAGCTTCGGGCCGAATGAAAGTTGAAAAAGGGGGGCGCTAGTAAGCGAGGCGCTAGTCTAGAGAGAGGACATACAGGACGGAGGCCAGCCAAATCGACTGCAGATGGATGATGGATACCACCGACTGCTGAAATCACCTGTGCTGCTTTGGAAGGCGTTGGTGTTTAAGAGAGTGGGAGACCAAATGTTCTTTTTGAGAAAGACCGCTATCAACTGCGTCCTAAAAAGATGTGACCTGTGTGGTACATCTTCTGGACTCGTTAGCACGGCTTTTGCAAAAGATGTGAGAACGACCAAAAGACCAAAATAACAGTGTTGGGTGTAAGATGATGTACAGGTTGAAGTGTTGCTGTGCTATTGGGAAACATGGATCTGTGACAAAGAATTGTGCTCGAAGGATGCACACGGGAATTCTATTATAGGATAGTTTATGAGTGAGCTTTAGCACAATATTTTGAGCATTTGCTTGGTACGCTTGTCAGGGCTGACCAAAGCTGATGAAAGGGGTTTGACAAGACCTCAACTCTTTGGGTCAAATCTTCAGGGTTGAAAGTGAAGGTGAAGGGGGGTTTTGTAGAATGACAGATGTCAGGAATCTCAAAAGATCTCCTAATTGATGTGTAGGGTGTGTTGTGATCTAGTGATGATCCGACGAAACGGAATTTGATGTAGGGAAAAGCTGACAATTCAACGAAACGGAACTCGAAGCAGGGAATGTGAAGGGGTGATGATCCGACGAAAGAGAAGTTAACGTAAATGTACTGTAAACGTAGGGATAATCCAATGGAATGGACCTTGAAAGACTGTCTATCCAACGAAACTGGACTTGATATGGGGACAGTATTGTGAAGAAGAGACGATCCGACAAGACAAAATCTGATGTAAATGTGTTGTGAATGAACTGACAATCTGATGAAAGAGTATGCGAAATGTGGGAGTGTGTAGTGAATGCGTTGTGATTGCAGTGAAGAATGTCGCGAGGAGGCAAAAGGAACTGAGAGTACTGTTGTGGGATGTACAGATAAAGAAACGTACCTAAAGGTCCGACGATCCTCAAGAGACCAAGGAGCACTTAGAAAGCGAGTGAATCGCCAAGGATCAACGCAGACCTACCACTTCTTGCTTCCTTCTGATGAGAGGATGGGAAGTGGAGGCCCCGAGATCAATTTCGATGCCGTTGATGAGTGTGTAAGGGCAAGAGTAACAGAAGTAGGAGGATGAAGAGGTAGTGGTGGTGGTGAGGGGCGGAGGAGGGGAACTCGAAGATGCAAGATGAGAGATGAGGTTGGGGACGGAAGTTCGTGTTTGGGGCGGAGGGAAGGTGGCTGGGCTTGGTGGTGTGAGGGAGTCGATGATAGAATGTCGTAGGAGCTTGCAATTACGTGTATGTGTATGTTTGATGGTCTAGATAGAAGGAGAATTAGCCGATTTTCTCTTCGGGCGCAATGGAATCGTATTTTGAAGTGTTGTAGCGTTAAGTCCCCGGGTGTATAGAATTAACATCAGATGAATTGGGCCAACGATGAATTAGGTACGAGGCAATTGGTGTCTAGAGGCTGCAAGATGATCCTTTGATTTGCATTTGCGCCCCAAGAGAAAGAAGGTGCCACAAAATGATCAGACAGGCATCGAGTCGGCCAAAGGTGGGTCGTCATCTGGTGTAGGGTATGACAGCCTTCCCAGCTCTTGAAGCATAAATACTAAGTTTATCCTTTGATCCCACCTCACAAATACGCCTCTGGTATCCCAGAAACCGGAGCTCAGCTGAGAGAGAAGACGCAGCGACCACGGTATGAAAATATGACCCGCCAGAGACGTCGAGGAGGCGCAGGTCTAAAAACACAAATAGATATGTGGACAAGACTCACCACCGTGCTATTAGTACGTCCAGGAAAGAGCAATCTCGAAAAGGAATTAGACGTAGTATCTAAACTAAACTGTCAGCCGCAAGTACCGAAGATACATGTCCACATGTATTTCCCAAAAGCTGACCAGGGCCCAGGAAGCAATTCAAAGCACCCACCTCAAATAACCGCAGCAGCCGTATGAAATCGTAAAGTCTTCTAAATCTGTCTGCCGTTGTCGCTCTTTTTCAATTTATGTTGTGCCGACCCGAATAACCATCTATTGTTCGCCGAAAGATTTACCAGAGCGTGGGAAAGAAAGGAGAATCGTACAGCCTTCTGCGCATTCGGGACGTTGTTGGAGGGAGGCTTGGGTCGCCCAGACTATGCGTAGCCCATTGTCGAAACGAGGAGGAAAGACGAGGGCCTTGCTCTCGAGAGCTGCCGTCGGAATGGCAGGAGCGTCGGGGGACTCACAAAGTGGTGAGAATCAAAATGAAGGCTTCGTGAGGTGGAGGCAAGGCGGCGCATATGCGGGGAACAGCGTGTGCGACTCGAAGACTTTTCGGACTCGGTAGACCGGCGCTGAAGTAACAGAGAAGGCTTGCCGTGTCACGCAGAAGGAGAACCTGGCCTGATAATGGTTCTCGAGGGAGGAGGAACAACGCTTTTCAGACGAGGCGTCGTCGTGAAGTTGGGAAGAGGATCGAGAGGGACGGTGCGATGGGGATCGTCCTCACGCTAATATCAGCCACTGCAGTGGCCTTCAATACCCTCGCCCGGGAACCCCCTGCGCGTCCAGACGAAGGAAGACGGGCACCCCAACCCCTCATCGTTGTGGTGTTCACACAGGGGCCCTGGTCGACTTTCCCGCTCCAGATTCTTTGCATGAATATATCTCTGAATATCGCGGACGCTGAGCAGTGCCCGCGAGTCTGAATATATCTCTAAATCGACGTCGCCAGAATAACAGCGCCGAGAGACATACAGGGCTATGCCCCTCTCTGCACGGGACAACCTGTGCCCCGCGGAGTGCTAGCTTTCTCTGGCAAATTATCCCTTATACAACATCACCAATCAGGCCATGGGTCACACGCCCTCTTTAATCTGGGTGAGAAGGGGTGCTGGTGCTGCTGGATGCGAGAGAGGCGAGAAAGCTTGGTCGGACGAGAACGGCGTTGAATATTCCCTTAATGCCCCAGAGGGCTTGGTGCAGTCAGTCTTTGAACTCTGCGCTAACTGCTTTGACGGCGTCCTCAACCCGTTATGAAACCCCACAGGTCCCTGAAGAAAACACGTTGTGGATCCTGGAGGAGAGCGGCACGTCTTCGCTCTCAAATGTCATGGCCTGTCATGTCTTTCCTGTCTTTCCTGTCCTGTCTTGTCCTGCCTTGTCTTGCCTTGCCTTGTCTGGCTGGTCTTGCCACAGGAGGCTCCCTCCTTTTCCTCCGTGCTGCTCGTCCCCACCGAGGAGTTCGAGACCGCTCGATACCCCGATTCCTGGAGCCATGGCACACACGCATGTGTCAAAGCAACTCCTCAACGGCTGCGTCTGTTCCCCAGATTCTCGCTAAGTCGAACGTTTGGCGCTCCGAGTGTCAATGTGTCAATCTGCAGTGGAGCTTGCGCTTCATTCCTTGGGCATCTTGGTTTTCAGCAGACCCGATCTCAGCATTTTTGCGGGGTAGCTGCAGTATGGCGACCATCCCCAGGTGAGACAAGCAAGCAGGCAGTTCGTTCTGTGGCAGCGTGTGGTGTACGATCAGCGATCGCACAACGGGCACCAGACTTCCAATAATTCCTAGCCGTGCTTTCCAAGTTGACCATTCTCATACCATAGTATTGCGCACGTCTAGGATTACTCCGGCACAGATCATCCTCCCTGCGAACCCCTTGGCTCATGCAGCACGGAGCTTGAGGGTGTGAGGGGAAGCCTGGCTCGCTATTCGCTGGCCGCAACATTCTACCGTGCCCCCCATCGACGAGAGGGGAGCGGCCTGCATCACCAATCGATCCACAAGAGATGGAGGTTGCCGAGCAAGTGAGAATGCGCTCAGCCTTCTCCGCAACACCTCCTGAAGGTGGGGCAAGCAAAAACAGACCTCCTCACGATGCTGCACGAGACTTCATCTGGCTATTCTCACTGCCGTGAAACGAGAAGTTTGTCCGAGTCGCCCATATTGAACAAGATATTCGAACCGCGGCGCACATTACGCTCCATGTCACTGCGGGGCAGAGTTTTCTCGGTTTAGCAGGTCCGGCCGAACTCTATTCAACTCCGGCACTGATATCCTGCTTACCTGATTGTTCGTAATGATTCTGTACATGCAGCTATGAAAATGTGCAAATGTATCAATGCAATTTGGCACCTGCAGTCTATCCTCTTGGAGAATATCCACACGAGTCCGGAACACCGAGGCTGGCAATTCAGTAGATTAGGCCAGGCACAAAGGGGCAAGAGATATTCTACTCATATCTCTCAGTGTTTCCATGCGTATTAGGACATCGTGCTCAGAATTTCAGGATCTGGTTGTCCTAGAAGACTCTATACAAACGTATTCTGACTCTTGTCAATGTTCAACATATGCTAGGGCATCTTACCTACCATCTTGCCGATTGTCATTGCCCGGCAAAAGTTCGTACATGCGGTTGTAGACACAACTTGAGGTTGTCAACCTGATTCCTTGATCAATGTACGAAGAAAGCATGTCTAGAGCTCTGGCAGGTCCGGCCGCAGGGAAACGAGAAGTTTCATGACCCAAGGCTGAGAAGTAGCCTGGTTCGGGACATTCAATTTCGATCCTCGTAGAATACACATGCCATTGTGAGACATGCAGTCTAGCGCTTTGGCTAGTCTGGCCGAGGAGGCCCAGTCCCTAGATTGTCCAGACCTTCGGGTAAGACGTATGAAATGATTTCGAACTCTCAGTTCGATGGTTTGATTCCCCGGGAAATGGACAGGATGTTTTGAGACAGTCATCATCCACATCGCCGGGCACTAGTTTGGGTGCTACCATGTCGAAACGTACCGTTGAAGACATTTATTATTTCTCCATCTGGCGTAAATAGATTCCTTCAACCGGGGACGGTATCTATAGTTCCCTTTCCAACAGTTGAAGGCGCGGCATCGGCTCCCTTTGTTTTCCGTAATTTCTCTTCGAATTTTGCAAACTCCGCGACCGCGATCTCCTCTTCCTGATCCAGGACCTGAGTAACACCTTTCACTTCCTCAATCTGGGTTTGTTAGCCGCAGCCTTTCTAGAAAGTTTCGCCAAATACTCACATAGTGCATCAACATTCCCTCAATACCATTTTTCAACGTAACAGTGCTCGAATCGCAGGTCCTGCAGGCACCTCTCAACTTTAACATCACCATTCCGTCCTCAAATCCACGGAACTCAATATCTCCACCATCCTCCTGGATTGCCGGTCGTATTCTCGTCTCCAATAGCTCCTTAATCATTCCAACCACCTCACTATCATTCTCATTATACCTTAAACTGTCTTCTTCCCCACCATCCTGCCCACTCTCTCCAGGCCTACTTTCAGTAACATTGACAATCTGTGCCCCCGATGTAACAGCCTCTGTTATCAGACTGAAGATTTCCGGCTTCACATGAGCCCAATTTGCATCTCCAGCTTTCGTAACCGTAATAAAATCCGCTCCATAGAACACCGATGTGACCCCATCAATATTCATCAGCTGTGCAGCAAGCGGTGATGGATGTGGAGGTGCAAGAGTCGACCTAGGATTCATGTATTCGATGAAAGGAGAGGAGAGTCCTGGTGGTAGGATAGGATGGTTTGGTAGGAACTTGAGAGCGTCTGGGTTTGGTGTGTTCTCTGTCTGGATGAAGATGCTGCGACTACCGCTGACAGCAGGCGGCTTTACCATGGTCGAGGGCTGGTGTAAAGGGTGCAAAGTCGGTCGTGTATGCGCATTCGAAGCTGCCATTGCTGGAAGTCGGGTACTTTGGTGAACGCATCTCGCAGCGTTGTGGTGGACGGGTATCGATGGCTTCGAAGGTCGTGTCTTGGTGAGGAATGACAAAGCTGCCTTTGAGAGTTTCCTAGATGCCATTGTTTGAATTGACACTGCAGGAAGTGTGTTACAGTTGTTTTGCTGTCGAGATGGCGAAGTTGAAGAAGGCCTTTGTAATCACCTGCATGGGTCTGAAAAATTGGCGTCATTGCCGATTGGCAAGGATCTGGTTGTTTTGATAACGCAAACTTTCAAGCTCTTTCTTCAACAACATGTCAATCTCCAAGACCGCGAATGACGAAAGTGCGCAAAAAGACGCAGAGCCAGCGATGGATACGCCAGATGCGGAGATTGTTCCAAATGGCGCTGATAACTCAACGAAAACAACCGTTGGCCAAGAAGTTCCGAAGCAACAAGAGGAGACGCGGGAGAGTTCATTGGCCGAAGCTGACGTGCCAAAGAAAAGGCTATGTGGCGTATGCAACGAAAAGGAATGGAAGTATAAGTGCACTCGATGTTATTTCCCATCGTAAGCCCTCTTTTCAATGCAGGTTTCGCAAACTGATGTGGTGAAGCTGTTCTTCAGCATGCTCAACGATTCACAAAGCGACACACCCTGCCCTTGAGCCCAAGCCTGCGGAAACCAAACCAGAACCAAAACGTCAAACCAATGGAGCTACACCGAGGCCTGGCACCATTGCTGCAGCAGGATTCAAAGGTCCTTTCGCGGTTTTGGACGATTCGAAAGACCTTCAGCTTCTATTCAAGATATACCCAAAACTTCCTGCGCTTCTCGACCAAATCAACACAGCTACTCTCCGACCATTAGAGGAACTTGACGATCTCCCACAGAATGTGCATTCGAAGGGGAAGAAAGAACAGTCGTGGACTTACGATCGTGGGCTTGAGAAGGGAAGAGAAGCGTTAAATCGCCTTCGGGACACAGACGAGGGCGTCAGGGAATATTCAACATTAGTGCTGCAGATTCTGTCCGGAGATGTAGGCATCTCTGCTACACAACTAGTGGAGAAAGAGCTGAAGGAAGAAAATGCAAAGATCATAGAAGCTCTCTTGCAGGGCGAACTGTGAAGAGTCGGGCTGGAAACCTTCACACTGAAGAGACGCGGGAGGACAACCCCGCTGGAATCGTGGGGAAGGTCACCATATAATTGGTAAGAAACCCAGGTGCTGAATTCGGGTGGCATGATTTCGCTCTCCAACCGGTGCTCTTGAAAGGGGATTTCGATCCTCCTTCGTGGTGGACGAGAATAGCCGCACTGAACGTTGAATTTTCATTGTCCCAAGTCAAGTTGGTCAAACCCTCCCCAAATGTTCCTCATATCCTTGTACATTCAAAGTCTACATTCATGGCTGACTCCAAAGGAGATACAGTATGTCACTATAGTTTATACGGAGATTCGGGCTCGGAATTCAAACTCAGCATGGGCCAGAGTTGGGTTCATAAGACATGCTTTGGGAATTGCTCAAGATACCCCGGAACCGCTAAAACGCATAGTCGGAAAAAAGCAGCCACAATCCATTACAAGCAATGTTCAACGGCTCTTGGGACATTCTACTGGCAATGTCCAATAGTTGCTGGAACATTCCGATCAAATCAACTCGGATGGCGTTTGAAGCGAGCAAGAAAACTTCCCCTTATGCCTTTGTTCCCATCTGGCGGAGATCCATGATCACCAATTCCAGCCACAGCTTCATCTCGATCTGGCTTGACTTTTTCCCTCTTGCCCAGCATCCAAGTCGACTCCATCTTCCGCAAGAAAGGACTTGTCCGCGAGTGCTGGTTTTTCTTCGTTGTTTCAGTCTCACTGTCCCGTTCCGCCCAATCAGGTCTATCCTTTGCAACAGGCAATAGTGGCTTCGGTTTTGATTTCCCCGGCGGAGGTGGTGACGATTGAGCCTCCGTTTTCTCCCATAAATCCCCTGTGCTCATCGGCCGTGAACTGCTTCTCTTGTGCCCTGAAGTCAGATGAGCAAACTCCAACTGGAACGTTCGCTGCGGTGGTTTGTATATCTCTCTCTCCATATCCGCCTCAGCAGCCTCCTCCAACTCGTGCGTCCATTGAAATTGATTCCGGTTCAATAAGATTTGCCTTTCTAATATCGCTTGATCGATAGCTTGCGTCTTCTGAAGACTCGTAACTGGGTATTCAAGATGAGGGTCCTCGAGGCTTAGCTTCTCTAGGTGGGACTTAATACCCATTGACGGCAACTTGTGCGACTGTCGCCTGACATCTGGTGTCGTCGTCCTTTCGAAAGCCGCGGCGGCGACCGTTGGAACATGGTGGTACACGACATTGGCTTGCGCCAGAGCAGCTCTCGCGGCCCGTGCCTCACGTCGGCGCTCAGCCTTGATCTTCTGCTCGGCGAGATGAGCGTTGAGCCGACGACTTAATTCCTCGGGATCGAATGGCTCTCCTTGCTTGACTCTTTGCCGCCGCCCATCTTTCTTTGGATCGCGCAGTGGATGCGTCATTGCACGGGCAGGTTGATACTATGGTGAGGTCAGAAGGAGATATGGACGAAGGAGGTATTTTCCAACTTACGGAAGGCCAATCGGCAGGCGGAGGAGGGAGCGTGGTGGCTGTTGCCATTTCAAGAGGAATGGACTGACTTAAACGCAAGATATCTCAGGCGCGACTTAAGTTCCAGAGCCTCGGGGTACATTCACATTTCACAAATCCACAACTTCGAAGTCTCACATGAAGGACATAAAGTACGAGGGCTGTGTAACGATGCGCAGGAAACGGCGAGGTAGTTAAATAAACCCACTAAGGCAGATTTGGATTCGGAGGGGTGCGCCACGGACTGAGGAGGAAAAGCCAGCCTCCCAAAGCAGTTAACCGTTGGCCAGGTTGTGGTCGGTAATGCCTCTCAATCAGGGAAAGCTTCCCCCAGCAAATGAACGCGCCTGGGTTCTATTGAAACATACCGACCTGGATGTACTGCGTCCTGCGCGCATGCCGAATAATGTACACCTGTGATTCCACGGCCGTATCGAAGCTCGGAGCCTCGAGCCTCGGCGGGCAGCTGATCCCAACTCCAGATCCAGATGGTTGGCTGCTGATTTCTGCGTCGAGATTATCATTGGCGACTCTGTCTCCACAGAAACATGCAGGCAGCAGGCTGCACAAACGATGTGGAGAACCCTGCATGCTGATGCTTTCTGTCTGGCACGCGATCTCAAGAGAGCAATTCTGACTGGCCAGCCCCTTGAAGTTCGATGCGATGCTCCTCGAGTCCTCGCTCACCGCGTTCACCGCGTTCTCTCGAGGCCGGCCGGTACAATGCCTCTTCCTAGTTGTACGGCTGTGCGGAGGTACATTGACTTTCAACCGTCTCTTTTCATCTCATCACCGAGTTTCTGCACTTGAAAGCACGAAGGCACGTTTCAGGTTCTCGACGTTCTCGATCATTTCCACATTGGTTCTTCCGTGGTACGTATCATCAAAGGCAACGCTCCCGTCTCCCTCGGTGTTTCGTCTCCTGCTGTGGCGCACGAAACACGAAAGGAGATTTGTCGGCTGGATGTTGCCGCAATCTCAACTCTTGATCGCCCCGACAAACGAGACCTCCACAACACCCCATGCCTTCTGAAACTTATCTTAGAAGCAAAAGGCTCGGAAATGGCTGGATCTATATATGAACCACTATCGATCTCCAAGCACAGTATGAGATTGCCGAGTGGATCATCGCTTTCACCGGGACTCTAGCCCGGACTTCTAGCTCCTCCTGAAATCTACACCGGGAAGAGTAATAATATAAACTCTGAAATTATGTTTCGAGCTTGTCTTTCACAACACTCTTCAACTATTCAACGTGGGCGAATGGGCCACCCGAGGCCGTTCCTTGAGCTAGTTGAGTAACTGTCTCAGTCCAGCTCCGTGGTATCCCTCGACTACAGCACAGCGCCTTTTAACATGAGCACTTCTGACGTACACTACGTCCGTACTGGCTGGGGGTTAGTTCGGCATTGTACCTGCTTCCTTAGAACACTTATTTGTCGGGACGGACGTCATCAAGCAGACCTAGACTCGATCTCGGGCGGAGAGAACCATTTCTTATCTGAGGATGGCAGGCTGGCGAGCTGCAGGTCATCCGGATCCTGCGGACCAGCCCGTCTCACGCTGGCCGGCCTCATGTCTCAATGATGTCAAGAGGACGGTCGATCCTCGCCTGCACCTGTCCATGTCCAGCCTTGCAAGGCTTATCAAAGGACGTAGCCTCGCCAATCCGAAGGTTTGGGAGGTGGCTCTGCTCTGATAAGATGCAGATGCTGAAAGTTATCTAATCCGGTGTGGACCCACGTCGACCTGTTCCATTTTTTGTCTTTGGACCATTCCTTGTCTGTAGGCTCGTTGTTTGGGATATTCCTCAGACCACTCTTACAGCTTCTATGATGCACTCGGTGGCTTAGATACCCACAATATCTGATCAACAGAAATATTCTCGGGTCCTTATTTGAGAACGGACAGCTCGGGGCCGTTGAGGGTCCGATGCGTATGCCCCAAAGTACAGTGCTTCATTCTCCAAGGGGTCGGAACATGCAGAATCTGATCAGATCAAGAATCAAGATGTTGAGCGACAGGGGATGGAATTCATAAAACCAGGTTAAATACGGCAGCCAGGAATCGGATGTCGATCCCCGTTCCGAGTCGGAACATATGGAGTTTCGATTGTTCAATGTTTCCTGGACACCGCACTTTGCAAGGCTCGTCGACGTGCCTTGCAAGCTGCAGCTTCACCGATGCTCCTTTTCGAGTTGGAACATTGCAGTAGTAGAGACCGAATTTGGAAACTTCCCTGTCTTCAGTGTGACCATCAACAGGCAATCGCAATGCGTAAGTGGCATCGATTTGTTTTTCGGGGGAAGACGGTGAAGCGTGAAGATCGTGATGGCATCATGGCAGCAGACTTACTTACAGGGACAAGATCAGCGACAGTGGTGAAGGCTCCCTCCCAACAACTGAATCCCACACGTGAACCACGCTGACTGGCTCATGGCCACGCGGAATAATTACTTTTGAAGATAATGGAGAGGCTTTCGGGGGGCTTGGAATCGCATGCTCTACAGTAGCGAGTACTGTGATTCCCAGCAGCAAGTGCATGTGCATGATTTGCTGCTCCGGGCGCTCCCAACGGGCGCGGAGCTGTGCCAGCGAACCAGAGATCCACGTGAGAATACGGATAGCGGAGGGAGACCGACAAATTCCCGAAAGACAGGGCCAAGGCGAGCAGGATGGGGCCTCGCTCGGGCTCTGGTTCTGGCTCTGGATCTGGCTCTGGCTCCCAATCCCAAAGCATGAACGAGAGAGAGTAATAAGTGTGCAATCGTCGTTCGCTCCGCACAACAGCTTGGCCCCCCGTCTTGTCTGTTGTCAGCTATCCCGCCTGTCGAAGCTGCTGGCGCTTCATTGTTCCAACTTCTCCCGGACAGCTCCAGAGCTTCCTCGATCTCACAGCATGATCGCAATAGCTGCGGGTTACCTAATATCTCGCAGGCCTCGGGTGCTGGACCACCGTCTGAACAGTGTCCTTTAATCTGAATCATGGCTTCTCACGATGTTCTGCCACACCGCAGCAAGTCGAAACGCGGCCGGTCCTCCAACTCCATCCCCGCCAGATCTCCGGATCACACCGCGAACGCGAACATCTCCCAAACTTTATCGAACTCAACCCCGCGGACTACAAGACCAAGGCTTGCCTCTCGCACCAGCTCCGCCCCTCTTTTACCAGCAATAAAGGTTAAAACTCCCAATCTCCTATCGGAGGAGGACGAGGGCGGTATCGACCTGTACAGCATAAGAGACTCTGTAGCTTCAATAAAAGACGACCCCTTCTTCAGGAACTACCAAACCCCCAACTCGGTATCGTTGGCCCGCGAATTGAGGTCTGCAACATATTCTGAACGTATGCGCGATGGAAAGTCCCCTCATGAACCTTCCCCTCCGTCCCCCAATAGAACTGCACTCGACAACTCAGTCAATCTGCCGGTGAGCTTCCCTCCCTCTCTTGAGTCTGAACCGCACAAACTAATTCTTGGAATCTAGCCTCAGTCAAGAAGCGGGATGTCCGACATAAACATTGCAGTTATTGGAAGTTCTGGCGTGGGGAAGAGCACACTGATTCAACGGGCCCTGAGCTTACGGTCCTCTCCAACATCCATAGCTTCGAGTCAGCGGATGTCAGTGGACAATGTGGTGTATACTGTTAGCCTCATTGAACTCGACCTCGAATCTTTCGATATCGTCCCCGACCGCCGGATCCAATGGCCGAAGCAGATAAACGGTCACATTGTTCCCCGCATGGATGGAGCTTTGTTGTTGTACGATGTCATGAATAGCGAGAGTATACAAGAATTACCCCAAACTTTAAGTGAGTGTTTCGGAGGATTGCATCGAAGATGCCTGCTAACCGTTCAGATGGGCTAATGGCTTCAAACTTACCCACTATCCTGGTATCTTGCAAGTGCGACAATCCTGACAATACCCGCCAGGTCAGCGTGGAAACCATGGAGGACGCCTGCTCATCCTGTGTTGAGGCTGTGAAAACTGCTTCCAATGTCCCCGAGAGTGCCAGGCTGTGTCTATCCTCGATGCTGAAAGCCATCATGGCAAGCCGGAATGGTCAGTCTCACCAAGCCCATTCACGTGTTACTGGTTTCCCTCGATTTATATTTCACCTTCTTTCTCCTATATCTATCCATATCGAGAAGTGCTCAATATCCCGCGCATGACTTCATTGCTCTCCTGTCAGTCACGCTTCTGTCTAGTATATAACTGACAGCGTAAAGCTGCAAACTCTGCCGCTGAAATCACAGGGGCCCGTCGCCGAGCTACCTCCTCTGCGAATTTAGAAACCCCGCCGGATTCTTCAAGGCCTCTTAGTCAACACTCCAAGCACAGTCGTGCGAGCTCGGAATATTCCCTCTTGCGAGGATTTCCCTCGCCGCCCCCCGTTATGCCGCGAGGAACCCAGTCGCGGCCCAATGGGCGGACTAATCTACAGCACCAATTTAACCTTTCCCTTCCCGACCCACACGACGCCCCGCCACTGTCGTCGCATCCGATGTTTCGCCATGATGGCCTTCAAACCTCGTCCGACTCTAGCAGTAATCTTGCGCCAGGTGCAAGTTCACGATCTCCATTGCCTTCTCCTATGACCGGACGGGCGGTGGATAATTCGTTTCTTGATATGGAAGAGTCGGACGGGGACGGATACCGCTATTCGGACGATATCCCCATTCTTGAGCGAAATGATGATAGCTTCTTCGATAAGCCTGCCAAAGTTGCGGGAGTGACGTTCGATGAGCTCGTGGATCGTCTGCTGGGTCAGAACATGTCACGGGCCGACAACAACTTCTCGGACATCTTCTTGTGTCTATACAGAAAGTTTGCCGCGCCAGGCGAGCTATTTGGGGCGATAGAAGCACGGTTGGATCGTATAGCAGAGGATAAGAACACTCACTATCTCACGCGGACTACGACGCAGCTTCGTATTATTACTGTGGTTGCCAAATGGGTCACAACCTATCCAGGAGACTTTGCCAGCCCTATGACAAGTGCTAAACTCGATACCTTCATCAGCGGGCTATCTGGCGAGCCTGTATTTGCTGCAGCTGCGCAAGAGATGCGAACTCAATTGCAATCCCGTGTGATCGAGGATGACGACACCGGATGGGCTCGAACAGATGCAGACGTCGAGGTCGAGACCGGAAACAACGTCGAGTCAGCCCCTGCTTCCCCCGTTCGACGGAGAACAGATCCCAGAGATCTAATGGAGGAAGAGGACGGCGGCTCGCACATGGATGACGAAGGGGATGAGGAGATGGAGCGGAAAGAATCAAAAGTTGATTCGAATATTTCTGGACGTGCAGACTCCCCTCATGAATCCATAGCACCTTCTTTCCACACGGTCGAGGACTATGAACGAGAAGCAGCCTCTATGGTCCCCAAGGGCAATTTACCCCTCACTAAGTTTCGGTACCACATCTTTATGGATACCTCAGATGACGATTTTGCCGACGAGATGACAAGAATCGACTGGGTTATGTTCTCTTCGATCCGCCTTCGAGATCTTGTCCGCCACGTCAGTCTCCCACTGGAACAAAAGGAGAAGTGCAAGAGTTTGGCAAACGTTAATCGGATGATCAATCACTTCAACCATGTTGCCAAATGGGTGGCTAACATGATCTTAATGCGAGACAAGGCCAAACACAGAGCTTTGATGTTAGAGAAATTCATGACTATTGCCCTGAAGCTTCGGCAACTCAACAACTACAACGGATTAGCAGCCGTGCTCGCAGGAATCAATGGAAGTGCAATTCATCGTCTTGCACAGACCAGAGCTTTGGTTCCAGCTGAAGTACAGAAGCGCTTTGCAAGACTTGTGATATTGATGGGCACTCAAAAGAGTCATTTCGCGTATCGCCTTGCATGGGAGAACTCTTCGCTGCCTCGTATACCTTTTATCCCCCTCCACCGACGAGATCTCGTGTCAGCAGAAGAAGGCAGTCGAACCTTCGTTGGAGCGAAGGCGGAAAGAATCAACTGGAAGAAATTCGAGGTACTGTCAGAAGTCATCTTGCCGATTATGAAGAGCCAAGTCGTGCCATATCCGAATCTCTCGAAGCACGACATTGCCCGAGAGCTGATTTTAGATTGTAGAATGCCCGTTGATGATGAAGTATGCCCCCACTCCCGCCGCTACAATCACGCATACTAACCTTAAAATAGGAAATATATCAACGCAGTCTCCAACTTGAAAGTACTTCAGGAAGTGTAGAATTTGCTAAAAAGAAGTTTCCTTGGTTTCAGAAGGAAAAGTGATTAATCAAATGGGCATATTTTGAGCGACATTTGTTCGGTTCAGGCTGGATTTTTGAGGAGGCTTCTTTTCTCATGGTATGGCGTTGGGGTGTGCTTGTTCGCGCATACCCAGTTGTGATGATAGACGATGCGCATACGTAATATGTTCTTCAAATACCAAAGGTGTTCTAAGTGAAGCGGGAGCTATGGGCATTCTCTGCAGCCTTTCTCTGCAGCCTTCCAAGCGGTTGTGGATATGGATTGAACGAGGGACGCATGATGCTATGTCCTACTTATTCCGAATCATCCTCCGTCAGCATCACAAGTGCTTCTCTAAGGAATCTTGTGTCCGTGAAGGCAACCCCGTTCGCTTAGGCAGTTTGACCTTCCCATAAATGGTACAAGTTGGGGGATTGGATTAGGGAGTGGCGAAATAAGATTAATCCTCAACTGCGGTTCGCGGACGCTTTAGGATGAAAGTAGCCTGCTAAAAATCCCCAAGAATTGGATGACGATCGCCCCAACCCCACAACACTGCCAATTCCAACTGCCAATATTACTATGTATACACTGCCACAACACTAACTCCCCATACCTTGGCCCTTTGGCAGCATGACTGTGGCTGCCGAATTGAATTCCTACTTGTCAAGCACTACTTGCGCTTCCCCATCACGGATGTAAAAGGATCCCGCTATCAAAAATGCCTCTCGGCGGACTTCCGGCGCTGGCCAAGACCTGCGATGACTACAGAATTGATTCTCGCTCAATGTTTACTTCTGGTTCCGTACTTGGCTTTTCCCGTACTCAGCCTCGAGTGGCAATGTGTTATTCTCCCAAGACTTGGCAAGATGAAGCATCATGTTCGCTCTCTCTTTGGGAGGAGAGGTTTTCTTACAAGACTTGCTCTCCCTCCTTCTCCATATCCTCCATCAAACCAATCATTACTCTACTCTCACTTTCACATGTCAGAATTATCTTGATCTTTACAACAGTCTCAACCAAAACAACATCATGAAGTTCATAATCATCATCTCCACCGCCGCCCTGCTAGTCTCATCTCTCGCTCTTCCACCGATATTACCTACGGTACTGGGAAAGCGTAAATTACCCCGCGGGCACAAGCCAGAACCTCCCTTCCTACCCATCATCACCAGGGCCAGCTTCTTCTCATAAAATGTCGATTATTCCTTCTATGAGAGCTGAGAGCCCGGGAGGTTCACGGGAACTGGCATGCGTATTTGTCTTAGGAGTTTGGTTCCTCCGCCCCTGAGCTCCGACTTCAACTTAGTAATACTGCGTACTAATTCGATGACAGCGGTTGGGAAAGCGTCAAGTATCCCGCTGGGACAGGCGGGTTTTACGCGTCTCCTTTCGCCTTCACAAGCACATACAATATCGCTGCTGTTGGCTCTGGGTTGCGGAATGGCACAACTCCTGCCCCGGGCCGAAAAGGCGCTGTTGGATAGTTTAACTTTGGTATCAATTCTAATACGGATAAGATCTGCCATGTAGGCCTCTTATTCTCTCCCGTTCAATCTTTCGAATAATTTTGATGTTGACATTGAAGCCAGAACATTACACTCCTCAACGTAGCAGGCACCTACCAAGCTCCCGCCCGAACCGCAACACACATCCACGAAGCCGCCCGGGGAGCATCCGGGCCACCTCGTCTCGCGTTCCCCAACCCAGTTGGTGACGATAAGAAGAGAGTCGGTGTTGGCTGTTTGACGGGTCCGTTTACCACTGGATTTGAATGGTCCGAATGAAATGAATACTCCGAGCGGGTTTGCATTGAAGAGGATTGAGGAGAATCCGGCCGGGTTCTTTGCGGATTCTCATACGAATTTATTTTCGTTTGGGGTTGTAAGGGGGCAGCTTGCTTAGGGGAATTGAGAGCGGAATGATGGTAAAGAGAGGGGGTATGAGAGAGAGCTGGAGAGGGATAGGGTGGTAATGGCAGATGCGTTAAGGTGTCTTGTACCAATTGAGTCGCCATAATTCAACTCGGGCAGTCACTTCTTCGTTCTGTCATGAGGGTTTCCTTGCTTCAAGCCAATATGCAAGTGATGAGCGAAGTGTGATCAGCATTGTGAGAAGTGTAATTGCTCCTAATATCCCCTCTGTGCCACACTCTATCCAACACTCACAGGCTTCTTATCCCAAACCTAAAAAACTTCTGTTCCGTCCACTCTAACGGCTGCCAGTACCTCCACATTAAAATTCCACAGCAACCTAGCCAAAATAACCCGCAACTTGACCCAACATAGTTGCTGCCCAAGACACCCGTGAGGGCCCATGCCGAACGGATGGTACGCTTCTTGGCTGTCTGCGGAGTAGGGGAAGCGAACCATATTGCCAAAGCCAGCGTTCTGGGATAAACCTCTTGGGAGAATAGAAATTGGTTTTGGATCTGAATATGGTGTAGCAGGGGATGCCGACTGTGTTGAAAGCACAGCGGATCTCATTGACCAAAGCCTTCATCTCCTTTGGATGTGTGATCAGATTCTTGATTCTGCCAGCCAGTGCTGCCGTCAGAGTCTCACTACCTCCAACAATCACTGCCATGGTATTGGCAATCATCTCTGCTTCCGATATGCCGGTTTCTGGTGATGACTTGTGGGAGAGAATGTAGGACACCATATCTAGGGAATCCGTCTTTCTTTTAAGGCGATTGTTGACGTTTTGCTCTGATGTGGAGAGGACTAATTGCAAGCTAGCTAGGACGGATTTCGGTGTCATGTACGAAACCAAGGTTGTGGCTACGAGAGCCCGAAATTGTAGAAAAACGGTGATCCGTGGGCGGTAATCCTGTTTCTGGAGGCAATTGAAAAATTCGCCCCATCCAAGATTACCGATGATGTCGAAAGTGGTAAAATGAGCCAGTGGATGACATCAACAGCTGGCACTTTTCCTGCATTCTCTGCCCCAGCTTGATGAAGCTTCTTGACCATGAGATCCACATATTGAGTTATTATTGATTCTTGTAGCTTAACAACTTTGTCCGAGAATGTAGCTCCAATTGCTTTTCGAAACTGGGCATGGTCCGCCACACGAGCTGAGATGAGATTGTGTGCCTCGACGCCGGGCGGTCAATTCCCCAACTGAGGTGGACGGAGGAACTCCTTGCTCACGGATATATCTCCCCAAAAAAACAGGATCAATGAATGAAAGCTCCCCAGGACTGATTCGAACAACGCTGCCGTACCTGTCGTGGGGCACATTGAAGCTGTAAGGAGAAGGCAGACAGAGGCAAGACGACTCTATTGGTATCTAAGCTCGAAGCCCTAAATGGCTTGGCTGACTAACGGCTAGCTGGTTCCTTCCCTGGTGGCGTCACCACCCCCACACGTCACCCAACAGAAGCAGTATGGGAGACGGCCTTATAGCATCTTTTGGAGGAGCGGAAACTGGAAAGCTGCTCATAGTGGATAGCCGGGGAATTTTGAAAATGGATGGAAGTATAATTTGCAGATGGCGGTGCTGGTGGCATACTAGAATTATGCCAATCTGATGCTCGTATTTACATTGGATTGGACTCACTACTAGAAATATAGTAGTGATGGCTGCTGAGAGCTAAGTCAAGCATATCTGATCAGTCAATCTTATGAAACACGAAAAGGGGAACGGAGGAAAGATGATGCCTCGCATGGGAAGAACAGCATTTGTATTCGCAATTGTTCTTAGTTGAAATTCGAGTATCCGCGGGGTGGAGAACCCTGCAAGTTATTTCTAACTTTACTATGGGTTCTTGAATGATTGTTGGTCAGCCCGGAAGATCAAAAAATTCTACTATGGTCGTATTCTTCGTGCAATTTTCGTTTGATCCCTGAATTGGCAGAGGATCACTTTGCGAGTGTTGGATTTTAGATCTGCCAGGGAGGGCGCTAATGCACGGGTGGTCGGGAAAAGGGGCTCGCTAAATTTTCGCTAACCCGACCCCTGCATCCAACCGCCACATCGTCAACTTTCCTGGAGATCTCCGATTTCTATCTGAAGCAGGAAAGCTGTGCACGATTATATTTTATTCTCCCAGTCGAGTTTGCATGGGAGTTCATCTCCAGCAGACACGTATGATCCTCAGGACTCGTCTCGATCATCTTTCAGCAGCCATAGCTCCAGCAAAAAGACCTCAAACTCGCAAGGTAGGATGCATATTCCCATTTCACAGTCCCCAGTATCCTTGACTGAGGTATGCCAGGTCGAGACAACACGAAACTCAAGGTTGCTGGGGCTCTCGTATAGATCCAGGTCATTGCCACATCTGGCTCGCCTATGGAGACGATCTTAAACGGCTTCTACACTGCTGAAGTTATGAACTTTATTTCCTGGAACACAGTCTACTCGATATTCCCTAATACCACCTTCAATGAAAGAAAAACTTATTCACTCCGACCATGGGACGACTATTTTAGACCTCCGGTAGCAAAACACAGCCGCCGCGGTTGGGCCACGCGGTTGACCACGCTGGAATTGGTCTGGGAAGAAGACAGAAAAAAAGTCGAAGTCACTTGAAGCCGCGTGGGGCCAACGATTGGCGACTCTCTCTGATGGAAAGTAATTACTGATACTTTGTTCAACTACTCCTGCTTCGAGATCTTTAAAAATGACATACGGTACGAGAATGGGCTTGAAGACATATGTAACCGACACTACGAGGTCAGAGCCAAGAAATCTGCATCCTGTGTACTCAAGTATGAGTATACGTTATCCTGTACGCTCAAGTTCCCGCATCCATTCTATAGCCGAGGCAAAAGGGGGATGAAAGAGGATTTCTGGGCATGGCTTGGCCCAAGATTGGAGAATTTGACCTATCGAACTTCAAAAGCTCGACGTCACTGAGAGACCGTTTCCAATTGTTTTGGATCATGAACAAGGAGATGGATATAGTAAGCGGGTAATTTGCAATCTTTGCTGGACTTGAGCTTTGTCTCTTGATGTTATACGGGATTCACTACAGGAATGGAGACCTGGGGCGATCATGTTGCCGAATGGTGTGAAGCGGACCGCAAACGAACACCTGAAGAAGAGCTTGAGGAAGTGCGCTTGTAGTAAGCGGATGATTTGCAGTCTTTGCTGAGACATGAGTTTCGTAAGCCATGCAATTGTCAAACCTCTCTCTCGTCTATAACAAATCGTGCATAATACGTGAAAAGGCCCTTTACGACTCCCGAAAGATAGCGGAACAGTATGCCCTTTTCCTCGGATGTGCCACCACTCAGACGCCTAACACCCTGCTTGTCCCTTACACTTCACAACCAAAGAAAGCATATGCACTACGCAGATTTGGACAAGGCCGAGAAGAGGCGCAAGAAGTCGTGCTGCATCCGTGATTGCTAGTACCACTCCTGCAACTCGGACGAGCCGGACGAGCCGGACGAGCCACTTACGATTGAGCCCTAATAATGGGGTTGAATATCATTCATGCAGAAGATGGTCAACATAGGCACAGAAGTCGTCGATGGATTTCGCAACAAGACCTTGGTGTTTTCAGCTTCCCGGTTCCCCAATATGGAAATCTCACTTACACGATTGATAGTCGTTCCGGTTCCGCCAATCCTCAACAGTCGAGCCACGGTTTGGAGGTGAAGACACTTGTCGCGGAATCAGGCTAGCCAGCCGTCTGAGATGCCGAAGCGGCGTGAGAGCAGGTGTCTTGTGTTCACCGTTGCCTCTGTATCCGCTAATGTCAATCAGAACAGGTCGAGACTCCAGGATAGTAGAGCTGGGGCGACATGGTAATACGACTTTTATGGTTAGCAATGGTTAGAATTGGCGGGTATTGCTTACTTGTCGACGCTCCTTCATGTGTCACCACATTCATTACTGATTCTTGGATGGGTCGTATCTCTGGATCAGATTCAACACTTGGGGAGAGAGGTCCGTCAGAGGTAAGAACAAATTGGGCGTTCCTTTTGGTGTTCGTCTCTGATGCCTCTCGTGCTGCCTTTGCTGCTCTGTTCCTCTTGCGCTTTTGTGCTTTCCTCGCACGATCACCTTTACCGCGCCTGGAGCGCCTTTTCCCCCGTTTCTTCTCTGCCACTGGCTAATAGTCGTGTCAGTAAAGAAACCCCGGGTATCTTGATTCTATTACCCACTTTGTCCCAAGTGTTTCCTATGGCTGCCTTTCCAGTGTCGCACGTGCCCGTGCGTTGACTCGCAGATATGCTAGGCGGAGGATCATCTACTGTATCATGACTCTTATCCAAACGTTGATGGGGGTGGTCTCTGTGTATGCAGATAGCACTCACTGCTTGCTGCTCTTCTCTTCTTTGCAGCTGCTTGGTCGCGTTTCCTCTTCTCCTCGATCTCTTCTGGTGTCTCCGGCTGGGTATCAAGTCTCTGCTTCCTAGCTTTCTTTGCCGCTCTATCTCTAGACCGGCCTTTGCCTCGTGTCATCATGGCGGTGCTGTTGCTGATATTTTGATGTGTGGAAAGAGCAGGGGGTTTGCTGTAAACACGAGGGAGCAACTTAAGCGAGTTCGCTCCTGCCAAAGCTGTTGCAGTTCTCTGAACTGCTGAACACTTCTTCGCCAAAACTCTATTTTGAGGCACTTCTCGAAGCGATGCCTCATCTATGTTGAAATGGGCCTTCTTCCCTCCAATCTTCCCACCGTTGATATTCGGGAAATGTTTACCCTTCTACTTGCCCTAAACTAGATCAAAAAGCCGGACACCTACAGAAGCACTCCTTGTCAATGTCTACTTGGTGATTTGTGCAGCTTTGGAATACATTGACTGGACTTCCAATTCTCGAAGAGTATGGAAGGAACGATCTGAAGAGCGCGTTGATCTGGTGGAAAGAAGAGGAAGATGGGCTGGAAGCTGAAGTGGAAGTGCTGTATCAGGAGCGTGAACTGTTAGCGCAATGCTTCACCTTTTCGGCACGAATATAATACCCCAAGTCTCCTTCCTCGGAAATGACGTTAGTATTGAGGACCCCTTTCGTGCTCTTGTCTAGCAAAGGTGCTAAGATATGTCCAACGGGGGAAACATGGGCACATGGCCGATTATAGATACTCGAGTTCTCTATCGATGGATGCACATAGATCATTTTTCTCAAGGCCCAAGGGCAGGCGGAGACATCGGGAGCTATTTTCTATACTCTCAGAGCTCTTTCTTGCAGGGAGCACGTTAGATCACTCCTCTTAAGCCTTTTCTTTAGGCTCTTCTCCTTAGGAAGTATATCTTTCATTCCCTAATGCCACGACACAATCTTGTTCTAGGCAGCTTTACCACCCAGTTACTTAATAATGTGCTGTGGAAAGATTCAGATCTCCACATCTACATTCATGACGGAGAAGGTGCATCAAATTTTGACAATTACCTATGCCAGAAGGAGAACTACGCTCTGGAGGAGAGCACAATCTCTCATTGTATTTACAGAAGAATTGTTTTGGTATGTTTTGTTGTTGTTGACTATTCTGCTCTTTTTCTTCAGAACATTGACTCTAACCCGATATGGCAATATAGCTCTTCCCTTCTCTTCAGAACATTGATTTTCACTTTCCCCCAACGTCACATCCCTCTCGCCTCGCAAGGTCTATCTCCTGAAATTCCGTAACCAGCTCAACACGCCCTACATCGCAAAATACCTCAAACTCGGTTGACCTCGAGCAGACGCCATCACAAAAAGAACTGTCGTGCAGAAAACAACGAGATCCTCACTCTTAACTGAAGTCAGAGAACCAAGACATGTCAGCGATACTAAAACACGGAAGATAATGCTAGGCACCACAGGAGTTGAGCCGTCCACGGTTCCGGATTTCGTGCTAACGAGTGCGTGCATCGAATTATTCTACTTTCGAGAAGGACCCACGTATGGGCACTGGAGGTATCATCGCTATACCATACATGCTCACGCCTATGTGGTATGCGTACTGAAGTATACATACATGACTTCTCAGGCAGAAAGAGTTTTGTTGTGGGGCTTCTTGAAGGCAAAGCTGGACGGCTTAACTCGAGACGAGCTCCAGAAATTCGGCGAGGAAGAGAAGCCAGCCTTTATTGTACAGCCAAATCCTCCCGACAATGGCTTCTACATGTCTAATTCGACGTTTGAGAAGCCTCCCACATGGCTTTCTTCGATGATCTAGCGCTGCAGTGGCACGGGGAGTAGCTTGAACACAGGAAGAATGTCAAGCTGGCGGATATTGGCATGGGAGGAGAAATTTGATTTGCTTGGGCTCTAGATATTTTCCATGGTAGAGATAGGCAGTAAACTTAATGGTGGATTGGCATCATGTATCAAGCAGGTGGCTCTCGCAATGGCTCTGTTCGATCCCAAAGAAGCAATTCCGAGTAAGACGTAGTTCTAAGCGAAGAACCTTGTTGTGTCGCACGTGACTTAGCTTAGCGCGACACCCTGTAACCGAACTCCCTACCAAAAGCACGACCCCACCAAAAGCACGATTTAGCGAATTTTTTATTTCTTAATAATTAGATAACTATAAATCCGTTTTATATAATATTTCATATATAAGCTCTATATATATAATAAAATAATAAAATAAAATAATAATAAAGTATTTTGTATAATTAAAGAAAATATTTCAAAAGATATATATTTTATTTTATTTATTAACTTTTAATATATTTTAATAATAAATATAAAAAATAATATAAAATTATATAAGTTATATTTTATTTGTTATAGTAACTTAAAATATATAGAAATAATTTATTAAAACCTATTATTTCTAAATAAAATCCAAGTTTAAGTTAATTTTTTTACAAAAATATTTTTTTTAAAAAACTTTTTATAAAATAAAAGCTAATAAAGTATATATAATAAAAATTATTAATTTTATTTCTAATATTATATATAAGATATCTATTTATTAGTTAATCTTTATTAAAAGCTCTTTATATATTTAATTTTATAATTTTGAAAATATCGTATTTTAAGATATTATAAAAAACTAATAATATTAACTTTATTAATAATCTTATATAATAATTATGATTTCTTTAAGCTAATATTTATTTTAATAGATTTTATTTAAATATTCTTTAAGTAATATCTTTATTATAATTTTATATAAGCTTTTTTTAATTATTTAATATATAAATCTCTTAATTATTATTAATTTATAAGATATTAATAAAAATAGTATAAACTTTTTATTATAAATATAACTTTAAGACATAATTAAATAAAAATAATAAAGAGATTCTTATATATATTAATATAATATTTATAAATTCGATATTAAGTAATTAATAATATATATATTTATTATATTTATTTATATAAAGCCTTAATAATTATGATTTTTATATTTAAAATATCAGTTCTTATATAAGATATTATATATAACTTTATATCTTATTTTTATATCTTATAAATACTTTTTTATTTAAAATTAAAAATTAAAAAAATTAAAATTTTAAAATTTCAAATTATTAGTTTTATAATTAAGCCTTTTATACTTATAATATATATAATTTTAATATATATCTTAATTATAATATTATAAAATAGTAAATCTAGAATTTTTTTACTTTATAATATTATATAATATAAAAATTATATTAGTATTTATTATATATAACTAAAATAAGAAAAAGCTTATTATATTAAGAAGTATTAAGTATTTTGATTATATAATATACAAAGTATATTCTAACTATTTGAAAGATCCTATATTTAAAAAATTAGATCATTTTATAAAGTGGTTATTCTTTAATTAATTAAACTATTTTTATGTAAAACGTGCTTTTGGTGGGGTCGTGCTTTTGATAGGGACTTCGGTTATCTTAGTTCTCGAGCTCCCCGCTCCTTCTTCTTCCCTCTTTAGACGTACATTACACACCCAACAGAGCTGTTTTCTCTTGAAGACACCAGCCCCGGGTCGTGATAAACCTGGTGTCGGAGATACTGGAATGGATGGAGGCAATGCTACTGGAGATAATTGCAATGCTGGACTTAGTGGAGGTTATGGTGATATGGAAGGTACTATACTGTTAGAGCTTTAGAAGATTTTCTTTTTAAGACCATAAAGACTCCTGTGCAGACTTGCCCGAGGTGGAACTAAATAGTAAATCACTCCTTCTCTCTTCTTCCTCTCTTTCTAGCCTTGATCTTATTGACATAAAGAAAGTAAGCTCTCTTAAAGTTAGATAGACCAAGTCTTAAATATAAGCAAATCAAAAGGAAAAAATGCAATTCCGCATTACCCACTCAAATCTTACATCAACAGCCAGTCCTCGATCCCCGCAATTGCGTCTTGAAGAGAGATTTCCGAGAATTTGAGGCACAGCGAGTTGGCAAATCGTGTATTTGCAAATGTTGGACCGCGATTTCAGTGTTGTAGGGGCCAACCACGAGGAATTCGCAGACGAGCCAGGGACCTTGGCTCTTTGCAGTGGCTACGGTCACATGATTAAGCTTGTGCTACAATATGGAAGATTTAAATGAACAAGTACAAGGGCTATCAAACCCAATCTGGCGGTTACGGGATCTACATGAGCACTTTAAGCAAACTATTCTACGCTGGAAGGCAACATTTTGAATAATTGTCACGTGCAGCCTTTCTCCTCACCAACGACAACCAGGCTCAACACCACCATCCATCGCGGGCATCTCGATTTCATTGGCGCAGGATTAGTTGCCAGCATAGCCCTCGACATCTTGGGCCCCAGCCCAAGTCTCGACGGCAGACCACTTGGCCACAATGAAGTTCGCAGCCTCGCGTGAGGGCTACTGGTAGTTCGTTTCTGAAGGGGGCTTCCGATGGCGTAGCGGACAGTTTGAGAAGCTGAGCGAGCTGGTCAAAAGTTTATCGAACCGACCGCGAAGTCATGCAGGGGCCACACACCGCGAGAAATATGCGGAGAAGGGATGGGATGACGAGTCCCAAAAACCGAAGATCAGAAAGAAATAGATATTGCAGAAGCAAAAATAATCAAGGCCATTCATAAGGATTTGGCCTAGGAAAGTGCGATTGGCTCGCTCGCGAAATTCCCGACAAAGAAGTCACGCTTGCACGCTTGAGCCAAAACCTTTTCTCCAACAGCGATCCGAAAATTGCATTTCGATGGTGGCAGAGACGCGCGAGCTCTTATTAAAGAGCGGCGCCCGCCCCTTCTACCAAGATGATCATCACTCACTCCATCACATCGCCGCCCATCGAGATAAATCATCAGCCTCCCCCCGCACATTTACACTTGCGAATATCGGGTTGCGAAACCTAGACATAAGCCGTGTGATTATGAAGGAAGCCTTCTCTCAATCTTCGTTTTAGTTGCGACCGGACAGATCCTGACGCAGTCCTTCCTCCAACCTCCTCCACCTCGAACCAGATCTCAACCATCAACTCCGCGATGTCTTCATCAAGCAAACCGGCGATGGCCTCCACCAGTCGACGAAAGTCTTCGAAGAGCACCTTAACCGTCACCCTCAAACTGACACCCAAGGCTCTGCAGAGATTCGAACCTGCCACACTAGTCAAGGAAGAATCTCCATCAAAGGAGTCTTCATCAACAATTTCGAATCCACCGCCTGTCGCACCGAGCTCAAATGGAGACAATCCATCCGAGTCGAATGTCAATACACCTGCTGCCAACGGCACACCTGTCCCCTCGTCGATGCCACCACCGACTGAAGGGGTAAAGAAGAAGGGTGTGAAGAGAAGTGCAGGGCCTGCGTTAGGACCAGATGGGCTCCCCAAACCAAGGGGCAAGCCGGGCCCGAAGAAGAAGGCAAGATTGTGAGTATACCCCCTTCAACTGGTCTTACATCCGTCGTTCCCACGTCGCTGTATCTGGTCGTATTTGCATCGACCTCTCACAAAGATTCAAGACTGCGAATTCACTTGATTGTAAAGTTGCTAACTCATCGTGTAATAGGGAGGATGGTTCAATCGACCACTCGAGTACGGCACCGCGAGCCCCGAATGCTACAGCGGCTCACAAACTCGGTCCAAAGGCCAACCAAGGCGCTATCAACGCAGGTCTTCGTGCCCTCGATCGGTCTGGCAAGCCGTGTCGCAAATGGCAGAAGGGCAGCTTCACACTCAAGAGTTTCACTGGTGTCGTTTGGGAGATTCCACGCTGGACAGCACCACCAAAGATCAGGGCTGAAGGTACCTCGGGAGATTCTGCATCAGGGGACAGCAGCAAAGAGAACAAGGACAACAGCCAGCTGGCGAGTGAGAAGAGCGAGAAGAGCAATGGTGGCGCTGACATCGAACTTGGCAGCACGGCTAGCAACAACGCCAGCTCACCAGCACCATCAACCCTTCCGCCCTCGTCCGCACCAGCGGCCCCCGCCGTTGCTGCTTCCGCATAAACATTGGCGTCTTTCATACTGGGTCGTTGCACCTAGACTTGTATTAAGACATTCCGGTCACCGTCTGATTTCCTACCCCCACCTTCTCTTCGGTGGTTAGACACTGGACCCCAGGGCTCATCAGGGATTAGATGTACTTCTTGATTTGCTCTATTTGTGGAATCTTTTCGGCGGAAAAAAATGGCGTTGGACTGTGAACTCTACAGCATTGGCGGGAATGCTGGAGGGATGGGCATGGCGTTAGGGCGATGCATTGCGGCATTGTATTATAGACTGCATTACCTGTACCAGAGCGCAAGAATAAAAAAAAGAGGTTTCTTCGGCCTGTGCCCTGTTTTCAATTTATTCCTCATGGACTACAGACATCGTGAAGCAATACCTTAGACCTGTGGCCAGATGAGAGCAAACAACACCGAAGCCAGTCTAGAAAGAAGTATCCCAGTGCTTCATCACTTAAGTTTGAATGATACAACATGTTTTTAAATGAGACTCGGAGAAAATAATGAGTCCAACCGCGCACTTTGTCCCATCTTTAGAAGTTCACATTTGAAACAGTTCCTAGCGTACAACGTCTTACGAAATACCATAGGCTACCAAGTATTGATGAGTTGGAAGAGTCAAATCAGTAAGAATTAAATTTTGTGTCATCTAGATGTTTAGGGCTCTAGGAAGGTATCAGGTGTCATAAAATGCAAATTCTCTCCAAATAGGAAGTTCACACGTCTGCTCTCAAGTGACCTGATGCCCGACTGAGGATTAGGAAGTCAGGCCAGTGATTACACACCAAAGCGTAGTTGTTTTAAACAGTGACAACTCAACATGGTATCATAACTCCCAAAAATCAGATTAAATGATCGTAAGAGAGAAACACTTGGTCAGGAGTTATCTCGCATTAGTTGAAAGGTGTCATACCTCCGTCTCGTGACAAGTACATGGACTTCCCCACATGGCTCTATCGAGTCTAGTTCGCTTGGAGCTCCGCGCCTGTATTGCATCTTCGTCGTGCTTGATGATAACACATGTCGAAGAACTGGATTCCCAACCAAGTACAACTGACAAAATGAGCTCGCATGCAGGCCCCCAGCTGTGGTAGTGGCGATAAATCTATTTCCTTCCATATTCACAACATCTGCTGGCCATGAACAACCATCTTCCGCCAACACTCCCCACCTTAGACTCATTCGATTCACGGAACGCTTGATCTAAGGAAGGGGCTTATTCACAATTACGAGGCCAAGAGAATATCAGGCCAGCTCTTCGATATATTTCCCGCCCATCTACCGCCCACGAAACACGACCCCGAACAACTTTAACCTTCAACCACTCGCAGCATGACGAATTCGTATCCTTCGGGCTCACCGGGAGTTCCAGATTCGAGCATGCCGACTGGGGCTCCCGGATTCATGCCACGAAGATCTTCGTATGCCTCTGTCGTTTCCGGTACAGCTTCTGGAGCCTCCCAGCCTTTTCAACAACCTGCGAGGTCTGGCGCCTTCTCCCACCTCCTCAATCAGCACCCCGACTTCAGCTACGATTCAACCTACTCAAACTTCGGCGGACATTCGCGGTACGATAATAGAGTTTACGATATGGATTTCACTACAAATGGTGGCGGTCATGGACGACCAGGGTCCTGGGGGCGTGGCGGACAATTGCCGAGTTTCTCCAGTGCCTTTGGGCTACTCATGAATGGGCATAGTTATGGGGGTTTTGGCGGTGGACATATGGATCAGTTTTTCGTGCCATCGTATCTCAAGGGGTCAAAATATGTCCAAAGGCTGGAAGAAGCACACAAGGCGAAGTTGTCGGCACACAAGGAGGGACACTCGGCACAGTCTTCTCAACCAGGTTCGCTTTCGACAAGCGCAAGCAGTATAAATCTACATGCGAAGATGGCCCCTTCCCATCGAGGGATGACATATGACTTGATCGAGAAAGCCCCGCCCCTTGAAGACGAAACTCTAGCGCCCTTGCCCTCAAAATGGAATAATCAAGACAAGCATGGGGCGTTGGAGGTGCTGTCAGACGGGCAGGAGGTCAAATTTGCGGGCCCAAAGCCGGAACGAGATCGAGATCACGAAGCATACGCCATCAGGGCAGACCATCCCATGCCTCCGCAGTGTGGTATCTATTATTTTGAAGTGACCATAATTTCCCGGAAGAGAGAAGAGTATGGTGCCCCCCAACCCCACCCCACACACCAATTTACCGTTCAAGGTTCTGATAAGCTGTGCAGGAGTTCTATTGGCATTGGTTTCTCAAGTAAGACTGTGCCATTATCAAGATTGCCTGGATGGGAGCCAGAATCGTGGGCGTATCACGGAGATGATGGACATTCGTTTTGCTGCCAAAATTCAGGAAAACATTACGGTCCTCCATTCACAACCGGCGATGTTATAGGATGCGGTGTAAACTTTAGAACAGGATCTGCCTTCTTTACGAAAAACGGAGACCATTTAGGTTCGCACCTTCTTCCGTTGACAGAATCAACTTACCTTCTGAGTTCTTCATTGCTAACAAAACTGAAGGCACCGCCTTTCGCGAGATCAAGGGCAAACTTTATCCCTCAGTGGGAATGAAAAAGGCAGGCGAGCATGTGAGGGTCAACTTTGGGCAAAGCCCATTTATCTTTGATATAGATGGCATGATGTCGGCAAGTAACCATAATTTCATAAGTTCTCATTCTGTTAACCCACATATCCCCTTTTCTGGCTCTGCTACTTCCATCGGCGGATTGGCTCTCGACGGCCCTTCCGGATCTCAAACATCTTCTACAATTACTATGGATGCTGGATCTGCTACTGCGAATGGTGACTCCGAGGGCTCACCCGCCGAGAACGATCACCAACCGAGCAATGGAACACTGGCAGAGATCATTTATCCACCTCGCATTAGAACATCCACCGAACGCTCCCAAGAAGAGATTCGCCTGGCACTGGGTCGTGAATGGGAATCAGGCGATCCAAATCCTCTCGGTGAACTCCGGCTCACCGCAGAGCACGTTGTCGGCCTCTCCCATACAATGTACCGCTTGCTACAGAGATATCGCATATTCAATAGAGCAACCCCACGACGGCGACGAGATGTACGGTCAATGTTCCGCGAACGCTTGAACAATGAGCGGCTATCTCGTATACTCCAAGTCAGGGACTCGGAGGACGGCGCTTTAGATCTGTTTCGGACAGTTCGAACGGAGATATTGTACGAAATCGCGTTGAACAATGAGTTGGGGAGTGTCCTAGACTACCCTGGCTCGGAGATTGAGCCGCGAAGTCAATCACAGTCACCAGGAACCATTGTTGTTTCGGCCGACTCCAGGAGAGAAACGATGCATGCAATGAGGAGAGCTCTTAGGATTGTCAACCCTGTTTCGTACAATACTACCAGCCGAGGAAGACAGCCAGAAGCCCCGGAGAGAGTTGCTGAAAGTCCCACTCCATTCTTGGACAATACAGCCAGCCCAAGAACACAATCACAAACCGTTGTTGTTTTCCGTCCTTCAGGACCAAATTTTCGGACTTGCCTTTTTTCAAATATATGGACTAATTTTCGAGAACAGTCAGAGAAGAAGCACATTAGGCAAGAAATCGATGCAACTAGCACGGCAAAGCTTGCTCCGCCTCTCAGCGAGACCGAGCTTATCCAGTCTCTGGTAGGTCATATCTCTCTGTATCGACGAAATGCTTGTCTAAGATTAGCAGGTCCTTCAATTCCTGACACATGACGGTTATGTTGAGACAGCTAAGGCCTTTTCCGAGGAGGTCCATGCCGAGAAGAAAGCTTTAAGTCTAGATCCTAATGCAGCGGTAAATGGCTTTGAGGCGAAAGAGGATGAGGATGCTGGTCATCGACAACGTTAGTATTCTACAAATCGTCCGCCCCTCAATCTAATTCTTTCCTAGGAATTCGAGCTGCTGTTCTTGACGGAGATGTTGAAAAGGCCCTCAAATACACAAACGCTTTCTATCCAAACGTGCTCAAGGACAACGAACATGTCTACTTTCGATTACGCTGTAGAAAGTTCATCGAGATGATACGCCAAGGAGCTGAACTTCACAATTCTACCTCTACGAATGGCACCAAGAAGAGCAACGGTCACAGTGGGGACTGGTATGATGATATCATCAATCAAGAGATGGATGTCGATGATCATCCAAATCAGAGCAACAACTGGGACAGAATGGACACGGAGGAACCTTCAGGAAACCAAATGGAGTACCAGAGACTATTGTCAGACACTTTAGCTTATGGGCAGGATCTTCAGGCAGAGTTTCAAAACGACCCGCGGAGAGAAGTCAGCATGGCTTTGAAGGACGCCTTTGCTCTAATAGCATATGAGGATCCGATCAATGCCAAGGAGGTTTCTCATCTGCTGGACCCCAGCGGTCGGGTAGCAGTGGCTGAAGAGCTGAATTCTGCAATCCTATGTAAGTTTAACTGCTGACGGCTACTCCACCGCTTCTTTCTGCATATCTGACAAAGCACAGTATCTCTCGGTAAATCTTCTTCCGCAGCTCTTGAACAATTATATCAACAAACCAGCATCCTCCTCGAAGATCTCCGAGAAGGAGGTGGACCAGGTGCTTTCGTAAATATTGACGACTTCGCTCGACCTAAGATCGGTCAATGAGGTCCCCACAGGCGAACTCCGGCGCCGCATAGTTGCCTTGGTAGATGGGACCATATTGCCCGAGGCGTTTTCCTTTTCACAACTCAGCATGCATGCATTGTGACAGGTGTATCGGGCCGGGTGGGCAACGAGTTGTTGTCCCTTATTCCCCGGCATTGAAATTGGCTCGTTGATCTTAGATGCAGGTGGTCGGATGGAGCTTGGTTAGGCTGGATGGGGGTCTGGGTGGACATTGACTTGAATGATTTTGCGAGGTGCTTGGTGCGTGGATAGACCGGATTGTGTCGCCGAGGCGATGGTTATCATTGTTCATAGGAATAAATCACTCTCAAGATATGTGAGTAGCTGTGCCTCCGGACGTTCTTCGTTTGGCGCTTGCGAGGGGTTTGATTTACGAGAGTATGAGTTGAACCAGGAAGATTGAACAGGTTTGACCATCATGCACGCCAGCTTATTATGATTTTGTCTCGTCTTGAACGTTGAAGGGAACGATGGGAAACCTTTTGGTACGCGCGATGAATGCCTCACTCAATATCGGCCCAATGTTCGAAAGATGTGGGTGGTATAATGAGATTTCCCTGGAAGCCGAGACTGAATCTTTCGAGCCATCCTTTTGTTGCTCGTGCTCAATCTTCGTACGCAATTTCGAAAAGTTCTGGTACAATGAGATTCTGGACTCCAGTTGGCAGTTGAGAGTAAATCCCCAAGTCATCCATTTGCTGCACATCACACTCAATGTCCCAAAGTTCTGGTATATTGAGATTGTTCTTGAAGTCGAGAGAGGATCCTTACAACTCACTGCCTCAGGTATTCTGCACACCTCTCACCCAATGTCCCTCGACTTAGGTACTGGTTTTGGAAACAGAGTGCAAAGTAGTTTTGAGAGAATCTGTGTGACCTTGGAGAATCATGGGGAGTCTGTGAGAGGCGATGACGAGGTCGTTGAGACAAATATATCACTTCTTGTTGCTCGCTCTATGTACAGCCAGAACCTCATCGGGCCGTAAAAGATAAACTGTATACAAGAACCCATTGAAACTCCGAAAAATGCAACCTTTCTTTACCTAGTCTTCAAGAGCATTTATCTGCTTCTTGATGAATTCGAAAGCCGAAAAAAAGATCGAGTTCACAACACATGATCGACCCATCGAGACTCCTAAGCCGCGGTACATCCTCTTGTTGAAGAATTGGATCTTCGGCGCCTTCTCAACCCTTTCGCCCTTGCAATGCGTAAGACAATTTCGTTGATAGATCGATTTCGCGGAGTCGATCGGATAAATCAAAGCCCAACTTGCCACTCCACATAGCCCACCAGCAACCACTACGGCGAATGGATTTGTGGGAGATTTATCGCGGCGGTATGTGGTAAGGATCTGCTTACTACTTTCATAGGTCATGAAATAGATCGCAGTACCTAACGTATCTCGGACTACGCTAGATCAGTATACTGCCATGGAACACACATCACCTCAAACTTACGCAGATGCAGATTGAAGCCAGAGTATAGCCCCATGAATCCACGATGCTTCACAATGTTCTTTGCAGTTTTGAATGTGCCCTTGTTCTGGTAGCTTGAAGCAACGGCAATAGTCCTTCCGGTGGCTGGCTCGGAAACGCTCGTGCGATTTCGATCTGCCATGAGAACTGATACTTGAGCGCTAAGCTTGGTCAATTCAAAAGGACCTTGATTGGTTAGTTGATTGGAGAGCCAGTCCTGGTTTGCTACTACTCACATGCTACCAGTGTGATGAAAGATCCAGCTGTAGCTCCTGCAGCTCCAAAGCATGCAACTGTAGAGAAAGTCGGATAGGTCCCAGGAGTGTTAACATGGACAAGAGGGTCTACGCCGAAATTGCGCTTGAACCAGGCGGCGTAGGTGTACTTGGATCTTTGGTATACAGAGAATGAAATCGTGCGGACCAGAGTAACGCTTGCCATAGGTGCCGTAACCCCTCGAAAGAAACCCCGCCACTTCTCTGTCTTGTAGGTATGCCGAATGCAATCCGTAAAGCTGTCATATTTGTACGTCTGCATTCGTGTCTTCACGGAGTCCAATGGAAACTAGATCGAGTCAGCAATTGACTGATCGCTGGCATGCACTGGGACGTCCTACAGCGGCGAACGTGGACAGGATGGAGCTCAGGGATGCAGCAACCTCCGTCCGATATCTCTTGACCCATCTTCTCTGCTGGTACGGGTTTGCTTCCGGAATGTTGGCCAGATGGTCGTGTTGGATCCCATCTCGCTGACCGGGCCTCACGGGCATCATGGCAGGAACAGTGGATCACGGCGAGCGTTGTGAGACGAGAGTCTCCTCAACGTGCTCGCGATGGAGACAGGTCAGGATAGTCCATGAAGTCTTCTGTCGACTGGCAAATGCGACGGAAGAGGTGGACTGCAGTTTTGCAATCGCGAAGGGAAGCGTATTTCGAAAGTTGGGCGGCGTCTTGCGGGGTCGAGATACTGTTTGAAATGGTACGAGTTACATGTACCTCTGTGGTGGGAGGGAGTGGAGGATCTGGAGGAAGTGGTGGAAGTGGTGGAGAGAGCCGTGTGGCTCGGGCGTGTGCGGACCAGGTTGTGATTAGCTCAGAGGGGTGGAATGAAGTCATACCCTCTGAATGGACAGCTGCTGCCGGCCTCGCTTTAGCTTCCCCTGCACCCTCCCTTGCCTGCAATCGGATTATCCCACATGTAGCACAGTTAGCAAACAGGATCACATCCTGCAGCTTCACACGGCTCGCAGAAATCTTGACCAGCCAGGCCATCCCAGTCCCCGAGCATTTCCCCGCAAACCGCAAACCGCAAAGCTGAAGGCTGAACGGCAGTCCACAAGGCAGTCCTGCTCCTGCTCAAGGATGGCGGCCTGCTCGTGTCTTTGCCTCCAATCAACGCCAAGCCAGGAGAACTCAGTTGTGGCAGGCCAGTAGTTTTCAGTCGGGAGTGCTGAGATGCTTATCTATTGCGATTGTCTCAAAAGCGGACAGGTGCACCTGCAGAGTAGGTACGAAATAAGGCCTTGCTTTTTACCCGTATTGAGCCATGGTGATCATCCACAACCCAATACACCTTTCGTGCCGTGTTTGCATAGTACAATATTGATGCACATATGACAAGTATCTTCTACGGGGATTCGTTGATCAAGCGCCTAGGCTTCTGCTTATATCATTGGACGATCTTCTCATATTTGAATGGTCCCAAGCCCTCGAAGTATCCCCGTCGAAAACAAAGGGAGGGTGGTGATTGTTGATGGCCGCAAGGTAGTCTTCACTGACAGAGAGGCTCACAGGATCCGTAAGGAAACTATTCTTACCACTCTCATTCGGAAAGGATTTTGGGCACGTGGTTTCTTGATCTCAGTCGGATCAGGAGGTTATTTCATCTCCAAGGCCTCATAAATAAACTGTAGGGAGTCTGCGGGGGGCCTCCGTTCGGGCTTTGAGCACTCTCATGGTATTCTCCCAAGACCAATTTCCCGCAACCCTCCCATTGTCCCTCGCCTTGTGGGATCACTGAAGTGCCAGGGCGATACTACCATTCTCAATGGCCGAAAGCAATTGTAAGTTGAATCCAGTGCCGTCTGCTGCTAAGATTGGCAAAAGCCGACTTGCATTGCAGTTCTCATCGCAAGGCACGCTATCCTCGCAAGTCACAGCGGCTGATGGCTGATCGTGAGAATTCTCTCTGCAGGACGAGAACTGCTTCCAGGGCCCTCCCCGAAGAGTTAACCGTAGAGCGCGGCCAAGGGTGAGAGCATCAGGGAAGAGCCCCAGTAGCACGAAGACAATGTCTTCTTTTCGAGCCTAGATGGTAAGATTGCAGATGACCCGCCGAGATGCTGATGAAACTTCGGGTTATTGCTTAATGGATGAGGCATTGAGCGCGGCACCATGGCGATTTCGGGAGGTTTTGAATGCGGATGGCCAACAGCTCAGCGCAGGCAAAGACCCATACTATCGTTGAGCATGGCCAAAGTCATTTGATAATGAAGCCTCGCAGTTCCCTGGACCTGTCTCTGGACAGTGGTTGGTTTCTTGTCTTTTCTAATGTGATAATCAGGACGTGCATTTGAGAACCCCCTTTCCGGGAATAACATACCTTTCGTAAATGTGTTTTTTCTTCTCCCAATACGCCGTGTGCAACAAATTTCTGACAATTCGATGCTCGAGTCCTGCCTCCTTTGCCGCAAAGCCGAGGAATTTGACGGTTCTGTCTATCTTCTCTTGGTTGAAAGATGAAGGGTCCTCAACCCGAAAGGCCCTTCTTAACTGATCCCGTGCGATATATCTGGCTGGCTTTGAGTACTGAACTGCGTGAAGAAGGCCCCTATATAGGTGTCGATATGCATGAATGATCTTTTGCGGGCTTGGAGTCGACATTGCTCTGTGGATACTGAAGCACAATTTGAGATGAGAGAAAGAACAAAAGCTGTCCCGGAAATACTTGGAGAAGCACGTGCAGAATGCAAAAGATCTTCGCTAAGATCTTGGCGGCTACGGGCCTGAAGCGGCCGTCGTCCGGCTCTTGACTCCGGACTTCACCTCGGACTGGAGTGAGGTGGAAGACTAACTTACCGTCATCCACATACAAACGACCGACCTATGCAGTACCTCACGAGATTAATGTTCACCAAATGAGCTCTCTCGTCTCCGAATTCCTAATAAACCCTGTTCTTCGCCAAGCCCGTCGATTCTCTCGTACCAGTCACACGCACGACCAAATCGGCCCTCTTTCTAGTCAACGGTCAGCCGAAACTCAACATGAAGTGGCGATTGCGGATATAGTCGAACGTCTGGAAGGGCTCAATGAGTCCGGAAATGGAGGAAGCGGTGCTATAGAGAGCCTCTCTGGGGCTTCTCTCACATCGTCCCCCATTGAAGACAATGGAGGACTTGAGGCAGAGCTTCAAGCTCTAGAGGCTGGCCGGACCCCGACTATACCAGCGCCCTTTAGCTCTGCACACGTCGTGCCCTTACGGGTGGCATCTTTACGGTCAGAGCCAGGCCAAGTGGACGATGATGTTTCGGATAATCCATCCTTTGGCGTCCCGGGACGTTTCCGCACGAGCCCGCCCTCGAGCGATACGGGCCACAATGCTGCGAGCATGAGTCCTGCTGGAGGGTCCTCTAGACGTTCGACATTAGAAGGTGGACAGCCTGGATCGAGCAATCACCATAGGACTAGTTCACTGCCTGAAGACGATGGTATGGGGGCTTTAAGGCATCAAATCATCATGATACAGTCAATGGACGTCCCAGCTGAGCAGAAAGCTCGACTGATGCATCGTCTCTTGACTCGGGGTTATTCTCAAGCACAAGAAATGTTCCATGCAAGGCATCAACCGTCTGCGCACTCTCAAGCTAGTATGATCAGCCAGGAGAGACCTAGTACACCGGCTTCCTTGAGCTCATTCATTTGGCAAATCAATGGTGCACTAGATGCTGCACCCCCAGAACAGCAATATACCTTCCAGCTCTCTCCGGATGATCTCCGACCCACATATGCACCTCCTAATCCACCAGAAACGGATGAAGATGGGGACATCAACGTGGAAGAGCAAACCCCGGTTCTTGGCTGCCGCCATTACACAAGAAATGTCAAGCTTCAATGTTCGTCTTGCGATCGATGGTATACATGTCGATTGTGCCATGACGAGGCAGAGGACCATATTTTGAACCGAAAGGCAACCAAAAATATGCTCTGTATGGTTTGTGGATGTGCGCAACGGGCTGGTGAGTTCTGCGTTGGTTGCGGCGAAAGAACGGCCTGGTATTATTGTGATGTTTGCAAACTTTGGGACAATGACTCCACCAAAAACATTTATCACTGCCATGATTGTGGTATATGCAGGAAAGGCAGAGGTCTTGGAAAAGACTTTTTCCATTGCAAGGTGTGTACTTTCCAGTGGATTTTATGACTATCTAACACACGCTTTAGACATGTGGCACCTGCATGTCCATGGCAGTAGAGCACTCTCACAAGTGTATTGAACGGGTTTCAGATTGCGATTGTCCCATTTGCGGAGAGTACATGTTCGATTCCCCATCCCGCGTGGTCTTCATGCTCTGTGGTCATAGCATACACAAGGCATGTTGGGATGAGCATATGAAATCATCCTACAAATGCCCCATATGCAGCAAAAGTATGATCAACATGGAGACGCAATTCAGGAATCTAGACCGGGCTATCCAGAATCAGCCGATGCCTCCTCAATTCCAAGATACCAAGGCTATGGTATCATGCAATGATTGCTATGCCAAAAGCGCAGTCAAGTACCACTGGCTCGGCCTCAAATGTGCCATCTGTGACTCGTACAACACCGCTCAACTTTCAATCCTAACGGACCCAGAGGTAGATGTGCCTCTGATTGAGCGCCGGGAAGCTGAAAATGGTTCACCTCCTGCCCCCGCAAATGACGAAGGCACAGCACCCACTGGTCTCGCGCCTGGGCCAGGTCTTGTGCGGATTAGAAGACATTCTTCGCATGTGCAAACACCTTCGACGTCGCTTGGGATATCTGACCGATTCTCGCCCTATCCACTCCCTCAACGCATTGGACGATCTGTATCACCCGTGCGAAGCTTGGGACTTCTAGAAGAGACCGTGGTCAGTCATGCCATGGAAACGGACGATTCGGCGGAGGAGGATGATCTTGACTTTTGGGGTCGAGACGAACGAAGGAGCTTTACTTCAGCTGATATTATGGATGATGAAATGGAAGATGAAGAAGAATCAGATGAAGACTCTGCCATGGACGAGTGTGATGACGAAGATGGTGACGAAGATGAAGATCAGTTTGAGCTGTTTGGGCACCGTTAATTTTAGGGCTGGGAAGAGGGCAAGGCATTTGGTTTGGCGTTTTTTTACAGTCGCATGAGAAATATTGGGCAGTGGATACCTAGATATGGAATGGTAGGGCGTTTGGATTCGGGGCAAGGGAGGTGGCTCATTGTCTATACCTAATGGCGCCGTGAACCTCGATAATTCGATTACATTCGTGGTCATAACTTTTGCCTCCCAGATCTGCCGATCCATGACCCTATCTTCCATTGTCCCAGAACTCCCTTAGACATCTAACACCCTCTAAGGTGGCTTTTGTATTTTCGTCCGCTCCTCAATGCCCTGCCAGATCTGAATATTTACTGATACGAATCCTTCGAAAGAAGTAGTTCGAAGGATAACAGACCCAGTCCCGTATTGCGTCGGTCCTTCAAAGACCAGCTTCACCGACGGAGCCCTCTCATACAAGCTCTGATGTAACCAATTCTTCGCTCAAATACCCGTCCATTTGCCCAGGCCCCATCATTGACTTCTCGACTCATGCACCTTGATAGTCTCATCGGCCTCCCGCTTCAACTCCTTGACAACTGACTGCGTAAACATTAGCTGCCATCCCACAACGCCACACGGAGAAATAAACCGAAAGTGCTTCTGGGTTGACGCCATTCTCAATCAGCGATATGCAAATTGACAGTGTCTGGCGATCAAGGTCTGCGTTCTATATCGTGTATCAGCTTGCGTTCCTGCTGGACGCGACGGTGTACTAACCAGTAAGGTAGAGATCTCGTGGAAGACATCGATGACTTGACGTGCTTGCGCCTGAGTGGCCTGCTTATCTTGTTTGCTCTCTCCTTCGGGCATTTTGTGGTTTGGTTTGATAGGAGCGGTTGGGCTGATGCTTGTTGAAGTGGTTCAGCGAGGCTGATGATCGACGCGGTTTTCGCGTGTTCCGATCTTTCAACACCTGCCCCGCATCACGCCCTGCAGCTGACGAAATGCATAACAATGACAACACCCGAGTTTACGTTTTAACTCCAAACTCTTCATGAATATAAGTCGTCATGAATCTGAATTTAACAAGCCATTCTTGAGAGTCTCTGTCTTGTATTCTTACTTCACATTGTTCAACATGTCTCCAGCACATTGAAAAGCACACAGACCACTTCTCACAATGTCTACCAAATCCGAGCCAGCACTCACTGGATGCTGCCAATGTGGTCATGTCACATACTCTTCTTCCTCTCTTCCCGACGAGTTCACCAACTGCCACTGCCAAACCTGCCGAAAGCTCTCCGGCGCGCCATTTCTCACATTCGGACGCTTTCCAACATCCGCAATCACGTGGACCTCAGGAGAAGAGTCTCTCACGAAGACAACATACTCAGAATTGGCAGAGCGCACTCACTGTGCTGCTTGCGGAAGTCCGATATCTATGCAGTATAAATGCCAGCCGGGGTTGATTAGTATTACAGCTGGAACCATTGATGAAGATAGTGTGAAGAAGGAGTTGCCGAAGATTTCGGAGCATATTTTTGTTGAGAATGGGAAGAAAGCTGGGTGGTATGACATACCTGATGACAAGATTCTGAGATATTCTAAGTTCCCACCGAGCTTCCAGAGGAAGATCGAGGAGTGGAAGAAGGTTGTGCCAGCGCCGGGACTGGGATAGGGGCTTTGCTTGCCTCCTGAATGTTCCCGATCTTCATGGGACAATGGGACTCTACAAGTTGTTTGTCCAGAAATTGCTGGAGTATTAGCTAACTTGTGGATTTGGGGCCATATTTTATTCGTGGAAGACACATTGTAACCTAGATGCCTAGTGTGTGAAGCTCCCTATAGGTTTTTCTACAGCACTTCTGGCACTACCCATGATAACTTGAAGGCGTCTCTTCTAAACACAAAAGTTCCTCCTTCCAACTACAATGATCTAATCTCATGCCTTGAGCGCTTCCACAAAAAGCTCCCTCATACCCTTCAACAAAACGCGCAATTCCCTACACTCATTGATCTTCTCGAGCACCCGCTCGACCTGTTCTTTCTCCAATTTAGGCTTGCAGTATGGAATCTCATAGTCTCTCTTCGTAGCATCCAGCTCAAACCACACTTCTCGAGTCCAGTCCCTATCATCTAGGTGCGTGAAGACAAATTTGAGGTGGTCGTTCATTCCGGCTCCTTCGATCCTCAACCCCAGAGTTGAGGTCCAGAAGTCGAGTTCGGGGATATTGAATCTTGACTGCGCGTCAAGGTGTTGAGCATGCGCCCGCTGTGCAGCCAGACGCGTATCGATTTGTCTCTGTGTGTCCTCGATCTGCTGCCTGAGATTCTCCTTCGTCGCAAGTTGTGTATCCCGCTGTGCGCTCAAATTCGCAATGGCCGCCTTCATCTCATTTGTCTCCGCAGCTTCTTTCGCAAGCGTTTGGTTATGTGTTGTTGATTTCTGGGAGAGAATCTCGATGTCCCTCTTCTTCATTCGTTGATCCTCTGTATTTTGTCAATAACAAATCATGTAAACAATCTTCCGCTCATACCTTTCAATTCGGTAACATTCATTCGGAACTGGTTCCTTTCCTCTAAGACCCGCTTCCGCCCTTGCTCTATGAAAGTATCGAATTTGACTGTGAACTTTGCCATTCGGTCGCGGAGCTCGTCGAAGCCGAAGTTGATACTCGGCAGCGAGTCAGCCATTGAAGGCGCGTCAGCCGTTGAGAGCGGAGGGCGCATCGTGCTGGTGGGAAGTGAGGGCTCAAATGCGGTCGACATAGTGAGTTATCTGGTGGATTTGCCAATGTGATATCTTTCAATGGAGTTGCGTTTTCTGAAGTTGTGGTCTCAGAAGCCAAGTGGGTATTGTCATGGGCTGGCCTCCGTTGCCGAGGGAACCACTAGTGTCCGATAAGCTTTTAGATACGAAATTTCCGAGCCCAATTCCAGTTCCTTTCGCAACGACTCTGTACACCTCACCTGAGAATGAATATCTAGGACACTCTTTACTCGACTTCGAATATTGATCATTTCAGCTAGACATACAAGTATCGAAATGATTGCTTCAGCATCTCCCGCTTCCCGACGTCGACCAAAGCCAAATGACTGATCACCGAGTTACTGACCTCTCCTACGGTCACCTTGGAAAAGCTTCTTACGATACAGAAGAAAATGAGTGGACGTTTTCAAGTGCGAAAGATCAGAGTGAGCTACGTCTGAAGTTCTGCGAGGCTTCTGCTAACCATTCCCTAGATCAGCGCATCCAACAGCTTCTGCCTTTAACGGAACGCTTTCCCCCCTCATGTCAGAATGCGCCTAGGAAAGATGGTTCACCTTATCAAATTGCAAAGTCGCAACTGAAGTGGCTTTTGAAGACTCGACCAGAGACATTTCCTGCAAATACCATCACATCCACCCTAGCGAAAGCTCATGATACTTGTCAAACTGAGCTCTCACGCTCTGGATCCCTCTTGACAGTGGCACGTGCGGTGGACGTCGATCGAATATCCAGATCTCGAAGACCACGGATATTGTGCATGCCTTGTGGAGGAGCAGGGCATATTCTTCAATTGATAAGACCCAATACAGAGAGGCGTGGATGGGGAAAGCACAGTGCAGCCAAGGTTTCACTCCTCGAGTTGGAGTCATCAGAGCAAGGCTATTGGATTGGAATAGGTGGTGCCATTCGGCAGATTGAGAGTGCTGATGATGAGAACGAGTCAGGGACCTGGCTTGCAGTTCGCCAGGACACTATCATCACAATATTCCGACCTCTGTATGGCAAACTCTACAAGACCACGGGACCTCCTACTGGATTTCGCACGGCAAACTCCTCTTCGAGACTCAATCCTAATCCTGTGGCTACGTTGACTGGTGGGAGAACAACGTCCGAGGATTACATGGATGTTTCATTCAATCCATGGTATTCTCGACAATTTGCGGCGGTAGACGCGCGAGGTCATTGGTCTATCTGGGACCTCGAACGACGAGATGGTAAAGGCTCACCAGAACGGTTGATATCAGGGAAGAGAGGAAATTTTTATCACGGTCCTGCACTGAAACCCCATCCAAATGATCACCCTGATGGCTGGTATCGGATATTGTGGGCATGCAACATCAACACAATTGTTGTCTGTAATAGGCGCCAGATTTCTGTCATTGATATGAAATCCGCCCTGGTTAGACTTCCGAGCACTGAAGTTCTCGCTGGAAACAGCACAGAGTGGATGCTTGATCTAAAGCGAAGCCCCGAGCATCTGAATTACTTGTTTATTTTGACGACCTCGCGAATTTTTTGGGTTGAAATTATCCCACCTGGGGAACTTGGAGGAGGTCCAACCGCCTCTAGTGGCATCAAAGTGATACTTTCGTATCGGCACTTCAGAGATCCAAACGACGAAACTCTAAGACTTACTCTGGTCAATAATGATCCCGGTATGGTTTTCTTCAAAGCACATGAAACCGAGCTAACCACATTTAAAGTCACCGCATTCATTTTCTCCGGCAAGAGTCTTCTTATAAATTATTACTGTTTTGGGATCAACACAGATGCTCCCGGTTTAGGAACTTCCTTTCAAGGATCATTTACACTCACCTCGGACTCCGATGAGCCTGAGAAGGGCCACAAGTCCTTGCAAACACTGTGTGTTGTGCCAGCGCCCTTGACATCAACTTCGTTCACAAGCTCTGCGGGGCCAGAACTTCAATATCTTGTACAAGACGTCAGATTCTTCCAATTATGGGCCTTAAACGCAGACCTTGGATTGGATTCCACACTGTTATCAGTTCATAGGTCTGACTCCGAAGGAATATCGCGGCCCAGACTGCTTATTACGGCTCCACCTTTCAAGCTCACGCAGTCCCTGCGTCCCCAAGGACCCCAGTTTGCGAAAGACTCATTTATCGTGGCTGATGGTATGGACGATGAGCGTTCTCTTGGCAACGGATATACTATTCATGACAGTGGGGTGCATTCTACTACCGGCCGAAACAGAGATGACCTACGCTTCAGACTGAATTGGAAGGTGATCTTCCAGCAAGTCTTTGGTCTTAGCAATGTCCAAATCGAAAATGATGATGAAGTTGTTGAATCAGCAGAGGATGGAGAGCAGAGACTAAAAGAGTTTCTGGATCGTGCATTCTCTCATATACAAGAAGGAATAAAGGAGGAGAAGCTTGCAAGCAGCTCTCTGTACGTAAAACACTTTTGCCTCTTGCATCCTTATGTGCTAACCTTAAGTAGACATGAGATTATCGGAATTTTAGGCCCTTCGGGAGATATTGAGCCAGCCGCTGCGCGTCTTCGCCAGTTTCTGGACGCTCTGCGCCAAGTTTATAGTCCAGAGGAAACCTCAACATTCAACTTCGTGCTGTCAGACCTTACAGCATGCCCCGCAATTCAGTTCCCCTTGGAGCAAGCAACCAATCACCCAGACCCAAAGATTGTCTTCAATCAACTAATTGATAATTGGATGGCCAGTCTTCCACGCGACGTTTCGAATAAGGCACGGCTATCAAAATTCAACATCATACGTCAGACTGCCGTTGAACTTTACCTGAGTTCTTTTGCGGTGTCGCTCCGAAACAAGGCAACTGATGTGAACATCGGGACGGTTCAAAATGACGACGATGATCTTACTCTGCCCGAACCGGACACCGAGTACGGCACAACTAGAGAAAGCTCGCCTGTAAACTTTTCTTCTCGACAGGTTCCATTCCCTAGGAGTCAGCCAGATTTCAACTTGCCCACGCCCGCGCAAACGCCCTCATTGTATTCGCGTGCTACCTCAGCGTCTGAACATAAGGAGGATCCAGCAATAACCCGCTTGCGGCAATATGCAGTCTTCATCAAACCCAAGCCTGACTTTGGAAAATCCACGATTCTCTCACAATGGCCCTCGAATCCTGGCAGCGATCCAGCCAACTACTCGTGGGAAGCGAAACAGAAAGGTGCTGAGGAAGATCAGCATGGCGCAGAAAGAGAACAGCGGAATCGTAAGGAGGAAGCTCGCCGCCGCAAAAGGACGGAGAAGTTTTTGAATCAAGAGCGAGATCAGACTGCAGAGGTTACATCGCAGCCGATGGTTGTTATCCCTTCTGGAAGCCAACCTGCAGTTGCCCACAATGGTTTCAGTTCGCAAACCGTGGAAGATGTTCCCATGACTCAACCAGATAGAGGAGCTTTCGGGAGTCGTTCAGTCCAGAAGAGCAAGAAGGCAAAGAAACATAGGACTGCAGGATTTTGAAGAGTAGATGGAGATTAGAAGATAGAGCAGAAGACCGTGGGGATTTTTTATGAATCCGACTACATTCGGGACCCTCAACAGACGTAGACTCGTTGTATCAGCACAATTGATGGAAAAATTTCCGTGTTACTGCCACTCCCCTCTCAATCATTTGAAGAATATCTTGTTCGATAGTTCGAGGAAAGAGCTGATCGAGAGTCGTGAATAAATCTCTGGATGAATGTAAGAATACAAAGGCACTTTGGTCATTCAGACTCAGGATCCATGTTATTATTCAGTTCGAATTCCGAACATTTACAAGGTCTCGTCATCCGGTGTCCGAAGAGTGACTCGAATAATAAAGCCCCTGATCTAGTCATACACCGCGAATGTATGGGGTCGGAATGGAACATTGGACCTTTTCTGGACGTCCAAGCTTCTGATTGTCCAGGGCAGATCGAGAATATTGGCGGTGATCGTTCTAAAGTTGGATGGTATAATATAACGAGGGAGAAGCTCGGAAATGTAACAGATTCAACAATGATGATTTTCAACCATGCGAGATTCAAACCCCCAAAAATGATGACTTAAAGGACGAAGGTTGGTCATGTGAAATTGCCCCTCGTTTAGCCCGCCACCCGCTCAAACCCCCTCTTGATCTTTTTATATTGCTTCACACAAGCCTCCACACCTTCTCACAATCATCGAAATACGTCAAAATGTCTGGTCACTGCCATGAAGATCACGACCACTCAGGTCACGGCCACGATCATGCCGGACATGATCACTCAGATGACATAACGCCCGCTTTGCAATACTCGCTGTACCAACACATCAGCTTCGACGACATCACCACCAGCAACGAATCCGAGCCGCACTCCGGAAAGGCGATTATAAAAAAAACATGGGCCGAGCGACTGGAAGCTGAACCGGAGCTAGAGAGTGACGCCGACGAGCAACTATTGATGCACATTCCGTGCGTTTGCATTCAGGACCTCTAGACTTGGACGAGGCTAACAGCAACCCACAACAGCTTTACAGGCCAAGTCAAGCTCCACTCGATTCTAGTCCGCACCTCCAACTCCTCTTCAGCTCCCCAAACTCTCAAAGTCTTCATCAACCGCGACGACATCGACTTCTCACTCGCAAATGACCTAGCCCCAACCCAAGATTTCTCCCTCTCCCAGACCTCCGAGATCCAAGACATCCCTGTCAAAAGAGCTCTCTTTGGCAAGGTGCAGAGTCTGACGTTATTTGTGGAGGACAACTATGGAGACGATGTGACGAGGATTAGTTATCTGGGGTTCAAGGGCGATTGGATGCAGTTGGGAAAAGCGCCTACGAATATTCTGTATGAGGCTGCTGCGAACCCGGCGGACCATGCATTAAAGGGTACGAATGTTAATCAGATGGGGAGCAGTCTTGGGGGTGGACATTGAAACTAGTGGTCCTTGAACAATGACTGGGAGATAGGCAGTTGACTAGGCAAAAGGTCCAGGCATAGTAAGTACATTTAGCTGTTGGCTTACATATGTGACTTTGATGGCGTTTCCGGAAATGGATCAGGCGAGTGAAGGGGAGCATGCTTTTTGCATGGCTAAGGTGTTCGGAATGTTCTTGGGTTTGGGAAACAATCAAAAACTTCACAATACGTTGAGAAGTAGTAAGAACGAATTCAAGTCTAGATCAATGCCCTAAAAGCACTACATGAAATCGTCCTCCAAATCCTCTCGATCTTGGTTGTTCACATCTTCTGGGTCTTGTTCCTGAAACAGTTCATCATAAGCATGGTCTTTCTGCCATTTCTTTTCTTTCCGCTCTTGAGCTATTTTGGCCTCTTCCCTCTTCTGCATATGTATTAGTTTGTAGCCATTCTAGGTGGGAAGGACGCTTGCCCGCTCCAATTTTGCAGCTTGGTCTTTCTTTCTCAGGACTTTCAATTTCTCCACCCTTTCCATAGCCAGGTCTGGGAACTTTTCGACTTTGGTCTTGTTCAGGCGATTGACGATAGGGTTCTCTCTCTGAGATACAAGGACTTTCTTTACCTAAAACAAGACTCAGTAGACGGCTTGACCCAAACAATATCCGACGAACCTTTCGAGGATCCTTAAAACCCACTTGACCAACCGCCATCGAGCCATCTTTCTTCAGATTCGACCAAGGAGTGTAAATGACTGTGATATTGTCCTTCTTATTCCCTAATCCAGACATCAGCATCACGTGCCAGCTATGAATCTCTCACCGCACCTTCAATAGAATTTGCCTTTGTGAGCTGAGCACAATCGACAACTAGATCCTCAGGTATATTCTCCCAGGAATCACCTTCATTCATCCGTAGATATATGTGTGCACTTGACAGTTTGTCGACGTGAAACCAGACGTCCTCCTCAAGGCCGTATTTGATGAGATCCTCATCTAGTTCTCATCAGTACAATTTCTGTAGTATGGCCTCATAAACTCACTCTCCACCTTATCCTTTCCCACGTAGATGAACGCCTCCGGAGATACCACGCTGGAAGTGAAGTAGAAAACCATTGTAATTTTTGCGAACAGTGCTCATGCCCCTCTCAATGACACCGGCCATGTAGTGTTGGTAGGCGACTATAATTGACTCTCGATATGATTCAGCTTTGAGAATTGTGATATCTCAAAGGTCGATTCGTTGGTTCAAGTCTTGTGGAAGTTTCGCGAGCTGCCAGCTTTTGATATTGAGCGCAGCCAAGGTCCTTCTCGCTTACCGTAGCGAAAGAATAATCATCTCGAGCTCCCCCGAAACTAATTGTCACAACGTTAAGTCCGACTATTACCAAGAGTGCAGAAATGTGCGCCGTCCCCACCCCGCCGGCGGCCTGAACAGTGAGCTGGTGAGCCAGGCCGAGCCAAGGAGCGTGCGGTTGCACATGTGCACCAAATATTACGTGATTGATATGCTGTGAATCGTCCGTGAACCAGCCCAAATGCAAAATAAAACGGGCTCGAATTGTGTCGACGGCAGCAGCAATTGGTCCTTCAACGTGGCCTGAGCTGGGACGGTACCCAGACCCGATTGAAGGGGTACGATTACCACAGTATTATGGCTGGTTTCGTGAGGCATCAGCTTTCCCTACTGCGTACAGTACTAAATCTGCAAGGCACCGTAGAAGGTATCACCCACCAACCGCCCAAACCCCCTTTCCGCTCAACTTGGATTTTGGAGACCTCAACGCCACAAAATCGAAAAATTAATGTGATATTCGCAATATTTCGAGTATTCTCTATAATCTGGCAAATTTTTAGAATTTTCCAAAGACTTTGAAAAACCGAGAAAATTTTGGTGGGGTAGGCGTGGGCGGAAAGGGGTTTGCGCGGTTGGTGGGTGATCCCTTCTACCCGATTAACGTGGCCAATGCGCCTGGTCCACTGACTTTAGTAGCGCAAATCTGCCTAGTGAGCCAACAATTCAGCTCTGTGAGGCTGTGTCCAGACAACATATCTACAAGCCAGCAAATGCAATATTTTTCCTTCCTTCACTTTCTCTCACTTGCTTTCCTGTGTGCAATCCTTGTGTGGACAACCTGACGAAGTCCCAACCTGCCTCATTAATTCCACTCTAGCATTCTAACGAGTTCCCTGCACCGAATCCCTTCTTGAACAAGTTTGAGAAGCTGACTCTATTATAACGGAGGTAAGGCTGGCGAAATTGATCGAGACGTTGCTGCAAGTGAGCTAAAATAACGAAGTGAGATTGACGCTACAACCCAAACTGTCAGCCGAAATCCTGCTAACGTAGACCCAGCCTCGTGAAGCTGGCCCCCCGACGACGAGCCTTGATCTCGACAACGCTATTCTCTTTATCCTTCAACCTTTTCTTCCCAATACAACAAATAAGGCTGTGCTTATATTGCCAATAATACGAGGGTTAGTGTATTGACTTTATTGAATATTTGACTAATTGACTCCCTAGGCAACTACCAACTTCTAGACTACGCTACTACACTAGACTAGCCGTCAGCCCAAATTCTCCCTTAATAGATATTAATGGGGGAATATATATACCAACCGATCGATCACGATCGCCCTTCTATTCGGCTCCTCCGACTTCTTCGCGGAAGCTTTTCGGATATTATTCAAGGCGACCTTTTCGAGGGATGGATTAATCAACTCGAAGGTGGTATACCGTATAATGCTTTGTCATATACATGGGGAACTACAGAAAAGTCTGCCCGTATTATCGTCAATGGATATATAATGCGTATTACTTCGAACCTGTATACGGCACTCCAGCATCTACGCGTTTATAATATGGACATAATTCTGTGGATCGACGATATTTGTATCGATCAAGCGAATATGCAAGAGTGGAGACATCAAGTTCAACAAATGAGTTATATCTACAGAGAAGCCGAACAAGTTATTGTTTGGTTAGGCTTGGGTACCGAAGAGACTAACTATACTATGGATTCGATCAAGCGCCTACAAGAGAACTTTATCAAAATTGAAGGCGGTTGGAGACGTTCGGCTCAACTTTGGATGCACCTACAAAGTAGGCCAGAAGACGCAAATTTTCACGAATACGCTAAGTTACATAAAGGAATGGAGTTAATATTAAAACGGCCATGGTTTCAAAGAATCTGGATCTTGCAAGAAATTGCTAACGCTCGAACCGCTACTATCTACTGCGGTAGGAAGTCTGTCTCAGCGCGAACTTTTGCTCAAATGCCGTCTATAATAGGGTTACAACCCGAGCCCCATTCCCAAGCTGTTCTGGAAATAATGCCTGGTCTACGCAAAGAGTCTTGGTGGGGGCAAGATCGGAATTTACAAACTCTATTAAGGAAGTTCCGTGGAAGCAAAGCAACAGATAAGCGAGATATTGTCTATGCATTACTAGGCATATCATCCGATGTATATCAGAGCGACACTTTGCTTCCAGATTACACGAAGTCGTCACAGCAGGTTATCCGGGATACTATTTCATTTTTACTATCTCACACAGATCAAAACCAGTTTTATTATATTTTCCTTAACTGGGATTGGCCGGAGTTTTTACAACATTTAGATTCATTAAGTGACGCGGTTCTCGAAAGTGCAGTCCGGAACGGGTATGAGGCTATTATGCCGCTACTGCTCGACCAGGGCGCCGATATTGAGGTGAAGGATGAGCACGACCAAACGCCGCTATCGTGGGCTGCTGAGAGAGGGCTCGAGGCCGTGGTGAAGCTGCTACTAGACAAGGGCGCCGACGTCAACGTAACCACCAAGGACAGAGAGACGCCGCTGCACTGGGCCTCTCAGAGCGGGCACCTCGATACCGTCCGGCTGCTGCTCAAGAAGGGCGCCGACGTTAAGACGGCGAACAAGTACGGAGAGACGCCGCTGCACCGGGCCTCTCGTAACGGGCACGCCGACATCGTCCAGCTACTACTCGAGCATGGCGCTAACGTCAAGACGGCAAACAAGGACAGAGAGACGCCGCTATACCGGGCCTCTTCTAACAAGCATATCGGGATCGTCCAGCTACTACTCGAGCATGGCACTAACGTTAAGACGGTGAACAAGGACAGAGAGACGCCGCTATACCGGGCCTCTTCCAACGGGCACGTCGAGATCGTCCGGCTACTGCTCGAGTATATCGCCGATATTAGCGGGGATACTCAATACGGACAGACGCTGCTATACTGGGCCTCTTTAAACGGGCATGGGGAGATCGTCCAGCTACTGCTCGAGCAGGGCGCCAATGTCAAGGCGGCTGATTCTGATGGACGGACACCGCTATACCGGGCCTCTGCCAATGGGCACGCCGAGATCGTCCAGCTACTACTTGAGCGTAGCGCCGATATTAAGGCAGCGGATTCTGACGGACAGACGCCGCTGCACCGGGCCTCTTCTAACGGGCACGCCGATTCAGGCTCGGCAAAAATACCTGAGGCATCGATACCGGTATCGATAGTATTAGGTATTTTTCAGGTATTGTAAGAATCGATACGTATCGATACCTTATCGATTCTTACCCCTAAAAATTATCTCTTTATTTTATTATTTTATTTATATAAGAATATATTCATATATAATTCCTTTTATTTCTAGTCTTTCTATTAAAAAATTTATTTACTATTATTAATAAAATTTAATAATATCTTAAATTTAAAATACCTCTCGTATTCGGAGAATTAAGCCCCGTATTCGTATTTCTTATCAAGGCACTAAATATATAAGCGAGCCTCACGAAAATCTCAAAAGCTCATTTTTACTTAAAATGGCCGCATTGAGATTAGTTTTAGCCTAAAGTATAAGATAAGTAGCTAGATAGAAAGCCTAAATTAAGGAGAATATTTGCGTTACCAAAAATTTTCTTATAAGAGAAGTAGTTCGAAAGTTAATTGTAATTAAAGGGGAAAATTAGGTTCAGGGAATCGATACCTTACGATTCTGGCATCGATACCTATCGATACCGGAAATTTAGGTATTTTTGCCGAGCCTGCGCCGATTTCGTCCAGCTACTGCTCAAGTACGGCGCCGACATTAGCGGGAATACTTAATACGAACAGATGCCGCTGCACTGGGCCTCTTCGAGCAGGCACGCTAATATCGTCCAGCTACTGCTCGAGCAGGGCGCCGATATCAAGGCGGCGGATTCTGACGGACGGACGCCGTTACACTGGGCCTCTGCGAACGGGTACTCCGACGTCATCCAGCTGCTGCTCGAGTACGGTGCTGATATCAAGGCAGCGGATTCTGACGGACAGATGCCGCTGCACTGGACCTCTCGTAACGGGCACACTGATATCATCTAGCTGCTGCTCGAGTACGGTACCGATATTAAGGCAGTAAACAAGTACAGACAGACGCCGCTATACCGGGCCTCTTATAACAGGCATATTAATATTATTTGGCTATTTATAAAAGGCGCTAATATAGTTAAATAGTTTATATTCTTTATATTTTATAACTTTAATAAAGAGAGGCTTAAGAGAGCTAGTATTTATATATTAAAATATTTCTATATAATTTCTAAGTATTCTAGATCTAGAAATCTAGAATATTCTAGTATATTCGCTTTTTTATCTATTAGCTGCGTAATATTACCCATATACTTATCTTAGCATATTCCTATATGCAATTTAGCAAGTAGTCGATTTAAAGTTCTCTAGGCAGTTGGCGCACAGGAGTAGAAGGGTTCTGTGACGTTGAGACAGCGTCGGATCACCATTACGTAAGCGATAGTCATAGATTTGAGCATCCTCGCTTCACGAGGAAATAGACAAGCTTTTACACCTCACTCTCTGGCCAACGTCACTACGTGACAGGTTCACTCACCAACCGCCCAAACCCACTTTCCGCCCAAGCAAAAAATCGTTTTTTCTCTCACTGTTTATAATACTAATAATTAACCAAAATTGATAAAAATTGATTTCTGTTATTTACTAATACTGTCCCTCTTAATTATAAGAATTTTTATAAGAGGACTTATTTTGATTATTCTTTAATATTACTTTAAAATTCTCAAAATATAAATAAGAACTTAGTTTTATAAGTAATAATAATAATCATTTTTGCTTAAGAAAATAAAATTATGATTAAAGAGTATATTTGTTAACTAAAACTTAACAAAGTATAAAGTTATATTAATAATTGATAAATTAATATTAAAGTTGAATTTTGGCTTGGGCGGGAAGTAGGTTTGGGCGGTTGGTGGGTGAACCCTTCTACCACACAGCACCAAAGCGCGCTTTTGCCGCTTTTAAGCCCCCCTAAAATAACTAAAGCAAATTTCAATCTTGCGGGGCAAGTTGCAAATACTGTAATAATATAGCAAAACTACACAATTTTGAATTTTTAAAAAGAGACTTTCAATTGCAAGCCTTAGGCCTAAGAGAATCCATTCTTTCAATATTAAATCTATCACGTTAACATACGCAGTTTAAATACGTACCTAAAGCGGTGCGACGGCAGAATCACTTATTAAAAGGGCAAGACTTCTCGCTTAAATGTCTCAGAGCATGCAAGGAAACTCAAAGAAGACGTAAAAAAGGCTTTGATAGCTTCAGCACGTACAGCAAGGACCCCATACCAGCCAGCACCCACAGAGTCCCTATGAGAAGCCTCAACGCACTCTGCGACAAGATCCTGCGACATCCTACCCCTACCCAACTCTAAAAGCGTCGAGAATGTCAGGATCCTTATCAAGGAATACAAACTACAACAACCAAGACTCACGACTCTGTTCAAAATATCCAGAAAACCGCAACCTCTATCAACTCTACTGCAGACCGTATCTCGAACGCCACGAAAACCTATGCCTCCGCGGTTTTCGAGGAAATTTCTGGTCTTTTCGTTTGTATTTTAAGATAAACCTTGCAAAAACGTTGTGAAACGTGAGGGGCTGATATATTCATTCTGCAAAGATGGATGCTCAGTTCCGAGAGGTCCCCAGAACCTTGACGTGGGGAGACAATGTTCAAGACCTTATCTCAAAGCAGTTCCCCGAGTCCCGAGCCTCCCACGGCCATCATCCAATGCAGGTCCTTGTCTGTATATCTGACGCCTCCAGCAATGATGAAGATCAGACAAATTAGCGCTAACGCTATGGTATCATGAGTACTCATATTGATATTGAATCCGGTGCGCTCTCTTCGGCTATCTAGTAGACTTTAGACACCTCTACTTCCGTAGTTGGCGTCCCAGTTATCCTAGTAAATCCGGCAAAGAAGAATTCTGCTTATGATACGGTAGACTCGACAAAGAAATGTTCGTTGATACACCCTTTGCTCCGTTTGGGAAACGGAGGAAGCCTTCAACATCGACAATCTAGTTCTAAGCGAGATCCCTCCAGCGAGGACCTTGTAACGGAAGCGGAAGTAAGATCAACTCGCTTTTCTTCATCTTATATCTTGCCTTTCCACTATCTATATTCGTGTAAGGATTAAATGTATATATAGAGTAATCTGACTAAATTTTCGTGGTGTAAAGTCGAGGTATTTGGTCTTAATGCTTTGCGACGTGTTAGTTCAGGCCCTGACGGCTGTCATTGGCTTTGGCGCGAGCCCAGACCTCTTCTGATGAGACTTCGGCGGCATATTAACGACTGTTGAAAGTAAAAGTAGGAGAAAGGGGGATATCTTGGCTTTAAATAGTAGACGCATCTCGCGCACCCTCGAAGGCCTTCGCATTTCGCGTTTCTCGAATGGGGCGACTGGTAATTAGTGCCATGTATTGGTTGTTACAGGAAAGTACTCACCTGAGGCATCAACACTGGCTTGGTAAATTTAAAGTGGCGTCCGCAAATCATCTCAAGATTCCCCGATATCATCAAAGATTCAACGCCCACGCAAAATGGCGCCGAAGCTGCCAACAAGCTGGGCACAATTGCCTCCGACATTCCTTCTCCCGGATGCCTTCCTCCCAATAATCACTAAGCGCGGCGTGAAGTACGGATGGACGACCGCACCAGCTCGCGGAAAACCAGCGCGGTTCAACCAGAAGACTGCTGGGTTACCGGTCCTCGAACAATCACCTGCTGCAGCCCTCGCACGGAAGGAACTTACGTTGCCTTTAAGGACGGGAGCTTTGGGGATCAAGAAGGGGATGACGGCGCTCTATGATCCGGATACGGGGGTGAGGACGCCTTGCACGGTTGTGCAGTTCGATAGGGTGCAGGTGGTGTCACAAAAGACGAGAGAGAAGAATGGATACTTTGCCGTGCAGATTGGCAGTGGGTGGAAGCAGCCTCAGAATGTTGGGAGGCCATTAATGGGACATTTTGCGGGGCATGGTGTCAGTCCGAAGAAATTTGTCACGGAGTTTAGGGTCAAGAATGAGAGTGGATTGTTGAAGGCCGGGGTGACAATTGGGCCGGAGTGGTTTCTTGAGGGCCAGTTCGTGGATGCTAGGTCGGATTGCAAGGGGAAGGGATGGGCTGGTGGTATGAAGAAATGGGGATTCAAGGGTCAACCGGCCTCCCATGGTAATTCGAAGAATCATCGTACAATGGGTTCGTCTGGTGCCTCACAGGGAGGTGGTTCGAGAGTCTTGCCGGGGAAGAAGATGCCGGGGAGAATGGGTGGAAACCAAGTCACGATTCAGAACGTTAAGGTATTGAAAGTTGATGCGGAGAAGGGACTTTTGGTGCTCAATGGGTGTATTGCTGGACCGAATGGTTGCGTCGTCAAGATTCAGGATGCTATCAAAAAGCCATGGCCAACTATTCCAGCAGCTATGGAAAAGGTGAAGGAGGCCTTGGCAGCAAATGCATAGAGGAGCTGTACACTAAGATTTGTACATTATTTGTGGCATATACAGGCATTTTTGTTGGAATATGCCAGAAGGAGTGATATATAAAAGGAAAGAGGTCTGAAAAGGAGGCTTTGTCCTGGTCCTGTATTGAGCATGGAGCCAGGCCCTCACTTCACAATCTAAGGCTCCTGCTCCTCTCACTCAGTTCAACGGTAGAGCAGAAAATCCATTTTGCGCCATTCCAATGCTTCCCCTTTCATCCCACCTCTCACGCCGTAACTATCTCATGTACCCCAAGAGCTTACAGCCCACTTACCCAGACAGGTTGGGAGCATACGACCCTCTTCCCACAACCTTTGGCTCTTCAGGATCTAGTGCAATACCCTGGAATGGGTCACTCCCATCCAATAAATCAATCTTCGCCCCATATTTCGTCTCAAGACTCCATTCTGTCGTCTCAAACATCCCCATCCTCGTAGCCCTAAAACTCTTAAACCGCATCGTCCCACTATTCATCTTGCCCTTAACCTCGAACTGGATATCAATCCTGCCATGCAACTGGTTCATCTCTCCCCAAATCCAAGGCATCTTGTGCGCAAAGTATATCTCATCCCCCAAGTACTCGCGAGCTTTGGGAGAGGTACGGAGTGCGTACATGGTGGAGGAGACTACGCTTGACGAGGACTTTTGGTAGTTGAAGATGGCGAGAGTAGAGGAGATGAGGACGGCGAGGAAGATGGGGACAGTGCGCACCCAGCGCATGCCGTTTTGCGGGATATCTAGTAAACAATTAAACACTCTAATTTGGTGCCTGGATGTGAGTTGACCAACCTGGAAGCTCTCGATCCGGCCTCCTCGACATCAAAGGTCCGTCTCCTGGCTTCGGTGCAGCAATCAACGTCCTCCTCTGCACAGGATTTCTCCTCGCTGCATTCCTGGCACCAGGCAGTGCCCGCGATCGCAGTAACCGTTGCAGCATTTTGACGCAATTGATGTTGACGTGGAGTCGGGAAATTGGAGCTCGACAAATCTATCGAGGGTGGTCCGACGTGTTTGCACGGTTTGCTTTTCGCGAGGCTGCAACTTTCTTCCTTGATTGTTCCAGGAACTGACGAACATTCAACGTCAACCATGCAAGATGGAGCAAACTACAGCAAGATTGCGCAAGACGTTTCAGTATCCTACGGATAACGACTCCGAGGATTCTTCGCCGGGAGCTTTAGATGAAGAAGGTACGTTCCTACTGTTTCCTTCCTAAACCTCAGCCTTTTGAAGCAAACCCATCCCTTACTAACGCAAGCTTCACAGAGCAAGAAAATTTAATCCGAACACTCGAGCAGGAGAATACGGCTAGAAATAAGCAGTTCGCAACTGCTCTCCTCGCTCTTCCGCTCTTGAGCATAATACCCTATATCACGACGCTCGTGAACGGACACACAACCCTCCTGTCAATCCTCAGCATCACATCTCTTCTCTCGACCGCATGCCTGCTCTATATCCTGCCTCCAGGCCGAACCGCTATCTCGTACTTAGACGCGTTAAACAACTCTCCCTCCAAAGACAAGCCGATCCCACGTCAGTTCTCACGGAACTTGAGTCACGAGGGGCCAATAAAGCAGTACTTGCCGTATCTGAATTTGGGTCTATGTTGTATGCTTGTACTGTTGGGAATGGTGGTTGGTAGGAAGACCGAGTTGTGGTGGGGATTTGGCTGGTTGCCTGCGGGCGTTTACACCGTTGTGTTGCTGGCGAAGTGGTTGATGGGAAGTGTGGACCCGGAAGGGGAGTTAGGGGGATTGAGGTATGGTTTTAAGGGAGCATGAGTCTAGACTCCCTGATTTGTAGTACAAGCGGTGAGGAGAGATCAATAGAAGCGAGTTCCGATGAATGATACCCGATACCCATGCGAACATGTCAAATTTGGACTGTATTCTTGATTGCATTGTTTCATTCTCGGACTAGCTGCTTCTCTTCTTTGGCTCATGTCTACGTCACATGTCGATGCTCTCGTTGAATCGTAAGACCCCGTTTGCTTTCAAGACGCCGTCAATGCCTTCTGGTAGTCTTGGGAAGGGATCACTTAAGATTCCTCTATCCACCTGTGGCTCTGCCGATCTGTCCGTGACAAGCACGAGCCCCTGTGCTTTGATAGACTCGATAAGCGCCGGTATCATATCCTAGTACATTGTTAGCACTCTATTTCCGCCAGAGGCAGTCTTGAAAGGGCCTTACCAGAAGTCGTGAGCAACAAATCAATCCCATGAAATTGTTGTTCTGAGCAATCCTGACAGCCTCCTTGATCGAAGTTGTTCTCCGTCCGCTGCTCTGAGTTGACAAGGTGCTGTCTATCTCGCCCTCACGACCTAGGTCGTTGCATAAGAAAACGGGGTAGTTCGGTTGCTTCCAATTCAGGGCCGTGCAAACGGTAGGATTGTACGAGCTGAAGACAATAGACCTCATTGAATCTGGGGAGCGTTCTCTCAGTGCCCTCGCGTGGTCGAAGACAACTCCAAGGATGGCATCCCCAAATACGTTGATATTCACCGTTGGCCCAAGACGCAATGTATTCTCTTCTTCTGATGATGGATACAGAATTTGAAGATTGACATGCATGCCTTTTGGTAAAAGATTGAGGGCATCTTGTAGCGAAACAGCAGAATTTGAAAGGATCCGGTGGATCTCAGCAATTTTCTCCAATGGTTGCCTTGGCAGGTCTGCGAGCGAGCTCGCCTTGCTGGCATGGCGGGAGCCAGCACTTATGAACTGAACATATGTCAGGCGGCTGACAGGAAATTCAATGTCCATATAATCCATTGTCCATCTGGGCCAAAGTACAGGCACGCCATCACAGGTGTGTTGGACATAGAGCTGCACATAATCTCCCGACAAACTTGAGCCAGTGATAAATGCACTCGGTCTGTGATCGAACTGGCTGGTTGCCTTCCAATATGTTTCGAAATCCGTGATCTCCAAAGGCTTTCCCTGGAATGGTTTGATCACTTGAAAATTGAAGGTAATTTGTCCAATTGCTCTTAGTCTCGGATCAAAGAGAGGTAAACAGCAGCGGCCTGAGCTGCTCAGCAACGCGCGAAACGTGCTTGGTAATGCGACAGTCTTCGCAATGACCCTGGCACCATATGTAGGAAAGACATCAAAATCAATGGCAAAAGAATCTAGATTGTCAATCTGAAAAGAAACAAGCCGGGTATCTTCCTGGAAGGGGAGTAAAATGTTCTTGGGTATTAAATCGGAAAGTTTCGAAGAGATTGTAAGGCGAGCTGCGGGATATTTGCTGTCGTGGAAGAAGACCATCGGTGGTTCACCGCCCTCCTCGAAGCTAATTTGTACGAAAGTCTTCGTGTCGAGGAAGTTATGGCCGTATCGTCGTAAGGGGATAATTGGGGGTGGCAGCTCCAACTCTGGGATAGTATCGGCGTCGATGCTCATTGGAATTGGAGCACTGCTAGACATAGCGCCAAGATGTCCAGCATGAATCGGCTGTCGCAGGCCGGCAGTCATGGATATCGATGACAAGAGTCTCATACACTCTAAATGGCCTTCCCACGCTGCATAGTACATGGCAGAGAGCTCCTTCTCATCTAAGATATCCGTCTTGACCCCAACCTTCAACAAGGTCTGCATGCAAGGTACATTTCCTTCACTTGCTGCATGGAAGAGGGGGGTCCAGGAATAAAGCTTGTCGATCTGGTCCAGATCCGCGCCGTAGTCTTTCAGCAGAAGGAGCAGCTGAGGGGTTTGCCCAGAGCGAGCGACTAAGTGCTGTGGATACAGGCCTTCGGCGTCAGGTAGTATATTTGCTCCATGTTTCAAGAGTAGTTCAACGATTGATATTGAGCCATGCTCACACGCCAAGTTCAAGGGCACATGGTCAGCGTCAGAGATGGGGTCAATACGAGCAGAACGAGCAAGAAGTCTTTCCGCACACTCTAAATGTCCGTGTATGATGGCGTGTATCAGAGGTGTAAAATTATCGTGGTCTATTAAATCGATGGTGGAATGGTCCGCTAAAGTGGAGGTTAGTCTGCTGCAAGAGGAGGTATAGGGCTTAGCTACCATGAAGCAAGGCCTCCATCATGTCAAGACGGCCATGCATACAAGCATAGTGCAACGGAACTCGTCCGTAAACGTCTGTTCGACTAACAGCAACACCTTTTGAAAGTCCTACTGCTAGGACAAATGAGTTGCCGTAAATGGCGGCCTGGTGGAGGCAATTCCGCTCGTTGATGTCGTCCTCCGACTGCACGTCGACGAGTCCAGTGTCTAACAGTAGTTGCAATGATTGTTCTGGTCCTTCGTTGATTGCCGCAAGGAAAGTCCTCGTGATCCGCTCCAGCAATGCGACATCTCTAGAGCCATTTGGATCTGCAGCAGTCTTTAGGCGCAAGAGGAGATCTTTAAGGGGCTCAAGGTTACCCGATATGACGGCTTCGAGCAGCAGGGTATCGGCATCGCCCTCGTCAGTGCCCAGCAGATGCTGGCTGCTCACAATATGATCCGCGTTTCTATCAAAGCTAACGTGGTCGCCTTCAGACCAAGCGCCAAGTTCTTGCAAACTGGTAGTTGCCTGGTCTGACAACTCGCTGATAACTGTTGCATTGAAAAACGGTTGCACCTCGACGGCCCGGGAAAGATAAAGCTCCTTAGTCTTTGACTTCGATGTTTTGTCCCATTTCTTCAAGATTTTCGAGAATGCTGTTCCGTTAATTTCGACGAACTGCTGGAGTTTGTTGAGATCGTTGCCGAATTGCTGGAAGCCTTCTTCGAGAGTTGTGAATTTTGCGGAACGCCTAGATGTATTACCACTGCGAGATTGAAGAACCTTCTTCTTGTCTAGTAGAGTCTTGAGGCGGATCTTGAGCTGTTTGGTGTCAAGTGTTAGGGGTTGGACTGCAGTTGGCGAAATAGGGGGCTGGAGGTGCTACAAACCTCTGCTTCCTTCTGAAGGTAAAACGCATTGACTTTCTCTAACTCCCGTTCCTGTTGACTCTTCAGCATGACGGGGGAGGCATCTCATTGTGTTGTTGCCTTACTAGTTGAAAGAAGAATGTGGCCTTGTTTGCTTGTAAGGCAGCTTGAGAGTCTACGATGCCTGCCGAGCGGTGAGCGTCATTCTGAGCGAGCAGCGTGGGTGTCGCAGAGAGCTTCTTGATGAGCTGCCAGCAAAGTATTAGCGCACATGGCACATCTCTTGGTCAAAAAGACCCTGAGAGGTGACGCGAGAACATTGCTTTTTCTACACTTTTGAGTTCTGATCAACACACCTTCTTGAGAGCCTTATAGTTGACGAAACTCGCCGCATACTCAGGGACCTCGAGCTGCCGTTTCTGAATCTGCTTGCCAAACTTCCTGAGAGCGTACCGGCATGGTCAGCTTCCGGGAAGGGACCGAGAGTACCGACCCCGTGCAGCACTTTATGCACTGAACGGGAGTGAGAAGGGGAAACGTACATAATGCGGTGTTAGCACCCGCAGAGCCCTGAGGGGCTTTGAGCGAGTGAAGAGACTTGAGAGGGACAGCGAGTATTTCAAGGGTTGATACGGAGCACGTTCACATGTAGGAAGTCATAGCCGCTCGTCTGGATGAATGATAAGCTGCCCAAGAAAGCCACAGCCCAAGGGATGGTATGACGCCGAATTCGAGGGGAGAGCTGCAGAGCGTTTGAGGGGGAGATCGAGTGCAGGTCCGCTGGCGGTTCGCCCGTACAGTGGATGAGCTAGGTAAATAAAGCGTGCTCGTACACGTGCGTAACCTTGGCACAGGGGGGGTTGGTGGTCGGCAACACAGCTGTGGTCGAGGCTCCCGTGACGATTTGCAGTGATTATTGGGTGTGCGAGCTCGGAAACGGGCACAGAACGGCAGAAACTGGGAAATACAAGTGGGAGATGCTATCGTGAAATGAAATGGCGGGGGGTGTGACGAGTGGTGTGGAGGTTGAAGAGCACCCGTCGTTGTTTGGGAGCGGACGCCAAGTGAGTCTCCGGCCAAAGCGGACTAGTGAGGGGCAACACTGCAGGGCTACAGGGCAAGCACAGTACGGTATTTATCTTACAGTACAAGTACGGATACTGACACGTCTTAGCTGTGCATCCGGTTCATGGGGAACACGTTGAAGACCTTCTAGCTGTGCATGTTGCGTCGTTCATGAAAATCAAAACTTTCTTGTTCAGGGGACCAGGCTGAGCTCGGCGCTGGCGGACCAGTCAAATCGGCACGTGGAATACCGGGAGAACTTTGGAGGCGCCACCAGGGGCTGCAACTTGCAAACTTGCAACTTTCGACTTGCAAGGCTGGGCTGGCAACTGTACTTTGATCTCCGCGCTGTGGCTGTGCACTCTTGGCCGCGAGGCTGACGGCTCGACTTTCAAGCAAGAAATTCACGATGTGACGGCCGTTCATACTTCCATATATTGTTGTGTAATCACGCGAGGTGTGCTGAAGTCAACACAGTTTGTCAAACCATGTGGATATCATTGGACTTCCTCCCTATGAACAGAATGGGCTGGGCTAAACGACATTTTCACTGAGCCGCCCAAGAGCAGATTTCCCCACAATCAAGACTTCCCGGCCAATTTATCATCTGCAATCTTATCCTTGGTGCCAACTGTCTCAGCCGGCTCAGGTTTCCGCGATTTGGGCTCGCCGATATTATCGGCCATAGCTTCAGCAGCAGCCTTCTTGAGTCTCTCCGCATCATCCATCTTAATCTCTTTTCCACCAACACGGTCCTTGGACTCCTTCTCGTCCTCGCTGTCTCCGAGGCTGAAAGGGTCATTATCAGTATCACCAATAGGGCTTGGGTCAACTGTTGACAGTGGTTGCCATTTGCTCTGCTTTCCCGATGGTGGGGCATTTTCCTTCGCAGGAGCGACCCTTGGAGAGTTGCCGTAAATGTCAATCTCCTCTGGTGGACCACCTTGGAAAGAGACCTTACGACCGTCGGAAGATCTTGGTGCAGCAGGGGTCGGCTTGAAGAGGTCAGGGTTTGCAAGAGGCCGGGTTGAGCGGCGGGCGGGTGCTATTTAACAATCAGATACTTCACAATAACGACTACGGAGCATAACTCACTACCATCAGGATTCAGCTGAATTCCTGCAAAATCATCACTGAGAACTTGAGGGTCAGCATCGTAGCGACCGTAATCACCACTTTGTCTTCCATCACCGCTTCTGCGACCATGATATTGGTTGCTTGAGCCGCCTGCGTTATAGCCCTGTTGGAATCCATCTTCATCCTCCCCGTCAATCTTCTTCCTCAAATTCGTAATCCATCCGTTGACTTTGCTTTGCGTCTCAAGGAAGCCTTTCTTCAGATTTTCTTTGATAATAGGAAGATCATCATCGAAAAAGGTACGGTTATCTTCTTCTTCATTGGGTCTCATACCAGTCTGTTGTCTGCGGGGTTGACCACCAGTTCCTCTGCTGGTAGAACGTGTACCATCTTCTCCATGGCCACCATAATGTTCGGCGAGTTGTCGAGCATATTGCTCATCGGCTTCGAGTTGCGACAGCGGCGTAGATCCCATTCGTTGAGTAGTTGGGCGGGGAGGCTGTGGAGGAGGTGTCGGCTCTCTAACAGCATCGGGATCAGACATGCCTGTTGGTAAATGTCAATAACGTATGTAAAGATTGCTATAAGAGAACATACCAAGCAGAGCATTGAAAGCAGGCTCGACACGGCCACCACTTGCTCTCAAGACGGCTTTGACGACAGCTGCATCGATGCTTGGGAACGCTTCCTTCAAGGTATTTTCGGCCTGTTGCTGTGGGCTGAGAGGGCGGGGAGGCTTTGCTGGCGCTTCTTCTTCAACCGTTGCATGCTTTGCTGCTGCCGGCGCATCACTGCCCAAAACACCAGACTCTTGAACCTCGTCGTCGTCCATCTCTAATGGTCTTGCTGTTGTCGGGGATTCAGCTCCTGTTCCTGTTGGACTTTTCATCTAGAGGTTTAGTTGTCAGTAAGCTTTCCCCAAGCATGCAAGGGCCAAATAGTGCATGAACTGCAATGTCCCAAGGCGGACAGGACGTATCAGCTTACTGGGCTATCCGTGGGTTTCGATGCAGACATGATGTTGTCGTTTCGAATCTGGCAACTTGTTGATCAATGAATGGACAATGCTCGTGAATGTGTTGTTATTCCTTCCGAAGAATGCCAGCCTCTTTTCTTATTCCTGATGCCTAAAGGTTTCGCTGCTCTGTACGTGTTTGAGCTTGTATATTCGCGAGCACTGACGACGCAGTGCGCCACATTCGATGTGGCTTTGAAATTTGCACGTGGCGCCGGAGTGGCGGTGCGCCTTGTGCTGCAAATTCAATGAACTCGGTCCAGTGTGACAATCAAGGTTCGTAGGACTCGAGGTTCTTAAAACTCGGAAGGGGAGGAATTTGATGATTGGGAGATTTTGGGAAATTCGAGGAGACTTCAAGTGTGCCATAACTGGAATCAACACTCGAAGGGAAAAGTCTCCGATATATCTATCCAGTTTGACTTGGGATGTTTGATTGAATTCATTTTTTTGTTAATGTCTCTTACTTCCAGGTCTTGCGGGTCAAAGGGTTTCTATTCATGGTCCACCAAAGTATCTTACAAGCAACCTTTCTCTATGCTGTACAAGGTTTGCTCTCCTCCGTAGTGCTCGACAAAGTTTCTTTTCTCTCCATCCCAGCTCATCATCTAGCAGCAATTGCGTATAAGCAAACACGCTTGCATCAAATAACGCCGGCTTATCATTGCCAAAGAACCAGGAGTCATCCCCAAGTAAAATAGAAAGCGCCTCGAATGCCTTATCCGCTTCACTGTACAGATCATCTGTGTCGATGATCGAGGTATGTTTCAGTAGCTCTGCTTCTGCCGCTGCTCGAAGTTGGTGTGATATTGAGGCTCTAACCAGAGAGTTTGAAGAAGTTGGTGAGACGTAGAGCGGGTAGGCCACGGCCGAGAAGTTCAGGGGCTCGAGGTACAACGTATAAAGCTTGGAACGTGTCAGAAGAGCTCACTAAAGAATTGGCTAGTATGCTCACCCAAGCATTCCGTATTCTGTGGTCAAGGAGAGATTGGTATGCTCCATACCGCATAGTTGAGGACTCCTCTACGTTGCCTCCATGTTCCGTTGCATACTTTACAAATTTATTCGAAGCAATAGGGACGAGTGAGTCTTGCGACGTATTTGATCCATAAATTGCTGGAAGTAGGAATGGCAAGGAGCCCGTAGGAGAGGAATGGTTATTCGATGAGACGAGACGGTGGTCCACTCCAGCGATGTTCAAGAAGGTCTGTACTTTCTTAGTCCACAGCTCGGAATCAGATTCTTCACCGCACCCACCTGCCATTTCAGACAACTCGGGTTGAATGATGGCCTCCCCGCTGCTGCATCTTGATCCTTGCTAAACACATAGAGACTCGGTATCCTCGCAGGCTTCGGGGCGCGTAACGGAACTTGATTCGGGGGATATGTCACAACCGGAACCAGGTCGAATAGCTGCTTCACCGGAGCCGGAATTGAGAAGAAATCTCGGACTTTCCTCGTTGATCTCAAGAAAGACGACTGGTCTTCAGCTACCTTTTCTGTGGCTTCCTTTGGCGGCATTGAGATGTGTTCGTTGCAGATTCTCTGATCATTGAAACGCGGCTTCATACGCGCGTATCGCCGAAAATCTGTGAGATCCAGCCCCTTTCCGGCGTAGCCAAGTGTGGAGAGAACGCTTGGGCTTTGACTGCAGGGTGGGGGTGGTGGCAGAGATTCGTGAGCAAGCCGTCATAGGCCGATCAACAACTGCTCCTGCATCTGCATTTCAGCCCACCGTGAATTTGTGACACCTTGATCTCATCGCACTGCTTCTGCCTGCTTCATCGAAAAACACCGCCAACAGAAAGCACTCTACGATACTAATAAACCCACCGATATCAGGCCATTATCGCGGAGAGAGTCTTGACACTTCATCCGGCGGCTGAGATTCCCCATTTTGCTGCAACCGTCTCACCGAGGTAACCTTCGGCCTTTACGTGAAGTAACTCATCGCACCATTTCCCTCGACTTCTTTCAAAACCGTCTCGCTGTCCTCGTCGCCATCGGAATCTGAACAGGATTCTTTGTCTCGGCCTCGCTCATACTTCGCCATAGCAAGGCTCGCACGCACAAGACCACCGATCACCTCCCCGATTGTACGAGATCCGTTTTGAACCAGCAGAAATGGAGGCGCCGCTGTCATCGCCATCTCTGAACGGGCCCTCCAAGAATCAATCTTCATACTTCGCCTCTTCAAACTCATCGTCGGCACAGTCAAGTGGGCCAACCTCAGCACCTCAGACGACACAACCACAACAACCCCCACAGCCTCCTCCACAACGACAAATACCTACGGACTCGGCGTCTCCTTTCCTTCGAGACTTCAACCTAGTAGCGGAGGCTGCAAAACGAGCGCAGATGGCGGTTCTTATGAGGGATCTAGAGGCAGTGGGGATTTAGTTCGGAAAAATTCTTCCAGGTCGTCGGCGTGGTGAGAGGATTTTGGATTCCCAAGATGCTCTTGGACAATGGCGACAGCTCTCCGAAGATCAAAGCGGGCTATGACAACAAGAACTATAAACAATGACAAATAGGACGAGCGCATGAGCGAGTGTTTGAGTAGCAGGATACAACATCTCTTTGAAGATTGGAACTCGTTTAGAAGGAAGGAAATGGCTGGGATGATATTGTCATTTGTGTGATGCAACGCATTTGTTGGCGTATTTCTAGGACTTTTGGATTCAGGCGTTCAGGGATGTCACATCAGCGCCACTTCTTTCTTGTTATGATGCCACCTGGCAATGGGTTATGTATAAGCATGGTTTGGTCAGTAACAGGAGGCAGCTGGAGCCTAGATCAAAACTAATGGCAGACTTATTGAATTTCGTCTTTGTTGTGGCTAGTATAGTTGCTCAGATCTTAGTATCTTCTCGTACCACCAATTCCGCGAGTGAAAGTGATAAGATGTATTCAAACTGCTCGAACTTTGAACCTGTGTTGATGAGTATGGTAGGATAGAGAGAATGGCAAGCAAGTTAAAGAAAACAACTGAAATATGCCACAATCAAAGGGCTCGACTCGACTCGAGTCATCTGCCTGGGGCCTAAACTTCATCATGTGACCTTGCCCAGCTAATGGCGCTAACGGAAATCGCTTTAAATCCCTCGACCTCCACTCCAATGTTCATCCCCATTCATACTCTCACGACATTTGTTCAAGGACATCCTTTCTTTACAAACACCACGCATGTCCTGCTGGTGTAGATTACAGGATCTTGATACCGTGCTGGCCAGCGCTTGCACGAGCACTAACCCTCTTTTGCGAGCAGGAATCACGATCATGGTAAGCTGAAAGACTTTCAAGATGGGGAAGAAGAAGAAATCGCTCGGTGCGAAGGCCAAGGGCACCAACACGGCCTCGAATTCAAAGGCCGCTCGGCGTGCAGCGAACGCTGCATCGAAGGAGGAGCGTCGTGCCCGTAAGTTGGCGCTCCGTAAGAGAGAGAAAAATGGATACACAGCAGATATGTGGGCGCAGCCAGCCCCGTCGCACCTTGTCGCCAAGCTAGATGTTCCAAGAGTGAAGTCCAAATACCAGTCATACTTCGAATTCGCCGCGAACCCGGAGAAGAAAGACAAGAAACTCGAATTCAAAGCAGACCTTCCCGTCTCCTCGTACTCGATCACAGCTAATTTCTTCATAGGTCACGAACGACGCGGACCCACCCCCAGGCTTTGTATTTGTACCTATCGGTGACCCGATATTGACCAACGCGTGTAAGGAGCTTTCGAGAGAGAAAGACGCTATGATATTCATCGTTTCGGTACGTCGCTCTCTGGTTGTGTGCCATCATCACTAAGCTTTACGTTTAGACCCAGAAGGAAGAGAAGTCGAAGATATCCGAACATATACATCGAACAGGGTACCATTTCCGTGAAGTTATCGTCGACGAAGCCCGTGAGATTGTTGGAGAAACAGTAGTAGTCTCGCAGCCGCGTCGTTATGGCGCCAATGAAATCGAACCAATTCCGGAGTCCCAAGAGGAGATCAACAAACAAGCAGATGCTGCCATCCGAGACTTGTTCCCCCGTATACCAAACACAGATCGTACAATGATCATAGAACATGCGTTCAAGAAGGTAAGTTTCGAAATCAAGGACCCTTTCTGCTGTCATTTTCCTGGCACTCATTCCTTTCAGGGCGCTATGTTTCATGGTGAGCCGACGGTTGGATTGCAGACCAACATTCCCTTGTCTCGCCGAGTGCAACTGGCCGTTCTTGCTCACATCAGGCACACTCATACAAGATATGACAAGCTACTTAGAGAGACGACATGGATGAATGCTAGAAAAGCAGTCGAACCGGTTTGCTTGGATGTTCTCGTCAAATGGCGAGGAGATGAGGAAACTGGTCGCGATCAGATGGATGAAATCATTCGTGAAGTTGTTATCATTACCGACTCTGAGGGAGAGGACGATAGCTCCGAAGACGAGGATAGCTCAGAAGAGGAAGGTGAAATTACCTCTGCTAGTTCCACGGAGCCACCAATGTCGCGTCCTCAGCAGTGGTTGCCTGAGCCAGTACAGCAAACAAGGCCACTGATCGTTTCGACTCCAGGCGCTACGGAAGATGAAGACATGGAAGAGCCAGTCTCGTCACGCACACGGACGAGGCCACAAAAAGATAAAAAAGCACAACGCGGCTTCAAGAGATATCAAGCGGCTTGGGAGGAGGCCGTGCATAGGCGTCAGGATCCGGCGTACCCGACCGCCCGCGCTCATAGTAGCACACCGTTGGAAGGAAGCATGACCAGGAGGCCTGGATCAACAGTGGCGTCGCCACATCAAGGTTTCCAGAGGTCCATGCAAGAGCCGACCACAATTCGTCCCTCGAATTTAGCATATGACTTTGGCAGGGATGATCAAACAAGATATCATGCGGACGCAATGAGCGCGACAAGACCAGTAAGTGATACAGATTTTGGGTACTCACATGTTACCATTCGCAGAACTAATCACTGTAGATCTCTTACTACTCACACCCTAGGGCAGCTCCCGGACCACCAACGCAGAGAAATGAGGAAATCGTAAGACCCCAACCTGATCGTTATATACACCTCCAAGACATCCCGGCACGTCTTGGCACTCCTTCCCGCCCAACAAGGGACCAAGGACTATCACAAGTAGTGAGAGGCTCTTCAGCAACGCAAGTTCTTCAAGATATGCTTGTCCCTTCTATTGAACCAGTTACAAGCGATGCTGCATTGCCGCGCTTGAACGAACCATTAGTTGTTCAGGATAGCATTAGTTACTCTCAGGATTCTCGTCCTCGACGAGTAATTGAGCAACGAGTGCATTCACCTGCACCACGACCTCGGGCTATCATCAATGATGGTAGTCCTCAGGTCAAGCGTCGTCGCCTGATTCATGAAGATGGTGCTGGCCACTTCAGACCTCTTCCATCGCGTGATTTCAGTCTCCATTCTACGCATGATTCTCATTTGACATCGACTTCGTCTGCTCATTCAGGAGAGTTTCTTGCACGACAACCCAGGCTATCTTCTCAGTCTACTCAAGGTTTGTTCAGGGATCAACCCACATTTATAGACCCTGCTGCAGCAGAGCGACTACCTGTATACGACGCGCCAGAGTTTGGATATTTCAAAACGCATCCAGGTTATTTGAGGAGGATAGATGACAGGCCTTCTATCCAAGCACCAAGCATGGGGCAAAAGTCAAACCCAGCCAAGGACAATATGAGTGAGGGTTCTTATTCTGGGAGACCGACCCATATGCAAAATCGGAGTGAGAAATGGGAGGTCGTTGAGCGTGATAGGCGTCCTCCGCCAGCAGAGTATAGCCGGGGAAGTCATATTCCGAGGCCTCTATCGCCAGAATTTTCTGTGTCTTCTCGCACATTATCTCATTCCTACGGTCCTAGTTCTGTGGTTCCAGATCAGGATCTCATCCCAAGTTTCTCTCAATCTCGGATTATTCATGCCGAGAGAGCACCTCAGAGCTTTGTCAATTATCGGAGTGTACAAGATCGTGAGGTTCATTCAACCCGAGGTGGTTTCACTATTCTCGCCGAGCGAGTACCTCAGAGTCATGAGGATCATTCAGCTAGGTCTTTCGCAACTATTCCTTCAGTTCGAGCAAGGTCTCCTGTGCGATACGTTGAGAGACCAGTGTAAGTGTTGGCATTCGCTACTTAGTCAAGAGCTGGCTGATGTGGAATTGTGGTTTTAGATATTACAAAGACGAATCACGCCAACCTGTTTATTACGAGGAAAGTCGACCTATTCCATGGCCTCTTGAGAGACCAGAGACACACTTACGAGGCCGACAATTACCGCCGGGAGAGGCACCGACACACGCCAGGACCGTACATCCAAGACGCCAAGTGATCGTGCTTGAATAACGGGCTTGAAACCGGAACGAAGGACAAGAAAGTTGAATCGGAACGGAGGAAATAAAGATCAAATGGATGGGAATGTATTAGTACGATCAAGAACTATGATGCAGAACATGTTCTGTTGATTAAGGTTTATGCTATGTCAATAGGGGAGGTTAGCTTGTTCGGGCGGGTGCATCAGGAAGGCGCAATCACTACGCATTCAATGGGGTCAGCATTTCCGGGCGTTAAGGCGAGTGCATCATGAGGACAGGGAAGCAAGCCTTACTCTGTGTTGTGCCAGTCTATATCATGGATTTCTCGTTGTCCTATTGTAGAGTACGATCATCAGAGAGTGTGCAAGCGCTATTGCTTCACATAATTAATGCCAGAAATGTCCAAAGGTTTAAGGGTTCGATCTCTAAATGTACAATCAGTGCTTGGACTTCCATCAGATGACTGGATCCCTGAATTTTCAAAAGAGCTAGGGACTTGTAAAGCATTGGGTCCCCAAATCTGCCACTCAAATCCCATTGATGTCCGGTGGTTTGGGTTCTTGATACTTGAATTTGAATTCATGGAGCAGTCTAACGGGACCTTTTTTTGCGGCATCTTATTGACACTGATAGATATCAACATGTGAATGTCCCAGGACTTTCTGTACATTGGCGTACAATACAAATGTATACGTGTGTCCACGATACTCACATAAGACGTTAACGAAAGGAGCCTTGACTACAAAATTGTCGATCTTGAATTGATTTCCGCTGAATTTCGTTACTCGTACACTAGTACACGTTTCTAGGGTATTAATCTTTGTTCAAAATGCTCAAATGCTCATATGTCGTAACGCCTCATAATGCTCCAAACAATTCCTAAGCCAGCATGGCTTGCCGCTGCTCCTCTCTTTGCTGTTGCCTGATTTTTGCTCTCACTTTGGTTGGTAGTTCCGTTGTTGGAACTTCTGGTAAAGGCACGCCGGTAACCTCTGCCTGAAGAGCTTCAAGCTCGTCCTCCACTTCGTCCTCGTCCTGATTCGATATTCGCCCACCCAACATCTCACTCACCTCCTACGGAATTATTAGCAAGTAAAAAGGCTATCAAGCCAGGAACTCACCTGCTGATAAGCAACGGCATCAGCCGTCTCTCCCATCAACTTCTCCACATGCTCTAGCCCACCCATTTCCTTATGAATCTCGTTCAGCACGTTCGTGCCTTGTTGTAATCCAAACACAACATCCTTTTGCACCAGAGCGAATTCCACACTGCTTGTCAACTTCTCCAGCTGCTCCAGCTGCGCATCCGTCTTCGCCAGTAAAGATTCTTGGTATTTCTTCCTCCGCAACGCTAATAGTGCTCGCGGTTTGTCCCCTTTTGCCAACATCTGCTTCGCTATTTCCTTTTCTCGATCCGTGAGAACTGTAATGCGCCGCTGATATTGATGTAACTTGTCGCGTTGATTTTTCATGTCCAGGATTGCTCTGACTTCAAATCAGCCAATTTGCTCGTTGCTAAAGGCAAGTAACGTACTTATCCTGGGCAGAGATCTTGTGAGCGCTCGCAGAGTTTCCCATTGTCGTCGCTGGCCTCCTTCAACGAGTCTGGAAGCGGGCATGTTGTCGCAAGCCTGGAACTTGAGGACGAGCGGTCGTCATCGAGGCTGCTCGCTTGCCAAAGGGGGTGGGGAGGGGTGCGATAACCGATAAGGCGGCAAGTCCCGGTGCATTGGGGAATTTTTTCCCGCTCACCGACACAAAAGCTCTTCCGCTGCAACGAAGCTGGGAATGTCACTTCTCGGGAACATCTATGTTCGGAGATGATGGTATCTCGAGGCCCAAGGCCAACCTTGACTCAGGGTCTAGATAGAGAGGTAACTACTGACGGAGGGTTCCGTGTTGGGGAGAAGTTGGGTAGGAATTGGTGCTGATCCTTTTCAGATCTATCAAGTAGTGCGCAAGCTGGCTGATGAGCAAGCCCAGCTCGAAAATGGTGGGAAACGCCTGACCGTCTCGAATGTCTACGACAGCATAAAGCATTCGAATTCCAGCTTGAAGCGCAGAAGCAAGAAACTGCTTGAGGACTCGATCGACCGAGTTCTGCTCGTGCTGAGAGAGGAGCAAGATGACAGCGAATCTCTGGATGGCGATTTTAATGGCTTGGAGGATCCCGTTCCACAATCGAAGGTTGGGCGTAAGTCCTCCGAAGTATGAATTTTAGTGCTAAGTGTAATCTGCCAGGAACAAAATATCATGAATAAGAGCATCACTCGCATGTGGGCAAAATCGACATCTGCTTCTGCGAACATGACCCCGAGAGAAGGAACCCCTCCACCCAATGGGACCATTACACCGATGCTGCCTATCCAGTCTCTGCAGAATGAAGGCACAGAACCTCCGGCAAAGACAGAAAGACAGGCAAATGGGGAGCCCAAATTGAAGCGTCGAAAGGCGGACTCGAGGAAAGAGGTGGATCGAACACCTCCTACAGATATCTCATTGGAAAATCTTGGAGGAGTGGACAACGTCATCGAGGAATTGAATGAGCTGGTGGCCATGCCTATGTTGTATCCGGATACATATATTCGCACTGGAATACAGCCTCCTCGTGGAGTGCTGCTACACGGACCTCCAGGCTGTGGGAAAACGATGATAGCGAACGCCTTTGCAGCAGAAATAGGGGTATCATTTATACCCCTATCGGCCCCCTCGTTGGTAGCTGGAATGTCAGGAGAGTCGGAAAAAAAAATTAGGGATATTTTTGAAGAGGCGAAACGAATGGCACCATGTCTCGTCTTCATCGATGAAATCGACGTCATAATGGGCAAGCGGGAGAGTGCTCAGAGGGAAATGGAGAAACGAATAGTGGCACAGATGCTCACGTGCATGGACGAAATGGCATTGGAGAAGACGGGTGGGAAGCCAGTGATCATTATTGCAGCTACGAATCGACCAGATAGCTTAGATCCGGCTCTTCGAAGAGCAGGCCGATTCAACAAGGAAATCAACTTGGGTGTTCCTAACGAGCTTGCTCGTGAGAAGATTCTACGAGCTCTGACCCAGAAATTGACGCTACCTGGAGATTTTGCATTTCGAAGTTTGGCAAAACTCACACCAGGTTTTGTAGGGGCTGATCTGAACGATGTTGTGTCTGTGGCGGGCACGGAAGCAATGAAGCGAATGATGGCGGTTCTGAAGCAACGTACTGCCACGGCCATGGATCTCGATACCTTATCCTCAGACGTCACACTTCCACCTTCGCTTCTCATACTACGTTCTCTGGTTTCCCATGCCGGCGAGTTCTCTCCCGACGGTGACTTCTCCATCACATACCAAGATTTCCTGACCGCAATCCCCAAAGTCCAGCCATCAGCCAAGCGCGAAGGATTCGCAACGATCCCAGACACAACGTGGTCACACATCGGCGCCCTCCACGAAGTCCGCGAGCAGCTCGAAATGGCAATCGTCGAGCCCATCAAGCGACCTGAATCCTTCGCTCGCGTTGGTATCACAGCACCAACAGGAGTCCTTCTTTGGGGTCCACCAGGCTGTGGGAAAACCCTTCTAGCAAAAGCCGTGGCAAACGAGTCCAAAGCAAATTTCATATCGATCAAAGGTCCGGAACTGCTCAACAAGTATGTTGGCGAATCCGAACGGGCAGTGCGTCAAGTGTTTGAGCGAGCTCGTTCTTCTGTGCCTTGTATCCTGTTCTTTGATGAACTAGATGCACTGGTACCGAAACGAGAGGACTCACTCTCTGAAGCTAGTAGCAAGGTTGTCAATACTTTGCTCACGGAGCTGGATGGATTGAGCAACAGAGCGGGGATTTACGTTATTGCTGCAACGAATAGACCGGATATGATCGATCCTGCCATGCTACGTCCTGGTCGATTAGGGACGTCGGTATTGGTAGACTTACCTACGCCGGACGAGAGAGTTGAGATTCTCAAAGCGTTGTACAAGAAGGCTCTACCTGCCGCTGCACAGAGTGAAGTGGATGGATTGGAGAGTGTGGCGAGGGATGTGAGGTGCACGGGATATAGTGGAGCGGATTTGGGCAATCTGCATCAGGCTGCTGCAGTTGCGGCGCTGAAGAGGGAGATGGCTAATGGTCCCGGGAGTGAGGAGTTGAGGATCCAGGGGGGTGATTGGGAGGTGGCGCTGGGGAAGGTGAGGGCTAGTGTTAAGGATGTCGGGAAGTATAGGAGGTTGAAAGAAAGGGGGATGTGAATTGGAGACTACTCAGCTGTGGGGATTTCAGTCAGTGAAGGTACTGACTCTTGTGCTTCCGGATATACACTGGTCTGGCCAATCTCGAACGAGCAAACTTTCTGACTATAGGTACAGTCTGGGACAAGATTTACATTGCCCTAGTCATAGAAGAAAATTCATACATCTTGGATGTATAACAATTTGAAAAGTTTCAAAATTTAAGATTCTATGCCCGAATTCCGGGACAGGTATCAGGTGAAAACAAGAGAATCACAGCAGGTAGCAACCTCCACCGGGTGCCGCAAAAATGGAGAAGAGAGAATCTGGAATTTGGTCGAACGCACAACCCAATGCTGTCTAACCTAGGAGTACAAGCTATCTAATCTATGAATACAATCCCACCTTCTACTTTGTCTCTTCGCGGAGGAAACTAGAGAATCGTTAGCTTCATGGCAATAAATTTGGATTTCTTTTTGGAAACACGTACGTGATCAGGTCGTTCCGGTCCTTGTCCTTCTTCAATCCACCAAATGCCATCTTCGTGCCAGGAATGTACTTTTTCGGGTTCTCGAGGTATTCGAACTATAACTCCGTCAGAATTGTACCACGTTTATTTTTGAAACTTGGAAGCACAACGTACCAGAGTGCCCTCATTCCATTCAATCCCCTTTGCCTTGTTGGCATCGGTGTATGAGAAGCCCTCGACTGAACCGGTGTGACGTCCGAACAAGCCGTGCAAGTTGGGGCCGATCTTGTTTCCTTCACCTTCGCCGAGGGTGTGGCATTGAGCACATCGTGTCTTGAAGAGGTTGGCACCCTTCTTTGCATCTCCTATATTGCGAAGCCTGTCAGCGAAAAAATTCTCTCTTGTTCGTTTGTAGCTGGAAACAGGATCTGGGCGCAAGTTGGCGGCAACAACGAAAATTGGAGGAAAGGATTCTGGGCTTTGGGGATGAAGTCTCTGTGCATGGGAGATGCAATGAGCCAGATCTCTCGGCATTCCATGCACGATCGGTCGTATCGTTGGAGCGGATGTTTCGGGGGTAGCGTGTATGGGTCGAGATAGTGCCCCTGGCGTCGACGACGATGAAAGAGCTGAATGTCATCGCAAAGAACATGCCAATATGCTTCGATATCCTCTTCACCTATGGCCAGAGTCTCAATGCCTTCGAAGCAAGTCGTACGACTCAATGGCATTCCTCTCAAGGTGACGTGATGCATTTTTTGCCAACTTCAGACGTAAAGGAAAAAAGTACGTACCGTCCTTGAAAGGCATGTTGTCTAGTTAGAACAGTTTATTGAGTTCGAAAGGGTGATATGTGCAAGTGAGCGTTTGTTGGAGTATGGGGGAGGAGTGTGAGATTTTGTTTGAGTCTTTTATGATTTTGGGAGAAGAGAAATTCTTGAAAGTCGGGAAAACGACAGCTGCTGTTGGCAGTAGCTTGCCAGGGATAGGACGCACGTAAGGCAGCACGGCCACAGCGGAGCGACGCCCAGGGCCAATGAAAACCTGAATATTGGAAAGCCAGACGGCCGTCAGCCACATGTGCGGCAAATTACGGAACGAGCTGGCTGTGTGCAGTTTTGCGGGTGGAGGTCGCCGTATAAGTATTTTAAGGCCTGATCGGAGAAGTGGAACAAAACCACAGAGCCCCTTCCTGGAGCCTCTCACTGTGCTCGATGCCTCCGACGACTTCAATCCCGCGGTTCCTGCTACCGCAGAGGAGCGCAATGTGGCGTACACGTCTCTCGATACCCGCTTCAACCTCCCACACGATGCGCAATGCCTCGAACCAGAAAAAGAACTCGAACTCGAAATCAAAGCCACTCGTGCTCGAAAAGCCTTCCAAGTTCACACCTCCATCCCACCCAGCTCAACTCCGTAAACAGGGCCCTCGATATCCAGGTCCCCAGTTATCCGATGAGGAGATAGCGAGGCAAACGACAAAGAAGTACCCGAATATGATGCCTCCGGAGGGGAGTTTTATGCATTGGTTTATGAACAACAAGACTATTCACATGTGGATTACGCTGGTACTTTGCATCCGATTACTGTAGCTTGAAGAGAGATACTAAATTGGTTTCCAGGGCACGCTTTTCACGTTAGCAGGAACTGTCTGGATCACAAACTTCAAGCGCAATTCTCCATTTGCAGATATGCTGCCTTCATGGACACAGTTATTCATCCACCCAATAGCATGTGTCCGCACGTTCATGGAAGTCTTGAAATTGGACTCCGAGCGCAGTACTGCGGAAACGATGGAACGAAGGAAGAGGAAGGTGGAGGATGTGCAAAAGCGGGCTGCGTACCGGAAAGCTCATGGCATGGAGACGGATGATTTTGGCGGATGGACCGCAAAGAGTGATGGACAGCTATTGGGCCCTGGCATGCCAATTGGCGATGCGGAAGGAGAACAGCCAACTGAGCAAGTGAGACCCAAAAAGCCGCTGAAGAAGTGGTTGGGAATTTGGTAGCCAACAAAATTCGACAGACTTCGAAGTCATGGGTATCTTGTCATGAAGAATCTGTACAACTAGCCCAACTCTACCGCCTCAAGACCCTCCAATACGTCCTCCGCAACGCCTCCTTGTTCTAGCACTTTTTTTATCATGGCAGCAATCAACTTCCTCTTGGCTCCACCTCTCGGAGGCTGCCAAACGCCTTCTTCATCCAAGGTCTCCCGCTGAGTCGATGTCTGCTCCGTTGTAGCAGCTGTACCTCCTGTAGCAGTGTTCGACGCATTCGGTACTCCAGGAGGCGTCAGCCTTGACGGTGGATCAATAGTCCTAACAGCCAACAATCTCAAATCTCTGCTCTTTCCAGCATCAATATCCATGCCAACTCCTCCAACTCCATGAGATCTCTCTCCAATTGAGACAGCCAGTACCACTTCCGCAACAGCAAGCTCCTCCTTGCACGGATCGAAAATAATGTTGTCCTTCACAGCCATAACTAGAAGCGTGACAGGTGGACGAGCACTAGTAGTTTCGGTAGTCCGTGGATAGAGAAAGAGAGAAGCTTCCCAGTCATCGTCGAATAGTGGATCCTCATCTTGCTCTGACTTTAACTTTGGCAGTCTTGTAGAAAGTAAAGCAAGATGAGTGGTGAGAGACAGCAGCGGCAGAGGATACGACAGTGGCTGCGAGAGCAACAGAATCTATCTCACATTAGCTTAAGACAAGAAGATTCCCAAAGGGTTGTAACTCACATCCAAATACAACTTCCAATGAAACCTCCTATTGATCCACAACCGCCTCGTAAACTCCCCGTCAGCAAGCAACGCCTCACTGATCATCGCCGCCAAGAAAACCGGCATCGGGTCATCATCTCTAAAGCCAGGAATCTCCACGCTCATCTCAACCCATTCATTCAACCCCTTCTTCTGTTCTGCCTCTTTCTCACTTCTCCTTGTGTCCTCATCTTCCTCGTCATCGTCGTCTCCGCCGATGTTCTGGTCTTGGTAGCTTGGCCGAGATTTCTCCACCTCTGCTTTGATTCCCACAATTGCTTCTGTCCCGTCGGCGAAACAGATACGCGCGCTACCATTTGTGCCTGGCAAGATGTCCGTCTCTGCGATCAAGGGTCGGAATTGGCTCGGTGTACGGCCATCAGGGCGGATTGTCGGGGTGAGTGAGAGGGATGTATGGAGGTATGAGAGCTCTGCAGGGCTCAGGAGAACCTGTTGGGTGGCTGATGGCGCCATCTTGACCTTGTCCAAGTCCCCTTGGCCCAGATATTAGAATGAGCAATCGAATTTGTATGTTGTACTAGGTTGTCAAGGAGTTCAAGGATGTTTATGTATAATCATGCATTTTCTCCCTTAGCTCGGCAAGGCTACGGGGACGCTAGTGCAAGGCTGATCCACGAACGACACTGCTCTTGGACAACATCCCATGCTTTCAACTTCTCACAAAAATTGCCTTTCCTGCGTTCCTTCGCCCTCGTTTCACTAGCACTTTCGGTTCCATCCGTCAAAGCAATGATTTGACATCATCTGGTACATTTTGGAGGAATAATTACCCCGCTACCCCTCCACAACTTCAACTGCCAGTCTCGGAGCTGTGTTATCTACAGCATATTAGCCAGGCAAGGCTGCAGATACGACGTACATGATTCTCAGTCAAAGCTTAAAGAGTCACCAAGATGTTACGAATGCCACAGGTCATTTTTAGGAATAAATTCCTTCTTCCTTCTCTTCCTCCTCCAACGTGCAAGAAGGTGTTGATCACAGGAGCATCAGGCGGTCTGGGCTTAGCAGCTGCGGTACATTATATCAATTTAGGCGCTTCACTAGTGAGTGCTTTCATCAGGAAATGGCTGAATTTTTCGCGCTAGCTTAGACTCCTGAGGATCCTAATTGCTCCTAAACACACTTGAAGATCCAGGTCTACCTCAATGTCCCAGAAAGCTCTAGATACATTGGTATTCCACACTTCTCAATATCCAGCATCCCTTTACGCATTTACACTCCATCTCTGCCCTCTCAACAACCCCTAACAAACCCAGGTAATCATCACCGCCCGCGATGCCTCAAAAGGAGAAGCAGCCATCGCCTCAATCGAAGCTCAAACCGGCACCGTCTGGAAAGGAATCGTCAAGCTTATGCTCCTAGACATGAGTGCCTTCGCTTCAACCAAATGCTTCGCCGACAAACTCAAATCGGAGATCCAAGAGATTGACATTGTCCTGCTAAACGCCGGTGCATTAAACACATCCTTCAACCTCAGATCAGAGGGGTATGAGGAAACGATCCAAGTCACAGTTCTCAGTACCGCGTTATTAGCTCTGCTTCTATTGCCGTGGGTGAAAGTCGCTGGGAAGGGAAAAGCGCATCTGGGTTTCGTGACGAGTGGGACACATCGGCGTGCAGCCATTGACACCTGGCCGAAAGACAATGTGCTTCAATGGCTGAGTAAGGAAGAGAATTGGCCATGCAGTATGTATGCAACAGCCAAGTTACTAGAGCAATATGTTGCGAACGAGATTGCGAAGTTGGCCGTAAACCCTTTTGGGGTCCCTGAGGTTATTGTGAACTCAATGTGTCCTGGTCAATAACCCTTCCACGATAATGAATTTTGCTGATAGTCAGCACAGGAATGGTGAAATCAGACCTCGGAAGAGCATATAAGAAGAATTATCTGCTCTCGCTGGGTGTAGATATTTTCTCGAATCTGGCTATGAAGACGACGGAAGGTGGTGCGAGGACGCTTGTTCTTGCAACGATGACTACGCCAGACGAGAATGGGAAGTATTATACGAATTACCAGTCAGATGAGGACTATAAGCTGTACGTTCACATCCCAGAAGACTTCAATCAGCTCTGTGAAACTAGCGGGGGGGAGGCGGGGTGTTCTCAGTGTCACTAGTTGAATGAGTGGTGCAGAGAATGACTATTTGGTTAACACTTGGTAGTTTTTAGCATGAACTAATCATATCACAGGGCTGTCCAACACAACATACTTGGACCAGAAGGACAGGAGATGCAGGCAGAAGTTTGGAAGGAGGTTTTGGCAATTCTGGAGGAGCAAGTCCCTGACGCGAGAGAGATACTGCACCGAGCGATGGCACAATACCCTTTGATGCGCCTCTGATTTAGTAATTGGCTCATGTTCTTGTAAATTTGTAATGGCGTGCGTCTTTCTCTTGAAATTATCTCGCACATTGATATCCTGACTTCATGATTCGTGATTCGTTTCTTCGTTGCCACCGCCATGCTTCGGTCGCAGTCTACTTTGCGATTCGTAATTGTTTGAAGAAGCCTTGGAGCAATCAGATCATCGTTCATCAAGTCTCCCGGTTTCCGGTGTTAACTGAAGTAAACAACCATATCTCCAGCAGCCTCCGCTCCTACAGCAGCCACCAGTTCAGCAATGATTCCCTTGATAGAACGCGTGCTCCCCATATCGCTCGTTTCCCAACTCACAAGGTCCCCAGTCTCTGCTTCTGTGTCTCGGACACGTATTTTGATGTGATCGAGGTCAACTTCAGCGAATATCTGCTCTTTCGTGAGTATGCCGGGGATTGATCGTTCGAAGATAGGCTTTTCGGGGTCTGGTACAGGTCCGTCTTCCTCATTAGATTGTCCATCGAAGTCTGGGTCATCCATATCCGTATCTGTGGAGTCGTCGGTTGGATTCGCAGGTGTTGGGGTTAGGGGCGCTACCGCCGAAGACGCTGAAAAGAAGCTTGTCAGAAATCTCCATGTTCTGGAAGTGTTTTCGAGTGTGCCAGCTGAGCAGGGGGATTGCCGGATGGAATGGTTCAACTCGAAAGGAATATCGGCGTTGATATTATAGATGTTCCAACTTGGAAGTGTGTCAACAATCGGACTTCCCAAATGAACCGACTCGCATTCTGGATCTCTTATTACTTCGTCTGGTGCATCCTGTAACGGAGATTTGACGTTGGTATGCTTCAACAACGCGGGAGGATTATCTATAGTTCGGTGGGCTCTATTCTGACTTTTCCAACTTGGAAGGCATATCAATCAAATGTCCCGACCATCGAGAGGATGTTGCAATTGAAGATACTTCAAGAATTAATGTCCGACATTTAGAAGAACTGAACTCAGAAACATCGGCGTTATTTCCCATGTTCCAACTGGCTCGGGACATATCATAACCAGACTTTTTAATGTTTTGGGTTGGGAAGAAAAGCGACATTAGGGCCGTGCCAAACTCCAAGACGGACGGGAAGGTGGACGAGTAGAGATTTATGATTTTCCAAATGCAAAAAGTCGGACACAACGTAAATAGGACAGCCTCGGGTCTTACCTGCTTGTTCAAGTGAAAGGCTCACAAACTTCTTGCTATCCAGCCTTTTCTTCATCTCGTCGTCCAGCGGATCCCAGTTGTAGGACCCAGGATCCAGCATGTACTGAGGCGTGTAGTCTCCTTTGTATCTCATTTTGACACAGCTGTGGATGTAGAATCCTGCATACCACCACTTGTATCCTTCTTCCTTTGCCAAGGCAATTTCTCTTAAAGCACCAACTTTTCCAAGGCCATGCTGATGGACAGATTCGTGATAGATAAAGTACACGGCACTAACGCATTGTGGAAGGAGATCAAGTACTCCAATGGCGACAAGTGTCCCGTCGATTCGATAACATTGATGGTATGATCCCAATCGGCGTTCCCGACCATCAAACTTCTCTGCTGACCGAGGCAGTGGAGAATTGCAGAGGAACTTCTTGAAGCCCGGTCTCGATATTCGGTGTGGAGGTTCATGGTGAACCAGACGTTGATAGTTCTCGAACAGGACATATTTCTCCTCCGTGAACTCATCCGGCTCGAGCGTGACTGTCAAGGAATATGAAGGCTCAGGCGGGGTTTTCAGGTGTCCCTTTTCGCCTTCATGAACCCGCTCCACTAAATCAAAGTCGGTGTTGCGCTTCTTGGCTTGCTCGCGTGACCTAGGATAGAACTTTGCCGTGTCTTTGATGTAAGAATCGCCAAGGATATGCTTGTTGAACCGATTCAGAGCCTGCCGTTGATCTTTCGAAGCATGGAAGAGCTCGGAATCGAGACGAATTGTGTATTGAGGGCAACATGATGCCAGCTGGTCAGGCTTGTAGAGCAAACTTCCTGACCTTCTCCAACCGCGATTAAGTAGACATTGATAGAACCCAGTGCTCAAGGAGGTTGTCGATGCGTAATATGAAAAGCCTAAGCAGCCAAAAAGTAAATATTGGGCAGAAACTCGGGTAGAAAAAAGTTCGATGCCCTGCAGAGAGCCAAAATAGGGGAAAATTCCAGTGCAAAAAAGGACAACCCGCTAGAAACCTGAGACCAGGTGACAAACGGTGTGGAAGATTTACGTTTCTGTGACCTACTTCCAGATTTGCTGTGGCAATAGCCACAACTGTTGTTGCTGTATCCTGTCCACTTTTCAGCAATTATATCCAGTGTAATTGGGTTGGCTGCTCACCAATAGGGCTCAGGAGCGAGTTGATTTTGTCCATAAGAGCGGTAAAAATGAGTGATTCCACTTAAAACTCACTGTCTCCTTCCGCAACTTTGGATCGCAGAGAATTCGCAAGAATAAAGTAAAAAGATTTGTAAAGAGGGCAGAAGCAACTATTTAACATAAGCTCGTCTCCCTGTATACGGGCTTGCATCTGTTGTGCTTCACAGTCGCGAAAGTGACGTCGATATTTTGTCCTTGGTTGAGAAGGACTAGGCCCGCTAAATTGTGCAGCTTTTTCTTCCACCGCAAGAGTGCCCGGGGTTCCTTTCGCACTATACTTGATTTGGACTACTGACTGATCTCGATGAATCTCGCTTATGTCATGCGTAGAGAATCAGAGAACGTCTGATTTATGAGACCACGACCACAGTTATCACGGTATCACAATTGTGCTGCCTCCATGCCATTTGAATCTGCGATCTGCCAAACAGTAATTGGAGTCGACATCCTCGAGCAATCAGTCGCCCCCTTGAAACTTCTCATGCGCGCCTCGATGAAGGAAAGCAGAACGCCATTGGCGGGCAATTTGTATACAAGATGAAGATGCGACTCCGTGTACCGAATTAAGGCTTCATTCTTCCATTTAACTTATTTGAAGCAGTCTTGTTGAATCTCCTATTTTCATTATTAGCATCGGAACGACAAGCTTATTTAGTTTACGTGTATGCGGAAGTGGCTCGTCAGGATTTAAAAGTGCCACTAATGGTGGCTCGTATGTAGAGAAGGACGTTCGCTTTGAAAGTTGCGCGATCTTTAGTGACAGCTTACAAGGAAATCGGAGACCCAGTCACCCTGGCGCTGTACTAGGACTTCTTTCTTCAAATATCGTTCCCATCGGTGATGTTTGACGTGGCTACTCCTATGTTAAATCAGAACGTCATTCTTCTGATATTGGATGTTGAGCCTCGATCCGTGGTATCTAGTCATCAGGTTGAGTAAGGAGCAGCAGATGCGAGTAGTGCGGGGGCCGGCCGCCTTCGACGCACCATCCAGAGATTCCAGACTGAATGGGCGGTTCTAAGAGGCCTAAGGAGAGTGGGGGTTGGGTAAGGGCTGGTGAGGGCTGGTGAGGGCTGGTGACAGTGGTGAGGGCTGTTCAAGGCAAAGAAAATCCGAAGCCAACGCTGTAGATGAACGTCGTCGAAGCGATCAAACACGTTCCTCGTGGCACGGAAAACCATTGGAGAATGGCTTTGGATTTAGGGTTACGTCTCTTACCAATAGCGCGCGTTTGGCATGCCCAGCAGCCCAGGGTCTGCATCCCGCAGGGCCGTACACACCACCGGAAGCTGACGATGAGGCGGCTACTTCGGTTAGGGAAGGAGAATGCGGACAGAATGCGGACAGGATGCCGACGTGGGATGGCGAGTCGCAACGGGGGACGAGCTGAGGGTTGCAGCGCAGATATAAGAGCCGTCCTGGAGTACCTGGCCCTGGGCCTAGGCGATTGAAGGGGGGAGGAAGGAGAGAAGGAGAGGGAGCGGAAGAGGTCTGGAGACAGGTACTTGTAGAATGCAGAATTTGCATCTACATCTGCATTTGTCGGAGCCGGCAGGGCGGGCCAATATGCAGCAGCTGCTGCAGCTGTGCCATGTGCGAGGGTCAGCCTGCCGGCAAAGGCTGTTTGGCTCTGAATACATTGCATTGCTGCGCTGTCCGGTGATGGTGCTGTGCAGGCAGTCGACTCTGATGTTGTTACTTACGAGTAGTGGGGGTGCTGCATGTGAACCTCGTTCTTCCACTTCCCTTCCAGACGCCGTGGCCAAGTCGGCGTAGAGCGCCTCCAAACAGAGGCTATCTGCCAGTCATGGCTAGGCGGATGCAAGTAGCTTTGCTGCTTCTCTGCGTAACGTCGAAGCAAATAATTTACTCCGTACTAGACCAAGGCTTCCTCCACATCCACCTCCACCTCCACCTCCACCCCCATCAGCGTCCTTTTCTCACTGCCAGACCACCTCTCCTCTACTACCTAGCACCTTCCCACCAGGTCCGCCTCTTCAATCTCGAACTTTTTCTTGCTTCTGTGTTCCCCTGGCAGCAATTTTAGTCTCCCAAGCAGGCGCCACCCCACAAATTCCACCATGCCCGAGCTTTAAAAGCTGCAACAAATTCCAAACTTCTCGGAAGAGGAGCAAATCCTCTCGGGCGCCCTCGTCACCGAGGTGGCGCACTGTCTTCATTATCATGTCGTCGTCAAGCCGCTCAATGGAGTCCCGCACAGGCCGCTCCAAGCAGAGTAAGTTGAGAATTTCCCAATTTGAGGAGGATGCCCTGCCTGGACTTCTCTCTTACAAATCAGCACAGAATTCAAGCTGACGGTCCTTTAGGATACAGCGAGTCCGGGGATAGACTAGTAGCAGGCGTAGTACCTTTGAACGAAGCCAAAACCCACGTCCTCTTGATCCAGTCCACTCGAAGACACGGCTGGGTCCTTCCCAAGGGCGGATGGGAGTCTGATGAGAGTTGCACTGAGGCTGCACAGCGGGAGGCATGGGAAGAGGCAGGAATTGTTTGCAACGTCGACTATGATCTCGGCACAATCAGAGATACTCGAGCTCCCAAGCACATGTCCAAAGACGCCCCCAAGTCTCTATACCAGTTCTACGAGGTCACGGTCACAAGGGAGGAGGCAGATTGGCCGGAGAAGCATAAGAGGACTCGACAGTGGGCAAACTTTGCGGAAGCTTCAGAAGCTCTCAAACACCGTCCGGAACTCCTTGAAGCTCTCAAGCGGTCAACCATTCAGCGGTAGCCTTGCGGGCCCGGCGTTCTATCCATCCACACTGCAGTCGCGGCGCAACAGCACTTGTCGTACAGGTCGAGGTTGCCTACGTCAGCCCCTGGATCGAGAGCTATAGGATGTCGGGGTCCGAAAACAGCAGAGATTGCAAAATTCGCGGTGAATTTCCTCGGTTTCTCCAGTTTCAGTCAGGTCGTCGGTACAAGGAGCGTAGCTTCGCAGGCTGGGTCGTTTCCTTTGGCAAACATCATCGTTGATCATTTCCCCTGCACTAGAAGACAATCAAGTCGGATTCTGCCGTACTTTTTAATCCAATGGCCAACTTCATTGATCCGGCACTGACAGACCTTGTCGATTTGGTTATCCCCACAAGCACCAACCAAAATGCGGAGCATTCTCATGGGGGTTTTGGCATTTCATAAGACATTTTGCATTTTGCATTTGCATGGCGTTTTCAGACAGGGGCATAAAATGGGCATGCATAGGAAGGAGGCGTCGATGGCAGACGTAAATTTAACACAAAAGACCTGTACATGTAGAAAGCGGCTTGATATCTTATCTGTGTTCTTAAGGCCTCTAGACCTTTAGAATAAGATAATCGTCCAAGCCGCTGAGTAATCAAAAGTCGATTTCACTAAAGAAACGCGTTTTATTCCCGTCCAATTTTTTGTGGCTCGATGTGGTCCCTTGCATGCGGCTCTCCTCTCCAGAAACGTCACCAAAGTTCAGCCCAACGTTCGTTTCCACCGACTCATCTCTCGCCTCCCCTGCCATCACAGAGATTTCTCCCAACGCACGCGACTATGGGTTGGAGCTCATGATATCGAATTCTTGACCTCATCGCCCATTGTGCAAAATGGAAAACCTCACACTTGAGGAAGTCCCTCCACAGGGAGCGCCGGGCGGGGCGCAAATGCCACTTCCAGGACCAGGCATGCCACCACCTCCGAACCAGCAATTGCCGCCGCAGATGTTCACCACTGCTGCGCAATTACTAGATATGACTGATAGTACGGATTTCTCTGTCTTCACTTTTAAATCTTCCTCGGGGGCAGTGGCTCTGCTCTCAGCCGTCGCTCTGTCTTTGCTCCGTACTTTCCAAGGATCAAGCACGTCTACTTGGGATCATGCGTTCACTTTTCAAGGGAAACAAATGGGCTAATCTTACTTACTTTAGAAAAACTCATGGTCGCCCTCCGCGACGGCAGAAAACTAATCGGTGTCCTCCGCAGCTGGGACCAATTCGGTACCTACATCCCCTTCCCCTCTCCTCCCTTTCTAACAATTACCCCCAGCAAACCTCGTCCTCCAATCCACAGTCGAGCGCGTCTTCGTTCCCCCACCCTCTACTTCCTCCTCCAGCAATCCTTCCACACCCACACAGCCAGGACTCTACGCCGACATCCCCAAAGGCATCTTCCTAGTGAGAGGCGAAAATGTGTTGTTGCTGGGAGAGATCGATTTAGATAAAGACGATGATCCCCCGCCGGGATATGAGAAGGCGGAGGCGGAAGTGGTGCATAAGCTTGCGAAGGAGAGGCAGGCTAAGGAGTCTCAGATTGAGAAGGTTAGGTTGGGGAAGTTGAAAGAACTGGGATTTGAGGGGGAGAATACTGGGGAGGCGCTCATCTGACGAATGGAGGGTGGGGGAGAACGGCGGCTTTCGTGATATCAAAAATGGGCTAGAGGAAGAATGGAAGTGGGGGGGCTGTCACTTTGCAGAATATTGTGAAATGCATCAAGTTTCAGCGGGAGATGGATGGTTGAAATGAATTAGTGGTCTTGAAAGCCGCTATGCTTAGAACTCGTATGAAATGGGTGGCATGGCTTTGCTCATTCAATCCGAAAAGATTTCCGGGGCTGTGAGACATGGTTCGCCTGTTCAGAAGCCATTTGTTGCGCTGAGATCGATAAACCCTGCGATTTCGACTCCTGATCATGAAATCTAAATGTGAGTAAAGCGAAGTTGTGAAGTTTGGGGGTTCGTAATAGTCAAATTATCTTCAACGGATAAAAAAATCTCAAAGGGATGAAGAAGTATTCTCCTACCTTCATCCGATGCTGGAATTTCCACGTTGTGGAAGGGCGAATGATTGTACTGAACAGATCTGGTAGTACTTGAACAATTCCACATGATTTAAGTATCAAGGGGATATACAAGTATTTGAATTACTCAACGCTACCTCGACGACAACATCCTCATGTTTTTTGTAAAGTTAGTCTTGGGATGAGTAAAGATTCACTTGACCGTAAAATGACAAAGGAAAGAAAGTAAGGGTATATTAGGCAATTGACAAATGAAAATGCCTCCCAATCCCAAAGCCTCTTCATTTCCAACAGTATCCCTTCAACCCAGAGCCCGTCCTAACTCCTGTTCCAAGCCAACTCATGCCACACAGATATCCTACGCAGCAGGCGTCTCCGCACTCGCCGTCTCATCCTCCGTCGCCTTCTCAGTCTTCTTAATCGCCTCCTCCAACTTCCTCTTCTTCTCGGCAGCCTTCTCCCTCTTCTTCGCCTCCCCCTTCTCCTTCTGCGCATCCCTTTTGACCCTCGCCCCTTCACTAATCACTGCCGGCCCCGCCCTCACAACATGCCAACTATATACCATGCCCGCCTTGAAGCTCACCCACGAGTTCTTGAAATGCTCTTTGGCCTTCTTGATGTCATTTTTGGCGTACGTGGCGCGGCGTTTGGCGCGGTACTGTTGCTCTGCTCGTTGGGCACGCTGGAAGGCTGAGGATGCCTGTTCGCGATTCGCACGCAGCCCGAGTTCTGTTCCTGAAGTGCCCGGACGGCCGTTGGGTGGGAGGGGCTTGTCTTTGAGGCCAAGGGCTCCGGTGGCTTCTGCTTGGGACATTGTGTATAACTTCGCGAAATGTTGGAAAAGAAGGGAGATAAATTAAAGCTTGTATATATCACTTCACTGAGGGAAAATGAAAGAGACGTCCATTAAGTGGAATGATGGCAGATGTGAGAATGAAGAGGGGGATCGTGAAGCGCGTGAGAAGAATCCACCAGGAAATATATCCAAGAGAGATTACCTTTATGCCTGTCGCAATTTTGCGCGACTTCGACGACACATCACCAGGAGCTGCTTACTCGAAGTCCAATCGCTTTGTGAAATTTTCCTTCTTGAAATCAATGCATTGATGGCGAAGAGGTTGATCCTTGTCAATCTTCTCGTGGCAGCTATCAAAAGGTGGAAAGAAACGGATTCGACAAGGGAGGGCGCGGAGATCTCTTATGTGAGTCATTTTCATGCCATTTCAGATGTTCTAGAGTGTTTGATGAGGCGTGGGTGGCGCGTGAAAGAGGTGGAGAAACGCGTTTAGTAAGGTGAGGGTTGTTTCAATATGAGAAGCGATCAGGGGCTTTGAGTTGGCCAATGAGGACTGAACTGGTCTGGTCTACACTAAAACGGCTGATCAGGAGAGGAAAGATTGACTCCAATTTTTATTTTTTATCATGCAAAGTACCCATCTTGCTGCTCCCTTTTCTTGGTGGGGTAAGGAGTCAGCATCGGCTTTCCTCCATTCATTTGTTCCTTCAGATATCGCTCCTCGGCATTCTGGAGGGAAGTCATGCTGGCCCTGAGCTTATTCATCGTCTCGATGTACTCGTCGTAGGGATCCGAATCAAACACTATGCCGCCCCCTAATATGGCGCAGACAATTAGCATTTCATTCTCCAAGAATTGATTCCCTCGAGTGTCCGACCCCTGGCAAGGAATACTCACCTGCTTGCAGATATGCGATCTTGTCCTTAAACACCATGGTCCTCAAGGCAATACAGGTATCCATCGCTCCCTCGGTTTCGTTGCCATCGGTATCAACGCTCGCATAACCAAAGTAGCCCACGGCTCCAGCATAGACGCCTCGCTTCTCCTTCTCCAGTTCCGCAATGAGTTCCATTGCCTTTACTTTGGGTGCTCCAGAGGTGGTACCAGCGGGAAATATAGACCTGAAAGCATCAAATCTAGTCATGCCCTTTCTCAGGACTCCGGAAACCTGCGAAACCAGATGCTGGACATGGCTGAACTTCTCCACAACCATTAAGCGATCGACTCTGGTAGTCAACGGATCACACACTCGATTGACGTCGTTTCTCGCAAGGTCAACAAGCATGACATGTTCTGCTCTATCTTTTAATGACTGTCGAAGTTCTTCCGCAAGCACATCGTCTTCTTGGAGATTTTTCCCCCTTCGCACAGTTCCAGCAATCGGGTGGGTAATGATGCGTCCTTCTTCTTCTTTCACAAGAAGTTCTGGAGAAGCACCGATTATTTGGAATCCTTCGCAGTCTATGTAGAACAGATATGGAGATGGGTTTACTCTCCGTAGTTGTCGGTATATGTTAAAGGGGTGAAGAGAAGTTGGCCTAGCGATTCGTTGAGACGGTACAGCTTGGATGATATCACCTGCCATAACATGCTCCTTCAACTTCTTGACATGTCCTTCGTATCCTGCCTGTCCGATGTTCGAAGTGTATTTCTGGTCGAGTTTTATAGGGGGTTGATAGGGGGGGGTTGCATCTCCGGACAGAAGCACATTGATCATCTCGAAGATGGTAGTTTCGGCTTTCCTATAGGCATCTTCAAGATTTGAAGGATCCTCGGGAATGTGAAGGTAGGTGATGATCTTTACAGCCTCGTAGAATCGATCAAAGGCGACGATCGTATCGAACAGCATGAATAACGATTCGGGCACTTTCAATACATCTTGCATCGGCCTGGCAGTCTTTGGCTCAAAGTACCGCACGCAGTCGTAACCAACATAACCAATGGCTCCTCCAGTGAGTGGTGGTAGTTTCAATCCTGGAACTTCTGCCACCCTGGTCATCGCAAGCTCTGCCTCCAGACCTGGGAGTGGATCCACAGACTCGCCATGTCCTTCTCCAGTTTTGAGGACCTTTCGAGGACCTGCACCCACAAAGCTGTAGTTTCCAACCCTCTCCGACGCCGCACTCTCAAATAAAAAGGAGAACTCGGACTTGTATTGTGCGGAGATCTTGAGGTATGCCTGTGAAGGAGTGATCAGGTCGGAGGAGATTTCAGAAAAGACGGGGACTCGATTTGGAGCATTCGGTTTGCCATTGAACTTTTTCAGCAGATCCCGTACGGCTTCCAAGGAAGGCTGGAGGTCCTGGCTTACTGTAAGCTTTCCCATCATGCACAAATATGAAGAGTCACAGAATAAATAAACAAACCTACTCCGGCAGACATTGTGACGGATTTCACAACTCAACAACCCACACGGTATTTCGAGACAAACTTTCCTCGGTAATTGGGAGGTTTGAAATAGTGAGGAGTTCGTCTGAATTGATGGAGGAAAGATGGAAGGTAAGTGAATAAATTAGTGATGACGAGAGGAAAGCGGTGAGCAGCGGCAGAATCTTAAGCTTCCCCGAATGGGAAAGTGGTCTCTACGTAGGAGAAATAAGCGGCGGCCGAAATTGGCCCCTGCGCCAACCCAACACCTCAACTTTCCTGCCCTCTTTTTGAGACTACACAAGTCAATTAAAGCTGCAAAAGACGTATGTAGGACTTGCGAGATCTGGTATGACTGTAAGAAGTCGTAGAGAGAAAAGAAATTAATTTGCTGTGTAGTAAATACTGATTTTCTGGAGTCCGCTGAATTTGTCAAAATCGGCCACTTTTCTCCTCCCGCTAGAGTGGCTGGGCTAGCGTGGCTGGTGAATATCTCCCCACTACAACAGCCAATGAATTCTAACACACTCTGATAATGTCGTCTCTTCTTCCTCGCAGCATTGTTTCCATGATTTGCCAATAGAGTCAGCATTCGACACATTAATTGTACCGTTCTGGCTAGCTATCCCTTGTCTCTTTGCTATTTGCCAGGATTCCCACCACCTCGCTCATAACCAACCTCGCCTACGGCCACTGCCGCTGGCAGCAAAATGAGTCTACAATACCTAGGAATCAGTCATTTTCCCGTCCTCCACCGGCAATTCTCCTCGCCGACAAAAGGAGCTTTCTTGGACTCATCTCCCAGTCAGCAAGACCTTACTCAAGACAGCAAGGATGTCCTTATCGAAAGGTTGAATGATCTAGTGCTACGTCTGTCAACAGCCCAGGAGCTGGAGGCTGGTGCAGTGACCGCTGTTCACTCGCAAGTAGACAGGATTGAGATGATTTTGAGAGGTGAAGAAAAGCACAAGCAGCCGAACCATCCCCGCAGTGGAAGTGGAACACCGGTGCCGAAAGATGACCCATTCTGGGGCCCTGCTACCCCAACACAGAGCATTAAAATGCGTCTACCAGACACGTCTACTGGTGGTCAGCGACCACCGCTTCGTCGGAATTTACAGCAGATGTCTTCAGCAAAGGCCAAGGAAATGGCACAGGAAGCTGAAGACCTAGCTTCAAGAATGGCCGTCACTCTTGAAGAATTTCAACGTAGGAAAGAAGAGTCAGATGTAGGCCCATGGAAAGTTTTGTGTAAGACCTAGTCACTGACACCAGAAAGCACATTCACGATTTACTTATAACACGTGTTGAGAAGGCAGCTGAGAGAATCCTGGTTCTAGAGTATAGGATTGCAGAGATGTAGGTCAATTTTGGACTAATGTCGCAGTCTAAGTCTAACAGCCCACAGAGAGAATGATTTTGAGGCAGATCAATCAGAGCTCAAGTTTCTCCGGATCCAATTACAGGCACTTGAAGCCCAATGTGCTCAATATATTCCCCGCAACGAAGACCCTGAGCTTACGGAGAGCATCTTGAATTGGAAAGTCGACTGGGAGGACATTGACAGGCGGTCTAAAGCCCGGAGGAAGAAGTGTAAGATGTCGTTGTCAGTGAGTAATATGAGTGACTCCCAGACAGCCGTGGATGGCTCTTGAAGTTGGGACAGAGCAATCCATAACAACAGAGCCATGTATCAGTAACAACCTGATATTACCCAAAATCAGGGTGTCACCTTGCGGGTTCGAGAAGATTCCGTCGTCGATGATCATTGAACCGGAGGATCATATATCGGCGCAACGGTCCAGAGCTAACGACTCTTTTTCCTCGCAAAAACACAAAATCGAAAGCAGCCTTCAACCTATTCCAAAGTCCAACTTCAGAAATATCCGGATCATGGGTAAGAAGATCCCTCAACCAAAAACATCAGAATCCATCATCGCTCAGCTTAAGCAAGCACAAGAGCCGCACAGTCGATTCATCAACCAAGCCCGCGATGCTAAACGAAAGCTCGCTGCAGCTCAAGGTATGGCCATCCCGAGGTGGGAGGATTATTGGAAAGAGCTCGATGAGTGGAGGGATCTCGTAGTGGAGCAAGAGATCGATCGAGAGCTTTATCAGCATGGCTTTGCGCCGACACCTCCGACAACCCCTGTTCCTCGACCCGTCAAACCCAAGGATCTTGAGAATGTTGGTGGAAACTCTAGGGAATGATGTTTTGTCGAGCTTCTTGAGCTTCAGGCTTTCGTTGTCTTTCGTGAGGGGAGGTGGTGGTCGGATTTCAGCGCATAGGAGTCGGCTTTTCTTGGTTGGGAAATTTTGATGTGCTGCGCTCCTGTGATCATTCAGGGGGGGTGGGGGGGGGCAACTTTGAATGTCCCATACCCAAGATACTTTCCAGCAGAGTGCCAGTATGCATATTTGGCAAGCGCCCAAGTCGGATCTGCCGCTACATACTCCGTAGTTAAATCAAGGTGTATACTGAAGTTCTCATCCTATTCATTATTCTGACGGTCCAATTGCCGTATTCGCGAGAATCTCGGAGAAGTTCCAAGATAAGTGAGTTGATCTGATCGCCACTTCGTTGGATGCCGCTGAAACTCGTTGCTCGCACATTAATATCCCACTATTTTCCTTTTCGCGATCCCTATCCATAGTGACGCCGCGAACTCTGGCCCAACCTGGTACCCATCCATCCTTGTCAATATATTCCTCCTCAATTCTCATTGTCCATTCACACAATTTCCCCATACACACACTGTCACACACTCCTTCCCTTCTGGGGTACTTGAGCAATAGTGCTATGGCTTTCCTCCTCAGCAAAGGATCCCGACATTTTAGTGCAGTTAGGAACATAGGGATTACAGTGTAAGAATCAAAATTGAACGCTGGCCTCTTGAAGTGTCTGGCCTTTTGAGTTCCCTGCCCATCTAGAGTGCCGAGCATATATTCCGACATCTCAACCATTACCCTAAACTCGTCGAGATGATGGTCGAAATCTTCCTCATTGGCAACGAGGGGTGCCGTGCAGCCCATAAGCGCCGACACAATACGATTCCTCATCAAGGCTGCGGGGAATAAATCAGAGGGGTTGTTCTCCTCTTTGAGACGCTTCCACAGGGGCGCAAATGCGGTCTTCCAACGCATAGAATCAGCAGCCATACTTTCCAGTGTTGCTAGAACTTTTGGCTCGCTACAGGAGTGCCAGCCATTCATCGGGAATGCTGCAATATCACTAGGTCAGTATTTTCCGAATCTAGAATGTGCCAGAAATATATTGAACAGTAGGATCTCTTTCTGGGTGGTACAAGTACATGGGGTGAAGCAAAACAGGCTCGGATTATGGGGAAGAAGCTAGGAAACCATAATTCTTACTATGAAGCGGAGGAGGAGGTTTCTCTAATGGAATTTCGTGGCACACGAAAGCCATGGCTCTTCTTGACATTTTGTTAGCTCCACAGGCAGAGAGCTTTGTCAGTATGCTTTACCTAATAATTGCTTCTTCGCATATACTCGCTTCGGACAGAGATGTGAAGATGAGTGGCATGCGCTCCAGCACTTTGCGTCCTCTGGCCTGCCATCGACTTAGTTTGGAGCTCTTCTGAATCTCGAGAGGGAGCTGAAGAGCTGAGAAGCCAAGCTCCTAAGACAAATATTTATGACAGCTCCCGTTAAGTTCCTGGACTCAGATCTCTCGAAGAAACAGCAAATCATCAGGAGATTACGACTTACAATGATCATTGCGTGATATTCCGGAGATGGCTGCTCTGAAAACGATACGATTTGGGTGTCCAGTCGGCTGAAGATTCGAACCAGCTCGCCCTCAAGACTGCCGCTATAGGCAGGATCTGATCCGACAGGCCCGGCAAGCAGAGATTGAGCAGATTCATGCCACTCTCTGATGAGCCTCAAACCGGTTTGGATTTGGCGTACCGCAAAGTCCAGATTGCCGTTCCAAGCTTCGAAGCAAAGGATCTAGTTGTTAGAGTCTCGGATCAGCATGCCTGATTGGGATGGTCAAGCTTGAACATGTTCACAGAACAACGGGAGAAGAAAGCGTTTGACAAGTGTCCAGGGAATGTCATTGCCCCGAGAAATTCTCGTACCATGAGTGATGTTAGCAAAGCGATTCTGATATTCGATCTGCCTTCCAATGAAGCGGCCTAAATACAGTTCAGTCTTGTTGAATGTACTTAATAATCATCTACATTGAGGTAATTGTTCTACAGGAGCAGGGAAAGCGCTCACCCTCATCTTACTGATTGCAACCGAATACTCTTTCAAAGCATTTAGATGATGCAAATGCGAGCTCTTATCCTGGACATCCAAGGACAGGGATTCGAATTCGTCAAGCATCTCCATCTTCATATCCATTGCACCCAGAGCAACTACAGCATGCCGAAGAGAATCATCAGACACGCAGGCCTGAAGAAGCATTTGCCGGAAGATTCCTGCATCGTAATATGGCAGAATCTGAAAAGCAGTTTTGGTGCAGAAGACTTCGAAGTAATGGTGATCTTTTTGGGAGTGGAACAAAACGTGAGAAGGATTGTTTACAAGAGAAGGAGAAGCTCGTTTGGGAAGTAACAGGGGTTTCCGAGAAACAGCAATCGCCAATGCCCTCTTCTCACAATTTGGGCCTTCATTCTCATAACCGTCACATTGGACTCTGAAACTGGTGCAACGGACACAGACCGGCCTTTCCTCGCCACATTTCACGCGTCGTTTCCTGAATCGTGGTCAGCGCAAGTGGCAATGGAACTCCTGATGGAGAGTTGGGGCACCGCCTCTCTTCCTGATCAGGCTTACTTGCAAGTACGGCAACCTAATCTTGTCTTCGGTAGCCCTCTCCTCTTCATTTTGGGCTTCATGGGATGCGTCGACATAATCAAAGCTGTTGCTCCCTGACACGTGTTTCAGACAGCGAGTTGAAAAACAAAAGCGGTAAAGCCGTTGAAGCACTCATGGAAAGAGCATGACCAGACATTAGCGGTTCACAGCTCGAGCATTGAGAGGCATCAGGTAGCCTAACTCAATGGTATTTTGGTTGAGGTTGCGTGTAAATCTGGGGGGAGTTGCGAAGGTTTGGTCAACAGATGAATCGGGGCTTCATTGTGAACTGGCTGGTCGACTTGTTCTCGGTTGTGCACGTGGTGTAAGCATAGCCTAAGCTTTGGGGCGGCTGACCGACCAATCATCTGCCTTGCGAACAATTTGAGGATACGCTCGCTTACTCGCAGGTACTCGTGTGTACAGTGGATAAAAAAACCCCTAACGTCCATCCCTGCGTGCCGAAAAACCCCGTGTGCCGAAAAAACTTCATAGTTTGAGGGTCTTAAATCTCCACCACGTAAATATATAAAGTTATAATTAGTTTGTAATTGTTCTTTGGCTATTTCTCTACAAGGGCTCGAATGAAGTCAGAAAAATATTATAGTTTGGCTATATTGTCGATCGTCCTATTAAAAGCGTCAAAAGCTGCTATAGCTAATACCCCCTGCTTTATTATAATAATCGACCTGTCCCCGGAACTCGGGCCCGTAGTATAGAGCTTTTATCAAGTTTAAATATAACTCCAAAGGTTTGAAGACACAGAGCACAAGGAAATCTGCCTGCCGGATTTATCCGGACAAAAAGTGGGAGGTACACAAAATGCCTAGCCTCTTAATAAGCGAGGCAGGATTTATTGCCCTTACCTTGTATTCACAGCCACGCTAGTCGTATTTTATTACGCAATTTATAAATATCACGTGAAAGTGTGGCGCAGTATGGCGTTCTTCTAGAAGTTTCCACGGCAGCCACATGTCTGCCTCCACACGGAGTTGCCACTCAGTAGTTTCAATCCGCCACTCAGTCGTTCCAATCCCCATCCCCATCTCCATGTAAGGTACGGAGGGAATGCCTTATGAGCGACCGCGCCAGTAAAGCCTTTGCAGAGGCCTCCCTGCCGGGAGAGCCTCGAACATATAATGCCAGATCAAAACGCAGTGGAGTTTCTCTGGCTACCCTGTATCATGGTAATCATAGGTGGCGCTCGAAAGAAGAGAAGGCCCTAGGCCAACAGCTTCTCACTCCATCGGGGGAGAAAGCCCTTAAACAGTGTTTGAAACTAGTAGCTGACCTCAGGAATCCTATGTGAATCAAATGTTTACTTCCCCTCGCCTTTAATATCGCCTGCCAATGTTCCACGACGACTAAAGCGATCAACCCTCCGGGCAAGAACTGGGCTTTGGGCTTCTAGAAGCGCTATCTAGCACTTGTTGTTCTCAGCACCTAACGCATGCAATATGTCCCGCAGGTTCTGTGACCTTGGATGGTCTGGTCCGACAGCTTTCTCGTACCCTTCGAGAGCCTTTGAATACATGATCCTTGCTTTCGCAAGGTCAGCTCGACTTTCGAAAAGAGAAGCGAGTCCCCATATTGTGTGAAGCGCCGGGATGTAGGTTTCAACATCCGTACCAAGAGCCGTCTTGTAGCCTTGCAGCGTCCGCTGGTACATTTCCTCTGCCTCGTCGAGCCTGCCTTGCTCTTGGTAGAGACTCCCTAGATTATTGACTGTGCGGAGAGTCGACGTATGCTCTGTACCGAGCGCCTTCTTTTTGCCCTGTAGCGCCCGCTGGTACATCTTCTCTGCCTCGTCGAGCTTGCCTTGCTCTTGGTAGAGATTGCCTAGGTTGTTGACTACGCTCAGAGTCGACGTATGCTCTATTCCGAGCGCTTTTTCTCTGCCTTGCAGCGCTTGCTGGTATATTGTCTCTGCCTCGTCGAGCCTGCCTTGCTCTTGGTAGAGAATCCCTAGGTTATTAACTGTGTCAAGAGTCGACGTGTGCTCTGCACCGAGCGCCTTTTCGTTGCCCTGCAGCGCCCGCTGGTACATCTTTTCTGCCTCGTCGAGCTTGCCCTGGTTTTTGTAGAGACTCCCTAAATTATTAATTGTGCGGAGAGTCGACGTATGCTCTGCACCGAGCGCCTTCTCTTTGCCTTGCAGCGCCTGCTGGTACGTCTTCTCTGCCTCGTCGAGCTTGCCTTGCTCTTGGTAGAGAATCCCTAAGTTGTGAACTGCACCTAGTATCCCAACTCGTTCTTGAACTAACTTGATCTCACTGCTTCCGCTTTCCTGAGTAGACCATTGCCGTGCCCCTTTCATCACAACCCAGCGAGAACACGCTTGCGCGTGAGGTAGAAGCCGGCGTTGTAGAGCAGATGAGTCCAGCGATGAGCTATGGGGTACGGCCCATCCAACAACGATTACTGCTAGCTGAGCAAGTTGTAGTCGCAAATCCTCACCCTGGGAGTAGTACGCCCATCTGTGGACAACTGGGTGAGTAGCATAGCCTCTTAGGCCTTGAACATCCTCAATTAATGAATAGTTGCGTAGTAATCGAATTGCTTTTGTAAAGGCTAACTCATTCGTTGCGATGTCTCCAATCCATTCTGATAGGCGTGTCGCAGTAGTCGTAGACGCATTGCATGCTGCTGCAAATAAACCGTACCACAGATCTTTGTTGTTGAGAAATGCCCAGAGAAGAAGAAGGTTGGCCGCAGTTTCGTGAGTTTTTCGAATGGCACCAAATGAGATAGCCCAGGTCGTCCAGACATTGCGATCGGGGTAGTCCTGGAGTGGGGCGCCCTCCCAGTCACAGGATTCCATAAGCTCTTTCCACTTCTCCTTGTAGAACTCGACATATCTTTGAGGCTCAACTCCAGTCTCATGTAGAAATGCACCTGCCTGTGCAATTGCGAGCGGAAGGCCGTCCAAGAAGTCCAATAGGCGGTCGCCTTCAGCTGGGTCTACAATAGTATTATTAGCTCGATGCTTATGCTTATATGATAATGTCCATACTTACCATGCTTCCTCTTATACCGGGTCTGAAGAATAGCTCGTGCTTGATCCTGATCAACCTTTCCCAAATGCTGCGAGTTCCCAAGCTGCTCCAGCTTGGCTAGTCGAGTTGTGATTAGCACAGAGCCATGGTCGGCGCCAGAAAAGTAGTGCATCATGTCGTATGCGTCAGGATTAGGATTGTGACCGTTGTAATCCCTATCGACATTATCGAAGATAAGCAGCCACATAGCGTTGTCCTCCTGAGCAAGCCAGCCCATGACTTCTCGGACAACTATGTTGATGTCGACCTTACTGCCAGCATAGTATGTCCTACTCGACTCGGAAATCTGGCCTTCTGGGATTCTGCTCGCACAGCTTGCAATGCTCTGTACGAGGCTGTCCTTGCTCCTCCCATCTAGCCAGAATATGGCACTAAACCTGCGCTGATGCTGTGAGGCAAACTCCACCGCTAACTGTGTCTTACCAATCCCACCGAGCCCATGAAGTACAAGTCTCTTCTGCTGACAGCTATACCGTTCTGGGAGGAGCACTCGTTCAAGCTCTGCCATCTCGGTAGGTCGTTCTATAAATTTGCTCACTCTTGGGATACCTTTGAGACTGAAGACTATTCGATATTCTCCAAAGTCTATATAAGCATTTAGCTACATGACTGATAAATCATTGAAACAAACTAAGAATTGAAAATTTCAGGACTGACATTCTCTTCCTGCTATATTGTTTGCACATGCCTGCAATTGCTTAAACACACCCTGAGATCCGATATAGCGTCGTGTAGCCGCGGCAATCTCTTTCCTCTTCTTCGACTCCTCGAGCCCGATCTCCTCTAGACCTCGATCAACATTGAACCGGTAGTATTGACCATTATCCTCGAGGTGTGACTTGTCTCGCCGAAATTTTTCTGCCGTCTGCTCCGTCTCTGTAGCAATGGTAATAAGCGTCTCACCAATATGTAAGACATCGTCCCGAAATGGTTTTAAGGAGGGGACGCCAGTACCGATCGAAACTACACATTTGATCCGGCCCTCGAGCGGCTGCGGCCCCCACATAAGCTGAGCTTGATTCCAGACCTCCCATATCGGATTGTTAGCTCCCGTTGCTCCGTCTACAAACTCTTCTCTATACCGTCCGACAGCAATAGGATCAAAAAAGGAGGACGCCGCTGACGTTGCACGGCAGGCTTCCCAGATCTTAACGCTATTAAGGAGGTCACTCCCGCCACGCGGCGACTTGTAGCTTGTCAAGTATACTGTTTCGCTCGTCTCTTTGCTTGTCGCGCACACGAACCTGGATCTATTAGGGACTTGCTAGATACTCCAAGTGGGTATAAGGCTAACGTACACCTTGCATGGATCATCTGATACATCTTTGAGCAACGCATCCACCTGCAACCCTTGCTCTGTGACCACTTCCTTGACGGCTCGGGCCAGCTCTTCCGAGTCAAACCTGCCCTGAATATTACCCTTTACTGTGACGCGATGCCTCTTCTTCTCGAAAACCTGGTCCGAAAGCGACAGGTAGGCATCGATGCAGTCGTCGATACTCATCTTCAGGCGGCCGAGCATAATTGCGACAAGTCTAGCTGGTCAGCACATATATCTTTGGTCTGCGAATATTACAATCACCTACCCACCAGTGCTTGTTCCCCCAATCATGTCGAAATAGTCGCATGGCTTCGGAGGATTCTCTGGGTCTACAGTCTCCATGAGCTGCTGGAGGATCATAAAGGCTGACAAGCCACGGACTCCGCCGCCATCGAGCGCGAGTAGGCGGAGATCTCGATCTGGCATTGTTGGAGAGAAAGAGTCTCAGTGAATCTTGACTTGCTGACTTGGTATGCGTAATGGTTTGTTGAGCTGAGAAGTAGGCTGCGCTTATTAACTCAGCTGAACAACGATGGCAGCATGCGCAGCTGCGAGCGCGGCAATCCAGCCAGTTGCGAAATCTCTAAGGGCTCATGCTGTGTCGTTCAACTAGCATGCTGCTTCGTGTGCTTAAGAATTAGGAACTCTATTATGCATGATTTTGGTAGATGCGAGACGATAGGGTCGATGCTGGCTTGAAATGCGGTTATGTTCAAGATTTTGTTTGCGATTTTCGTGCCTGGACTAGCTACGCTAGGCATCAAAGTTATTACTAAGCTGGATGTGGCGCATTAAGCACAACAATACCTCTAGCCACTATTGGCCTTCATGCCTCAGGTTTCGTAATTAAATTACAGCGTAAATATTATGGGACGTGCGGGATTGTTTCGTACTAAGCCAAAATTGTGATCCGAGGTACAGAGCCGCGCAGTAAATTTGCCCGCAACAGCAGCCACAAGGCTAATGACGAATTCCTGTAAAGGGATGAGGTCTTAGAGCTCCGATAAGACCCTGTTATAAAGTATTAAGATAGTATGAGCTTAGTGGTGGAGCTGTGGTGGAGGAACTCTATTACCTTATAAAAGGAGTTTCTTTGTAAATCAGGCGTGAGGACGACGATGCGAACGCGATTTTCTAGTGGGAGGGGTTTAGAGTATCCGGGAATGGCCACGGAACATAACTCATAAAACATTATAGAAGGTATTAAGGTGTGCATAGATTTTAAGATGCTTAAAGTCAAAGTACCTATTATTTTTTTCGGTACGCAGGGTTTTTCGGCACGCAGGGATGGACGTTACCCTGAAGTGTGTTTCTACAAGTAGCAGGTTCGCCTCCACAAAACCTTGAATTCCAGCTCTCTTATTCGTTAGTACCCCGTCTTGCGGCGTCTGTGGATCCAGACAAGGCATGGGTTTATTCACCTAAGTCACCAAGTATTTCCGCACACGGTCGGACCAGCGCACCACGCTCCGGTCTTTAAGGTTCTCCTATCGAGTCACGTGCAAGCTTTTAAACCTCCGCTGGCGGAATAGCCATATTATGGGCAGCTCAGCCTACTTCTTGTCCAGACATTGAAGTAGAAGTTGGCCATGATCTCAATATAGTCTCCAATGCCACCGATTGCAGCATCGCAATTCTGGCAGTCGACATTGGGATGTCACGGGACTGTCTAACTTGAAGAGGTTAAGAGAATAAGGACAAGCGAATGTCAAAACCATGAAGTCCGACGTCATACATTCAGACATCGGAAAGTGATCGTCCAGGATCACCGAATCGCAGCAATTCTAAGAGGCCGCCTTTTTATCTCCCCAGGGATTTCTCAATTCTTATCCATTCAATTCAGCTCTTTCGCTAGATCTCACCCTCAAAACTACAGAAAACGCCGCACAGCTATGGAAATGACGTCGGGCTCGCGAAGGTCCCCATTCTTGTGGTGGGTGGAAATGTTCTGTCTGGGGAGAAGTTTATCAGAACCCTGAGCTTGATGTACTGTGACGTTTGTGGAGGGGCGTCGAAAGAGCACCACTTTGTCACTTTGAAGTCAACGTTGAAACTCTGATTCCTTAAATCTGTGAGCAAAGCGAGCGACTATCGTTGGCCTCTAGCCAGGAAGCACTCTGGTAAAGGTGGCCACAGCGGATGAATCAAAGTTGGGCTCCGCATGTGACTCTAGAACTTTTATATGTTTTTCTAGCTAATTCAATGGCGTGGCCCGTCAAACTTGTTACTCACAGTTCGGGAACCGGTCGTGGCGGAACGACCAATCAGATTCCTTCTCCCACCTCCTAAAAGCCTCAGCCGCTCATGAATTTCCTTGGTCTGCTCATGTTGCAGTGACGATCAGCTGAGGTGCGCGTGTGCCCCTCAATTCCTAGCTGGCATAGTTAGAAATGCGGCGAGGCATACATTAGCTGTCCGATTTCCATTTCATCATTTAATTATTCTTTTGTGTTACAGCTTCGTCCTCTTCTCTTGGGTGAGTACTTTCACCAATTTACCTTGACGGATTGTACAGATTTGGCGATCCAGAACAATTGGTACTGTTTACATCATGGCGGTCCCTGATCACGAGAAGGAGCGGAAGGAGTCCAGCAGCGATTCCCTCAGCGGCAACACCGAAATCGAGAACACTTCCGTTAATCCTAAGGCTTCTGGTGCCGTTCCAGAAAACGTGGATGCCGACCAGCTTCGAGCAAACATCAATGCAAAAATTGCGAACCCCTTGTCTGGCTTCACTCGTGCTCAACTAGCCCAGAAGGGAGAAGAATATGTTAGGACCAATAATGTTGGCAATGAGGAAGATATTCGGGCCTTTAGACTGGGCGCAATTCTTGCTCAGGATCCCAATCGGCACGCCGAGGTTGACGGACTTACAACGGAGGAAAGTGAGGTCTTAAGCAAGGAAATTGCCAAGAAATGGTCTCAACCTCGACTCCTCTATCTTGTGATCGTTCTCTGTTCAACTTGTGCAGCTGTGCAAGGCATGGGTGAGTCCCGCCCCTTCCAATCTTCGAATCACGGCATGATGTTTTCGGCTCCGGTGGTGGAGGTTATCCGGTTTCGATGCTTTTGACTGACCATTTTCGCAGACGAGACTGTTGTAAACGGGGGACAAATATTTTACTCGCAACAATTTGGAATCTCTGACAAGAATAGCTCAAGAGACTCGTGGCTCGTAGGGTTGGTCAACTCAGCACCTTATCTTTGCTGCGCATTCATTGGCTGCTGGTATAGTGTCTCTTCTATGATTTCCTTAAACCTATGAGAAATCGAAGCTGATCTTTAAAGGTTGACGGTTCCCTTCAATAACTGGTTTGGCCGCCGAGGAACGATTTTCCTCACTTGTAGTTTCTCTGCTCTGGCTTGTATCTGGCAGGTATGTAATTCCGCAAGTTGATGATTCAGAAACTTCCTTCCGAGCAGAAATCACACCTTCCAAGGTGGAACTAACATTCAACGCAGGCTTTCACTGGCTCGTGGTAGGTCCTACCTTCTCAAAGTCTCAATCTCACTTGTAGAAATGTTCAACAGCTCCTAAAACATTCTATAACCGAGAACATCTAGAAGAAGTATGCTGACTCCGATCTAGGTGGCATATGTTTATTGCCAGGTTCGCACTAGGTATTGTTTCTTCAATACTTTGTCTCTGGTTCACCGTAGATCTTATCTAATTCGACTTTTGACGGCAGGCTTCGGAATAGGACCAAAATCTGCTACTGTGCCCATCTATGCGGCTGAATGCTCCCCTCCTCAGATCCGAGGTGCTTTGGTGATGCAGTGGCAAATGTGGACTGGTCTGCCATGTCTCAAATTTGCAGAAGAACCACACTAACTGGATGCCAGCCTTTGGAATCTTTGTCGGCTATGCATCTGATCTCGTATTCTATCATGTCCCAGACCAGCATGGAATCACTGGCCTGAACTGGAGACTCATGCTGGGATCCGCTTGCCTGCCCGCAATAATTGTGGTCTGTTTCGTTTTCCTTTGTCCTGAGTCACCTCGTTGGTATATGAGCAAAGGTCGACACGAAAGTGAGTAATCCAGCGCCATAATCTTGCCCCCACCCCCTCCCTATCTTCGCTTGATCAGTTACTGACCCCGACTCTTCAGAGGCATATCGGAGTATGTGTAAGCTTCGGTATAACAAGGTGCAAGCTGCTCGCGATATATTCTACATGCATGTGGGTCTCCATTTGGTTCTACCACTTGGAGCAATAGTTAACAGGAAAAGACCCTTCTCGAAGCTGAAAACCAAAGCATGATCCTGGGCAAAAGTAAGATTGCGGAACTAGTGACGGTACCTAGAAATCGTCGCGCAATGCAAGGTGAGTTCTGGCCGGAGTCGTTTCTTCAATTTTCAGAGAGCTGTGTATTGTCTACTGACCTGCTCGTCTCGACAGCATCCGAACTCGTTATGTTTATGCAACAGGTTTGTGGCATGAATCCCGTTGGGTAATATATCACTGACGATCTAGTTCTGTGGCGTCAACGTAATTGCCTATTACTCAAGCGAGATATTCCTTGAGGCGAACCTTTCCGAGATAAGTGCTCTTGGTGCTTCTCTAGGTTGGGGCGTAATCAATTTCCTCTTCGCCATCCCAGCTGTATATACCATCGACACTTTTGGCCGTCGCAATCTGCTCCTAACCACTTTCCCTCTCATGTCTCTGTGCTTGTTCTTTACTGGATTCAGCTTCTGGATTCCCAGTTCCTCCGAGGCTCGGATTGCCTGCGTCGCTCTTGGCCTGTACCTCTTTGGCATTGTTTGTAAGTTTCCCCTCTCCTCTCTCCGCATCACATTTTGTTAATACTTCGTTAGACTCGCCCGGAGAAGGACCCGTTCCATTTACTTACTCTGCAGAGGCGTACCCCCTATACATTCGTCCCCTTGGGATGAGTCTTGCTACAGCAACAACTTGGTTCTTCAACTTCGTTTTGAGTGTGACTTGGCCAAGTTTGCTGAAAGCATTCAAGCCACAAGGTGCATTCGCCTGGTACGCAGTCTGGAATATCATTGGATTCTTTGGTGTCCTCTTTTTCGTCCCCGAGACCAAAGGCAAGACGCTGGAAGAGCTGGATCAGGTCTTCGGAGTTCGATCGCGTGACCATGCCGCATACGGATTAAGACAGCTCCAGTACTTTTTCAAAAGATACATCTTTAGGCAAGACATTGAGCCAGAGCAGCTTTATGAAAAAGATAAGGTCGAGCATCATCCCGACAGCTTCACACAGGAACAAGTGGCGGATCAGACGACGAGAGTCTAAGAATAGAGAGTTGTCGATGGATCTTCGGTACAAAGACATTCTGTCACTGTTGCCTGAACATGATGGAATTGTGTTTGCGATTCCCGGAAAATTGTAATATGGAAGCTTTTGTAAGATTATAATTATGGACATCTAATATGGGTCATTATACGCGTCAGTCCTTTCACATTCACGACCACGGTCCAAGTGGAGATGTTGATGTAATTTTCTTGGTGTTACCTCGTCTGAAGCACATCGAAAGCAAATCCATTCCCGCCGACCTCAGAGGTCTTACGTCTTTGTTCTCACCTTGCACTTACCTCACTTGTCGCCCTTGCCCTTGCCCTCTTCCTTTGCTCCTCCGGCACCTTGCTGTTGAGTTCTCAGGGCCGCCAGTAGGGCTGCCCTTCGGGCCCCCCTGCCGGCTGCAAAAAATCCTCCTCCAGGTCCTTGCAGCTGAGCTTGCATCGCGGCGATCTGATTCATCCTACCGCCTACTGGAAGTCCTCCAGATCCTTGAAGTTGAGCTCTCATGGGGTTCAACCCGCCACCTATTCCTGGAAATTGGGCTTGCCTCGCTATGGTGCGATCCCTCCTGCCGCCTGATAGGAGGCCTCTCGCACCTGGCAACTGACCCCCCATGGCTTGAAGCCCTGCAGCACCAGCTCCTCCCACGGCACCTCCAGCGGCACCAGATCCTCCAACTATACTAGGTCCCGCTCCAGGCCCTCCGATTCCACCGGGCACTCTCCCAGGTCTTCCATTAGGCATTCCAGTCCCAGCCATGAGACCCTGTGATTGACCATTATTTCGCCCCAAGGGTAGGCGTCCCTGCAAGAGTCCCTCCATCGGCACCCGTCTTGGGCGGAGCATTCTTTCAGCAACATCAGAATCATCCCCCTCTCTTCCCCTCCTTCCTCTTCGGGTTCTGCCATCGCGGCCTACTGGTGGCCAAGGATCCGGCCCGCCTTGGCCATAAAATGCCCATTGTCCACCCCCACCACCAAATCCACCAACTCCTCGAGCCATTTTCTGTTCCTGCGACTGCCTAACTTTGGTTTTCAAGTTGAAAGTATGTTATGAGTAATAGTCGTGACTGTTGACCGTTTTAATTTGGAAAGAGAAAGAGAAAAGGTTTTGGGCAAGGAGAATAGGCCAGAGGAATAAGTAATGGGAAAAGTGGAAGAGAAATGGAGAGATTGGAATGGAATCAAGTGAATGGGAGACACAAAGAGAGGAAAGGGTAGACTTGATTTCTGCGATGCTGTTAGGAGACAAACGGGAACATCTTGAATGATATTGCTAACATATCTGTTGTGCTGTGCCCGCTGATTCAAAGACTTCAGTCTGCAGCTTTCCCCTTTTGACTCGCTTGAGCTTACTGCCAGACTAAGGTGCAGTTAATCTGATGACAAAAAATCCGTCAGGTAAAGTCAAAGAAGAAAAAAACCAGTGAATATGCCATTTTGTTTGACTTCAACGCTTCAAGCCTTTTCTTCAAGCAACACATCTCCTTTTAACCTTCGACTTTTAATCTTCGAAATAGGAAATCAAGAAAATTTATGCAATCTGGAATGATCGGGCCTCACATCCTATCGTCAAGAAAGATAGAATATTGAACTAAGAACTAAGAACAAGTTCCCTTGGGTATCCAAGGATATCCCTGCATGGAGGTGGATGGTACAAGGTCAATTACTTTCAAGATTAACCCAAAAAGAACCCAATGAGCTGTTCGAAAATTTATTTGCTTCCTTTCGATCATCAAGACCAATCGCCATCCACCATCAATCACCTAAACAATAATCCACCACCATCATCTGGCTCTTTAGCATCATGGCAACTCCCTCGTTCAATCGACGAGCTGCCGGTCTTAAGTCGATCGGGGCAAAGAGGTTCCTCGCTGAGGACTATGCACGTGCCCCGGGCGCACTGAAGACGCTCCTGGGCGATGAGTACATCATTGGGGATGGCGTCAAGCTGCTGGCAAAGATGCAGGGACTCAGGCCACTAAAGCAAAATACGAAGGACAGAACCGAATCGCAATCTCAAGTCCCCCGCGAGAAGGAGAAGGAAAAGCGAGCGAAGAAGCAGAAAGAGCAGCAAAAGCGAGCAGAACAGAAGAAATTGGAGAGCGGGGAGAATAAGAACGCTGCTTTCTAGTTAGCTATGCGGGTTCATCTCTTCCGTCCACTTCCTGAGCAGATCCGAAAATCGATAGTTCCGCTATCGAGACCCAGTTTCTCAGTTCACGGCTCATCAAACACAAGCATCAGCCGTCGACGAAGCTTATGTAGGCGGGATGAATATGTGAATTGGAAAGTATGGCTACGGGGAAAGCATTTGACCGGCTGATGATGATCTGATATAGGAAGTTTTCGTCATTCCGTGTTTGGTACTCGGCGTCATGTGAGGACACTCTGCGTGAATGAAGAGGCTTCATCAATCACGATAACGGCAGTTGCTGCCATGATTAACATACACACTGATAACATTTAAGTTGCCGACTGCATTGTGGTTGATGAGGCGGACCTGGAGGTCTGCCAACTATCGATTCCTTCCAAGGAAGTCGGAATTGAAGCTGCTGAAGAGTTGACTGAGCTTTTTGCAATAGGGCAAGCATATTGTTCGTCATCCTTTGGGGGATCTGGATAATATCGAATGGTTAAAAAAGGGCTCGCTTCATTCGTACACTACGCAGAACACGGAGCTGATAAAGGCAACATGATTTCAGGTGAGCAAACAACTGAGGTCCCAACCACCTCCATCTCCTCAACCCTCATCTCAACGGTCCATGCTCCCCCTCTCCAGCTCTCTTCACACCGCTCGCAACTCTAGCAGCACCACCCTCAACTCCTTCCGCCACGTCTTTGATGCCATCACCGACTGGCTTTCCTGTCTTGCCTGTCACTCCATTAACGGTCTCTCCTACACCGCGTCCTGCTGCGCCAACGACTCCGCCGACAGTGTTGGTCACGCCGGATACGAGGTTCCTGGTGAGGGTTAGCCAGACAACGATATTGCTGAAGATGGGACAGCTACCCAGCAGTTGAAGTAACCCAAGTGACCGCTCCTGTAGCTCCTGATTTACTGGACATATTGATAATTGATATTTTTACTTGCTGATATTTCAGAATGTGTGTGTAGCTGAAAAATAGAATCGTGCAGTGCAGGAATGATGAAGAGTCGTTGGGTTATCTTGTTTTGATGTGGCTGTGCTCTCCCCCCTTAATTGGGGGTCTTCTACGTCACCGCCACAAGGATCAAAACAGGTCTTTTGCAATGTTTACATATTGACATAACAGCACTCAACTCTGATTGGAGAAGGAAACGATCGAATCATGAAAAGGAAGCAGATCGACTTGAGTATGAGTCATTGCCCCACGTTTCCTTGGAGACGAAATGCCGGAATGTACGGAGATCAGGTAATGGATTGGCGTAGCTTGTAAGTTGTTCTCGAGAATTCAAGAAGACATCATTAGGGTTGGCTGGTTGTATCGTTACCCGTAATAATATAAAAAGCTTTACCTTTACGGTATGTAAGAAGCTTTTATCATTATAGTACGTGCACCCATATATATATAGATTAGAAGGTTTAATTGGCCCATTCCAGGGCGTCAAAATCGAAGCTATTCAGGAAATCGTCCACCTATACAGGGCCCTCCTGCTCCTGCCTTGCAATTATATCCTTATTAATCACTTGCTAGGCTTTAGTAATATTAATTTCCTCCCGTCTCCTCTTCCCTAGTACCAATATAGGAATTATAGACTGAAATAAGCCTTGAAAGTACTCTGCTATTATTAAATCATTCTCTAAATTAAGTATAATATCTTATATAGTATCTTCGTCAAGTATAATTCCTATATCCTTTTATAATACCCGAATATTAATATATATAAAGAAGAGCTTATTAAGTACTTTAACTAATAATTAATTTCGTAATTTCATATAGAGGAGGTTTATAACTAAGAAGACTTATTTAGAGGCTATAGAATTCGCAGTAATATTAAGGAATTAAAGGGCAATTACGGCTAGGCTTTTATTAATAAATTACTAGTAAATTTTAGTAAAGCCTGAGAATTAGAGAATATATTACTTATATAAAGGTACTAGAATATCTTCTCATTTTCTATATATTTCTAATAATAATTTATAGGATAAAAATCACTATTTTAGTAGATATAATTAATAAAGGCATTTACTATTTCTAAATTACTATATTTGTCTAAAAACTCGGAAATCTTTTACTAGCTTAATTATAGAAACTAATTAAATCCAGTATGATTTTTGGGGCTAAGTAAATATACCAGGAAATAGTAAACTTGTACTTGCCTCTCAAATTAACTATTCTAACTATGGGTCTTATAATTGAGATACTTTCGAATATTATATATAAAGGCAAAGTATATAGGATTAGCAAATTTTTTAAGATATACTCGAATTTCTATCTAATAAGAATATATTATACTAATTATACTATAGGTTAATTCAGATATCTTTTATTTCTTATAAATAACCTTAAAAAGGTCCCTTATTTACCTTAATTTAAACTAGAAGTTCTTGCTTTATATTAAGGCTATAACCTTCTTTATAATAGCCTTTAATTTATTAACTTATAGATTATTTATATAAAGCTTTAAAGCTCCCTCGTTTTGCAAAATAAACTAAATTAAATAAAACTATAGCTAATTAGTTAGGGAAATTATTTAATTAGGGCTAATTCTCTAAACCTACCTATATACCCTATCTAGTATTCCCGGCAGTAATTAAAGTAATTGTTTTATTAAGTATTACTATTTGCTTTTATTATAAGATAGCTAATTAGAGTATTAATTTATACCCAAAATATAAAATAATTAATTAGAAATCAAGCCAGAAGTTATAAAGTTTAGATAATATCTATACCTTAGCCTCTTTTTCAGGTTCTATAATATCCTTAATAATTAATTAAATTCTATTACAAGTATAAGATCTAGGGCCTAGAAAATATAGTTAGACTATCTCTATTTCAATAATTCAAAGCTAAAGAGAGAAGAGGATCCCGAAGGAGCCTCGGATCTAAATAATTACAAGCTATATATAGGCCCATATACTAGCTTAAGCTCGGGGTTATATATAATAATCAGGTAACTATAGATGCCTTTCTAGCTCTAGTCTAATCTCTACTAGTACCATATATTATAATAACCGTAATATTACTTCCCTCTTTAAAATAAGCTCGTTTCCGAGCTTCAAAAGTCTCTATTAAATTTCCAAGTTACAGGTTATATATTAAAGGCCAGGGCCTTTTATATATAACTTTAAAGGATTTCCGTCCGTATTATATAGTTCCGGTAGTATATTATTCTTGGTATAATCTAACTAATAGGAGAGATTCTGGGATAGTCCTGGCTATTCGGGGTTCTTATTATAGAAGCTCTAAAGAGCTAGGATACTATTACTTAATAAGGAAGCAGAATACTATTCCGAATCTGGGTCCTATTCTTTTTACTAGATTCGGTACTTTAGTTTCCTATAAAGTAGTTTTACTACTTATATCTTTTAAACTTTGTATTTTATTTCCCTGTTTTATAGTTCTAATAGTAGAGGCTCCGGATTTGCTTATCCGGGAAGGGGGTTACCTGGGTTTTTATATAGCTTCTTTATATAGAATACTAGATATATTCTTATTAATTCCGGAAGCTTGAGCCTAAAGAAATATCCTACTTATTTCAGGATTTCATATAGTTCTTTTATTTAGTAAGCTAGCTTATAGTTTAAATAATTATTCTTCTAGTATTTAGTAATAATTTATATCTTGTCTCCTATTCCGAAGTCTACTAGTTAGTAGTATTTATTAGCTTAAGTAGTATAATATTTTTATACTTATATTATATTCTCCTATATCTTTTATTATAATTTATAGAACCATATTACTAGGGCCTTTACTTCCTGTCTATTTAGCTCTTTTTTTGAGGTACCTAATTATACTTGGATTTCCTAGTTAAATAATATTTATAGTTTATAGCCCTTCTCTATAAGAAATGGGAATTAGCCTATAGTCTTATAAACCAGAGCTACCTACTAGTAGTTAATTATTATTATCTATTTGTCCCAATTATCCTAGTAGTAATTTATATAGAGATATAGCCATTAGTTAAAGTACTAGTTAATAATCTCTATCTAGCTATTAATTTGGGAATAATTAGTAATTAATAACTTGAGCTTTATACTAATATACTTATAGAACTCGCTTTAGAAATCCGATATAAACTAGGGGCCTTAATTAGATACTATAATCTCCGGAATACTAACTTGGTAAACTATATAAGTAAGAAACAGGAGTACTAATTCTTTAGCTATTATTATATCTCGAATAGGAATTATAATAGGGTATTTATCCAGATAATTAATAAAGATTACTATTATATTATACTTATTTCTATTCTCTAGGTACTTCTTAAAATCTACTAATATATATTACCAGAAATAGTTAGAAACTAGTAATAAATACAAGAGCCCTAGCTTCTTATTTCTAGGGATATGAGATTATTAGTAAGTATAGTAGTTATTTCTATACTAATTAATATCTATATCTTGGCCTGGCTAATAATAGTAGGCCTAAAAAAGCTATTAAAGCTTGGCTTATCCTGGATATCTTATTAGGGGCTATATATATATCTCCTAAATAAGAGTAATATATAAGGGTATCTCGGGTATTATTATACTATTAGATATAAATAGTTTACTATATTATAAGAAGAGGCTGTCTTATAATATTCAAGTGTTTTTCTTCTTGTTTTTTGCCTTATTCTATAGCTTTTCTAGCTCTAGTAACTCTCGGTTCTTATTTAATAGCTTATTTACTAGCTAGATACTATTATACTAGGTTTTTTCCTGAGCCGAATTTATAAAGGCCTTAATTAGAGCTAACTAGAAATCCTATATAATATTATTATTAATCTTTTATTATAGGAGGAGAATTTGGATTTAATAGGCTACTATTACCTTATCCTAGATAATTATATCCTTATATTTCCTATTTAGGGTATTTATTTATTTATTTAACTTGCCTGCCTAATATATAAACTTGAAATAGTAATAGGAAAAATATTTTATCTAGTAAGCTTATCTTACTAAGAGCTTCTTTATAGTTATAAAATACTTAAGAGCTCGGTAGTTTAAATAAATTATAAAGGGTACCTCTTATAGGCCTTCTAGCTCCGCTTATTATTCGGTTAAAGAGAGAATAATAGTAAATATTTCTTTATTATAGATATTATAATTTAATTCTACTAATTATATAGTCTTAGAAAAGAATACTACTAGATACTAGAATTCTATCTAGGAGTCTTACTATAAGAGAATACTAGCTATAACTCTATTTAATATATCTGTTTTAATTATAATAGAGAAATTCGGGTTATAGTAATATAGAATTAATACCGAGAATATAGCTTATTTTAGTTTAGTAAAACCTTCTTAATACTAATTTATTTATTTAAACGGAACTTCTTTATATATTAGAACTATTAGGGGCTTTATTATATGGCTATATTCTATAATAAAGTACTAATAAAAGTTATAAAAACCTAGAAAGCCTTATATTTCTTTAACTATCTTTAGTAATTACTAGTTCTATAATAGGTATATATAATAGTATATAGACAGGTATTAGATATTATAAATCTAGTTTCCTATTTTAGATATAGCTTATAATCGGAATTATATAAATTATATAGGATTTCCTAATTAAGTAAAGGGCTTTATATACCTGGCTAAGTACTAGGGAATATATAGGGAGACGCTCCTAGTTTTAGAAGGGATATTAATTAGTCTCTTATTAGAATTAATTCTTGGAATTCGTTATACTTATAAGTATTATTCTATAGCTTACTTATCTTAACTACTTATATATTACTCTACTATTATATACCTTATATTCTAATTAATCCAATCTTCGGGAAATAGTTCGTTATAAGATAGTCAAGCCATTAATAGACAAAACCACTAATAGCTAGAGTATTAATTAGAAGAAGTGCTTCTGCTATTACTAGGGCAATCTAGTTAGATATCTAGGGAAGTACCTAGTTAGTTATTCTAGCTATTACCTAATTAGAAGAAGGGAGTAGAACTCAGATATTCCTAGAACTAGCTAGTAGGATAATAATAATAGAGAAGCTAGTAGCGGCT